AAATGCACCGTCACCTTAGTAGAATACACCCCATGATATGATTGAGTGGGTAGAGATCTCAAGTTCACTTTCAATTTTTCTAACCTAGGCCGAAACTCATCATATCTACAACACAACTTGGTTCAACGCTTTAGATCTAACAATATGATTTTTTTTTATGAATCATTCACTACTACCTCAACACTTATCGGTTTACTTATGAACAATGTTCGACGAAAAAGCTGATGACTTACTTCTTCATTTATAAACAATATAACGTATAAGTAAATATTATCCTTGACGTGCTAAAGTATGGTACCAACGATGATCTCATGTCGACAATGAACCGGTTTATTATTATTCTCACTTTTCATTTTGTTGGCTTTGTGCTCAAAACGACTAGGGCTCATGTACAACTGGCTTTTGACACAAGTAGGGCCCTCCTACGGATAGTTGGAAGCAAAACCCTAACCTGCATCGCAAACATCAAAACATACTTCCCCCTGTCCGCCTGTCGTCTCTCTGCAAACCCTAATTCCCAGTTCCTCTGATCAAGGTAGAAGAAGCAATGAGAATTTGATTCCCAAACCGTGGGAGAATTGATGTGCTCGCTATTTGAGATCAAAATCCACACAAAGTCTATCTATGGCTCTGCCCACCGGAAATGGGAACGGCGTCCTGTTTCCCGCGATGTTGCAGGTCACTAGCAGCAGGCTGAGGCTGAGCCCTAACTCAGAGCACAAACCGGAGGCCTACGATGACCTGAAATTGGAGTTCAGCCCTCTCCTCTTCAGCTCACTGGAGCGTTACTTGCCTCCGGCGATGCTCAATTTGTCCCGTGATGCTAAAATCCAGTTCATGAGAGATATTCTCGTTCGCTACTTCCCTGAGGCCGAGCGAACTCGCGTGAGTATGATTCGTGAATGTGTGGAGCTATGGGTGTTGTTTGGTTTTGAGTTTGATCCTTCATTTCCTGTCATTTCCAATCCGTTGCATGAATTCGACCTAGTTGATGGGATTAAAATTTCGTTGCGTTCTATGTAGGAGTTATAGCTCTATAGTTACCCAATTCCCTTGGGACCAAAAAAGGTTTATTCTTTCTAACATCTTGACGGACAATTATGATTGTTTTACTTGGCTTCCCCCTTACTAAAAAGGAGAAAATGGGAGCTACTTGGTTTTGGCATACCATCTGTGGAATATAGTTTAGGACAGTATATAACTGATAGCGTTCATGCAGCTTGACAATTGCCCATGACTCTCTTAGTAATTGATGTTTTTTTTTGTACATTGGCTGGATTTTTCTAGAGTGGTAGCTATCAATCAAAAAGGAAACTTTTGTTATTTAGGTTGTGATATTGTGGTATCTCATGTTGTTGCATTATTATAAACGCCAGATCCAAAAGCAAAGGGAATACCGTGAGCAGATTATGTCTCACTATCAGGTACTTCTTACTTAGTACGTTGAATTCTCTGGGATGTCTAGCGGGGTTCTTCTATGGCCAGCATTCTTTCTCCATCACCACATATGCTTGTTTGCTATTTTCGTCTAATGTTGATTCGTCACACATTTCTCCTCCGATGCTTACAGTCCTACGTTTTCGAGTTAGTAGCTAGATTCTCTTTCATTGCAACAGCTTCCATTTCTTCATTTGTCATCTACAAATTGCAACTAGTGAAAGGTTTGATTAGCATTACAATAGAAGTCCAAATGGGATTGGTTCGTAAATGAGGTTCGCTAAATGCTTGCATGCTTCAACTTCTTGGTCTGATCATTTAGGTGTTGAAATCCTTGTGGGACAGCAAATCAGTTTGCTCCTTTATCCAAAAATTTAGGCTTTGATGATTCCCTTCTTGCGCTACATTGTTTGAGATGAACTCATAGGCTTTTGTGTGATGGAACTTGCAAGAGAAACTGGCTTATACGTTTTTCTCCCAGTTTCCTAATCTTAATTCTCTACTGCATATGAAGAAAATGGAGAATCTTCTTTTAGTTTTCCTACTATCAAAGGGACAAGGCATTGTTTAGTTTCTGAAAATTATGGTGCCAATGCAGTGTGCAAGTTAAATGGCGTGGTTGTTGTCAAAGACTGGTTTCGTGAAGTAAAATACCAATTTATTAGTGTGTTTTTCAATCTGTCATTCAAGAGTTGAAACTTAGAAGCTTATGCTGCTTTGGTTTGATACATTATATATTAATTTTCTTTCTGTTCTCATTTAAAACTTACATTTGCAATTTGTTATTCTTGGCTCCTTGTGCTGTTTTTGCCCCTTCTAATCTCTTCTCTGTAAGTTATTTTTCTCTTTCCAGCTCTCACACCTCTTGTACACTTACATGCTGCAGCCTCTTTACAAGGAGCTACAAACCCTTGACGAGACGAAATTTTTTGTCCCATCATTTCTCCAAGCAGTCAATGCGGGTACAGAGGAGAGTTTCAGAAATATCATAATAGAACCCACACCTGGAGTCTATTCCTTTGAAATGCTTCAGCCAAATTTCTGCGAGATGCTGATTTCTGAGGTTTTTACAGTTGATTTCAGAGTTTAACATGGTAGTAGTGTAGTTCCCAGTATTACTCGAGGAATTGATTGTATTTTCTTATGAGGTTTGTGTTGTTAGGTAGAAAACATTGAGACGTGGGTGCACGATAAAAAATTCAAAATCATGCGCCCGAACACAATGAACAAATATGGTGCTGTTCTTGACGACTTTGGCCTGGAACCAATGCTTAATAAGCTGATGGATATTTATCTACGTCCAATGGCTAAAGGTGAATAAATCCTTCTACTGCTACTTTTTCTAACAAGCTAAATTAGATGGTACAGTATTATCCGACTCACAAATTCTTGTTTAACTGTTGTGCAGTTTTCTTCCCTGAGATAAACAAATTAGCTCTGGATTCTCACCATGGTTTCATTGTTGAGTATGGAGATGATAAAGATGTTGAGCTTGGTACATGCTTATTCAATCTGTTAGACACTGCCATCTCTTTGCTTAACGCTTTCCATTGAGTCCATGTCTGATTATGTTCTATTCTATTGTTACTTGTATTTGTATGATAAAGTTTGTAATATGAATGTAATGTTGCCCTTTTCTTGGGTAGGCTTCCATGTTGATGATTCAGAAGTCACCTTGAATGTTTGCTTGGGTAAGGAATTCTTCGGTGGAGAATTGTACTTCCGTGGAGTTCGGTGTGATAAACATGTGAACACTGGGACACACCAAGAGGTAATTCCAAAGCTAAAGCGCCTTGTCTCCCATCCCACAACCCTCCCCTTCTATTGAGTGGCAAATTTTATTTGCTGTTTTATTTCCTTGTGAACTTCAACCTTTAGTTCAAGCCTTATGAGACACTATTAGGAAGATGGGGTTGGTGAGTAATAGGTCTAGTTTTCAATTACTGTCTTTTGCTTAGGGTCGATGCCTCTTGTGGGACTAGAGCTATGGTTCCATGATTGAACACCTAAGCCGGATCTGGAGAACATGATCAAATGAAGGCTTAATAATCCCACTTTCTGCAACAGGAAGTAGGGTATTATTCCCATATTCCAGGACGTGCAGTTCTTCATCGAGGTCGCCATAGGCATGGTGCCAGAGCTACGACTTCTGGAGAACGGTTAAACCTGATTATGTGGTGCAGAAGGTAAAACAGTTATAACTTCTAGCTATCTTCCCTTTCCAGGATAATGGAATAAATAATGTTGGTAAGTTCATTTCCACGTGTCTTCCAGTTCGGCATACCGAGAGCTGAAGAGATATCAGACTGATTTCTCTAGTTGGTGTGGGGAATGTCTTCGTCGGAAAAAAGAAAGGCAGCACAGGGCGGTTGCAGCAACCAAAATGGTATATACTATCTCTTGAAGTGTACATGCTTACCGTGGAAGTGTTGTTGTCTAGATTTGTTGGTATGAACATTGAACATTTTTTCCCCTTTTGTTTACGGTTATTATTGCAGGAACTGCTGAAGCGGGATGGTATATCTACATCCTGACCTTCGAACTTCACAACCTCGTGTTTTTCGTTTAGGTCTTTGAAGTTCTAGAGATGATATCCTGTCGAGACCCCGTTCCAGTTGGTGTTCTCTGGAGTGCAGCATCGAACCAGCCTGGCATGCTTGTAAGGCATTTTGGGTGCTGAAATGAGGGACACATTTTGGATCATGTTAGATTTCCACCCTTCCACCTTCTCCAGAAAAGGAAGAGGAAAAAATGTCACAGAAGAGCTTTTACATACTGCTATCCTTGTTTTAGGTTACTGAACTGTGAATGCCATAAGTGACTTGGTAGATAGCTTCTCCATCTGTATTCTGTGCAGTAGCCTGTTTAGTTCCAGAACTTACTGGAATGTCTTGTGGTTTCAGCCTGAAAATATATGCTGTCTGATTTCGACTGTACTTTCGAGAAACAACAGACTGGGAAATAAGAAATGAAAACACCTCGCATTGGCATCAATGGCGACGGTATCATTAGCTGAAGCAATACTACATTTCAAGAAACAATGCTGCCATTCCTTTCATCTCAATACACAGATTAATAGCTAGATGGAAACCCTGAAGAACAGTACACTACCCCCCTGGAACAAAGTTGCTTACTACTAACTGTATTCGCCATAATCTGTACATCATCTTATTCTCTCTGTTCGGATATTAATCTTTACATCATCTTATTCTCTCTGTTACGAATTGCAAATTGTGATCTCTGATTTGTGTGTGTTCTTTTTTTTTTTTTTTTTTTTGGTTGAATTAGGAGTGCTCAAAAGGCACCTCAACCTTTGCCAATTAACAACAGGAGTTTTAATCCAATATGATCAAACTACAACCAATACCGAGAGAATTACAAAGTGATGCATAAATACGTTTCTACCATTTGTCACGAGTGTTCAAATGAAGCAAAATAATCAGCTACAAAATTTACTTCACGATAAAATAAATGTTAAACTACGAGTTTGAAGTAGGCACGAATTTATCATTTCACATCCTTATATCAATGGCTAATGTTAAGGAGGATTAAACATAACATGCCAAACACCATAACCTTCATTACTGAGTATCAGTCTTTATATAGAGTACAATAATATGTATCAATACCATATACATATTCCCCCAAGGAAAAAGGCAAAACAGATTAATCACAAATCAGATACACAAATGAATCCAGATGAATGAATTTTGACCTTCCCAACTCCCTCAGTAGAACACTACAACCTGACATTCTTACAATTCAAGAAAACAAAAACCCAAAGAATATCTTCTTCTTCTTCAAAAGGCCAAAACGAAAGCTCACTCTTCAGCCCACAACCAAAAAATTTGCATACTAACCCACATCTAGAGGCAAAATAATAAAATGCCATATCGAAGCAAGCCAGAAAACTTGGTACTGAACCAGAAAAATAATAAAACCCAAGAACTTTACGAGTAGCAGACAACAGAATAGTGACTTGGCTGCTTAAAATAAATCAACTTTCTTCTTCTGCATATCCTGCTTCCACTTGGGCTGCTTATTGAAAGCTTCCTTGTCCATCCCAAATATGGACTCGAATTCCTCAGGTGATAGATATGCCTGCAGAATTTGGCGCAAAATCTTAGAACCCCATTTTCTTAATATCCTGAAAAGGAATGAAAGATCACACCAGTGACCAGACCAACCTCTCTCCTCTTGAAGTCGATCCCAGTCACGGGGTTTTCTGAGCGAGCCTTCAGCTGATCGTAACTGAACACAACCTGACCAATGTTGGCGTAGTCCTGTTCAGACTCGGGTTTAGGTTCAGAATCACCCCCTGCGTTGCTTCCAGATGCAGACCCGGTGTCATCGATTTCCTTCCCTTCTTCAGACCCTTGATCTACTTCAGATGCTTCATTTTTCCCTTCACCTGGAATAAACACATGCTAGTAAATATTGCAGGCATGACAGCATAACAGCCTCCTAACTAATGCTTGCTAAATAGTCGTTGATGAGACTTGTTTCTCACCAGAAGGAGTTTTGGTTTCAGCGCTAGGGCTCTGAGTAGGGGTACCGTCAGGTGTTTTCTTCTTTTCAGCAGTAAGAACTTGTGAAAGTGCAGCTACGGCAGCAGCTCTTTGGGTTCCCTGTCCAGAAGATCCCCTTGAAGAGGGGCTTCTGGCTGTAGGGGACGAGTTGAAAGCAGAGTTCAGAGCAGCTAAAGCTGATGCTCTTTGAGTCGGTCCTTGATTTGAACCATTCGTCCTGTCCTGGCTCTGCAAACCACAACAAAACGATTAGTTTAGAAGTTGAAGTAGCACTTGTTTGTTCACAGAGGGTTCGAGATGGTGATTCCCTTATTTAAGGGGGAAAGTATAGATAAGTTGGAATGGAAACCATGGAAAAATAGCCCAAAAAGGGAAAGACGGATAATAATTGAAATCTGGGTTGACTATGTTCTTACTCTAGGGGATGACTTCCCAGAGGAAGGGTTAAATGCAGAAGATAAGGCAGCCAAAGCTGAAGCCCTTTGGGTTGCTCCTCCTCCTTGATTACCACTTGACTTATCCTGTCACATGAAAGTGTACTCACTATTTATTTATTTCTAACAATCATGTATGGCTAAAGCATTCAGCCTATTATATTAGAAAGTGTGTGAAATTCCAACGAAATGAGGATGACTTAGAAAAGGAATGAATGTATACAGCATGAATTAGTGTTTTAATTACCGGAGAGTAAACATTAAAAATAGGAAAGCATGGGAATTGAAGAGCTGTAAGTCAAACAAACAATTTTGATCTCTAACTTTGGTTTCTGGTTGCGGGGAAAACAGGGTTCACATAGAAGTGAAATAAAATGGCACCCAAGACATCAAATCCGCAACTTGAGATACAAATGCAGAGATTTCAACACCATCTTAGCCTTACCTCAGAGATTTTCAACCCAAGACATCAATTTCAGAGTTCTTATTCTATGAGAAGCAACATGTCTAAAATCTTGGCCTTACCTCATGATGCTTTATTCCAAAGAGTAAAGCCATCTTCTTTTGGAATGAGTTCCCAAGAGCCTGCAAACCATGAAATTCATACCACATAAGAACCAAACTAGTAAAACTAGCAAGTATTTCATTTTACAAGTCAGCTAAGAGTTACTAGCTCTAGGATTCTGCACTCTCGACTATTATTTCACATACTGATCGTTCAGATTTTATGGTTCTAGCTATATCTTAAGCCCTCTGAAGTAGCATCAAGCACACATGGGATTGAAACTAATGGATCATAAAAGAGGGGCCAGAAGCTGGAGTAGAACATACAGTGGCTTTTGTGGAATCCCATGAAAAGTATGTTGTAAAGAATGATGGCTCATTTCCTTCAGTAACTCTATACATTGGCACATTTAGTGACAAACCTTCGAGAGCTGCAGCCATCTCTATATATTGCTGCAAATAATACAGTACAGTAAGTCACTTGGACATCTACAGAGGAAATGCAAAGCAGTATAGATTGCTAGACAATAACCTGGGCAACATCAAAAGCACTTTGCTTTTCTTTGGGGTCTACAGATTGACCGACCCAAACAAAAACTTCTGCTCGCGTATCAAGCACTAATACATCCTCAGTCAACAGGTCATCTTGAGAAAAGTTAAACACTTCCTCAACCTGCTCATGAGATGCAAAAATCTTATTAAGTACCTGAATACATAAACTATCCACAGCACTCAAGGCTCAAGAACTCACCTGCAAATTTCCTGGGGGGGATCCAATAGCAGCAAATTAACCATAAGAGAGAGTTAGAATCTTATTCAATGCACTAGTATATTCAACTGTCAGATCCCTCAAAGTCATGGTATGAAGAAAAAAACTAGCAGATTTACTGTTAAATAAAGATGCAGATAATATCACCTTTATTAAGCGACACTGTGAACAGGTGAGGTTCTCTGACATTTTCTGGGGTCACCTTTTTGCTAGTGTAATTTTGTTTTCCTCCAAGAGCAGACCAGAAAATTGAGTTTTCAGTACCTTCTTTAGCATGTTTCAGTGTAGCCCCGGGCTGAATTAGTGGCACAAAAAACAGTCAGAAATATGGATGTGCAGCCGCAGGGTAACTTCCTAAGTGCATACAAAGTTTAGCTGAATTTCTGCAATAGTACAGCTACTACTAAAATCACAAATGAAATTGAAAAAACAACTCACTTTCAAAAATTCTGCGACTTTTGCAGCCAACTGCTGCTGTTCAAAAGCACTCTGATTTCCATGCCAAGTGAAAAGTGAAGAGCCGGATTGCAAGAGGAAACACTCTGTGGAATTCAAGGAGGTTGCCACCTGAAAAAGGATATTGTACGCTTACGTCAACTATTAATCAAAATTTATAACCATATTCAGGTTTTCATGGCTCTATATGAGAAATATGTTTAAATAATCCAGGGAAGGATGTACGGCATGTCCTCTCGGAAATAGGAATGCAAGATAAGGCACATGAATGAAGAGTCAGAGAAACCTTTCTTCCTGGCATACAGACTCCTTACTAGTTCATAAGAGTAAGACCAATCTCATCACCAGCTAATAGTTTTATAAGCTCAAATAGTCATCTAGTAGAAACATACCGCATCTACTTGCTCTGTCTTGTTGTTATGAGAAGAAGTTCCAGAGACCCGGAAGAGGGCAACAGAATCAGCCGTGTATGTGTCATCAGCCAATTCCTTTTCTTCTATGTATTTTTTGTAGCCTGAGCTCAAACCACCCTGGAAAAATAATAATAACAAACGAAATGAACAAGGGAAAAGCCCCAAAAGTTAATAGAAAAGTCCTTCAGGATCAACGAAAATAGTACTACTGGATTTATAGTACCTTGAGGATCACCATAGGCTGAAAAATGGCAATGAACTGTGGTGGCTCCTTGCCTTGAAATATGCGCCCCTGCAAGATTAATATATTACAATCTATCCACAAAGGGGCGTACCAAAAATTTTAATCCGCACACAATCTCATTTACCAAAACAGGTCTGCCTTTAAGAGAATTTGACATTGTATTAGCCAAACGAGTAGCCATCTGCTGATCTGCCTGAAGTATAGTTATGATTGTCAAAAAACATAACAAACAGAAATCAGTTAAACAACAGCATCAAATCAGGGACATGGTCTAGCACTTCAACATCACAAAAGCATTGAAAATTGTAGCTACTAAAGTATCAAGCTGGAAAAGAAAGGAATAATACTTCAAGATTAAATTGCAAATATGGTAACTAACCTCAATGCTATTCTTCCCAAACCAACAGCAAAGGTAATAGTCTTCTTTTCTTTCACCAGAGTGATAGGTGTAGAGAACAATGTAGCAATCTCCACCATAAAATTTACCAATATCCTCCTTAGACACAGGAGTCTTGGCATTGCCATTGATACACCATACCTGCACAAAGGGGCGATATATGAATAAGCTTTATTCAGGAAGATCCCTGATGCATAAAATTAACTTCCAAAAGCACACCAATGAGAGCAAGATAAATACTAGACCTCCAATTTTCCACCTCCTTCAAGCAGAGGAGGAACTTCCTCGTTCACAGGAGCACTTTTCCCCAAACCTTTGAGACCGACGCCTTGTTGCTTCAACAAAGCTGCCAGTATGTACAATACAAAACTAAGCATCACAGGCATAGATTAATGGAACTTCACCGCAGGTTTGAAGAAAATATCATTACCTGCTACTTTCCCCCTTCCCTCTTCGGCTCCCGGAGCTACAGACCCAGCAGGCCATGAACCAAAATTTGACTTGAAAGCATGTGTTTCATAACCTTGAATAACTCGGGTTATACGAGTAGATCTTGGCCTGTTTTCATTTGCAATAAAATCCTGCAAAAATATTTCTAGTATGAAACTATGCACATATATTTAATGCAAAAAATTGGAGAGGATGCCAGTTCCATTACCTCTGCCACCTTGCCCACTGTTTTTCTCTCTTCCACTTGTGTTGACCGGCCAACCCATATAAACACCTCAGCTCCACGATCCAAGAGATAGCATTTGTTATTTTCCAACATGCCTTTGGATAGTTCACCTTCAACAGCAGTCACACCGCCTTCATGAATGCTAAAACAGTAAGTGATACAAGTCAGCAACTTATTTCCATTTCCAACACATACTAGCATCAAGAATATGTCAAAGAGCCTAGTAAAACAGCAGTGTGTTCCTTTGAAGATAAGAAAAAGGATATAGATAGGAGTTCATAGTTCAAACTTGCTGACCAAGATTCATTACAGTAGGAGAATCAGTGGAAGCCAACAAAATCAGCTAATAGCAGATGGGGTAAAGATAATTTAGTATAAAACTAAGGCATACTGTGTCTAAATGAACATTCTGTAACTATTAACTTAAGCAAATTTAATTGCCCCAATTTTATAGGAAGTGCTTGCTTGTATGCATCAAAACAAGCATTGCTCATACACATACATTTCTTCCATATCCAACATGAACTCATATTACAGAACCAAGTAGAACTCAAGAAAGATTACCTATATAATTTAGCAGGAATCCTCTCTGCAACGATGTCATCATCACTGATAACCTTCTTCCCAATTGGAGCAAAACCACCGAAGAGGACCCAGAACTCTCCCGAATCTGATTCAGTATCCAGTTTACCATCATCTGCAGAGGGACGATCAACACACAGAAGTGAGCAATCTTAAGCATTATCAACATAAAATGGAAAACCTTGAAATTTTCATATGTGAGATAGTAATCAACTAGAAAGCAAAAAAGAAATTGGGAAATTGGTTCAAACAGCTGCTGCACTCACCAACAATTGCAACAGCACATGTTCCTTCATGATACTTGTCTTTCAAAAACTGCACAACTTCTAGAGCCTTGGCCCTTTCTTGGATATTGGAATTTGCCCCGTTGAACTGAAAGATCTTCTTCTCAGAGTCTAGAATGAACACATCATCATGATTCAGAGATGCCCTCGCAAATGGAACCTATAAAACATAGAAGCAAAGTTAGGCTTCCATGATCCACACGTTCAGTCAATATAACTGCATAGTTAATTCACAAATTTGACACAAGTAAATACTACCTGCTTCATTCGGACAACCCGTTTTCCTTTACAAACGTACAACCGGGTCTCAAACTCTTCTACCTCGGGCGTCTTAAAGCCAGATGCAACACCCCCTTCTAATGGTATAATACAGGGTTTGAAATAAGACAAAAATTTGTCAGATTCGTGTCCTTGAAGTTCTCTGTGCTGCACGGCACGCCCTCCTAGAGCTGCATCAAGTTCAACAGTTTTAATAGCTGCAGTTCCAGCTTCATCCTGCAATTAGTAGTTATGCAATGAGAAAACAGTACTAAACATTACAGGTCCATGATATAAAGCCCCTATGACAAGAGAGCAAGGGAAAAGCATCCCGAGAGCACCTGACTTGTGTCCTTTCCAATCCAGAAGTGAATGTCATACAAATAAGATCCTCCCTTGCTTTGTGTTGTCTACGATAAGCACAAAAGAAGGTGAGACAAAAAACCCTTAATGTCAAATTTGCTCAACATAGTAACAATAAGGTCGTTTTACTGAAAAAGCAATCTTATGCACGGTTTACTTAAGAGTATCATTTCATCAAGAATTTACTATTATAGGTACCATTCAACTTCCTTACCGACCAAACAATTAACAGAGAAATGAGGAAATATTAAGTTTTAGTGTACAGGTTAGGAAAATGAAACATAAATAAGACAGCATGTCACACCATTCGCCAATATGTTAGAGAGAGATAAAAAAAAAAGGATAATACCTGAAGGACAATGTAGCAATCCCCCATGTAGAATTTTCCATGATCTGACTTTGGCACTGCAACTGGTTGAAAATTCTCAATCCGCCATATCTCAATGCCACTAAGACAAGGTTAAGTATCACAATGTACGTAGAAAATTGAAGACAGTAATAAACTAACAAGCCTCAAACAAGTTCATCAATTCACATGATCTATAATCATGTGTAAAAAACAAGCACAGTTTGCAACATCAAATGATCCTTAAATTTGTCCCATCATGGAGGATACGGTCTCTGGCCCACTCCCTGGAATGCAGGGTCCACAACTTTTGCAGCGCTAGACATCACCTCTATCCTCTCTATAACTACTGCTCAAGCGATTCACAACCTGCGGCAAGAGTGAATAAAATGGTTAATTACACACTGCAATAGGCCCAATACTAAGTAGAGCAGATTCAATTCCATTGTTGTATTTAAGTTAATCAATTCATCAGGTTCAACATTTTGTTATACATTCTCCTTGTCACCCTAATTAGACAAATCTTCCATGAGCTGTATGCTGTCCACCAAGCTAGAAGCTTTTCCTGTTCCTCCCATATTCTAACGATCCATTAAATGGTTATTGCAACTTTCATTCATTTCCTTAGCTCTCCAAACTTACATTGCCAGACGTTCATCCAATTACATAAACTAAGTTCACTTGTCAGCAAGGAATCACTATTTTTCCTATCTAATTCCGATGCCCAGACCTTTCAACTCCAGTCGACAATGTGAAAGGAAAGAAAGGGTTTCAGGTACTAATTAATATTCATGCATTCGAAGGTCCAAGGCTGCAATGCCAGTTGCAGCAATCGATGAGGATCACTACGCTTCATTACCCTAGCTCAACCAATGTCATTAACATGACTCCATGCAATTTTTAATATATGAATGTATCAGCGACATAGCTCTTTAGAATGAGCAAGAACCAGAATATTACAAATATGAGGACCAGAAACTACCATCTAACAGCACCCTAATGCTACCTATTAAGGCCATGATGTCATCGGCTTCTTCAACGAATCATCACACTCAATCATGAGCAATGGTAATTGACAACCAATTGCAAACATGGAACTCAAAGACAAGCAGGAAATCAACACGTCAGGGAACCAAACAACTTGGAGCTACCAATTCACAACAAAAGCCCAGGAGAAAAGATAACATTTTTTAACTACCAAGCAGCAAAACGACAAAAAGAAACGAACTTTTTCATCAGATCAAGGCACAGATCACCCAATGAGCAATGCCCGGAGATAATCTCGAATACCCAGATCACGAAATAACAAGCAGGAGGACAGAGATCTGACGGGAATTACAAATCCACACAGCTTGAAAACCTTGAGCGATCACGGAAAGAGGGAGAAACCAAACATACCCAGAAACAACGAATTGATGATTAACACGATGATGAGGCGCTGTTCGGGAGAGCTGCGAAAGGGAAGAACAAAAAAAGGCTGAAGAGGAAATATTCGGGGTAAAAGGAAGGGATATGCGGAGTGCGTATGTGTATGGGAATTGGGAAAGAGAGGACGAAGTGGCAGAGCTGGCAATAAAGGAGAAAAGGGGAAGATGATGTACTGTGAAAGACGGGAGGAAAAGAAAAGGGGTATGGATGAATTATTGCTTTCTGGGATGGGATGAGAGTTTATCTAAGGAGGAAATTGGGTTGAAGGAATTGGATTGTGGAGAGAGATTGAAGAAAAGGCACTGACTGGAAGCAGGAAGAAGATGATTACAATTTTACCAAGTGGAGAAAAGGAGGAATGGCAAAAAGAAAAGTGGTAGAAAATGGAGGAGCTATTTAAGGCTACAAAAGATCCGGTGACGATGCCACCGGCCATGTTTCGCTTTTGTCGTTCGTTTCCTCTCTCTCTCTCTATCTCTCATCCTTCCTCTGTTCCTAATTTTTCCACTTACAATTTCAAGTTCCAAACTTCCATGGTCTTTACTCTTTAGGTTAAATGCAGTAGTTTTGGTCGCCACCAAAATTTGAACCGATCTCACTTTATAGCAATTAAACCACCCAACTTTTGCTATTTAATTTTGTGTACCAAATTAAAATTAGTTAACGGTTGGACCTTGCCCTGTTGATCTGAGCTTTTTGATCCATCTCGTCTATTCCTATGGTATGCATGAGTTTGTGAATTCATCACACGACTTAATTTCCATCTTTCAAAAGAATAATATGAGCATCAGCTTTGAGCATGATATTGTTGTTGTCTCGTCTTCTTCCTCTAACTAAACCACTCCTGTTACTCCTTTTGCTTGGCCTCCGCCTCCCTTGTTATGGGAAAAAAATGAGCATTTTCATTTTAAACTTGTCTTATTGAATAATTTTTTATATCTTATTGTAATTATTTACCTCTCTCAAAATCACAAAGTAGGGAGATTTAGATTCTGTTAGTTTTTTTTTACGATTATTGATTCATTAGTTATGTCATATATGTTCGCTTTTTTTCATTCTCCTATATTGTATCCTCGTTTCGAATATAATAACTAGTCGATCGAATCTGACCACCGACTTGACAAGAATCAAATATAGGCATTGACCACCAAACTAAACCACTCTCCAAAGAACTATTGGCGAGGTGGCATGATTGCTGCCCCCAAGATCTTGTTTCGTATAAACTTAATCAATCCAGAATTGCCTCATCAACAACCATGAAACGTCACAAGAAAATATTATAAGCGGTCATGTCATTAATTAAATCATTGATTCCACACCACCAGTTTGACTAACGGCGGTTCCACCACGTCAAAGCAAAGCTAGGACGGCCGCCGATGGTCGGTTTGTCGGACTTTCCCACAATTCAGTAGTTTAGTCGCCAAGACAACAAAATTCAACCACTGATTTGGTCCGGATTATTACAATATTTACTATATATCATAGTTATGTAGAAATAACATGTTTAATTCATTCCATCACTAGACCAGCTTCTTCTTGTAGCTACGATTCGTTCCAGACACTCTCGATTCAACAAATTACTCTGTCATGATGGAAGAAAAACAGAGTATATTGATTCATCAAAATCATCCACGTTATCGCACTCTATAAGTATATCGATTGCTCCAAACCTAAACACGGAACGTATACTCACGTTTAGCAAAACGCAGTATACTAACTTGAGCGTCAGAACATATATTTTCGCGTCATATCACTTGACCAACTTCTTGTGGCTACGAAGACCGAAAACCCGAACATCATCCAAAACAGGGCCACAGAGGTGCCCAAAATCCTTCAACTTGGTATGATAATAGTTGCTAAAGAACGTGATCCTCGTCCGGTTCGACACCGCCGGGAAAACGAGGCTGGCCGTCGTGAACCGGCCCTTGCCGGCGGACTCGAACGGGACCTGGAGGGTTTTGTTCGAAGCGAAGGCCTGGACCATCATGGAGCCGTGGCAGTCGTTCTTGCCGTCGCCGACGGTGAAGGACAGGTTGTAGGATTTCCCGGCGACGGTTCGGATGACCTGTGCGATGGCGCTTTCTCTGCCGGCGACGAGCTCGACGGCGGCGCGGCCCGAGGGGACGGCGAAGTGGCGGGAGTCGACGTATTTGACCGGTTTGAGGGATTCGACGATCCAGCCGGGGAGCGGGGAGGTTCTGTCGGCGGGTTGTTTCGGCGGGAGGAGGACGCCGGTGGAGTAGTTGGTGAAGACGTGGGGGCCGATCTCGAATCCGCCGTTCTTTACCAAGTTGCCTGTAAAAGAAACGTTTCCAAAATATGCCTCACTTCTCAGGAAATTTTTCACTAAATACAAAGGTATTATAATAAATTCCTACTACATATCATAGTTATGTAGAAATTTCCCAAAATACTACAAATTTTGGCGTGGTTTACTCCAGTGTCAAAGTGAATCAGGTAGTTGATTCGCTAGAGATATGAGCGCGATCTACACCGAAGCTACTCATATCGAGTCAAACCGAAGTGAATTAACCACTCTTGAACCAACCGAGATCACGCCAAGCCAAAAGCAAACCAGCAGCTCGAAACACATGTATCGCGCAGAGCAAATACAAGCTAACCAGCTGCCTCGAATCGCTCGGATCGTACGGAATCGAGCGAACCAACAATACAAATATATATCACTAACCGAGAACGAAGCTTCGCATTACCGTAATTTTGGGCTCGCGGTTATCTTATCCTAAAGTTACGGGTTGTACAAATTTTCGACTTAAATTAGGTGTAGATCATGGGAGGGGGTCATTAACACTCTGATGTAGTTCTCTTGAGTTTGCCACGACCCATGTTGATTTGAGGTTGGTTTGTTTAGGTGTGTGTGTCGCGATCCATGTTGATTCGAGGGCCTAGCACACTATCCAGAAGTGGATCGATGTTTTTTTTTTTCGAACGGCCACTACCTAATTAATTAGCTTGACTGCTCGAACCAACAACACCATACTCTAAATCTTTAGGGGAACTTTTTTGTTTAAGTATATATGGTATCAAGCATGTAGCCAAATTCGTTAAACTTCTAGTTAAAAAAGAAATTTACCTTTGGTGAATGTAAGCCGCGGGATCTGCTTAATGGCAACGGCATCGAGCAAAGGCCCACAAGCAGCATCCTCTTGAGCTCCCGGGTTATGAAAACTAATCCTCACTACGTCCCCGGCCTTGTTGTAATAAGGCACGGTGAAAGCCAGAGCATAAGTGTCGGCGCCGTCGGTGCTGTACAGAGTCTGGAGCGGCAGATCCGCCGCCACGTAGGCAGCTCCAGCTATGCCGCTCTTACCACCAGCGGCGGCGGGAACCACCGTGACGCGGAGCACCTCATCCTGCGCGCACGACTTGGTGGACCCGAACGTCAGGCTGTAGACACCGCCGGCGGCGAGGTTCATGGTCTGCGAGATGGTGGCTCTGTTTCCGAGGCGGACGGCGTGGACGCCACGGGGGATGGCGAAGTAGAACCCGCCGGGCTGCGGCCCGCCGGAGACGTACTGGACCGGGCCGTCGATTTCCCAACCGGGGAGGGAGTGCCGGCCGATGATGGTTCTTTTGACGAGCTTGGACGCCGGCGGGGACTGCTCGAAGTTCCCGTTGGGAAGCAGGGCTGCAGTTTTTTTTTTTTTTTGTTAGAGAAAAAATTTGTTAGAAAGTGCTTGGGCTCTCAATAGTCAATAGTCATACCGTCGAGAGAACATAAATTTTGTTAGAAAGTTGATGAGAGTACTTACCGTCGAGGAGTCGAGGAGGGGAAGCGGCTGAAGCGATGGAGGCGAAGAAGAGTAGGGTGAGGAAGCAGAGAGAAGGGAACCAGCTGGAAGCCATTTTTTTTGTTTTGTTTGTGGAGCTGGTTTCTTTGTAGAGCTTGGAGGGTTTGAGACGTGCAGAATGCCAATGGCGAGACCGAGAATGGTGTATTTATATGTGAGGGAAGAAAGATGCTGGAGAAGAAGAAGAGGAGCAGCTTCCTCACTTCATCCCAATGCATTAGTAAGCAGCCATCAAATTAAGGCGCCAAGTACGGAAGTCCCATGTGGGTTAGCAGATTTTGTCTTCGTGTCTCACTTGCTTTGGAGAGCTCAAATCTTTAAGAAAGAATTTAGGAGGTCAAATTTCTACTAACAGGTTCGAAAATTAGACGGTCATCTCAATCGCTTTTCGCAATGATGGATGAGATGCCCACCAAATCACGACTAGCATGCTTGCACGATTCTTCCAGTTCCCGCACGATTATGATGTTTCATGTAAGAAAATCTAACATCTTTTGGTTTACATTCTGTTTCTCATTTTGTTCCGAATATTCACTACCGTCGTAGTTATTTTCAGATTTTGTCCCCTCATTCGTATTAGTGCTTTAAGGTAGTATATAGGGTGATTCTATAATTAGTATTAATTTGATTCAAATTCGAACCTATAGTTTCCATGGACTGGTTTCCTCGTCCCACTAGTTTTTTTCCACGAGGTTCCCGCATTCCCGTGCGTAATTTGCTCTGCTCCGTTTTTCCTTTCCGACATTTTGGAAGATGGGCATTTTAATTTAATTATTACATATATTTTTTGGTCGAACTCATTATAAAACGAACCATTTTACTTTAAAGTCAACCCTCCAAATAGCTCTCTTACGTGCAAATTTATTCCGGTGCAGAAATTGCTCCCCCAATGGATAACACTGTTGGTAATCCGTGGGCACTTAATTGCTCGCTCGTGTTTGCCTCTTGTCGCCATGGATTATGGAACATGCTACCAGGTAACAAGGAAGGAACCTTCCATCTCTAGACAGCAGCACAAGTGCAGCAGCTACGCAAGGTATCAAACAGCTAATAGAGTAGTGATACTACTACCACCGAGGTTTCCACCGGAAATAGGAACCGGTTTAACGACGACAAATGTTTGTAGCAAAGACGGGGTAGAGCATCGAAACAAGAAAGGGCAGGTAAGTGGGGTGATCAGGGGTTCCCCAACAGTTTGGAAACGGACCACTAGCTGACGCTGTTGATGATTACGAACTGTCGGAGTCATGGTCGGAGTCTATGTCCATCGGCTGTGGGTTCTTGTATCCACTCAATGCATCTTGGTAGCGTTTCTTGTCTGCTTGAGCCATCTCATCGTATGGTTGTTTCTCCTCGGCTGCACAGAGGACGAAGGTGAATTGGATAAACAAAACCAGAATGTATTATCTTCCAACTCCGACGAACCAAACCAGTAAAAAAGGAAAGGGAAGGTCTGAAAGGAAAGAACACAAACCTGACATAGCCCTCCACCTATCGCCAAGCACTTTGCCAACTTCCCCAAACGCAATCCCAGGGTTGCTTTTCCTCACGTTCTGTTTTAGCCAGACATCAATTTAACAGAATCAAGGATACAGCACCTTTAAACAAAGAAATGTAAACGCCTTTTAATGAAACCTACCTCTCTTTCGTTTTGGGAGAAGAACATGTAACCAGACAGAGCCTTCTTTGGTGCATTGGGATCCTTCTTCTTCTTCTGTTTCTTCTTCTTTGAGCCGTCTTCCTCGCCTTCTCTGACTTTCTTTCCCTTCGACATGGCCTTGGAAGAAGAAGCTTCCTTTGCAGACTCCTTTTTAATAGGCTTCTGCATTTGAGCAAACCCCGTTTCCCAAAGGTTAGATCCATCCGTATTTTCCACACTACCATTGACAATCAATACCGAAGTGATAAGAACTCAAGAAGGCTTCACCTCTTTCTCGTTTCCGCTGTTGCTGCCATCTGAATCATCTCCTGAATCATCTGTAGGTGAGCCTCCGTCATCTTTATCAGCAACAAAGTCCGAATCCTGGAAGTTCGTCATCAGACATACATTAGCATTCCCAAACATAACATAGATCTTCATACTTGATAGTTGAAAGCAGGTAACTAACTTCAGATTATGTGTGGTGAATGTCTCAATGCTGATATTAATCCCTAAACTCGTCTGTACAACAGTACACTCTCGACCCCAGAGAGGTCACACTGTCTTTAAGTAGTTAAATTTAACTAAGGAGAGATGTAAAACACCTGAAAATTTGCTCTAGATGTCATGCATGCACATGAAATGGAATGTGAATGTTTTGAAATACCAACTACGGCAGAATCTTATTATGAGTGCCATTTTCAATAATAACTTCAATGATTAGCGAGCAATGAAACACTACGAAAGTTCTGAAATATCAACTAGTGCACATGAATTAGGATTCCCCAATCTTTCATATCTTTTATCAATAAACATATGGGGGATCCGGCCCTGGATCAATGTAATGGAGGTCTTAGAAAAATAGTATACCTCCTCATCACTATCTTCTCCGCCAGCTTCATTTTTAATGCGCTCGAGATGAGGATCAACAGCATCGTCATCATCGTCATTCTGTAAGACAGCTGCCACCCCATTTGCAGCTTTCATATCTCCAAAGTTCATTATCTTCAAACCCTTCCCACTAAGAACAAGGTAAAGCCAAACAATGTGAATGTGATACACAGAAACCAGAATTACTACTCTGTACACGAAAAATACAAGTCCACCAACCTGATGAAGCTATAAAGATTATGGTACTCATTCCGCTGGATGTTCCGGAATAGATGTTCTTGCTCGGTCCTTAATCTAATTAGGAGATCAAAGTAGTGCATATTTGAGCCCCCAGCAGCATGCCTCTCAAATTCCACATAGTCAATCTTATAAAAAGGAATGAGAAAAGACATGTCATATAGAGCACAAACTCAAACCATTACAGCTACGAGAACACAACATCAGAAACTAAAACATTAAGATAAGAGTGTTACAGCTGATTCTACTTATGAATTCCATACATGTGACAGATGGGAAAAAACGTAATAGCATAAGCTTAATAAACACTCACCTCCTCGTGAAGAATCAGGGTCGGAGGCCTAGGTAGGAAGAAGAAGCTCTTTTCAAGAGGATAAAGGAGCCCATCTTCAGCCTTCAAGGATGACTTCACAGCATACCCATCTTGACAGCTGCGGAATTTCCCTGGTTTTGTTACTTTGGCACCAGATAAACCTCGTAGAATCGCTGTGAATACTTCATGAACAAGTCCCTGTTGCCAAAAGAAATTCATCATGTGGTTGTACAGTTGGATGAAAGATTATGAAGGGTGAAGTTCGTGAAAAATCTCACAAATCCTTGCAGTAGATCCAGTAAACAAAACATCAAGGTTGTACCTTATATGATGCCTCTACTTTGCCCTTGTACTTCCCATTCAAAAGCTCATCGCTAATTGACAATGTTTGTTGCACAACTAGTTCTGTATCGTACTACGCAAACAAAAACAAGTTGAAAGATGAAAATAAATAATAATAAATCACAAGAATAGAACTGAAACTTTCAACAGTATGAAAAAGAGCAAAAAAATAATAATAATAATAATAGAGAAGGGATATATCATCAACAGAAAGATTCAGGCATGTTACCTGAAAGACAATATGTGGATATAGAGTTTGTCCTTTTCGGATGGGCGGATCAAGAGTCACAATGACAAAAGTATGTGGCTGGTGAGACTGAAAAAAGGACAAAACAATAACATTCAGGGCAGGTTGCTTAGGAGTTGGTCCAAATTACTCTGGCACCGATGAGAAATCAATACAATGAAGCCAGAAACAAATAACTGAAAAATATTACCTTTGGAAGTAAAAAGAGGCGAACTACGCTGCTGTATTGAATTTTGAAATCGTTGGCCTGCCCTTGGAGACGTAAGAATGATAGGTGAAGTTCCACATTGTAGCGACCCCTACCAAAAAAAAAGACATTTCAGGAACAACTTTATTTATGAGGGTGATAATAACATGCATTAACACTAACCGAACCACAAATAGCCTTACATGGAAACATAGGAGGAAAATGGGGAAATTCACTAGCAGTGAATTGCAAGAAACAAGGGCAGAAAAAGAAAACAAGGAACAAAGAAAGAAGAAAAGGAAACAGAGGAATGCCGTTATTTCAGGGCCAACTTAAGCCACCTATGTCTACGTATTTCAAATATTTGCAAGAATCAAGCTTTGGATAAAATGGAACTAGTTAAAACATGCAAGCTTATTTCTGAATCCAAAACTAACATACCTTGGCGTTAGAACAGTAATATTCTCAAACAGAGAGACAGCCTCTTCAGCCCCAGCACCAACATCCGCCATCGACATAATCTTTTCACGGAAGACCTGACAATACAATGGACACGAAATGAATACTAAGCTTCATTAATACATTATAAGGACCAAGTGGGAAACATCTTGCAGGGGTGTTAGTTGTAAAGGAAAATTTAATGAGCAGGTAAGGGATTCAGTTGGTGAGGCTTTAAAAAGAGGCATGGATCTGGAAATTCTGGAATATTATGTCCTCATTCTCCATCAAGAGCCAAACTGATAAAAGACTCACCTGAGCAGCAGGACGGTTCTCATCACCAACAAATTGAGTGTTGTTGGTGGGAATGTGAAAACTCATTTCCATCAGTGAGTCTTTCTGCAACCATAATGCAAATAGTATACCAATAAGCAAATCACATGCAGGATAATTGAATTAACCAACTTAGCAACGGTTAAACAAGTGTCAAATGGAATATTATGGCAAAAGTTAGATGTACATGCTGCCCCTGTTCAACATCGATAATCAATAAATTCCACACGTATGTATATACTAAGGTTTAATTGACATTCAAGAGTCTGATAGCGAAGATTATAGTTCAAAAAGAACAATACATAGACCACATAATCATATTACCATTCTTCCAAAGATAATTGACAGAGAAGTTGTAAAACAGAAGAGATGGTATCACTCAAACAGACCTCATTAGCTCCTGTTGTATCATCCACATGAAACTCCAAGATGACATCGTTTTTGCCTTGCATTTGAGTTTGTGAAACGTCTGCTAAGGATACCTCAAATGCTTGCTTTGAACCAACCATAAAAGATAGCATATTACCTACAAAAACACATTGAAAACATATTACAGAAATGAAAACCATATAAAGGATTTCACAATCTGCAGGAGAAGCTATCAATAGATGTAAACAATTATATTACATTATATTGTGAGGGAATAAAGACAACATCAGAACAAAACAAGTAGAGAAATGGCCGAGAAAGATAGTATACCACTTAAGTCAACCTCCCCCCAGTTGCGTCCACTGACAGACAGTTGTTTCTCTTCTGGAGTTTTTCCAAAATTGCTTTGGAAAAAATTGCTCAGGCTACTAACATCCTGAGAGAGCAACACATAAGCTTCAACAAAATGAGGACTTAGAATTGGTACAAGCAACAATAACACAAACTCAGGACTATCAATATGGTGTCCATAAAGTTCTACTCCATTCACTAAGCATATCTTACGTTACCTTTTTTTCCCTTAAGAATAGGCATGTGTTAAATAATTACAAAAACAACAATTAACATCAGAGGGAGAAAAAACAGACCTGGTCACGGAAGCCAGTAAACTTGTAGTATAATCCATCTTTGATACGGACACCAAGTTGATTGCTTCTTGGTACCTTTGTCCAAGACAATCCAGAAACATCAGATTTGTCGACTTCGACAACTTTACCACCTCCCTGTTTCTTCCACTGTATACCAGCCGAGGTTATCTTGATCTGCCCAGGGTTCTGGATTTCATGGAACAAAACAAAATTGGATTCATCACTGATTTGTTTCCTCTACTCAATATTGTTCCCAGGAGATCCATACTAAGACACTTCCACAAATACTAAAGAATAGAAAAGAAGTTCTCATCTTAATAACTAGATATTTCTGAAGCTAATAACGTTTGAGGCTTTCAGACCGTGGTTTTCACATATTGAAAGGCCGGGACACAAAAATTCCCCCGATTCAGATTTTTTAAGTTCCATACTATAAAATGCCTCACATGTAGAAATCTAGGTGAAAGCAGCATCCAGAAATAACCATCACTAATCCAATGAAGCAAGCTTGAATTTATGGCAGGAATCAGATGATGAAAGCAGCAGATACATGAACATAAACATGCTTAGAGAGAAAGTAGGGAAGCTCACTATTCCAAAGAACGATTATTTTGGACAGTAAGTCATTCAAATCCAAGAAGCAATTCCCTAGTTTCCCCTAGAGAGTTGCAAGAAGATATCTAAGGAGTCAATTGATTCAGTTCCCTAATTATACCATAATCAACATATTTTGATTAGGAGCTATTAGCAAGACATAAACAATTCAAAAGATCAACGATATTGGCAAATAAGAACCCACAGCTACGAGAAACCCTAACATAAAAGAACCTCAGTTCCTTAACTCGGTCCCCATCAGGGAAACTCACATGAAAACACATGATCGGAATTTGGAGAAGCCTATGTCTAAGACAACAAGGTTTCGAAATCCAAATTGCTGCATCCAGAAAGCAGTAAAGCACAAAATATGCCAACCGCTCCCTCCATTTCTAGTCCAAGCACAGAGATATGCAGGCTATAACGATACCAGTTAGGGTTTCAAACCACGCATCATAGCCATGCTCGAGGCAGATAGAACACGCAAAAACAACAAGAAATCATCTACTTCAACTAATCGAGTTTTCTAGGGATAGAACGTGAGAGATAGCTTACGGTGCCGCCGCGGCCGCCGAGGGAGATGTTGTTGAAGAAATGACCGTCCGACATTTTCAACAGCCGATGAAGTGAGAAATGATACTGTGAAGTCTAAAGAGAGCCGATGCTTTGTATATATAGTTAGAAGAAGGCGCCGGAGAGAAGAGTAACTACGGCCTACTAGGGATCCAATCAACGGCCGAACGACCGACTTCAACCGTCCTGCACCAACACCGACGATTGACACAGAGAGTAGCTCAGCTTTCTCCCCGAATGCAAGCCTCTACTCCTGGTCTTGCAGCGAAACCCTACGTCTTTCTATCTTGGCTTTCCCCCCGCAATTTCTACTCCATTTCTGCAATAATCCGCCTCGTCTGTCCTCTTCGTCACTCTAGGTTTTTTTCTTTTTCAGCTGCTCGATTTTTTCAGGGTTTTCCCGCCGATTGGACGCTGCTGGCTTTGCCTACTTCGCGCCTCAGCAACCGACCCAGTGGAGTATAATATGCTACTCTCTCGACCAGTTGATCTATTACTGGGCCTATTTTGAGGCCCAGAACTAGGACTGCCCCCGGAATAATAACGCATGCGCTCGTGATATATACCACTAGCGAGCTCCCCAAGCCCAACTGCCTCCCACAGCCCGAATCAGAAATGACCAAGCCAAAATAATGAAATAAATAAATTGAGAATACATTTCATTTGAAAGTTAATTTTTATGTATAATTCATTATAAATTAAATTCTGTGTTTGTAAAGTCAAACTGGAATGTTTACATATGAATTTTTATCAAATTATATTTAGACGCATTCAAAAATGAATTATATTATTTTATACAAATATGCTTAATTCTCGAGATAAACACCATTGTCATTAGTTCATTACTTATTAAATAGGAAAACTTATTGAATTAATAGCTGCTCAAATTTGATAGGAGGGAATGCAAGGGTAATTAAGAAATAGTCGATGTGTTGTTCAAGTAACCAAATAAACTCAGAATCGATAATAGGTTTTTTGAAGATTAGCAACTGAAAGCATGGCTCTTTCAAATGCTCTCTCAATTAAAACAGGTTGCAGCCCTGCGACAACTAACTCAAGATGAGCTGCTAAATTTCTTCAACGACTACATAAAAGTCGACGCGCCACAAAATAGGACACTCAGCATTCGAGTATACGGGAACCACCATTCGTCGAAATTGGCAGCAGATAGAAGCGAGCAACTTCCTACAAACTGCGTCTGAGATCGGTGACATCTATACGTTCAGAAGATCATAGCCTCTTTATGGTTCATTCCAAGGAGGCGTTGGCCACATGAAGCTGTAGTGGATGATGAGCTACTAGTCTATCACCAGCTAGCAGTTCTCTCTTACTCGGTGATCTTAACTCAGCATGGCAGGACTCGGTTGGGCCACTAAGCCCTTCTCGTCCGTAGGCCAAGCCCGCTACTATGCTTCACCCCTCCTTCGGCAACACCACGTCCCTTCTCGTGGTGCACTTTGCGTTAGGCCCATGAATTGCAATCAAAATACCGAAAATATCGAATTTTACTATTGTGCTCATACGAAATCAATCTCGTTTTTGTTTGAATTACATGTTAACGCTCAACGTCAATCGATGGTTGTGGTTGTGGAGAGTCCACGACAAACACGAGACAATGTGAGCATCATAGAGATTCATAGTGGCAGGGGCGGAGCTACAGCATGTCTCGAGGGGGGGGGGGGGGGCAGCCCCCCGAGAATCTCGAAAGTCACGTATAAATAAGTCGGGATCGTGTGTACAAACTATAATTTATATATAAATTACAAACCGTGGAAACTTAAGACATAAAGTTTCTTGTAGCCCAGCGGAAGATGAACTAATTATAACCCAAAGGTCTCGGGTTTGATTCCAAAGGGAAGCAGTTTATAGCTTTCCCCTAGGTTAATTACTTTTATGGTAGTTTGCCTAAACTACAACTTCTCCTTCCTTTTCTTTTATAGTAAGCGGGCATTAGATACTTTTTTTTTTTTGACAAAAGATAATCTTATAAATGATCAAAACATAGTTACACCCTGGAGTTCAGCCAGGTCTGATAATCAAAATAACGGCTGCTAGCCGGGTACAAACTCAGGGCCTTTCTAGCCACCAAATGGGCTACCCTATTGACACGCCGACCAATAAACCGAACACTAAAACCTGGAGTCATATCAAAATACTGAAGCACCTCTTCCAGCACAGTGCCGACCCTACCATCCCTATCCTCCGCCCGCCTGATCTTATCAATAACCACCTTGGCGTCCCCTTCAAATTGTACACAGGAGAGGCCCTGCCCTAGACACCAACGGACTGCTTCCCGCAATGCTAGCAATTCCACCACCAGAGGGTCATCAATGACTGAGAATTGGAACCCATTGGCCATCTGGATCTCTCGATTAGGGCCCATAAGCACCACACCCCCTGCTGAGTGCGATCCTCTTCTGGTAGCCCCATCCCACCCACAAATCAACCCCGGTACCCCTTCCTGAGTTGGAAAGTCGGTTTCTGTTACTACAGGGGCCATACCAGACGTATCCACCGGGAGGCGCACCCATTCCTCATACTGTTGTAAGAACTGACGCATCAGTGCCGCCACACTATACTGCTTGCCTTCAAACACCACCCAATTACGGGATCGCCAGATTCGCCAGAGGATGGCCACTACAGCCAGAAACAGCGTAGGCTGGTGAATGAGTGCCAACACCTTTTTCAGGAATAGCGGAAAAGAGCTCCGGGGTAACCCCTCGCCAATATGTTCTAGGTCCGCTGCTCCCCAGAGTTCACGGGCCACACGGCAATCCAGGAACAAATGCTCAAGGGACTCCGTCCCCTCCCAGCACACCGGGCAGCGAGGGTGAACCAGAATCCTTCTCTCCAACAATGCTTCAGTAGTCGGGAGGATTCAATTGAAAATTTGCCAGACAAACACTTTCAACTTCGGTGGAATGTTGGCCTCCCAAAGGCGGATCCAACTAGCCCTATCCATCAAGTCTGCCCTAGCTTTCCACCGCCCCCTTCTTCTGTCCAGGGTGACCGCCAAATGGTATGCAGATTTAACCGTAAAGACCCCATCCATCGTGTCATGCCAGATAAGCCTATCCTCCACATTCGCCCGTGGGAGAGGAATAGCCTTAATATTTCGACAGGTCGGCGGATCAAACCATTGACTAAGTTTAACATCACACCAGCGACCCTCCCCTTGACAAATCAGCTCCGAAACCAGGGGTTCCCCTCCTTCTGGCAAGACCCGGGGATTATACCGGAGGGGCTCAAATTGGTTCTGGGGTACCCAAGTAGAGTACAACATGGACACCGCACGACCATTCCCTATCTGCCACCGTAGCCCCATCTCTAGCAGACTTCGCCCATGCAAAATACTCTGCCAGCCCCAAGAGGGTCGAGAGCGAGCATTTGCATTGAGGAAATGCCCATGGGGAAAATACTTCCCTTTGTATACTTGGGCAAGCAAGGATTGGGGCTCATTAAGGATGCGCCACCCAATCTTAGCCAGGAGGGCTTGATTAAAATGCTCAAACCGTCTGAACCCCATCCCCCCCTCGTGCTTACTCCGACACATGTCCCGCCAGGAGATCCATCGCATTCTGGTATGATCGTTACTATCCCCCCACCAGAACCGCTTTTGCTTCTTGAAATACATTAATTTTTCTTATTCTAATTTATAGTAAATATAATGTGAAAAATATTTTATATGGTTATAATAAAACAAAATTAGTATAAAAATAGATTTTTAAACCTAAATATTTTAATTATTAGTATTTTTTTTAGTCTTTTACAGTAATGTATTATGAAATCCGGCCCCCGAAGCACTAAATGCTAGCTCCGCCCTTGATAGTGGGGCCGGAAAATATCTAAGCAAGTAAGCAACTAAGCACATGCTATGGCAATCAAATCGGGCCGTGAAAGTGACCACTCCTCAAAAGGACAGACAAAATCCAAAGTGAGCTTATTTGCAACCTTTTTCGGCCATTGAACGGGCTAGATGGACCCAAAAATCAAGTGGCCCAAGTTCCATTCTGTTACGGCGCACCTCCACCACAGAAAGGGAAAGGCCAACATTGCAAGAAAAATCTCTAACGAAAGGCGCCGTCTCGGATTAGGTTTAAGTTCTGAAGCCAGCCTGTGATTTCATGGAGATTGAAACAACAAACAGACCGAATTAGGAACCAAACACACAGGAAAGGAGCTGTAGAGCACAGCAGGCCTGCCGAAGGAGCTCTGGTAATGAAATGCGATTCGTTATATGGAAAACGTTTCGTTTCTCTTTTATGAGACTCACTTATCCAAGAGGTTATACCGGAAAAAATTAGTAATATGATATTTTGTACTAAAATTGTCAACCATTTGTTAAATCCCCTAACGTTTAAGATTCATTACACGGCATTTCTAGTCCAACCGAGTATAAGTAAGGTTTCTAAAACATCGACAAGAACGTGCTTATAGCGCTCCCCGCACATATAAGATGGCGTACTTGTCAATTGTGGTGCTCATAAGGGCATCGGGCGGACACTAAAATGCAATCTCTGCGGCCATCTAACAACAGTGAACGACCGAACACATAGCGATGTCAGAGACACCTTGTGTGAGCACTAAAATCCATGAGTCGAACTCGAATATAGAGCTTGCGAGCTCATTAATGATCCGAGCTCATTAATGATCCAAGCTCGAGTCGAGTTGGACCGAAATTGAAAAATATCTAAGCAACTAAACACATGCTATAGCAATCAAATCGGACCGTGAAAGTGACCAGTCCTCAAAAGGACAAATAATATGATCCAAGTGGCTTATCTGCAACCGTTTGTGGTCGGTTCAGAACATTGAACGGACTAGATCGACCCAAAAATCAAGTGGGCCCAATTTCCCTTCTGTTTCGGCGCAACTACACCACACAAAGGGAAAAAGGCCAAACATTGCAAAGAAAATCTCTAACGACAGGCTCGGATTAGGTTTAGGTTCGGTAGCCAGCCTGTGACTTCCTGGAGATTGGAAACAACACGCAGAACGAATTTGGCACCAAACACGGCAAAAGAGAAAGGCAAAATCCCAAACCAATCAAGAACAGAGCAAAAAAACGATGTGATCGAAGAACTGAATAGAAATAATAATGAATCAATCGTGAAGAATAATAATAAACTCTTTTCATCCATTCAATTGGCCAATGGTAATAATAATCAAAAACAACTTTTGCTCCCGAAGTGCATCGATTTCTCCCTCTTTTCTCCTTCCATCCTCTAAAAAACTAGATCTGGCCTTTGCCAACGCCGCCGTCGTCAGAAGACGGAATGCAGAAACAGCTGGTCGGCGGAATCGACTCCCATGGAAGCCTTGAGACTGAATCCGCCACCAGATTTCACACCCGAATCGCTGCCGCTCCGCGCCGCCGTAGCCTGACTGCTCCCGCCGGCGAGATCTTGGTGGAACTGGTCGGCGGAGTTGGAAGGAGGGTGGTAGTACAGCCGAGCGGTCTGCGGGCAGTGGGAGTAGATCCTCCCGACGATTCTGGCGACGTCCAGCAGCTCGACGAACTTCCCCATCGCCGCCGAGAAAACTGCTCCCCGCGGGAGATGGAATTGAAACTGCAGAGAGAGAGAAAGAAGGTTCTAGAGAGAGAATTCCTCTCTCTCTAGATTTTGGGTTTGTGGTTGCGTGTAATGTGGGAGAGGAATTAGGGAATTGCGCGGCGGTGAGGTGTGTGTGGAAGGGGAGAAAGAAAGGGTTTTTTGTGTATTTATATTAGGTGGAAGGCGTTGTCTGTGATTTTCTTGGGCCGCCCATTTGATTTTGTTTGACTTGACTCTTTCCTTCTTCTTTTTTTTTTTAATAATTTTCCTTTTCCTCCAGTGAAATTGGGGTCGTTTTGAGGCGCGTATGAATGAAATTTCCTTGCCGTTTCGCGCTGTTTGATTTCTAATTTGCCCTTTTCGGTTCATTTTTTAAATATTATTCGGAATTTTTTGCAGTTTGTCCCGCGGACCCTACTTTTATTCCTGTCTTGCGGATATGGGTCTTGGGCTCCTGGCCCGTGCGCCGGAGAGCCGGCCTTTATTAATTCGATCCAATAATGGAGTTTCTCCCATTCCCATGATTCAAATATTTCAAATTCGGACTTGGCCCAAAAAGCCTGTCCGGCCCATTTACTAAGCCTGTACCTGATAACTGCTGCTTGCACTTTGTTCTGTGCATCTGCAAAAATTGTTCCAACTTTACACTATCGAGTTCAAGTCGGAAAAAATACAGAAATAAACTTGGTCGCGAGATACAGAAATGTCAAATGTCTGCCCAAAAATGATATTGCCTATTTAACCGACAATAAAACTGAATTTGCATAATACCTCAATTTTGGAGGGGAAAAAATCAGCTCTGTTTATTTGGATATGCTTTATTAATACTTTTGTAAAAATTATTGATTCCAAAATGTGAAAAATGTCAAGAAATAATGGATCCTAATAACTCGTGTTGTTGAGAAAGGTTCAATTCTGGGTCACATACCGTTTACTAACACCCTCTTCAAACTCAAGCCATTCAGATAGGCTTGGAGTTTGGACAAGCACAAGTCCGGACACTGCGTGCTTAACAGGAACAGATGGGGGTCATCGGGAATCGAACAGACGACCTCACAATCACAGAAGGCTCTGATACCATGTCATCAAGAACCAGTTGATCCTAATAACTCGAGCTGTTAGGAGAGATTTAATCGTGGATCATATACAGTTTACTAACCCAAAACGTTATAAGATACAGATTGGCTGACTTTTCCCGACTAGTGGAATAAGTGATATATTGATTCATCACATGGTAATTAGTCAACTTTTAATATTATTGGTTGGTTGACACCAATGGTATAACTACTTATATGGATGGCATGGTTCTATTGAGTCATAGCATGGTAATCGACTTTTAATATTATTGATTGGTTGACACCGATGGTATAACGACTATATGGATGTTACTGTCGTAAGTTGGAATAAAATCAAAAGTGTGACATATTATGAATGATAAAATGATATGTTGACTTTGAATTGACCGAAGTTTGAAACATGAAACAATACCCTAATCCTTCATAATTAAAATATAGATCTTTACTTTATGAATCTCATACACTAGCTAATATCAATTAAATTAGAAGAAATCATCTCCGGTCATGATTAGTCAAAATACATCCAGCAAATGATATGCATTATCTTAGTGTTTATGATCTAGAATTTATAAAAATAATTAAGATATATTGTTCACTCATCAAGGACTATGGTAGGATATCATATCATAAAATTCGATTAATTCTTAATCTAGATAATATTTTCTTACGAATGGTATGTGGTGTCGTAGATTTACCAACCTGACTTATATATATGGAAAATAAAGCTTGTGAATTAACTTTAGAGATGGGAATTGACTTTAGGGATATGCAAAGTAAAGCTTATGAATATTATTTGCTGATCTAGCATACTCATTAACTGACCTAATAAACCAAAAGTACATGTAAATGGCAAGTCATTAGCCATGCATGGCAATTTGCATGGAGTATTTAATTTCCCCCATTTTGGCAGAATGTGCATGGCTGCATTATTAAAATTATGTGTCACGTGACAACCATATGCGTTACAAATCAATATCCCCCCTATCATGCATTCATTAAAAAAACAATGCAAAGTGGCAATATAAACAGGAGCAAACAAATTTATTACAGTCCCAAAGTACGGGAAAATGGACGGAAACAAAAGGAACAATGACAGTAACAGACCCAAAAAAAAAAAAAGGTCCACTCGCTTTTTGGGTGACCCGACCGAATCGGGCGCGTGTCCCTTTAAGGTTTCTAATTCCTACACACACTCTGCAGCTGCCGTCTTCCAATCTCAGGGAGTGAAGAGCAGAGGGTGAAATTTGAAAATCGTCGCCGATTTCTTCTCTCCCTCGTCCGGCGCCATCGCCGCCGTCCTCGGCGAAGCAGCAGCAGAACGGTACAGCGCAGATCTAAGCCGCTACTTCACTATCCGTAAGTTTCCCCCTCTTCCATGAGATCCTAGAACAATTAATGTAGAGACTTGTGCGGTCAACTCTGTGTCCACCTTGGTCGAAGCAGCCTGCAACATCAAGTACTTTGGGAGGCAATAAGGTTATCCGGTGACCCTTTCGTTGCGGGAGCTCATTGATTGGGTGGTGCCCGATGACCCTAAAACAAGGGCAGTCTCCACAATCAAGAAGGTCTTCAAGTGGGTTCAGTGGCGGACCCAGGATTGTCGGAGAGGTGTGTCGCCGATAAAATAAAATAATAATTAAATTAAAAATTAATTAAAAATTAAAAGAAATTAATTCATAAAGTTCATAATGTCATGTTTACAACGAACCGCGACGACTTTTCATCTGCTGAAATGTCTCTAAAATACATTCATCACTTATGCTGCAAAGCAAATCTTTTTCAATATACACAACTAAACAATCATTCATAAATTGGTCACTCAACCGATTTCAAAGATCGTTCTTGATTATCTTCATAGCTGAAAATGCTCTTTCGCAGCTTGCAGTTGCCACAGGTAAGGTCAACACCAACTTTAACAGCAAGTAAACTAAAGGATAAAGAGTGTCATTTCCCCTTTCCACCAATTTCCTAGCTAGCTCGTCGATTCCTCGAAATCCATCAAAGCTCTTATCCTCCTTGACATGAGAAATGTAGCCCCCAATTGTAGATGAAGTCGTGAGAGCATATTGGATGGAAACTCCTCGGGATAAAACTAAGTAAGACTTATCAACTTTGCTTTATCAAAAGAAGCAAAAGAGTTAGCTGGACTAAAACAAGAAATGCAGTCCAACAATGGAGTGTTCACCTCACCAAATCGAGTATTCAATTCTTGCAGCTGCAAATCTATAACTGCATAGAATAAATCGACTTGATAGTAATGTATATTGTATGCGCGAAGAGTGTTTTTTTTTTAATAGGAAGGATAGGATTATGCTTTATGAGTTATTTTAAACAAAATTAAAAAGGATTATGATTAAGATTGATTCATTTGGATAATTATTTCTTCGAGTATAATAAAGGTGTGTCGGCTATAATTATTGAGGGTGTGTCGGCTATCCCGAAGTAAAAAAATTTGTACCAAAAATATGTAGGTCCTTCGTAAAATTCTCGAGCGAGGGTGTGTCGGACGACACACCCTGGCATGCCTTAGGTCCGCCACTGAGTGGGTTGAGGTCGAGAAGCTGTGTTTGGACATGTATTAGGCCTCAACTACCATATTTAATTACTGAATCGCTACATGTCGCCCTTAAAATTGCTAACGGTTGTGGCATTGGTTTAGACTGGGACGGGGATGAGGTTCATACGATGGGCTCACTGTCACTAGGTTCGGTGAGTTGGGTTAGTTTCTTCTATGGATGGTTGAGAGTTGAGACTGTGATGATTTTCCAATTTTAAATAGGACTGAATCAAGATGAATTTTTTTATTCCTTTTCAAAATCATAAACAAAATAAAACCAAACCAGACTGTGATATAGCCGATTTATTATTTTAACTAAATTGAACTTTACGGCCTGATTCTCGATCTGGCCGAAAAATTAGGATCCGATTCCCACCCCTAGATGAGGACGAGGGAGTTGGGAAAGGAAAGCAGAGTCATGGGCGATGAATCAGGTGAGTGGGTTCCTTAGTAGTTGAGGTAACTCGGTAGTCATACTATCGAATAAACTCATAGTTTTAAAACGAGCTACATTCGAGTTGACCTCAACAAACCAGTTAATCGAGCTGGTTCTCACATGCTTTGCTAGTCAAACATAGATTTGGTTGAAACTCAACTCGTTAATAAACGAGATCTTTCCCAATCCGAACGCCTATCCGCTCATTAGTAGCCTGACTCATTTACAACCCTATCACGAGCTCATGATTCAAGTTAACCATCGCGAATCACTGTTTTGGCTCAGATCAAGATCTCAAGAATGACAGGAGCATCATTTCAATGTGTGGCTAAGTTATGAGATCTTTGCTTAGGGTGGAGTACAGTCATACTATCAGATTACTAACTTGGTTTGATCCATTCCACTACACATACCCAATACACACTACATACATCCTATGTAATAAAGTTAAACCAGTTCCATTATAGATCCTCGAACATGAGACATCTGATAAAGTCCATTTCCTTCCTAGATGAAGCAGCAGCAACATCCTTTCTTCTAGAGCATGGGCAGGGGAGGGAATTTCATACAAGTATGGAGTATACGATTGATAGCCAGAATAATGAGCAGTAAGTTGATACTGATATTTCAGTAAACGGTCATAAACCAAAATACAAACACACGGGATGGATCACAGTTGAGTTCACAGATGAACATACTGCAGATCATCAAACATCAAACAACAAACAGAAACCGAACTGCTGCGACTGCTTCTAACAGCTTCACATAGTTAATAAATAACAACTTGTTTTCTACCAACAAGGATCAGAAAAGTTCTTAAGCTCACGACACATACACAGAGAGCATATAATCAGTTAAACCAAGTTTGGAATGGGCTGCTGCTGCTACCAACAGGGGAATTTTACTAGTCGATCGGTTGCCAATAGGGAAGGAGAGGGTAGTGGGCAGTCAGAAATTTCAATCCTCCTACTTGGATGATTTGGGTTTCACTGTCTTGTGTTGGAGCTTCTTCTGATCAACCAACGCATTCGACCCGTACTCGCAGTGTTCAACAGGAGGGTGGATGATGTCTTTCCGACAGTAGACGCAACCATTGCGGTAACCACCTACATGAAAGCAAAATGGAACAAGAATCTCAATCAATCAATCAATCACCTTACCCGAATAAAAGATGATGATCGATTCAAACAAGATGGGCAATTACACAGCAAGCTTGAATAGTTAAGATGAAGGATGTATGATGGCATCACTAACATAATAAGAACTTACCCTTTGCCAAAGGATCTACCTTGACACAGTTGAGAACCTTGGAACCTCCCCCAAGGTATTGTACTGCCTCACCAAAAAACATGTCACTGGAATCGCTGTTTTCCTCTCTAGCAGTGAAGTTGGCATGGAGTACCACTAAAGGGTGAAGAATAGCGCAACAGCAGAGTAAGGGTTGATCAAACACATACTTCGTCCCCTGTTCTCATCCAGAACGAAAATCAATCGATCGATCGTAAACCAAACCCAATCAATCGATCGTAAACCAAACCCAATCAATACCTCCTTCCCGTTGTAATGTTTCAAAGCTGATTTTGCAACGCAGGCGCTGTCCTTTCTCATCAGTTCCTCATCGTCCGGCGGCGAACTACAATGTATATAGGACATTGAATCAGATGATCGATCTCCACTATCAATACAATTTAACACCGGCAAGCAAATAATCGAATCCACAACTAAACATTTCAACAAAACACCAATCAGATAAATGAATATATAACAGGCAGCGAACATAAACGTGAATTACGACACCCACTCTAATTCAGCATCCAGCCACTTCAGCATTTTCTCATAATACTTGTTTGCAGGATCGAGTCCAATCACCGGGCGAGGAGACGACGGATCACCCAATGAAACGGAGGAGGGGGAGGATGATGGCGCCGACGGAGGCTCCGCCGCACCGCCGTGCTGAGGCTGCGGCGGCTTCTCATCGTGATGATCAGGCACACCTTCTTCCACCTTTTGCTTTTTGGGTGAAGGAGGTTCTTCCATCCCTTTCCTTTCGCAAACCCTATCCTTCGGCTCGACCATTGTTCTGTGATTGTGAACGGCTGCCCTGCACCTTCTTCTATCTCGGAATATACAGCGGTGGTTTCGACTTTCGACTTGCCTCTTAGGGTTTCCGTCTCCTTGTGCTAACCAATCAAATCAATTAGGAATTAATCATATATCTAATATATTATAAAACACATACTTAATACTTTCCCTAATTATTTAAGAGTCAAAAGTTCATCTGATTTGGATCCATAAAAATAAGACTCATAATTGTTCCGCTTTAGATAAAGACTCATATATTATTTGGATGGAAACTCTGAACATAAGGGATTTTTAGCACCCGATAACTGCTAAGAGACTAAGGCATGAGCATATATACTCCCAATTTATCACCTCACATCATTTGTATATATTTTTGTTAGGCGGCTACTTTTAATTATTGTAAGATATTTATATTACTTGCATGTATTTATATTCAGGGTTAACTATGTTTTTATTCTCCATATGTATTATGGATAGATGCATTAAGATAACAATTGTTTATCCGATAATTTTATATTATATTGGTTAACATGATGAAGCCAATTGACCAAATCGATTAAAATTTATTTTAGTTGTTATATTGATTTTGACGGTTTCGCTAATGTATTGTATTCCATTGTTAAAAGAATTTAGACTTAATTAGTTTGGTAATTACCATAGTTTCCTTAATTGGTGTGATCAAGACTAATCCATGGATAAAGCTAGCTTCTTCTCTTATTGTTCTGTAGTTTTATGACTTTTATCAAGAGTTACATGTACACATATACAACCACAAACCCTTACCACTAGTCGAAGTCCCTTTTCCCTACGTGTACATAGCATGCTACTATTCTATTTACATATGGGTACTCTAATAGCCTCTCTAAATTGATGAGGGTCTCTTATTCTTCTCTAGTTAAAATCACGTTTTAAAGTTTAAATACTTATGAGTTTATACTTTTTATATCATCAAAATGTTTTTACCTGGAATGAAGCTTTGGACTGCATTGGCTGCTGGTATATATGGTAAAAACAACTTGCGGTGCATGCATGTTCTCTTTGAGTTTCACTAGCTTATTGCCTACTGAGCAGTTTCTTCTCTTTGAGTGTGCCTTTTCTGGCTATTTTGTTGAAGGTTTCTTGTTTTGGCTTTCGGTTGAGTTAAGTTGAAGTGCTGATTATGCTTTTTCTTTTGGCAGTTTACTTTACTCCATCCAAGTGTCATTCTAAATTTGAGGACTCAGCTTTGTGGCGGAGAGGGAGAAATCTAAATGAACAGGGTTGATTTGAATCATGGTAATTGAGGGAGGGGACTAAAGTCTTAATATTTTTTTTTCTTCAAAATTTGTTACAAATTTTACATATAATTTCAGCGATATTTTCACAGTTGAAAGGGAATTACAACCCCTTCTACCTGCCTCTTCTAGTGGTGTTGCATGAGAAATGGCCTATTGTCGATTTTCTTATGACATAATCCAACCAGGATTTTCAAAAATGCAAGTGAGATATAGGTGTTAAACATATTTAATAGATATACAACAAGATATATGAATATATAAATAAATAATTAATAGATATACAACAAGGTATTAGTTTGGGTGTAGTGGCATGATGTCTTCATGTCAGATAGTGAGTTTGATCTCTTACATAGCCATAGCTTGATAGAAATTTATTATTTTTTACCAAAGTGTTTCCTTATTTACTTTACACATGTCTTTTGTTTTTATTTCGGTGAGCTTTTTCTTCAAGGTTGTACTGGTTTCTACTTTCTATGGATGGGTATCGGTCAATTCTCAATTCAGTTCAGAACTTGATCGAATTGAGATAAGATCAGAGCAAAAAAAGAAAGGAAAAATGAGGACCAGAACTCGATAAAAAAATATTTGGTCCTTTTGGTTTGATTTGGTCCATCTTTTATTCATACTTAAATAATTTGTGGAACCAAAATCGAATCGAAATAGATTCGATTCGATTCATATATTGATTCGGTATGATTCATTCCGGTGTGAACGAGATCAATACTTCTGGTATAGTACTTGTGGCTTTCTTTGTAGCAATGAAATTCACATTCGTAAAAAGGAAACTTAAAAAGTCAATTATTTTGATGTTTCTAATGTTTTATTTTCTCTTGGAAACACACATATGATACAAACTATATTTGTTCTTAAAAACATATTAGCCATTTATTTGCTTATTGTTATCTTTTTTTTTTTTTAAGTTTGGAGGAAAATTAATAAAACAAAATGCGGGATGTGGAATGAAAAAGAAGATTATCAAATGTGTGTAATTCTCAAACATTTTCATTCATCTAGGGTTAGTATTATTGTATTCATTCGTTGGCTGCCTTTTGCACTTCTTCTCGTGGTGTGGGATGGATGATGATGTTGTATTGTGTCACTATTTGTTCAGTGCTTGTCATGTCCTCTTTCCTAACTTCTGAGTGCGATAAAAATAATTTTGTAATGGTAAATAATAGAAAAGAAAGAAGATTTCACCAAAAAGAAAGGAATGTTCATGTTGTTATATTGTATTATTCAATATATAAAAAAGTAGAATTCATCCAAAGAAAATTTCTTCAACTACTAGATTAGAATTTGTTATCTTACCCATTTTCTATAGTTTTAGTTCCAAAAATTAAAATTTTAAATGAAAATAAATAACCATAAAAATATAACATCACCGATTACAAAAAGAGAAGTACGTAAAAGGAAAAGAAGAGAAGATAATCGAATAAGGGGGCAGGGAGAGAACACATACGGATAGAATTTTATGATCATATCATTCATATGTTAATCGCTTCCTAGTATTCTCTCATATTTCAAGCTATAGTAGCAAGTGGATGGTTTTTGTTTAATATAATCTAACATGCTTGATAAACAAGTGCAAGTTGATGACAGAAGATATCGTGACCGATATAGCCTGAACGATAAAGGGGTTTCTAAAGAGAAAAATAAAAACAAACTAGTGACAAATATATTGCTTCAAACTACGAGGTGTAAGAAATGTGGATGAAAAAGAATTTTTGAAGATGATGTCTAGAAGCTAGTTGTTGGCATTCTTGTCTCTTTACTTAACTTTACATTCTATATTCATAGTACATCTCACCCTAATTCTCGTGTGTTCTTGTGTTAGTCAATTTTCCACATCGAGTTTCCATTATAGAGAGCAATAGAAAAATTAAAGGGTCCTCCGGTCAACAACGAAATTGATTAATCAACTAAAATGGATGCGTGGTTCCTAGCACCACTCAAATTAAACCTAATAATAAATAAGGTCAGCTTACATGGTAAACAATTAATTAAATGTATCAAATGTTGACAAAATAATAAATGAAACCCGTGCAACTTAACTAGACATTGTTCAATGAATCATATGATAACTCTAACAGATAAATGAAGTACAAAATTAATGTTACTTTTCCATTCCACACTCGCAAGTAGTCAATGAATGAGTAAGATAATTATTCAAATGAAATAATAAAACCCGATTGGAGATTATTTATTTCTGATGAGAGACTTCTCTTTGTTCTACACGTCTTCCTTGCGACAACACCTTTTTAGCTTCTCCCACCATTTCCCTAAATTTCATTTTATGTATTTTCCTTATTTCTCATCCATTCTTTTTATTTTCATTCATTCATCCATTTTTGTTTTTGTTTTCTTTCATTCATTTTTTTATGGTATGAATGTTGATCTTCATGGGTCAAGTTATGCCAAAACGTCAAAAGGAAAATATTACAAAATATTCGTTCATCCTACTACCAAACCAAATCTATGTGTAAGAGCCTTTGAACCAGGTGCAACAGTACTCATATGGACATTGTAATTGTCATTTCTGACGGTTCCTTCTTTGTATTCTAAATACAATCAAGGAAGAAGGGGCTGCATTGCTGTTACTTACAGTGGTCTTGGCCAAACAAGCCCCAAATTTCCGTTTTGAGCACGATTATAGCGGTAATTCTCCTCCAGACACAGATGATAACTCTGGACCCATATGAACACCTTCTTCGGTCGGTCTATTGCATGATAGCGCTTATTATCTGTGTGTGTGTGGGGGGGGGGGGGGGGGGGGGGGGGTACACATTTTATTAACTCCTGCACATACAGTTGCACCCAATAGTCCTTGTGCTCCAAGTTTTTAACATTGCAGGTCGTCTCGACGCAGATAGAAACAAAATGAACCACACATGTAACTGCAACCAAACCATCAACCATGTGTAAGCAGACAAAGGCAACAAAAACAACATCAATGGCATTATTTCCATATTCTCCTTTATGTTTAACATCACTGATGATAATTGCCTTCCCGTTGATCACATCTTTGAGCCAGCTGGGATCTCTCCAATCAACATAAATCGGCAAATGAAGGTTTTTCTCGGTTTGCAGATCCGTAGGTCGTTGTAGCTTGATGATCTTCTTCTTCTTCTTCCCACTGGTGGTTCCTTTCTCGGTGAAAGACATTTCTTCTGCCAATCAAGAAAACAACAAACACACTGAATCTGGGAATCCATTTTCTTTCCTATTTTGCCGGAGCCTAGCTATCTACTAGGAATGAGAAACATAAAGTAGTATTGAAACTCCGAAATCCAATTCAGCTGGCGAGGGGAAAGTAAATAAGTAGTACTAAAATGCTATTCCGAGGAAAAGAAAGGAGAGGACCGTGTTTCGTATACATACTCAGATCGGAGAGAAATCCTCGGGACCTCCTTTCTTTCCAACATGGCGCACATCTCTTTTTTCTCAGGCGGCAGCGCTTCCTTTTCGGCCCCAATCTAGGGACACAGACGCTCAGACAGAGAGAAAATAGGAAATATGCCTTTTACCTGGATGTCATTGATCTCCCTTTCTTTTTTGATTCTTTTTCAGCCTGTTTGGATACAATTCCATAAGAAATGGAAATGAATTCCCCTTTTCTTTTCGTTCACTTTACATTCCATTCTATGACAAGTTTTTATTTTAGTTTCAATTTCTTTTTTATGTTATTTGTTTCACAATTAATCATTAGTTCATAAACTAACTTCATGGAAATAGGATAAGATGATGGATGAGTGTTTATTTTATTTCAAAACAAAGGATGATCCCCCCCCCCCCCCCCCCCCCCCCGTGCAAATGAGCATCAAGTTTGTCAAACAGGTTCATGTACCATTGCGTTGTTTTAGTAAGTGGTATGGGTTGATCGGAATACAATCAATTTATTTTGGTTTTCTATTATTTTTACTAAAAAGTGAAATTTGTATAAAGGTATTGGCACAACATGTATCAGAAAATCTTTTCCCCAAAAATAAAACGAATAAGACTTGGTCTAACAATTCTACTGCTGGCCGGTCTTCAACATAGAGATTTCATGCCCGAATCCCTTCAAAACTCACAGATAAAAAAACTATTGATTCACTTATTCGTGATGAGATATATGTAGGGATGGGATTAGGTGCTAACCCTTATAGGGGTTAGCACCGTGATAACTAGCAAAAAACGCTACTAAAAATAACGAAATCACTACGGATTATTATAAAATCAATACAACATCTAAGCTAAATCACTACTAATTCAAACTAGTAGTAGTTTTCCCTTGGTTAGGACGATGCTAACTATTGTACAATTAGCACCGTAACCGCTCCCGATATATGTAACATACTTGCATTATTTATTTGGAATGCATGACATGCAAATGAAATAAATGTAACATAATAATTAATATGGTTGGCAGCCAGGTGAGGTATAACCAAACCATGCAACGCACATTAATTTCCCATACAAATGGAAACAATGCATTCAATGCAAATGCATGGCTAGCTATATGTACGTAAGTTTATATAAACTATAAAGACTTCTTCTTAAATACGATCCAACTTCATTCCGACCATACTAAGGTCAAAGACCTTAGATTCCTTGCATATCAAGTTAGCTCAAATCCAAGATGATCTGCTTCCTTAATTTTACAGTTGACAAGAAACTCAAATGGTGAGACGAAAACTTTAATCAACGAATTAATACATGCGCGCAACCCGATCAAGCATGAGCACATTCTTAATTTACTATTAAAATTTTCTAACTATTAAAAAAAAAAAAAAACAGTAAACAAACACCACGTATAAATGTCCTCGATCCAATCCCTTGTCATTCCTAGATACAGACTGAAGCTCTATATAGTATGTGGTGTAAAGCACATGCATTGGTGGATTTTAAAATCCATATTTTGTTTATTTTTGTATGCATTTGGATTTCTAACCAATGTGTGGTCAATTTCCAATGAATTTGGAGTTCTAACCAACATGCAACTTGATCCCACGTCCACATGGCACACTAAAATCCATATGATCTTGGTCGGGTTTGAACTATGCTTGCAAAGTTGCAACATTGTCTAAATTATTTGACCTCGATGCTGCATCACACGTAGGGGGTGTCAAAGCGGGTTCGGGTTTTCGGTTTAACCTGAAACCGAACCGGTAACAAGTCTTTTCGGGTTCGGATTTTTGGTTCCAACCCGAAGCTGGACTGTATCGGTTTCGGTTTCACTTTAACCCGAAAATCGGTAAGAACCTGAAAACCCAAAATTGTAGTTTGGGCTCTCCTCGCTGTCATCGTCATTTTCCTCTCACCTCCTGGTACTTTAGCAACGAGGAGCTTGTGGAGTCCACGGATTCATCGATGGTCCTGAGTCTCTTCATCCTGCCGGTCCTCCATATCTTTAGAATGTCGCCGCGGGATCACCGCCGCCGGACCCACCACCACCTGCCGTCGGAAGGGAGCTCGCCCCGGGGACTCACCACGCTCATTGTGCTGTTTTGCGACCCCTTCGGCGCAAACTCATCCTTTCCATTAAGATCGAAATTTTGCCGTCGCCGCATTTGGGCAGCACAACCCTTCTCCGATCTTGTTTTAGGGTTTCCTTGGTTTCGCCGATTTAGCTCCTTGCTTCATCGACTTCTTTTACTTTTTCTCTTTTCATTTTGTTTTCAGGAGTTGAATCCATCCTTTTCTTCTCGTGGATTGGGCTCCCTGGGAAATCTGCCAGCATGTAGGGTTCAGGGGAAGGAGCTAGAAATCAAGAGAGGAGAGAGATTGAGTTAAGGATCTGAATGCCTAGCGGAGAAACGAAATCAGATCCATTAAATTTTGAGAGAAGTCGGTGGCCGTACTGAATGAGTGAGAGATGTCGCCGACAGAGTAGATGAAGGGAAGAATGGGGTTCTGGGTTTGGGGTTAGTTCTTGGTACTGGGTAGTGAGTAATAACTTCATTTGTGGGAGTGGAAAAGTGAGAAGCTAGCTTGGATGCTTCTCTAGAAAGGGAATACGCAAGGAGAGGAAGAGAGAGGGGTTTGGAAGGAAGGTGGAGAGAGCTCTGAATTTCCAAACCAACAAACAGTTTTCATCTTTATAATTAGTTTCGGGTTTTCGGGTTACATGTACCCAAACTGAAACCGTCAGTGGATTTTTCGGGTTCGGGTAACTGAAACCCGAAGTCAGCAATTTCGGGTCGGGTTCGGGTTTGTAGCCAATGTATTGTACGGGTTTTCGATTTTAGTGAATTTCGGGTTCGGGTAACCGAACCAACACCCCTAATCACACGTCCACATGGCACACTACATCACATACGAAAACAATGGCGAAGCTAGGTTGAACTTAATGATAGTTATCTAGTTCCTCCTCAATTTTGAAATATATGTAAAATCGCATATAATATTTGTAAAAAATTGATGAAATAGAATTCTCAATAAAATTTTAGCCTCCCCTTCACAATTATCACGGCTCAAATCAGCCTCTCACGTTCAGATTTCTGACTCCTATCATTGTATGTTTATAAATTAAGTTGCACATGCCCGCACCACCCTCAGATTACATCAACTAACTTGAGGAATCAAATTTAGAGACTCGGAACATGAAACATCTCATAATATGATGCCCTAAAGTCCAAACCCTAACTTTGGATAACAATATCCACTACTTTATATGAAAAAAGGGAGGGTTGGAAAGTGGCGTAGAGAGTAGAATAATGTTGAAATGGACATGACATACCTTATATGAAATCCACTTGTGCATAAAATCAGAAAGAAACCAGCACTTAAAATAATAATGTAACCCTTTTTTGTATGTTTCCAGAAAATTCGGATCGATCATATGCTACAAAGAAAGAATTTTATAAAGGATATGTAACGTATATGGTTTTCACGTGAGCTTAGGCATTATTGAATCATGCATGCACATCCTGCCGAAATTAAACTAATGCATGGCATGGCATTTGCTTTGGTTTATATGACCTATTACATAAGTAACTCAATTAATTAGCCGACATTTTGATTCTAATTAGGTTGGAATGTTGACATAAAAGATGATCTTGTCGGAATCGATAGGATGAGCTGAAGTGAAAGGTAAGTGTTCATTTGGGGAATCGATACTGGTCGTTTTAAAATCCACTAAGTGTCATCCTGCTTAAAATTAAAATTATTTTTTGTGCCCTTTTGAACATTTTAGTTTATTTTCACTTAACAAACACCATCACAAAAATAAGAATCTTTTTCAAATACTCTACAGCACCCTTAAATTGTCAATATTAAAAAAAATCAATTACAATTTAACTTAATTATGTAAATTAATTAAAATTTGGAAAACTTCAATTAAATTGGGAATTGAGAATTTAGAGACTTGAGAAATAGAACTAAAGATTGAAAAGGAATATTTGGGGAAGAACAAGACAAAGCCTTGGATTAGGGAATAAGATAAATTAGGAGTTGTGGGATATTAGGTTTAGAAAGATGCTTTTCATAATACTTTTCTCGTTTAATTCTGATGTAAAATCCAAAGTATATATATAATAAATTGGAAAACCTAATAATTAACCCTAAACTACTCGGCACTAATTGGCCGCCTAACCCTAACATAATAATAACTACTATTAAGGCATATTTCTAAATAGTTTTTACAGAAAGTAGCGAAACAAATTCATCGCTTAAATCCTACTGATAACATTCATTAACTACAAATCCTTGGACACAACGCAATAATTATGGCGATAAGAGTCTTCCAGGCAGCACTACCCTTGGTGAAGTAGGCGCTCCAGTCTCGAAATGATCTTAGATGGGATAACCTGTCAAAAAGAAAAGCACAAAAGCAATTCAGCTCAATTCAATGTATATCCTTCTTTCTAGCTAGTGACAGAGATACAAACAGCAAATGAAAAGAAGGAGAAAAAGAGAGCAGCAGAGATGAGATAGATGGCAGCTCAATTCTCCGTATTGTTGCATTGAAACTGATACAGCAACCATAGAAAAAGCCGCATGCATTGCCTAAAGATGCATACCCTAGCTAATACACCATGCTTACAAAATTAAACACCATACAACAAGCCAGAGCAAACCGTTCAATACAGAATTGGACAAAGCTAAGCTAGGCTGGAATACATCGCAAGTTGCTACCATAGAAGCAGCTAGCATACTGAAGAGAAGGCACATAAACACCACTGATATGTATGAAGAAAGGAATAGAGATATATTACAGGCATATGTTAGTGCCCGCTCTTCACGGCTCTTTCCTCGAATCTGCGTCTTCTCGCCTTTCACACGAAGCAGATTCGTGGTGCAATTATTGTCAATGTCGTGATAAACATGAGCTTCATAGAGCTTCTTAGCATCTTCAGGATCAGGAGACAGCTCGTTGGTAGCCTCGAAGGTGATGTAGAAGTTCTGCCCAGCACAAGGTCGCATATTGGCCTTCACAATGTTATCAAGTTTCAGCTTCAACTCCTATAGCAGAAAACAAACCCAATGCAAGCAGAGCCAATCCATTGGATTTGGATCCCAAGTCAGGAACAGAGTTACAGAAAGAAACAAGCAAAAGTGAGGACGAAAGTGACGAACGAACCCCTTTGTCTAGTAAGTTGTGTTCAGCAATGACATGGTTCACACAGTCCTTGACATACTCGAACCAGTCAGAATCCAAGTTGACCCGAACAACCCCGCAAGCAATGTAGTCCACCGGCGGTATGTCGGCGAAATCAAATCCCTAATGAAAATCGGTAAAACTATTCTGATTGATTTGGGCGGAATAAACAAATTACAGGACAGCCGTTGTGGCTACATATATACCTCGCTTTCCTGGACCTGCTCGTAGAAGCGGCGGTACTTCTCCACTCCCTCTTCGTCTTCAGGCCACCAGATTTTGGGCTCCAACATCACCTGAGTCCACTCCTCCTCTCCGTCCTCCTTGCTGTCACCGGCAGTACCATCGTCGGTGCTTTTCTCGCCGGCGGCTTCCTCGATCTTCTGACTCTTCGGCGGTGATCCAATTTCAGATACGGGAGACGATTCGTCGATCGCGAGTGGGAGACTCACATCCGCTTGAGGAATATCGTAGCCTAAGCTCGAGATCGTTAGATTGGAATCCATGGCTGGGAAATTAGCACGAGGAAACCCTAGAAAGGGAGGAGTTTGTAGCCCGTGGTTCTGTGAAGTTATTCTATTGTTGCTTCAGAAAGGTTGTCTATCATCCATATATGTGAGTTCATGTCTCCAGAATTATAGTTAACGTTGTTACGAATTGGATTGAAATGGTAGACTTGTTCTACTACCTTCATTCATTATCAACTTGAACCATGTGTTGTGTGCCTGTTGTTGATCCAATCGATGTTGTTGAGTTAGGTGCCTCTTATTAGAGAATTCACTATTGAAGCGAAGAAAAAGGGGGTTAATTGCAAGATTGGTCACTAGGATTACAAAAAAACGTTCATATTTAGTCACTGAAAATATTTAATTCCGCCAGTCTCCGTTAATACCATCAGTTATATGCTGACGTGGCTAACAGACTCGCCTAACCACCTATTTTTAACAAAACCAAAATATAATCCAACCCTGACACATCATAAAAACCTGTCACGTCATCAGAAAACTAGTGACCCGACCCACCCTAAATTAAAACCCAAGTTTGACCAAACCGCAAAATCCATAGGCTGTTAATGGAGAAGAGGATCGGAAGAAGCTATCGTCGCCTCCCTCATCCGATCCATCGGTTTCCCTCTTCTCTTCCCTCTCTTATTCTTCTTCCTTCGACATAAACATCACCGCCGTGAGCGACCCCGTCTCCGTCGATGGCTGCCGCTGATCTACCTTGATTTGTTCTTTGTTTTTAGCCTCTCCTCCGTCAATGGCAGCTGGAGAATCTACTCAGCTCCCAATTCTTCCTCGCTGTCGATCGCACTCCACTCTCCAATCTGACTGAACAATGACAAAGTGCAACTTTCAACTCCCTCCTCGTTGTCGCCTTCGCTCTTGCTGAAGAAAACAAATTAGGAAAAATAGATTTGTCTTTCGTTGGGGCTAGGGATTTTTTCCAATTAGATAAAATAGATGAAGAAGAACCCAAAATTTCCAGTTGGTGGGCAGGGGACGAATCTGCAGTACGGGAGGGGAAACAGCGCCTAGGTCGGGAGTGGTAGACAATCAATGGATTGGGGGCAGAGGACAAATCTCCGAACAACACGAGGAAGAGGAGGTTCTTCAACCACAACAACCTCGCCGTCCTTGTCTTCATCGTCGACGGGGAAGAAATGAAGGAGGAAGGACGGGTCATCGCTTCACCTTCCTTGAGAGTTTAGATCTCCAATTGCACAAATGCAGTAGGCACTACCGAAGGAAAAGGGGGATTCCAATTGTAGGATGGCAAGGGAGTGATGAGTTTTGATGGTGACCCAATTCTGGAGCCAAGGGGAGACGATGAGCATGGATGGACTGCAAGGCTAGGAAGTAGAGAAGGAGAGTGAGAGGAATTGAAGAGACTAGTGGGGAAATCAGAACATTGGTCGGCGATTTTTCACCAAGAGGGATAGGAATTGAAGAAGAAGGAAGGGGAGTTGGCTTGGGTTCAAGGGTTGGGGTGGGCCAAGATGAAAAGGTGGGTTGAGTGACGTTGCGGGTCGGATTTCATTATTTTTGGGTTAAATTAGGCTGACTAAGTAATTTCGTTTGCCACGTCAGCAAATAACAGATTTTGCTAACAGAGTTGGACGGAGACTAACGGAGAGTGACCAAACTTGAACCATTTAACTAATTTAAATTAGTCTAACTAAATATTTTCAGTGACTAAACATGAACTTTTTTTTGTAATTCCAGTGACCAATCTTGCAATTAACCCGAAGAAAAAAGATGGAGAGACTGAAAAGTACAATTGAAAAAAAAAAACTTAAACTAAAGATCTTTATTGATATTAAAATTGATTGGAAATAATATTTATATATGATAGATTTTCCCACGAAAGTTTTTTTTTTTTTGACTGAGATAGATAGTTAATAGATAGGGAATTATAAAGTGGTGAAAAGTAAATAACAATAATCAACTAAATGCTTATTTTTCGATGCAAGAGCCGTTATCCCACGAAAATTGGGAGGGCTGGGAAACGGTGCGGTCTGGTCAAGACCAGACCATATATACGGTCTATGGTCCATACCGAGAGGCTGAAGTATAGACCACAGACCAGACCATAGACTATACGGTCCAGTCCAGACCACGCCTATGCGGTCTAGTTTAGTCTGGTCTGGTTTAGATAGACCACACTCAACAAAAAATGAACGATTTGTTTAGTCAACCACACAAAAAATTGAACCAATAACATAGAAAAATAATTGTATTTTGCCTTAAAACATTAATTCTAACATGCATGAATAATTTTGATACCCTAAATCTTAGTACATAACACATGTACAAAGTAAAAGCATCTCAACTTGCACCATAACGTCATAAACATTAACATAATGTCATATGGAGACACGATTATCTCTACTCTCTGGTGAAATGTGGTTGTGAATGAAGGATGGATGAGATTCTCAAAATTAATGTTGAGACTTGCGTGTCGTTGTGGGAGTTGGGAGAGTGGTCGAATGGGTTGTTAACACGTATTGACAAGTCGGTTGGGTCCACGGTTTGGTCCGGTAAATCGAGTTCTAGACCAGACTAGACCAAGAGATCAAAACATCAAATAATACAGACCATGGACCAGACCAGATCATACTTAACAGTCTACGGTCCAAAGCAAATTGTACGGTCCGGTTTGAACCACGATTTTTATAACGGTCTGGTCTATTTTTCCGGCCTAGTTGGAATAATGAGTTATTGATAAATAAAAAATTCAATTCACGGGCTTTATTGTTATTTACTACACGTGTGGGAAGGGGTCGAAGGAAAATCCCCAATTCTGAAATTAGATTTGAGAATCGTCCAATTTCGTTCGTGTTCCTCCCTGCCTAGGGTTCCCTATTGACTTCCTCGCAATCCTTTTCCAGCCATGGATTCCGATCTCACTGTCCCGAGTTCCAGCTATGATGCCCAACACCCGCAGCTTCTGCCTTTGGATGCAAATCTCCCACCCTCGAGCGACGAATCGGCCCCGGTATCCGGCCCTGAAACTGGATCATCGCCGAAGAGGCAGAAGATCGAGGAATCCGGCGGCGAGAAAAGCACCGACGTCGAGGTCGCCGACGGTGATGCCGGTGACAGCAAGGAGGACGGAGAGGAGGAGTGGAGTCAGGTGATGGCGGAGCCCAAAGTCTGGTGGCCTAAAGACGAAGAGGGAGTGAAGAAGTACCGCCGCTTCTTCGAGCAGGTCCAGGAAAGCGAGGTATATAGCCGCAACGGCTTTTGCAAAGCGGGTCCTGTAATTTGTTTATTCTCCCCAAATCAATCATTCATTCTGAATAGTTTTACCGATTTTCATTAGGGATTTGATTTCACCGACGTACCGCCGGTGGACTACATTGCATGCGGGGTTGTTCGGCTCGACTTGGATTCTGACTGGTTCGAAAATGTCAAGGCCTGTGTGGACCACGTCATTGCTGAACACAACACACTAGAAGAAGGGGTTCGTTAAATTTCGTCCTCCCTTTTGCAATTGTGTTTCTGTAAGTATATGTTTGTTTGTTTGAATGGTGGTGTTTCTGTGTTCCTAACTTGGGTTTTGGCTCTACTTGCATTGGGTGTGGTTTCTGCCATAGGTGTCAAAGCTGAAATGTGGTGATATTCTGAAGGCCAATATGCGACCTTGTGGTGGTGCGAACTTCTACATCACGTTCGAGGCTACCGACGAGCTGTCTCCTGATCCTGAAAATGCCAAGAAGGTCTATGAAGCTCAAGTTCATGAAAACATGGATGAATTCACCACGAGTCTGCTTCGTGTGAAAGGCGAGAAGACGCAGATTCGAGGAGAGAGCCGTGAAGAGCGGGCATTAACATATGCATGTAATATATCTCTAATCCTTTCTTCATACATATCAGTGGTGGCTGTGTGCCTTCAGTATTCTAGCTGCTTCTATGGTAACAACTTGCGATGCATTCCAGCCTAGCTTAGCTTTGTCCAATTCTGTATTGAACGGTTTGCTCTGGCTTGTTGTATGGTGTTTTTGTAAGCATGGTGTATTAGGGTATGCATCTTTAGGCAATGCATGTGGCTTTTTCTATGATTGCTGAATCAATTTCAATGCGACAACATTACTGAGAATTGAGCTGCCATCTCATCTTTGCTGCACTCTCTTCTCATTCTTTTCGTTCGCTATAAAGATATACATTGAATTGAGCTGAATTGCTTTTGTGCTTTTCTTCTGGCAGGTTACCCCATCTAAGGTCATTTCGCGTCTACTTCACCTAGGGTAGTGTTGCCTTGCGTGGAAGACTCTTATCGCCACGTTGGCAGCAATCTGACGTCGTTTTAAAAGCCGTCTGGTCAACCGTTAATACTTAACGGTCAACAGAACCGACAGGATACAAATAGCCCGAAGAATAATAGTTCAGGACACAGATGGAATATTGAAAACAATAGGACACAAGTGACATTTTTGGAATAGTTCGGGTGTTGTAGTGGTATTAGCACTAAAATTTCCATAAACAAACTAACAATCAGAACTAATTGATGAGCGAGGAAACTCTGGTTCGAGTTTGGTTTCTCCTAAATCAAGTTTTTCGCTCTCAACAAACGTGATTGGTCCATTCTAACCGACGAAACATGGTTATTACATTTGGATTTTTAACATTTTTCGGCATACATGATATTATTTCATATGGAAATATGGGTAAAATCATGTGTAATTGATAGTGGATGGAATTAACCCAATCCAACTAACAATCGACTTACTTTGGATTGGAATAAGTGAATTGATGTTCGATTACATACTCTGTTAACGTTAATGGGGAAAGGAGCAACGAACATTGACAGAAGAGGAGCATGAGGGAGGGGGAGGGGATGGTCATGAGACAAATTTTTTTGATGTTTGAGAAAATTAATTTCATTTAATTAAGAAAAGAGTTACAAATATTTATATACGCCACAAGTTGGCGTAAAGTTAACTAAGGTTGACCCACTATTCCTTTAAAATGATTTGCTGAGAGGAAAATAAAGTATTAAATTTATACCAAGATAATTTGTCGTCATGTTGACCGTTAAGTCTAAGAAATACTAGAGGATGTTATTTACACCATATCCTAACGAAAAAAAGTTAATATGCTAACTTGAAGATTCGTTAGCAGATACTAACCGATATCCAAAATACATGAACTAGTATCCAAGTAATAAAGTATCTAGAGAGCATAGATTAGTATTCAAGGTTTGCTAACTGATATTCACCATGAATCAACTATTATCCCAAATTCACAAACTAATATCTAGAAAACACAAAATAGTATCCATACAGAACATAACTAGTATCCAGATAACAAATAAGAGTATCCATATTAAATACTAGTTGGTTGACTGTGGATATTAGCTGTTATTTGCTATCTGTATACTAATTTGTGATGTTTTGAATGCTAGTTTGTGCTATCTAGATACTTTACTAAAATCAGAATACTGATACTATTTCGTACATTTTGGACATTACTTAGTATATACTAACAACTTAGGCCGTTAGTAGAATAACTAGACTGATATCCTAATAATACAAAAGACACAATTGTCATTTCGAAAATTTTGAAGCACAATTGAAAAAAAAAAAAACATGAACTAAGGATCTTTACTGATATTAAAATAGACTGATACTTATATGATAGATTTTCCCCACGGAAGTTGGGATAAATAATGAGTTATTGATTAAATTAAAAAAATTCAATTCACGGGCTTTATTGTTATTTACTACACGTGTGGGAAAGGGTCGAAGGAAAAGCCCCAATTCCGAAAACAGATTTGGGAATCGAGACGAGATTTTCCAATTTCATTCGTGTTCCTCCCTGCCTAGGGTTCCCTTATTGACTTCCTCGCAATCCTTTTCCGGCCATGGATTCCGATCTCACTGTCCCGAGTTCCGGCTATGATGGCCAACACCCGCCGCTTCTGCCTTTGGATGCAAATCTCGCACCCTCGAGCGACGAATCGGCCCCGGTATCCGACCCTGAAACTGGATCATCGCCGAAGAGGCAGAAGATCGAGGAACCCGGCGGCGAGAAAAGCACCGACGTCGAGGTCGCCGATGGCGATGCCGGTGACAGCAAGGAGGACGGAGAGGAGGAGTGGAGTCAGGTGATGGCGGAGCCCAAAGTCTGTTGGCCTAAAGACGAAGAGGGAGTGAAGAAGTACCGCCGCTTCTTCGAGCAGGTCCAGGAAAGCGAGGTATATAGCCGCAACGGCTTTTGCAAAGCGGGTCCTGTAATTTGTTTATTCTCCCCAAATCAATCATTCATTCTGAATAGTTTTACCGATTTTCATTAGGGATTTGATTTCACCGACGTACCGCCGGTGGACTACATTGCATGCGGGGTTGTTCGGCTCGACTTGGATTCTGCCTGGTTCAAGCATGTCGAGGCCTGTGTGGACTACGTCATTGCTGAACACAACACACTAGAAGAAGGGGTTCGTTAAATTTCGTCCTTCCCTTTGCAATTGTGTTTCTGTAAGTATATGTTTGTTTGTTTGTTTGAATGGTGGTGTTTCTGTGTTCCTGACTTGGGATTTGGTTCTGCTTCCATTGGGTGTGGTTTCTGCCATAGGTGTCGAAGCTGAAACGTGGTGATATTGTGAAGGCCAATATGCGACCTTGTGGTGGTGCGAACTTCTACATCACGTTCGAGGCTACCGACGAGCTGTCTCCTGATCCTGAAAATGCCAAGAAGGTCTATGAAGCTCAAGTTTATCAAAACTGTGATGAATTCACCACGAGTCTGCTTCGTGTGAAAGGCGAGAAGACGCAGATTCGAGGAGACACCCGTGAAGAGCGGGCATTAACTTAACTATCCAATTTAATTCTAATGAAATTACCATAAACACATAAAATAATATATACGATTCCTAAACAATGACTAAATTGGTTCCACAATTAGTTAAAGACATAACAACGTTTTCTTTTCACTCCTAAAAAAACATCATAGTATACCATCAAATTAGAACTTCTTCTTCAACAATGACTAAACAGACTCCACAATAATTAAAGACATAACAACATAGTAATAATAATAATAATATTAATATTGCAATCCGCCCCCAAAAAGCCTCATATGCATCCGTTTGCACTCCACTCCTAAAATAGTTAACCATCAAGTCAGAACTTCCATCTTCATCTTCTAGCTAGTCCCTTCTTCCATGCCTCACCATAAAACAAAACTCCACTTGTCCATTCCCACTTGGCTATGCAGCCTGTTCAAACAAGAGAGAAGACCAGGAATATTTTAGAGCACCGTCACTAGGTAGTTCCAAACCAATATTCACTAGTTTTCATTAAAAAAGATCTATGAGTAGTGTTCAAAGTATGGAAGAAAAAAAAAAGGTTTCACCTCACAAATGCCGATGCTAAAGAACAACGAAGAACGATCGTGTCGACTACACGCACGAGCTATCTTGCAATAGCCTCCATCACCCCAGTTTTCACTCCGCGAGTTTCTTACAATCCAATAGTTTGTCTTAGCCTTGTCGTCAGTCGTCCCGTAACCAACGATCAAGACGGCATGAGTTGGGATATTAATGGTTGTCTCTCCTTCCTTTCCCTTCGGAGTGGCAGGTCGAACGACAAGTGAGGTGCCCTGGAAAATCTCCGGATCCTACCAATTTAAAGTATATCAATGTACATAACTTAATAAGCCACTAAACAATCGAGCAATTTAAGCGGATTGAACACAGTCAAGACTTGTGACCTTCCCTTTGAGTTCTTTGATACAAACCAATGTTTCTATCACTATCTTTATATTTATTAGTGCAATATTCATTATTAAGTATTCAAGTAGTGTTAGGACTATATATGTATGTGTTATTCCTTTAGGATATTTAAGCTGAACAATAGAAGTATTATCCCCAATCCTCATCTATCTTTCTCTCGATCCTCTGAATCTCACATCATCCCCCTAAGGTTGTCGTCAATTCTCTCATATTTTGCCAATTATCACCAGACTCTCTTCTTAGTCACTAATTCCATCTCAAATCCCCAAATCTCTCTCAATTCTCTTCTATCAGTTCCTGTTGTGATAACCTGACTATCAAACTCATCCAGGTTATATAATTCTTGTACAGGAAAAAAGATCAGTCGATTGCTTACAGCTGATAACAACAAAGCTACCATATGTAAAGGAGTTAATGTAAACGGACCACTAATTAATTAGGAAAGATTCTGGTAGCCAATATTGGTCTGTGTGTTGTTTGTAGCGGGTAGATATGATAATTAAGACTTAAGAGAGTTTTGAGCCAACAATATCAATAAATAATAACAATAATAGTAATATAAAATAATATAAGGAACTTGTGTGTATATATGTATATAGAGCTACCATATTTGGTTAATTAAAGATTGAATCGAGTTACTTACCTTGCCTTTCCATAGGTGGAGAGCCTCCGTGTACTCCAAAACCCCTATAACAGGCTTCTCAAACACAAGTTTGAGAACTTCCTTTTCGTCCATTTTCTCCTTCACATCCCAATTGTCTGTAATTCTTCTTGCTTGTAAATCCAAAGTCTCCACATGGAAAAAATGAAAAGTGTTAATATAATACATTATATATGTAATTATAATCAATCATCCAATATTAATTACCGCATCTCTTTTCTGGTGGATTCCTTGTTTGCCTATGTATTTGTACTTCCCTTCCGGAACCAAACCAAACCTGCTAACGTGGTTGAGCACCGTGCTCACTCGGATGGTGTCATCCGTGGTCAAATTCGGCTTCACCCAGTCGATTAGTTCCTGAACACTGAGTGCGACCGAGTTGGAGTGAGCGGCATATTTGATGTTGCATGCTGCCTCCATACATGTAGAAACAGCATGGTAGGCGCATGTCGCTACAGTCAAGAGATCAAGAAAATTCACCCGTCAACTCAAAAACAATTTCGTACAAACGATAGATTATCCAGTTAAAAGAGATATATGAATACATACGCAATTTTTTTTTATCCCTAACCGGACTGACAATGATCTGCTTCCCATGCACTTGTCTCACCCTCCAATCAACAGACAACGGAAGATCTTCATTGTCACCATACAAATCCTTCATACACAGAATGACAAAATCGATCGAGTACTGAATGAACTCAATTCACCACTAATTAAGACCAACTAATCAACGGTAGCTAGATAGCTAGCTGCTTACTTTAGGACGTTGTGGGGGGTGGACATAAGCTGCCCCTCCGCCGCCGCCGCCGCCGCTGCTGCTGCCTTCCCCACCTTGAGACATTGTTCTCTAGATCTATAAGGATAAACGAAATCGCCAATATCAGTAAACACCCATTAAGCAAAACTAGTAGTGATGACTAGACTACACCCACACAACAACCCTTTTCCCCCCAAACCCAACCGAAATCCCAGTTCTCCCGTCCGGCAAAACCCTTGAAAAAGCCGTCTCAAAGCAAAAAGCTTCGTAGGAGCAAGACCATTACCTTCTCTGAGCTGGCGAGCGGCACGGGAGAAAGAAGAAACGGCTGCTCTGGGAAGCTGAGAGGAGGCGGCGGAGCTTCACGGCAGTCAGTCGTCAGCGGCGCTTTGTCGCTAACAAATGGAGCTCGCTGGCTGGGGAAAGGAAGGAAGGAGTAAAGGAACAGAAAACGATGAGAGTGAGCGGAACCCACCGACTTATTCATTCCCATTCATATTCCTTTCCTTTCCATTTTCTTTTGTTTTTGTCTTATGTTTATTTTCTAAAAGGAAGCACCACCAATGTTGACTTTGCACAAAATGGACATGTAACCAGACAAACATTTGTTGTCGGAGAAAGAAAGGCAAGGGCCCGGCCCACTTGATACTACAAGAAGAATTATAAAAAAGTAGGCTTGGCCCACAAACTTGCATTTGCCCGATAGGGATATCTCCATGTGTAATGTAACGGTTATGGTTATATGCACAATAAATTGAATCACTACATGCACATTCTGAAAAAAAGGAAAGGAAAAAAATAAAAAAATAATGTACCATCCAATTTGCCTTCTATGCATGGCTTGGCTAGTTGGATACATCCATATACGTAAATTCATGTAACATACTATACATAGTTTCTATTGCTCTAGTTATAAAAATGCTAGTTTGCAGGAAACATTTTTTTTTTCATACAAGTTGTAGAGAGTACATTTTCCCTCTTTGATCAGAGGGTGGAATGCTGGCAGATTGAACCTCGTATAGTCAGTATCGTTATTGAAACCGACAGGAAGTATGAAACCTTGTATAGTCAGTATTGTTATTGAAACCTCCAATATGAAATACTGTTTTGAAGCACACCGTATGGGATGATATGTGCAAATTTCGAGTCCATGAGTGGACTTTCGTTTCAGAGGGCATTTAAGAAAGTGGTTAAGACCCATATACGGATATCTTCCAAGTTCCAACAGCTCAAATTGTTGGGACCGACTGGTTTATGACATGAGTTTGAAGTTTGCACATACCCTTCATTACCATGTGTTGTAAGACAATGATTAGTATTGGAAATCATCAAAACTTGAACGCATCATCTCAAGGACAAACCGACCCTAATATCATCTCATAAGCCAACCGATACCAATAACTCGAATTGTTAGATAAAGATTAATTAGTGATGTTACGACACTCTCCGAAAAATTCGTAGTGGCATGATACCCATAAAGTCTAAGCTATAGATTCAGATACCAATATCAACAGGGGGAGAATAGCAAGTCTAATCGTTCATATTATCTATTTGTAACACTTTACCCATCTGAATCACATTCTCTTGGGGCTTAACGCTTTCAATTCCTCTTGTCCAACCTGCACGGTCATGATCCACATGCCGCATCTTGCGGGGGAGTAATGGGTTTAGCCCAGTCGACGCATCGACCCGTAACCCAGCAGCCCGATGTGTCACCCAGCAAGCCCAAGGCGGCTTATGCTTGTGCTGCGTATGATTGTCTGTGTAGCACTAGTTGTACCCTAGTTGAGTGTATAGAAGGGTATAAAAGCAAGTGTATGGTCGTTGGCCGCCATTAAGAACGTAATAACATATTAGCTGGATAGAGTTGTTCTCTCCCGTGGACTAGTCCCGATCATCGGGGATACCAGTACCACGTTAAATCGTGTCTCGTCTATTCCGCATTATAGATTTCAGCATATTTTACAAATTTAGCCACCGATACTACACGTTTATGCCATATTTGACTCACCGTCTAATTCCGTTAAATTTGTCATACGTAGCAGTCAAAGCTTATGTGTTAATTAAAAAATAATAAAAAGAAGGTAGGGAAGTGCGGTACCCGGTAATGTTGACATGGACATGACATACCTTATCGTGTTACCACTTGTGCATAAAATCAAAAGGAAACGAACATCTGTCAATAAAGGTTGCGAACTATAAGGTCCCGCCACTTAAATAAATGTAACCCTTTTTGTATGTTTCAAGAAACCTAGGATCGATCATGACACAAAGAATTTAATAAAGGGAGAAAGCACATTGGACCACCACTTGCATTATTGTTTTCGTGAGTGCATGATAGGAATATGTAACGTATATGGTTTTCACGTGAGGTTAGGCACATTTATGTCATGCATGCACATTTCGCCAAAAAAAAAAACCATGAAAACATGCCATGCAATGCATTGGCTTTGGTATATGTGCGTTTTTATTGTCACCAACTAATAATCGATTATATTAATTCGAGTCGTTAGAAAAAGTTCAATTTACTAACACACTGCTAAAAAACGAAATCTTTGAAATTTGTACAGTCCAACAAAGAGATACAATGTGATTAACATAACATATAGTGATTAACAATGTGATTATCCAAATTACAATGTGATTAACATTTAGTACAAGACATCCCACACCACAAATGTTTCTGATATGACTTCCGATATGGTTACACACTCATTGGCAATGTTTTTTTCTAGATCAACTAATGACGGCCTACAGAACGAAACCCGTCTCGAAAACAACGGTCAAGAGCCTTGCCATAATGCAAGGGTTGATTGGAGCTTCGTTTTGGCCACGATTTTATAAGTCTTAATGACCAATATGCTGAAGTTGATCAAGTGTTTAATAACACAGGTTTGAGAAAGCTAATCTATGTGATTCTCAAAAACTGGTTCATTTCAAATTACTTGATCTGGCGTGAATCTTATACCTTTACGTACGGAAGTTCTCCCTAACAAAAAATATGAATCAAGCATGCAACATTTAGACCATCGAAATCTCTAATTGTATGCAACAAATCAATAATTAAATCGCCTCTCTCAGAAGTTTCCAGATCAGCTGCAGTATGTTGTCCTCTTCATGCCATGCATGTAAAAACTCTAAAGCCAAAACAAAGTGTGGGCCGGCTGTGTTTGGGCTTTAAATGGGCTAGGCTCGGTTGAGGTATTCCTTCAAATGAGGCCCAACCCAATTCCCATCATAGAAGAAGAAACTGAGCATTTTAAAATCGACATCCCCAATTTCCTCCTTTCTCTACCCTAGGGTTCTTAGTTCCTACATTTTCCCAATCAATCGATCTTCGGCTATGGATACCCAACAGCCCCCTCTTCTGTCTTTGGATGCCAATCCCAAACTTCCGAGCGACGAATCCGCACCTGGATCCGACTCTGGCTCCCCAACGAGCGAAACTGGGCTTGAATCGGAGCCGAAGAAGCAAAAGCTCGAGGAAGCCGGTGGAGGCGACGACGACGAGGAGGTCGCCGATGGTGATGGTAGCGAAAATGATGAAGAGGAGGACGATGAGGATGTACAAATAATATACGTCGAAGAGGAAGACGACGGCACGGTCCGCGAAGAGTTCGTTCAGGCGCCGTCGGAGCCCATAATCTGGTATCCTAAAGACAAGGAAGGACAGAAGATATTTGAGCGCTATTTTGAGATCGTCAAGGAAAGCGAGGTAAGTGTTCTTCTTCTTCTTCTTCTTCTTCCTTTCTACCTCCTTGCAGATAGATTCTCTCGGATTTGGCTTACCTTAGCTTGTTTCCTTCTGCTGAATCGACCATTCAAAATTTGTCTGTGAGTAGGGATTTGATATTGGCGAGCTTCCTCCGGTAGACGTCATTGAACGAGGGGTTGTGCCAGTGGATTGGGAATCTGAATTTCAGAGCAACAATGTCGAGAACTGTGTGATTCATGTGATTAGGGAATACAATGAAGAAAACAAAGGGGTTTGTATCTGATCCTCTTCACGTTTTTTCCCCCCCTTTGCATCGTCTCCAAGTCTGTCTGTGTGTTTCAATGGCTGGTTTATGTAGGTGTCGGAGCTGCGACCTGATGAGATTGAGAAGGCCAATTTGAGTTCTTGCGGTGGTGAGAACTACTACATCACCTTCGACGCTACTGACCTGCTGTCGCCCGATCCTAATCTCGCGAGGAAAACCTATCAAGCTGAGGTTTATCGGAACATCGAAGGTGGCGTTCTATCGACCACTCTGTTCCGCGAGAAAGGCCAGAAACAGTTCATTTATGTAAAGGAGGACCGCCAAATCACCTATATCTGAATCTGATGCTTGAGGAGGCTCAAAGGGTTTGAATGGGTTAGTTAGCTAGCTACTGTTGCCACTGAATCTTTCATTTTATGCCACTCTTTGTAAAACTGTGATGCATGATGTCTGTATTGGTCCGTCTCGTTTGAGTTTGCCCTGTGTGCTTGCCATGGTTACAACTTACAACATGCAGCTGGGTTTTTGGTGCCTGTTGTCGTTGAGTTTCTCTGTGGTTACAACATGCAACTGGTTGGTGTCTGTTCCGTTTGAGTTTCAATAGCTTTGTTAGAAATGCTTATCTGAGTATAGAGACAGTCGCTTGATCTTTGCTTCATTTGCTGTGTATTCTGTCGACTTGGTGTCTCTTAGGTAAGATAAGCATCGTTGTGATCAGAAAGATGTACATTTCATGCGCATGGTTGTCTGCCCTCTGAAGACAGTATGTGAAGGTTTCTTGCTTTGGCTTTTGGGTATGTTAAGCTGATGTACTTTTATGCTTGTTATTTTCGCAGGTGCAGTGGCTGAGGAGTCCTGAGTTCTCAACTAAGGCAATCGTTATGAGTTTGAGGCCCGTATTGCATAGTGGTACTGGAACTTAACTATAGAGTAGTTTATCTCTAGATCTCATCTGGTTAAGTTAACAATGGGTGTGTTCATTTGGGTGTTGGATTTCTTGTACTAGTTTGCTCATATCAACTTGAACGCACTCCTTCGACCTAGAGGAGAGATGGGTTATTGATGAGGGCAATAACGGAACAAAGCAAAGTTACGAGGGAGATAGTTGGAACAAATAATTAGGTAGATAATCCCTGTTTATAATTTTAGTTTTCTTAGCTTTTTGGTAGAGATTAATAATTGGAGGAAGTCATTACCATTAGTGATGGCAATAGGCGGGGTGGGTGCATCAGTAACCATGTATATATCTGCTCCGTGGATGCTCATTCTTATATGTTACTTGAAAAAAGAATGTCGGTATCTAACTCTTTATTAAAAATAGGTAAACTAATTTTGATTAGTGTTGGATCAACCTTTACATTTTACAGCCAACGACGTATTTGAACCAACAAATTACACCAAAACTCTATTAAATGATTGTCGTTTGAATAGTTTTGAACTTTAACGACGGACAATACTCCCTTTCTTTATTTACTTGTTCTTATATCCTATGAACATGAGCAATGTTTCAAAAATCATCGCTAAACAGAGCTGACAGTGGCTCCTTTTCGAAGTAAGGATTATAACTATTGCTAAAATTGCATGTCGATTTAACATTCAATTCGTATAATATAGTTTTACAAACACTACTCCGAACATCAAGGGCTTCTAGCTCGATGGCAACCATAAGCATGTTACACAAACCAGAGGCGGACCCACCTTGTAGTAAGGTGTGTCACCCGACACACCTTGCTCCGAAATTTTTGTGAGGAACTCACATTTTTTCGGTGTAAAAAATTCGTACAAAGAAACTCGGACACACCTCCAATAATTATAATCGACACACCTTAAACTTGTTACATTACAAAAAAAATTATTGTGATAATAGTATTAAAATATGTAAATATAGGAGTTATCGGATTTCATATTAGGTAGTTAATTAGCTAGTTGTACAAGAGTAAACAATTAATTGACTACTTACTACTTAGTGAGTATTCAGAAAGATAGCTATCACCTTACAGATAACCTCAATAAATTGAATGATAATTAAATTGATTAATAATCTAGTTGAGTCACGTAATTAGATAGTGAATTCCATATAGTCTTTCCCCATAACTTCTTCCATGGATTCTTCTTAAGTTAACATTCTACTTGCTTTCTAGTTTAGCTATTTCTTTCTACGTTGACGCCTGTCGCCAACATCTGGTTGTCGGCATCGAGCCGACGACATCCTCATTCTCATTCAAACTTACACATTGACGCCTGTGGCCACCCTTCCAGCTTCTCATACCAGCTTTCTCATATTAAATTAGTGTTGACTTTACATATTGCAACTGTAAGCTACAAAATTACATTTTTCATATATGATTTTAATCGATTAAAATCTTTGGTATAAGTTGAGTGATCAATTTATGAATAACTTTTTAGTTGTGTACATAAAAATATATTTGATTTGCAGCCTAATGAGCAAATGTAGTTAAGAAATTTTTCAGAATATGAAAACTCGTCGTGGTTCACTGTAAAAAATAATGAAATTGATGAACTTTATGAATAAATTTTTTATATTTATTTTAAATTAATTAAATAAATTTTTTTAATGGCCGACACACCTATACCAAAATTCTGGGTCCGCCACTGACACACACACAAGCCAACTTTTTTTTTTTTGGCCAAACTAATACAAAAGCAAATGCTAGCACAGTAGCATGTAATCCTCCATTAATATATTGTAGAGTTTTGTGTACTTTTCTCCATTTCAAATTTCCTGCAACGAGAGTGAAAGTAGGAAGGTCATTTTTGTCTTTACACATTTATTATTTATTTCATATAAAAATAGCAATACCAAGATTTGAACCCGGGTCTCTTCAAACAAAGATAACAAGCACAACCAGTTACACTAAACAAATTTATTGCATCCTTTTTATACAAAAAATAGACAAAGTTAATCTCTGAAAATCAGAGGACTTTTTCATCATAATTAGCAAGCTCACTAAGTCTACCGTATGTATTTTTATCGAGCTTGATACTTCTATTTTCATAGTAGAGTTTCCTGTAATTTTCTCAATTTTAAATTCCCGCTCTCTCCTTAATTTTTGCTAAAGGTAAATGGGTAATTGGCCAACATGGAAGAAACTAATTATGTAACTACTGTTGTATCCTCGCATTTTTCAATTTAAATTTAAATTTTGTGTTTTTTTATCTTTGTTCTTTTCTCTTTCTAACTTCCTCCGAAATTTCATCCATCGTGCAATAGTTTGCGCCTTTCACTTCCCAGTACAAGACTGTTATTGAAAATCAATCTTCAGGTATCTCTTAACACTACGGTTTTATTGTTGGGGACTTTAAGCTGGGCGAGTAGAAGATTTCAACTCCGATATCAATTCATGGCGAATAGAATGGAGTTCATCAATAACTGAAGTTGTAGAAGAAAGATTAGAAATTGAATTTTTGGTTGAATATATGCATCTTGAGATAGAAATTTGGTTGTACAACGGAGAGTGGTGGCTATTGGATCTTTAGGTTTATGGTTTTTGCAATTTTCATAACCTATTTCTATCTTAAAACGAGGAATCATTGATTGATTGTTTGAATTCTTTATTCAACCTACTGGAACTAATAGATAAGGAGTGTCTAATTTTGCGCCTTATTACTTTGATCGAGTCTATTCGTATATTGGAGATAACCCTGATTTTTTCGTTTGCTCTCAAGTTGTGATGGTCCCTTCTTAGCTGAGTTTTTAGTATATAGATGACTTGAATCAACAACTCTCTATTTCTTTTTGATTAGTGACATATTGTTTCTAAAAGGAGAGCATTGAACCCTTTATATAGGATTGTGAGGTTTAAGATTTAGTTTCAAACTATCTATGCGTTGTGTGAGAATTTCGGTGAGCTTTTATACTCTATATTTCTTGATTGTCAAAGAAAACTAACCAATAGCATTTTAACAGGGACTTAATTAGCATTATGAAAATGGGGTCAATGATACATTTTTATATTTTATATTCTTAAATGATTATGATATTTCTCCGAATGTTCGACCTATATATTATTTCTTTATGTATCATCTCGATCGAATAATTATCAATAAAATTAAACGGGTTAATAGACTTAAGAGTAACATAAAAATACAAAAAATCAAATATGAGCATTCCGGCCAAAGGGCCGGGTTATAAGCTAGTTTTGTTAATGCAATTAAAAAAAATGGAGTGTGGCTGGTGGAGAAGAAAAATTATTCAGGGATTTTTTATTTTTATAAATATATTATTCAGGGCCTCAAAGATCCGATAACAGTCCTGCCTTATAAATCATAACACGTGTGACGGTGTGAGCCGGGGTCGAACACAAATCCCTAATTTTTTACGATTACAGAAGATTTCAAATCCGAGATCCCCAATTTCGCTCTTTCCCCTCCCTCGGTCCTTCCCTAGGGTTCTTACATTCCGGCCATGGATACCCAACAGATCCCTCTACTGTCTTTGGCTGCTAATCTCGAGCTTTCAAGCGATGAATCCGCTCCTGGAACCGACTCTGCCTCCCCAACGAGCGAAACTGGGCTTGAATCGGAGCCAAAGAAGCGATGACGAAGACGAGGTCGCCGATGGTGACAGTAGCGAAAATGACGAAGAGGACGACGATGAGGATGTACAAATAATATACGTGGAAGAGGAGGAGGAGGATGACGGCACGGTCCGCGAAGAGTTTGTCCAGGCGCCGTCGAAGCCCTTAATCTGGTACCCTAAAGACAAGGAAGGACAGGAGACATTTAAGCGCTACTATGAGATTGTTAAGGAAAGCGAGGTACGTACGTGCGTAGTGTTAAACTGCACTTCTTCTCTTCTCCCTACTCGCGCAGAGAAATCCTTCGGTTGGTTTGCTCCTTGCCTCCTTCCGCTGAATTAGCAATTCGAAAAATTTGTCTTGTGACTAGGGGTTTGATGTCGGCGAACTTCCTCCGGTGGACATCTTTGAAGGCGGGGTTCTGCCGGTGGATTTGGATTCCGAATTCATGGGCAACTATGTCAAGGACTCTGTGGATTATGTGATTAGGAGATACAATGAAGAACACATGGGGGTTTGTTTCTGATCATCTTTACTTGTGCTTCTTGTTGTTGTTGTTGTTGTTATCTTGGTTAGGGATATGGGTATGATGATGGGCCTTGTCTGTCTGTCTGTCTGTAGGAGTCGGAGCTGCGGCTTGATTCGATTGAGAAGGCTAATTGGAGTCCTTGTGCTGGTGAGAACTACTACATCACCTTCGACGCTACCGACCTGCTGTCGTCTGATCCTAATCGTGCGAAGAGAACCTATCAAGCTGAGGTTTACCGGAACATCAGTGGCGTTCTGTCAACCACTCTGTTCCGCGAGAAAGGCCAGGAACAGTTTATCAAAGTAATGGAGGACCGCCCAATCACCTATATCTGATTCTTCTTTGGAGAACCTCAAAGGCTTTGAATGGGTTTAGTTAGGTACTGTTGCCACTGTGTATTTGTCTTTTAATGTGATTATTATATCTGGGTAGAACTGTGATGCATGATAATGGTATTGGTGAGTCTTGTTTGAGTTTTCCCTGTGCTTGCCAATTGCCATGGTTACAACATGCAACTGGGTTGGTGACTGTAATATAACAAGTTTGTCTAGCTTTGATAGAAATGATTATCGAGTGTAGAGACAGTCATCTGACCTTTGCTTCACATGTTTGCATTACTTGCTGTTTATTCAGTCAACTTGGTGTCTTTCTGTCAAGTTGGTATCTTTTAGGTAAAGATCAGCATCACCCTGACCAGAAAGATGTACATTTCATGCATATGGTTGTCTGTTTATGTGAAGGTTTCTTGATTGGCTTTTGGTTGAGTTAAGCTGATGTACTTAATTTCATGCTTGTTGATAAAAATGAGGTTGGTCTAAATTCATGGGGCTCGTAATAAACGTGGAATTATATTTTTACTCAAAATCTTCGCCGGTTAGGTCCCCAAATCGATTCGCTCCTTCCGCAACCTCCAATTCCTCGACCTCTCCGGGAATATGTTCATCAATGTGGCGGGTCGGGTTTGGTGACGTGGAAGGTTAAAATTGGATTAGTTTACACTTCTGTTAGCCATGTCAGCAATTGACTGACGGTGTTAACAAAAATTGACGGAGACTAACGGAGAGTGACTAAACGTGGATCGTTTTCCTAGTTCGAGTGACCGCTAATGAATTTAAATATTTGGAGTAACCAAACATGAACGTTTTTTATAAACTCAGTGCCCAACCATACAATTAACCCAACATTTATTAGTAAGGTTTTAACAAGTGTGGGCTATAAATGTGCTAGGCTTGGTTTAGGTCTTCCTTCAAATAAGGCCCAACCCAATTCCCAGTAAAGTAGTGAAAAAATTAATTATATGAGTTCGTTTGACAAATGGATATGGTATAATAATTAAATTCTCTTCGGATTTCGGAAACCTGCGTGAGCGTGAATGACTTTTTAAAAAATGATAAACATAATCCACCCTCGTGCCTTATAACACGTGTGAGAAAACCGAGAAAGGGTCGAAAGAAAAATCCCCAATTACGAACACAAATCGAAATCCCCAATTTCCGTTCGTGTTCCTCCCTCTCTAGGGTTTCCTCCAGCTACTCTCTCCCAGTCCTTTCCCAGCCATGGATCCCAATCTCACGATCTCGAGCTTCGACTCCGATCCTGAAGCGGATGCGAGTCTCATACTCGCGGGCGATGAATCTTCTCCCGGATCTGCCTCCTCCTCGAGCGAAGCCGAACTTGGATCGGAGCCGAAGAGGCAGAAGGTCGAGGAAGCCGCCTTCGCCGCAGCCGACAAAAGCAGCGACGAGGTCCCCGGTGATGATGCTGGTGACAGCGACGAGGATGAAGAGGAAGAAGAAGCCTCCGATAGCATGGTCTGGACTCAGACGCCGTCGACGCCCGTAATCTGGTATCCTGAAGATGAGATAGGGCGAAAGAAGTTTGACCTCTTCTATGAGCAGATTGCGGCAAGCGAGGTGCGTAGTGGGCAACTGCATATTTGCTTCTTCTTGGGTAAAGTTTCTGTTACATCAATCTTACTTTTTTTTTTTTTTGGGCTAGGGATTTGATTTTGACGAAGTTCCTCCGGTAGACATCCTTGAGTACGGGGTTCTTCCCGTCGATATGGATGATGACGATGACGGCCCGAAGGTCAGGGAATGCGTGCGTTTCGTGATTGAGCAACACAATGCAAATAACATAGGGGTTTGAATCCTCCCGACCCCTCTCTTGCTTTGATTGATCTATCGATTTGTTTTTTGGTTTGCTGAATTGGGATCGATATGAGGTGTTGCCCTGTTGTGTGCATGTAGGTGTCGGAACTGGTTGAGGATGAGATTGTGAAGGCCAACTACGCACTTGTCAATGGCATAAACTATTACATCACGTTCAAGGCCACTGACAATCTAGCTTCTGATTCTGAAGATGCCACCAAAGTCTACCAAGCCGAGGTTTATCGGAGGCGGAATGGTGTTAAACAGACTACACTTTTTCGCGTGAAGGGTCAAAGAGAACCCATTCGAGAAGTGGAGGACCGCCCACGAACTTGTATGTGATGATCAATGGAGAGTTCAAGAGTTGAAGGCGGAACTGTTACGTTGGTGGTAATATTCTGTTCTTCCTCACCTGCAGTTGTCTTGAGTTATGTTGAATGGTTATAGAGCATGGCTTGACTGTTCCCTATAAATAGGAAGTGTGGAGTAGTCAAGAGGGAATATCAAATATCAATTATGGTAGTTGAGGCCTAATACATATCTTCCTTAGCTATATAAATAGAGCCTGATTATGGTATTTGTATTAAGAAATTAGGGAGAGAGCAAAAAGAATGCAAAAAGGAACAGAAGTGTGCTGTGTCTATATGAGAGACTAAGTGAAAAGTTACTAGGCTTGTTTGTTTATTCCTAGAGGGAGTGAACTACCTAACTACCTAGATATTGGCAGTGTGATTGAGGAAAGTATGTGGTTGAACATGCTAGAGAGAGAAGTGATGATGAATGAAGTCGTGGTAGGGTTGATACTAAACATTGCTGTATGCTTTTTCATCTTTCTTTAAGGTAAAAGCTAGGGCTAAGCATCACCATGACTATCCAGGAGGATATATATCCATTTCACACGTGTATGCATGTCTCTTTCTTCTGAACATTCTCTGAAGCTTTTGTGTTTGGAGTTTGGCTGAGTGAAGCTAAATCGCTTTTTATGTTTTTTTTCTCTCTCTTGCACAGGTCGATCAGAGAGAATCGTTGAGTGAAGGATCTATTTAAGCTTGTCGTATTAGTCTGAAGCCCGTAGTTCATAGGGGTAGTGTTGCTTTGATAACTTTCATCGCTTCATAGGGGTAGTGTTGCTTTGATAACTTTCATCGCAATATTTATCATCTCTCGTGTCTTCAGAATTGTAGTTAAGATTTCTAATCGGATACTAAGTTATGGATTTCTTGCACTACTTTTCTTAGCAACTTAATTGATCCCTGATGTGTTCTGTGACAGGAAGATCTTATTCTATCTCCGTTTGCTGTATGCTTCAGTTAATCCTTAAGCAGTTAGGATTTCGCAAACAGTTTCTTTCTTGATCATTATATATAGGTTTAGCGCCTCAAGAGACTAGTAGATGGCACATGTCACAATTCTTTATCGTTCGATAAATGAGGAGGCGATAGGCATTGTTACTTTGTTAATATAAAGATGTGCAAACATGGGATCCACGGTTGAATAGCGTCATCAAAGTAGGAGAATGGAATAAGGATGAACTAATGAGGATCAACTATGTAGATTATAACAAAAGTATATAATACTAACTTTCAATGCTTTGACCGAATTGCTAGAGCATAAGTGTACTCATAGCCTAATTTGGGTTTGCCTCAAAAGTACGATAAACGAATCCCATACATGTCCATATGTCAGAGCCAGCAAATACGTAACATCGTAGAGATCATCGACCTACAAACAATGTCGCGCGCGAGTGCTACCAAGATAAGCTATATACCAATGTCACCAACCACAAGCAAGTCGGACGCACTTCACTTCTAGTCCTCTGAACCCTGGTAAAGCATTAAAAGGAAGTCTATTCAGTATTCAATTAGAATCTCATAGTTACGAGGGGAAATGAGTTTAGAGTTTAGATTGTATGTATGTATGTATTATATTAGGGACACTAATTAGTAATTAGAGCATTTACCTCGACTATGCCAATACGGTTCAACAACGTGCGACCACCAGGCAGGCTACAAGCCCGAGCGATCTTTCCATAGCCGTTGTCGCCAAAATCAACCCCCCACGAGTTCCTGATGAGCCAGTAGTTGATCTCAGTAGCTGGGTCCGTGCCATAGCCAATGATCAAGACTGCATGCATGAGATCACTTCCCCCGTTCTTCCGCTTTCCCTTGGCACTTCCATCAACTATATCACCTTGCAATATCTCCTGCCGCACAAAGTGGCCGGATTAACATGAAATGAGCAGCTTGGATTCCCATATTCCCCTTGCTAATAATTAGGAACAATCAACTTGACATGCACACAAGTTACAACATAATCCAGCTAGGAAGAACTAAGAAGAGAAGGGAAGAGAAGAGATGAGATGAGATGAGAGATCCAGTAAAAGAAGGTGAAGAGGGAAAAAGAGTGGGAAGAAGAAGACTGATTCATTAAGACCAACAGACAAAAACAGGGCCATTAGATTGCTCTCCTAAGTCCTAACCATCCACTCAAATGGAGCCAGCTTACACGACAAACAATAAATGCTCAAATGCATGTTGACAACATAATAAATGAGCCTCATGCAACTTAAGCTAACAACGCCCAATGAATCCAGGAAACAGAGAAATGGAGTACTAGAACAAAGTAGTTTGTTACCTTTCCATCCCAGTTTTTCAAGTTTTTGAGCCCTCTAATGACACCAACAACCGGCTTCTTTGTCACCATCCTGATCACTTTTGCTTCATCGACTTTATACTCTTCCGTGTGGTTGTACATAATGCTTTTGGCCATCAGCCGATGTCCCTATACAATCAGTCAAACACACACATCGGCTCCACTTCTAAACCAGAACCAATCCAAGAAACAAAGAGATAGAAAGTGAGAGAGATATCTGTTGCTATATATACACATGCACTTACTGGCTCCTTAACCTTGCGCTTCTTGCTTGGTTTTCCATCCTTACCATATGGATAATTCTCCTCCAAACACAGCTTCTCGACCTCAACCCACTTGAAGACCTTCTTGAGTGTGGATACTGCCCTTGTTTTAGCGTCATCAGGCACCACCCAGTCAATGAGCTCCTGCACGGAAAGGGTCACCGGATAACCTTGCCTCCCAAAGTACTTGATGTTGCAGGCTGTTTCGACCAAGGTGGACACAGAGTTGACCGCACAGGTCTCTGCATTAATTGTACAATTCAAACGATCAAAATGGATAATCATCAAGACACTCAAAACAAACTCAGAGAGCCTGATCATGATCAAATCAATATACATACGCAGGATGCCTTGATCTTTAATCGTACTCTTAATTACTTCCATCCCATTCACAGCATTCTGCCTCCAGTTCCAATCTCTCCAGTCCACCGATAATGGCAAATTGAGATTCTCTCCACACAAGTCCTTCATAGGTATATGCACAAAACTTGTTCAAATTCTTTCAACAAACCCATACACTAGCTAGGGAAGTATCAAGTATCCAACCCACATTAGGAAGAAGGAAGGTATTTCTTACCTGAGGGCGTTGCTGCCTTCTGGGTTTCCCTTTTTTCCCACCGGTAATTCCTTTCTGAGTAGGCGGCATCTTAATTTTGAAGCTGTATCAACGACATTTATCAGGGGGGGAGAAGAACCCAGCTATCGGAAGCAAAGAGCCAAGATCTTGGAAGGTTTCTAGGACTTCTTGTTAGGGGGAAACTTACGGGTAGTGAAGTAGCGGCTTAGATCTGCTTCACCAAAGGACGGCGGCGACGGCGAAGGACGACGGAAAGGAGGAGGATGGCGGCGACGCTCTTCACTATCTGAACTTCACTCTTCTTTGCTGGTATTGGATTTGAGAATGGAAGACGGCAGCTGCAGAAGTGCAGAGTGTGTGTAAGAATTAGAAACCTTTTAAGGGACACGCGCCCGATTCGGTCGGGTCACCCAAAAAGCGAGTGGACCTTTTTTTTTTTTTTGTTTGTTTCTTTATTGTTCTTTTTGTTTCCGTCCATTTTCCCGTATTTTGGGAATATATGTAATAAATTTGTTTGTTCATGTCAACGTTTTTAGTTGATATTGTCAATTTCGTGAACTATGATTAGTGAGATTTTACTATAAACGGTAATGGAGAAAATAGTTTAATGGGTGGTTAGTGTTGCAATGATTGTAAAATAATACCAAAACAATTAATATAACCTATTCATCGGGTAATATACGTAGACACAACAATATCGATCAAAACCGATCAGTATATTGTAAACATGTAGTTTGACGGTGTAATACTAGCTCATACAGACATTCCCTATATATCTATCTATTGTAGAGATAGACCTAATCAACTGTACAATGGATTTGGAATAGGAGAGAATAGTCCATGGCATGAGGAGGACAAAGGATTAAGATCAGATTTAGAGATTAGGAGTATTCAGAGGGATATAGAAGACCTCAGTGTAACCTGAAGTTGGATTTTCCTTGTTTTCCCTTCCGGTCCACATCAAATTTCTTCGCTAAGGGCTCATGATTTGAGTTAAGACTGAAGGTGGGTTCAAACCGTTGTTTGTGTCGAATAAGCAAAAGCAGTTCCTCACCTTAATTAGATTAGGGGCGCCACGATTCAAATACAAAGTTAAAGTTATAATCTCGATCAGGGGTATAATCGTTTCGTCGAAAACTAACTGTTTCGATCCAACGACATTACACGGTCACACACTACGTCACTTGTGACTAGCTAGCTACAAACATAAACTTGGACATGTAAACATATGAAACGGAGTAAATTAGTTTAACCAGAAAGGCTAAACCACCTTCATCGTATGTTATGTGACTGTTTGAAATGAATGTGACATTACCTTGTACATATACGATGGTACTTGTTGTGCATGAAACGAGAGAAAAAAAAGAGACAAACATTTCTCGAGAAAAGTTGGGGAATATTTAATGGACCCGACCCGACCTGACCCGATTCGTAGTGCAACCTTTTTTTATATGATTCAAGAAACAACCTCGGATAGATCATTCATGGAGCAATGCACGTTCTGCCAAAATGGGGAAAATTAAATACTCCATGCAAATTGCCATGCATGGCTTGTAGGTTAAATTAGGTATGAGTGATCACTTTTGGCAATACCCATATTCAATATTTTAGTTTGACTCTAAATTAGACTAATGATATTGGGTCCAACACAAAAGGAATATCCAATTCTAATGCAATCTTTATCTCTTTTTATGTTAAAAACAAACATAAATGTTGAAGCACCAACATTAAAAATGTGAATCAGGTTGACATCTTGATTGATTTTTTTTTTCTGTGTGTCCAGCTCAACCTCACATGAAATGCATGTTTCCATCATGCTTCCATGTTGACGCTTGTGGTTGTCGCCACCCTTCAACCTTCTCATTTAAGCTTTCCCATCTTAAATTATTGTTTACTTTACCTCTTACAAATGCAAGCTACGAAATGATTTTTTTTATTTTATATATTAGTTTAATCAAGAATGATATTTGGCATCGGTGGAGTGTTGAGTAACTAATTTATGAATAATGGTTCAGTTATTTATATAAGAAAATGTTTGATTTGTAACCGAATGAACAAATGTAATTAAGAAATCTTTCAGAATATAAAAATTCATTGTGATTTACTATAAAAAACAATAAATTTGGTGGACTTTATGAATAAAATTTATATTGATTTTTAATAAATTAATTGATATTTTTAACTTATTTTTATGAACTGGCACACCTATCCCAATATCCTGGGTCCGCCACTGCCAATATTAACTGTTGTCTTAAGCACATGGTATGACGACCCTGTGCAATTTTCAACTCCAAGAGTATGCTTTCATTTAAGTGAGCTTAACAAAAGTAGTTAGGTACCTCTTCCAATAACTCAAGTTATTGGTATTAAGTGGTTTTCAACAAATATGACTAATACAATCAGGGAAGTTAAACGATGGATTCAATGGACTGTTTTAGGAAGACAAATAAGTTCAACTTTTAAAGTTCTCTGTCCTCGGCGGCAACTTTTGATACACGGCGACTATGGAGCGTACAGTGGAAGGAAAGGGGCAAACCGGCGGGGTATTATGGCGAACGAGTTCAGCGTTCCTCCGGCGACAAGAATCCGGCGGTTTCAATCAATAGCAGTTGCTTTTTGACCGGCCTGAAGAACTTCCATCGCCAACGGTTGGGGATTTGGAGATCGACCCGACGCTGCGGACTGCGGGATTCTGCAGATAGACATTAGGTGGGATTCCGAGATCGGCGGGGGCGTGGAAGATCGATGCGGTGGCCGGTGGAGGATTCTGCAGATCGACATGGCGGTGGGGATTCAGAGATCGACTCGGAGGCCTTGCCGTTAGCCATGAGTTGCAGAAGTTTTGCCTGTTCATTCTCTTTCTCGCGCCATTGTGCGCTCTAGTAGTTAATTGCCTCCATCTATGCAATATTTTTGTGGTTGCCGGCTAACATTTTGCAGGGGGCTTCAAAGTAGTTGCAGACTGGTTGACAAAGTCTTACCGACGAATGGGGAGATTATTTGACTGCCGATAGGCGTTAATGGCTTTGGCCACTGGAGGAGAGGTGTCGGGACTGCTTTTGTTGGGCGTGATCTTTTCGGCGTGATTCAGTTCGCAATGGGTAAGTTTTCTGCAAGTATCGATGATTCTTTTTTTGCAGAATTATTGACGTGGAGGGATGCCTTGGATTGGTGCCTCACACATGGTTTCTTTTGCTCAAATTGCATGGAATTCACGACTGATTATGTGGCGACACTTGGCGGGTGTATCTCATCATGGGACTGGTGGTGCAACCGTAGAAGATGATCATTGTTTGTTAGGATCCTTTGAGTTTTGTTCTTGCTCGCATGTTACTTATTGAGTTAATAGGGCAGCTCATTTTGTGGCAAAAAACGCTCTCATCGAAAGTTCGACGATTTGTCGACTTTCGCCCGTGGATTTGTTCTTTTTTTTTTTGTGAAAAACAGAGCGCAGAGGGGCGCTCTAACCCTTTATCATTAATAAAACGAGGCGTTTGTACACCAAGAGAATCGAACAACAACCAGTAGCGTAACCTAGGTCCCGGGGTATCCACAACATGTATCCCTGTAGGTAGCGAGTGTCCCTCCGAAGCCATGAAGTCAGCAACATAATTGCTTTCGCGAAAGACATGTTCTGTTCGAACCTCCCATTGGCGATTGAGGAGCTGTCGGATCGAAGCTGCCAAAGTCCGATGCGGGAGATTATCTCGTTCCATCTGGATGAGATTTGTTCTGTTCTTTGACTATGTATCCGGGCTTTCGTCCGATTTGAATATTTAAAAAAAAAACGATGAATTTCGCAGAACGTGGATGAAACATTAGCATTGGATCTGGGCCCGCTAAAGTTTGAAGAAGTGTTGCCAACTTGATCTCTTGCCCCACGAAGTAGTATGGGCTCATCATTGGGCCGTTAATGGACTAACTTTTTTCTTCTTCGGAGATGACTAGGGTTCGCTTTAGCTGTTTTTTTATGCGTGCATGCAACAAGTGCCACGTACGCCGGCGGCAACAAAAAATAACGCTCGAATAGAGGGAGGAAAAACGAAAAAGCCCTAGATCAGGCAAAAGCGATGGAAGAACCTCCTTTGCCCAAAAAGCAAAAGACGGAAGGTGGACCTGAACCTGATCAGCAGGATGCGCAGCCGCCGACGCAGCAGGTTGCCGCGGCAGAGCCCAGTGGCGGAGCCAGGAAATTGGCTAAGGGGGTGTCTTTATCATATCATAAAAAATCACCTATACAATAGAAAAGTCAACTTTAAATTAAACAAAAAGTCAACAACGCAATACTCTAAAGTCACACAATTACATTAAAATAGTTTCACGTACACCGGTTACAACGTCAAACAAATAAGTTCAGTACATACAAATCAAGACTTCCATTCATCAAATATTACAAATTAGAACTGAGAAATACCTTGGAATTGATTTTGTGAAACAAACAAGTGAACTTCGATTGGTACTTCTTCACTTTCAACTTTGTTTAAACAAAAGACAAGAAATTTCTCTGTTGTAGAGCTACAAAAAAAATGAGCGAGTTTAAACAAAAGACAACAATTTATTACTATAAATAAAGACGAAAGTCCATTACATAACAAAACTCACTCGATCGAAATGATAAGAAATTCTTCCTGCAACAGAATGGTCATTGGTTCGAATTTGTATATACCCCTACTCGAAAAAAAATTCTCCAAACCGAGGGGGGTGCAAAGCACCCCCTCCTCTCCAAGTGGCTCCGCCACTGGCAGAGCCGCCGTCGGTGCCACGATCATCCTCCTCCTCCTTTCCATGGGGCGATCCGTCGTCTCCTTACCCGGTGATTGGAGTCAATCCTGCATGCAGACATTATGAGAAGATGCTCAAGTACCGGGGTGCTGAATTAGAGTGGGTGTCGTCGTAATTCACGTTTATGTTCGCTGTGTTTCCTTTCATCGATCTCTCCTAACTAATAGACATTATATATTCATTTGTTCATTTGATTTGATTATCTGCTTGCTGGGTATGGTATCCCCAATGTTCATTTGATTTGATCTTGTGACGATGATCTGTACTGTCTGTAGTTCGCCGCCGGACAATGAAGAAATAATGAAAAAGGACAGCGCCTACGTAGCAAAAGCAGCTTTGGAACTTTACAACGGGAAGGAGGTAATTGGGTTTTGGTTTAGTTTTTGGTGTTTCTTAGTTGATTGCCCTTCTAGCCACTACTCGAAATGATCGATCTTCGTTTCGTTGGATGATGAACAGGGGACGAAATATGTGTTTGATGAACCCTTCCTCTGCTGTTGCAATCTCCTTCACCCTTTAGTGATACTCCATGCCAACTTCACTGCTAGAGAAGAGGAAAACAGCGATTCCAGTGACATGTTTTTTGGTGAGGCAGTACAATACCTTGGGGGAGGTTCCCAGGTTCTCAACTGTGTCAAGGTAGATCCTTTGGCAAAGGGTAGGTACTTAATTATCAAGCTTGCTTTGTAATTGCCCATCTTAATTAATTGAATCGATCATCATCTTTTTGATTGAGATTCTTGTTCATTTTGCTTTCATGTAGGTGGTTACCGCAATGGTTGCGTCTATTGTCGGAAAGACATCATCCACCCTCCTGTTGAACACTGCGAGTACGGATCGAGTGCGTTCGATGATCAGAAAAAGCTCCAACACAAGACAGTGAAACCCAAACCATCCAACCAGGAGGATTGAAATTTCTTGACTGCCCATTACCCTCTCTCCTTCCCATTCTATATGCATGTTTGTGTCATGAGCTTAAAACTTCCTTTGTTGATAGAAAGAAGTATGTGTTGTTAACTATGTGTTGATGTTAGAAGAAGTCGTAGCAGTTTGGTTTGAGTGAGTGTGTTGTTTGATGTTTGATGATCTGCAAGCAATGGTGTTTCCAAGTATGCCTATCTGTGATTCATGGTGCAAGTATTTCGAGTTTATATCAAATGATCGTTGTTCGTCGAACTTGCACCAGAACCATATATATCTGATAACTGAATGAACATGATGATCACAAATAAACATGAATATAGACTATTATGTTTCACTGAACTGTGGAGAAGAACAGTGAAAGAATACACAAAATATGTGCTTTAGAGTTTGGACCCTATAGTATGGGTAATTGGCAATATATATATATACCACTACAATAATGGCCATGGCTTTGCCAAATTTCCTAATTTAACTCTACATGTACCTGTATATATAGAGATTGATCATAAGCCCTTCCTCGTGGGACGCCATTGCCAAGCTCAAGCTACCTGAAAAAGGGCATGCATCATTTTCCCATATTCATAACTCGCCATAGCCACAACCACACTTTCCATCACACAAAGGTTGCAAGGGCTTACCTTGTAAATATAAGGATCCTGACGCCCTCCGCTTCCTGATCTCTTAACCTCCTCTCGCTTCAGCAGCCTGCAAACCGGAACAAACAATGGGGGGAGCAAACAGGTTACGAGCTCGGTCGCATTATCGATTCCAAGGGATAGAGACAGAGAGAGATAGAGAAGAAAAGTACATTCTGAGGGCTTTGCTTGTGTCAGGACTGTCACCAAGGAGTTGACGTATCCTGACTTCTGAGAAAGGGCCGTGAGAGAGCAGCTTCAGGATTGATTCGGCTTGTTGCTTCATGTGAGTCGAGCCAGATATGGAGCTGGACTGCTTCTTCCTCCACTTCTCTGCGCAGCTGGACTCTGTTCTGATGCTGCTGTATCGGCTCCGGGAGCTTGAATTGGCGCTGGAAGTGGTCGAGAGGCACGAATTCTGCGTTGAAGCCGATTTTGAAGCCGCTGGGAAGCTGAGGATGTGTTCCTTGTGCTCAATTGAGCTCCAGTAGACTTTGGACCGCTTCTTTTGCACAACCTGAGAAAATTTCCGCCGCAAATTGAAATTCAGGAATTGCTTAATCCTGTTATCGGTGTGTTACGTTCAAGCAAAACAATTGAATCTGGAGTTCGGAATCGAACGAATTCTATTAAAATTGAGGAATAGGAGGCTTAGATCTGATGACAAGAAAATCCATCTGATTAAGTTCTGAAATCAATCGAATCGGTAGAACTTCGCACCCAAACAGAGAAGCAATGAGTTACAAGAAGTGGTTTAAGGAAGATCTGAGATAAAATGGCGATCGAGGAGAAGTTTCCGAGAGTTCAGAATTCGGAAATTCAAATCAGTGAGATGAGCTGAGAATCAGAAGCTGAAGATATCTGCGATTTTGATCAGCCTCAGCCAAACAGCATTTAAAATTGGAACTCGAGCAATGCAGATTTCCAGTCGGTGGAGCTCGATTTGAATTCCACTAATTCGAGCGCAATTCAGCCAAACAGATGAACATCGAAGCAACAATTGAGATTCGAATTCAGCCAAACAGAAGACTCAATTGGACCGTCGGAAACAGAAGAATCGAGATAAACGAAAGTGTAGATCGATTGAGCAAGTGAGAGAGAGAGAGGGAGAGATGACCTTGAGCTTCATGTCATGGCCGCGAGCAAGGAAGGCGACGATTCTGAGCTTGTGAGCTGGAAGAGCCACTTCCTCCGGCGACGACGAGATGCAAGATCGGGAACCGCTGGAAACCGAGCTCTTCTCAGCGGCGATTTTGGACTGGAGCTTCCGGCCTGTGCTCACCGACGCGGCGTCGAAATCAGGCCTGCGAAAATGAGGAACGCAGTAGAATATCGATCGATGAGTTCCAGCTAAAATCAATCGTAACGCGAAATTGAAAATCGGAGGCGGTTTTCAGGAATCCGTACTTTGCGCAAGTCAGAGGAGAAAGAGACGGAGAAGCAAGTTCGGCGACGGCGGTGGCGGAGAGGAGGAGAAGAGCGGAGGCGGCGGTGCTTTCCAGAGCTGATGGAAATGGAGACTTAGCAGCAGCAGTCATTCTCTGTTCTGTTTGGTTTGCTTGGAAGAGAAGAAGCCGAACTTCCCGTGTGAGTTTGGACGCGGTGGCGGGTCGACTTTATCAATTCAAAAACTCAATGTTTCTCAAAATAAGATTTGAAACGATTAAAATTCGGCAATTCAAAAGAATAGGCATAGTGTCACAATTTGAAGCAGTATAAGTTCATTCAAATTTTGCTTGTGATTTTAGACGATTGATCTCTAATTTTGTTATCCTCTAATACTTCATTCTTCATTTCCTCTAAGCAAATGAGGGTTTGTAGTCAAACTAGTACATCATTCGTGCGAACGATCCACAAATTTAATATTCATCTCCAGATAGTGAGCTACGGAATTCCCTGATGATCTGGTCGTCGGTCCATAGATAGCCATGGAGTCCCTATATCAGTCATTCGAGGCGAGGGGTATCTCTTAACCCTTCTAGTACGATGGTCTTGACATCTCGTACCTATCTCATCTGCACATCCTGCCGATTCTTATAATTGGTTGTGTTAAGTCAGCAGCCCGAAGTTTAACCTACCCTGCGTCATCACCCAAGTTGTAACTTCAACTAAAAGTTTTTTGTTATTAAAAAAAGAAAACAGAAATGTCACAAACTAAACCAAATCTTAATCAGAAATCAAATGCATAAAAGCTAAAAACAATCCTCAAACTACCTCAACCATACGCCAATGGCGAAAGGGAGCAACAAAAGTTCAGCAAACTGTGTCTTCTAAGAAACTGAAATCAACAAAAGCAAATTACCAAATCCCCCATAATTCCCATCCCAGTAATCAGTCATCAAATACGACGGTACTCCTGATAAGCTCCATTGCCATTCACCGCCACATTCCCATTCGCCACGGTCACCGAACCGTCGCCGATCTGCACTCCGCCGCCGCCGCTGCTCATGTTGCTGCCATTCATAAGCCTCTGATAGAACTCCAAGTGATTGGCACTCGCAGAAGCAGCAGCATTGTTGTTCATGTTGTTGTTATTGCTCTCCACTGCAGCAAGCTGGAGCTGAGGCTGAGCAGCCGCCGCCGGTGACGGCGGCGGCAGAGCAACAGTGGCAGCATTCATGTAGAGCTGCTGCAGTTGCTGCTGCTGCCTCTGGTGCTCGGCCTGGACCTGGGCCTGAGCATAGTGGGCCTGCGCCATGGCGTGGGCCTGAGCCTTGATGTGGGCTTGGTTCTCGACCTGGGCCTTCAGCAGCTCGAGGGAGGCCTTCAGCTGGAGGAGCTGAGGGGTGTCCAGTTTCTCCATTGGGGTGTCCATTAGGGTCTTGTTGCGGTTGGCCCTGGTAATGCGATCCAGCTGTACACCTCTTTTCTTCGCCATTTCCAGATAATCAAGCACCTGGGTATTCATTTTAATCTGATTATTTACTAATAACCAATATACCACACAGCTAACACAATATTTTTTTTTAGAAACTGAAATCTAATTTCAGGTTTTTTTTCATTGAATTTCTGTGTATATTTTCTTAAATTCCAAATTACAGATAAATACTAATGATTTAAACACATACGAAGAAGACAATGAGACACGTTGGCTATTTTTCTTGATGTAGATTGGTGCTCGAGATTATTAATTTGGTTGTTGATCTATTAGAGACATCAATAATCTTTTAAATTGTAATCAAGGGTTCTCTTAAACTCCTCGTCTACATCTATGTCGGTAGCATCAACATATAAAAAGCGAAGCATGCAAATTAGTTAACTTCTTCAAAGATTAATTTTGTCACGTGTACCTAATAAATTCTTAATAATGGGTTCATACGGTGAACAGAGATGCGACATACAACTAATCGTCGAAGTAATAATACATATACCTTATTTATCATCTAATTGGATTTTTTAGCAGAAAAGGAAGAGATATAAATGACGAATAATAATTTTAAAATGATTAATTTTGTCACGTGTATCTAATTCATTTATAATGATGTGTACGAAGAATAAAGATGCGACATACAACTAAATGTCGAGGTAATAATATGTATAACTTGTTTATCATCCAACCGGTGCCATATTTTGGAGGGGCAAGCAACAAAAAGGAAAATATACAAATGAAAAATAATAATTATGGATGAGTATTAAAAAGACGTGTTTCTTAAATATTTTTGTTAATCTAAACATCGATAGAATATGAAAGCATAACGTAACTTTCGATCTATTCTATCGTTAAATAATTAGGTTTCAGCTATCATAATTTGACATTGATTTGTTATCTTCAACAATATCTCCACCACGCTTAATTAGTAAATCAAACAAAAAATAACTTGTGTATGATCAACTACCTGAAGATGATGATGAATATTTGCAAATATATTATATACGGATCAACTGTTCATTAATTCTGTAATCATATACCTGAGTAAGTTCGAAACCGAGTTCTTGAAGCCTAGTTTTCCTTTGAGACTCAATGAATTGAGTAGTCGGCGTCGCCGGTGTCGGTGCCAGGTTGATCTGTTGCCGACCAGAGTAAAATCGATTGACGATGTGTTCAACGCTGGGATGACCAAAGGAGAACACTCGCTGACCAGGAGAAAAGACAATTATGGCCACTTCAATGCCACATAGTGTAGCCAGCTCGCTCGCCTTCTTGAAAATTCCACTCCTCCTCTTTGAAAACGTCACCAATCGATTGCTCTCGCTCTCGATTTTCACCATAGCGAGTTTTTGGCGACCTCTACTCTTTCTCGCCATTGAACCTTTTTTTTACCAAGTAAACCCAAGTTTTTTTTTGTTCTTCTATATTCTCTAGCAGTTTATGAACAATGATTGATGGTAGGGAAAATGGGAATGTAAATTTATAGGGAAATCCAAATGGTGGTCCGTGTGGGAATGAATGGTTTGTATTTGGGTGACAAATTCATTTTGTTGTTCTTGTGTTCAATTTTTTGCCATGTTTGGTGATTTGCAAATTCTTTTTCTTGTCAATCGTTATATATGTGTTTCCATATTTGTGGTTATGGGTTGGTATTATATGGGAAAACAGCTTTTTTTTTTTGGTTTTGTGAGTTTTATTATTTTGACAAAAAATCCAAGTGCAAACTGGCCAATAGATTCTGAGATAGTGACTACTTTATATTCATAGAGTGCATGTATGTAAAATGTGTGTTCTTTTTTATTTTATTTTTGGGAGATTATTAATTGTTTTCTGACTGGTGTCCAAATGCATTAGCAAATATGAAATATGAAGAAGACGAAAACAATTGTCTCTTCTTCTTATATACATGACTTATGTGTTCCTAAAATGGTGTGGTACTATTAGATTGACGGCTTTATTGATTTTTAACATGTTTTTTGGATGAATTGAGTACGTATTAATATGTTATTGTTTACGAAGATAACATTTTTATATATAGAGCCGAAGAACACATTTTTTTCTTATTTTGATCTAGATGGTTTCTTACTTTTATTTTCCTTCACTTAACGTTGAATCGAACATCCTAACATGGTATACAGATCTTTTGGCTAGTAACATATGGTTAAATTATGGTTAGAAATTACTTTAACTTCGATTAACACCATATTTGTGGCGGGAACGATAGATGATCTCAGCATTTTTAAGTTAAATAAAATTATTATTATACATTCCAGCTGTCAGATACGAAAATAAGAGATAGATGTATGTATAATAAAATTGTTGTCGTTTTTAGCGATCTTTATAGATCGCAACTCAACGATTTGATATTAATAATTTATTTTTACCTTATAAAGAAAATTACAAATTAGTGTGGTAGGGGTTGAGAGTAGTGATGGCAATTTCAACCCGCCCCGCGGGTATTACCCGACCTGACCCGCGATGGGGCGGGTATTACCCGACCAGCAGTAGCGTGGGGCGGGGCACGGGTATCTACTTCCGACCCGCCCCGCCTCGCCCCGTTCTAGACTCATTTTATCTCAATTTCTTACAATTTTTATACATATTTCTCCTATTTTGACTTTTCTTCAACTAGTTAGAGTCGCTCTTTCAACTTGTTAGACTCAATTACCCATTTTATTATCACTATTTTCATTCTTTAATCGTTTTACCCTTCGTTTTATCGTAAAAAGTAAAATTTACTTGTATTTTTTCGAATAACATGTAAGAGTGGGTCGATCCGCCCCGCCCCGTAGTAACGTCGGGCGGAGCATGGGAATTGAGGTATCCGCCCTGCCCCGCCTCATTGCCATCACTAGTTGAGAGTCGGAGTAAGTACTCAACTCCTCGAGACTGTCATCCTGAAGACCTAAACCCATTTACAGTTGTACATACTAGCCTCCCGATAAAATCGATCCATTGATTATGTCTCCTCACTTTCACAAAATTTTATTTGGAGCTAATATGCTTCCAAAATTTAGTATATTGTGTTTTTACCTTTAGACAAATCTTCTAAATTGTAGGGCTGGCTAATTGGTCCGGAACTGGATAGCAAACAATTTAATCTCATCTTCAGGTTTAGATTTGAGGTAAAAAATCGTTCAGGACCGGACCAAAAACCGGATAAGAGAGCCCAACACCCAAAATTTAACCAACTCCTCATCCTTTCAGGCCTTATGGCACTCAAATCCCCACAAGCTCAATCTGAAATCAAGACCGAATTGGGACCGAATTGGTTCAAAACCGGACCTGATCAAGACCGAACTGTATCCAATCCAATCTTTGGTCCTTATATTCTCGAAAAGACCGAACTGGGACCAAACCAATTTAGACCAATTTAACCGGACCGGACCGTATAGCCACCCCTGCTAAATTGTGTCTATGTTTCTTAAAGTAGAACCAAAACTATTTCCCTTATGGCTTTCATACATAACTCTTTCAAGTTTCGAACACTTTTTCCTGTTACGATAAGGAATGCTGACACGGCCGTAGATGTGGACCTTCTTCATTAGCATTTGTGTCTTAACAAATGCTCATCATTGAGATCTTCGATGTGTCGAAATCAAGTAACTTATTACTTTGTTAATTAGCTTCAAGAGCATAAATATCGTACCACGGCATATGTGCAACCCGTGTACACTACAAGTGGAACCCCGATTATATTGCTCTCAACCCATAAGCGAGAACGTGCTTGGGACCCGTTTGATCGATTCTTGAGTATTCCACTTATGTTTTCTGGATGACAGCGATGATAATTTATTTACAAAATTAATACCTTATCGATCCAACAATCACGAAGGCCCGTCATCGCTCGATCCAACCATGCACAGCTCTGTGAGCATGTTCTCACAATTTGGGTTGGGAGGAGGATAGCAAAACTGAAATAGGGCCATCCACAAACATGTATAAACAAGTTATACTCCTCCTCATAGTTGTGCAATATTGAGAACATGGCCTGATTAGAAAGGACAACTACTATCCTACATACTAATCAACTAATCGAACCAAGTGGCCTGCCTTTGGCTCAATACAACCACAACTTATTTTATTCAAAGCTCGTCATCATCTTCTAGTGGAGTTGGTGGACTGGACTTTCAGCACACAGCAGGAAGGCTTAATAGAGGCAGAGACAGATAAGCAAGAGTTTTATTAAAAACAGTTGGCCTTGGTTGGGCATAAACACAAACCAAAAGTATGATTGCTTGTAATTTCTACTTTGTTCGTCGATACAAAATAGGGTTGTTAATGAATCAAACCGTTCATGAAAGGATGAACAGATCCAAAGATCATTAAGCACCCTAATCAAAACATAACAACAAGAACGAGTATGAAAACTCATACCAACATCTCAAACACGAATCGGTCCGAGATTATTTATTTCGACCATGATTCTAGATGAGTAGCTATTGTCCACTATTAACTGGCGAGAGATTAACCAACATCCTAGCGGATCTTAATATTGTCGGTCTTTCTTAGTCATGGAGCTCCCTTTCTTTTTCTAAAGAATCTTGGTGGAGACATTCTAACATCTAAGCAAAAGAACCAGAGAGATGACATTTACAGCTTACCAGAGCCCAAACATATGCCCAAACCCACCAACCATCAACGTTACATTGAAGCAAGCTTACAAATCTCTCCGTCTCTGAGTCAGACCATCAACCCTTTTCCATTTTTCCTTTAATCCAAACAAACAAGCTAACTCAATTTTTGTGGGTTTCGTTTGGTTGTCGGCAGCAGCAGCCTTTCCCCTCAAAACATCCTTCCCCAACTGTTCACCATCAATTCATTCATTCATTCTCTGAATCGCTCTCATTCACCACCACACACTCCTGACAACACGCTCATTTCCCCACACAAAATCACCAAAAAGTTCCAATTTTCAATCCTCCCCTGTTTCTACTTGGCCAAAAGGTTGCCCTGTTCTCCATTCTCTAGTAGTGGGTGTTCACTTTCATCAGCAGCGGAGGAGAGATCCATGGCCAGCGAAGCTTTGGTTAGTTTGGTATGAGCTTTGACAACCCACCAGAAAGATAAAATTAAACGAAAGAGAGAGAGAGCGACAGTGATCGGGCGAATCAAATCTGGAGAGAGAGAAGGGGGATTGGGGGAAACTGCTATTTTCAGCTCCCTTCTTCCTTCCCAACTTCGCAAGTCAATCAAAGCTGTCTCACTCGATACTGGCTGTACTCCACTGCATCAACCCATAATTTGGTTGGAAGTGGAGGGGAAAAGGGCAAGATTCAGCGCCGGTCGCTGTGAGCAGCGGAGCTGAAGAAGCAATGTTGGTCCAGGACCGTTTACCGGCGTCGCCGCCTCCGCCCAAATCGCCCAAATCCAAATCCAACTCGAAATCGCAACTGCCCACCACCGCATTTCACCACCCAATTTCCGGCCGCCGATTCTCTCCAGCCAAATCGCTCGACTTCTGCACTTGGTTCTCCGACAATCTCTACAAGATCGTCACAATCGTGTTCCTCGTCGCCACCGTCGCTGCCCTCTTCTTCCTCCGCAACGTCGGCGACACCTCAGCTTTCCTCTACTTCCAGTCGAAGTCCCACCCCATCGAGAAAACCCTTCACCATCCTCACATCGACTGGAACAACGTGCCTACCTTGAGAGACACTTCCACCCCTTACGCCAATTTCCGCACCGAGAAGTGGATCGTGGTCTCCGTCTCCGATTACCCTTCTGATTCGCTCAAGCGGCTCGTCAAGATCAAGGGATGGCAGGTGCTCGCTGTTGGCGATTCCTTGACTCCCTCTGACTGGTCCTTGAAAGGTGCTGTATTCTTGTCCTTAGAGCAGCAAGCTACTCTGGGTTTTAGGGTTGTTGATTACCTGCCCTTTCGTTCTTATGTGAGGAAGAGTGTTGGGTATTTGTTCGCCATTCAACATGGTGCCAAGAAGATCTTTGATGCCGATGATCGTGGAGAAGTCATTGGAGGTGATCTAGGGAAACATTTCGATGTAGATTTAGCTGGTGAAGGAGCTAGGCATGAACCCATTTTGCAGTACAGTCATGAGAATGTGAATAGGTCGATAGTGAATCCATATGTCCATTTCGGGCAGAGATCGGTTTGGCCTAGAGGATTGCCATTAGAGAATGTGGGAGAAATTGGGCATGAAGAGTTCTATACTGAGGTCTTCGGGGGGAAGCAGTTTATCCAACAAGGTATATCCAATGGATTGCCTGATGTTGATTCAGTGTTCTATTTCACCAGGAAAGCCGGTTTGGAATCCTTCGACATTAAGTTCGACGACCATGCCCCCAAAGTAGCATTGCCTCAGGGGATCATGGTGCCTGTAAATTCATTCAACACAATTTACCATTCATCTGCATTTTGGGGGTTGATGCTTCCTGTGTCAGTAAGCACAATGGCAGCTGATATCTTGAGAGGTTATTGGTCCCAAAGGCTGTTGTGGGAAATAGGTGGATATGTTGTGGTTTATCCCCCTACAGTGCATAGAGATGATAGGATTGCGGGTTACCCTTTCTCAGAGGAGAAGGATCTACATGTGAATGTTGGTAGATTGATTAAGTTCTTAGTTGCTTGGAGATCAACAAAGCACCGATTGTTTGAGAAGGTTTTGGATCTGAGCTTTGCAATGGCTGAGGAAGGATTTTGGAGTGAGCTGGATGTGAAGTTCACTGCTGCTTGGCTTCAAGACTTGATTGCTGTTGGTTATCAGCAGCCTAGGTTAATGTCACTGGAATTGGATAGGCCAAGGCCTACGATTGGCCATGGAGATAGGAAGGAGTTTATTCCTCGTAAATTGCCCTCAGTCCATCTAGGGGTTGAGGAAACAGGAACAGTTAATTATGAGATCGGCAATCTGATTCGATGGAGGAAGAATTTCGGAAATGTCGTGCTGATTATGTTCTGCAGCGGGCCGGTTGAGCGGACCGCATTGGAATGGAGATTACTCTATGGACGGATATTCAAAACTGTGGTGATTTTCTCAGAGCAGAAGAATGAGGATCTTGCTGTTGAGCAAGGGCATCTGGACCAGATGTACAAGTAAGTCATTCTGTCAATTTCTTTGTAATGGTTTGAAATTCTGCTTTACCTATTATACTGGGTTTTGGTTGTACTGATTCATTTACTGCTCCATATAAGCTTACATTGCTCTTGTTACTGCAAAAGGCCATAAATTACAAAATTCAGTATGCGTAAATCATTGCTTGAGTAGTTACAGAATTCGTTTTTGAGAGTTTTGCTGATAGATGGGAATTAGTCCAAGCTTTTCATTGGAGGGTTTAAGAAGATTTGAGACAATTAGTCCATCGAATAGAATGACATATTTTCATTGGATGGCTCCATCTCCGGATTTTTTAATCTATCTGAACTTTTAAGTACTCGGTATAAGTAGGAGTGGATGGCATATTTTCATTGTCGAAGGGGTACAGAGAAAGGTAGGGGACAATGTAGTTCAGTTATTTTGACTGATAAGCTGAATGTAGTACTTCTTTTTAGCTAGTTGTGTGTACTGAAACAACATTGTGGGTTGTAGTACATAGACGCACCTGAAAGTGTATCCTGTACTTTGCATATTGCTGTTGTTGTGAGTCATGTTTGGAGTATTTCTGAAGTAGTGAGGAGCATGAAATATAGGTCCAGGGATTTCTCCTGTACTTTGCATACCTACTTCCTTAATTACTATTCTCAGGACGCCTCTCTCGCCTTGCTTATTGAGATATTTGTGTTTTGTTGCCTTAATTTTGTTTTTCCCCCTCTCAAATCTCAACCATGATTCCTTGCAATCTACATTCGATTAGTTTATCACTTGTCTTTGCTTACATGGCAAACAATCTCAATAACATGCTTCTAAACTTCTGCCTTGTTTGGTACGTGTCAGAGAGCTATTTCTTGATCTTAACCTACTAATTTACCAATGTCTCAACTTTTTGTAGGCTTCTGCCCAGGTTGTTCAACCGGTTCAGCAGTGCAGAAGGTTTTCTGTTCCTTCAGGATGATACCATACTTAATTACTGGAATCTGCATCAAGCAGACAAGACTAAGCTATGGATCACTGACAAGGTACCTTTTTTGTTTTTTTCATGCCACTGAACTATATGAAGCTACGAAGATATGGAATTTTGTTACCTAATTTTTGTATCTTTCCATTGACATACTGTGGATTCAGGTATCTGATTCTTGGAGCATTGTGGCACCTGATGGAGATTGGTTGACTAAGCAAGCTGGAGTGGTGAAGAAAGTTGCTGATTCAATGCCGGCTCACCTCCAAGTCAACTACAAAGAAGCCGTGAAGACCGAAAATAGCCTGGTGCTCTGCAATTCCGAGATATTCTACATTCCTCAAAAGTTCGTCTCCGACTTTATAGATCTTGTTTATCTGGTTCGTGATGTCGGTCCAGTGGGTGGTATGGAGATGCATCACAAGGTTGCCATACCAATGTTCTTTCTCTCAGTGGATTCGCCTCAGAACTTCGACCCGATCTTGAACACAATGGTATACAAGCAAACGCCTCCACCCAGCAATTCGACGTTGTACTCTGCCCAAGCACCAGCTGTACATCCATGGAGCGTATCATCCGAACAAGAGTTCATAAAGCTCATAAGAATAATGGCGGAAGGTGACCCTCTTTTAATGGAGCTAGTTTGAAGAAATTCCAATTACTCACATATTAACTCCACCATTTGTAAGAGAAGAAAAAAACCAGAAAAGGGAAGTGTATTATTATTACTCTTGCAACTGTTATACGAGTATTCTTTTGTTCATCTTTCAATTTTTGGTTCCTCCTTGTAGTGTTCATGTTGGTGCAGCAGGGTGTAGGCAGTTTCCATTTCCCCATTTTTGTAATCTTGTCAGTCAGTTTGTAGATTTACCCAATGTACCCATTCTCTTTACTTCGTTAGGAACTCCATGCACATCTCTAGACATTGCCTTGTAGCTGAAGAAACAGTGGAAAACAGCACACTTGGTTTCAGTTTGAATCATTCACTGATCGAGAGCTGATCAAAGTTCATTCCTTCCTCGAGATATCGACAATGTCTCGGGTCGAAATCTCTTGCGAGAGCTGTTTATGAACAAATCTTACAAATAGTTCTGGCGGGGAAGTTACATGATCACACAACACTCAACTCATCTGGGATAATGCACAATAGTAATGTACCAGATTGAACAAACAGTTAATGGCTTTCTTCGTCTGCAGCTCGAATCGCGATCTTCCCTCTACCGATCAACACCTTCGATCTTGTCTTCCACTTCAGAGTAAAGCTGCTTCAACTTCTCGATATTCTCTTCCGTAGTTTCCCAGTACCCACGCCCATTGGCCTCCAAGAACGTCTGCACCAATTTCCTGAACGAATTCGGGTTCATGTTCATCAACCTGTTCATCATCTCTTCATCCTGAATAAACGTAGTGTTGGCCTCTTCATAAACCCAATTGTCCACCTGCCCTGACGTGGCACTCCATCCAACGGTGTTCGTCAGCCGCTTCTCGATCTCACGGACGCCTTCGTACCCGCTCGACATCATGCCTTCGTACCACTTAGGGTTCAGCAGCTTGGTCCTCGCGTCCAATCTCACCGTCTCCGACAGCGTCCGCACCTGCGCGTTCGCCGTCGTCGTGTCGGCGATGTACGCGCTCGGCTTCTTCCCGTCCTTCCTCAGGCTCTGCACCAGATTCGTCGGGTCCGAATCGAAGTAGTGGCTGACGTCGGTGAGCGAGATCTCCGACGAATCTAGGTTTTGGAAAGTGGCGTCGGCGGTGCTGAGCGCCATCTCGAACACCTTCTTCTTCTCCATCATCCCGGCGCCGGGGGCGTCGGAGTCGAACGCGAAGGACTTTCTGCTCAGGTACATGTCCTGCAGCTGCTTCTCGTCGTTCCACGTCGAGTTCTCGACGGCGAGGTTGATGTTGGAGGAGTACGAGCCGGAGGCGTTGGAGAAGATTCGAGTCGCGGCTTCGCGGATGTCGATCCCTAGGGTTTTCGATTGCTCGAGGGCGTGCTTCCTCACGTAGTTCATTTCTACAGGTTCGTCGAGCTCCGCCACCATTTTCACCGCTCGATCGAGGAGGTTCATCTGGTTGATGAAGAGATCACGGAAGACGCCGGAGCAGTTGACGACGACGTCGATTCTCGGCCGGCCGAGCTCCTCGAGGCTGACCGGTTCGACTCGGTTGACCCGACCGAATGTATCGGCAACCGGTCGGACCCCGATCATCCACAAAACCTGACCGAGTGATTCCCCGTATGTTTTGATGTTGTCTGTTCCCCACAGCACAAGAGCAACAGTTTCTGGATAGTTCCCGCCATTGTCGATCTTCTGCCGCTCGATCAGCCTCTCGACGACGACTTTCGCGCTCTGCATTGCCGCTTCGGTGGGGATTGATTGCGGGTCGAGCGCGTGGATGTTCTTCCCCGTGGGCAGCACTTTCGGGTTCCTGATCGGGTCGCCACCCGGCCCGGGCTCCACAAACTTGCCTTCCAAGGCTTGTTTCAGGCTCCCGAGCTCGTTATCGGCAACCACGAGCTTCAAGCAATCTCCCAAGAACTGGAACAGGATGCGGAGCTTTTCCCGGTCAGCACGGTAGAACTTTGTGTTGGACAGGTACTGAATCCATGGCTCATTGATCCCGAAGCCTAGGATCGAAGATAGCTTGTTGCTTACGTCAACCACTTGGCCCTTGCTGTTGGTGGTCCTCTCTACAAATGCCGAGACTGCACCACGAGATGTATCGGTGATCTGGCGAAGAAGCTCCACATCCTTCAAGATACCCTTGTCACTCCCTCGGTATACGTCCTCCATCTCCCGTCCAACTGTCTGCGCTAGTATGGATGGGAGCGAAGTAATCCCCTCTTCAGGGCGGTCAAGGGCAGCAATGTTGACAAGTGTGGCAACAGCTTCCATTGCAGATGGTGGCTCACCAACAACGTGGAGCCCACATGGCAAGAGGCGGGACTCGATCTCCATGATCTTGGAGTACACTTTGCCAACCACGAGGTCCCTCTCATTGGCTGAGATCTCTGCTGCTTCATCAGGCAGGTCTACATCCTTGTCGAGATTGCACTGCCTTGCCGTGCTGATGATGGTGCTCACAATCTGAGGCCCACGCCCAGTGTCTTTCAAAGATTGGTATGAGGAAATTAGTTCGCCCAATTGCTTGAGACCCTTGTAGAGGCCAGCATTCTCAGCCGGAGGAGTCAAGTAGCTGATGGTGTTAGCATAGCTCCGACGTTTCGCTATGGTGGCTTCAGACGGGTTGTTAGCTGCATAGTAGTATATATTGGGGATGTTGCCAATGAGACTGTCTGGGAAACAGGCATCACTCATCCCCACTTGCTTCCCTGGCATGAATTCAAGCGAGCCATGGGTACCAAAGTGGAGCACCGCATCAGCTTTGAAGACCTTCTCGACGAACGAGTAGTAAGCAGCGAAGCCATGGTGTGGACTGGCGGATTTGGAAAAGAGCAACCTCATGGGATCACCTTCGTAACCGAATGTGGGCTGGACGCCGATAAAGACATTCCCATATTGCTTGCCATAGACCAACAAATTCTCTCCGTCGGAGTTGAGATTGCCTGGAGGTTTGCCCCAGTTCTCTTCTAGTGCGGTTGCATAAGGAGTGAGCTCCTGGTACTCTCGTACTCCCATTTTGTACACTACATTGAGATTCGGGCTGCTGAACTGTGCCTCCTTGTCGTGCAGGATTTCTTCGATCAGGGCTTCCGATGTCTCGGGGAGTCCCTCTACGTTGTAGCCGTCTTTCTTCAGGTCGCTTAGCACCGAAAAGATTGAAGAGAAGACGTTGAGGTATGCTGCTGTACCTACGTTGCCTTTGTCTGGTGGGAAACTGAACACGGTTATGGCCAACTTCTTCTCAGCCTGCATTAGCATTACATCCATTAGTGGTGGGGGAGTTAAATGTGAGTTTATATCTTCTTTTGTAGAGATACCTGTCAAATTTTACTCGGTCTGAATTGAAATACTAGAGAATCTAGAACAATAGCAAAGTGACAGGAAGTTTCATAAGAATACAATTCTTAGCCATTCATTTGATCGCTTCTGTTGTCATTAGCTTATGGAATTTCATCTGATGGTACTGATTAATCCTTGTTGCTCTGAACAGGACAAGGTTTCATTGTCAGGATTAGCAGAATAATACCTTTGACTTCCTCTTGAGTTCACCCCATCGGATTGCCCGAATGCATAATTGCTCCACCCTCTTGTGAAGAGCATGAGATTTCCCTGATAAAACCCAGATTCCAATCTTTCTTGGTTGAGCAACAATGTCTAAACTACAAAGAGGGATTCAAGATCAACAAGAGCCCAATCAGTTACCTGTTCTGGGATCGCGGCCAGCGAAAACGATAGGCTCCATGCCACCATCAAGCTCAGGAAGAGCAACTTGCAATGCCACCTGAATGGGATGAAGCCCCAAAGTACTGTTCAACCACTCCTCGGTGGTCTGGAACACGAGAGGTACCGCGACCATATAAGGCACGTCAAGCTTCATCAGAGCCTCCACAGCTCGAGGATGGTCCTGCCTCGCAGGACCACCAACGAGGGCGAACCCTGTCAGTGACACCACCGAGTTCACCATTGGCTTCTTGGTGAACGGATCCACGAAGTACTTCTCAACAGGACCCGAGAAGTCGAGCCCCCCAGCGAAAATCGGTATCACCTTAGCACCTCTGGCTTCCATCTCCATGATCACTGCCACATAGTGACCTTCATCTCCTGTCACAATGTGACTCCTCTGCAGAACCAGCCCAACTATCGGAGCATTCCCGCTCTTTAGCTTCTCATTGGTGTCCCTCCTTGTGTCATACCAGTTCAAGTACTCCTTCACATCGTCATACATACAAGGAGCCAACGGGTGCCAGATTCCAGTGTCGAGGAACAACACCGGATCGGAGTACTCGACCTTCGTCCCCTTCAATGCCGGAACGTAGGACCCGGAAATCATCTTCACGAAGTTCTGCAGGTTATCAGGAGACCCTCCAAGCCAGAATTGGAGACTCAATATGTACAGCCTCGCATCCTGAGCTTTGTCACTGGGCAGATACTTCAACACTTTCGGTAAAGTTCTCACCAGTTTCAACATGCTGTCAGCAAATCCAGCGCCTTGCTTCTTCCTCTTGAACAACTGGAAGAAGGGGCTCTTCGATTGTCCGAGCTGCGACATGCTGAAGGATCCCAATTTGTTCAGCCTCATCACCTCTGGCATGGAAGGGAAGACCAACACAGCATCCATTCTCTCCCTCTCCTTCTCCACGGCGGCCTTCACCTTCAGCGCGAGCTCCTCGACGAAGATCAGCGACCCGATGAAGATGTTGGCGTCCTCGAGGTCCTTGCAGAAGGCTTCATAGTTGTCTGGATCACGCAGCTCCTCGACCAAGTAGCCAACGACCTCAAAAGACGCGAACTTGCTGGGGTCCCTGTTGAGGGACTGCACTGCGGCGGACAGGGAGGATTGGTACTGAGCTTCAAGCACCACGTAGACGATTTTCACCGTGGGGAGGTTGGAGTTCTCCTCCGGGACAATTCGCCGGACTTCTTGCGTGGTCTGCGTGAACAGGCCGTTTCCGATGGCGGAACACTTGAATTTCAGTGCGGATTTGGAAGTGGATGATGGGTTTGTTTTCTTGTGGAGGAAGGAGTGGAGAAAGTAGTGCTTTTGGGAAAGCTGGTCTGATTTTGCTGGTGGGGTAATGAAGGAAGAAGATAGCAAGGAAGCCATTGTTGTTGTTGCACAGAGATAGAGAGCCAGATACAAAAACTCCTCTGTGGAAGGGAGAATGAAGAGAATGAAAATTGTAAGTTGGTTCAGTGTATGTAATGTGTCGTTTCTGGTTCAGTGAATGAACCCAGAGAGTTTTGAGGACCCTTCTTCTTCTCCTTCTTTGCTCGAAGAAGTTAAAGGTCATGCCTTTATAACTCTGCTACTGAAAGAAGCAGAAGGGGAGGTGGTGGTTAATATGGTTAGTGGCGAGAGGGAGGGACACGTGGCGAAATGGGTAGTGAGGGGCCTATGATTGGAGGAAACAGGGACTGGTTTCTGAGGTTCTGGTTCAATTTTGGGGAAAGTTTGCAGAGAGTGGAGAGTGTGTAATCTATCTGCTGGGGTTATGGCGATGGAGTTTGCTGGATTCTGATTGGGCGAGTTGGATTTCCCCTTGCTTACTTTTACAAGGGTGAGGTGGAAATTTGGAATGGGGATGATGCTGAGGTGGAGGAGAGAGAGAGAGAGAGATTTTTCATTTCTGGTTGAAAGCATCATTGTCAGCTTGGGAAGCTTTTGAAGGCCATGTAAAAGATCCATCCTTTATTGCTCTTTGCTTTCTTTCGAGTTTTGGAGTGTGGCAGAGAGGTGAGCTTTGTGTCACTTGTTTGAAGCTCACTTGATATTTTGCTCGTCGCTTCTGTGTTTTCACTGTTTTGAGAGCTTGTGATCCCTTTAGATTCCAAATAGAGAAAAAGACACAAACGTGGAATGTCATAGGCGTCTCGTTCCTAGTGATAAGAGTTCATATCAAATTTGTCTATGTTGTTTTCCATATTGTAAAAACATTTTCAAATGAAAGGCTTCGAATTGTATCATACAGAAATCAATATCTATCATTCAAATCGGATATATTCATGAATTGAAAAATTCGTGTATTTTTATTAGCGGAATAGATAGTATTTTTATTAGCGAGATGATTTATAAAATTCATGTAGATGAAAATTTGATCAACTTGCATAATCTCATAAAGTTAGTTTTACGAAAGTGAAAATGTAGGATCGAGACATCATGCTAGTTGTCTTGCTTCCTCGTGTATAGTGAGAACCTCAATCGTCGCTTTATAAATCATCTATAGTCCCACCATCCTTTAACTCCATGGTAATGATATCTCAACTAATTAGAGGTGGAGTGCGTGGTCAACAACTCTCACCCCTTTGTCACCATAGAAACACTTGTTACAACTTATTACGTGTCACAATCTCGTTTCGAGTTGATGAGTATGCTCTAGTCCGTCAACTAAAGAATGTGTTTGAAGTGATTCGAGCTCTAATCTTGTTTCGACCACAATCCCACTTCGAGTTGATGAGCATGCTCTAGTCCGCCGAGTAAAGAATGTATTTGACGTGATTCGAGCTCTAATCTTGTTCGGCCTGTAGTTCAAGCCGGTGAGAAAGTGTCTTTACTACTACTATGAACTTTTTAATGATGCATGGGGCCATTTTAGTTAAGAATAGAAGTTAAAGGATGTGCTTGTTAGTTTATAGAAAGTAGAAAGGCCTATTTGCCATTTGATACACAACCCTCCCGTCCAAAACTGGCCCGTCCGGCCGTCCCTTCCTTGAAGACTGAAACCCTAGCCCCCGCCTAAACAAAATAACTGAAAGTATCCAATCTTGCTTCCAGTTCTCGATTGCCATGGCTTGCAATTCCGGCAACTGCCAATCCAATTGTCACCAGAACGAGCAAGTAGCGGGGGATGACTCGACTCCGACTCCCACCACTGGCAGCAACGATGGCGGCCACCAACAGCAGCAGGGCGTGTGCTTGAAGTGCAAGGTCAGCCCACCAATTTCCAGCGGCAGCGGCGGTGGCGGTACCGGCGACGAGGCGCGGTTCTGTGCTGACTGTTTCAGGGCTAATCTGTTCGGCAAGTTCCGGCTTGCGGTTACTTCCCACGCCATGATCACTCCTTCAGATAACGTGCTCGTTGCTTTCTCCGGCGGCGTTGCTTCCAGGTCTCTTTCTCTTCGACTGTGTTTCCTTATTGATCAGAAATTAGTAATTAGTTAATTACTCTATGAAACGATCATAAATGAAATGTTTTTAGATGTTGCTTTACTTCAAATTGGAAGCATTAGGAAGTGAAGTTAGATCACGCAAGGAGAGATACGTCCTGAGCTGAGGAACCAGTGAATGATTATGAAGCTGAAATATGGGTCCTGTTGGGCGAACGCTGTGAGCTGATAGGACTGTATTATTTAAGATTGTTGCTTTACTTCAATTATTGTTGATTTTGTTGTTCCTCCAATGACGGTGTAGCACTGTTGTTCTGAGTTTAGCATTTGAACCAATCGTGTTATTTGTTCAGGGTAGCTCTGCAGTTTGTGCATGAAATGCAGCAGAGAGCTCAGAAAAACTATGAAGCAAGTAAAGACAGGTCGTTGCCAGTCTTTGGCGTCGGAGTGGCATTTGTTGACGAAAGTTCTGTTTGTTCAATTTCTAAGGATGGAGTTGAAGAAGCAATTCAGGAGATGAAATCTACAGTGTCAAAATTAGCTCCACCAGTAAAGCAGTTTCATGTTGTTTCATCAGCGAGCCTGTATTCTTCAGGTTCGAGTGATGAGAAAGACAGATTGAAGAAGTTAATAGGTGCTGTTGATGATGTCACTGGAAAAGATGACCTTCTTATGCATTTGAGGATGTGGGAATTGCAGAAAGTTTGTCCCTTGTGTGCATCGTTTTCCATTCTGTGTGTATGAAGGGGTAAACGTAAAAATGACTCATGTTGGAATTTTCTGGCTCTGCAGGTTGCTTCTGAAAACGGATACACAAAGCTTGTCCTGGGTCTGTGTACATCAAGGATTGCTTGCCATGTTATTGCTGCAACCGTGAAGGTCTGTCTACCAAATCTTTGAGATATTAAGTAGTATATGATTTTGATGCCTTATGATATGATGATCTATGAACTATGGTTGAGCCGTTCGGGTGCTTATACAATCGATTCTTCAAATGGAAGTTATGTATATATTTTCTTTTTCTGCTGCATGCTTCTCTCAATATCAGAAACTGGCTCTCCATTGCAGCATGTAATCATGATCGAAGACTATACTTGTCTAGGTTTTTTATGCAACTATAGTCTTTCTAGTGTGAGTGTCACTACTCTAAGGCTTAATTTTGAGAACTTTGTCATCTCTATATTTTATTAGTTAAATTGTTGGATACAAAGACTTTAAGGTGCGAAGGTGCGAGGTCATTTTGCTTATGTAGATCATAGTACAGCTACTCCAGCAGTAAATGTGCATGGAAATGGGTCAAAATTCCCCATGGAAGCCATCCCTCCACAGTGGAGGGAAATAAATGGGAAATCATCAGTGCATAGCTACTATTTCAGCTCATAGTCATAGAAGTGAATAGATTATCATGTCTCACGTCCATGATGAAAGCCATATTCAGTGTCCTAATATCATAGATAATTGCAGGGTCAAGGATATTCTCTGTCAGCAGACATACAATACGTTGATGCAAGATGGGAAGTTCCCGTAGTTCTTCCACTTCGCGACTGTACCACACAGGAGCTCAACATTCTGTGCCGTATTGATGGGTTTGTGATCAGACCTTTTCCCTTCTCATCACATTTACCATGCCAACCAATGGGGAAGAAAGATAAAAGATAGACTTTATCCCACCTTAAAGTACTCATGATGAGTTTTTTACTTGTCTTGGCAGGACAGTCTAAAGCCTTCGCAGTTGGTTAATGATCACCCCTCGGGCATCAATGGTTTGATTTCTTCATTTGTACGCCTGCTGCAGGTAATCATTCTGTGGCTTTCACAATCCTGAAACTTAAGAAAATTCTAGTTCTTGTCTTGCTATCAGTTTTTGGTTTTACTTTGCCTGCGACCAACTAGTTCCCAATTCCAGGAAGAAAATCCTTCTCGAGAGAGCACCATTGTCCGGACAGCCGGAAAGCTTACTCCATTTCATTTCAATAGAGTGCCTGAGATCAATGATTCTAATGTTCCTTTGGCAACCATAAGGAGGCAGAAGAGATACAATCTCAAGCCACAGGAATCCATTTCCTCAGAATCTTTTTGTCCTATATGCAATAGTCCAGTTATTGATTCCAATTCACCAAGTTGGGGCAGCCCGAAGACTTGCCAGTTCACAGAATTTGCTTCAAGCTGCTGTTCGAGCTGTCAATTTCAGATACTGCCTCAGGATCAGTTGTCAATGCAAGAATTCTACTCACTTTTACCAGAGAGACTAGTTGCCCGATCTAAGCTTAAAGTCAATGGTAACCTCGATATGCTAAGGTGAGATTCGCGGGTTACTGAACTGATGCTTTCTTGTAGCCACCTTTTCCCCTTCTTTCTCTACTGTTAGCGAGTTGAACTCAGCAAATACTGAAGAATCACTGTACTCTTGCAGGGAGCAAATTCAGGACTGTTTGTTATCTGACAGTGATGGCGAGACATAAAACTCGAGTAACAGAAAGATACTGTCTGGTATTCTCTCCACTGCGATGGATCGTTTTCTGGCTCTCCCAATAGGTTGTTTTTTTGCCAGAGATGATCTTACATGGTGCTGCTCCCAGTTATGATCATATTATACTTATGTCGTCTGTCACCTCGAATCTATTAAAAGGATGCAGCAATGGCCAAAGCAATGAAGGTACACCATAACAACACTTGATTAACAATGAAGGCCAAGTTCAAAAGTTGAAAGTTTGTTTAGATTCTATTTTCGGCAGTCTGATTCACCATTTGTAAGCTTTATATAATGATTTTTCCCTCCAAATTATGAAAGGAATGCAACTTTTCTTCTCATTTGATCCAGTTCGGTACGAGCCAGTAAAGTTGTATGCAATGTTTGTGAATGATTAGAGATTAAATCGACAAGATTTCGTATAATCAATTGCTACTATATACCGATCTTGGTATAACTAGTAGTCTGGTATGACTGGTATGATCGTTGTATATGAAATACCGAAGTGGTACTGGGACATGGGCCTGGACCTAACTGAGTCTGACATAATAAAACGGTGCCGTTTATGTCAGCCTCTCGCTCAGTCGCTCCGTTATCCAGTTTTTGCAAAGGCGAAAACGCACTCAAATATTCGGGGAAAGAGGCTCACAGAAGCAAAGCGAGCAGAATTTCAATTTTCCCCGAGAAGGAAAGAACAGAGCTAACGCCGGCGACGGAGCTCCAATCACCTACGTTGCTGCAATGCTCCACTTACATCTCCACCATCTCCATATCCGTCCGCAGGTTCCTAGCCTCCTCTGCTCTCCGAGCTCCTTCGCCGGCTCGCTACCAATTCGAAATGTAAACCCGACGCTTCGGCGGACGAAGCCGTTGGACGGAGCTGGAACCGTGAGGTGCATGGCGAATCCAAGGAGAGTGAGGATGGTGGCGAAGCAGATTCAGAGAGAGCTTTCTGACATGCTTTTGACGGATAAGGTGTTGCAGTACGCGATTCTCCCCGAAGCTGCTTTGGGAGCGGATAGGTACCTTTCGTCGCTTACCACCATCAGCGACGTCCAGGTCTCCGGCGACTTGCAGGTACCAGAATAGCTTCTTTCTGTCTCCGAGAGTTCGTTGTAGACTGATAATTTCCGCATACTGGGTTTGTGTTTCAATCATGAGATGCTTGAAATTTCCTTTCAAGAGTGTTGACATGGAGGATTTTAGGGATTATTTCGAGTAACGAGGAGAACTGTGAGTTTTTAGTGGTAATCTTCTGCAAATTCTGTAACTGTATTTGAACCCAGATCAGAGCATTTTCAGGCCATTTTGCTTGTATGCAATCCTTCATTTGCTGTTGTTCCTGTTCTCTAATTTGAGCCGTAATCAGAATTTCAAATATACTATAGGTGGTGCAGGAATTTGGCTTATTAGTTTTGCTTACTAGCAACAAAAACGACTTCCTACTTTCTGGTGTAGTTTCTGCTTGATGCGTTTGGTTGTTGTTCTTATAGGTGGTTAAAGTATTTGTATCTGTCTTTGGAGACGATAGAGGGAAAGAGGTCGCCCTAGCCGGGTTAAAATCAAAGGTCAAATATGTAAGGGGTGAGTTGGGGAGACGGATGAAGTTGCGTCTGACTCCAGAGATTCGATTTATAGAAGATGAAGCTATGGAGAAGGGAAGCAGGGTAAGAACAACTTACATTTTCTCCATGTTGATATTTGTCGATCATTCTGGATCGAGAGAACTCTTCAGGCATATGAAGTGAAAGTTCTTTCCTTTCAGGTGATTGCTATACTGGACAAGATAAAGGCCGATAAAGGTCCTGCTCGAAATTTGGACGGAGATGGTCCTGACTCGTCTGGGGCTGACGATGATGGAGATTGGGAGGGTGATGATCCTGAAGAAGGAATTATTTATGTAGACTGAATGTTTGGGCCAGGATATCACCTGCCAGTGGTCTCTCCCTTCGAGCAACAGTCTTCCTTGGTTTAAGGTGAGTTCTTCCTTGTGAATCAAACCTGTTTTCAGTGTTTATCTCTAGCAGTGATTGTAATGCCATGTGACATTTTGTCTATGCTGTACCACTGATCATTAAGTCTCTTGTTGTTGCACACTTCACTCTAATCTGCTAACGATGATGCATGTGTCAATGACAAAGGACATTACTCACTTTTGGTTCTCACTTGTGAATTTTGTATTTGATTGAATCGCTGAGTTTCCTTGCAAGTCTGATAATTTGACAATCATGTCAATTCAGAACGGGAAGATGACTAAAAGAGCTTCATTTGGCATGGATTGGCATATTACTAGAAGTGGGTAGAAGAAGACCTTCTCATTTTGGCAATCCTTGAAGAAATCCAGAGCTCCTGTTGTCTGATTTTGACTCCTCTCAACACCTTCCAAACACACCTTACCCTTTTCTGCCTCCATATGTATACCTGTAACTTTTTTTTTATGTCTTGTGCTGCTTTCTACCTTCGAAAATGCATGGTTTCTTCCCTCGGTCTGTATTCATATCCGGTGGTTGGAGAAGTGGAAGCCGATCGTTTTCCATCTCGTCTAGGGTTGTTTTAGAGCCACCATATGTTCAATGACTCATGCCATGCAGGGGTAGTTCGCCAAAGTCGAATAGAGATACTCAAGTTATGGGTTCTGGTATATTGTGAGGTTCCCTTCCAACTCAATAGGTAGAGTGTGATTCTGCGTTGATGTAGTTTTAGTGTTTTACCTTTTTTGAGCAACTGCTCTAATGTAATAGACATTTTGTTTTCGTTTAATATAAATGTTCCTGCGAATGGAAGGTTTATTTATGAGAAAGTGTTGATAGCAGTTACTTTAATCGAAATGAAGCAGATCAAATCGATGTTTAGATCAAACGATTTGATTCAAAATAGATTGAGATGAGATTACGTTGAACCAATTTGCCTCTTCTATTTGTTTTCACAGGCCATAAACGTAAATCCCTAACAGCAACCCACTTAGCATTGCCATAAGTGAAATAGAGGTTCCAGTTCTCATCTGCAAGAATGTTCATAATGCGCAATGTCGAAGGCAAACTTCCTGCATGCTTTGGCAGTTGGTTCAAGAAGTCAGCAGACAAAGAGATGATCCGAACCATTAGGCAATAGCAGCAATGAAGTGAAAATCCAAACTTTCAATACTCAGTGAACTATTGAAAAATATGGTGTAGACAACCCCATTGATGGCTGCCTACAGATTGCCATGTTCTGGGAAAAGGGCAATTTAATACCGGATTGAAAGAAGGATAAACAGCATTGTCAACATGGATTATTTCCTACTGCCAACTCGAGTCCTAAACGCAAAAACAACAGGAGAAAGAGCTACATCTTCCTTTTCGTATCTCTCTATTCAGTGTTTCTTAGCAGCAGCCTTTGCTTCAGCTTTCTTCTGCGATTTGGCCTGTGCCTGTCAATTCGAATGTAGAAGATCAAAAGAATCCATCGATTAGAACACTGTGCGCAGAAATCAGGCATTGGATCCATCAGACACACACGAAATGCATTAAGAAGCAAAGAGGAGAAGAAGCCACAATATCACTGAATCAACAGTGTTCCACCCTCACACTGGCAACTCCAGTTGTTCAACCAAATGACTAGAATGAAACAAAACACTCCCGTCTTTAATCCTCAAACTCCAACTAGAACCTCAAATACAGAATTTAAACAGGGACTTCATCTATCATTTAACAGCAGCTGATCAGTATATAGCACTACCAAGTACCAATTAAATCCCTAACCCTCTAGATTTGGTACTCTTATGGACTAAAACGTAATGAACGTGATGACAAGATTCAAACTTCATATAACCAGTGAACAGAGGATATGAGAGAACAGACTGATCAAGTCCATTTGAGATTATTCTCTGCCAGACCAGGGAGATATTGCCTAAACAAAATTAAGGAATGGCTGCAAGATTCAAGCTACGAATGTAACAATGCAGGCTGTGTGAACCAAGAGTGTGGAAACCACATTCCAATATGAACCCAGTATTCTCATCCCGCTAGCCTAGCTAATAATCCTTAGAATGCCGAAAGCAAAACAGCAATATGGCTCGGATATCCAACTCAAGGAGCTCCAATTGAGAGGAGCAACAAAAACAGCGGAAATATACCTTGAGATACTTGAGCTTCAAGCTGCCATAGACGAGACCCACAGAGAACGCAGATACGCGAGCAACCTACCATATTCCAAAACCAACACACCAAAATCAGAAATGCAATTCAACAAAACTAAAAATCGGATTTGATTCTTTACAATCCAAGAAGCCACGCTCTGGATAGATTACAAGATCGGATTCCAACCAAGCTTTTCCCATCGCGATTACTTCAGTTTTCAGTCTCGTGTTATTTTTCTCGGCGACTAAACAAGCAACTGACCGGGAAATGAACCGAGGGAAGAGGAAACAAAACGCTTACCAGGGCAAGAGAGCTACCGCCGGAGTAAGGTCCAGGAGGCGCCATTAGATTCAGATTCGATCTGCTCTCTCGACGGAATGAATACCTGAGATGGATGCGCAATCGAAAGGTTTCTCCCTCGAAAGCCCTAGAGAGAAGGTTTCTTCAATCTGCAGTTCTTCACTCTCTCTGCTCGCATGGCAGAAGAATACTTCAAATAACAGAAATCGGTTTTATATGGTAGCAACAATTATCCAGTGTTCCAGAGTATACGCCAAGTAACAAGAATTTCATGCAATTTTTACCGTTGGATATATCTCACGGTTCAGATTCAGGTTTACTTGTGAACGGGCCAGTTGAACATCTGGAGTGTTAGCCCAGCCCATATGATAAGAAGGCTTGATGAATAACCGTGAGTAAGCCCATTACGCTGGGAAACGACCGATAGAGAGAATAGTTTGATATTGAGCTTCTTTTTTTTTTTTATTTTATAATTGATATTGATCTTTTCTTTAACAGTTTAACTAGTATTACGTAATACGGTATTTCATCTCGTTATTGTTGTATTTCGATTATTATTTTGTTGCTCCAAATGATGTTTTTGCTTTTCAAATCAACTTATGTGAGATTATTTGTATAATCGAAGGCTTATGAGCATCAACAAGGCATTTGGAGAATTAACTCAGTCAATTAGAATAATATTGATGAACATCCGCGACATTGTAGTAGTATTTTTTTTTAATAGGACCAAGGTAAATAAGGAAGCAAGCATGCACGTTTTGACTCTTGGGCTTGGACCAGGGGATCAATCCAGTTAAGAAGAATAATCCTTCTCGGATAAGGATTCCTTTCACAAGACTACAACGAAGAGTGATCATTTTTTTATTTAACTAAGAGTGATCATTTTCAAGGCTAGTTCCCAAAAATGTCATCCTAAAAGTGAGGCATTATCAGCGGTTACTAATTTCTCGAATCTAGAATTTTTCTAAAGTGAGTTTAATATTTCAATTATCTGGGTACACAACGCTTTTATCGAATCTCATCAAAAACTCATTTTAAGTTGGATAAGGTGATAAGCGTAAGACTCACATGGCATTATCGGCCACCAATCTATTCAGTCAGAGCGTGTTAAGGCGATGCTGAAAGTGTGGGTTTAATTGTTCTCATGATAAAAGTTTATCATACATCTTGATCTAAACAACTTTTATTACAGGAAACCCGAGATACTCTCGATGATAGTCAATGTTTTGTAGTGATGTCGACGAATCGAAGTTGGAGGCGACAATATCTAACTCTAGCTAACTTCCATTTTCGTTTCCAATTCAAAAATAATACCCTTCTATTAATACTATGAATGTCTTGTAAAAAAAAAACCTATAGAATAATTTTCCTTGTAAAGTTAGTTCTTTAAGTGATCGACATTTATAATTATACACCCCTAATCTTTTTTAAAAGACCTTCATTCGCATTTCAAAATCTGAAACTTAGACACTTCTCATAAAAAATCTACATATATTAATACTTCAAATGAACAAATATCTTCCACACAATAATAAATAAAATAAAAAGACACTACTCCATGGGTTTGTGTGGCATGCGGCATGCCTCAGACCTGTGGAAAGCACACTTCCACTGAATCTCAAATACCTCCAAACTTATCCAAATACATGGATTTGTAAGTAAAATCACTCCTAAATTTGTTGTCCTCTTTTCCCAAATCCATTTTTTCAGATAGATTTTCCACCAAACGAACCCCCAGAGAAGTTGCAAACCTAGAAGGAAACCAAATTAGCTTTCTATAAAGCGTACGTTTTTATTTTCCCCTGGTACCTCCATTCCCACATTCCTCCCCTTCCCTTTCCAACCATCCAAATTCGAAACCCAACCCTCCGCCATGGCTGCCACCGCCTCCGCCAACGTCTCCTCCTTCTCCAAACCCTCCACTCCCTCCACTTCCAAATGCCCCTTGCCTCAGAAACCCAATCTCTTCCTTCCCCCAACCTCCAAAACCCTCCATAAACCCTTTTCCGCCGCCGCCGCTGCTCGGAGCCTCTCCCATATCTCCCTCGCTTCTCCCCGGACCGGAGATTTCCCCATCGGAGACGGCGCAGATGACGGCGGTTGCTACTACGACGAACTCGACGACAAGCCCCGCGAGGAGTGCGGTGTGGTGGGCGTCTACGGCGACCCTGAAGCTTCCCGGCTATGTTATCTGGGCCTCCACGCCCTCCAGCATCGCGGCCAGGAAGGCGCCGGCATCGTAGCGGTAAAGGACAAGGTATTTCAGTCTGTTACTGGTGTTGGGTTGGTCACCGATGTGTTTAACGAGTCCAAAATCAATCAATTGCCCGGCGATTTGGCCATCGGGCATGTTAGGTATTCCACCGCCGGAGCTTCCATGTTGAAAAATGTGCAGCCTTTTGTCGCCGGGTATCGATTCGGGTTTGTTGGGGTTGCGCACAATGGTAATCTAGTGAATTACAGGAAATTGCGAGCCGAACTGGAAGATAGTGGTTCGATTTTCAACACTAGCTCTGATACCGAAGCGGTTCTGCATTTGATTGCTATCTCCAAGGCGAGGCCCTTCATAGCCAGAATCGTCGACGCTTGCGAGAAGCTCGAAGGAGCTTATTCGATGGTTTTTGTTACGGAGGATAAGTTGGTTGCTGTTAGGGATCCTTATGGGTTCAGGCCATTGGTAATGGGGAGGAAAAGCAATGGCGCTGTGGTGTTTGCTTCTGAAACTTGCGCTCTCGATTTGATAGATGCCACATACGAGAGGGAAGTGAATCCGGGAGAGGTTGTAGTTGTCGACCATGAAGGGATCACATCGCTTTGCCTTTTGGGTCATCGCGAGCCGAAGCAGTGCATATTCGAGCATATCTACTTTTCCCTGCCGCAGTCTGTAGTCTATGGAAGGTCTGTCTACGAGTCCAGGCGCCAGTTTGGAGAGATACTCGCCACAGAATCGGGGGTCGATTGTGACGTGGTGATTGCAGTTCCGGATTCTGGAGTCGTGGCTGCTCTGGGCTATGCAGCGAAAGCAGGGGTGCCATTTCAGCAGGGCTTGATTCGGTCACATTACGTTGGGAGGACATTCATCGAGCCGTCTCAGAAGATCAGGGATTTCGGGGTGAAGCTGAAGCTTTCCCCGGTGAAGCAGATACTGGAAGGGAAGAGGGTTGTGGTGGTGGACGATTCGATCGTGAGAGGGACGACTTCATCGAAGATTGTTAGGATGCTCAAGGAAGCTGGAGCTAAGGAAGTCCACATGAGGATCGCTAGCCCCCCCATGATTGCTTCGTGTTACTACGGTGTTGATACTGCTAGCCCCGAGGAGTTGATATCGAACAGGATGAGCGTGGAGGAGATCAGGGATTACATTGGGTGTGATTCGTTGGCGTTTTTGGAGTTCGATAGCTTGAAGAAGATGCTGGGGCAGGATTCGCCTGACTTCTGCTACGCTTGTTTCTCAGGGAACTACCCTGTGCTGCCTAAGGAAGTGATAGTGAAGCGAGTTGGGGATTTTGTGGATGATGGTTTGAGTGGTAGCATTGATAGCATTCAAGGTGGGTGGGTTCAAGGTCCGCCGGTTGACGACGACAGCGAGTTGGTGGCTCCATTAGCGGGTTAATGTTTTTCTCTCCGCGGGTCATAGAAAGAACAGAGCAACCAGCCATTATTAGGAGTGGTGTTATGATTTTAGCTCTGGTAGATGTCTTTCAGAAGTGATGACCTTTTAGTTTGTGTTATGTGGTTTCTTTAAGCTAGCTCCAGGTTGCAGTCTCAAAACCTACACAATTTTGTTTTCCTTTTTTGGCTTATTGCAGGGCTTTGAATTCGAGTAATGTTTTTATGATTTGAGTCTTTTTGAATTTGATAGCAGATGATAATATCATAATTCATAATGATACAGATGATGCTGCAGATGATGATGATGATTAATGATAGATTTTAACATTCTTGTTTGATGTTCAAGTTTCTACAGATGTTTGAACTCTCATGTAACTAATTTCTCGAAAGTTTTACGCCTTAATTTCGAGGATAGCAACGCGTACGGTTGTGCCAAATTGCTCAGTTGTGTAACAGGCATCAAAGCATAGATAAACTTCGGCTATCATGATTGTAGATTAGCCTCGAGGTTTCGTTTAGCAAAAATTGGCAAAATCGGACGAAGAGAACAATAGGATAAGTTGGCCAATCACATCTCTTCTGGAAATTCTGATGATAGCTAATAGCAGTACTGTAAAATCTGTGGCTATAACATTCAAGTGAAGTTCCCAGTTCTGGGGGGATCGGCAGTAGCTTGTTATACAAGTAATGAAACTTCCTGAGGCACGGAAGCAGCCATTAGCCATTCTCCGCTCGGTCGTAGGAGTTTGATTTGTGTTTGGGTGAGAACGTAAAGCCAGTCGGAACTTTGCCAAGCAGCATTTCAGAGATTCGAATCTGCGAAAATATGTAGTAAAACTGGTTAGTAATAGTACTATCCAGAGATTCATATAGCAAAAAGACATTGCTATTTACCCAATCAGCTGCAGATTCAGAGGCCATGAGCGTCTCGAGATCGTTGCGTCCAAAATAAGAGGGTGGTCGCCAGTTTAGCCGCTGTGGAAGGATCTCCAGAAGACCGACCGGTATATATCTGAATGTATAGCTCAGCCATTCCAGCAGGAAATGCCTAGTCGTTTCCACTCCTGTTAAGGTTTACAAAGCATATATAGGTCACTGTGACGAAGTAGAAAAAATTGTAACTAGACTAGACGCACGTTTACTGAATGCTTGAAAGAAAAGTTCAGGTTTTCTATCTAAAGTTAAAACAAACACACCCTTTGTGTCCGATCCCCAATGCTGAAGGCCAAACCGGACATAATCCTTCAAGATATCGAGTCGTTCTCCAGAGCTGATGTCCCAGTGCCTCTGTTCTTTGATTTCAGTGAATATCCATGGCTGCCAACAAGCAAAAAATTAACTCGTTCGTAATTCCAGAATGATACTAGGAATAATGTATTAGTAAGAGACGGGTGTCATCACAAACCTTGGTCAGTGCACCTCTGCCTATCATGCAGGAAGAGAGTTCGGGGCAGCTAGCTTTGTGGACGCTCCAATCAGTGTATGCAGATATATCTCCATTTCCGAGCACTTGCAGTGATTCGGGGGCGTTTCTAGCACATTGGTATATGTAATCCCAGTCTGCAGATTTGCTGTAACGTTGCTGTCTTGTTCGACCATGAACCGTAATGGCAGTGGCTCCCCAGTTTCCAATATCAGCAATTAAAGAGTCGACCTTGTTTTTTCCCTCAAGGTATCCAGTTCTAACCTGTAGTAATAGTAGTACAAGAATGGCATATAAAGTCTGGTAGCCTAGCTCGTTGAAGTTGAATCAGAACCACTTTCACCGATTTATATATGAACAACACAAGGTGAAAAAGATTTTATACCTTCACGGTGATGGGTGTTTCTACTGTGCTACTCGCAGCTTCTATAATGCCTTTCATACGGGTTGGCTTATTGAGGAGAGCAGAGCCAGCACCTTTGCTGACAACAAGTTCGATGGGGCAGCCCATGTTTATATCAATGAAGTCCACGGTACATTCTCGGTCTATGAGCTCAACAGCACGTGCTACTGTATCTGCATATGCACCACAAATTTGTACACCAAATAGATCCTCAGATGAATGGCGTCTCAACAATGCCCATTCCGCAGCTTGACCCTGAGCAACCATGAATTTAAAATATTCAGAGTCCCATCCACAGCAAAGGACAAGAAGTTGGGTTGGGTGTATATCACTAGATTTCTACCACATTGTAGAAAACCCAAAATAATACAGACCTGCAACAGATTTGTGCACATTGCCATTTCACCACAAGTAATGTCAGCTCCCAATGCTTTGCAAAGCCTTCTGAAGGGAAGATTTCCAACAGTAGTCAATGGTGCAAGATATAGCTTTCCTCTAAAGTCGATGAGCTTTCTTTCACGTGGGTGTGATTTCAAACTTCCGTCTGTCTCTACAGATAGATGATCTTCACTTGCAGCCTCTGGCTGCTTATCCAGGATACTTTGATCAACTTCCTTTCCCGGACTATTTGATCCTGTTTGCATCACATTAATAGGAGAATAGTGTTTCTTTACCTTCTTTTTCACACAGATAGTACTTACTGCAGAACCAAACTATAACACCAAACCACATATACCTTGCTCAGCCACATCTGGTTTTGCTTTCTTTGATGGTCTGAGTTCATCTACCACGTTATTCTCTTGTGGAGCCACTTCTCCAGCGCCATTCAGGTTGTCAGCTTTCGTATCAACCCCATTACTGCAACCATTCTCATTTGCCTCGTGATTACTGACAGCACACTCACTACCTTCCTCCATATCCGGCTTTTTCCCTTTCACACCGGGTCCCTACATAATTATGAAGAAATTATGCCAATCAATATCATTGCAAACCCGTAGCAGTTAACAAATGATAGCAATTACTAGAGATAATAAAGACAACAGAGAAAGAACAGGAGATTACCATGAGGCCAAGAGCTTTCAGTTTGGCATCTGCTTTAGGAAACTTCATATTGTTCTTCCACAAAAGTCTTTGAACATCCTTGGTCAATTCATTTGTCTCGGAGAAATTCTTCTTGGGTACAATCAAGCTACTATCACCAGCAACAACTTCCTTGTGCGTGCCATAAAACCTACACGCCAGGCCATAAGGGCACCTCCCTTCGTCGCTTATGAAAGGACATTCTCCATCCAGATCATCCGGTCTCTAGCAGTTCATACACAGATAGCTTAGTGTCAAACTCAGAATTCAGTTCACCAAGGACCCGAAATCAAACAGTGGTTATCTATTCGATTGCATTCAATTTCCTCAACTTGAATTGCTAATTTTCTAGGGAAACAAACAAGTATTGATTAGAGAGAGCAGCTGAAATTCTCAGTTACCTGAGCCTTGAAACCCTCCAAGTCATGGCTGAATCGGCAGCCATCGCCGAACTTGCAAGAACTAACATCTCCACTCTTCGCTATCACTGGGCAGAGATGAGACGTCTTTTGCTCCTGCGGATTTTTTTCATTTTCTCACTTCTCATTTCATTCCACAGAAACCGTAAAAATCAAATTGGCGAGACAGAAGAGTGAGAGAGCAAAAACCTGCTGCCGGTCGCGCTTAAATTGGCGTTTCGACTTCGCCTGCTTCAACACGCCGGACTGAGGAGCCCTCGCGGCGGCCGACGCCGAGTTATCAGCAGCAGTTTGTGAGGTTCTGGAAGGAGGAGGACACAGGAATTCGGCTTTTACCGGAGCAACTCCTTTGGCCGCTAACTCCTCGGGCGTCGCAGCAGCTGGTGTGGGAGCTCCTCCGCCGTTGGACGGCAGCGCGGGAGGAAGTTCAGGTGGTGCATCGTGGATGTCGGTTGCAACCTCAGCCGATAACTCGGCCATTGGGGGAAACGAATTGAACAAGAGGAACCTCAAACTCGGCCGAGTTGTGACGCTTGGCGTAACTCGTAAGGTTGGGGATATGCGGGAAGTTCACTGCTGGAGTGGAGCAATGCAGTGGAGGAGTGGTTACTGGTTGCATACTATACTAGGGTTTGAACAACGTGGCTAACTGGCTATCCGTGGAACCAGGTGACACGGTGCCGTTCTACTCAAGATTGAGATTCTAGTAGGGGTGTTCAAATGGTTACCGTGGTTATTACCAAACTAAATAAGACTAAATTTCATTAACCATAGAATGCAATATCATAACCAAACCGTCCAAACTAATACAACAACCAAATTAACCAAACTAAAGTTTAATCGGTTTGGTTAATCGGTTGAACCAGATTAACCAATATAAAATCATATTATCATCAAGTGAGAAAAATTTTGGTTAATTTATCAATTCACAATTTATAAAATGAATAAAACATAACAATCAACACATAGTTATAGACTTATAGTTGACCCTTAACATAAATACATGCAACTAATGATATGGATTAATGAATTATCTTACGGTTAGTATAGAAGTATTCACCTAACAAAAATTTATCATAATGATATGGATTAATGAATTGTTGTGTTTGTTTGAATTGAATTAGTCATTTAGCAATTTTCATAGGCTGAAAAGGACCTTGCTTTCAAGTTTTCATCCAACATAATGTATGAGATTTATCTAAATTAGGCGGTCATATGTTGTGGTCTACACTCTACATATACAAATATACATTATAGGAACAATATCAAGCTTTATATTTTATGAGTCTAAAAGGATCAACTTTTAACTCTTGAGTGGTTATTCAAAGTATTAAGTATGTGTATATATTAGATATATAACTAATTATTTATCTGGTTAATTTGGTTTGGCTGGTTAGGAGTGTCTGAAACCAAACCAAACCAACTAAACCAAACAAGCTAAAAAACTTTAACCAAACCAAACGAATTATCCAAATTAACCAAACCAAATTATCCAAATAGTACTGGTTAAAACGGTTACCATGGTACCCACACCGTTTGAACACCCCTAGATTCTAGACGGAGAATGGAACCCATAATATCGGGCTGGAAATTTGGTACAGATATTCAGGATATTACCGAATACCATACCAAATTTATTGATATCTTATTATATATTATGATTGTTCAAAAGCAATTTATTGTAACATAAGCACTTGGGGAATTCACAAGTTGTCATGACAAATTTTTTATAAAAAAAATTAATTAATGATCTATTTATGGTGTTATTTCTCTCTTCTTTTAATGATTTTTTTTCTTTTCTTCAACTATATTTGTAGCAATAGACTAGTATTTGTAGGGTGACACAAATTGCATTTGTTTAAATCAAAATATCTTAAACTAAACTTAATAATAAGTTATATTTTATTGAAAATTTTAAACAAAACACATACATAAATATTAATATAGTTTTAACGATTAAACAAAATATAATAACAATTGTTAGACAACCGACTTTCGAAAGTGAACTATATTGTTTTATATTTTGCTATTAAACACATCTTATATCTAATGTGTATATACAAAATAAAAAAGTATTGTATAGCAAATGTCTAGATAGAAACTTGACGATGTACAAGCATTGATCAAAGTGTCAAAACAATATGTTTTAGTTTGTAATAGTAAGCAATATGTATTTAGATCGAGTTATCGTAGCCGCAAAATTTTGTTTTCACATTTCACTGAACGAGGTGAGTTTAAAAGTCTTAATTACTAATCAAGATTATAGATAAAGTAAACCCTTTATACATGCTTAGATATTGACAGTAGATGTGTCAACAACACATCCAATAATTCATATGTATGTGAAATGCCACAATGTTTGTATGAGTTTTAAAATTTTAATAAAGAATAAACTTTTTCAAAATATAATAATTTAATTGTTCAAATAATACGACGTTTCTAATGCACATAAATCTATGTGCATTGTAGACATGATTTAACAATTATTAATATATATATATATATATATATATAATGAAAATTTTTGTTCCATAACCTAACAGCAAAATAACGAAAAATTTGCAAATGCACATTAAAAAAGTTGGGAAATTGTACACTAAAAGACCATGTTAAGAAGAGAACCCTTAATAGTGTGTGAGAGTTTTGAGCCATGAAAACCGTATTCCTTGAAGACATTGTCTCACTTAGGAAAAGAAACGATTTAGCTAAACAACAATGAGTTTTGAGCGTTTGTAATGTCAATGAACTCCTCACACCTTGACAATTCCACGTGAATACATTCATTTATCAGTTTGGGGCCACTCGGGGTTGGCTTCCTCCACCCTTATCTTTTGTGCATTTTTTTGGTACTGATTCCACCACGCCTTCTTCCGACTCCTAGATACATATTTCCACATTTCTTCGAGTATAGACAATAGGAGATCCCGAGGATTCTACCAGGATGGCCTTGCCTTTTGACTTCCCATTTTCGACCGGTCCAATCGGAGAGCATGATACTGCAGATTCTGAAAATAGTAAGTGGGCCTCGAGATTTAGAAATCCCATTTCTCCTTGATAGCCGAACGGGTTAGTTTCATTCAAATCTTCAAATAAAAAATCTGGATTTTCATCCTAAAATAAATTACCTAACCCAAAGGATTGGGTTGGCCTCCTGCACTTACAATGGGATTGGATTTTCCATAATTAGATGAGTGCTTCCTTGCCCATTAATATTTTCGGAATTGGGCTCCCTTTTAGGCCCGTTGGTGACTGACTTTCTTGTCTTCTGATGGCTTGAGCAGGCCCTTCTACTCGGCCCAGGTAGTAATTCAACAGCTGCCCTTTTCAGCCCAATCAGACTGCTCCCTTAATAAAAAAATAAAATGCAGTAGAGCAGGACCCGTGTCCAAACTCCCGATAAAGCCCTCACATTATTGTTGGTATTTTCCAATTTGCCACTCCTTATGTCGTTCCAATTTTTTGCCCCAGCAAAGCACAATTGTTGGGTTTCCTTCCTATGTTGTTCTTCCTTCCTCGCCCAGACGCTCACAGCGACACCGCAGTCCCTCAACACTTCTCCGTCACCGAACCAGATTCCATCCCTGTTATCTCTTTCAGCAACCCATTGCCAATCTTTTTATCCTTACCAAATTAGCTACCTCAGATTCAACCGCCTCACCAAATTTCTTAGGGCAATTGATCGACCAGGTCAGTCGACCTAGAAGATTACATTTACAACATGCATAGTTGATGCAATGTTCCATAGAGATGCAGGCGAAAGAAGTCCATCGTCGTCTCGGTCCCCACCTCTTCAAATCGCAGCGCCGTCGTGCCCGGATGGTCTGCGGAACGGCCGTCCAAACTTTCATCGCGTTCCTGCCTGGCGAGGTACGGAGGCTGGAGGCCATCACCGACGTCGGGAAGGCTTTCCTCATGCAAGGCAGTGATTGTGCGGAGACCTTCACTCTTATTCCGTAGATGGCCATGGTTCTCACTGTTGGTGCTCAAATACCCATCCCATCATCAAGGTTAAAACCGAAAAGTCTGAAACCTCTAATTTCTTTGATTCAGTTCCAGTTTCGGTTCAATTTTTAAAAACCCCCCCTTTTTTGTATTAGGTTGGGAGTATGGCTGAGCAGTTCGTGAAACCTAAGTCGGATTCATTTCAGAACAACGATGGGGTGAAGCTGGCGAGTTACAGAGTAGATAACATCAATGCCGATGCCGTTGATGAGAAATGTAGAATTCTTCATCCGAAGAGCCTTATCAGAGCTTACCTTCAGTTCGTTGCCACTTTCACTCTGCTCTGAGCTATTGTCACCGGTGGACATGCTACTTTGAGATTGAGAGGCTCTGTCTGTTGTGGGAGGGACCACATTCGCGGCAATGGCGATAGAGCTAAGATTGAGAAACATGGTTAAGTTGGAGAGAGAAGAGAAGAATGGTTCGTGTCAATGTTAGCAACTGCGACAAACTGCCAAAATGTAGCACCTGGGGTTCATTTTCAGTTCATGGAGGATTCTGGCCGAGGTTAGGAGAATCTTGCTGTTGGAACTGGTCAGTGGAGCTCTTGGAGAAGTGGCTACGGTTAGCAAAATCTAGCTGAATCAATGCAAGTGATTGTTAGTGGTTAGAGGCTATGCCGAGTCCGATTCAGCCGGAGAGATTAGGTGTGACCGATTGGAATTCGAGATTTCCAAGTCTAAATATTTGCCAAATGAATTGGAATCAACAACAGGAACTATTAGATCAGTGTGGAAAACAGAATGAATTCTGGTAAAACCGACGAGGAAGGAGGACGCATAGAGGAACGGGAACAAGTGGCGGATTCCCGCAGCAAAAGTTGCAGAAGATGGGTTATCAGAACCAACAAGAAGATGGTTGCAATCCTAGAAGGATTCAGTAAACCAAGTTCTCAAAGCAGCAATGGTTTTATCAGAAATGGATGTACCTAAGAATTACATTGAATCGCTTCCCAAGGTATAAATGACGTCCAAGTACCTTTCCTCCTTGAACTGAAACTTGCCATCCATAATATTTACCTTTTACTTTTCTTCGTTGTTGTTTTGTTTTGTTGGAAATGGAATGGAAGATCAAGCCTCGGAGACTCGATATACAAATCCATCGCTGATGAATACTTTGATCCCACTCAGTTCCTGTCAACCATGGATCTAACAAACGAGCACAAAGTTCTGGAGCTGAAGAACAGGATTGAGAACAACAAGGTAAGCACCAGACAACAAAATGTTATTTCTGCATCCAGCCGGGGGCAATGATAAGATCCATCCAATCAATCAATCAATCAATCAGAGATTTGGGTCAATCCGAATCTAGCTAAACAATCAATTCGACTGGAGAGCTATTCAAGAAAGATCCAATTTTTACAGTGGCCCGGCCCGACTCATCTTGTTATTATCTTAATTCTTTATGGGAAGCATTATAATTAATTAAAGAATGACCTAAACAAACAGCAAGTCTCTATGGACGCGGATTAGAGTAGGAGACAAATGAGTCAACTCGGAATCTTCCTTTTATTGTATGTGCTTTTGACAAAGCTGCCGGCCTGGGTTCCTCTTCATTTCCACCGCTTCTTCCTTTCCTGAGATCATAAACAACAGCTTCGCAGTTTCAATTATCAGTTATTTGTTAGAGTCCCCTCCCAGCTTCGACGATGTATACAGGGTTATGGGAGTACGACGTCTTCCTATGTTTCAGGGGGGACGACTCCCGCACTGGCTTTACCAGCCACCTTGTGCAGGCTCTGCGCGACAAGCGTATCAAAACCTTCATCGATACCATGCTCCCAAAAACGGAGAGCATCGACGAGCTGCTCTGCTTCCTCCAAAGATCCGCGGTTTCCGTGGTGGTTTTCTCAGAGAGGTTCGCCGACTCAACCTGGTGCCTGGACGAGATTGTCACCATAGTCCGAAGAATGAAGGGTGACCACCGCCACAGGGTGCTGCCCGTTTTCTACGGAGTCGAACCGTCCGATGTGACGGACGACTCTGGCAGTTATTCTGCGCTTATTGATGCACTACTTGAAGCTAACCCCGGGGCTGGAAACAAGGAGGTATGGATGGATGCTTTGAAGGAAGTGGCTAACCGTGCTGGCCACACGTCAGGCGAGAAAAAGTGAGTTGAGTACTACGGGTTAATTCAGGTCTCAGTCTCGCTTCAATTTTCAGTTGTTGGGATTTAATTCGAAGCTGCTACTTGGTGGGATGCTAGAATTGCCTGTTTTGTGCGAATTTAGATCCCATACTTAGCCAGTAATGCTCTTAATAGTTGCACAATTTTACATTTATCAGTGTGAAATTTGTTCCTTTAATTGATTCTCTTGGTGCTTAGGATCAAATCTGAATCAAGCAAGGCGGATGGGGGAAATGTCGTGAAGGAACTGAAACCATCAAGCGAGTCATTTACCCACGAAGCAAACCGTATCCTAGCAAGAACTGGAAGGTTTGATGGTCTTAAAATCATCTTTTGTTTGTTATTTTGGCTGGTAAATCAAGTGATTTCATTTTGTCATTTGTTTATTTTTTTGAAGCTTCGTTTTTTATAAGATCGAATCTGAATTGGTTAGCGCCGTTGTGGATGATGTTTCGAAGACACTCATAGACATGTCACCAAGTATAGTCTACAATAAGTTGGTTGATATGGGTTCTCGCATCTTGGAAGTGGAGCGACTGCTAGCCATGGATGATGTTACCAAGCATACTTGCATTATCGGGCTCTGGGGGATGGGCGGCTCTGGGAAAACCACTCTGGCTGAAGCCTGCTATCAGAGACAAACATCATCCCCAACATCAACAAAAGGACCATTCTTCAAGCATCATTTCATCCGGAACATTAGTGAGAAGTGTGAAGCACAACGTGGGGTTGATGGACTTATACTGGAACTCTATTCACAACTCTTATCTGAAGAGAATTTAACTCGTGAAAATTTGAATAATGTGGCTCTAAGGCGACGTCTTTCCAACTTAAGGGTGCTTCTACTTCTCGACAATGTGGGGAGTATGTGGCAGTTAGATCAGTTGCTCTTGGGATCCATTTTCTCCAATGATGTCACTAAACTCTTTGCCCCAGGGAGCAGAATTATCGTGACAGCTAGGGATAAGAAAGTGATTCAGCACGGACAAGTTGTGACGATACATCCGGTTGAGTGTTTGCAAGATGGTGAATCGCTGCAAGTCTTCAGCTTGTTTGCATTCGGAGAAAGTGCCCCTCCTGATGTGTGGATGGATCTGTCGCGTAAAGCTTTATCGTACTGCAGTGGGAACCCTTTAGCACTAAGAGTATTGGGAGGTATATTGAACGGTGAGGATCGACGCTATTGGCAGAGCTTTCTGGAGAGTTTGACATTGGGAAGAACAGGGGTGCCTGAAATTCATGACATTCTGAGGAAAAGCTATGACAAGTTAAATGACAAGCAGCAGCCACTATTTCTGGATGTTGCTTGCTTCCTCCATGGGATGTTGAGGTCTAAACTTTTAAAATTCACGAAAACTAGTTGCTACGATGCCTATAGTGATGTACAGGATCTAATCAATAAGTCACTGCTGGTTTGTGCCAATGGCAAGGATGGCGAGATGATTGAGGTGCATGATTTGCTCAAATACATGGCTTGGCAAATTGTTAACAAGGAACGGGATCTTAGAAAGTGCAGCAGGCTGGAGAATCCTGAAGACATCACCGAACTACTGCAGACTCTTAAGGTATGCTTCACTGTGATGTTATTTTTCTTCCTTCTGAGCTTTCATGTCCACGCCAATCTGCGTTATAATCTGTGGTTTCCTTTTAGGGAACTGATAGAGCAACTGAAGCCATAAATCTGAACCTTTCCAAAATCAAAGACATGAATTTGGAAGCCAATGCCTTTCAAGGGATGAATTCACTTAAATGGTTAAAATTCTACTGGTCCCACGTAAGGCTTGGGCGTTGCAAACTCCATATACCGGTTGGCCGCATCGACTTTCTCACCACCAAGTTAAGGGGACTACAATGGGATATCTACCCTTTGAGATCTTTACCATCGGGATTTTCTCCAGAAAACCTTCGTATACTTGCTCTGCGCGATAGTCATATAGTGAAATGTTGGGAAGGAGAAGGAGAAACTCAGGTATATTATACAGACAACACATAGCCATTACTATTTTCAGTCTAGCCAGCACATATTCCTTGATTCCTTCATTTTGCCGTTTTGTATTGGTTATGATGATGACAGGCTGCTAAGCTTGTGAACCTGGTGGAGCTAGACCTTTACGGCTGTCGTTATCTCACTGCCCTCCCAGACCTATCCAAGTCTACACATCTTGAGGTGCTCATACTCCGTGATTGCAGAAGCCTAGTTGAGCTACCTTCGTGCGTCGGATATCTCGACAAGCTAGTGAGGTTGGATGTCGAAGATTGTTCCAATTTAGAGCGCATTCCAACCAAATTTAAGTCTAAGCACCTCAAGTATGTTTTAATGTCCAAATGTTTCAAGGTCACCCGTTGTCCGGATATTAATTCAAAGGAGCTGGAGGTTTTGGATTTAGATAGGACGCCTATCAGTGCAGCACCGCCGGCTTCAATCTACAACAAGATGAAGCAGGGTGGCATCCTAAGTCTCCATTGCCGAAAGATCACAAGTTTCCCTCAACTTCCGGAAAGGTTAGAGAAGTTCAGCCTTTCCAACACGTCGGTAACAGAGATCAAACTTGGAGATCAACATCATTCTGACTCGGCTTTAAATGGGCCAAGGTTCGGACAGCTATGGTTGGTTAATAACTCCAAACTCGAGAGCCTGCCCCTTAACATCTGGAAGATGGTGTCTAGAGAAGTTGTTGTTGACTGCAGCCCATTGATTGAAACATTGCCGGAAATCTTAGAGGCAGAGGGCATGGAGGGCTTTACCTGGCTTGCTGTGACTAGATGCAAGCTTCTCAAGCATGTTCCATCAAGCATCAACAATATGAAATTCCTGCAGGTTCTCAATTTCTCTGGCACGGCTATTGAGACCTTGCCGGACTGTATTCAGGATCTAAGCGAGTTGTTGACGCTAGAACTGAGCAACTGCTCAAGACTTGAGTCCATCCCGGACATCCTTCACAAACTTGCCAAGCTATCAGTATTGATTGTGACGGATTGCAAGAAGCTTACACTTTTACCACGACTTCCACCATGCCTCAAGCTTTTGTCTGCGAGATTTTGCAAGTCCTTACAAGCTCTGCCAAGCGACATAGGCGGGCTGAGTTGCCCGGAAATGTGGTTTGATTGTTGCTCGCAGTTGGACCGGGCTTTGCTTGGCGACATGGTATCAGGCTTTCTGCAACAGGCCATGCCTCTGCATTCTCAGGTATGGTAATATTATCTTTTTTGTGTTGGCGATTGATGTAAGATTCATTCTTAATCTGTTTTAACAGTTGTTGCTGTTGCTGTTGTTGTTGGGTTGAACCAATCTTTGGTATGATGTTAAGAGTTGTTAATGGATTTTATGAATAAAGTTCAATGTCTCTGCCACAGGGTTCTCGTTTGTATCCAGGGACTGAACTTCCGGAATGGTTTCATTACCAAAGCGAGGAAGGTATGGCCTTTGTAACGGTGACCTTGCCTGCTGCAAGTGCAATCTGTGAGCAAAAGATGAAGGAAATCGCATTTGGTGTCGTGACTACTTCACAACCCCGCGGGTTTATGCAGATGATGACATGCGGCTGCTACATTCTTAATGGTTCTATGGATGGAAGCCGCCCCAGCAGCAGCGTTGGTGCCCTTTTTGCATCTTGGAGTTCTTCTCTACTGGTTGCCTTTGACAATGAAAACTTGAGTCATGTTCATCTGTGGTTTGGAAACAAGTTACGCCCTCGCTGCACCACGAACGAAGATCAAGAAGAGGAGGAAGAAGAAGCCTGGTATGTGAAATATGCCGGGGAGACTGTTCTGTTCTACTTCTTCCATCAGGGGGGCGAGGAGTTGAAAATCAAGAAATGTGGCGTTTCTTTACTCTACAGCTCTACTGATTGCAGTCCGATAGTTTTGGGTGTGTAATTTGTCTACATGTTTGGTCGTTCGAATTCGAAGAATGACGAATCGTGATTAATTTTGAAGTGTGTAAATCAAATGAAATATTGGCGATGAATTGGTTTTTAATTTTGGGCAACGGTTTCCTCTACTAATTGTGTTTTCAGATTGGAGACTTTCTAGAGAATGTAATTCTAACCTGCGAGATCCTTCCTGATGGTGCTGACTGCATGGAAAATGATTAGTCAGGAAGCATTGCCGATGAAACTGGTTGCAAGCTAAATGAGGTTATTAACATTGTTGGGCAGTTAGAGGATGGGTTGTTAATATTGGCAAGAGAATGGATGATTCCTTGCTTAAAGAGACTGGATCTGAAAGTCGTAGTGACCGCACGGAAGATTCAGTTATTGACACTAGCTCGACCAGTAAGAACTTGCATTCTGGCAGTCTGAAAATGACAGTGCACAAAGTGGCAGTGGCGAAGATGATGATCTCTGGGAACATATGGAATGAGATGGCCATAGCATCGAAATTCACTTGGGTATTTTACGTTTTATACATTTCTCCTGTTTATTACGATATAAATATGTAACTACCTGCTAAACCTTATCGAGATTGGTATTTGAAGTTTTGTCTCCTACTATGTTGCTACCTGCTAAACCCGTAGTTATACATGGTTGTTACTTGCTTCAAACTTGATAAACACTAGGGACTAGGGAGTCGTTTGCTTCTTTGATTTGAAAATTGAGGGTTTTGGCCAACAAAAACCTTGGTGGATTTGAAAATTGAGGGTTTTGGCCAACAAAAATCTTGGGATTTATGTTGGATTTATTAGATTATGGATTTGAAGAGTCTAATGTTTGCATGATAGATTTGATGATGGATTTGTTAAATAAATAACTAACCATCAAGGATTTGCAAATCCCAAATCAATATGTGGGATTTACAAGTCCGTGGGGTCTACGGACTTCGTTCCAAAATAAAAACCAAATCCGTGGACACTTACGGGCAAAGATTGTCTGCTTTACTTCAATGCTTGGGTTATCTTCTTCACTTAGTTGCTTCTTGCTTTTGCAGGCATTCCCTCCTTGTTGTGTTCTTTTATCTTCTTTATGCAAAAGAAATGCGGAGGCTTAGCTGATAATATGGAGAAGCTTGGCAAATAGGTGTGTGTACAGAAACTGAATTCATTTGTCAAATATGCCAACCCATTTCTACACTTGGTTGGCTGCTTTAAGACATTTTTGAGGTTTGTGAGGAGTGTCATTAGCAGAATCAATTGCACTGTAGGAGCACGGGTTATATGAGGGGAATTTAGGATTGGATTGGTTAGTGGGAGTTTTCTTTGTTGTTATGGGACAAGTTAGTACAGTCACGAGTCAACTGTGGCACTCATTTGATGATTGAACTTCCTCAGAAATACTAGCCATCACAGCAAGTGATAACTTCTGCTCCATGCTTCCGTACCAGGAGTCGAGTCCTCCCAATGTCGGGGAGTTCGATATACTTTAAAGAGAAAGGAAAATGCACCCGGACTTTACATCATCCAATACATATATAGCAGCTTCGACTGGGAATCTGGAGAGTTCTTGCTCAAGCAGAAAGTTGCAAGTGACATAAACAATTTTGCTGAAAGATGTAAATTACAGTTAGCTATACTCACTGAACTCTCTTGAGTTGATTACTTAGCTGCAGATTAATGAATAGTTGCTTTATAGTGCTCGAGTATGGTCAATTTGTATAAGAGAAATGTTGTCATTAAGAGTTATACTTAAATGCAGTCGAAAATGTGAGAGGGGAGGGAAAACAATCCTAACTTCAATCAGTACTATAATTTTGGGTTATATGGTAAAAGAAATTAAAATACAAACCAAGGTTGATTCTGATGGTCCTTGGATTTTTATTTTTATTTTTATGGGCGGTCCTTGGATTTCAAATCCTATAAAATAGGTTATGCAACATATAAACTGAAGGATACATATAAAGTTTTTGGTTTCAGGTTTGCCTGTTTGAAATTGGAAAATACCAAGTGATGGAGCATGTCTGTTGATGTTAGAATTGATGTTATTCGCTTGGTAAGTGCTTATCGAATGCTTATCAACTCTGCGATTTAGATTGTATTGAGTTGGTTGAGGATGCTAAATGTATATTGGTCATATTTATTTGAGATTGTAGAGTAACCGAAAATGGGTGACCCATATTTTTTTCACTACTACAATTTCTTTGTATACGCGTTGAATGTTGTTTTTCTTTTCTAAAGAAGATTGCTCAAATTTTTCCAAAAAAGAAAAAAAAAAGATTGCTCAAATTTTACTACGACAATGTGGGTGGGGATTGATTTGATGTCTGAAATAAAGAGTTTCATCAATTTCGCTTATTCTATATTGCTTTTTAATATATTAAACACAACTATGATGACCCTGCGGCGTACTTAGCAACGGGTATTGATACTAGTATGTAACTAAAGGTCCAGATCATGCTTTTGCTCTGCTTCATTCTACGTAGTTCAAACCGCACTCAAAGGTAGGGCATTTCCCATTTTTATAGGAACTTCTCTACCAGAAATAATAGTATCTCCAATTACAGCACCTCTGGGATGTAAAATATATCTCTTCTCACCATCCCCATAGTGTATGAGACAAATGTATGCATTTTTATTGGGGTCGTATTCTATGGTTAAGATTCTACCATATATGTCTTTTTTTCATTCCGTCGAGAATCGATTTTACGGTATAGACGCGCTTATGACCTCCCCTCTATGCCTTGCGCGGTAATGGTTCCTCTGGCATTCCCTGCTCTACAAACACAACCCCTCCTGAGATCAAAGAATATAGAGATTGCAGATACTAATTATCATGTCATGGTACGTAATACTCAGTTACATCCATTGTCACTCTCTATCTAATTTGTTGTAGCTTATACTCCACTGCTATCGCAGGAACCAATGAATATTCAATCTCTAAATAGTAAATATCCATGATTTTGGATTCTAAGAAAGAAAGAAACCTTGCAACTTCGAATGGTACATATGTGGTTGTCTGGAATAAACATGTCACAGTTAATTCTTATATAACAATTAAATCAGACATGTCACGTGAAAAATATAATACGTAACATAATGTTTATACTCGTTACGTAAAAAAAAATGTTCATTTCGTAAGATAATTAACATTGTCTCACAACTATTATTGAAAAACACTCACACATTGGAAAGATCACAACATATTCAAGTGTTTTCATGCTCATGATGTGGTAGTCATGAAAGCCTTTGCAATGTTAAGTATGGATGATGTATGATACCAAATGTTGTATTTTTTCCCCTTTTCATTAAACATGGATATGAGTCCAAAACGAGCATGAGCAGATATGATCTCCTTTCTTTTCTCCGATCATAAAGTCCCTAGACAGATCTCTTTCATAATGTGTCCAAGCCTAGCAATTTGAAAATGGGCAGACATGATACAATTCTTATTTATCAATTGAATAAACATACAACATAAGTCTTCCGTGATAAAAGATTGAATAAAAAAATCTTACATTATAACCAACTGTTGACCATCTCATCAATTAACATTTATACAGAAGTTTTGTAATGTGAGTTTGTCCTCAAATACATGTAAGGAGATTCTTACTCAGCAATCAGCACCTACCCAATTAAAATTTTCTTGGCCTCCCCGCAAAGCAAGGAAGCCCTAATAAGTCTTTTGGCATCTCAATTTTCTGTGCATGCTACTATGGGACTATGGGTTACTCACACAACTGGACATATCAATTGGGCTTTCCATTTCCTTTTCCACAGCCCACCAAATTATAACTTATAATTACAAATCAACATAAATTAATTCATCATTAGTTTACTTGGACATAAACTTACGATTTCTTTTACCATTATTATACGTGTTATACATATAGAATAAATAAACAGAAAAATAAACACAATTTTATCAAGAATTTCAAATGCATTTAACACTTATACATGTATTATATGGATATTGAATATAGTTTCACTAAATATTTTCACGTTAACCAATATGCATGCAATTATATCGTATAAAAAAATGAAGTTCCATATGGTTTTCGATTTAACAATTCAAGAATATGATCATTTTTCATTCGGTGATAAACTTCTATGTTTAGCTCGAGCATAAAAGAATTTGGTCTAAAATTTAATTTCTAATATCATTGCTTTCTTCTCAAAGAATGATAATTGTTCGACAAAAAAAAAATGATAATTGCCTGCAAATTTCGAAAACATTTATTAGCAAGTTTGAGCCTCGAGGGTTTTCAGATTGTAATAAGCGACTAAATATTTTTACACTTAGTTATCAGACAACAAACAATTACCGATTAAAATCACTTGGTTTTGTTAAAGTTCTAAGTTTCAATTCGAGTAGAAGAGATGTATTGTGAAAATAAATCAATGAAGCAGAATTGTTGCTCATCACAATAAATTGTTACTAAGGCTATTAATACTATGCATCTTAAATTATTTAATTTTAATTATAACAAATGAGATCAAGCTCCTATAGTCGATTCAGGAATAGTCTCACTAAAGCTTATATTGCTCTTCGATCTAAATAATGAATCTCAATTATTAGCATTTTTCATATTTAAGATCCAAATTTAATGAGGATACTACCCAATCAACTAACATTTTTCACATTTATGATCCAACTTGAGTTGTGAATACTACCAAATATGAGTTTGTTGTCTTGGATCATCAAGAATTCAGGATTTCTGAGAATTACTGTTGAAAATCTATTAAAAAATAGTGGAAGAATGAATCGTCAAGTTGAATCACAAATTAACAATTCCATAACCAAATTAACAATTTTGAACATAACTATTGATGGAATAAATGAATCTCAAACAAAATTTGCAACTATAATGATGCAAATTCTTTTGTTGTGAAGCACCTATCAATGATGAATATAGTGGAGTTAATGATGAAGATGGTTGATGGTTAAGAGGTGATACCGATTATTTTGAAACACCTATATGCTTAATTTCAACAAGAATCAACATAGATGGCTCTGATTACGATGTTGATGATTTTTATGATGGATGCACATTCTCTTCTCGAAGAATTGAATAATTTAAATTTCTTAAAGATAAAAAGCAAGAAACTAGCTTGCAATTTGGTAAAATTGATATCATTATTTGTTAATTCGCATGACATGAACATATAATTCTGACACGAATATAAGAGAAGTGGAGATTACTGAAATTTAAACTTTGAAACTTTGTTAGTTAATATCATCATATTGCAACCGGCCAACGGACTAGGTACAGTCTAGTATTATATAATCAAACGATAATTTTCATAACTTAATTCACTTATTATAAAATATAGCTTATGTACCTACAATACTCACTATCTCACCACTTTGCATTACGTATAGATTCTCCAAGATAAGATAATTTTACATGATAGTCTAATCAAATTTGATGTTTTTTTATTAGATTTTATTATTAGATCACACATTACGGAAGATCAACGTAACAATATTGTATAACCATTATGTAAATTGAAAATAAATTTTGTAAAACTTATAAAGGGATTATTATTTCATATCTATCAATTAAACAAACGTATTATGTAAGTCTTGTATAATAATTAAGACACTACATAAACTTTTGAAAGAATCTTATCCAAATTATTTTGTAAATTATTTAATTTCAAATAAATCATTAAATGAGTGCATAATATTTTAAATACATTTATTGTCTTAATGTCGCCAAGGCGGATAAAAAACTAGTCTACACAATAAATAAAAGCCAAATGAGAAAACTTGAAGATCCATTTCAAATTTTCTGCATTCAGAGTGAAAGTAGGAAGGACATTTTGGTCTCCATAATTACTTTTTTTATTCATCAAAAAGACACTTACTAGGATTTGAACCATGATCACTTTAAAGAAAAGCAAAGATCATAACCAATCACACTCACTAAGTATATTTGTTTATTTTTTTAAATTAAAAACATATAATCACAGAGAGGAAAAAACCCTTTCCCCATTTCAAATTCCCTGCTCCAGGAGTGTTTGTAGGAAGGATAGAATAGAGAGTGTCAATTTTTTTTTCTTTTTCGTCTGTGGAACGGGCCAACTTACCGTACATATGCAGATTTAAACGGATCCACGAGTGTCAATTTTTTTCTTTAAGTCCTTTTATTCATATGTGTCGGTAAAATATATATGAAAATGCAAAAACAATACACCTTTTTATTGCTAAAAAGAAAAAAAAATTAAAAATAAACTAATGCATGGATTCTATTGGGCTAACCACTAATCATAAAAAAAAAAAAGTTGAATGGGTCTGACCTACACGGGATTGGCCCGTTTTGATCAAGTTTAATTTATAATCACATGGTTCCCTGATACCCGATAAAAATCTCAATCCAAACCAGTTTGGCAGGTGAGTCTGTGTTTACCACCATTTTCTAGGGATATAGGAACGGTGGTTCCTATCCCAAATCGTGTTGTTCATTCTTGATTTCTTTCGATTTTATCATGGCTTGGCAAAAAACCAGAAAGCACAATGATGATAAGATGAAAGTTCTATAAAGCAAATTAATTGGCCAACGGGCTGAGTAAAAGCTAGCAACGATTGTGAGATGCTCATTTCCCGAAAACCGACGGGATAGACGATTTTTTATTCGATTTTCCTGAATTCGGTTTCTATAAAACTTATTCCACCTCATCATATTACCAGAAATAATATTGTTTCACAAGGTAATAGGTACTTGATTTTGATTCATAAGGCTGATTTTTAATTCGTTGCATCATTCATGTCTCTTTCTTACTAAAATTCACTATTTTTATCATGTGATTCTAAAAAAAACCTATACACAATAAGCTATACACCCTATTACATTATCAAATTTCATACTTCACCTTGGCGCCCACGCTAGTTGCTAGTGATACTAAAATAGCAGGAGACGGGACGCGTTTTAAAGTCCAACTTTTGCAATCTGTCTTCGTGCTCGAGCCAAAACCACACGACATCTTCAACAGATGAACCCGTTTTTACTTAGCATATATGGATATGTAAATATAATAAATATAAGTACATAAAGGAATATGAGCTGTACTCATTTGACTATACCATCTAACATGTAATAAAATATATAATACGAAGAACGCCTGTATATATGAATAACCATTGATTGCAGCAAAAGATTGATATGCCAGAAGGGGTCGAAGAAAGATGTGGGGAATCTCTAATCACCAATCTCTAATCACCACCGCCGGTGGGGATACAGAGAAACTTAATGAATGAATTTGCATTTACTGGCTAGCTTCTGATTTCGAGTTTGTTCCGTTCTGCTGTTCCTGCTGCTGCTGCTGCAATTGATGGGTGTTGCGCTGGGAGGACATCTGCTGCTGCTGCTGGAACATCTGCTGTGGAACCATTCCTTTGGATGCATCAAAGCTGTTGCCGTTCATTTCAGCAGTGGCGATCTTCAGTCGTCGAACCTCAGCAGTTAAAGCTTCGTTGAGAGCTGCCAAAGATACCAGGTAAGTTACATCAAGAAATCTTGCAATATGGCAGGGGAATGGAACCACAAATAAGAGCCTCGCTGGATTCTAGCTACTGGCTAGGTCTCCCCTATGTTTTAGTTTAGACTTCAGTTGCTATAGGTTCACGGCTTCATAGGAGAGCATCAAAGCGAACGTTTCATATTAAAGGGTGTGGATATCGAACATGACCTACACCTTCCCTCAAACTCCGAGCTTAACCAGCAGCAACTAGTACTATTAGAGCATGTCACTCACAATCAGAACATTTGACCTGTCGGCATCTACACTAGGTAGCGGGCTAATAGCAAAGAGGGGATGACAGCAGGAGGCTACATGGCACATAATGCTGAGGAAGATGCAAACGTCTATTAAGAAGAGCACAAAGAGCTAATGTGGGAGAGAGTCTAGCTAGTTTCCTAACCGCGTAGCGTCCAACTATGGTGCAAAGCTAGGATCGATGTTCAGCTACCCAAAAGAGAAAACATTGGGCAGTGGATACAGGCTTATGGTTACGATGAAGCAGCCAATGAGTTTGGACCAGTGAGAGATACAACGTGAGCAGACAAGAGAAAGGGAGATGTTGTTCATACCATCTCGAAGCTGTGCCTGTTGCTCCATGGCTTGTAGACGAAACTTCAGTTCATTATTCTGATTTGTAAGTCCAACAGAATCTCTCTACATATACCAAACCAAAAACGTATCACTCAAGCAGGCTGACAAAACATATATATGGGGAGAAACTCTAGAATCATTAACATCGTTACCTGCAATAGAGTAAGCTGGGCAGACAATGTAGTAGCTTCTGTCTGAAGAGTCTGCACCTTGTGCTCCAGTTCTGAAATGTATCTCATCTTCCTTTCCTTAGAACGAGCAGCAGATTGACGATTTGCTAAAATTCTGAATGATCCAGCCAACAAGAAGATGAGGTAAGTATTGGTAGCATAGATGCATCTAATGAACTGTATATAAGCAGTGGGGATGGGGGCAGGAAAGGTACCTCTTTGCACGCTTTGGATCAGTTAAAGCAATCTCAGTAAGTTTCTCGTTCGCCATAATTTTCTTTAGTTCAACATTGTTGAACTCTCCATTACCGAAATCCAAACTAAAGGTGCTCCCGTCAATCGAGCTAGTAGGAGATAATTGTCCTAGAAGAGGCCCCGGTGAAGGAGGAAACTTTGGGGACTCATCACCAAAGTTTAACTTCCCCATGAAACTATCCAAGGAAACACTTCTATGATGTCTTGAAGTTGGAGCAATATCCCCTCCAGCACTCCTTTTAACCCCTTCCCTTCTCTCCACTGAAGAACTCAATCCTCCTCTCGGAAAGCTGCTCCCACTTTCATTCATGCTGCTCTCGGCCTCATTATCACTGCTATCCCCGTTGGTCCTGGTTCCACTAGCTCTGCTATCTAAATCCTCACGATTCTCAGTAACATTCTTGTCATCTGTCCCAGATGAGTTCAACGCATCAAAGTTGTCCAAATTCATATACGCAGAAAACAAATCTTCCACAACTTCACCTTCAGATTTCTTCTCCCCCGCCCCTTCTTCATTGCTATCAACACCTTTCTCCCACTCCCTCTTCACCGACTGATCTGGTTTACCAAAACCAGCTGTCCCTCTCAATGGAACAAGTGGCGGGGAAGACTGCATCACGCCACTAAACCCAAATGGGATATCACTATTAGACCGCCTATGAGCCTTCCTAGGAGGCAAACTCTCACCAACTCGAGGAGTACCTGCCCGGCTAAAAGGCGACGGCGATGGTGGCAATAAAGAGTGAGAGTTCCCATCCCTATCCTCCATTGAAGCATCAGTCGACATATGTTCTGAAACAGCAGTAGTGGGGGAATGGTCTCTGAATGATGCAGGGCTCAGAGGTGGCAGAGAATCAAGTGAGAAGAACGACGACGGCTGTGACAAGGATCGTGAATGACCGCGACCAGGGCTGTAACTCTGTGAACCCATTTGCTGGTTGATTGGCCTGTTAGACACTGGGATCTGAGAGAAAGGCGAAATGGGTGGGATCTGGTTGGGATGTGAAGGTGGAATCCCAACTCTCTTGCTACCATTACTGCTGTTATCCCCGCCAAAACCCTGCTGGGCAAACTGAGCGAAATGCCTCGTCCGCATTTGGTTTTGACTCAAAGGAGGGATATCAAGCTGCTTCCCCGATGAAAAAGGCTGCTGCTTTAACATCGAAGAAGAAGACTGAGTAGTCCCGAACGAAGATTGCAACCGCTGCATCACTTCAGTGCTCCTGTCTTCCGTATCACCCATTTCCCTCTTCCAACCTTCCCTACTTTCGACCCCCTAAAACAGCAACCAACTCTCAGACAAATGGCCCGAAAAAAAATAACACTTCGGTTCTCTCCCACCAAAATCAAAACCCACTGCAAACGAAGTCGGCAAAAAGAAAGAGAGAAAACAACTCGTCAAAAAGGCCGAACCTTTCTCACAGGAAATTAACCAAGCACCTTGCAGGCATAACAAACAAACAAACAAACTACTACCTCGTGAGATGACAGGAGCAGAGCATCATTGAAGCGGCAGACGGAAGCTAGAAGCTAGAAGCCGGCGAAACAGTGGGGAAAAGAACAGAGAGAAGACAGTGTAAAGTGGTATTAGGGAGGGAAAGAAGAGAGCATCAGTCAACAAAATGTTAACCGTTTTCAGCGGCGGATATGGCGATGATGGAGAATGGGAAAGGGTGGGAAGGAAACAAAAGGGTTCCGCTCTTCTCTCTCTGTCTACACCATCGAAGCTGCAAAGTCTAAAGAAGAAGATGAAGAAAGAAAAGCAGCACAAGAAGAAAATGAAAGGAATTTTTGTTTTCTTTTGTTTTTGGTTAAGGCGACGAGGTGTACGACACGGATTTCATGACGGAGGGAGGAAGAAGACTAGAAGAGGAAAGACTACGCGTGAATTTATTAATAATGAAAATAAAAAAGGAATACTCAATAATAATAAAAATGTGGGTTTTGAGAAGGCGGAGTGAATTTGATCTGAATTTGAGTTTCATTCCGACCTCATTTTCAGCCCTCCAGATTATTCAGCAATCAATTTTTTTCTTTTCGAAAAAGTAGATTATTTATGCCCTTTTGGATTCTTCCTCATCTCATTTCTCTTATTTTTCATCAAGTTAGCTCTTCTTTTTCGAGTAAAAGTTATGAAAAAATGGTGTTCTAATCCGTATTATTGATCACATGACATTTGAAGACTATGGTAATCCCGTATATAATTCAACAAGGTATATTGGTATTTGGATTATTAATGGTGCGTACAACCTAAAGATGGAAATTCAAAAATTCATTTGAATGAGATCTCATATTCGAATCTATTATTCCATCAAAATTTTTCTTGGAAGATGTTATGAACGACATGTGTATACATCAAAATCTGGACAGACAATCGATTGAAATAATTCTCTGACAATAAACTTACATAAGATCGACTTTCTCACAAAAAAGTTAGGTTGTTTCCCCTTCTAATTAACAATCTACTTTGCTTTTATTTCAAAGCATGTACATATTGACGGGATTCCATAGAAGTCTTTGATCTAGGGTCAATAAAATTTTGGAAAGAGAACGTGAGATGGAGAGGTGGTGGAACCAAGTTATGTATACTAGTAGAAAATTGGTGGTTGAAAAACGTGATCTACTTGCTTGCTTCAATTGTTGAGGCATTTTCTTTTCTAATCGTAGTTTCTAACAAATCTAATGGCCCGTTAAAACTTGACATGCGATATGTCAAGTCGTTTATATGTCACACGAGACATTATTATGTTCCAAACACCAGTATACTACTCACAAACTCAATTTGGATTGCATGTACCCCAATAAATTTGTGGTGTAGTCATGTTTCAATCGAAGTCGACATATTGTTTGTGAAAATTTTAAGTACTTTTCTCTCTCATTCAAGTTAAAATAAAAAATATTTATCACTATAATTTATGCTACAAGTATAGATTATGAGTACTTGTTAGAAGTGTTTACAAGAGCAGGACAGCAAAATAGTCATAAATCATTACAATGGTGTGATCAAATCAAATTATCTTTGTCGTTGAAGAAAGACATTCCTTTTTTCTGCATTTGCATATAAGTTTTCATCCAATAATGAAATGATGTCAATAAAGGATCAAAGGTAACATGATGATGAAATTGTACTACCTTTTTAAGGCTTTTGAGTATTGGTGAAGAAAGTTTAACTCCACCTTCTAACTTTATTTAATTGAATTGTCAAAAGATTAACCTAACTTTACCTAAAAAAAGTGATTCACAACTCTATTACTTACCTTCACACCCAAACCCCCTATGGATGAATCATCATGCACCAAAACTTGATAATTTTGAACCCTCATCGAGCATTCACTAGCTTGTACAACACTTGCAAGTTTTAACCATTGATAGGTTACGAGACATTTAATTGCGTTGAAGAAGAATAAAAATGAGAGACCAACATCTTATTGACAAATTTTTGATAACGAACATATTATTGACAGTTAAAAAATGTGAAACATGAAAAAATGAGTAAAGAATAGATGACGGTAAAAAAAATACTCTTTGATCTTTGTGATTGTTTAGAAAAAAAAAGTATGTGACGTAAAGAGAGAGAGAGTTTCGTTTGTTTTTGCTCGTGTTAGTTTTGTCAGTAACACAAGAGTCAAAGATATCTCCCACTCTCTCATAAAACTTAGGTATGTATAACCTTGACTTCTCAAATCTCAAATTAGCATCTTCAAGACCTAGCGAATTCATTGTCTACCATGATTCGTCACCAGTCTCAAGCCCTATGATACTATCTAAGCCTCTAGATTCTTCAAGCTCAACTTACAATCTTTAACAACACAACAAGTTACATGTCATCTCCCATCATCTAAGTGCTTTCAAGGTTTACTTAAGGTCTCGATATCTTAAAAATTGATCGATTCTCATTTTTTCAGTACAACACAATTCACCTTTTGTTCAGTAACGATCAAAGAAGACAATCTAGCTAGTTCCCCCAAAATAGAGTTTCATGGCATGGACATCCCTCATCAAGAGACCTAAAATGCCTAGCAAATGGGCAATTCTTCTTAGAAGAACAAATGAAGTATAAACTATGATGTGATTTGCACAACCATTGGTTCCCCTTTCCTTGTTGGTAACCTATATGGTTGATCTTTCTCTTATTCTAAGACTATGAAAGAATAACAAATGAAAACAGAAACTGAGAATTTAACGGTTTAACCTCAGGAATTCCTACCATAAGCTTGTTACTGAAACTCTGCCGCAACTTAACCACCACTTACCATCCCCGGCGCCAAGCTAGAGGCATTAACGACTAAAGATTCCTCCTTTTCTTCCTGCTGTTGTTCATCATCGTCATCTTCATTATCAATAGCCATTAACAGCTTCGAACAAGATCCCAACTCTCCTTCTTCTTCTACTTCCCCTATGCTCAATCGAACAAGATCAATGGCGGCCCCTGCTTCGGACCCACCAGTAACAATTGGAACCATGCTCGAAACGCAGCTGAAGAATTCGTCAACAGCAGATTCTTGGTTACCATCTGGACCCAATTCTTCTTCATTTGGATTAGTTTCCTGGCCATTGATTATAGCCGCCTCTGTTCCCATCCCACCGATTTGAACGGCCGATTTCGACGTCCGTACGACGAGTTCTTGCTTCTGGCTCGATTCGACCTGATCAATTATGGATGCCGATACCGAGGAGCTTGATTTACCATCACTAATGGCGAAGCCTACCTTCTTTGATTTACCGTCATCAATGGCGGCTTTCTCTTCCCCTGTTTCATCCCCACCACTCTGTTCAACCAATCTAGATGTACAAACGACAAAATCAGCTTCCTCTTCCTCCCCTGTTTTCCCGTTCCCGCCAGAGGAAGCGGCCAGACTCGAAGCACAGACAACAAAATCACCCTGTTCTCTTTTCAATCGCCCATCTTCAATGGCTGCCGCCGGAGCCCACGTCCGATTCGGCCCGGAGACAACAAGTCTTGACGCACACACCGCACAAATGACAAACTCCCTCTTCGTATTCGACCCGGAATCGCCGTGATGACCATCATCTTCCGACGAAGAGACCATGGAGGAAGAAGCTGTTTCTGCTTCTTCTCGTTCTTCAGTTCGTTGAGTTGGGGGTAATGAAACTTCGTCATTTCGGAGACGGCGGTGGAAGAGGAAACAGAGGAGGAACAGAGAGAGAGGGAGGGCGAGGAGAGAGATAGAGGTAAGAAGTGTCCAGTGGCCATGGAAGCACCACTGGAAGAGCATGGCAATGCCGAGGAAGAAAATGGAAGAGCTGCCGATAGTGTAAACTGTAGAGAGTTAAGAGTCGTGGGTTTGGGATATGGAAGAAGAAAGTTCTCACCTTTGCTCCGAAACTGCTGTGAATTGATGATGATGGTGACAATGGGATTGTGTCCATTATGGAAGAGGTGTTTGTTGGATTGGATTCTATAGAGAGTGGGAAAGTGAAGAGTAAGCAGAAAGATCGTCAACAGGGGGAGTTGGGTTTTGTTTCTGTTTCGGGGATCCCACCGGATTTGGCTTGGGTTGTTCATTTTGAATTATTTTTTCGCCTAATTCTGGTACGCAGCTTGCTCTCATTTGCTGTTTGTTTGGACTTCGGATTGATAAACAAGAAATCTAGAATTTTGAATTACAAGTGTTGAGACACTTTAGTGGTCGACACGCGATCTACAGACTAGATTAGTCTTCAGGGATGGATACGATTGGTACTATACGAAAACCCCTTTCGCAAGGATGACATGCATAAATCGAGTAAATGCTAACAAAGAGCTGAAGAGAGGGAAAACAGAAGAAATAGGGAGACAAGAGAAAGGAACGACTCTTACTTCTCTATCAAGTAGACAAGTAGTAGGTCCAATTCTGCTGCAAAAAGAAAAAAAAGAGAGCAGTTCACTTGTGTTTTTCAGCAGCAAGCCAGCAACAATGAAGAACGTACAGCAAGGGGTCTATCTACCTCAACATCAATTACAACGACCAACTCGACATCCCCAAATCAATGGAGAGAGCAACAGAAAAAGAAGCCCTCTCTACTTAATGGTGATGTAGCGATTTGTGCCGTGTCTAGCCCAGTAATTCTTGAGATCAAGAGGAATCCCCAGATCATGCCCTTCAGCAGCCAGCCGACTCAGCAACTTCATGAAGACGCTCCCGCTCATCTTCCTCCCTCCCACCCTCGCGTGCCGCTTGTTGGGCAGCTGTGGCAGTGGATGGCATGACATGGTGGTGGTGCAACACGACGACTGCCACCCGCCATTCCCCCACTTGTAGCACTGATGCGGAGCTCCGGTACACGAGCAAACTGGAGCAGGCATTGTGGATTCGTCGAAACTGATCAAGTTCAACCCAACATCGAGTGTATCCCAATCAGACTTGAACTTCCTTCCTTCTGTCACCACCTTTCTGTTGAGATCCTCGCCGATTTTGTGGTTGTTTGCCTTGCGTGGCGATTTATTCGCCTTCAGAGAAACTGCATTGTTCTCCTTCGACCGCTTTGTCTGACGTGGCTTGCTATGTGTTCCAGCAGGTATAGTAGTTATCGGAAAGGCAGCCCCCAGACTGGGCATTTGTCCACCATTCATCGCTTCTTCCAAGTCGTTCGCTGTATGGTAGATAGGATGTGGGATACGCTTGGATCCACGTCCAAACGAGAAGTTCATCGTGTTGTCTCTATATTGAATTGCTGCAAAGGCATTGTCTCGCTCCATCAGGGCTTTATCTCTCTCGGCTAGGGCTTTCTCCCGCTGCTGTATTGCTTCGTCTCGGGCTTTAATGGCTTCCCTTTTCTCGGCGACAGCTAGATTCCGTTCTTGAATGGCAGCATCCTTCTCGGCGAGGATTGCCATGATCTTCTTGTTCATTACTAGGGCATTTGTTTGTTCCTTCCCTTGATGCTGCTGTGGAAGCACCAAATTCAAAACTACTTAATACATTTGATAAATTGAATGAGACTGACCGATGAACTAGGGAAATGAAGATGGAAAGGAAATTCAGAAGAAGATGAAGACTAACCACAGGATGTGCAGCCTTGTAATAGTCCTTGTACCTGCCATTTTGACCATCATCCATCTTCTAACCGAATGTTAGCACTATCCACAATGTAGAATGAGCATCAGAACAGAATCCAACTCTTGTAAATGAATTCAGAATCCTGGACCCTTCCTGGAAAAAATACCAATACGCTTTCAGAAAGAAGAATCCAAAACCAATCTTTCATGTCCATGAAACCGAGCAAGGCAGAGAGAAATGAGCCACATGACACTCGCAGAGAATGACCGTAAAACTTAATACAGATAACTACTACTTAATGAGAACATAATACAAAACAAAGACCGATGAAGACAGTCCGGACTCCATGTTTATGAGCTCATAAGCATGCATAAGTATCATTTTCGCTATCTCATAAAAGTACGAAATAGAAAACAGGAAAAACTCGAGAGGAAACTAATACGGACAATGCAGATTCTTTCTCCTCCCTTAGCCATGAAAATTGAGAACAAAAGCTCCAAGCAAAAGTTTAGGCAAGAGGGGACTGGAACAAGTGGGCTCAACTCACGAAGATCATGTCTCGAAACTAACCATTTATGTTTCCGGGCATTAGACCATTAAACTTAGACAAGAGGGCTCAACCTCATTACTCCATGTCCTCCTACTATGAACTCATCAGTAAAAATTGTAAAATCCTAGAGCCAAGAGGGAAAACAACCATTCTGAAACTGGCACAGACGAAGCATACGGGCAAGCAACCACAAACAGGTTGGGGAAAGCTATATCATTCAAAGCAAAATAAAACTAAAACCTAGCAATCCAGTAGTCCCAGTCAAAAAATTGACCTGATACAAGAGATCATCAACAAAGGATTTCCAATAAGGACAAAAGAATCCCACAGGCTACAAATCAACCAAAGGGACAAAACAAACCCACAATACGTGTGCAGCTAGAAAACAGCCAATCTCACACCAACCCAGCAGATATCTCAGTGCAAGAACATGCCCTAATCCAAGCAAAACCCATCAATTGAAACCCCGAAAAGACCAAACCCAGATTGAGCTAAAAATAAGAATGTCCGTAACATCATTCACCATTTCATTACTGGAGTGGGGGATTTCTAAGGAAGCAGACTATTTTTAGTCAGAATCTCAAATACTCGGTAGATAAAACCTAAAATTAAGAGGAGAGAGATAGAGAGGTAGAGAGAGAAGGAGCAGTTGAAGTAGTGCATGAACAGAAAGAATCGATCTTGAAGAAAATTTGGATTAGTACTTACTGATCATTGCAGCAGTGACATTTGATCCCCAATCCCAAACCTCACCCAGCAGCAGATGAAAAAAGCTCGAAATTTTCTCCACGAACGAACAAGTAGAGGAAGAGCGAGAGAGCGAGATTGAGAGAGAGAGAGAGAGAGAGATTAAGAAGTGATGGATGAGGGCTATTGGGCGTCGTTTTCCCCCGCCATTCTTGCTCCAAAACGACAGCCGTTTGATTTTGGTTCAAGACGATGTCGTTTACCGCGCATTTATTATTTTCCCTCCCTTTTGAGTTTTGACATCAAGCAATCGGATAAATTTTCTCCATGATCAGTAAACTATAGAGATCTCACTAAATGGTACCTTTTTTTCAATCTCGTCCCTCTGATCTCTCGTCCCTTTCTTCTTCTTCCTCCTTCCTCTGTCAATTCCATTCTTGTTCTTCAGTTAACCACCCTTCTCCTCCCAATCAAGAACCTTTTTCTCTTCCTTTCTCGGAGGAATCGATCCGCCGACCACCACACGAGTATTGGTGATCCAGATAAACCAAAGCCGTCTTCTTTCCTTCTTTCACACACGCTGATGGTGTTGTTACAAAGACCAAGGCTTTGATTTTTTATATGGGTTTGTGTGGGAAACGAAGATGGAGTTTGGGGTTGTGGGTATCTTGGAAGGCCTTTGGGTTGCAGCCATACTGCCATTGCTAGTAGCTTCACTGCCGTTTCCTCAACTGGGCTGGTTCAGTGGAGTTGTCGCGGGGTTTGCTAAGAGAGGAAAGATCATGCCACAGTCTTCTTACTCTGTAAGTGTATCCAAATTCTTGTGATCGAGGCTGAAAGTTTTGATGTTATAGTTGGATAGTTTAGTTTATTTTCATTGTATGCTAATGATGGGGAGATTCAAACTACTGAATCTAAGTATATCCAAATTCTAGAGTTAGCTTGGGAGATTGAATGCTGATTCCTCTCTAAAACTAGATTGATAGGAATGAACTACTCTGTGCTTGTTATGTATGAACAAGTATAAGAAGGATGAAATTGCTTGGCTTGATTAGTTAGAATCATCTTCGTCTGTGACCTGGTAGAGTTTTTGCTGGATTGTGGTTGTTTGTTTGAATGTGTTGTGATAGTGGTGTTATTACACTTTCTAAGTCATCGATGCCTTTGTTTTTTTAATTTTGTGTAGAAAATCACAGTCCCTCAGAGATTCTTCTGTCACTTCTACGTGTTAGGAGTGGTTTGGACGACCATCCTGCTTTGTACGACATGGGTCTACGCATACAACACCGCGCCAATGGTTTCTGAGCCCTTCTTCTTCTCCAGCATGCTAGGCTATTTAACAACAAGTTCAAGCAGCGTGTCTTCTGATGGATCTCATCTCGTTTCTTCAAGGCATAGATATGGGTTGTGGCTTTCTGTGTTTCTACTTTTGCTAATGGAAGCTCAAGTATTGAGAAGGCTTTTCGAGACCATCTATGTCTTCAAGTATAGCCCCACAGCACGGATGCATATGTTTGGCTATGTTGCTGGCTTATTGTGAGTTCCCCTGCAGCTTCCATCATTAGATCTTTGGCAATGGATAAAAAAGGGCATATTTGTTTCTTTTTACTAACATTGTTATTGCTCTCGGTGATGTCAGCTTCTATACAGCAGGACCTCTATCATTATGTTGTAGCAATGCATCTGAGATGTTCAAGTATGGTGCAAATGTGGTGAATAGGTTGATTGTTGCTAAAAGCAAAGGTGCAATAGTGCCAGCCTTCAGATTTCATTGGTGGGAGTTTGTTAACCCGCTTCTGAAGCTTGGATGGCTGCCCTGGATTGGTGCATCTGTATTTCTCTGGGGTTGGATTCATCAGCATCGGTGCCATGCAATTCTGGTGAGTGATCAAACAGATTAATGTTCGAGATTTGCCAAGTGCCTGTCATCATGAAGTGCATACTCTATTGATGCAGGGCTCTTTAAGAAATCAAGGGAAGAAAATGGATGAATACGTTGTCCCTTGTGGTGATTGGTTCGAGCTTGTTTCATCTCCACATTATCTGGCCGAGATTGTAAGCCTTTTTATGGCTCTTAGCTCCACAGCTCTCACATTTTCTGTCTGTTTAGTTTTAACTCGTGACTTTCTGCAATTGGTTTACAGGTTCTATATGGTGGCTTTGTGGTTGCCAGTCGGGGAACAGACCTTACTATTTGGTTGCTCTTTGGATTTGTGGTACTGTTTTTGTTATCAATTTTATTTCCATTTCTTGGGGAAGAAATCTTGTTCTTCAAAGGAAGCTTTGTGAGATTTGGTATTTTTGCAGGTGGGAAATCTGGCATTGGCAGCTGCAGAAACACATAGGTGGTATCTTCTTAAATTTGATGCTTATCCCAAGGACCGGTGCGCAATCATCCCCTTTGTTTACTGAATAAGTTTCATTTGGGAAAGAATGTATGATTCCCTTGCTCTTATGCTAGGTTAATGTATGAACTAGTAAAGTGGTCCAAACTGTAAATTGAGCCTGAACTTTCAATGGATGAATACACTGAAAATGTGTCCAGCTCGTAAAGCATAAGATACATATCTAAGCATAGAGATCAATTCCCCAGCTCTTGGCGGGCAGATCCATACGATATTTTCTGTCCATTCCCTTGATCAGCTCCCTATCCTCTTTGGTCAGCTCAAAGTCGGAAACTTCGAAATTCTCCTTCAGTCTCTCAACCTTCGAAGACTTGGGAATGACGACTGTGTCTCTCTGGATCGCCCACCTTAGTGCAATTTGGGCAGGTGTTTTATTATACTTCTCAGCCAAATCCTGATAGAGGGGGAGGGAGGGGAAGATTAGTGTGAGCAAAACAGACGAAGAGTAACAATGAAGAACCATTAACCTGCTCGTGGTCTCCCAACTTACATTGAGAACAGCATCATCCAAGCACGAGATTGAACCGAACCATTCTATGTTAGCTGCAGAACCACCCAGAGGGCTGTGAGCTGTCACTGCGACGCCATGCTTCTGACAGAATTTCACAAGAGACTCGCGCTGGAAATATGGATGGATCTCAAATTGATTCACTGCAGGCTTGATTTTTGAATAGGCTAGGCAATCTCTGGTCAGAAAGATATCGTAGTTGCTGCAGGAGAGCAACAATGCAATCAGAAGACTCACAGCTACACATAAGAAGCTTGCAAGAAATGGAGGGAAATGCATGCATAATAGTAGTAATTGTGACTTAGAAGGTTAAACTATCAGAGAACATTCATCTAAGTGATTCAGGGTTGGAGTTGCCACCTTATACCGATGCTTCGGGCTAAACCCTTAGAGACAAGGTCTTCCATGTTATGCCAAGTAGCTTCCAGCGATATGGTTGTGTCGATTTCCAGAACGCCTTTGTCATCCACTGCACTAGATGTTGTGCCAACTCCTACGTATGAGAAAGAAGAAGAAAAAACATCATACACTGATGAGTTTGTGGCCTCTACTGCTGATTTCACTGATTGGCAGATTCATACCATTCCACACATTGAATTCATGTGAGGGAGGAACATCTGATACGAAAGTGTAGATCAAAGCATTTGGTAGTGATGCTAAGGCAATGATTGACTTCTCAACCACGGATACACAGATTAACATTAGACAAAAGCGTTTAGTAGTGGTTCTAAGTCATTTAGACTAGACTTGGACACAAAATGACAGCAGAAATGAAAACTCTGCAGAAACAAACATCAACGAGGAACAAATGTGAGTACTCATACCAGTATGCTTGGTGGCGACCGGGAAGTGAACAAGGTAGAGATCCAGATAATCGAGCTGAAGCTTCTTCAGGCTGTCTTTGCAAGCCTCAAGAACATGTCCATGATCTGAATTCCAGAGCTGAACGGATGCCATAGGAAGATCAAAGGGGGTTCATGAATGTCAAATCTTGTGTTATCTCAGATTTCAAATATGAATCAAAACCAAAAACAGCACTTTTGAAGCTCAAAAAAACCAAACAGACCTTAGTAGTGATGAAAAGCTCCTCCCTTTTCACAAGACCGGTCTTGAAAGCTTCAGCAAGTGCTTCCCCAATTTCAGCCTCGTTCTTATAATCAGCTGCCCAATCAGAACCCATTAACGTGAAGGAATCAAATGCTTACTGGAAACTATAGCACCAATCTTTTGATGAAAATGTTTGATTGCAGTAGAATCAAAACAAAACCCATTACAGCCCAGGTTAGAATTCGGTTACTGGTCAAGAACCCACATCAGAAGTAAAAACGCAGTAAAGGGAAGAAGAGTGTTCAGTAGAAGCAGTACCAGCACAGTCAAAATGGCGGTAACCGATCTTGATAGCGTTCATGATCAGACCCTTAATCTCTTTCCCTCCCATTTGCCACGTTCCCAGCCCAATGATGGGCATCTTGAAGCCATTGTTGAGTGTGATCGACATCGTTTCTTTCTGGTTTCTGTCAACAAGATGCTGCAATTCTCCAAAATTCCAGGCATCTCTGTGTAATACACAAATGGATATGAATCATCACTATCAGTCAAGTTTATACTAAATGCTCTGGGATAAACATGAAGCAAAAGTACAAAATCAGCCGCAGCTCCAAGTTGACAAAGCTGATCCTCAGTCATGGCGGTACAGCTATCTATAAATAGGAAGTGTGCTGCGTGTAGTAACATGTGGAGTTGGGAGTGACGAGAGTAAAACAGTTTCTACTTGTCACTGATGAGGTTTTTGCTTTGCGATGCAGAAGAAGATGCATGGAAATTGAGACGAGTCGAAAGGTCGATCAAGTCCTTGGAAGTTGAAGCTGGGCCGCGACTGGACGAAGTATAGGCTTCAATGGGCCAGGCTTTATTGGTAGGCTAGATAAGAAGGCTCGGCAGCGGGCTCAACCATAGCGTAGGCCGATACCATGGCCCAGGCCCTTGGCTTAGTGTTATATTGGGTGGGCCGGTTTCTCACGGCAGAGATAATTGAGAGAATAGTCAGCTTACTTTGTAATCATAACAAAGCCGCCCCTCAACTTTACACTCACTAACAAAATGATTTTTCCATCCACCTTACCATCATCTCTGTCCACTTTTCTGTTTAGATTAAACAAATCAGCATAGCAGCTCATTTGAACCAATGCTAATATAAGTCAATTCACTTACTTGGGCTGTTAAGTTTGTTGTTTTCTCTCACTTTACCTAATAAGAAAGATTGTTTGAACTTAAGAGTGTTCTCACAAGACGCTTAAAGCCATGATCACAAAGTAGTTCTCTGTGAGAAGAAAACGAATTTTCCTAATCAATCACAGTCCAACAATGACGACGTTATTCTTGTGATGATGAAACTGCACGTAGTCTAGGAGGGGCTACAGCCTACAGCCCTATCTCTCATTTTTTTGGCTAAGGATATAATTTGTATATTCAAGCCTCGAGAAAACATTATAAAGTGGTAAGATGAGTTTCCAAGACTTAGTTTCAATCACGAAAAAACTATTGTTTGTTATTTTCATTCTCTCGCTACTCCTCGCTTTATGCCATAGCTTCTCCATCGATTATTCTAGGGCCACAATCACTCTCTTATTAAAAAAAAATGCAATTGATCTATGTATCTTATCAAGAACACATGATGCACCACATAACATTATAGCTAGAAAAAAAACCATGCTAAATAGTAAAGTTGAAAAGATGTAAGCAAAGATAAGGTACTTAAAACACACTTTACAAATCCATTATGGGAAGCAAGATCAACAAAACCCACGTCGTACAAGAAACAAGATCATGTAACCTGAAAAAATTAGGTCATGTTTCTGGCAACCTTATGCACGCGGCAATCCCCAAATTGCTAATCCCATGTATAATTTTGTCCCCATGTTGTCATACATAACAAGTTTAGATTTGAGGACGATAGCTTCCACTATTGTGATTATATAAAATGGGTTTTGTCTTGTACGATCTGGTTGGCCTGTTTATCATCCTTAGCATAAATACATGTTTAGATCTTGTTCGTGCAAGTTCATATTTATATCATTGGATCGAACACTTCATAATACACAACGTAATATAAATATTGTGACAAGTACCATACATATGTCCAACGGTTATAGACCACGAATCGACCAGTCCAATGATGAAAGCACTAGAACGAAAATAGGTCATTTCTCTTCCACATATATTGCTATCCTCTCTTTAGTACAAGTGTTGGTTGATCTCATTTGCCTTGTGTGTGACAATCATTGGCTTGGCAAGCAAAGATGGCGCTTTTGAGGAAAAAGAAATCCCACAATATTGAGAAAAAGATGCATTAGCTTGAGTCATATGACCGGTTTTTTGGTGCACTTTATCTCTCAAATCAAGTTGCTAAAGCTTATCTTGACAACTTTCTTGGAAAGGATCTTTCATCCTATGGTGGTTAGTTATATATTGCCACCACTCTCCACTTTCCTAACTATATTTTTCGATCATATGAAGGGATGTATGATTCCATATATGTATATGATTCAGCATCAATATTGAGTGACCTAATATCGATTATTCGGCTATCTTTGTCCGAGAAGATGTGAGACTTGGCCTATGAACATTAATGTGAGGCTCGAAGCAGTCGTGGGTTATAGGTCCCCCTCAATTTTGAGTTTGAGGTTATAAATTATGTATTAAACTATTCATATATTAAGGAAAACGTTAGAAGGTCATAAGACGAGGACTAATAGCTGCCCCTCCTGCAAGATTTAGGTCCATACCTTGGAAACTATTGCAATTATTTTATTTTCAACCTCTCCTCACTCTAAATCTTAGCTTTGCCACTACCTTGAAGTGTGGAGACTTCTCGTACATCTTGAAGCATTGAGGCTTACACATATAGTGTTAATAATATTGGATCAAAAGAAGAATATCCTTTATATTCCTTCAATGATGTTATGTAATCCTTTTCTAATCAGTCAACACAAGTTGAACAAAGTGTGGAATGCTGAAGATTTCAAAGCAAATCATTTGCCATTGGACTATTAACACATGTTTGATTAGGGAGAAATTTAATTTTACCCATGTTTTGGAATAGGGCAGGCTAGCCTGAAAATAAGAGAGGAGGTCAATTAGGGCAAGGATGGATCTAAATCTAATATGAGCATATCATAGTGGGAAACTTTGAGATGAATTTTGTGTATCTAGATCTCAATGGACCCAACAATGTCACATGGGCGTGGTAAAGTTCCAATGAAAATGAGATTTATAAAATCACACAAACGTTCACTGAAATTCGAGCCACATTGTTTTCCTTCTCCAACCATCTTTAGTATTTTAGTCTTCACCATATTTTCCAATGAGCATTTGGTTTATTTTTTTTGGAAAGATGGGGAATATCGTTATCTCATGATATTAATATCGTGTGGAGTATACAAATTCCAGTAATTTCATATATATAAAATAGTAATTGTGTTTGAGTCTGACTCTATCTGTAAGAACGTGTGCACGACTCTTGGATCGCTTGTGGCCTGTGGGGTGTTATGAGGCCTCCGTCTTCATGCAAACGCTGGTCGCGAGCCCTAAAAATACAGGATGACAATTTTGACATTTGACTCGATCGAATACCCGTCTAGTAGGTGGGACAGACATAAATACTCTCATCAACCTCATCTGTCCAATTCTCAGTCCATTTTGTCTAAACTATGTGTGATTTTACTCAAATTATATAGAATTTCTCTTACAAATAGCATTTTAGCTACAACAAAGTTGTGATAAACGAGTACCTCGACTCCTCGAATAATTTAACTTCATATGTCATATCTATATTTTTTCATATAAGATCAATTTCTCAAGTATTTTATTATTATTATATATATTCGTACTAAATCGAGCTTTTTCGATCCACACCTCAAGACAAGGTATACGACCTATCACGAGATAGGTATGAGTATTGACTATTGAGGTACCGGTCTGATATATTATATTTTTTGTCATCAAATATATTAAAAATATATCTTCAACTACGTGTCCATCAAGGAGCTTTGAATTAGAACCAATTACCATGCATGGGCTGTCCAAATTGGGGACCCTCCTCCTGCCGTCGTAAACGGTCTTCCATATATATATAAAATAAAGATCGGAATCACCGCCGTTGAGTAGTAATTAAATATTTGTCAAAAAAAAAAAAGTAGTAATTAACGGTAAACCTCGAGTCCTCTGGTGGATCCCGCCACCGGCCCGTCCACTGAATGAGCAAGTGCCACCACAGTGAAAAGCTAGCCGACACCCACACCGGCGGCCGCTTTTGGAGATTCCCGCTGTCCCACCACACCAACATGACCGCCATGGTCATTTCACCCAACCGAAACATACCGAACTGAATATATAGTCGGTGTTCTCATGAATTTTACAACTATTGGAAGAAAAAAAAAAGATCGAAGTGACACTTGGATCAGACCAAAGTGACGTAAATGTAATATCGATCTGATTCTTGATTCTAAGATGTCCTTCACCGTTGAACTGCGGTTCTCGTGAGTTTGGTCTGGTCCCAACAGCAAACCAAAATATCCCTAAATTTCCATCTTCATTTTTAGCATCAGCTAATGTCTACCTCTTTGTCTCGTCGACTAGGTCTCGATCGCATAGGATGCGCAAACTCAATCGTGGAACCGTAGCCATTGTGGACTATTCGGTAGAGGTCGAATTTCGGAAGGCTTCCAAATTTGATGATATTGGTAATAATGTAGTTACTTATATGTGCAGGGTTTGTGCCAACCAAATAATAATTTTGAATTACTAATTAACTATCGACATAACTACTACTACGTTCATACAATTTGTTCGCAGGTAAATGTAATTATAGATGTAAAAAATATGAGAAGCATAGCTTGGTATATATATGTTAAACAAGCAGGAGACAATTTTGACTTGCCACTTACCGAAAGGATCCATTGAACATAAACTACACGAGTGGTTTGACGGATTATTACCAATGTCATTTTCAATGCTAGTCCGCTAATTTTCTCCAGCTGAGCCATCCACGTGCGCAAATTCTAACTATTTAATTTTGATAATAATAATCTTTTCCAATTAACGTTAATAGAGAAAAAAAACATTATTTATTTGTTATTATTATTACAATAATGAGTAGGTGAGAAAATAGTACATCATGAAGAGAAAATAGAGAAAGGCTAAAGGCAGAGGAGAGCCCACACCAAAGGGCCCAAAAGCTGAAACAAACGGCCCACCACCCCATCCACTAGTCCACCATCACACAAACGGTAATGCGCCATTACCGGAGAACCAAAATGTTGTTCGCCGTTCACCACTACCACCACCGCCGAAGCAACGGGGCCGGCGACGACCAGATTTACCTACCTACCATCCGGCCACGGAACCGATACTCCGCGAAACAACTAGTCTCATGCAACCGGAACAAAATGCTCCCCTCAATGACGCGTCGGAGTAACAACAAGCATTACATGAACTATAAATTGACATATTTTTGGAGCTACTAATTCTTGATATCACTCTACTATCTAACGATAGATGGACCATAAGTCTGTTGTCACTGTTATTATATTATTTTTTACGAGACAAGAATAATACTAACGTATTTGAGAAAAATTAAGGAGTCGTTTGGAAGTTGTGATTTCAAATGGTCTATTTGTGAGATTAAGTAGTTTTTTTTTGTTTAGGCCCCACCACAATCACTCAGGGGTCGTTTGGTTTTGGTGATAGTTTGGTTGGGATAGTTACAATGCATCGATTTTTTTAATTTTTTGCGCAAACAATACATGCATTGTTTGCTTGATTTGACACAAACTATCACTCAAAATGAGTGATAGTTAAATCTCAAGTTTTCGTTGAGATTGTTGAGATTGTTTGATGGAGATTGTTGTGTTTTCTTCTCCTTCCAAATATGTCCCTACCTTTTTATGTGTGTTGCTTTTTATATTAAAAACAAAGGGTAAAAGTGACATTTCTCCCAAAAGTATCACATAAACCAAATGATGTAAACTACAATACACCATTTTTCTTATATACATGTATATTATTATGCATGCATTGATTACAATACATCGATTTAACTATCACCAAAACCAAACGACCCCTCAATGTTGAGGGATTTACAACCTCTACTTTTTGTCGAGATTCTTCACAACCACTCAATATTAACTTTTTTTACCTTTGGAACAAAAACACAATCTAAACCTACAAACAAGATATTTACCCAATACATCAATTGATTCAATCCATCAAATGATAATACACTTGTCCCAATACATCAATTTGAAGAATCACAACTTCCAAACAACCTCTAAGTATCGGATTAGACCACTTGCTTAATTCAACCTCGATTGACATATTGACAAGTGCACATGGCACACACGTCCCTATGGAAATACAAAGAGATAGTGTGACACGAACTCGATATTACACATACATAGTGACAAAAAAACAAACGTCGACTAATTACTTGCCCCTTAATTTAAGCCTTTAGAATCTTCACATTAGGATCCTTTTTTTGCTTTCTAATTCATCGTTTTTTGTGTGTGTTTTGCGTATTGAATTTCACGATGAAGAAGCAGACTGTTAATTTATTGAATAACGTGTGTGGTGCGCGTCAACAGTGATAGACTGAGCTTTACCCACCATCTCTTTGTTGCTATATGGGGCGATCCTCTTGGGGATAGGGTTCCTGGGTTCGGCGGCAACCCCGTCCTTTGTTTTTAACATATAGCTCCGGCAGTATATTCGAGTGCGTTACTTGCTAGGAATGATCAGCTGTTATTGAGACAACAGTTGGTTTATGATAAGGTTTCAGAGTTGGTTTGTTCTTGATGTTACATGTTCAAATCCTTTACGACCCTAATATTAATCGTTGTCTTTAAAGTACATGATATGATGGATCTGTCCAAACTTCAAACCCATGAGTTGCGTTAGCTTCGTTTGAGTGGCGTGTTAGAAAATGGTTAAATACATACCATACATGAACTTCTCTCAACAACTTTAATTATTGGGACCAATAGTATGAAGTCTTTTGGGAAGTATTGCTTGATGGATTTGGTTTCATGATGGACTTTGTCCAAACTCCATTGTTTGCTCCAAGTATTTTGGAAAAAATCCAAAAGTACCACAGTTTAAAAAAAAATTCCAAAAATACCACCCAATCCCAAAAAATTCCAAAAATACCATCCTTTTTCAAAAACCGCCACCCCACCCTGCGGTTTACACGAAAACCGTTTGTCCGGGGCGCGGTTTTCTATGCAAACCGCGGGCCTAGGGGGCGGTTATAAAAAAAAAATTTGGACCAAACCGCTGGGTGGGGTGGCGGTTTGACCCAAAACCGCCACCCCACCCAGCGGTTTGGTCAAAATTTTTTTTTTTTTCCGATCAACTCCTAACTTCGGCCGAAACTTCAAACGAACGTAACTTTGCACTCGGGTAACCGATCGATGCGATTTGTTTTTTCATTTCGCATAACTTTTCAAGATCTACAACTTTTAGTAGGATGAAATTTTCAAAACAGGAACTATTTGTGGATATACGGGACCTTGAGAATAACTTTACCTTTACTTTTCACAAATACATGTACATTTTGAAATTATGATTATATTAAAAGTTGTAGATCTTGAAAAGTTATGTGGAATAAAAAAAAATTCATGACATTCGGATTTTGGAGCACAAAGTTATGGCCGCCCAAAGTTTGACGAAATAAAAAAAAGCTCGTTCGGGGTGGCAAATGACGTTTTTTCGAGACGAAGGCGGGTCCCGGCGGTTTGCGGCTTGCAAGATCTCAAAAAGTTATTCGGATTCAAAAAATGGAGGCCGCAAACTTTTTGAGATCTTGCAAGCCGCATACCGCCGGGTCTCGCATTTCGTCAAACTTTGGGCGGTCATAACTTTGTGCTCCAAAATCCGAATGTTATGAATTTTTTTTTGATTCCGCATAAATTTTCAAGATCTACAACTTTTAATATAATCATAATTTCAAAATTTACATGGATTTGTGAAAAGTAAAGGTACAGTTATTCTCAAGGTCCCGTATATCCACAAATAGTTCCAGTTTTGAACATTTCATCCTACTAAAAGTTGTAGATCTTGAAAAGTTATGCGAAATGAAAAAAATAATCGCATCGATCGGATACCCGAGTGCAAAGTTACGTTCGTTTGAAGTTTCGGCCGAAGTTAGGAGTTTATCGGAAAAAGAAAAAAAAAATTTGGACCAAACCGCTGGGTGGGGTGGCGGTTTTGGGTCAAACCGCCACCCCACCCAGCGGTTTGGTCCAATTTTTTTTTTATAACCGCCCCCTAGGCCCGCGGTTTGCATAGAAAACCGCGCCCCCGAAAAACGGTTTTCGTGTAAACCGCAGGGTGGGGTGGCGGTTTTTGAAAAAAGGTGGTATTTTTGGAATTTTTTGGGATTGGGTTGTATTTTTGGAATTTTTTTTTTTAAACAGTGGTACTTTTGGATTTTTTCCAAGTATTTTGAGATACAAAATCCGTGAGACCCATGGACTTTGAGAGTCCAAATCCGTGAGCCCCCATGGACTTGAAAATCCCACCTCTTTAGGTAGGAATTGATTAAGGACTTTGAAGAAGTCCATTCATTTTTTAGCAACTTACCCCTCATATTTTCTTTCTCTTCTTGTATTATTGAGGACAATAAAGATAAAGTTCACTTCATACATACAAATTTAATTAACAAAATCCATAATGAAATCCATGAAACAAACAATGGTCTTTTTCAAATCCATAATGAACCCAAAATCCTCATACATCCATAGTTTATCAAAACCCAAGTTATACCAAAACCATCATTTTTCAAATCCACAAAGCAAAAATAAATTCGTGTGTATGTGATCCAAAAGCGGACAATATCGTACTAATGAAGAATCCGATTCATAAACATACACTTAGTGGACTATTTCTGGATTTGATTGAACAAATATTTATGAGTGATTCCCTCTAAAACAGACGAAACTTCTGAAAGTGCTTTCTTGTGGCGGAGATTTACAAACCTAACCCCAATTTCACGCCGTCACCAGTTGACGCACCCATGCAAGATGCCAGAGGTGCGTTAGGAAAGCCGAAAGGTGATGAACATGAACGTAACATCCAACAGAACGGGGAAATAATACGTTAATTAAGCAGCGTTTGTTGATTCATTCACAGCTAATTGTGTACAAATGGAGCAAAACAGAAAATTGTTAAGATGAAGAGCAGTAATTTATACAAGTGTTTGTTTGGATGTTGGTTCAATTTTTTTTATGTATGTTAAGATTTCTTAAAATGAATTTTTGTTTGGGATGGCAATAGGTCGGGTTGGGTCGGGTTTTGTCAAACCCAAAACCAAATTCATGGGTTTATCCGTGAAAAAAAAACGGGGTAAAATTCAATGGGTTTGAAAAACTCAAACCCAGCCCAATTCATGGGTTCATGGGTACCCATGGGTTATTGTTGTAAAAAATTTACAATAACAAGTTCCTATCAAAATAAATTATCAATATCTCAATACAAATTATCCATATATAAAACACAATTATAGAAAATTCAAGCAAATCACAAATTAACCATATAAATTGTTCCAACACCAATCTAGAAACTCAAAAAAATTGAAGCAAAACACAAATTATCCATAAACAACATGATTAATTGATAGCTTTTCCCTCATTGTCAATTAAGCTCCTCCACTCTCCACTCGATAATATCAACTCATTCTACACAATTAGAAAGAAAAAATTAGACATGTCTCCACGAACATAAAGAAGATTAGTTGTTTAGAACATTAAATATACCGGGAAAATTAATTATATTGATGTGGGCGGATACCCATAGAACGGGTTTACCTAAATCTAAACTCAACTCAACTCAACCCAACCCGCTAAATAGTGAACAGGTTCAAACCTAAACCCTGTCCAAAACCCGTCAACACGAATTTTACCCACATTGATCGGATTGAATCAGATAGAATACCAGTAAGTTCGAATTTTGTTGCCATCCGTATCACGTTACCATCAAACTTACTCTCATATCTCCGTCGTCGTCTCCGTGAGAGAAATTAAACTCCGTCAAATCTTGGTTCTTGGTTGGTTGGTTGGTTTGGTTTGGTTTGATTTGGCCACGAAATGTGGCCCCCACGTTTTCTCCGCCCCCTTCCCTTCCACGCGGCCACCAGACGCCGTGACCGATGGACCGGACGACGACGACGACGAAATGAATCTGCCTGGTGGAGGTAGCTTCCCGCCCCCTCCCTTAAACTACTCAATTCTCGCCACCCGAAGAAAGGAAAATGACAAATTATCTATAAAAAAAGGAAACGAGAAAATAGTTTTGTTTTTAGCATGGTAAAGGAAACCATATCGGACATCATACCGGAATCCTTTCTGGTATGGTATTTTGTGGTACGAACGTGGTTCAACTGTTTTGTACCGGTAAATACCGTTTTTCACTATTTTCTGGTATAGTATAAATAATATAATCCATCAAAAAAAGAACCAAATAGAGCATTATACAACCACGGTGACCCATTTTCAACATAGAAAAATAGCAAAATAATATTCTTTTTAATTATTTTCCACATATTGGACGAGAATACGGAGAAATGAAGCTGAATCATAGACCAGGAAATCGGATCGTACCGGCCGGTTCAACCGGTCAAACCGAAAAAACCGGCCGTCACGGTAAAATGAGCACAATCAGCCCACCGTACCACTTTTGGTCCAATTTCCGGTTGAACCGGCCAGTACGATCCGGTTTCCTGGTCTATGGTTTTTAGAAGAAGAAAACAATATATAATTTTCATCCCACACTCATCAACTTGACAAATTCAACTAATTTAAATAAGATTTGCCATTCAATTTGGAAGATCCTTGCCTTTAATGTCTTAGATTCTCAGTCACCAACCAATCCCTAATTCCATTTGTTTAGTGTTTTCGTTTGATTAGAGCTTGGCATATTCCATAATCAATGTAACATACAATCACAATGATGACCGGCATCATTTTATTAGTAGAATATCGTACAATGAGTATTATAAGTTGATTCGTATCGCAAATGTTGAATGTAAGAATTTTTTTATGTGTTTAAATCAAATTTGATGGCACGACAACTCAACAAGCTAGAAAAGACCAATCATTTCTCGGACGTTCAAAACCATCAAAACGTTTAGAGAAATCGATCTGTTAACAAAGATAGACCTATTACCCTGTGTGTTTATCAGCAACTACAAAATGTGTCCAAACTCCAAAGGAGCTCCTGGTCTCTCATATCTCTGTAACGAACAAGGATTTGAACTTCTTTGTACATCCGCAAATGGATCGAGCAACACTTACTTCATACAAACGAGCAACACCTCTTCCTCCAAGACATACTAACAACCATGCATCTAGATAACATTTTAAGGGTTAAGAAAGGGAAGAAGAAAAATAAGAAAGAAATCTACCGTTGTTGAACCTTGAACCTCAAACGTATGAATTACATTTACCTACAATATTTTAATGGTTATGCTAAATTGAACATTTTAAATAATTAATGAAGAACATTAATTTAATCATGGAAGAGCATATACTAGAAGGTTAGTTGCATCTAGAGAGCAGATTCATCCAACGAAAGGAAAAAAAAGACCATTTGAAAATCCAAAAATAGAAGGGGAAAAATTGAAAGAAACTCCAAGAGAAGGGAAGGATAAGAAGAAAAAAAAAAAAAGAAGGAAAAAAGACATTTGGGGCCAGGCCCAAAACTTGGGCCCACAAAGGGCTTCAACTCCACTATATAAACGAAGCATCGTCGTTCATGAAATCCTCGCTCACTCTTACCCTAGACACCATTTTCCCCCCTGAGAAGATAAATTCTATCAGGAAATAAGCAAAAAATCCATTCCCCCAAAAATTTCCCACCCACTTCCCTCATTAATCTGCCGTTTCCAGCTATTGATTCTTCGGTTCCATTTCCGTCTCCGTTTCCCTTCCTTTCTTCCACTTTCCGGGAAAATCTCTCGCCTTCCTTGAGATCTGCATGATTCTGGGTTCCTAGATTTACTCCGGCGGTTCCTCCTCGAATCTCTTTGAATTCCCCGATCTGGGTTTTGTTGTGGGTTCCCCAAATTCCAATCCTTTCTTCTGACTGTGCGGCGTGGGGATTAGAGAGACGTGCCTGGTAAAGCGACGGTGTTACTCCGGCGGTGATTGTTCCTCCTTCTGCTTCTTTTGAGGGGGTAGCCGGGGCTCCGGCCTCGGCGGGTTCTAAAGCCCCCACCTTCACAAACTATTCGAAATCCCCCGCAAAAAATTGTAGTTACACTCTTTACAGAGGAGACAGATTTTTTTTCCTCTGTTCATGGTTGGAATTTTTATCTTCCTTCCTTGCCTGACATAGTTTGCTAACGGAAGAGAAAGAAAGAAACCCCAGAAGAAAGAAATCGGTTGTCGGAACAGGATGCCTGCTCTAGCATGTTGCGTTGATGCTGCAGTTGTCCCACCGGGGTACGTTTTCGGTGACGGGGATGGCTCGCCGGTGGGATTTACCGGTGTTCCAACGGCAACAATCGCCGCCGCCAACTCCATCCCAGCTCCTCCTGCAGACGTCGCCACCGCCTGGTCACCCGACCTCTCCGCCGCTCTCTACCGCGTCGACGGCTGGGGCGCTCCTTACTTCGCCGTCAACAACTCCGGCAACATCTCCGTCCGCCCCCACGGCGGGGACACCCTCCCCCACCAGGAAATCGATCTGCTCAAGATTGTGAAGAAGGCTTCGGATCCGAAATCCGTCGGCGGGCTCGGGCTGCCGCTTCCCTTAATCATCCGCCTCCCAGATGTGCTGAAGAACCGCCTGGAGTCTCTGCAGTCGGCGTTCGATTTCGCAATTCAATCTCAAAGCTACGACTCCCATTACCAGGGAGTCTACCCTGTGAAATGCAATCAGGAGCGGTTCGTTGTGGAAGACATCGTGAAATTCGGGTCACCGTTTCGGTTCGGGCTGGAAGCCGGGTCGAAGCCGGAGCTTCTCCTCGCCATGAGCTGCCTCTGTAAAGGAAATCCGGATGCCTTCCTGGTCTGCAATGGGTTCAAAGATGCTGAGTACATTTCCCTCGCTCTCCTCGCGAGGAAGCTTGCCCTCAACACGGTGATTGTTCTCGAGCAGGAAGAGGAGCTCGATTTGGTGATTGCTCTCAGCCAGAAGCTCTCAATTCGCCCTGTAATCGGCGTCCGCGCCAAGTTGAGGACCAAGCACTCCGGCCATTTCGGCTCCACCTCTGGTGAAAAGGGGAAATTCGGTTTGACCACGACCCAGATTCTCAGCGTCGTGAAGAAGCTCGAGCAGGTGGGAATGCTAGATTGCTTCCAGCTCCTGCATTTCCATATCGGATCTCAGATCCCATCTACAGGCTTGCTCGCAGATGGCGTCGGCGAAGCCGCCCAGATCTACTCCGAATTGGTCCGTCTCGGCGCCAACATGCAAGTTCTTGACATCGGTGGGGGACTTGGAATCGACTACGACGGCACCCAATCCGGCGACTCGGATCTCTCCGTCGCCTACGGCCTTGGAGAGTACGCTCTCGCCGTCGTCCAAGCCGTGAAATTCGTCTGCGACAGGAAGAACATCAAGCACCCTGTTCTCTGCAGCGAGAGCGGCAGGGCAATTGTTTCTCACCACTCCATCCTCATCTTCGAAGCTGTTTCCGCCACCGTCTCCAAAGCCGCCACCATGACTCCGCTCGCGTTGCAGTGTTTCGTCGACGGGCTGACCGATGACGCTCGCGCCGATTACCGCAACCTGACATCTGCAGCAATGAGAGGTGAGTATGAGACCTGCTTGCTCTATGCTGATCAGTTGAAACAGAGGTGTGTGGACTTGTTTAGAGATGGAACCATAGGAATGGAACATTTAGCTGCTGTTGATGCGTTGTGTGAGTTTGTGGGGAAAGCAATTGGTGTTGCTGAGCCTGTGAAAACTTACCATGTGAATCTCTCGGTGTTCACTTCGGTTCCCGATTTCTGGGGGATCGGCCAGCTGTTCCCGATCGTCCCGATTCATAGGCTGGACGAGAGGCCTGGAGCTAGAGGGATACTGTCCGACCTGACCTGTGATAGTGATGGCAAGATAAATAAGTTCATCGGCGGAGAGGAGAGCTTGCTCCTTCACGAGATTGAAGGAAATGGTGGTGGGAATGGTAATGGGCCGTACTACTTGGGGATGTTCTTGGGAGGAGCGTATGAGGAAGCACTCGGCGGGGTACACAACTTGTTCGGTGGTCCTAGTGTGGTGCGAGTGTCGCAGAGCGACGGGCCTCACAGCTTTGCGGTGACAAGAGCCACTCCAGGCCCTTCGTGTAGCGATGTCCTCCGCGTGATGCACCATGAGCCGGAGCTGATGTTCGAGACCCTCAAGCACCGTGCTGAAGAGATGATGTATGACGATAGCAGCGACGATGGGGAGAGCAGCATGGATCATCACCATCACCGGGGCAATGCAGCTGTTGCCAGCTGCCTTGCAAGGTCGTTCCACAACATGCCGTACCTGGCAGGTGCTTCGTCTTGCTCGCTGACTGCTGCTATGGACAATGGTGGTGGTTTCTATTACTGCAGCGACGAGGATGGTTATGATGCTGCTGCTGATTCCGCTGTGGCCTCAGCCGAGGATGAGCAGTGGAGCTATGTCTGCGCTTGAGATTCACCCACCCCCGTAGTATCCGTTCCTTTGCTTGCTTCCTTATGATGCATCTTTGATGGTTTGGCTGGTTGTACGGAGTTGTCGATCGGTTTCTTGTTATTTCTTTCTTGAATTTTTGGTTCTTTATCTAGTATGAATCGAAGAAGGCAGGAGATGCACATTAGCAGCAGCAGCAGCAATGTTGCTGGCTGTAGAAAGGCAGAAGAGCTTTACTTCTGTAGTTCTGTTCTGCATTATCCTGTTGTGTCTTCCTTATTAGACCCTTCATCAAGAGCTTTTTAGTCTTGATAATAATAACAGTGATATAAGTTTATTAATGCTTCCATGAACATGGTGATGCTTTCTTTATCAGAATGTTGCGAATTGCGATGAAACAATTGTTCCGAGACTGTCACAGCATGCATCTAACGATCGAGTTTGCGTGACTACGGAATCATAGGTTGGCTACTGTGATGCCTATATCTTGTTATTGTGGAGGGATCTGGGAAGGTCCCTTTTGATGTTGATAATGCACAGATTCTGAGTCATCTGGTTCCCAATTGGAGTGATCATCATCCCCTTTTTTACTTTTGCTGAAATTGAGGGGTTTAGAGGCAAGGCGGCAATGGAATTAGGGTTTACGATGGTGTGTAGGGCCTTATACATGAACAAGATTCTGCAAATCAAAACCCTTTTTTATAACGGTAGGGTTTGTCTTGTTGTGTATGGGTTGATTAGGGCTGACGGCATCTCAGCAAGTTGCGGTGAGAACTTTGTGGTGGCGCCGTTAGCAGGGCTGACTGGTGAGCAAATTTGGTCCGCAAAACCTTTCTTGTGGTGGAGAGAGCTCAAACAGGTGCAGTGCCCACATTCCTTTGTGGCTTGATTGCATAAATCATCATTAAACTTTGTCATCCGTGACAAATCGATCACTGAATTCATATTTTCGACAGGGAGATCACGGGGTTTGAAATAACGTAACACAATAGGGGTTTCATCAAACCTTTTTGTCCATATAAGCATGTTAGACCCACCAACAAGCTAGTGGTTGGAGATACATAGACGAGCTATTTCATATAGTTTAGATGATATTTTGATAAATCGAGGAGTATGATGCTAGTTGTAATTGAGTTGATGATGATAGCTTGTTGCATTGTATATGTATCTATGGTCATTCGATCTTTAACTTGCTTGAGTTGATGCATCAACCTTGAAATTATGCACAAGAAACTTGACGGCCAAAGTGAGTGTTGTTGTATTAGGTTTTCGCTAACCATAGTTGAAAACTTTTGCTAAAGTCAAAGCTGAGTGATCAATTTGTTAGGTACCGAAAATTTGGATACCATTTGCGTAATTAACCCATTCCTCCGAAGTTCAAAGGATAGGAAAGCATTGCGAGGCGAATTTTGAAACGCACAAAAGAATTGGTGTCCACAGAGAAAGTTTTCCAGGTGGTGCCAATTGGCTTTCAACAGAAGACAGCTGTTGTAAGTTCATCGAGGAACATGTTAAGAACACAAAACTCTCTAATCTTTTGGGCTAGTTTTCCTTCAAGGCCATAACTTTTTCCCTTTTATATGCATTCTTTCTTGTTAATTGTTATAGATTAAGAGTAAAAAGATGTAAGATGATATACTCTGCCTAACTTCTTGAAAAACATGGCAACAAAGAAGGACAGAGAGACCAAAAGGCCACAAAAGTAGCAATTAGAAGAACAAAATAGGGATTTGAGAGGGATAAATTAAACGATTATTTGATCAATTGTTTACTGGATAATTTTTAAAAAAATAATTAAAGTACTTTATGTACACTCGTACTCTGAATTCTGATCGACTTAAACACGATAGAGTACTAAACTATCGTTCAACCGCTAATCGTTACTCATCATAAATAAACCCAAACAAACCCTTTTATGAATAATTAGTTAGTTTATGAAATTCCGAGTCAGCTGAGGGTTAATACAAACAAATTGGTTTAAGAATGAAGAACACCACTTTTTCACATTCTTTGACATGCTTAGAAGGGTAATCAAAGAATCCCAAATTGGATACTTCCAATTTTCGTTTATGGTGCAAAGTTGATTCCTTTTGGGATCTCTTCTTTTGGTTATATAAATTCGGATCCAATGTCCAAAGATCTCTCTACTACAAGTCCACTTCTTACTCAACAAGTTGATGATTCCCCTTTTTTGCTATGTAGGTGCTTAAAGAGGTCCGTTTGAAAACCATACCTAAATAGTTCTAGCAATATTGAATTGGTTAAATAAAAGATCCGACATTCTAGACTGATTACTTGTACAGTAAGATGGTACTTTAAAAATCTTGAACAAGCAAAATCAAGTAATTGGCACAACAGAACATCTTCTGGTGCATTAATTCTGTAAATTAAGGAACCCCTTTTCACGCACCAAGCAACTTGATTCATGTACATTCAGCCTCTAATCAGTATGCTTTTACGATAGAGTTCATAAAAACTTATCATGCCGTTCTTTATACGCGCTCCCATCAATACTTTCATGCCCAATGTGTCAATGGTAGGGTAAAGGAACCGAGTGGTGCTAGCAACCAATCGTGATGGACTCGTGGCACTTCAAACCCTCGTTTCTACCCATTTGCATCGCTGATCAGACTTTGACGACGCAAACGAGAATACTCACCCAGGAAATCTTATATTGGAAATTATTATTAATTTGATAAAGCTAGGTAGATTGATTGGCATATCCTGCTGCTACCTGTACACATTTGACTGAATCGTATCTCATCACAATCATTCAATGATTTAATAAATGGAGAGTGGTTGGATTCAATTGAATGCCTTAGCCGTTTTCCTTATGAGATTCCATGGAGATAAGGTGATGAGAGTGAGAGAGCAGGTGGCGCCCTGGCCGGTCGTTTGTTGGGTAACGTATGGATGGGAAGACGAAGCTACCTTTGCCTACAAACTCTTCTGTTGTTAATTGTTTTATATTATACACATATCGAACCCCTGAATTCCAGCTTAATCATAGGATTATGTCTGCTTGATATTGCTAATCATCATGGTTTTGGAGGCTTAATTCTTTGTGTTTGTTTGACTGTCGTTGGTTGGCTTCACAAATCACCACATGTCTGGTTTAGGCAGGAATCTGTCCCAAGCTCATTTTGGTAATCACTTGCTTTAATGAATGCCTATTGAGAAGATAGAAGCTTCTCTCTGTTTTTTTTTTAATGATTATTGGGGAATATTGGAGACAGGATATTCTGCCAATCTTATATGGTTAACACCATACTAATAATGAGTTGTAGTAATTCGTGTCGGAGTTGCAGCCTTGCAATAAACAATGAATGCAACGTTAAATCGATAATTGCATCAGAATTGCAGTCCCCTCAAATTATACAAAGATGTTACAATAACAGAAACAATGACTACAACTACAATTATACTGCCACAACTCACGACGAGTATGATACTGAACTTCTTAAGGTTAGCAGGCTAATCAGTCTCGAATCTTTGCGAAGACTAATGATTTCGAATTCGAGATATCTCGCGAATGATTTGACTACAATATTATTGATGGCTCACCTTAATTTGTTCCATGATCCACACTCTGTTGATTTCTTATACGTTCGAACTTAGGAAAGGAAAATATTCAACTATATTGCACCATGCTTGTGTTGAAATTCTTGAGCTGGGCTTTACCTGCAATAAGCTAGAAGGCCCACTTAGCCCATCAAGGAAAACCTGGAGAACTTTCATCCATCCACGACTGGCTAGGGCCCAATTTATTGTTCAGAGCCCAGCCCAGGGCTCTCAAACCCGCACACGTAGCGGACAATGACGTGGCGTGAACTATACGCACCAGCAGCGCATCTTAGTCATTTTCCTAAAACTTTGCATTATTCCTGATTGCGCAAGGCCTTTTATTTTCCCCTTTTTATATTCCTCTGCGACTTCCTCTTCGCAATCGTCTACCCGTTTCCCTCCGAGTTCCGTTCAATTCCCGCGAATTATCGTCGGAGCCTTCGCGCAGGTGAAGATTCTCCGTTCTCTCCACGAATATTTCGCAACGGCTCTTCATTCCCGTTTCTGCTAATTCCTTAGATCCCAACAACAACTCCCTGATGTTTCTTGCGGTCTAATCCAGAATTTGTCTGTTTGGTTACTCGAGAAACCATTGTTGGGGGGGAAGACTTGATGCAGTGAAATTGGTTGATGTGGTTGTTCCTTTTCTTTATGGGAGAGGGGAAAATGATATGTGAATTTGATTAGCTTGATAGGAGTTGAATGGTGGGCGAAGTTCGACTGGTTTTGCCTTTGGAATGAATGAGGTTTGCTTAATGGTGGAGTTTTGTGCGGCTTAGGATTGTGGATTTCAGTAAAGTTTTGAGCTTGATTGGAGTATTCCACATTTTTCCAGTTAATGGTTTTGATTGATGGCAAGTGGACTGGATATTTGAATGTGGTGTTCTCCCATAACGTTTGACCTTCCATCTTGTAGGAACTCGGGTTCAATCAGTCAACTTCTTCTTTCCGCACAATCCACGATGGTAAGTTATGCATTGAACTTGGGTGATTTTCGGTTTAGCTTGGCGATCATGGCTGTTTATCCTAGAGTCGGGGTGGCATGGGAAGTGTTCTCTAAATCCCTGACAACAAGGGGAAAGTTAAATCTAGAACTAAATTGTAGTGAAAAAATTTCATGGTTTATAAAGTTTCGAGCTTGAGAAGTAGGGAAGTTAACTGTGTAACTGTTGAAATGTTATGCTGTGAGCATATATTCACAAGTTCTATTATGCTGTTATTATCATCACTATTCTTCTTGTAGGTTCACTCTTTCTAAATGTCTCTTTGTTGCTTGCTGTGTAGTATTTTGATGGATATGGGTATCACGGGACGTCCTTTGAGCAGACCTACCGGTGTTACCCTGCCTCGTTCATTGAGAAGGTTAGTTTCTGTTCTCTGTCTTTGTTCGGAACGTAACTCTTCTTTGGTTATTAGATTAAGGACTAAAACATTATGATTCGTGTACGGCTGATCCATTTTCCTTTCTGGATTCTCTTGCAGCCTCAAATTGAAAGTGGTGATAAAAGTAGGTTTCCATGACCATGTGGTAGCATTTATTTAAGTCCTTTTTGTATTTTCTTATAGTTTTTTACTCTTGTATTTCTTCACATTGTTGCAGTTATAATGCCTCCTTCAGCACTTGATCGCCTCGGTTAGTAGTTTTACCAGTTCTTTCTTGCACATGTTGCATTTACATCCTATGTCTTGAAGATGTGTTCTGATCATGAAGCTCAAACATTGCAGCATCCCTGCATATCGATTATCCTATGCTGTTTGAGCTACAAAATGATGCTGCTGACAGAGTCTCTCACTGTGGTGTTCTTGAGTTCATCGCCGAGGAAGGCATGATCTACATGCCATACTGGGTAGGAAGTCGTGAAGTTATATCGTGTTTATCATGAATTGAAAATTACTCGTGAGAGAGATTTCTTTTGATTTATGACACCTGCTTACACTGATGAAAATCGCTTTGTTATTTCTAGATGATGGAGAATCTGCTCTTGCAAGAGGGAGATATAGTGCGATTGAAGAATGTGACCCTTCCTAAGGGAAAATATGTCAAGTTGCAACCTCACACAAAGGACTTCCTAGATATTACCAACCCTAAAGCTATGTGAGTCTTCTTCAAACTAGATAGTTTTCGTTTGATTGAATTAGCTAGTTTTCCCGGGAATCTCCTGTTTTTTCGCTCAAGCTTATAATACATTGTTGAAACAACTTTCCTATCGCATGAGCTTCCATTTGAATCTTGATATAACTGGAGTTGATTTTACCACTGCAGCCTAGAGACGACATTAAGGAACTATTCCTGCTTAACAACTGGTGACAGTATTATGGTGGCATATAACAACAAGAAGTATTACATAGATATCATAGAAACAAAGCCTTCAAATGCAATAACTATCATCGAGACTGATTGTGAGGTGGATTTCGCACCTCCCCTTGATTACAAGGAGCCTGAGAGAAAGCCTGCTGCATCTGCTCTTTCGAGCAAGGCTCCATCTCAAGGTTTGCCCTTTCACTCTCTACTTGTACTTGTTTGTACCGTTTTAATGTAAGCCCTCAATGTTTGATGGTCGTCCATTTAGGTCTCTGCATATTGTGAAAGTGATTCCCTTTGTTACTTTGTAGCAGTTGAAGAGGCGCCAGAAGAGAATATACCAAAATTCAATCCCTTCACAGGAGCAGGGAGACGTTTAGATGGTAAACCGTTGCCGTACCAGCCTGCTCCAGTGTCTGCACCTTCGTCATCCAATGGCAAAAGTCCTGTTGCAGCCAATGGTAGCGGGCAGTCATCTGCTGCTGCTGCTGGCTCCAGCTCACAAAATGCTTCTCGCCAGGCCCAGGGAAAACTCGTGTTTGGAGCAAACGCCAACCGGGCTCCTACCAAGGGAACACAGAAGGTGGGTTATAGAATCTTTATTCAATATTTTGAGAAACTGTCTTTCCCTTTTGAGCTGCTGATGGTAATTCATAACTTTGATTGATGTTGCAGGAAGCTGCAAAAGAGCCGAAACAAGAGCAGCCAGAGAAGAAAGACGAACCGAAGTTCCAGCCGTTCTCAGGGAAGAAGTACTCATTGAGGGGTTGATTATTTATTCACCAACACAGTCAATGCCCTAAGAGTTATGTTCTGTTGCTACTTGGGAGTATCATAAAAAAGCAGTAGAATTTATGTGGATTCAGTTTCACTGGGTTGTTGTATCATGAAAAGTACATTAACTATTAGTTATGTTATGATAATGGGAATGGGAATGTGTTAGGGTTCCTATTTGAAGTGATTATGTGAAGCTTGCAAGCCTCTACCTTGCTGCAAAAGCCGCGTTTGGTTTTCGTACTTACTCAATCGGAGATACTAGTTTCCTTTCTATATTGCGGAAATGTTGATGAAATAATGTTTAGTGTCACTATTGTGGTTCAACGAGTAATTCAATATCAAATGTTACCAGTTGATATATCATGAATAACTAGTTTAACGGTAATGAAGTCGCGTGAGAACGAAAAAAATTTCACCAGATAGTCGCCTTAATCGATTTACTGGAAGCATTGAGATGAACATGACACATTTATAAATGTCTTCTGCGCTCTTGTTCTACCATCAAAGCGTTATATCTCGAATGTCTCTCATTCAAATTCATTCAAATATATATCCAGAAATTCTGCACAAGCACAGGGGTACTACTCAAACGTCTTTTGGTTTCAGCTTCTTAACAACACCAGTTCACCAAACGAAACAAGGAAAAGCCAGGAGGCAAATGATCCCTTCTAAAATGACACTAACAATGGGTGCTGTCAATCATCAATGGCGCTGTCTAATTAGCGCATTTAGTTTGGTTCACCATCGGGATAATGGTAGCCCGTAAGATAAGAATGGAAGTTCTTCAAATACGCTTCATACATTTAAGTTAGTTGGATTTGGATCATTAGGGTGCCTACAACATTATGCGGACGACAGCGAGACCCATGGCGGCCATCGAGGCAAGGGTACCTATGCAGTATTTGGCGATGTCGTACTTTGCTGCTTCCACTTGAGCTCGTACTGCATGAATTTCCTGCATAGCAGAACAGGGCAAGAGATCGTTAACAGAGGTCGGACAATTGGGAAGCAAGGATTACGTGCATCAAAGAGATGGTAATAGGCTTTCACCCGATCAAGCGTGTTAGTCAGGTTGGTCGTTTCTGCTTTCTGATTGGATAGCTCATCTCGCATCCGCCTGCAAAACAATGTTATTAAGCATATTATTGTCAAGTAACATAGCAAGGAAGGAAGGCACTCACCAAAACCAAACACATGGGGGCTAGAGGTGACAAAAACTCAATCCCTCACTGAAAACGGGTTTGAACCGATTACCCATGCTATTTCTACACTAAATATTTTCCTGTGGCAGGGGACTGCCATTCTCGACAATCCATTATCAAGTCCACAAAGGGTCCGACCTGGCAGATTGTGCAAGTGACTTTGCACCGAATCAGGCTAAAATTTAACTAAAACCACCCCAATACAGTGCTCAATTTAGCAGCCAAGAAATAAACCATCACCACAGCTCGTCAACCCACCAACCTGCAAACGCGGCCAATTTGCCATGTCTGCCTAGTCTACAGTATGGCACTTGCGTATCTGTTCTCTAATGCTAATTCATCAAGTAGTTCTTATCTCACACAAAGGTGATCTCCATTTCTACCTTGACAATTTAACAGACAATTTAAAATGCATTCATCAGAAAAAGCTTTGAAAACTGTACCCTCTTTCGAGATTTAAATCCAACCGCTGACCAGCATTTGCCTTGTCAATTTCATACCTGTTTTAAGATAGCAAGAATAAGACAGTAATGAGTAAACTGACTCTTTGGGCTACAGATAATACCAGTATATGGAAACAAGTTCTTCCAATAAAAGAACCTCAATTCACTGTGCCCTTTGTCTATGTGATTTTTAAGCTTCTCGATTTCGCGTTGCAATGTAGCATAATGATCATCCTGTATAAAAGGTAAATGGTCAAGGGTTGAAGTATTTAACATTTTAAAACAAGATTCTCAACAACCCATCTATGGGCATATAAGCTTCCAGTACTATCTACAAGGAAGAATAGTACAGAAACAAAAGAACGACACTTACATAACATTTTTAAAACAAGATTCTCAACAACCCATCTACGGGCATATAAGCTTCCAGTACTATCTACAAGGAGGAAGAATGGTACAGAAACAAAAGAACGACACTTAAGAATTATAAATAAAGAGCTCATCCACATTTAGTTGGGCTATAATTACTGGAACAAGAAAACTAGTTCTGATATTGATGAAGCCCTTTTCAAGACTCAGGTGATCGCTCGTCCTAAGAAATAAAGGTCTAGTAGGTGGTCATTTGGTTTATTGGACCAACAGGATGAAGCTCATTGCTTCGCCCTGTCAACAGGCCAGTTGTAAAGCAACAATCAGACAGTTTATCCAGATTCTTCACAGGACTACTCAAGGTACATGCTAAGCATTTTACCAGATCAAATTACACACTGCAATAGCCCACTGCAACATGGCCTATTGTATCATCAATGCATAATGCAAAGTAGAAGGCCCCGGTATTGCAAAAATATTGACTAAACAATGCAAGTCCCGAACTCACATTGCATAGTTCCAGCACATATTAAGCTTATCAACTTGTGCCCTCACAACTAAAGAACAACTCATCTTTCTGCAATTGCGAAACCGCAAATTAGACGCCAGCTAGTATCTAAATCTACGTTCCCGCCTCGATTTTGTTCTAGAATTATATTCTAATCAATTACTAGGCAGAAAGTGATCCCCTATACACAATCCAATCACCAAACAACAGAATATCCTTAGAGCTAAAACAAGATGAAACTGAAAGGGGCTACCTGAGAGCCCTTTGTATCGGTTTGGAACTTTGACAAGTCTGATTGAATTTCGTTCTGGAACTTGGAGAGGGTGGATTCTTGAATCATTTCGCGAGCTACTTGAGCACTGTTGACTTCAGATTTGAACTTCGATAGGTTCGATTCTAGAAGCATTACACTCTACACGAAATATAGATAAAGGATTAGTACACAGACAAACGTTACTAAGAAAACAAATCATGTTAAACTTTCAACTTCACTTACCTTCTGCATTTCTTCCTTTGAGATACAAGAATGCGACAAGCTCTCTAGACTAACGTTCAACACCGCAATGATGGCGTGAGTGATGGCCTCAGCTTGCTTTGAGGGCACGTCTTGCGATTCCAACCTCCTTACCTTTCACAAACGAAAGAGAAACAAAAGAATCAAACGATCAAAAAAGTACTGGAAGCACTGAAGAAAGAACGAGAGCAAGTGAAGGCGATTTTTACCAGAGCCAATGTATCGACGAGGAAAGCACGGTTCGCGCCATTAGTTCTGGCGAGGTCGGATATATGCCTACCATGCTCCAACTTCCCGACGAGGGATGAACTCCTTGAAGAAGCATCGAGGAGGCGCAATTTGACGAGGTGAGCTCCCGATTGAGCAAACCGCCTACACAGAGCCATGGAACTGCTTCCTCTTCCCTTCCGATTCCGAGGAAGTGAATCAAAACGCGGCGGGCGAAACCGCGAATTAACACAGAGGAGACTAGAATCAGGCTACACGACGGCCAGCGGCGATGGCGTCTGGGAAGATCTGAGAAACGCAAGGCGGAGATGGAGAAAGTGGTGAGAGCGACGGAGAAGCAACTGCTTGTTTCGCTGGTTTCGCGTAGAGATATCTGGGTTGGTGTGCGTTGTCTTTTTTGCTTGCGGGAAACGAAAATTTGCTCAGCTGTGTGCATATCTTTCTTCTTTTGCAGTTACGGAATTTGAGTTTTTTTTCCCCATTAATTTGACAATTCCCACTATGGCTCATGAAATTTGATATTCTTCCAAAACGAGTCCCTCAATTTTGCTTATCTCTAAATAAGCAGCCAGAATTCGTGATGTTTCCCAACCCAACCCCTATTACACCAAACTTGGCAGATTTTGCACTTAAAACAGTCGATGATTATGGCCGCTACAACCAACTCAACGCCCTAACAGGATGCGAAGGACGCCTTCGTAGTCACATCTTATGACGCATTTCATCAACGAACAACGGCTCAAAACTTCGTACACTTATTTTCGCGATGTAAGTCATGCCATCTAACTATCAGCATATGCTTCATACAAGGAACTGTAAGAAACTGAGAAAGAAGATAAGAGGGGAAAATTACAAAACGGTACTGGAACTTCAATGAAGTTACCTACCTGTACTTTGGCCTTCTTTATGTTAACACAAGCTAAAATTGGAAAGCTCTGTACACATCACAAATCAGACTGTGCTCAAAATTCCTACAAAGCTCACTCCCCCGCACCCTGCCTCACCCCCGATTCTTGTTCATGTATGCAAATAATCGCAGGCTGCGCCTTTTCTGCAATGCCCATTCTCACGGAAAAACCTGCATACCTTCTGCGTTCTGTTATATGCCGGGGCAGGGCCCCTTGACGAGGAAGATTGACTGTTCCATTGCATATCCCCACCATCGCCTCCTCCGCGACCACCTCCGTAGCCAGAACCCCCTCCCTGAGACCCTCTGTCCCAGCTGGGGTGGTTGTTGTTGTTGTTGTTAGCATTTCCGGGTCCAACCCATCCCGAGTTCTGGTTCGTATTCATCGTCTGCGCTGCTGCAGCGCCTTGTCCAGGTGTTGCAGGTGCCCACCCTTGAACGGCGGGAGACCACCCGGCGTTTGTGTTCCCAGCAACCACCTGCTGCCCTTGCATCCAGTTAGGATTTGCATTCCCAGGAATCATTCCTTGATTTGTTGGAACATGAGCAATCCCCCAGCCCTGATTTGTATTTGCAGGAGGCAGGTTTCCACCCCACCCCATGGTTTGGTTTCCCGGGTTGTCTGCAACTGGGACGCCCATTCCTCCCCATTGCACTTGCGCACCTAATTGCGCAGAGGGTTGCTGCACCGTTTGTGGATTCGCCCAGTTCGCATAAGCATTGTTACTGAGTGGAGGAGCAACAGGCATTGAAGTATTATTCGGCTGCATTGAACCACTTCCACCCCATCCTTGAGATCCAGTTCCACTTCTCATGTTTGAAGCATTTCCTTGTGCCCCGCCCAGGAAAGGATTATTACTGATAGTCTGAACCAAACTCTGGAGCGCTGCTGTATCCATAGCTGCAGGAACAACAGGTGCAGTACCACTGGAAATCGGGACTCGATGCAAGTGATTGGAGTTCGCCTGTACAACACGGGGAGATTCAACTTGCGCCAGAGAATGCATCTGTTGAGCAATTGCAGAAGCTTGCCTGGCGACTGGGCTTGCAACATGAGAAAGATTAGTCACGGCATTCAATTGAGAAGCAGCACCAGCAGCAGCTGGAGCAGGAGTTGGAGACCACCTGCTTTCCCTAGCTTGTCTTGTTCCTCCGCGTGACCCAGCTGAGGCTGGAGTTGGAGAAGGGAGACTTGTCTCGGAGTTCCACCTGTCAGCAGGATAATTGGGGATCTCAACTGCAGTGGGAACAGATCGTCCAGAAGAAGAGCTATTACCATTGTTATTATTATCTCTCGCCGGAGCAGCAGAAAACCGTGAGCTACTCTGAACCAAGGGAGCTTGGAAATTTCCATCCAATGCATCAGTGAGAAGTATGGAGTCCTCTTCTTTCTCAGTGGCTCTCCATATTCTCAAGTTAGTAGGGAAGTATCCAGTGCTGTTCCATTTTCGAAGCTGTACCATGGAAAAGGGCCCCTGAATTTTCCCAGCAGGGTCTTTGTAATGCCATATCTTCTGCGTCTCGTTTGCTTTGGCAGAATCGGATTGTTGTGCCAAACCTGTTGCGGGAGGAGCTGCTGGAGAACTCTCTTGAGCTGCAACCCTAGGAGCCAAATCTGCAGTTACACTACTACGCTGTTCTACATTTGAAGCACGTTTTGGGCTCTCCCAGCTTTGGGGTGCCTGGATTTCCCGGTCTCTTCCTAGACTCCACGAATTGTCATTCAATTTATCACTAGTTCCAGTTGTGCTATCCCCTCTGTAAGAGAACCCTTTACTAGACGAGTTCCTGGTCAACTCTCGGTTCATACTCGAGAAACTCCGAGTTCCACCCCAGGATTCATTTGGGTTGGTTGCTCCTTTCCTCGGTGAAATTGGCTCTCTTGACCTTCTACTGAAACCACTACTGCCTCTGGGTCTATAGTTACCGACTGCACCAAAATCCAATATGAACAAGGTTGCATGAGACGCTATAATGATATATTAAAGCCATGAATAAGATCAAGTAATAAGTACCTTGTCTCGTATCATCCTCATCATCTTCTTCTTCAGATTCATAACTTGGATCCATCTTTGGATCAACATGAATTTCAGGAATTTCTTCCAACCTTCGCTGGCGCTCGTCAGGAGACTTCAGAAGCTGCAACTTCTCTACACATTCTCTGAGCGTAATCAAAGGTCAAGGATAACTAGTAATAATAAAAAAACAAGATGTTGTCTCCAGTTCAGAAAAGAAAAATTATTGATTTTGACACAGCACAAAACTGCCAAAAGACAAGAAAAGACCCAAACTGCCAGAAGATAGGAAAGAGGTACAGTTAGATACAGCAACAGATAACAGCTTGAAAGCATGCGATGTATCAACAAGAATAACATAGCATCAGCAGTCTAGTCAAGACAATGCTCAGGAAGTTGTAGACAAATAAACTGAGTCGCAAAATTTAACTGGAAAAAAAAGGATATTCCTTTCTCCTCCCCATGTCACTAGCTCGATCTCGAAGATGACTTAGACGGGTTATCTCTGAATCCAGTATCTGCAGTATATAAAATGACACCAAAGAATGGAAATGTTGAGAAGATTCCAAATCTATTAAAAAAAGGCCAATAAACAACCATAAAGGACACACAAGACATAGTTGATCAACTGCCAGCAATATATAAAAGAAGGGGTTTTTTCCACGGGAAATACTTCATCAAGGATGACACAATGAGTCCCTGGAACCATAAGTTTTGCTCACAAACCAACTCTGAGGTTCACATCTTGAAACAAAACAGAAGTAATTGATACAGAAAAAGAAAAGATGCCACCTAGTGGTGTTGTATCTTCATACGAGGATATATGCTCTAGAACTAAAGAGGCAAAAATATAGCAGCTTAAACCTTTTCTTTAGCCAACCAAAAATAATTTAGCATCCCCTAAAGCCACGTTACCTCTCTTCAATCGCAGGGAAAACACACAGGCTATAAAGTAACTTTACGTTGAAAATGGTGTTGAAATTTTGCAGCTAGCGAAGAAGTATAAATGGGATTCACTCCAGCTCCTACATGAATCAGAAACAAGAGGAAAATGCCTAGCGAAACAGAGTGGCAAGTATGATTACTAGGATCTGAGATTCACTTAACCAATCAACCAAGCCGTTACCCGTTTCAACTTCTGAGCATTATTTTCCAGTCTGATGAAGGCAACATATCTTATCTGGCAGATAGGAGAGGAGACATAAAAACAATTTAGCACACATCCCAAAACTTACATCTTGAACTCGAACTGCCTGCAATGCAATGGCTTTTTCCTGGATGTCACCCTGCAAACAACAAAAAATGGCATCTTGAGGAGGGAATCTAAAACCTAGGGGAAACACTTCAAATGTAATGCAACTTTACCACTGTCAATCGATCAAGAAGGCCACATTTTATGCTTTGTCGCAAACGCTTGCATTCATCCTGTGGAATCAAGAAAAAGAGCAATGTATAAACATTACACAACAATTAAAATGAGGATAAGCAGATAAGCACAAATCTCTATCGCCGGATAATTGCAACACTAAGGCTGTTAATTAGGAGAACAGGACAACAACTTAGATAGAAGCATGCAATAGTAACAGACTAATCACCCATAAACACAGGTCACTAGAACCATTCCATATGATCCAAACAGCATCATATGCCATCTATAGTTCTCTCTAAAATCCAAACAACTACGACTAGAGAAATATCAATAAATTTCCCTTCCATGGGGGAAGCCAAATACCAAAAATATCACAGAAATATTGAAAGATATCATAGCTACAGTTCACCTCTGTGAATTCTTGATTTGAAATGGCATCAATTGAGATGACCTCGGTCTTGTTTAGATTCAATATTTCCAGCAGGAAATTAGCTGTTCTTTTCCCAACTCTATATGGATTATCAGCTTTCTTGGTTCCTGTGAACAACATACAAACAAACAAATTTTATTGTCCATTGAAATTCCTGTCCCATGCTCAGTTGCTAAATGGACAAAAAATGATATATATCTGTATGAACATGTACCTATAACTTGGACAAGCCTATACAAATCTTGCTTCTGAGAATTTCCAGATATTCTTAATCTCACAAAAGAACCAACAACTTTCTCATTAAATGTTTCAGTGTCATCAAGAAGTTCCTCAACCAAACTCCGCTTCAAGTAAATTAAAGTAATGTTGTGTATGTCGATGGCACCAAAATCATCAACGTTAGATTGCAGTCCTCTCCCATCAGCCTTCTTACGTGACTTTCTCTTTTTATCTTTTCCAGCTTTAACAAGAGCATCCCCATCACCTTCCACCTGATTGGCTTCAATGTCCACACTTCCTTGAACATCATCCCTCTGAGAGTCCTCTTTCAATAGAAAGTGAGATTCAAGAAGCTTTAGCATCTCAAAATGGCCCACTCGAGGTTTACCAAACAGATGTTGAAGCCTTGAATCACAAAGTATTTGACTTTTTCGACGAGGATCACGAAGTTTATTCCTTTTTATGTACTCCAACAACAGAGCTTGTACATCAAACTGAGAACAAACAGATCTATCGCCATTCTTCATGTGGATAACGAATTCTAAAAGCTCTTTTGATGCCCACTCAACACCAACCCCATTCACTGTCTTCTTCTTACTGGGTGTGTCCTTTTGCTTGGCACGAGATTTCAGCCGTTTTTTGCCTTTTCTCCCCTTAGGGGTCTTTAATTCACCATTCCCAGCAGAACTGTCTGAAGCAGATCCTCCATCATTCTGAGCATCATACAACTCATCCCCTGACTCCTGCTTTGCAGCAACCGAATCAGATCCTTTCCTTGGATGTTTGGCTGTGGTAAGTTCATCTGATGTGATGGATAACCTTTCCTTCAGATCCATCCAGTAATCTTTGAAGAGATACTCCCAGCTGCTTTTGTCGTCAAAATCCACTCGAGTCTAGGAAGGGTACATAACACCATTAGAGACAACAGTCAAATTTTCATAAGACACAAAAACAAAAGTTAAATGTAGACGATGGTCTACTAGAAAAACTTAAGAGAGAAGAATAACACTAACAAACAGAAACCACCTTGCTAATAATCTACAAGCATGCATTTGTTAAAAAGTCACAGTAAGTCTGTAACACTTTATACAGTTCGGAAAGCATCAATAATGAAAATGGGGTAATTAACTAAAAACAAAGAAATCAAAAGATAGAGGTCTCAACATACCGTTTCTTTGTCTCCATCTTCATTCATCTCAATCATTTTGACAGTTTTAAAACATGTCTCACAGAATCCTTTGTTGCCTCTAACACAGAAAATGACACCATCTTTGATACATCCCTTGCACAATGAGAATGTACATGTATAACACATGTAGTATGCATTCTTCTCACAGTTGCTGCATATATGCCAACCTAATTCAAGAAAGCAACATTTCTGATTAGGCTTAAACAAAAGCAGAAATCAAATATATAATCCTGAAGAGTGATATATGCACATCATGATTAATCTGGAAAGAGCGACCTGCCTGGGAAACACAGCAAAAGGAAATTGACTATCCTTTCTACCATCTCTCGATAAAAAAACTTTCCAAACACCATGAAGCCAAGTACTAAACTTTATTAATTACGACTGCCAGATGACTAAGCTCCGCTGTCCCAAAGTTAAGAAAGGGGAGAATAGCAATAAACTGAGCATAACTAGAAAAACAGTTAACATCCATATCTAGCGTACATAGAGAGACCAAATCAGAGGAGTAAGCTAAACAAAGAGTATTTGCTGCAGTTATAGAACTATAGTTAAAGATATTTTGGCCATTTACTCCAGAAGAAAAATATCCAGATAACTTCAATAGGAGAATAGATCAGTTAAAAAATTTAATTCACTCTGCATACGCTGCAATAAGTTCAAGAATTTTCCAGCTTAAATCATCACTTGAGATATTGTACAGTTTTTGTGAGATCTGACACAACTCACTTATCGGCTGCTACTTTAAAAATATATATATATATAGGTGCCTCCTACTCCTTCCATTCCAGCGACCAAACTACTCTTGCAATATCTGTTTTCTCATACCTGGCAGTCCAGTCCCATCCCTAGGCTAAAAGCAATGGCCTCTTTAAATTCTAACTAACTAATTATTGACTTTTTAAGGCTAGATGGGATTCACTAAAATATGTGAATTCAGTGAAATGACTACAATGAGGACCACAAACTTTTGGAGTTCTATGTAATAGAAGAGGTAGAATTGGAAATGTAGAAAGTTAAATTAATGTGGTTTAACACTAATTTAAAATTATATTTTAAAACAGGAAGTTGGAAGTTGAATGTATCAGATGAAGTAGGTAATAGATCAAGTAGAGGCACCACCAACAAGCGCCTACCCATTAAAACAAAGAAGAAAGAATAATGCTTACTACTTGCAACAAAACAATGTCAGGCCTTGGCTACTTAATACAACAAGAGAGTTTTATATGTTGATCATTGTATTTTCCTCAACACCATATAAATTCACTGTTGTAGTTCTTTTCAAATACTTGATACACAAAATTCTTTTCGGAGAATCAGACACTGCTCTCAGCATCATCAATTTCCTGAAGTGACTCACAGCTTGCTACTAGAAACAAGTAGGCAAAGTGACAGACTGAGAAGTGACACCACAAGCTGTATGCTAAAAGTTGCTCAAAGACATCGTCTTCTGTCACTCCAGCTCCATTAATCAGTCTTGCAGTGTCACATAGCAGTTCTTGGTGTTGGACAAAAAACATCCACAGTATCAGGGGGTGGGAGATTCATATTAAAGAAAACCCAAGAAAAAATCATAAGCTACCACTAATAAACTGGCAAGCTTGCAAGCAGAAACACCGTACTAGGTAAGAGCTTTCTACATTCCAATTAGTCAACTGCTACAGAATAGCTTCCATGTGCGTCAAAAGTTTTTTTGCCAATATAGATGCAAAATATAGAAATCAAACAGAAGAGAGAAATAAATAAGGAACTGCTAGGAAGGAAGTAGTTAATAGTTAGACACAGTGAGTTGCTCACATAACCATTTATTCTGCAACCAGCAAAAGTTTCATCTACCAATTCCTTTTCTACGCAGTGCAGGTGATCCCAAAAAGCAGTCAGACAATATAAGATCACTGATAAATGATAACTAAAATCACACACACTTCTCCTCTAATCTTGCAAATTCACTTACAAACCTGATCTTTCCTAATTGATCTTAACATGAAAAGAAAGAAAAAATGAACCAGCCAGATCATATAAAGCATCGCACAGTATATTTTTGACTACCTACTACACCACAGCAAATGAAAACTTGAAACGAAAGGCCTACAACACAAATAGATGAACTTACCACAATTCCATTTTCCTTTTGTTTTGAAAAATGCCTCATCCCGGTTGACGCAGGAGGGATGATAAGCCTTAGGGCACCCCCTACAGTTATCATGTCAACCAAACATTAAAAACCCCAAAAGCAGGAAGCCACAAACATTATATGCAGACTATTATTTTATAACCCTCACCTGCGATCACATAGGACAAGCTCTCCACCATCGAAACAAATGAAACATACATCCTCCTCCACCTTCTTCCTTGATGGTGGTTTACCAACAGCTTTGACATTATTTCCTCGTTTCCTCTTCCCGCTTCCAGTTTTGCTCACTTCCTCGACATTTGCTTCTGCTACCTCCTTTCCCTCTCCCTCCTCTACTGCTTCCTCCACTTCATTCATTTTCTCATCATCATCATCATTATCGTCTTCTTCCTCCTCTTCATCTGCTTCATTCACCTTCTCATTTTCCTCCTCTTCTACTCCTTCTTCATCTGCTTCATTTGCCGCCTCATCTTCTTCTTCTTCTTCTTCTTCTTCATCATCATCATCATCATCTACTTCATTCACCTTCTCATATTCTGCTTCATTCACCTTCTCATCTTCTTCTTCTTTATCCAATTCATTTACCTCGTCATCCTCTTCTCCCACTTCAGCCATGTCCTCATCAATATCTTCTACTTCTTCTTTGGGTTGAGTCACATTCTCCTGTTCATCCTGTTCATTCACCTTCTCGTCTTCTTTTTCTTCTTCTGCTTCATTCACCTTCTCATATTCTTCTTCTTTATCTGCTTCATTCACCTTCTCGTCCTCTTCTCCCACTTCAGTCATTTCCTCGTCATTATCTACTACTTCTTCTTCTTTGGGTCGAGTCACGCTCTCTTCTTCTGCAGCTAAATTCACCTTCTCAGCCTGTTCATCCAGTTCATTCATCTCCTCGTGCTTTTCTCCTCCCGCAACCACTTCTTCACTCAACTTCTGATCCTCTTCTGCTACTTCACTCAACTTCAGATCCTCCCCTTTAAGCCCCTCATTCAACTTGTTATCCCCATCTATCGCCTCATCAACTTTCTCCGCCTCTTTTTCCACTTCGGCAATCGTCTTGCCTGCTTCTTCTATCGAATCAAGTTCTTCCCTTTCCTCCCCTTCCTTATCTTTCTCCTTAAGAGCATCATCCACCTCCATCTCGTCTACTTCCTCGGTACTCCTACCAACACTACCCGTGTCTTGTCCTCCATCACACGTCATCTCTTTCATTACGTCATCTACACTAACTATATTCAAAGCTGCCTCTGGCTGTCCACCACCCTCTTCCTTCGGCAAGTTCTCAATTTCATCCTGCGGCGGTCCAGCAGCCTCTTCCTTCTGCATGTTTTCAATTTCGTCACCAGGCGGTCCAGCAACCTCTTCCTTCTGCATATTTTCAGTTTCATTCTTGTCTACCATCTCCTCAACCAAATCCTTCTGCTCTTCCTCCGTATTATTTTCATTCTCTGCCTTCTCTACTTTCTCGATCATCACAAATTCCTCCACTTCCTGAGTCTCTGAGACCCCACTCTCTGTTTCCTCCTTCACAGCGACTTTCACATCATTTTCCCGCGGTGAATCACCATTGTCGGCCAATCTCCCGCTCTCCTCCTCTCCACCAATCGAATCAGGATTGTCCTCTTCCTTCACCTCAGCCTCCTCCTCTGAACCTTTCTCCACTCCAGAAATCCCGCTTTCAACAACCACAACGTCGCCCTGATCTTCGCGTTCATCAACCGTCACTTCCGGCAGCGGCTCCGCCTCAACTGACCGTGACTCCTCCTCACCACCTGGCACTCCAGCAAGCTCTTCTTCGCTCCGCTCAGCAACAGTCACTACTCGCTCTTCCAATTCTTCCACAACCGTCGCTTCTTCCACCTCATGGTTACTCACCGGCGGCTGTGCCTCACTATCGCCACCGCCGCCGGGAGGCGATTCATGAGATTCCGACGACAGCCGCTCCATCTCCTTTCCGCACTCAGGCTCATCGACGGTGCTAATCTGCGGCTCGCACTCCGCAGGCGTGGCCGTCGATGTTGCCGTCGCAGACGTAGTCGAATTGTTTTCTACTTCGGAAGGAGCGGGGTTGGGTGGAATTGAATTCGTTTCCTCCTCGGTCTCCATCGGAAGACGAATTCCAAATCGTAAAAGGGGGAAAAAACCCTAGCCAGATATTAGGGTTTTTGAGAAATTTGGTGGTCGTTCTTTTCGCAGTTCGTGAAGTTCGGAAACTCACAGTAGCGTCATGTAAAATTTGTGCTGTCTGTTAGTTAATTATGACGACACGAGCAGAAAGGTACTCTCGCACTTCCACAGCGTGGGCCGTGGGAGAGAAACAGTGAAATTTTCTTTTCACAGCGAAGGTGGCGGAATGACGATTTTGCCCTGGTCCGCAGCTGGGCTTTTTTTGGTCAATTGGACTCCAAAGCAGGACCCAATAGAATTATTTAATGGGCTCAAACTGTTGCCTCCAGCCCAATAAAAACGTCTCACCTCCTTCTCCATTTCACTTTCCCGTCACAGTTTTACTTCGCCAGTCTGTTGACGGAGACGGGGAGGACTGATCAATGGAAGTTCCCGGTGACCGGAATCGACGACGTCGACAGGCTGATCTCACCGCCGGACGAATCATCACCCAAATCCTCTTTTACCTGCAAACCCAGTTCGCCGTCGGCACCACAGCCTTGAGCCGACGGTGGAAGGATCTTTTGGAGTAGGGTTTCCAATCCAGCACACAGTTGAATTGCTTCCTGCATGTTATCAAACTGCGTGCTGGACTGAACAATGGGTGTTGTTCGTCTTCCAGCTCCTGCCACCGGCGACTTAATTTTCCTCCGCCTCTGGTTATTGCTGTTTCGTCATGTGGGAAGTAAGCCATGGAAGGACCAAAAGAAGAAACAGCAGCCAGCAGATGATCTTGTTGTTAGTGGAAGACTCTCCAAATCTAATTTCAGGTTCGTTCTCATTGTCAGAAACCCACAACAGAACCAATGGAGACATTAGAACTAGACGAGAAGTCCCTTTCTCTTTTACTTCATTTTCTTATGGAGAAATTTGTGAATTCTGGCATTTCCCACCCCAGAAACCCAGTTCTAGAAGTGGGTAGGTCGTTTTCAACCCAGAAGGTCACAACCTTATTACCTCATTCATTTCCTTCTTAAGCAATGAATTTATATTAATTAGTTCAGTTTCTACTTCAGTAGTTGGTATTTGTGTGTAGCTGGTGGTCACCTTGCTAATCTACCTTACAATCTACTAAGATGTTTCAACAATCAGGGCTATGGCCCGCCATTGTTCAGACCAGAAGATGGTGTGCTACTGTGCTGATTCCACTTGCCCAAGCTTCTTTGAGCAGCTTTTTTACCCAGGATTCCAACCAAATTATCTAATTCCAAAAATCATCTAACTTGACAAGCACCAGTCTACCAGAAGAGACAAAGTAACTTTACGTAGCCTCGAAGCTGAGGAAAACATAAAAGAGAAAATGGAACTATCTTCTTCAGGGCATTGCTTGGAGTTCTTGTTGCTGGACAGAGACACACGCACCTACCAAGCAAAAACGACAGGGCTGCAGACTTCTTCACCCATTTACATGGCCTCTCTCCCTCCATTACCCTTTTTATTTATAGAGTTGGAGAGTCGGCCATTCATCCCAAACCAGACTGAAACGGGAAAAGGAAGAGAAAAAAACACTAACCCACCAAGAGGAATAGACAGCTGCTTTGGATCGATGGCGTCTTCCTCCTCCTCCTGTCTTGGGTTCCTCTGCCTTCTGGCCTGCCTCCTCCCAGCTTTCGTGAACTGCACAGTTCGTCATTACAAGTTCAATGTAAGTGTCTTCGTTTCAGCATTTACTCTCATTGACACATGCAACCATGCTTATCTTTTCTTCACAATCATGCTCCTCAGGTGGTGATGAAAAATACTACAAGGTTGTGCTCGAGCAAGCCGATCGTAACCGTGAATGGCAAATTCCCAGGCCCGACCCTCGTTGCTAGGGAAGACGATACAGTGCTAGTGAAAGTTGTCAACCATGTCAAGTACAATGTTTCCATCCATTGGTAAAGACGAACAAACAACCCACAATCAATAACCTGAGTCCTGAAAGCTAGTCTGACTATAAGTATCAGGAAAAACCAGAAGCATCACCTTTCTTTCTATGTCTGCAGGCATGGCATCAGGCAGATCAGGACCGGTTGGGCCGACGGGCCGGCGTACATCACACAATGCCCTATCCAGCCAGGGCAGAGCTATGTGTACAACTTCACCATCACAGGACAGAGAGGAACACTTCTATGGCACGCACATATCCTCTGGCTGAGGGCTACCGTCCATGGAGGCATCGTCATCTTGCCGAAACGGGGCGTTCCTTATCCCTTCCCAGCTCCTCACAAGGAAGCCGTTGTTATATTAGGTACGCCTCTAGTTCATCAAAACGATGTCTCAGCTTCCAGGAAGCGTTACAGCTAATGAAATGAGATTCTGAGGATGTAAATTGCAGGGGAATGGTGGAAATCCGACACCGAAGCAGTGATCAACGAAGCCACAAAATCCGGATTGGCGCCAAATGTCTCCGATGCACACACAATCAACGGCCATCCTGGTCCCGTTTCCAACTGCTCGTCACAGGGTAACATTTCTTTGACAGAGTTTGTAAAGAGTTTATTCGTCAGGTTCTAAAACTTTAACACTTGATTTTTCTATTTCCAGGAGGCTTCACATTGCCAGTCCACGCGGGAAAAACGTACATGCTAAGGCTGATCAACGCTGCACTCAACGAAGAGCTCTTCTTCAAAATCGCCGGCCACAAGCTCACAGTAGTAGAGGTCGACGCCACCTATGTCAAGCCATTCAAAACCGACACGGTCCTGATCGCTCCAGGACAGACGACGAACGTCCTGGTCTCGGCAGACCAAAGCTCTGGGAAGTACCTGGTGGCCGCATCGCCGTTCATGGACGCTCCGATCGCCGTCGACAACAAGACCGCCACGGCCACTGTCAGCTACGCCGGCACCCTTTCCTCTGCTCCAACTACTCTGACCACCCCACCTCCCAAAAACGCCACTGCAGTGGCCAACGCGTTCACAAACGCCCTCCGGAGCTTAAACTCCAAGAAATTCCCCGCCGCCGTCCCAAAAACCGTCGATCACAACCTGTTCTTCACGGTCGGGCTGGGAATCAACCCGTGCCCGAGTTGTAAAGCAGGGAACGGCAGCAGAGTGGTTGCAAGTATCAACAATGTCACATTTGTAATGCCCACCACGGCTCTGCTTCAGGCGCATTTCTTCAAACAGAAAGGCGTCTTCACCACCGATTTCCCGGCCAACCCGCCACATGTTTTCAACTACACCGGAGCCCCGCCGGCGAATCTTTCGACCACGAAGGGGACGAAAGTTTACAGGCTGGCTTACAATTCGACGGTCCAGCTGGTGATGCAGGACACCGGGATCATCTCGCCGGAGAACCACCCTATCCATCTCCACGGATTCAATTTCTTCGCCGTGGGGAGGGGAATCGGGAACTACAACCCGAAAACGGATTCGAAGAAGTTCAATCTGGTCGACCCTGTTGAGAGGAACACCATCGGAGTTCCTTCGGGCGGGTGGGTCGCCATTCGATTCCGAGCTGATAACCCAGGTAAGCAGTGTTTTTCGGATTCTGTTCGGGTTCCATTTCTGTGTTTCGGATCCTGAACTTGCAGGTGTTGATTTGCAGGAGTCTGGTTTATGCATTGCCATCTGGAAATCCACACGACATGGGGATTGAAGATGGCGTTCTTGGTGGACAACGGGAAAGGGCCGAACCAGTCACTGTTGCCACCTCCTAGTGATCTTCCCAAATGCTAAACGTCGGAGGGTTTGAAGAATTCTCCCCCGTATAAAAACAGAGTCGGAAAAGAATTGTGCAAACAAAAGGTTGAGAGTTGAGTTTTTAATTTGTTTCTTGAGCGAAAGTTTTGCTCGAGCAAGTGAGAATAAGAGATTGTATGTGACTAATTGGAGATCTATTTAAGAGCAAAGTAGTTTGTCCTCGATACAATGAGTAATTGGGATGTGATATAATTTGCTATTATGGTGTTTAGTGATTCGATTCATAATCAATATTCCATTCCAATTTAATGTTTGACACTTGCGTTGTTTCTGTTATCAATCATCATAATTACGACTATGATAATTTTATGTATGCATCGGCATGTCTAGACGTTAGTCAGTTTTAAAGCATCTCGCCTACAGCCTACACTCTAGACAGATGATTAGGTGTTTTTAACGCCTAGATAGAGCTAGGCATCATTACTCGTCTTTATGCATGAGTAATAGAAATTAGGCCCGACTAAGCGACTGGAAGGTCAAGGATTAAGAAAAATGCAACTAATCTTCCCAAAACAACATATCTCTAGCTACCTCTATTTGGCGTGTTCTTCCCGCCCGCTTCCTTCCTCAATTTGGAATCATAATTCTAGGTCAATCTCGAACACTCATACCTCGCAACTCAAGAATTACAACGATCTCTCATTTTCACTCCATTCCTTTCGCTTTATTTCCCGCTTTTCATCGTGGGTGTGACTGTATAGTCTCCACAACCCATACCATTTGCAGTTCTTCTCCAGCTCTAGTAAGCCCAAGTCATAGCCGCAGAGCACTCACAAGTCATAGCCCTCGAGGCCATGACTTCTTCGATTATTTTTCAGCTCCGATCGACCTGATCCTCTGCTTCGCTCTTCGTCGTCATCGATTGTCAGTGCAGCAGCCACAAATCTTCACATGCCACAAAACTCTTCTCTGCTGCGGTTGCTTGTAACATGGAAGTGATATGTTTTTTATTATTATTATTATCCTTTTTTTTTTTTTGCATCAGCGGAGGCAAAAGCCACAGAAGCAGAATTACAAGGGGAGAGGGAGGAAATTAGGCAAAGGGAGAGGAAGGTGACACCACCACATTTCGGGTGAAGGTGATGCCTCTCATATCATCATTGAGAAGCCTAATAAGCTCGTTGGGTGGATTTGACAACTCATACATACCGTAGGGATAGACGAGACTGTGCTTCGAGAGCCAGTCCGCGACTCTATTCCCTTCCCGGTATGTATGGGAGAGTCGCACCACCCAGTCCTGAGCCAAACACCGTCGAATCGCAGCCAAAAGGGTTGCATAAGGGTGAACGGGGTCTGTGCGCTTGTTCACCAGCTCCAGAGCTAACTTCGAGTCAGATTCCACTTGGATCACTCTACATCCTTGTTTCCACGCCATGGCCAATCCATGGTAAAGCGCCCATAGCTCAGACAGAGCTGCTGTACAAGCACCTAGATTCGCACAGAAACCTGCCACCCATCTTCCATCGTGGTCTCGGATGATGCCGCATGCCCCTGCCAGACCCGGGTTGCCATTTGAAGCTCCATCAACATTAAGCTTCGTCCAGCCTTGAGGAGGGGGCTTCCATCCTATTTCTGTCTGTTCCCGCCGCACAGGAGGGGAGCTTCTTCTCAAGTCCACCTTAGGCGCCATCCAGGCCTCATACCAAAGCTTGGTCTTGATGTTGATAGCTTGTGTGAGCGAACTCGGAGAAAGAGTTTTGGTGATCCCGTGAAAGGAGCCTTCATTCCTGTTTTTCCACAGAAGCCAAATAGCAATACTGAAAATAGCATTCCACGGAATACCTGAGGTAGATAGATCTTATTTCATGATGTTCTCCTGCAGCCACTCTTTCTCCGGAAGACTGAAGAAGAGGTGCTGATCAGCAACAGGCACCGTTCTCGCCCAGAAGAAGGCTGCTGGAGGACAATCTCTGAGCACGTGCAGCGCTGTCTCCGCGTGGTTCGGACATCTGAAACACGCCGCTGATTGAGTGATTTTTCTAGCATGCCGGATCTCATTAGTAGAGATCCTTCCCAAAGCCACCAGCCAGGCGAAGCATCGCACTCGCTCCAGGGTTTGCAGCGTCCAAAGCTTCTTCCAAAAACTTTTGTCTTCAGCAGCGGGAGTTGGTCTCGCGAGTTGAAAGGCAGTCTTGCACGAGAAGTGCCCGTCGGCGGAGGGCTTCCAGAACAGTGAGTCTTTGTCGGCCGCCAGCGGGTCCACAGCATAGGCGGTGATTTGCTCCTGGACTTCTTGCGGCAGCAGGTTGCTGAACTTGTGAGTGAGCCATCTTCCTTCAGCATCCACGTAATTCGCCACTGTTGCATCCCGGTCTTCTTGAGGGACTTCGCCAATTGCCATCTCCATTAGAGGAACGTGCATAATCCAGATGTCAGACCAAAAACGAACATGGTTCCCTCGGTGGATATTCCAAGCAGCTCCTTTATGGAGTAGATCGGAAGCTTTGGCCATACTAGCCCAGGTGAAGGAACTTCCCTGAACTGGACGCAACATTTCCAAATGGTCTCTTTGCTTCCCATATTTGCTCCGCATCACTTGGCACCATAGGCTGTCTTTGTCCTGAATCAGGCGCCATCCTCCTTTCGCCAGCATCGCCAAGTTGGCTTGCCTGGATGGCCTAATTCCAAGCCCTCCGTTGCTTTTTGGTTCCAGGAGTTTGTTCCATCCCACCAGGTGCATTTTCCTGCTCTCGTCAGTGTCGCCCCATATGAAATCCCTATTTATCCGGTTCAACCTGTTGCAAACATTAACAGGAAGGAGTTCTGTTTGCATAGGGTAAATAGGAATAGATGAGGATATGGACTTAACAACCGTGATGCGAGCCGCCAGCGAAAGCCTCTTTGCTTTCCAAGGTGCTAGTTTACTCTGAATCCGAAGCAACAAGTCTTGATATCGAGCCCTCGTCACCCGTCCGTTGATTGCTCTGACCCCTAGATACCTCTCAAGATCCACCGTGAGCGGAATAGTGGCCCTCCTGCTGAGCTTCCTTGCTTGCCGGCGAGGAATATTTGCAGAGACAAACATGGCTGACTTGGCAAAGTTTACTCTCTGTCCCGAGCTATGGCAGAAGTCATCCAGGCACTCCTTTATGATTCTTATCTGTGAACTCTCAGCACCTGCAAACAGAACCAAATCATCCGCAAAAAATAAGTGAGTGAGAGCAGGACCATTCGGGGATAGTCGGATGGGTTTCCAGTGGCTATCCCGAACAGCCTGATCAATCCTGTGTGATAAACGCTCCATGCACAACACAAAGAGATACGGGGAAAGAGGGTCTCCCTGTCTAACTCCGCGGGTGGACAAAAGTGAATGTTGATGAATAAATTTGTCTGGTCAATGTTTATTTTTTATCTTAGTTATGGTGAGTGAGCATGAATGGATTTATTCTCATCGTAACCTTTCAAAACTCAATTATTTTTGGCTTAAACAGCCTAGTTGCCCTAAACACTAGGCAAAACATCAAAACCTGCCTAGCATATACGGGTGGGCGTTCGGTCAGTTTGGTTTGAACCGAACCGAACAAGCATACCCCGATTTTCCGAATCACAGCATCTCCCGACCAAATTCGAACCGAACTATAATTCGGTTCGGTTTGGCAGAACCGAATTATAGATCGGTTCGGATCGGTTTTATACTACAAACCGAAATATGTATGCTCTGTGCGGCTGTACCCACTTCAAATTCGAGCAGGTCGAGGTGAATGGCCTTCCAATTGTTGCATTGCCGCCGCAGCAACCCAAGCAGCCGATGTCTCGCGTTTTGGAATCAGTACAAGGATTGTGCAATCTATCTTCCGACATTCAAGAATTCAAGAACAGGTTCGACGAATTGGAGAAGCACCTCGATTTGATCCGGACTGCTATCGAGAGTCACGAGCAGCCTGATGGTCAAGTCGACTACGAAGTTGTGGCACTCGCGCCTTCGGCGGCAGAAGGCGCTGTTCCGGCGAGTTCTGAGTTGTTGAATCTCGTCGAGGTCGGGACCGGGACGGCGAGACGCCGAAAACGACGCAGCCTCGCAGCCGCAGGTCGTGGTCGTCGACGTCGGGCTCGGGCTGTCGGGCACGACGGGCAGACGGCAGTGGACTGGAGTGGAGGTTTGGAGGTCGGAGGAGGAGGATGAGTAGTCGCCGCCTTCTTCCTTTCCTTCCCTTTGCGTAGCGATTTCAAAAATCCACTCTTCTCTTGGGTTAGCTTAGGTCGTGGACGAGTAGAGGTAGAGCCGTAGAGGCCCCGAGGGTTTTTTTTATGCAATGTATAAGAGTGCATTGAAAATCTTTACTGGTAAGTTTAATGAGATTGTATGAAAATAGATCATATGCGTGAAATTTCGTGAATAATTTATAGTATTGCGTGAAAATATAGCTTTAGTTGGTGAATGGTAATGCCCCACTATAGGATGAGAGACTCTTCTCCTAAAACAAACATACCGTATCATATCATGTGAATTCAACTCTCTGCCAAACCGAAATTAGATCAAATGAACCATTGGATTGAATCGAGTCGAATAATATGATTGATGACCAAATCAGATTAAATGAACTCTTGATCAACTTTGAACCCAACTTTTTTGCCCTATTTCTGGCCTGATCCATTCCATAAATTCGGTTCGATCAGGGAGAGTTTATAATTGATAGTTTGCAAGTTCATGCTTTTGTCGTCTATTCGCATATGGAGTGTAGAACGGCTATCTTTTACACAACTTGTTCTCTATAACTGTGGCGGACGTTGGGATAATGGAATACTCTATTAGAACAGAGGAGAACAGGGGAGCCTCTGTTTCCCAGAGAGAGAAAACCCAGCGATTTTGTTAACAGAGGAATCAGTTCCGGCGAGCAGTTAAATTCATTGTTCATTATTCATCGTCGGACATAAGAATTGGCGTCCGTCGAGGAAGGAAGGACGAAGGAGAAGGATTTTTCTTCACATCTCTCGCTCCTTGTGGGTAATGACGGAAACAACAGATAATTAAGGGATTTATGGCTGGGGAGATACGGGGAACTCCGGCGGCGGCGAGGGAGGTAGAAGGAAATCCCTTAATCGGCGACAAATACCACCATCAGCCTCCGCCGTCCCAGCAGGAGGAAGAGGAGTACGCCAGAGGGCAATCGGCGGGAGAACGAGCGACGGAGCGGCGAAAACCAGCGCGAAAAGTCGAAAATACGGCAGCCCGAAACGTCGAAACGCGGAACGTTTCGAGTCCTCAAAACCAAAATCGAAACGCGAGAAATTGACGATAAATTGAAATTGACGATATGATATATACCACGAGATATCGTGATATTTTGACGATATGTTGACTTTTCCATGATATTTTGACTCTGCCTTTTACCAGACCCTTGCTGCAACGAACAGAGCGGGAAAATGACCGGGAAAGAACAGAGAAATAAGCAGAGCTCGTCGCCGGCGAGCGACCGAAGGCGAAATGAAGATGAATTGCGAAGGGGAGAGCCGAGTAGAGAAGTTGGAGAGAGAAAGCAAATCAATTATCGGCATGGCGGAGGCCGAAATGGAAATTATTCGTATGAGCCCAACGAACGCTCTGCTGGCTATCCCTAGCAATGGCGGAGGACGGAGTGGAAATTCCGTCGGCCGACGAAGGACCAATTTCTCTCTTCTCTCCGTTTTTGACACTCTCTCTTGTCACCTACTGTAAAAATTTCATTCAATCGACATTCATTCACTCATATCATCAATGGAGATGGAGGAAGACGGGAAGTCTAGCCGTGATTTCGATTAAGTTGACCGTTTACCCTACTGAAAAGTCCACGGTAATGTTCAAGCATTTGCCGTTTAGTAATGAACGCGACCATGGAAGCAGACTAAACTGAAGCAACCAAACAAAACGTCTTTCACTATTGAGAAAGGTAAAAAAAAAAAAAAAAGACACTGAAAAACAGAGGAAGGAATCCAAGTGTTCACTACAGTCACAGGACCGGGGGTGTTGCCTTGGACCCCACTCGCTGACCGGTCAGCGAGACCCCCAATTACCAGTCGTAGCGGCTGATAATCCGATTCAAGTCATATCAACACAGAACTTGATCAATTTCAACCTAACCACAGGCTTCTCCCCGTTGCTAGAGTAGATGCATTGTGAATGATTGCCTCTCCATATCGAAAATGGAGGCGAAATACACTAGTAAAATCGGCGGCAGCGACGGCAACGACAGGCTCAGCTTCTTGCCGGACCAAATCATCTCCCATATCCTCTCCTTTATGGAAACCAAGTACGCCGTCGGCACCGCAGTTCTCAGTCGACGGTTGGAAGATCTTTGGACTAGGGTTTCGAATCTCGACCTCGACGATGCTCCAGAATGGGAACATGCTATAGATGAGAGAGAGTGGCAATTTTGGCGCTTCGTCGATAAGGTACTGGGCCAGCACAAGAATCTCAACGCTCTTAGTCGATTCCGCTTCCATGTTTCGGTGCGGTATAATCACTCTTTCGAGGTGCTTGGTAGTACCAGCTTTAAGAGAGAACTGGTGTTTGGTCCTCCAATTGAGGAGATTGATATTAACATTGACGGGGGAACTGAATCAGGAATCCCCCAGTGTTTGCGCTGCATTCCAGAGAACTTCTACACTCTGAAGAATCTGAAAGTTGCCAAGCTTTCGGGGGTTGTACTGGGTGCAATAAACCTGTCCGTTTTCCTTCCTAGTGTAAAGATTTTACAGCTTTCACATGTCAAGATGAAGGACTTTGAGTCATTGGGCAGGCTCATTTCTGGTTGCCCTGCACTAGAGACTCTTCATCTGGAGACTTGCAAGTTGCAACCCTTCTAACAAGAATGAGAAAGACAGAATTGAGGTTTCCTTACCCTGCTTGAAGATCTTGAAGATTAGTGAATATAAGAATTATGACGATCCCATGTGTCCCATTGTTATTGAAGGGCCGAATCTTGATGATTTCTATCTTGAGTACTTCGTGGAGTTACAGTTTAAGGGCAAATCTCCATTGTCATGCCTTCATCTCATCTGGCACATGTTGATGTTGGCAAGGAGTGTCGAACCTCGTACCATAACGTGATTCGGCTCCTTTGTCAAATCTCAAATGCAAAGAAACTGTGCTTAACTAAGGAGACTCTGGTAATAGTGTCCACTGTTTTCTTTCCAGTGTCTAATTTTTTATTTATTAGAGTGCTAATCTTTCTTAACTTTCCTTTCAACAGAGTCATCTGTCTGCTGCCAATGACGTTCAACTGCCTTTCTTTCCCAATTTGACACAATTGACGATTGGATTCGGGCAATATGGACCCAGTAGCTGCTTTCTGCACTCTTTGCTAAATTCAGCCTTCAAACTACAATCTCTTGTCATTGACATGGTGAGTCTCGTGTTCATTTGATTATGATATTCCTTCAAAAACTTCTCTAATGGATCTCTTAATGAAGCAGAGCAATCACGGAGTACCAATGTGGGAGAGTTTGGACATTGCTTGCACACCACAGTGTTTGTTATCAAGCCTGGAGGAAATCGAGATCAAGGATCTTGTAGGATATCCTGAAGATGAGGAGATGATAGCATATTTGCTCAAGGCTGGAGCTGGCTGTATTGAACAAGGTGAATATGTACATAGCTAGGTTTTTTCCTGCATTCATAGACCCCAAAGATCTCGTCTCGCTACTAAAGCTTCCAAGAGGATCGAGCACTTGCAAAGCCAAGCTTTTCTTTCCCTTGGACGACGATACCTATATTGATTGTGATGACGAGAGCAACACTGACAACAACATAGATGATGATGACACTGGCAACACTGATGACAAGATCGACAGCGAAGATGACTCCAGCAACAATGAAGAGGATTCTCTCTGAAGCATTTTGGTCGGCAAGCAATAGCACGATAAACTGCTTCTTGATCTGGTTATATCCTAATTCACTTTTGTAAAGATTCTTATCGGCCCTCCGTTCTTATTTAGAGTAATGGTTTTTGGATGCATATTACTGTGGCATTGTTGGATCATTCGGTGCCGAACAGAATGTTTTTTGCTCTTGTCTAGATCGCTTCATAAGCTTGCTTTTCCTCCAAGTTGACTACAAGAAGTATCAATTTGAGGTTTCCCCAGGTTCTGTGTTTGCGGAACGTGGAATGGTGTCGGATAAATGAAGTATTGATCACCTTGTTTCTGTCATATGAATGGTGTTTTATAGACAGACTAGTTTGATCCAAAACTGGACCAAATTGAGAATATTAGGGAGGGGGAACATGCTTCTTGAAACTCTTCCGTCTTCAGCTTCTTCAGCATTTGGGAAGATCGCCGGGCGGCGGCAAAAGCGATTGATTGGGGCCTTTCCCATTATCCACCAAGAACGCCATCTTCAATCCCCAGGTCGTGTGGATTTCGAGATGGCAATGCATAAACCAGACTCCTGGGTTATCAGCCCGGAACCGAATGGCGACCCACCCGCCCGTAGGCACTCCGATGGTATTCCTTTCAACAGGGTCGACCAGATTGAACTTCTTCGGATCCGTTTTCGGGTTGTAGTTCCCGATTCCTCTCCCCACCGCGAAGAAATTGAATCCGTGGAGATGGATCGGGTGGTTCTCCGGCGAGACGATCCCGGTGTCCTGCATCACCAGCTGGACCGTCGAATTGTAAGCCAACCTGTAAACTTTCGTCCCCTTAGTGGTCGCCAGGTTCGCCGGCGGGGTTCCCGTGTAGTTGAAGACGTGGGGCGGGTTGGCCGGGAAATCGGTGGTGAAGACGCCTTTCTGTTTGAAGAAATGCGCCTGAAGTAGAGCCGTGGTGGGCATTACAAATGTGACGTTGTTAATGCTGGCGACCACTCTTGTGCCGTTCCCGGCTTTGCAGCTCGGGCACCGGTTGATTCCCAGCCCGACGGTGAAGAACAGGTTGTGGTCGACGTTCTTCGGGACGGCGGCGGGGAATTTCTTGGAGTTGAGGCTTCGGAGCGAGTTTGTGAACTTGTTGGCCACTGCGGTGGCGTTCTGCGGAGGTGGGATCGTCAGGGTCGTTTGGGCGCTGGACAGTGTGCCGGCGTAGCTCACGGTGGCAGTGGCTGTTCTGTTGTCGACCGGGATTGGAGCGTCCATGAACGGCGAGGCGGCAACCAGGTACTTTCCTGAACTCTGGTCTGCTGAAACCAGGACGTTTGTCGTTTGTCCTGGCGCGATTAGGACTGTGTCGGTTTTGAATGGTTTGACATAGGTGGCATCGACCTCCACTACTGTAAGTTTGTGACCGGCGATTTTGAAGAAGAGCTCTTCATTGAGTGCAGCGTTGATTAGCCTTAGCATGTACGTCTTCCCTGCTTGGACTGGCAATGTGAAGCCTCCTGGAAATTTGAAAATTAAGTGTTGAGAGTTTCAGATTCTGATGGTTAGAAGTCTAGAATTTTTTTTGCTGCATGTTCTGTAGAAGATATGTACCTTGCGAGGCGCAGTTCGAAATAGGACCAGGATGACCATTGATTGTGTGGGCATCAGAGACATTTGGTGCTGATCCTGATTTTATGGCTTCATTGATCACAGCTTCTGTGTCTGATTTCCACCATTCCCCTGCATTTCACATTCCCATTTCATTATTGCCTGAGAAACTCTTTCTCTAAGTGACATTCAGGCTTTATTGTGTTTACAGGAACTTCAGGTTGTACCTAATACCACAACCACTTCTTTGTGGGGAGCTGGGAATGGGTAAGGAACGCCCAGTTTGGGCAGAATGACAATACCACCATGGACGGTAGCCCTTAGCCAGAGGATGTGCGCGTGCCAAAGAAGTGTTCCTCTTTGCCCGGTTACGGTGAAGTTATAAAGATAGCTCTGCCCTGGCTGGATAGGGCATTGTGTGATGTATGCAGGTCCATCAGCCCAACCAGTCCTCAGCTGCCTGATCCCATGCCTGCGTAGATATATTTCGAAAGGGTAAGTAAGGCTCCCTCTTTCTTTCTTTCTTTTCCTTAGCTGCAAACTAGCTTTCAGGATTTGGTTGATTGTGTTTCTGTCAACTTACCAGTGAATGGAAACGTTGTATTTGACATGGTTGACGACTCGTACTAGCACCGTATCATCTTCCCTAGCATAGAGAGTTTGCCCTGGGAATCTGCCATTCACTGTGACAATCGGCTTGCTCGAACATAGCTTCCTAGTGTTTTTCATTACAACCTGAAAAGTAACATTGGTAAAATCTGTTGGATTGCAGCTTTAACTGTAGCTGCTAGTGGACTTGAACTTCCTGCACTTTCCAAATTAACCGACAGTGTCGATGAAATTAATGGCGAAACGAGTCAAATGACGGTTACCTTGAAATTGTAGTGACGAACTGCACAGTCTACGAAAGCTGGAAGGAAGCAGACCAGAACGAAAAGGAAACGAAGAGAGGAACAAGCCATTGCTGCTGTCTCTATTGATTCTGTAAGTGGCTCCTCCTGGATATTTAGTTCTTTCTACTTTGATGCTTTGCTTTTGCTGTGAATGGGTTGCTCTCCACATGAAATCTTATAAAGGGGAGATCAATGGAGGCATGACAATCCTGCTGCTGCTGCAGAAATGTCATTGTTGTTCTGTTTGGTTGGTGATTAGAGGGATTTGCTCATTCTTGCAGAATTCCTATTTTTGCTGTTGATTTGTTCCCTTCAAGATTACATAAAGTCACCTGAGACTTCTTCTTATAGCTATGTTCTGGAATTTCGGATAATCTTGGCAGTAATTGGTTGTTTAGTGGGTGAACTTGGAGTTTTAATAATTCAGCTCCAAAACTTGGGGTACCCACTAGCAGGCAAGGAATGAAACCGCAACTAGTGTCGGGTCCTTGCTTCTGTTGAGATGTCCTAGTACTAGTAGATTCCTAGTCAAATTACAACCTGCCACCTAATTTTGAGAAGGGGAAAAAGATAGTTTTATTAGAATATGCTAAGTCAATTCTCGTTTTTTTTTTTTTTGTTTGTTTGTTATTTCTGCTGTTTGGAATTTAACATATCCTAATGGAGTTTAAGGACACGTGAGATTGTAATAGTGAGAGAATTAGAAAGTACGTATTGTAATTTGTAAATAAGTCTTAATGAACAGTGAATAAGTCTTAATAATATCTCTCAAGTCTTGATGGTAAACTGTCAGTATTCTTCTACCTGGTTTTGATTTGCTTAGAACTGAAAACTGCTTAAAAACTATAATTGCTTGCCCAAACACACAATTTGGTTCAGTTAGATGAGAAAATAGGCATATCACTACCTTTCAGGCCTGTTGAATTGCCCGGCCCATGATTGGCTAAGTTGTTGACTGGGCCTAACACTACCTTTCAGGCCTGTTGAATTGCCCGGCTTAATTGCAAGTTTGGTTACTCAAATTGCTTTAAAATTTCACGTTTGCCACTCAAATTAATTTATTCCATTTGTAGTCACTCTAATTAGTTGAACAGTTCAAGTTCGGTCACTCTCCGTTAACCTCCGTTAACTTTGACTGACGTGGCGGTCAACTCTAACTGTTGACCGTTAAATGTGTGACGTGGCAAATAAAAAATGATTAAAAATAAAAATTAAATTTTTAAAAATTACACATCATTATAAAAAAATTATAATTATAAAAATTAAATTTTTAGAAATTGACACACAAAAACTTAACCTTGCTAGAGAGTCTTGGCCACATCGATCACAAATCGGTACTTAACATCACCCTTCTCACGGCGCTGAATCGCCGTGTTCACATAATCTGCCGATATAACCTCGATATCCGCCGTGATGTTGTGCTTCGCCGCGAAATCGAGCATCTCTTGCGTCTCCTTCATTTCCCCAATGCAGCTCCCCCCTACAATCTTCCTTCCTGCAGTTCACACATGCCAAACAGTTACCCAAAACGCCAAAAAAAAAAAAACCTTCACAAGAAGAAGAAGTTGAAAGCATCTCTCCATCATTATTCATTACCCATCAGCAGAGGGAAAACCGGCAACTCAAGCGGCTTCTCCGGCGCACCGACCAGCACCAACTTCCCGTGCGTCTTCAACAGCCCAATCAATGGCATTATTGGGTGTACCGCTGAAACCTCTGTGTTCCCCTTCCTCCAACCCATCCCCTCTCCCCCGCACCACCTCCGACCACCGCCATGTCGCCGGCAATTCCAAACTCCCACCCCCAAACCCCTTCTTCTGCTCTAAACCCCAACGCACCGCCTTTTAACAACCCACCGGCGCCTCGCCGCTCAACGCCGCTCGCTCTTCTTCCCTCTCCTCCGACCAAGACCCAAACCCACACCGACGCCAAAATTTCGCCTCTCCCTCTCAAACCCACCGCCGCCGGCGATCATTCCCATGCCTTCTTCTATCACCCGGCTGTAATCCCCAACCCTAATCGACTCTTCTTCTACTACTACTGCTACCCTCTTCCTCATACACAGCCCAATGTGCTCCATCCTTCCCCGGTCTACATGAACAACAACAACTATTACCACTCTGGAGGCTTCAGGCCGATTGCCATTTGCCCACAGCCATCCCCACCGCCGCTCATTCTGAATCACAGTACGGAGACCGTTCCCGTTCCCGTCCCCGAACCCAAGCCGTTGCCCACTACTGTTGTGCCTAATAATGGTGGGGATAGGGCTCTGATAATTTTTAGAAATTTTTTATAATTATAATTTTTTTTAATAATGATGTGTAATTTCTAAAAATTTAATTTTTATTTTTTAATTATTTTTTATTTGCCACGTCACACATTTAACGGTAAACTGTCAGAGTTGACCGCCACGTCAGTCAAAGTTAACGGAGGTTAACGGAGAGTGACCAAACTTGAAATGTTCAACTAATTAGAGTGACTACAAATGGAATAAATTAATTTGAGTGGCAAACGTGAAATTTTATAGCAATTCGAGTGACCAAACTTGCAATTAAGCCCACACAATTTGGTTCAGTTAGATGATAAAATAGGCATATCACTACCTTTCAGGCCTGTTGAATTGCCCGGCCCATGATTGGCTAAGTTGTTGACTGGGCCTAACACTACCTTTCAGGCCTGTTGAATTGCCCGGCCCATGATTGGATTCCAGCCTGGCCCACGATCATTTCCCCCGCCGATCAGCCTTCTTATCTTCACCATTCACTTGGCATTTGCCGACAACTTCCATTATTTCTCTTCTACTACCCTCCGTCTCGGGTTTCCTTGGCCAGTAGATGGAGACGAAGAAGACTCGGAAAATCGCGAGCACGGAGCTGGGAATCGACGCCACCGACAGGCTCAGCTCTTTGCCGGACGAAGTCATCTCCCAAATCCTCTCTTTCCTGCAAACCAAGTACGCCGTCGGGACCGCCGTCCTCAGCCGACGCTGGAAGGATCTCTGGACTAGGGTTTCGAATCTCGATCTCGACAATGAATTGATATACCAGCCAGCGCCAGGTAACATTGCTTTCCAGAGCTTGCCGTTGGATGAACAAGAGAAATATAAAGAGGGTAGTTTACCCGCGCTGGAGGTTTTAGGGAGGAGACTCTTGGAATTCTCCCGCTTCGTCGAAAGGGTCCTGAGCCATCACAAGGATCTAAATTCTGTGAGGCGTTTCCGATTCCATTGTTCAATAGGGGTTCGTGAAGGGGAATTGAGGCCTGGGTTTTGGTTTACGAGGGAATGGGTGTTTGGTCATCTGCTTGAGGAGATCGACATAGTGATTGAAGGGCAGATTGCTGGAGTCGGTGGACGCTACCTTCCACAGAACTTCTACACTTTGAAGAATCTGAGAGTTGTGAAGCTTAAAGGGGTTATACTGAGTTCAGCAAAAGCGTCCATTTTCCTTCCTTTCCTTCCTAGTGCGAAGATCTTGCAGCTTCGGAACGTGGTCTTTCCGGACTTCGAGTCCTTGAGCTGTCTCATTTCTGGCTGCCCTGTTCTAGAGACGGCAATTCTGGAGGGTTGCTTTGTGCCGCACAATGAGCAAAACATTCTCATGGTTTCCTTACCATACCTGAAGACCTTGAAGATGATTGAATTTGGCAACACCTGTATGTGTCCCATCGTAATCGAAGCACCAAATCTTGAAGAGCTTCATCTCGAGGAGTTTGCAGAGATAAAGTTTGTGGGTAGTAGTACATTGTCATGCCTTCATTCTGCACATGTTGATGTTGGTCGGTGTGACGGCTGCTCGAATCATGTACTTTATGGGATCCTCCAACAAATTTGCAATGCGAAGAAAATGTTCCTGTCTGGGAAAACTATGGTAATCCATACTTACCGCACTCTTTTTTTCCCCCCGACTGATTGTTCGATTTGGCTAACAAGAAGCGCTAATTTCATCTGCTCTTTGTTTCAGAATCTTCTGCGAGTCAGCAATCATTTGCCACTGCCTATCTTTCCGAAGTTGACACATTTGACGATCGGAAATGGAGGGCGCAGTCGGAGTTTGCACTCCTTTCTCAACTCAGCATCCAAACTACAATCTCTCATTAACTTGGTGAGTCCCCATGTTCATTTGTTAATTGGGATCATCCTTCCATGGTTTCTCATAACGTACATATATGATGAAGCAGGGGATCCCTTTTTGGAACATGGAGTGGGGGGTATTGGAAACCTCTCGGACTCCCGAGTGTTTGTTATCGAGTCTCGAGGAAATAGAGATCAAGGATCTTGTAGCACATGAAGACCATAGGAAACTGATAGCGTATCTACTCAATGCTGGAGCTGTCCTGAAGAAGATGGATATTCATATAAAGGAGTATATTCTTAACATTAAAAAACGCGAATTTTTTGCGTCACTGCTAAAACTGCAGAGAGGGTCGAGCCATTGTGAAGCTCGTGTTTTACTTGCCAACAACGAAGAGATCCGCATCAGTAGCGACAATGAGACTGGTATTGACTAAAAAATTGGATGACTGACTTTGACGACATTGATGTCACGATCCACAACGAGGTTGATGGGGAGGAGGAGACTCTGAAAGCATGGTGGTGGGCAGGATTCAGCCTCTGAGTAAACTGATGATTTGCATATTCTTACCCTAGTGGCCAAGAGTTTTATTCTGATGATTATTGATATGGATTCAAAATCATAGGATAATTGTGGATTCGTGTTCCCTTTTTGGAGTGGTTTGTTTGGATGCATATAAGACTTTGTGGAGGAGAGATTACACTCGTGTCTAGATTGCTTCCTGCTTCATTTTTTCTCCTTGGTTTTTGTGTGTTCTTAGCCGTGTGTTGTAAAATCGTGTATACAGGCTTTAGTGGTATGGAAGTATGTAACGGATGAACAATGGTTAAATCACGATTTTAATATAAGAATTCCTACCCTGATTTTTTTTTTTTTTTTGTGTTATTGCTTCAGGTTATGGTTTTTTCTGCTATAACTTCAGTTACGGTTTTATAATCATTGGTTATTAACTTATTACAACTTGTACATCCAAGCATTTTCATGAACCTTACATCGATTATGATCAAGCTGTTATTAGTAATATTTTCAGAATTTTTTCGTGGAGTCAAACATTGCAAGTTTTTGCTCATAGTGATCCTTCAATAGTTGTTTTTTTTATGACTAATGCATGTGTCGTCAAGCTAAATCTTGCAAGTTTTTTCACAATTACCTTTCAATAATCTCTTATGAATTATGGACATCTTCTATACTTTATCGATGTAAGATTTGATATCCCCCAATAATATATAGTACACTTTTGTGTACTTTCCTCTATTTCAAATTTCCTGCAACGAGAGTGAAAGTAGGAAGGACATTTTTGTCTTTATAATTATTTATCTCACATTATTAAAAATATCAACATCAGGATTTGAACTAGGGTCTCTTCAAACAAAGACAATAATCACAACCATTTACACTGAACAAATTTGTTGTGTTATTTTGAATATAAAATATACACGAAGTTCAACTCTCTGAAAATCGCAGGACTTTCCATCATGATTAGCAAGCCAAGTAAGTATACCGTATGTATTCTTATGGTGCTTGATACTTCAATTTTCATAGTAGAGTTTCATGTCATTTTCTCAATTTTAAAATTCTTTCTCTCTCCTTAATTTTTGCTAAAGGTAAATTGATAATTGGCTACCATGGAAAAAACTAATTTTGTCACTACGTGTGTGTCTTTGCATTTTTCAATTAAATTTTGTGATTTTTATCTTTGTTTTTATCTCTTTCTAACTTCCTCGAAAATTTCCTTCATCGTACGATAGTTTGCACCCCTTTCACTTCCCAGTACAAGGCCGCCTTTGAAAATCGATCATCCGGTATCTCTTGGCACGCGATTTTATTGTTGGGGATTCAAGTTGGGAAAGTAAAAGAGTTTAATCAATAATGGAGTTGCAGAAGGAGGATTCGAAATTGAATTTACGGTTGAAATATATGTCTCTACTCTCTTGAGATAAAAATTTGGTTGTACAACAAAGAGTGGTGGCTATTGGATTTTTATGTTTATGATTTTTACATCTATCGCAACCTATTTCTATCTTAAAACGAGGAATCATTGATTGATTTATTGAAGTAGGTCGATTCTTTATTCAACCTACTGGAACTGATAGACAAGGAGTGTGTCATTTTGTGCATTATTACTTTGATTGAGTCTATTAGTATGTTGGAGATAACCCCAATTTTGTCGTTTGCTCTCAAGTTTTGATGGTCCCCTCTTAGCTGAGTTGTTAGTATATAGTTGGCTTGAATCAACAACTCTCCATTTCTTTTTGATTAGTGGCATATTGTTCATTAATGGAGCACATTAAATCCTTATGTAGGATTGTGAGGTGATTTAGTTTCAAACTATCTAATGGTCATTTGGAATTTCACTGAGCTTTTATACCCTCTTTCTTGACAATCAACTAACCAATAGTATTTTAATGAGGGCTTAATTATCATTATGAAAATGGAATTAATGATACATTTTATATTTTATATTCTTAAATGATGAAAATGGTATTTTATCATTATGAAAATGGTATTTCTCCGAATGTTAGACCTACATATTCTTTCTTTATGTATCATCTCGATCGAAGGATTGTCAATCATTTTATATTCTTAAATGATGAAAATGGTATTTCTTCGAATGTTAGACCCACATATTCTTTCTTTATGTATCATCTCGATCGAAAGATTGTCAATAAAATTAAACCGGTTGATTGGCTTAAACATAATATAAAAATATAAATAATCAAATAAGAACATTCCGACCAATGGGCCGGGTTATAAGCTAGTTTGAATAATGGACATCTTCCTTCTTCTTCTTGGTTGACAATAAGTGTGAGAAGAGGTAGGCAATTTGATACGGAATGGACCTCTAGTATATGGATTCCACCTGATTGTTTACATTTCTGGCCTGTGATGTAGCCCGGTCCGGTCTCCCTTCCGAGCCCACGATTGTAGTCCAGCGAGGCCCTCATTTGCCAATTTCCCCCCTCCGTTTTGCCTTCTTTTCCGTTCAGTTGCCAGTTGCCGAACTTTCCATTTTCCCCCGTCTCAGTTTCGTCTGCCAGTCCGGGAAATGGAGAAAACCACTCCCAAAATCGCGAGGACAGAGCCGGGAATCGACGCCGACGACAGGCTCAGCTTCTTACCCGATGAAGTCATCTCCCACATTCTCTCGTTCCTGCAAACCAAGTACGCCGTCGGAACCACCGTCCTCAGCCGCCGGTGGAAGGATCACTGGGCTAGGGTTTCCAACATCGATATCGACAACCACTTGGTTTACAAGCCTCTGAGCAGGAAGATGGCCATCCTGAGCTTGCCGCAGGATGAACCGTTGAATTACGAGGGTGGACGGAGAGATTTTGAATTCTGGCGATTCGTCGACAAGGTACTGGCGCAGCACAAGAATCTCAATTCTGTTAGGCGTTTCCGCTTGCATTTCTCTAATTGGTACCGGGAGGTGCTTTATCATACTAGGTTTGATAGAGAATTGGTATTTGGTCCTCCAATTGAGGAGATTGATGTTAGTATTTGCGTACAAACAGTAGATGGAGCTCCCGATTATATGCCTTGCATTCCAGAGAACTTCTACACTTTGAAGAATCTGAAAGCTGTGAAGCTTCACAGGGTTATGATGAATGCAGCAAAAGGGTCTGTTTCCCTTCCTAGTGTGAAGATTCTACAGCTTCGTTATGTGACGATGAAGAACTTTGAGTCACTACGCAGGCTCATTTCTGGATGCCCTGTACTGGAGACTCTTCATCTGGACAATTGCTACCCTAATAGGAATGAGGAAGACATAATCGATGTTTCCTTACCATCCTTGAAGAACTTGAAGATTTGTAACTATGCCGATGAATTCGAATCTATGATGTGTCCCATTGTAATCGAAGCACCAAATCTCGAGGAACTTTATCTTGAGCAGTTTACAGAGCTACAGTTTAAGGGCAGTATTTCTTTGTCATGCCTTCATTCGGTAGATGTTGATTTTGGCTTTGACTGTGAAGCCGCTTACCATGACCTGGTTCAGCTCATCGGTCAAATCTCCACTGCAAAGAAAATGCGCTTATCCCAAAGCACTCTGGTAATAAGGTCAACTTTTTTCTTTCCATTTATCTAATTTTGTTCGAAAGAGCTCTAATTGTTAATCTTTTTACAGTATCGTCTGTCATTTTGCGATGATGTTAAACTGCTTGTATTTCCCAAGTTGATACATTTGACGATTGGAATGGGGGGCAGTAGCTGGCTTCTGCACTCCTTGCTCAAATCAGCCTCCAAACTACAATCTCTTGTCATTGACCTGGTGAGTTTCCCGTGATCATATGTTAACTGGAATCTACCTTCCTCAAGTTTTCTGATGAATATCTACATGAAACAGGACGATCACAATGGACGACCAATTGAGTGGGAGAGTTTAGAAACTGCTCCCGCCCCAGAGTGTTTGTTGTCAAGTCTGGAGGTAATCGAGATCAAGGAACCTATAGAGTTTGAAGATGATTGGAAAATGGTGGTATATTTGGTCAACACTGGAGCTGTCCTGAAGAAGGTGAATATGCACCTAAAGAGTTCTGCTCGTGAAACTGATCGTGAAATGGTGGCCTTCTTAGATTTGGAGTCACTGCTAAAACAGTCTAGAGGGCCGAACCGTTGGGAAGCTCATCTTTTCCTTCCCAATAACAAAGTGAACCGCATCTATAGGGACGATGAGATTTACATTGGCGAAGAGTTGGATGATGATTTCGATGAGGCTGATGATGTGACAGATGCTGACTACAACATTAATGTCAAGACGAAGATGAATTCGACGACGAAGAGGGGGGACTCTGAAGCATGATGGTGGGCAGGAAGGAGGGGTTGAAAAACATGATGAACTGCATCTTATGTAGTCTATCTTGGTTATATTGTTCAGCTCGTAGGTTGTTGTTATCTGAGGTGGTGGTTCCTTCTGGGACTCTGATGAATCCTCTGGAATGATGAACTATAAGAAGAACTTGCTTTGCTCTAAGATGAACTATAAGAAGATGAAATGTTGGCTTGAAGTGAAGGACTGAAGGAGTGATCACTGTGGTTTTCTGGTCTTGTGTACCTGAGAATTGAGATAAGTTGGTAGCATCCATTTCTAATGTTCTCTATTCAGTCCGGTCAAATACCACGGCCCGGGCCCAATATTCGACTTCATCCAGGCCCATATCCTCCGTTCACTTGCCAAGCACTCCCAAGTCTTAACGCGCTACCTGTCTGCTCTCGTTTCCCAATTTTCCCGTCTCCCGTCTCTCAGTTCCACTTAGCCAGTGCGTAGATGGAGACGACGACGACCGCTGCTGAAATGGCGAAGCCAAAGCCGGCAATTGACGCCGACGACAGGCTCAGCTCTTTGCCGGACGAAGTCATCACTCACATCCTCTCTTTCCTGCAAACCAAGTACGCCGTCGGAACCGCCGTCCTCAGCAGACGCTGGAAGGATCTCTGGACTAGGGTTTCAAATCTCGATCTCGACAACGGCTTGATAGACCAGCCAATGCCAGGTAACGTCGCCTTCCAGAGCTTGCCGCTGGATGAACAAGAGAAATATCTGGATGGTAGTTTACCCGCGCTGGAGGTCTTAAGGAGCAGACTCTTAGAATTCTCCCGCTTCGTCGACAGGGTTCTAAGCCAGCACAGGAATCTCGATTCTCTTAGGCGTTTCCGCTTCAATTGTTCAATAGGGATTCGTGAACGGGAATTGAGGCCTGGGTTTTGGTTTAGGAGGAAATGGGTGTTTGGTCCTCTTCTTGAGGAGATCGACATGGTGATTGAGGGAGACACTGCTGGAGTCCACTTTCCCCTAGGTATACACCACCTACCACAGAACTTATACACTTTGAAGAATCTGAGAGTTCTGAAGCTTGAAGGGGTTTCACTGGATTCAGCAAAAACGTCTATCTTCCTTCCTAGTGCGAAGATCTTACAGCTTCGGGAAGTTACCTTTTGGAACTTTGAGACATTGAGCAGCCTCTTTTCTGGCTGCCCTGCTCTAGAGACGGCTATTCTAGAGGGTGGAACTTTTGTGCACGGTGAGCAAGACATTCTCATGGTTTCCTTACCATCCCTGAAGAAGTTGAAGATGATTCGATTTGGCAAGAATTATGCGTGTCCCGTTGTAATCGAAGCACGAAATCTTGAGGAGCTCGAACTTCAGGAGTTTGCAGATGTAAAGTTTGTGGGCAGTAGTACACTGTCATGCCTTCTTTCAGCAAATATTGATATTGGCCGGTCAGATAGCTGGGCTGATGTACTGCATGGGGTCCTCAATCAAATTCGCAATGCAAAGAAAATGTTCATAACTGGGAAGACTATGGTAATCAACATCCCCCCGTTCTTCCCAAAGCTCCACTCATTGTTTCGACCGATTGTTCAATTTGGCTGATAAAACCGCTAATTTTGTTTCAGGATCTTCTTCGAGTTAGCAATCGTTTCCTTCGTTTGCCACTGCCTATTTTTCAGAAGTTGACACATTTGACGATCGGAAATGGAGGGCACAGTCGAGTTTTTTACTCCTTGCTCAACTCAGCCTCCAAATTACAATCTCTTATCATTAACTTGGTGAGTCCCCATTTCATTTGTTAATTGGGATCTTCCTTCCATAGTTTCTCATCGTGTATATGTACGATGAAGCAGGAATCCTCCATTTGGGACATGGAGTGGGAGATGTTGGAACATTTTTCGACGCCCGAGTGTTTGTTATCGAGTCTCGAGGAAGTAGAGATCAAGGATTTTCCACGATGTGAACATCATAGGATAATGATAGCATATCTGCTCAAGGTAGGAGCTGTCTTGAAGAAGATGGATATTCATGTGAAAGAGTATAATTTTGACATAGAAGATCACAAAGATCTTGCGTCACTGTTAAAACTGCCAAGAGGGTCGAGCCATTGTGAAGCTCGTGTTTTACTTCCCAACAACGAAGAGATCAGCATCAGTAGCGACAATGAGGCCTGTATTGACGTACAGATGGACGATGATTTCGATGTTGGTGACAACACGGATAACTAACTTTGACGACATTGATGACAAGATCCACAATGAGGTGGGTGAGGAAGAGGAGACTTTGTTGAAGCATGTTGGTGGGTATGAAGGAGCCTCTGAGTAATGTGATGAATTGCATATTCTTACAAGAGTCTTATTCTGATGACATGGATTCATTCAACTCAGGATAATTTTGGATTCATGGTCTTTTTTGGAGGAGTGGTTTGGATGCATATAAGGCTGTGACTTTGCTGCATCCTTGTGTCGAGCCATTGTGAAGCTCGTGTTTTACTTCCCGCTTGGCACTATTTGTAGCCCTATAAAAGGGTGTGCATGTTATAGTCTTAACTTAGAGAAAAGGAAAGCTACACTAAGTCAATCGACCTGGTACGATACAAGTAACAACTGATAACCTGATGTATACAGAACAACTCGATAAATATCGAGTGAGAGACCCCACTTTTGCAAACCAATACCCTAGGCAATGCCCTTAACCTTCCATGGATTCTGATCAGAAGCTCGGTAGTGACAGGTGCATATTCTCCTCTAAGCTGGCATTAGTAAAATTTTCAGCTTGTTCTGTCGAGCTAAACCCTGGAAGTTTCTGCTCGCAGTTGCTCTTCAGCATTTCTCGTAGCCTCGCTACGTAAGACCACCGACCACCAGAAGCATATATGTTTGACAGAAGAGTATAGCTTGCTGGCTCATTCGGCTCCAGTTCAAAAAGCTTGTCTGCAGCTAGTTTTGCTAATCTTGATTCCCCGTGGGTTTTACAAGCACCAACGAAGGCTCCCCATGCGTCTGATCCATTGCGAATTGGCAACGACGTTAGAGCATCAAAAGCGGCGTCCATGAAACCAGCTCGACCAAGAAGATCAACGAGGCAGCAGTAGTGCTCAATGCCAGGGCAAAGTTGATACTTTTCAACCATTAAATTGAAGTAATGAATCCCTTCGTTCACTAGCCCGGCATGGCTGCAAGCAGAAAGCACTCCAAGAAAGGCGATTTCATCCGGGCTCACGCCACCAGACACCATCTTCTCAAACATCTCAATACTATATCTTGGGAAGTTATGAAATCCGAAGGCATGGATCAGGGCAGTCCAACTGACCAGGTCAGGCTCTAAAACAGAGCTCAAACAAAGCAGTGCACAGCCGATTCTTCCGCTTTTGGAATATGCATCAATCAAAGAAGCTTGAACCGATGGAAATGCTTGAAACCCTTTATTTATAACGTACCCATGGATTCTTGTGATCTCAGAGAAGGATGATGATGCATAGCTACATGAGCTGATAGCACTGGAGATGGTTAATTCATCTGGGACGAACCCCTGCTGCAACATTTCCATCAGAAGCTTCACTGCTGCATCTCCTTCTCCATGCTGTCCATAACCAACAATCATCGTATTCCAAGAGACTACATTTCTGGCAGGCATCGCATCGAAAGCCATGCGAGAATCAGCCAGACATCCATTCTTTGCATACATATCAATAACTCCACTACCCACCAGAACATCCGAATCGAGAGACAACTTTATGATCAGGCCATGAACTTGTCTTCCTACCTCAACAAATCCTAGAGCCCCACAGGAATTCAGCAAACTAGAAAACGAGAAACCATCCCCATTCAGATTCGCCCTGCGCATGGAGCTGAAGACCAGGAAGGCATCTTCTGGCAAGCGATTCAAGGCATAGCAAGACAGCATCACATTCCACAGCACCAAATCTCTGCACAATACCCCGTCAAAAGCACGCCTCGCTTCCTTAGGAAATCCGAATTTCGAATACAGATCAACCACAGCACTAACAGCGAAACAATCGAACTCAAACCCTAATTTGACCACGAAACAATGCAACTGTCTCCCTGTCTCAATTACATCAAGCTCAACGCAAGCACCGAGCAACGCGTTGAGCGTTATGGAATCCACAGGGAAGCTCTCGATCAACATCCTCCTCAAGTACACGAAGCAGGCAGACACACTCAAGCCGTCCCCGCTGCTGCGAACGACCCCACAGATCATCGTGTTCCATGTCACGACATTTTTCACAGGCATTTCGTCGAACAGCTGGTGACCACCATCCTTCAGGCTTTTACACTTCACGTAAACGTTCAAGAGGTGGTTCTGCAGAGACAGAACGCTGCATATTCCCAACTTCACTGCCCTCGCGTGTGCTTGAGTTCCTTGAAGAAGAGAACCCGTTCGAGCAGAGAGTTTGAGGGCCTCGGAGCAGGAAGACAGCGAGGAATGGAAATCCCTTGATTGAGCTGACTTGGGTAGACTCGTTGAGTATCTGAGCCGACCAGATAACAGAAGGGAGAGCGATTTGAATTGGAGAGCGGTGGCTGCTCGTCGGCGCATTCAGTTGGATGGAATGAGATCCGACGGAAGAGGAATTGGCGGGAAACTTCGTAACAGACATTTCTAAACAAAGCGAAGATCAGAGTGAGAGTGGCGCGAATGGAGAAACCAGCACTAAATTTCCAACCGAACATTGGATATTTAGAAAGGTGTAAATCTTACATTTTAATCCCTCTAGTCAGATACTCTTAACAAACAAGTCTTTCTACAAAACATTTTAACATATGAGGTTTTCAATTTTTGTCCTATTTCGTCACATATATCTAAAAGGATCTTAAAATAACAATAGTTCATATTATAATTTTTCAAATCGTAGTCAATCCAGCAGATTGGAACAGGTCTGATTAGAGTCTGTGTTAAAAGCGATATCCAGAAAAGTTATTTTGCCTCCAAATCAATAGCTTGTCAAAATTGTAAAAAACGGTTATCTTATTGGATTGACCGATTTTCGACTCTTAGACATAATGTTACGTTTGACTCTTTAACAAACCTTATTCTGGAAAACGAAACCTCTAGAAGCTACTTTTAGAGTCCTATAATATATTGATTGTTTAGTTATTATATGACACATATCAAATTAACATTCAGATTACCGAAACTTTAATTATTACCTTTTATATATATATATATATATATATATATATATATCTACAATCTTTACAAATATTAAAGCACTTTTAGAATTACACCACTGCCACGTACCCCTTCCTGCAATTAGAAGATGTCCACGTCAGCCTCTTCATACGTTCCGCCCTCTATCATGATTCCGGTGAACTACTCTGCCCCTAAAAAAACCTCCACACTTTTTCTCCTTCATCCTTCCCTGTATCTGTTATCCGCCCGCCGCCTGCTCCAATCCAACCTCTCTGCAGCCTCCAGATTCCGCCACCAATTAGCGTCTTGCACCACTCCGAAGTCGAGCCCGTGGAAATCATCCATTCACACCGTCAAATTATCCCTCATAGCTTGCGCCAGTCTAGATTCGTCATGATCGATCAGTCTGTGGCCACGATTTATAACCCTGAAATCTCAATATGCCTTCTGTTCCATTTGATTGAATCTCCATCCTCGGTCACGTTCCGGCAGGGCGTCCACCCATCCGAATTCTGCCACCGATTCGCCTCCACCACTCAGAAGCCACGACCGTTGAAATCCACCAATCACATCGTGAAGTTCTGCCTCATAGAAGGCCTGCGTGCGGCCGCCGCCGGGGATCGGGCATGATCGATCAGTCATCGGCTACCCTACAATCGCACCCAATAAATCTTCCTGTTGGGTGGAATCTGAAGTCGTGGTTAATTGAAACTGCAATACAGAGTTGTTATTTTGCCCAAGGACTATTGGAACTGGGGCTTCACTTCCGGCAAAAGGTACGTTGGGCCCATTTGGCCATTTCCAGTTTCCCAGCCAATTTTGCTCTTAATTCTTCTGCGGAGTATGATGAAACCACGTAAAAAAAAAAGCATTAACCTTTTTGTAGTGGTCAATTACTTTTGTTTCTTCTCTGTAACCAACAATATGATAGGATTGTCATGTGTAAATTGTAACTAAGTTAGAATGGAAGTCTGAATTTGCTGCTGCAAGATTCGGATGTGAAAGCTCTACTTTGCTTTTCATGGTAGTTAATTTGGCATTTGTGGGTATAGTTTTGGATTTTAAATATATTGTTCCTTTCACTTCTTGATTGAAACTTATTAAGAGAGGTTCATTATGAAGGAATTGAGTTGATTTTTATGTGAATCTTGCAATTGAGTTGATTACTGAATCTTGCTCATCTCGGTTTTTCTTTCTCCTTTTTTCCTATTTTGTGGCGAAGGAATCGTTGCTTCCTTCCTGTTGATTTCCGAAGAGTTAGAATCGACCTTTCATATGCTGAAAACATATGTTCTTCTTCCCTACCTAAATCTTTATATCAGGCCATTTGTCAATCCATTCTCATGTACTTTCCATCATCTCTTTTGGTTATGATTTGAAACCAATAAAATACTAAAACCTGATGTAACAAATTCGAAGTTAATATTAAAAATTGATTGCGACAAATCCTTAACGGTGGGAAGAGTAGAGAATTTATAGGAGTAAGTAGTTCAAGCAGTGTCCAATGTTCTCTTGAACTCCAAGCAAGGCAAGCACGATGTAATAATTATCTACGTCCCTATTTCTCTATATATGTATGGATTTGTTTGGAGTTCAAGAAAATGTACTATCGATAGAAATTTCGTAGTTCACGATTGGATTTTACTGATGATGACTATGTAATTGTGTTACCACGTACTACTGTTGAATCATGTGAAAGTTTTGAAAACTTCGTGGAAAATTTTCATCAATGTACTTTGATGTAGAGTCATCAAATATAATGCTGCCATGTGAGCCAAGTGAACCCAGTTTACCAAGAAATGATCATCTTGGGTGTTGATTTATTGAATCTCTTTTCCTAGGTTTCCACATTTGGTTTATTTGTTGTACAACTATTTGAGAACTTCAATGATATAGTCATAGTCAAACATACCATATTTCAACATGAGCAACATCACCACTGCTAACGAGGATCAGTAAAGGAATCAAGACTTGCATTCAACAACCGGACAACAGTGTTATGTTAAAGCCAAGGCTACAACAACACATTATAGCAACGACAACACTAGGTTTCAAGATGTGAAAAGTACTGTAGTCCTCATATGCATTCTGGAGTTGCAGCAACATGCTTAACTTTAACGCCCAGATAATAATGCAACGTTAAGATCATGAACTTGAAAAGTTACATCTGAGCAGATAGATTGTTGAGATTACAATTTCTTACAAAAGATTACAAGATGGAAAATAAACATTATCTTGACACTTCTTTTATGCATCTTGAACAACTTTCTTAATGTTGCCTTTTTACCATTCCATATTTGAGTAAAATATTTAGCACAACAAAGCACACAACACTAACAATCAGATAGTATGTGTCCATATGACATACAATCAAAAATTAGGTCACACTTGAACACCATAGAATAAAAAGAGCTTAATAACAACACAACCTTGACAAAAATCAACCCGGCCAAGGGCCGGGCATAGAGCTAGTATGAATAAAACGAATTAAGTTAGTTGGACAGGACTCCTATAACTATTCGATTATTAAACCTCAAACCAATTGTTTGGCCGACTTAGTGATTTAAACCGGTTTAACAACATTCATTACAACCAATCACGAGGTACAATTTAGCCCGACTCTTATTCAGGCCTGTGGAATTTCAAGGGCCGGGCCCATGATTTCAGACCAGCCAGGCCCACAATGTTAACACTCACTTCCGTTTCGCCTTCTCCTCCGTTCACTTGACAGTTGCCATAACATCCCTGATCTTCTTCATTTCCCGTCAAACAGTTTTCTTTGCCAGTCCGTTAATGGAGAAAACCCCAACCGAAATCATGAGCCCAAAGCCGGTGATCGACGCCGGCGACAGGCTCAGCTCTTTGCCGGACGAAATCATCTCCCGCATCCTCTCCTTTCTGGAAACCAAGTACGCCGTCCGCACCGCAGTCCTCGGCCGACGGTGGGAAGGACTCTGGACCATGGTTTCCAATCTTGATCTTGACGACGGATGGTTTGCGGGCCTCTGGACGTGACGGATCCTGCTTTAGATCTTTTAAAGAGGTACTTGCAATTTAGCCGCTTCGCCGACGAGGTACTGAGCCGGCACAATAATTTCAATTCTCTTACTCGTTTCCGCTTCCGTTTCTCGGTGGACGGTAAGGGTAGGTTTTGGTGGGTGGGTTCTGACTATAGGTTTAAGAGGGAATCGGTATTTGGTCCTCCAATTGAGGAGATTGACGTTGTGATGCCTGGTAAAGCGGAATTGGGAATTCCAGAGAGCTTCTACACATCCAAGAATCTGAGAGTTGTGAAGCTTGAACGGGTTATACTGAATGCAGCAGCTGGGTCCGTTTTCCTTCCTAGTCTGAAGATTCTACAGCTTGCGAATGTGAAGATTAAGGACTTTGAGTCATTGGGGAGGCTCATTTCTGGCTGCCCTGTTCTAGAGACTCTTTGTCTGAAGAGTTGCTACCCTTCTAACTATAATGGGGAAGACAGAATAGAGGTTTCTTTGCCATCCTTGAAGAACCTCAAGATTTGCGATTCTGACATTGTTGAGTATATATGTCCCATTGAAATCGAGTCACCAAATCTTGAGGATATTTACCTTCACAGGTTTACTGAGCTACAGTTTAAGGGTAGTAGTTCTTTACCATGCCTTGATTCAGCATATGTTGATTTTGGATTCAAGTGTAAAACCTCCTACCATGACCTCATTCAGCTCCTAGCTCGATTCTCCAATGCAACGAAAATGTGCTTAACCGGGAGTGCTCTGGTAATAAGGTCCACCACTCTCTTTCCATTTATCTAATTTTGTTCATAGGAGGGGAGGTGCTGATCATTTTAATCTTTCTTTCAGCTTCATATGTCAGGTTTCCATGATGTTCACTTCCCTGTATTTCCCAAGTTGACACATTTGACAATCGGAATGGGGGGCAGAAGCCGAGTTCTGCACTCCTTGCTCAGTTCAGCCTCCAAACTACAATCTCTTGTCATTGACCTGGTGAGTGTAGCAATGTTATTCATTTGTCCTTTGGGATCGAACCTTCGATAAGGTTTCTGATGAATATCTACATGATGCAGGAGTATCACACTGGACCAGCAACAGTGTGGGAGGATTTAGAAACCGCCTGCACGCCCGAGTGTTTGTTATCTAGCCTGGAGGTAATCGAAATTAAGGATCTTGTATGGCAGGAAGGTGATTGGAACATAATTGTACATTTAGTCAACACCGGAGTTGTCCTGAAGAAGGTGAATGTCCACCTAAAAAGTTGTGATCATGAAGCATGGGGCCGCACAGCTCTTGCCGTACTGCTAAAACAGTCGGGAGGACTGCGCGGTCACGAAGCTCGGCTTTTCCTTCCCAACAACAAAGAGATACGCATCAGTAGCGACGGCGAGATCAACAATGAGGTCGACAAGAAAGAGGGGGGCCCTGGAAGTATGATGGTGGTGAATAGGAAGGAGCGCCTGACTTGTCCTGACGAACTTAGTTTGGTAACCCTAGTGAATATTTCTGATGATATGAACTCGTAGGATAATTTTGAGTTAGTGGCGCCTTTTTGGAGTAGCGGTTTCGATGCATGTAATGCCGAGACAGTGCTAGAAGTCCTTTGGGTCCAGGAAAGGATGTTTTACTTAGTATGCTCATGTTTAGGTTGATTCTGAAGTTTTCTCATGTTTGGCCTTCTGAGAACATGAAATGCTGGATAAAAATGAAAGGATTGATCACTATGGTTATGTGGTCGTGTGATTTCCAGTACTTCCTCAGGGACCAAATTCAAGCCACATGTAAGGATGCACTTGGTCAAGTTTGCTCCAAAATTCCACTTAGTTGGTATTGGATAGTATCGAAATAAACGATAAAATTAAAAAGAGTGAATATTCATTTGATTCTGTTTTAAGATTCTGTCGAGGTTTACCTCACGAATTCAAAAGTTTCTATGCAATCAGAGTAAACAAGAACACTGTAAAAACAAGAGTCAAAATCGAACTGACCAAAGATTGTTATATGCTTATAATAGTGGGTTGGATTGCTTGATATCCAAGGCATTGTTTGTTGAATATGTAACAAACCATTAAATATGTAACAATGTAATTGGTTTCATTTGATCCAAAATTTCGACCTAGTAGAAAATGTTTTATTGAATTCTGCTTAGTCCATTTAAGATTCTTACTAATTTTACCTTTTGAGTGTAAGATCTCTACCATCATAACAGAAAAGAAAGCCGTTAAACAAGCAAACATGCTGATGCCTAGCTCACAGTGATTAAAAAACACTCCATACTCATTTCGTCTTCCAAACTCGAGCTTACAAACTACGCACTGTATCAATCGAAACAATCATAGTACACAACATGATCAAGCTACAGAATCAGATCCTTTATTCCAAACAACAAGCATTAAAAAGCTCCTCAACACCCCCACGATCGGAAGTCCCAAAACTGATTTCCCGCTACATTTGAAGTTCAATTGTCCAATAGAGAACGGCGACTCAGCAAGTGAATTCCAGCACTGAACCTCGGTGCCACGAAAAGGCGTAGAGATCTAGTAATACCTACTCCTTGGAGGATAGCGGTCGACCATCCTTCCGGAAGGACACTCGATGGCACGATGGCCTCGCCCGCCACAGTTGTGACAGATCATCAGCGGGCCCATGCAGTCCCTGCTCATGTGTCCGTACTGGTGGCAGTTCCTGCACATCACGTCGTGGAAACTGCCCCCTCTCACACCACCGCCGCCGCGGTGGATGCCTGCACCGGCGGTGGCTTTGGGGCACTGCCTAGCCACGTGTCCCGAGACGTTGCACGTGTTGCAGACAGGCTCGTTGGGACAGTCGCGTGCCAGGTGGCCGGTCTTCCTGCAGTTGTTGCACGCCTTGTCGTTCGTACAATCTGCAGCAATGTGGCCCTGCTTGTAGCAGTTGTTGCACAGTCTCAGGTCACCAGGTGGCAGTTGAGGAGCTGTGCAGTCTCTAGCACGATGTCCAGCCTTGCCACACGTGTGGCAGATGCCCTCGTTCGGGCAGTCGCTAGCCATGTGCCCTGGTTCTCGGCAGTTCCAGCAGAGTGATTTTGTGGTGCACTCCGATGCAATGTGCCTACAAGAAGATCAACAAAGCTTACTCATTCAGCTAAGCGATACAAATTTCATGCTGATGATGATGGATTCATTTCAAACATTATGTACGTAGTTAGATCACATACCCTGGAAGACCACAGTTGTGACAGATGGCAACATTTGGGCATTCCCTAGCAAAATGACCCGGCCGTTTGCAGTTCTTGCAGAGGTTTCCCTGACTGGTAAAAATAAATAAACCCAAAATTTTAGCACACATTTAGAGACTCTAAGTTCCTATTTTCTGAATCGTAGCTGAATGAAGTCGCACAGTCCAAATGATTTTGGCAGTGATGCAAAAGTAATATAAGAAAACAACAAATCGACATATCCCATCCATCTGGGAGAGTGGTGGTTAAATAATAAATATAGAAACCAGCCAATCAAGCATTGAAATATCATAATCTTCCATGGCTTTACTGCCAAAGCTTTTCTTGACTAACATATTCAAGAAGTTTCAGTCTATCAGAAAGGAAAGCGAACAATAAGGTAAAATCCTCTAGCACAGAAATTAACTTATAGGCCACTAAGAAACTTCAGGTGACAAAAAAAAGTATACAAGATTATAAGTCAAATAAGAAAAAACCTGGAAGCCCGTCGAGCTTCTCGTCGGTAAGGTGCACCGGCACCACGATATGAAAAGCGGTCAGATCGGATCTTGCGGTCCATAGGGCTCCTGCTTCTACTCCTGCTTCTCATTGGGCTCCTGCTGTCAGAACTCATGTTGAAACTCCCCCTTCTTATCAACTACCACATACACCACCAACCCACAACAGCTTGCCGCCTCCACCCTGTCCACATTACAACCACATTACCCCGTGATCATCCATCAAGAGCTTAAAGCCACACCCCTCATTTCCCCCTCCAAAACAACAAAAACACCAAACCCCATGAGCAAACGCCAAACATCATAGAATGTTTATCAAGCAGTCCACCCCAAAGGTCAATAACATATCATCAACCTCCCTGCACTCAGCACTACAAACCCTTTATAGTTAAGAACTACTACATCCCTAGTGAACATCGAACCCCTCCTGCCAGAAAATCAAATCTCCATACATCATCATGCGTACACAACTATGAATTACTGCACACAACCTCCCATCTCCCCAACCACCCATTCAGTCAGGCTCTACCACTAAAGCACACATGGAAGTCGATAATGAAAGAGCCCGCCTGTAAAATTTCCATGGTTATTCAACAAAATTTTTAAGACAATAACTGATGAGCAGCAAGGAAACAGATACTGAAATGCCACCCACAACATCTGCGAAAAAATAGGTTGTGCGAATTCATTTCAATAAGGGCTGCTACTAGCAGAGTCTCTTCACCATACACATGAGCCAATTCTCCCAAAACTGTATCCACCAAGCCCAACATAAGTAACAAAGGTAAGCATGTTTATCATAATGTCTTTGACTCTCAATCATCAGGAGGAAACAAACAACATACTTGCTCGACCACAACAGTAAAAACGCACCATCATTTCGCCAGGGGTCTAACAGGCACACTTAAGGACTATAACAGATTCAACAAGGTGCGAACTAAAAATGTACTAGGCCCCATAACTCAGGTTCTCCAATTCGTGGACAACAAATACTATTTCAATGCTATCAACACGACCATAAGATCTTTACCAAACACTCTTCATTATTTAACCATTCTAGCAATACCAGTACAAAGGCATTTTCCAAGTAATAAACAAGATCTCGAGTTTGAATTCAAGCAATACAACCCTAAAACCAAACACTAAAAAGCAATAAAAATCTGACAGTGAAACCGAAGGACGGGTTCTCCGAAAATTGGTCCTCCCGGTAAGCTATCACATTCGATCGTTTACCTTTCCCTCTCATGAAACCAAATCTGGCTAACTATCTCAGGAGGGAGAATTGAAAATAATAGAATGAACGAAGCTCGGAACCATCTGACCTAGCAAGTCCGAAAAGGGCATTTACCCTAGAAAGCGAAGAAGCTTCGGAATTGATAAAGCAACGAACCTGAGCTATATAACCTGCGCGGGAATAGCTCTCCGGCCAAGCAATCGCGAAAGAGCCGGCAGGCAAGGAAACCTAATGCAGCAAAAGGGAACCGCGACGGAGCTGAACGAACTCAAAACCTAGATGCCGAGGTTTCCCCCAAATCTGCAATGTCCAACTTTTCGCTCGACATTCACTGGATTTTAATTTCCTATTTCTATGTAAGAAATAAATTAGTCCAAACGACACCGTTCGGTCTCTATTACACCCCCCCCCCTCCCCTGTCTTTTACCGTTCTTCCCCCTTTTGTAAAATCCTACAAGAGATTGTACTCAACAAGTCATTGGTTTGTAGTTTACGCTAAAATCGTGGTTCGATTTTTTCATTCTAACTTTTATTTCGATAAACGTTCTAACCGAAACGCAGTACAGTATAGTTTAGCAAACACTGGATGCATAATATATGACGATGTTAGGTGAATAAACTCTTTCATTATGACTTGAACTCCAATAAACGTTCTGACCTAATCGCCCATTGATTCTGAGTTGCTTTGGTTCCTCACTTTAGATTGCTTTGTGGATATGGCAATGTTCCTCATTAGACTCCTTTTTTTTTTTTTTATTGTTATACAAAGGTGATATAGGTTTGTTTTTAGTTAGGTGCTACTTAAAAGATTCAAACAAGGAACCTCCATATTCAAGACCAACGATATTATCACTGGAACGAGCCCTTGTTCACTTTCATTAGACTCTTTCGTTCGATCTCTTCAGGAGTGAAGGAATCTACGGAGAGGTGAGTGGCGACACTTGTGATCTATACTCTAATGCCCAAATTAGTAGGATATACGAGGTGTGATATGCAAACTAGAGAGAGAACCATGTACAGCGAACGTGGGAAGGGAAAACAGGATCCTTAGTTCGGAGGCTTGAATACCTTTATATAGGAGTCTAGGGTTTTATTGTTGTGACGCCTAGAGACTTCCTTAAGGAGAAGCCCTAGGGTGAGATGGAGGCCTCAAGTGAGATGGCTTGAGGTAGACGACTTAGAGTGAGTTGGAGGTCTCAAGAGAGGTGTCTTGAGAGTTGAGGCTGAAGCCTTAAAATGAGGTGAAGACCTAAAAAGAGGTACTTTATCATAAGTTTAAACTTGTTGATAGCATATTAAGCATTGGGTTATAACATAATACTTCAACATCACAACATTGTAGCTTTACATTTAGATATTTAATGATACTAAATATTCATGATTGGGTTATAACTTATAAAATGAGATCTCTTTGTGCCTAATTATTGATTTTATATATAACTCGTCACTTCTGCAACAAAATCCGTTGTAGTCTAGTTGGTCAGGATATTCGGCTCTCACCCGAAAGACCCGGGTTCAAGTCCCGGCAACGGAATTTTAAATTTTTTCGCGCCCCCGCCATCTTCCCACACGACGGAAACGACGTCAGTTCATCTCGTCTCTCACGCCCAGAACTGGCCGAACTCCTGTAACGTTTCCCTCCTCACCACTTTCCCAGAAAAATTTCCGGTTCTCTTCTCCGAAATTAGGGTTTTGGTGTCTGCTTCAATTACCAAGGTTCGCGTTTCCTCCGCTTAAACCCGGTAACGTTGCTAGACATCTTGCTTTCTCAGTGTTTTCGTCGGTTCCCTTTCAAATTCGGCCCGCTTTCTGTACACCCACAAATCGCTGTGTGACTCTGGTCATTCCGTTTAGTTACTCTTTCAGTTCTTACCGTCGTTGGATGTATTCCGTTTCGAGCTTGATGTGTTGATTTCGAAGGGGGTTGAGATTCTATTGTTTCTTCCTCTCCAGCCCCAGCCAATTGAATGGTGATATCGATCAGTCTGCTCTTTGATTAAGCATTGGAATCTTTTCGGGTTGCTCTTGTAAAAAGGTTTACCGTTTAGGCATACGGCATCCAACTAATGGCATGCACTGCAATGAGTTTTACGATGAGCGATTTCGTCGTAAAATCAATTATTCGTAGACATTCTTCAATCCGTTCTCTTTGGCTCACTCCTAGGTTATCTTGTAGCTGTGTTCCTAGAAATAGCTGCAGTATTTCATGAGCAGCTGGACAAACGAGTCTACTAACAGATATTTAGGAATTTTTGTGTAGCTAACCCAAGATTAGTCTTTTCTGGTCTATTAGATATGGTTTCTTCTACAGAGGATGCTCTACTTTCCCCATGAACACATAGTTCCTTTTTCTCGTGGCTTTTTTTTGAGATTGTGCTTCATGTGTCTTTCAGAAATGGCTGTCAATGAGGATCCTGCAGAAGGCTCTATACCTTCCATTATTCTCGAGTCTCTTGTATCTTCCCAGAACGGTGATTCTCTTTCCACTGAAGACATTGCTTGGGCTGATTCGTGCCTAGTCAAAGACCCCGATATTTCAGCCGGTGACTGGAGCTCTATCAAAGATGCTTTGCTAGAAGTGCTTAGCCTAGTACCTGAATCACTGGACTCCTTGTCCGGAGACATGGATGGCTGTGTTGGGGGAACTGATGATTTCCAGATGCTTCCTCCTGATCAAGCTGTGGTAATTGAGCAGCCTTCTTTGAGAAGTGATGATAATTATCATGTGACAGTTGGCGATGAACCAAACCTGAACGTTGATGCTATGCTATCGAAGGAGGAAATGGATGTCTTGTACTCCCTACAGTTTCTGAGTCAAGATCCTGAGACTTTCAATGGCGATTGGAATTCTATGAGGGACGCTGTGGAGAGAATACTTTCATTGCGCCCTAAAGAGATCGGGAGCACGGTGACACTTCATGATGTTGAGGATGCAAAATCTTCTGCAGGAGCAGATCGAGATTTTGATTAAGAACCAAAAATGAAGCCACAGCAGGCCAACAGTGATACATCAGAGAGTTTCCAGGTGGGTGCCTTGAATGATAACCCTAAAGAATCCAAGCAGAGTGTTTCACTACCAGCTGATACAACCAGTCCAGCAGAAGATGCAGGAGTTACAAGTAGCGAGATCTTTAAGCTGTGGGATTTGGGAATTCCTGCTGAAGAAGAAGAGGAGGATGACGAGTTAATAAAAAAACTGAACAGGGCGCTTGCTGATAGTTCGGTTCAGTCGATTGCACCGGTAGTTGATGATTCCGAGACAATGCGAGATTTGAAAGTAGGCGCACTTGATTATTTGATCGCTGGCATTGGAGACCTATCCATCAAGCCGCATTCTGGTTAGCTTTTGATAGGCAAAATAGGCATTCCTCACCCGTGTTAGTGTATAGCTTTCCGCTGCCATTTCTAGTTCAACTTAGAATATGTTTGTCGTGGCGAAAACTATGATGTAGATTGAGATTTGAGAATGTAGAAACCTTTCAGCTTGATGAATGATAATTAAGAACAGAGTCACATAATGCTGCAGGCTTCTATTCTATTCGAGTTCGTGCAGGAGGTGGAATGTGGAACCCACCAGTCTGATTTCCAGGTCCTACAGGCCAGGTCTAGGCCACAACCAGAACTCCAGAAGCAAACTGATCATCCAGTCATCACCACAATCTGCAGGACTAAACCAGAACCATTTATTAACCATGAGGAGCAAGACCAAACCAAAACCACAGAACTGTAAGAAAAAAACATCTCCCTTTCTCTATCTTTTTGGACGCATGCAACGAATGTGATCAGTTTGTCCTTTCCCTTGACAGCCAAAAGGAAAAACTTTCCAAGGTGAGCAAAAACCCATCCGTTTAAACCACCAACAAGTCACGACACGTCAGCACAATTCTATCATCCAGGTGGCGGGACGAGATTGGCCGGGGCACAACAGCCTCAAACGTGACATCCCTCCTCCTCCCATGATGAACATGTATCGACAAGAGTGCAAATATAAATAGGGGATGGGAGAGAGAGGAATGGGGAGATTAGTAGAGTATATGCTTGTGTGAGGCTTAAAAGGCTTTACAGCAAGATAAGATTTCTCCGTGTATATAGAGAGACTGTTACCGAACGTCGGTCTCCTACCATTCTTAAAGTCTCAGCCTTTCATCAAAGCAGAGAAACAGAAAGAAAATGGCGTCTACTTCACTGTTGAAGTCATCCCCTGTTATCGACAAGTCTGAATGGGTGAAGGGTCAGAGCATCCGCCAGCCCTCTGTCTCCATCCTCCGCTGCAACTCCTCCACCGCCGCCGCTGCTGCGCCTTCTGCTCTTTCCATCCGGGCCAGCTCCTATGCTGACGAGCTTATCAAGACTGCGGTATGTCTGTCCATTTTTACTTAATAACACACACCATGCACGGTTTTGTAACAATCATTCAACGGATTTGTTATGATAGTTCAATAGTGCAACTGTAATGGAAATTGTTATTAAACCATACCGGCTGTTGTGGCAGAAAACTGTGGCGTCACCAGGGCGGGGGATTCTGGCGATGGACGAGTCGAACGCGACCTGTGGGAAGCGTTTGGCGTCGATTGGGCTGGAGAACACTGAGGCCAACCGCCAGGCATACAGAACCCTTCTGGTCTCTGTACCTGGGCTGGGGAACTACATCTCCGGCGCCATTCTCTTTGAGGAAACTCTCTACCAGTCCACCGTCGATGGCAAGAAGATCGTCGATGTCCTCAAGGAGCAAGGCATCGTCCCTGGTATCAAAGTCGACAAGGTAACACCGTTACTAATTCACAGTTCAGTTAACTAGGTAGTAGATGGTGTTGATGTTACTGTTTTGTTGGTTTTGGGAACAATAATCATTTACGATGAGAAACAAACAGGGTTTGGTGCCACTTGCTGGTTCCAACGATGAGTCGTGGTGCCAAGGGCTTGACGGGCTTGCTTCCCGCTCTGCTGCTTACTACGAACAGGGCGCTCGCTTTGCTAAATGGTATGCACATATGAATTTAACCGACTTTTACCTATCCTTGACCACATTTGAAGTAGAAGACAAGTGAGCTAGTTACGGGTGGGTATGATTCGGCCTGAGTCGATCTAGTAGCAAAACAAATCAGCTTAGGATTAGATTGAAAATAAGGTGAAAAATATATTGGAATTGTATTTACTTCAATTGAGTTCGGTTTGATTTCTAGTGGGTTCTTTTGTTCTTAGTTTGTTAAGACCATTCTATCGGATTGAAACGCTAGAAAAACATTGGACTGAGAATCGAAATTGAATCGACGTATATTTTGTTAGGGTCTATTCATTCAGTAAAATGTAGATTCAGTCTAGTAGGGGTCAAATCATTGTTCAGCCGTTGAACTTATGAATGAGAAATCGGAGCAGAAGAAGGGATGAAACTTACTTACTTACTTACAGTGTTAAACATCATACCTATGAAAACAATGTACATGCATGCATTTTCAGAATATATCATTGAGGGCTCGTTTGGCTGGTTGAATTCACGGATTGATTGTTTTCGTGTCGTTACTTTTAACAGGCGTACTGTTGTGAGCATTCCCAATGGGCCATCTGCCTTGGCAGTGAAGGAAGCCGCATGGGGCCTTGCCCGCTATGCCGCCATCTCTCAGGTGAGATTTACCTATATGCAAAACCTGATACTTGAGCAATAAGTTACTTATTGTCTTGCGATTGAAGCTCTCTGTTGTTCTAGTTTGCTCTGCTTTACTGATGTCGGTTTGGATTCCTTTTGCAGGACAATGGGCTGGTCCCAATTGTGGAGCCAGAGATATTGCTGGACGGTGAGCATGGTATCGACAGGACCTTCGAAGTGGCGCAAAAGGTTTGGGCCGAAGTCTTCTTCTACATGGCCGAGAACAATGTGATGTTCGAGGGTATCCTCTTGAAGCCCAGCATGGTTACCCCTGGCGCTGAGTGCAAAGAGAGGGCAACCCCTCAACAGGTTGCTGAGTACACTCTCAGCCTCCTCAAGAGAAGAATCCCCCCTTCTGTCCCTGGAATCATGGCAAGTCTCCGTTCCTTTCAGTACTTTCTTATAAACTTTGTTCAATGTGACTAGCTAGTTTGTATGCTCAACATGTGGCTGATCCTATGATTTCGATTGCAGTTCTTGTCCGGCGGGCAATCGGAGGTTGAAGCAACACTGAACCTGAACGCCATGAACCAGGCTCCCAACCCGTGGCACGTGTCGTTCTCCTACGCCAGAGCCCTTCAAAACACCTGCCTGAAGACATGGGGAGGCGCCCCCGAGAACGTGGAGGCTGCGCAGCAGGCGCTGCTGATCCGGGCCAAGGCCAACTCCTTGGCTCAGCTCGGCAAGTACACCGGGGAAGGAGAGTCCGACGAGGCCAAGGAAGGAATGTTCGTCAAGGGCTATGTGTACTAAGAAGTTCCCCATTCTGGCCATGCATTAGGTTGCTGAAAGAAAGGGACTAATACCTAGAACTCCTTTCTTTTTTACTCTTATGTGCTGTAAAAGGCTTTGCCTCTATAAGTTTGCTGTTGTTGCCCTTATGGATTGGAGACTATTTTTGTTCCTTTTTATCCTGTCACTCTTTTAATGTATGTACTTTCTTTTTGAGCCCTACTCCCAAACTCTAAACCCATTTCAATGATGCAATGAGATTAATTAATTTCAAGTTGTTTTTGTGAGATTTTCTCTAGATAGTTTCGTATTTTTGCGCAGATAACTCTTAAACAAGCTTAGTTTGGAGTTCTTGCACTTATTAGTATACAAAAATGAGATGTTTGGACATTATACTATTTCATTATACACTATCGAGCTTAAGAATTGTAAAAACCTCAAACTCAGATTATAATAAAAACGATAAATACTTTCACGAGAGACAAAACAACTATAGTTTATGAAACTCAACAAACAATATTCCATAGTAAATGATCACTAAACTCTTGTTTTTTACTATCATAGAGCAATGTAATTAATCCAAAACTCCCACCCAATCCGTTGCCTTTTTCTCTTTCAAGTTTTAACCATTTTCAGAAAGAGCATCTCCCCAACCTGGTTTCAATTTTTTTTTTTTTACAGTAAAGCTACCCTATAGGTTCGACCGTTTCGGGTCAAGCGTCCAAATGCCAATTTGGGCCCCGGCCCGGTCTTTTGGAGAACGAATCGATACAAATGGCTCACGTTTGAGGTCCCACTTTGATTTCCACCCCACCACGTCGACACACGGAAAAAGGATCCTCTGCAGCAACGCATACGAATGGTTTCCAATCTCTTAATCATCCAACCGTTCAAAAACACCCCGCATCACAATCTAACGGCCACGAAGAAGAACTTCCCAAAAGATCTCGACGGGTCCCAGCATGGTTCTCGAAGTATGCGATTATTTCCTTTCTCGTCATGCATTTGGAGCAGTAAGTCCATTGGCCACTAGAGCGTCAGAGCAGTGAGCATTCCTGGAAAACTTTTCTCTCTCTTTCCCAGGCTCCTTCCCCAGGAAGTTTTCCTTCACGGTGGCCGGAGCTCGGAAGTTATTCTTCTCTCCCTCGCTCTCTTCACGGTATGTTTCCGGCGGCATGGACGCTCTGGTGATGATCGCTGCTTGCTTCCAAAAGTAGCTATTCGTTGTCTGCTCTTGTGGTTTCCGTACATTTTGGTTTTTTCAACTTCCTCTTGTTCTGTCGTCAGGTGGCCGAAACATGGAGTCTCGTTGGAGGATCCCGCTCGGAAATAGACCAACGCCGAAGACGCCGACCTCGGCTACCAATGGTTAGTCCTCTGCAGCAAAACTTTCTACGCTTTTCTTCATAGTCCATTTCCATAGCCGAGGGTTGCTAAGTTTGTCTCCTGAGTTGCGATTCTCTTGTTTTCAAGGATAATCGCAGAGATTTTTAACAGTTCAGGAGTAACTTGAATGTTAATTTCGAGCTTCTATTTTAACTTTGGGGAACCGATTGTTTGTTCTCATTTATTCTGTTTGGTTTTCCAGATGTTTCTGGTCTTGCAAACTTTAAGCGGATTATGGAGCAATTGAATGCCGGTGTGTATGGAAGCGTTAGTGATACGATACGGGATCTCTGCAAGCGGAAACTTGCTGAATTCTCTAAACGTTCGGCCGTGAAGATGGATGCTGCTGCTTCGAGTAATGTTCCTGATGCGAAAAGGATTCGGGGCATGAACGGTTTAAAGGAGCATCATGATGTCTGCTGCATCTCTGGGCCAGCAGCTGCTGCACATACAGTTGTGATTCTAGATTCTGACGAAGAAGATAATGGAGAAGACACAGCCAACGGTCAGTTTCAGGGTGTTGTGCAGACTAAGCTTGAGGAACAGTGTTTCTCTGATACGGAGGTATACCTTTCTTTCTGGTTAGATTGATTATAGGTTAGTAGGTCAGAAATTGAAGATGGAATTCCTCTTACAGTAGTTCAGGGGAAACTCTGTTATTGTGGCTTGAGTTCTTACTAATTACCTGCCTACTTAGGCTATTTGTATGCAAAAGGTTCTTTGGTTGATGGCATAGTCTTGCTAACTACCCTCAATTTATCAACTTGAGAATCAATGAATGGTGGACTAAGCTTTCTTAGGGGTGAATTTTGCTTAATTTGAATTGGGAGCAGGTAAGAGAATCTATAGCGACTTCATCGCCAAAACATGCTGTCGCTGATGATACTGCTGCCTGCAAAGGAGATGAAGCTGCCCGAACTGATATTGAGCCTGACAAAGAGAAGGACAAGATGAATTGTGTGATTCCTCTTAATTTATGTCAAGATGAGAAGACGATCATAGATTTGGAAACTTCGGACACACAGCATGCTGATGTGGGTGACTACTCTGTAACAAGTGGTGCACCAGCTCAAGCAGAAGAAACTGTTGTGGTCTTGGATCTCGATGAGAATGAGTCCGATGGCAGTGTCGTGGACATGGATATTTCCCCCTTGCGTGAGGTTGTCCTGGCAAGTCAATTTGGAGAATTTTCTGCGGAGAAAGAGGTAAGTTTCTGTCTGATCTTGAGTTTCTTTCACTTCATTTATGAATAGAAGATTAGTTACAACCATAAGTATCCATTGTATTGCTATCACTAGTTGCTAGCGGATTGTTTGTGAACGTATGACGTAGCTACTGAAAGAACTTATTGTTTGGATTTGCCAAAATTTAATCGGGTTACTTATTGTTTGGATTTGCCAAAACTTAATCGGGTTACTTATTGTTTGGATTTGCCAAAACTTAATCGGGTTACTCTTAAGCTTCGAAGAGAAATCAGCATGGAGAAGCCTTTTCTATTTTCAGTTTTCCTACAAAGAAGGCAAATTTGCATTAATGCATTTTTGGAACAAGTCAACCCTGGGGATGGGATTAGGTGCTAACTCTTATAAGGGTTAGTACCGTGATAACTAGCAAAAAACGCTACTAAAAATAATGAAATCACTACGGATTATCATAAAATCAATACAACATCTAAGCTAAATCACTACTAATTCAAACTAGTAGTAGTTTTTCCCTTGATTAGAACGGTGCTAACTATTGTACAATTAGCACCGTAGCCATTCCCGTCAACCCTGATATATCTCCTAAAATTTGGGATGACGTTATAGTTGTTTGTGTAACTGAGAAAAAGGCTGCCGTAGGGCGCTGCTGCTCATAAGCTTCCCCTCAGATCCCCACCTCAGATATGTCATGAGCATTTGAACTGCATGAAAATCCGTCTTGAATAAGACTACTTTGTCATTATTATAAAATTTCGAGTTTTCACGTAATCTGAATGTTTATCAGGTTGGAGACTCTATTGAGATCGGAATTCTAATCTCGGAGAGCCTTCCTGATGGTACTTACTGCAAGGAAAACGGTAAGTCAGGAAGCGTTGCCGATGAAACTGGCGGCAAGGGGAATGAGGCTGATCGCACTGACTGCAAAGAAGATACGGCTGTTAGTAATGGTGAGAAAAATGATGATCCGATGCTTAGAGAGACTGGACCGAAAACTCGTGCTGATGATACTAACCACAAGGAAGATTCAGTTCTTGACACTCGCGCGACCAATAAAGAACTTGCTTTCTGGCATCCTGAAGATGACAGTACACAAAGTGACAGTGATGAAGATGGTTTGGGGAACCTATGGAATGAGATGGCCATAGCATCGAAATTCACTGGGGTATCTTACGTTCATACATTTATCTTGTTTTTGAAATATAACTGTTTCATGGTTAGACCTCATTGAGATGTATTTAACGTTTTGTCTCCTGATCCGAACAGGAACCCGAGGAGTATCCTCCATCTAACTTATCAATCGAAGATGATGATGATGATCGCTGTGACCATGATTACATTCACAAGGAAGACATTGGCGATGTATGTCGCATTTGTGGGTTTGTAGGTCGAGACATCACTTCAGTAATTGACGTCCAATTCTTTAAGGTAACACTGGTCCTTAATCGACATGCTTATCTGATTTGGGGTTGATTTGGAAATGATGAACGTCATTATAATCTCAGGCGAAAAAGTATGTGCGCAACTATGCTTCCAGTTCCCGGAATGCCAAGGATAAGACCACGAACGAGGAGATTCGAGTTCAGGATGATGACGTTACAGCCGCCGCCATGTACCCTCATCCAAGGCACCAGAAGCAAATGAAGCCTCATCAAGAAGAAGGCTTCAAGTTCCTCTGCAGCAACTTGGTCTCCGATGATCCTGGGGGATGCATATTAGCTCATGCACCTGGATCAGGCAAAACCTTCTTGATCATCAGCTTCATCCAAAGCTTCCTTGCCAGATACCCCAAGGCTCGACCACTCGTTGTGCTCCCGAAATCAATCCTGCATACCTGGAGGAAAGAGTTCGAGAAGTGGAATGTGGAAGACTTTCCCATTTATGATTTCTACACTTCGAAAGCAGAGGGTCGTGCTCAGCAACTGGAGGTCCTCAAAAAATGGGTTGATCAGAAAAGTGTGCTTCTCTTGGGTTACATGCAATTATCCTCCATTATATGCGACGAGGGGACAACCATGGAGTGTACCGACTGTCAGAACATTCTCCTACATCAACCATCCCTTCTCGTTCTGGACGAAGGCCACACTCCGAGGAATGAGGGGACAAATGTTCTCCAATCTCTGGTGAAAATTCGGACACCGAGGAAGATCGTGCTCTCAGGCACCCTCTATCAGAATCACGTCCAGGAAGTTTTCAATGTACTGAAAATCGTTCGTCCCAGCTTCCTGAAGCTAAACGACACTCCATCCATCGTCAAGCGCATTCTCAGCAAAGCATCCATACCAACAGGGAAGAAGGTTAGAGGTAGCGGCGCCGATGCCACGTTCTACGAGGCCGTGGAGCATACTTTGCAACAAGATGGTGACTTCAAGAGCAAGGTATCCCTAATCCAGGACCTCCGAGAGATGACCAGAAAAGTCCTCCATTACTTCAAAGGTGATTTCTTGAGTGAGCTTCCAGGGCTGGTCGACTTGACCGTGGTGCTCAAGCTCACAGACTGGCAGAAGCACGAGGTGGAGGAGATGAAGAAAGTGAAGTGTAAATTCACGAGAGCCGTGGTTGGTGGTTTAGTCTGGCTTCACCCGAAACTGAAGAACCTGAAGAAGAAACTGAAACCTGCAGCTACTATCGAGAACGACGCCATGGACAAGCTGCTGGAGGATCTAGACACCAGAGACGGAGTGAAAACCAAGTTCTTCCTTAACATGTTGGCTCTATGCGAGACGAACAATGAGAAAATGGTGATCTTCAGCCAGTACCTACCGCCGCTGAAGTTCCTGGAGAGGCTGCTGACGAAGCTGAAGGGCTGGACTCTGGGAAGGGAGATGTTCATGATAAGTGGGGATTCGAGCTCTGAACAGAGGGAAAGGTCCGTGGAACACTTCAACAACTCCACAAATGCTAAGGTTTTCTTCGGGTCAATTAAGGCCTGCGGCGAAGGGATTTCACTAGTTGGAGGGTCGAGAGTGATCATTTTAGATGTGCATCTGAACCCTGCTGTCACTCGTCAGGCTATAGGGCGAGCGTTTCGGCCAGGGCAGACGAAGGTGGTGTACGTCTACAGGCTGATCGCTGGTGGATCGCCGGAGGAGGAAGATTACAATACGTGCTTCAGGAAGGAAGCGATCTCGAAGCTGTGGTTCGAGTGGCACGAGTTCTGTGGGTTTAAGGATTTCAAGGTGGACTGTGTTGAGTTGCAGAAGTGTGGTGATATGTTCATGGAGAGTCCTTTGATTGCTGCAGATGTACGTGATCTGCACAGAAGGTAAGATCATTCTTCCACTTGCACATAGAATCTCTTCTCCCATGACTTGGGAACGCTTCGAATGCTCGAGTTTTGATATGTGCTCTGTTTCACTTCTCAGGTAGATCGTGATTCTGACTAGGGAAACCAAAATTGAAGAAGCTGAAGTACAGGTATTGGGTAACTCTTTTTTTGCTAGTGGATCGTATTGCAACACTAGACTGCTCTTCTGTAGTAACTCTAATTCTCTTCCTGGCAAATTTACCTCTAATTCTCACCCCAAACCTTAAACGTGGAGGTTTAGGGAGGCTAATTTTAGTCGTTGCTGACCACTTTTGCGTCGTTCTATGAGGCGTTTTGGTTATATGTATATATGCTGTTCTTGGGGAGATCAGATGAACTAATTTAGCAGATTATTGTGGTCTTTACATCAAACAGCATCTGGTTTTGTGTAATGCTAACCATTAACTAGCATCAGAGCCTTCCTTATTGGTCGAGTTTTCTCGTACTTGGTTCGCAACAAAAGCTTCGGTTTGCTTCCCAGCAACTGAATTGTAGTTCACTGCCACTGGAACCAGATAAACCCTATGCTCTTGCTGAGTTTCTGATTTTGTAAATCTAGGGAGAGACATTTGGTCTCTCATAACATCGTTTTGATCCTCCACGTGGCCTGGTTTGTCACCTGTAAACTAAAACAACACGGAAAATTGACAGGACGTCCCCTGCACTGTTAATGTTCTCAGTAAGAACCTTCGTTCTTTCTTTCTTCTGCTGCAAGCTTTTAGTGCAGAGGGAGAAACACAAACCTCCACCCTCTGCCGCAGCAGAAGATACATCTCGTGCGTTGTTTTGCCACCAATGTGCACAGCCATATTGCATTGCAGGCACAGAGGGAACTACCATCAACCTCGCAATAAAAGACCGCTACAATGAATGCTTGCAGTTTGTACTGGTAGCTGATCTTTGAAGTATCTCTCCTGATGCAATTCAACCAATGGAGCTGAATTAAAGAGGAAATCATATAATCCCGATTCCCTAAGAAAGGAAACTGCTTCGACTAATGAAAGGATATTCTCCAAATCACTGCTCGCGCGGTAGACCAGATAAATGTCGTCAGATTTGATCTCATGTCTGTTACTTCATCTACCTCAATTTGGTTAATCATTTTGAAGCAGGTACAATTCACATAAACACCCATTGCCCATTACATGGAGCATAGCTTTACACATGGTAATATCTAATCTAGCCTGGAGCTCTTGAGGTTAATGCCAAAAGGCCCGGAATTTACATCAAACTACAAACTTAAGACTGGTTGATCTACGAAGTTCTTTACACCGGGATTTCCTAAACCCTAAAACCTCAATATCTGCTAAGCAAGGTACCAATGCAATTGTTCTTCATCCAAGGAGTACCATTTTCCCAGATCGACTGCATTTTACAAGTTTGGACCATAAGCTTGACGAATAGCCTCATCCAAAGGGACAGCTTCTTCTCTGCTTTGGCCTTCCCTCCAGACTCTGTACTGTGCCAAAAAGGGACAAGTGCTGGTATCCTTCCATCGCTTCAACATTAACATTGAGTATGGTCCCTGTAGTTCTGCCCCACTTGGATTCATACAGTTCCATACTTGAGCATTCACATTGATGTTTTCCTTGCTGCTGCCCATTGGATTCATACTCTTCTGTTTACCATCACCGTCAACATCCTCGTCATCATCGCTTAGATCTATTAATACCACATTAGCTGCTGCTGCTGCTGCCGCTGCACACTGTGGCTGCTGTTTCTTCCCCTGGTCACGATGCTTATTAGCTTCTTTAGATAATTCCCACTGGTCCTGGTTGCTAGCTGAAACAACATCATCGGGTTCACTTTCTACTCTGGATGAAAGTAGTACATTGTATCCGTTATTCTCGTGCATAACTTCCTGATGATGCTCTTCCTCCTTTGCTGCTTCTTGGCTCTGTGTGTGGAGCATCCCATCGTCTATTCTTTTACAGGCAGCTTCACCAAACTGTTGATGCAGTTCAGCTTCGCAATCTATTTTGGTGTTTATGCTCTTAATATCTTCTCTGCTTTCCATTTCTTTGTCAGACCAGAAAGATCCAGCAAGTACAGGAGGACAGTGGTCACCAACTTCTTCTCCTTCTATAACATTTAGAAGGATCAATCAAAGGTGAACAAGAATTATCAACTCACAGTAGACCACAAACAGAAGAATATCAAAATAATACAGTCCAGTCTAGGCTGATACGATCAGAAGTATCAAGCTGAAACAAGAAACAAAATTAGAACCTTTATGAACTGTTTTGGTGTTTATGCTCGGCTCTTCTCGGCTTTTGTGTACTTTATCAGACCAGAGACATGTAAAAAGTCCAGAATGATTGTTATCACCACCTTCAACTCCTGTATCATTTTACCAGATCAATCAAAAGAAGAGCAACCAATACTCATAGAGTTTGAAGCATATCTTTCTGCAGGATCTATATAAGACTTTCAGGGTATATCAAACAAACAATACAAATAGTGCAATCCAATATTTGCTTAATAATCAGAAGTATCAAGCAGAACAAGCGACAAAAAGAGAACCTGGATAATTAGTTTTCGTGTTTCTACTCTTCTCTTCTCTGCCTTCTTCTTCTTTGTCAGACAATCTTCCACATCTAGCAAGTCCAGAAGGACAGTTATCAGCAACTTCATCTCCTGCAACGTTTATGAAGTGTCCATCACCTTCAGCAGGATGAATTCGAAGAACTTAAAATAGACTGATAACCAAAAGCACAAACTAGTAAACCACATGAAAAGCATGAAATGTATGAGAAGTGGAAATGAAATTTTTGTCTCTATCAAACTGGAACTTCAGCATATCATGTTCATCATGCAATTGAGTAATAGACGGACATATCTGCGAGATATTAAAAGGAGATGCCCACACCAGTGTTGGCTTGATAGCTAAATAACTGAGCCAATAATACAAGAACGGAATTAGAAGGCAGCAAACCTGCAACATCTGCTTGATCGGTTGGACACCAAATAATCCTACTCCCTCTTGAAAACCTCAGAGTTGTTTCTGGACATTCGACAACTTCTAGTTCATCCTTGCAAATTTCTTCAGATGCAGGTTCCAGCTCTTCTACATCGGCAACAACCTCTGGAATCTCTTGTAGCAACCGAGATTGCTCTTCTGGCTTCTGAAGTTTGACCAATCTTTCTATGTACTCGGCAAGCGTACGCGATAAAAAGTTAAGGCCTGCTTGCTCTTTATTAACATGTTTATATGGTCTTTACTCTGATACTTTCAGCAGAAAGAAGAATAATCAAACGTGTGAATTACTACAGTAACCATAGCAGCGAAGGATATTCTCTTCTCCATCCCTTTAAACTAGCCTGGTCACGGAGGCGTTTTAGTATGACCAACTCCCGCTGAATCCACTTCATCAAGGAAGGCAGCAAGCAAATGTCAGTATAATTGACATCCAACATCTAGGATAGGAAAACTAGACATCCAAGATGCGTTCAGGCATTAAAATTTCTCAAAGATGTCGCCGATTCAAGAAACATCGTGACATCATTCCCAATGTCAGACCAGGACAAAGGGAAGAGAAAGATCGATTCGGAGGTACAATCAAAACAGATAAATCACATAGCAATTGTCACAATGCAACAGTAACATGAAGATGGCAACCCAAGCTGGCATTCTTTTAAGCAGCCCAAGTGTATACACTATCTGATATTTCTTTTAGTGTTAAACCATTGTAGTCCTTTTCTCACAAGTAAAGAACAAAGCAGAAATAAATGGAATACATACATCTTTTGTAATAGACTCATGCAGAACTCTGACCTTCTCCTCAAACTCCACCTGTCAATCCAAAATAGTTAAGTCATTATGTACACATAACAGTATTTAAATAAATCAATATGTTAGCCATTTTGACCAGCATAAATGCCATCTGAAGATGCATGTGCAGACATGCATGCTAGAACTATGAAGTGATGACATGAACTGACACATATGCCCAAAAATAGTAATCTAAGACAAACATGCATCTTCAGAACCGGCATATGTAGAGTTGTGATATTATAAAACAGAAATGGACTAGTAAAACAATTCATTTCTAGCAAACACGCACAATGGCAGGCCGCTTGATGAAGCCATTCTTCACACGCTGACGCAGGTCCTGACACTCCTCCTGCAAGAGAATATTACTTAGATAAGCATTATACTCTTAAGATGACGATAAGTAAAGTTAATGCTGGTCATGACAGTTCAGGTGATACAGTTTATTAAGACAAATATTATGTGTGCAGACATGGGAAGATATCTTCTCGTGTTAGCACACGGACATAATTGTAATGATACTTCAATAAGTATGTCAAGAGTTTATCTTTTAGCAGTCCCATGGGAGGGTACTTGACAAAAACCATCTTGGATAAACAATTTCATAACTATGTTTCCAAAATAAAAATCTTCTAACAAGCTAAATTCTAGTTAAATGGATCATCATTCATGAATGATAAATGGATCACTCAGTTTTCTTTACCACGAAAAAAACCACCCTAAATGTGGGATTGTCATTTACCTCAGTGAAGTTCTCGTCACTGAGCTTGCAGATTGGCATCTCTCCCATCATATCAGAAACTTGCAGAAGAATAGACTCTTTTGATTCCCCAAATTGTCTCCTTACACCTGTAACATATACAAGGTAATCACACAGCATGGCCAGGTCCAGCAGAAACCAGCACATTAAAAGTATCTTATGCAGTCAGTACATTGAGGCAGGTTTGGAAGTATCTTATGCAGTAATTGGACCATTACCTGTCACTTGTACTAGTAGATGCGAATTCTTCTGGGAGTAGTCATGCGGATCAGCTTTGACTCTCACAAAGCTTCCAATAACCTTCACATCGAAATTATCAGAATCCTTCGACAGCTCTTCCACTACACTTTTTTTCAAGAACACAAGCTTCATGTTCTCAGTAGTCACGGATGCAAAGCACCTCCTATTGACAAGAGGAACCGCTGCTACCTTGTCCCGGCAGTTAGCTTCTGAGGTTCTTGGTTTCTTATTGGCCACTTGAACATCATCCTCACCATCAACCACAAACCAATCTTCTTCTGCCAAGTCCAAATCATCATCCGATTGGTTTTCAGCAAAATGCTTAGCCAGATGCCCATGTATTCTGTTTTTGTTGACTGATTTCCTCACGAAAAGCGTGTAGAGTTTTGCATCACAGACAATTTGCTTCTTTTTCTCTGGATCGAATAAGTTGTTCTCAGCAGAGTACCTCTTAATGATTTCCGCAACCTCATGCTGAGACAGTTGCTGAGAAATGTCTTTACCTATGGAAGTAAGGAATTCAACAAGCGCCTTTGAGCCCCATCCACTGAACTCCCTTTTCTTCGACCCAAATCTTTTCATCTTAACAGGATGATTCTTTCCCTCGCCAACCTTACCCCTACGCCTCGCTTTACGCTGTTTACCAGGACTCACATCAGCGTAATCCGATTCATTCCAGCTTGAACCACTTGACCCACTTGAATCTTCCTTAGCATCACAAACTGGGTCCAATGCAGTTTCGCGATCCAACTCCTTTTTCAGCTGTTTTTGGGCAGATACCAGGACTTCTGCAGTCAAGCCTTCTTTCACCTTAACCTCCCCCTCCCAATAGTACTTGAAGAAGTACTCGTAAGAATCTGGCGCATCAAAGTCCACCTCCTATGAACAAAGAGCAGAGACGCAGAATTAAGAAACCAAGAAACACCCACCAAGCTAAAATCTCACCAAAATTAGGTAAAGGGGGGAATTTTTAAGACCTGCCCAGGAGCTGCCGTTTTCGTGCCTTCGATCAGCCCAGCGAGGGTCAAACAGTGGTCACAGAACCCTCTGGTACTCCTCACAACGCCGAAGTCCACATCACAGAGGCAGCGCCCACAAACAGCCTTGTAACAACAAAAGCAATGGAATTTCGGCGATTTCCCGCATAGCATGCAAGAGTGCCAAGCTGCCAAAATGATCACCAGAAGAAGAATTTCACCATCAGAAAGAAACAACATGACCCACATATGAAACGCCGACTACAACGACAACGATGGCTTACTCACCGCATTTCCAGTACGCGTCGTCATCCAAGAAGGATTTCTCCTTCTCCACGCATTCATGGTGGTAAGCTTTGGTGCATCCCCTGAAAAATGTGCAGGAGGGTAAGAAGTCCACGGAGTGTAAGGAAAAGCCCTGAAAACTAGGGTTTGAGAATAGAGTGAAGGATGGAAGCTACGAAATTGAAATTATTGGAACCGAAGGAAGCTCACTGAATAAGGATTAGGGCCAGACCCTGTCCTCAGTTAACAAGGGGAAAATGTTAATACCAAACAAAAAACACACACACACACACACAAATGGAAAAACTGATGAACAGGGGTAGGGGATGACAACGGAACGACGTCGTTCCCAGTCGAAATGTGGGTAGAAATCAGAGAATCGACTAGAAAAGCTGCACAGGAGGAGAAAGACAACGGGAAAGGGACCGATCGAGGCAGAAACAGAGAAGAAGAAAAAACTTACTTGAAGTCGCAGATTCTAAGGTCTCCACCATCTTTGCAGAAGAAGCACACTCCTTCGGAAGTGTCTTCCTTGGTCACTACTTTGCCTTTAGTGGGGGGCTTCTTCCTCTTCTTCTCCTTCTCTGCACTCTCCATGCGCTGCATTCCTCAGCAAAAAAGAAACGGACCAGGACAGGACGGCTCTGCGCGCACAAACCTGGATCAACACATTTGGCTGGCTACTTCTGCAATGTCTGTAAGACGGCTTTAGTAGAGGACAAATTGCGATCTGGGTTCAGGGCAAAATCTGCCGTGAAAGTGGTTGGCGTGTGCTTTTTGGCTGAGCGGAGAATGGCCGGTGGAGTTTGCAGAGGTTTGGTCTGTGATTGGTGGAGAGGTGTTGCAGGGGACTCACTACTCTGTTCTGCTGCTCTGTGACTGTGAGAGCGAGAGGGAAGCTGTAGGGACAGGGAAAAGGGGGATAGTGAGAGAATAATGGTGACACGTTGCAATTCTTCGTTGGGATGGAAGCTGAGAACGGTTGTGTGGGGCCTTTAGCACTAGGCAAAGAATATTTTCTATCACCAGAATGGTTTATCATTTATGGGACTGCAAGAAAAAATTCACAGCCAAAACAGGGTTTTTTTCCATCAAGATTGCAAATAACATAAAAAAAAAAAAAAACATCGGAGTTGAATTGTTTTGAAAGTCGTAGCTCAAATAGTGTGTTTCTTCTTCACAGACCTTGACCAGAAGAAGTTACGCCAAGTTTGTGAGGACATTGCATGGTTTCTATACAAAATAGTCACAGGTAATCCTTAAAGTTCGTCAGTCAGTCAGCTGACCTTCCCAGGCCTTCATCGCGCGCTTCAACTCCTCGAAGTGTTTCTTGGTGGCCGCCTTGTCTCGCTTCAGCGTCTCCTTCTCTTGCTCAAGCGCATTCTTCTCCTTCAGCAACGCCTCCTTCTCCCTGTTGAATTGGGATCTTTCCGCCTCCAATTCCGCGTCGTAATTGCTGAACAACTCGGCCTCGATCTCGGTACGCATCTTCTCGCGCTCGGTCTCCAGCCGAGATGCAAGCCTGGCAGCCTCTAGCTTCGCATCCTCGCACGTCTTGACCAGCTCTTCTCGGCGTCTGTTGGCGTGATCCAGATCAGACTGCAGACGTTCGACAGAGGAGGCTAAGCGCGTTCTGTCGGCAAGCAGTTCTTCCATCTCGCGCTGTCCGCGTGCGGCCAATAGCAGCATCTACAACAAGGAAGCATATTTTTGGCTTCGGACCAATGTTCACAAATGTTCGGGATTTACAATAGTTAGGAAGGAAAATATATTACCTGGACGCCAATCCGCGCAATGTTGGCCCATGGATCCTCCAAGGAGAGGTCCGGAGGGTGCTCGAGCACTGCAGCGAGCGACTGTGCTAGCTGCATTGCGGCGCTTGCGTCGATCGCGGCACTTGTGGGGACCTCCACAGTCACTTGTTGTTCCATTGGACGTTTCAGCGGCTCGAGATTGGGTGGCAGCTCAGCGGATGAAAGAGATTCAGAAACAGAGGACTGTGAAGTTTGCTCCATTGGATGACTTTGATCCTCGAGCGAGACGTCGGGTGAACCAAGTCCCAACTTCTTCCCCGGGACTGTCTCCTCATCTTCCTCCACCTCGGCATCCAGCACCGGTTGAGGAGGAAGCTTTTGTTCTTTCTCCTGCAGTGGGGGTGCATGGATAATGGAAGGAGGTGACTTAGTTGCTGGCGTGGGTATTTTCTTTTGTGCCAGCTTGGGTGCAACGTCCAGGAACTTAGTCCGGATGATGCTCGCCACAGCCTTCCAGTCGATGCCTACAGAAAACATCGCGGTAAATTGAGCTAAAACCAGAGCCAAGGAAAGGAAGATGGAAGTGGAGTTCAGATTCAGACACAAACAGATACAAATAGTGCAATCCAATATTTGCAAAAAATTATTAGAAGTATCAAGCAGCACAAGCGACAGAAAGAGAACCTCGATGATTTGTTTTCGTGTTTCTGCTCTTCTCTTCTCTGCCTTTGTCAGACAGCCTTCCACATCTAGCCAGTCCGGAAGGACAGTTATCAGCAACTTCATCTCCTGCAACGTTTTTGAAGTTCACTGTAAAAAAAAACGTTTTTGAAGTGCCCATCAATCAAGGGTAAACAACTAGAGCTACTATACCCGTACTATCTCCTTCAGCAGGATGAATTTGAATGTAGTTAAAATAGACTGATTAGCAAAAGCACAAAATAGTAAACCATATGAAAAGCATGAAATGTATGAGAAGGGGAAATGAAAATGATCACTCTATCAAACAGGAACTTCAGCATATCATGTTCATCATGCAAATGAGTAATAGACGGACATATCTGCGAGATATTAAAAGCAGATGCCTACACCAGTCCTGGGTTGATATCTAAATAACCAAGCCAATAATAAAAGAATAGAAGTAGAAGACAGCAAACCTGCAACATCTGCTTGGTCGGTTGGACACCAAATAATCCTATTCCCTTTCGAAAATCTCAGAGTTGTTTCTGGTTCTTCGACAACTTCTTGCCCATCCTTACAAATTTCTTCAGATGCAGGTTCCAACTCTTCTTCATCGGCAACAACCTCTGGAATCTCTTGTAGCAACCGAGATTGCTCATCTGGCTTCTGAAGTTTGGCTAATCTTTCCATATACTCAGCAAGCGTACACGATAAAAAGTTAAGGCCTACTTGCTCTTTATTGACATGTTTGTATAATCTTTACTCACAGTGATACTTTGAGCAGAATAATCAAACGTCTGAATTACTACAATAACCATAGTTGCAAAGGATATTCTCTTCTCCATCCCTTTAAACTAGCCTGGTCACGGAGGCGTTTTAGTATGACCAACTCCCGCTGAATCCACTTCATCAAGGAAGGTAGCAAGCAAATGTCAGTATAATTGATATCCAACATCTAGGATAGGAAAACTAGGCATCCAATATGCGTTCAGTTATTAATTGCTCAAAGATATCTCAGGTTCAAGAAACATCACAACATCATTCCCAATGTCAAACCAGGACAAAAGGAAGAGAAAGATCGACTCAGAAGTTACAATCAAAACAGAGAAATCCCACAGCAATTGTCACAATGCAACAGTAACATGAAGATGGCAACCCAAGTTGGCATTCCTATTCAACGGAGAAAAAAAAAAAAAAAAAACTGGCATTCCTTTAAAGCAGCTCAAGTGTAATGCTTCAGAAGAAACAACAGTAAGTGCTACATATCAAGACACAGAGTCATGGTGATTGGTGACCACACCTTTATTGGACATATTTTTGGTTGTACTAGTGTATACACTACCTGATATTGCTTTTACTGTTAAACCATTTTAGTCCTTTCTCACATGTAAAAAACAACGCAGAAATAAATGGAATACATACATCTTTTGTAATAGACTCATGCAGAACTCTGACCTTCTCCTCAAACTCCACCTGTCAATCCAAAATAGTAGTCATTATGACACATAACAGTATTTAAATAAATCAATATGTTAGCCACTCTCACCAGCATTAATGCCATATGAAGATGCATGTTCAGACATGCATGCTAGAGCTATGAAGTGATGACATGAACTGAGACATATGCCCTAGTAATCTAAGACAAACATGCATCTTCAGAACCAGCATCTGTAGAGCTCTGAGAATATGAAACACAATTGTTCTTGTACAATAATTCATTTTTAGCAAAAACGCACAATGACAGGCCGCTTGATGAAGCCATTCTTCACACGTTGACGCAGGTCCTGACACTCTTCCTGCAAGAGAAATTACTCAGATAAGCATTATACTCTTAAGATGACGATAAGTAAAATTAAGGCTGGTCATGAAAGTTCAGGTGATTCAGTTTATGAAAACAAAATTATTCATGTATGCAGACATAGAAAGATATCTTCTCGTGTCAGCACGTGAACATAATTGTAATGACACTTTGATAAGTGTGTCAAGAGTTTATCTTTTAGCAGTCCCAAGGGTGGGCACTTGAACAAAACAATCTTGGATAACTAATCTCATAACCATATTTTCATGAATGATCTTGCCATCCCAACACCAACTCTAACCTAAGTTTTCTCTGCCACGCAAAAAAAAATTACTCTGAATATTGGATTGTCATTTACCTCAGTGAAGTTCTCGTCACTAAGCTTGCAGATTGGCATATCTCCCATCATATCAGAAACTTGCAGAAGAATACACTCTGTTGATTCCCCAAATTGTCTCCTTACACCTGTAACATATACAAGATAATCACACAGCATGGCCAGGTACAGCAGAAACCAGCACATTAAAAGTATCTTATGCAGTCAGTACATTAAGGCAGGTTTGGAAGTATCTTATGTAGTAATTGGACCATTACCTGTCACTTGTACAAGGAGATGTGAGTTCTTCTGAGAGTAGTCATGCGGATCAGCTTTGACTCTCACAAAGCTTCCAACAACCTTCACATCGAAATTATCAGAATCCTTCGACAGCTCTTCCACGACACTTTTTTTCAAGAACACAAGCTTCATGTTCTCAGTAGTCACTGATGCAAAGCATCTCCTCTTGACAAGAGGAACCGCTGCTACCTTGTCCCGGCAGTTAGCTTCTGAGGTTCTTGGTTTCTTATTGGCCAACTGAACATCATCCTCACCATCAACCACAAACCAATCTTCTTCGGGTAAGTCCAAATCATCATCTGATTGGTTATCTGCAAAATGCTTAGCGAGATGCCCAAGTATTCTGTCTTTGTTGACTGATTTCCTCCCGAAAAGCATGTTGAGTTGTGCATCACAGACAATTTGCTTCTTTTTCTCTGGATCAAATAAGTTGTTCTCTGCAGAGTATCTCTTAATGATTTCCGCAACCTCATGCTGTGACGGTTGCTGAGAAATGTCTTTACCTATGGAAGTAAGGAATTCAACAAGCACCTTTGAGCCCCATCCACTGAACTCCCTTTTCTTCGACATAAATATTTTCCTCTTGACAGGATGCTTTCCCTCGCTAACCTTACCCCTACGCCTCGATTTACGCTGTTTACCAGTACTCACAACGGCATAATCCGATTCACAAACGGGGTCCAATTCGATTTGGCGATCCAATATCTCCTTTTCTAGCTGTTTTTCAGCAGACACCAGGACTTCTGCAGTCAAGCCGTCTGTGACCTTAACCTCCCCTTCCCAATAGTACTTAAAGAAGTACTCGTAAGAATCTGGCGCATCAAAGTCCACCTCCTATGAACAATGAGCAGAGACACAGAATTAAGAAACCAAGAAAGACCCACCAAGCTAAAACATCACCAAAACCAGGTCATTACAAAACCAATGTAAAGGAAGTATTTTTAAGACCTGCCCATGAGCTGCCTTTTTCGTGCCCTCGATCAGCCCAGCGAGGGTCAAACAGAGGTCACAGAACCCTCTCGTATCCGTCACAACGCCGAAGTCGACATCACAGAGGCAGCGCCCACAAACAGCCTTGGGACAGCAAAAGCAATGGAACTTCGGCGATTTCCCACATTGCATGCAAGAGTGCCAAGCTGCAAATGATCACCAAAACAAGAATTTAAACCTTAGAATTTCTCCCTCCGAAAGTAACAACGGACGGCTTACTCACCGCATTTCCAGTACGCGTCGTCATCCAAGAAGGATTTCGCCTTCCCCACGCATTCATGGTGGTAAGCTTTGGTGCATCCCCTGAAAGAAAGTGCAGGAAGGTTGAACCCTCCTTCAGTGTCAGAGGTTTGGATGTGTTTGTTATACGCAGCAAATGACGAATCGTGCACAGAGTGAAAGGTAAAGAAAAAAACCCTGAGAACTAGGGTTTGAGAATAGAGTGAAGGATTGAAACTGAGAAACTGAAATGATCGAAAGCAGAGCAGAGCTCACTGAATGGGGATTAGGGCCAGAAGAAGTGCGTAGCTAACAAGGTTATGCAAAAGGGGGAAAACAGGGTAGGGGATGATTGTGGAACGACGTCGCTCCCGGTCGAAATGTGGGTAGAGAATCAGAGGAAAAGTGGGGGGAAAAACTTACTTGAAGTCGCAGATTCTGAGGTCTCCACCATCTTTGCAGAAGAAGCACACTCCTCCTGGAGTATCTTCCTTGGTCACTACTTTCCCTTTAGTGGGGGGCTTCTTCCTCTTCTTCTCTGCACTCTCCATGTGCTGCATTTCTCAGCAAACAGACCACGACGGCTCTGCACGCGCAAACAAGGATCAACACATTTGGGGAACAAATTTTCTCTAAGAAAGCTTGCGTAGAGGACAGATTTTCGATCTGGGTTCAGGCCAAAATCTGCCGTGAAAGTGGTTGATGTGTGCTTTTTTGCTGAACGGATAACGGCTAGTGGAGTTGCAGAGCTGGACTGTGATTGGTTGAGGCAGGAGACTCTCTGCTCTGCTGCTCTGTGAGAGCGAGGGGGAAGCTGTAGGGACAGGGAAAAGGGGGGATATTGAGAGAAGAAGGTGACACGTACTCATAACTTCATGATCGAGGTGCTGTTATTTAAGTGGTGACTTCGTTCCCAAGGAGTTGAGAAAGAAGCGTGTATATATTTTGTGGACCTCCAATAGAAAGGGATTCGGAGTTTTTTCAGCTCAGGCAATTAGGTTAGTTTGGATTCCAGGTCTTGAAGCTGTTGCTGGCTCTTGCAAGTTGAGAACATACGACTCTGCCATCATCAATCATCAAGCACCAAAAACATGTCACTCTTCTTACTTCAAAATGGCCTAAGACCCAAGTGGCACTCAAGTAAGAGGGTTGTGAAGATACACACTATTGAATAGCATGGTTCAGAAAGGCACACTTAACTTTATCATTAAATTGGTCTAGATGTTAGACAATCTACAAATGCCTCTAGACGTTTTCGTAGTGAATTAGGTATCGAGAATGTGAGGAATAAGCAAGTCGACATTTAGAAGTAATTAAGTGGATCTAGGAAGACAATATTAATAAGAAAAATTAACACCATGTACAAACTCAATTTTTTCTCTCAATCTTTTCAATAACTAGGATTTAAGAAAATTTAGGGGTTATGCACATTTCAGTATTGTCATTCCTTCACTTCGTCAGATTGCGAGATATAAGCCTAAAAGGCTAAAACCCCCTCTCTCTCTGCTGTTCGACCATTCTTCACCAGGGAATACAGCAAAAAAATGTATCTTTACCGTCTCCTCCGTCGACCCTCTTCCGCTTTCGCCTCATCGGCCGCCGTAGCACAGCCTTTGATCCGAGCACTCCACCACCTCACCTCACCGCCCGCCATTTCTCAGCCACCGAGCACTCCCGCTGCTCAACCTTCGATTCCATCATCACGACGGACCTTCGCGTTCTCCTCCGCGGAAGAAGCAGCAGCCGAACGCCGGCGGCGGAAGCGCCGCCTCCGTATCGAACCTCCTCTCCACGCTCTTCAGCGGAACCCTAACCCTCCACCTCGGGACCCCAACGCTCCCCGGCTGCCGGATTCCACCTCCGCTCTCGTCGGCCCTCGGCTCAACCTACACAACAAGGTTCAGTCACTTATCAGAGCTTTCGATCTCGATGCTGCTTCTTACCTCGCTCGCACCTCCGTTTTCACCGGACTTCGCATCACTGTCTTCACCTGTAATGCCATCATAGCTGCTATGTACCGAGCCAAGCGGTAAAATTTAGAACTTCCCCGTCTGCTGCTGGTTTATTAGAATGAAATTGGCAGTGGTGTGTTGTAATTCCTGCAACCTTTCAATTGTTTTTGCAGGTACGATGATGCCATTGCATTGTTCAAGTACTTTTACGAGCAAATTGATATAGTGCCTAATGTGGTCTCGTATAACAATTTGATCAATGCCTACTGTGATCAAGGGAGAGTTGATACGGGGCTGGAGGTCTACAGGCATATACTTGCGAATGCGCCATTTAGTCCTTCCTCTGTGACATATAGGCATTTGACGAAAGGTTTGATCGATGCCGGGAGAATTGAGGAAGCAGTTGACATGTTGAGAGAGATGTTGACAAGGGGTCATGGAGCGGACTCGTTGGTGTTCAATAACGTGATTAAGGGGTTCTTGGAGCTGGGTAATTTGGACAAGGCGAATGAGTTCTTTGATGAGTTGAAACAGAGGTGCTTGGTGTATGATGGGGTGGTTAGTGCTACTTTTATGGATTGGTGGTTTAAGCAGGGAAAGGATAGTGAGGGTATGGAGAGTTACAGGTCATTGAAGGCTAAGAATTTCAGAATGGTGCCTGCTACATGTAACGTGCTTCTTGAGGTTTTGCTTCGGCATGGCAAAAAGGAGGCAGCTTTGGAGTTGTTTGAAGAAATGTTGGACAACCATACACCGCCAACATTCCAAGCTGTGGATTCTGAGACTGTTAGTTTAATGGTCAACGAGTGTTTTAAAGAAGGCAAATTTGCCGAGGCAGTCGATACCTTCACGAAGGCTGGTACAAATCCAAAATCAAGGCCTTTTGCGATGACTGTGGCTGGTTTCAACAACATTATTATGAGATTTGCGGAGAATGGTATGATTGCAGAAGCTGAGCAATATTTTACAACATTGATGTCCAAGTCATTGGCCCCAGATGTCACGAGTTTCAAGACATTGATTGAGGCATATCTGAAGCTTGAACGGTTCGACGATGCCCTTAGGATTTTTGATAGAATGGTTGAATCTGGCCTATGGGTGGTTGCTAGTTTTGGTACAAGAGTTTTTAGCGAGCTTATTAAAAATGGTAAAGCAGTGGAATCTGCCCAAATTATGATAAAATTGGGGATGAAGATGGCCGAGAGAATGGGGGACAGTATAAAACCCGACCATATGATTTATGATACTGTGGTTAGGGGACTTTGTGATGCTGGAGAATTAGATGGCAGCAGAGATGTGCTGGACCATATGATGACATATGGTGTTGGTTTGCATCCTTCATTGAAGGAATTTGCACAGAAGGCATTTGAAGATGCCGGACGTGGTGAAGAAATTAAGAAGCTTCTGGATGAAAATCAGTACAGGAATACTTCAAGACCTCCTCCTTTCACAGGTAGGCAACTTCAATCACCATTTGGAGCTTCTCAATTTGGGAGCAGACAACAATCCTTGGGGACATCTTCAGTAGGTGGACAGTCGATATTAGGCCAGCCGAGATACCAGCCAGGAGGATTCCAAGCACCATCATCAGGTTATAATAGCCCAGGACAGCTAGCGTCTGGTTCTTTCGGAATCAGTGGACAACAAACTTCATTTGCCTCTCATCCACCATCATCAATGGGAGGACAAATAGTAAGTTCCCATAGTATGACAGGTCAGCAACCTTCAGTCTCTAATGCATCACAACAGCCTTTGTGGTCTGATAGAGTAGAAGGACAACAGCCATCCTGGTCACCTCATGTACAAAGGCAACAGCCACCAGCATGGTCCTTGCCAAGGCAGGGGCAGCCACCATCATGGTCATCTCCCACACAAGTTCAGCAAATATCTTGGTCAGCTACTGCACAAGGGCAACAGCCATCATCATGGTCCTCGCCAGGGCAAGGGCAGCCAACATCCTGGTCCTCGCCACGGCAAGGGCAGGGGCAGCCAACATCATGGTCATCTTCCACACAAGTTCAGCAAACATCTTGGTCAACTCCAGCACAAGGGCAGCAGTCATCCAGGCCTTCTCCGGTGCAAGGACAACAGCCTTCGTGGTCATCTCCTACTGAAGGTTTGAAATCATCTTCTCAGTCCTCTCATACTGAAGGACCATCATCATATTGGTCCTCTCCAGATGCAGGGCAGCAGCAGCATTCATCATGGTCCTCTCCAATCTATGGACAAAGGTCCTCTGGCACACCAGATACAGCCAGTACTTATGAATATGCTTCTTCACATTCTGCTGGGAGAAATTCTGAACATGGATCTTCCTTGAACTCGTCACCTGCAGCAGACAACCATCATCCTCATGGACACTCTCACTTGTCAGGACAGGGCCGATGGCAAGACAACCAGCAACGGGTAAAAGCTTGATAGCATGATTGTATGCCTAGACTTCTCATATTTTATTGGTTGGTGGCCCAACTTTTTAGAATGCTTCAGTTTCATCTTATATTTTGCTCTTGTTCTAGTTTGATCCAATGGCGAGACAGCAGCATACTGGATTCCCAGAGACGGCTGGGCGCTATCCGCAACCACCTCAATGGCAAGCCAGCCACCATTCCACTGGACAGACTCGCACGGCAGGACGAGACCAATGGCAAGATAACCAACAACAGGTAACAAACTGATGCCTTCATTTTATCTCTAGTCATCTTTTCATTCTTCAATACTGAAATCATTACTACTAAACAACAATAGTCATGCATGCGTACGCTTGTAGCTGCTCGTTTGCTACTAACGAACGATTTAACAAATGGCCAAGCAATCTATCCAAGATAGTCACTTTTTGCTATGTCCTGGTTAGAAATGAGACTTCTCGTGATTGCTTTCTTTGCTGTCCATCTAGTGCATTTGGTTTGGTGCATTTATAAAGGATTGGTACTTGCTTCAATTTCATGCTTATCTGTTTGGAATGTTGCCTTTTGAGCTATATTTGCAAAGATATGGTGTGGTTTAGTGCAATTGTACATGAAATTTTTCTTGGCATTTGGACTGCCTTTTTTAGTGTGTGAATTCAAGTACTTCCTACCCGTGTATTTGAGATAACTTGATTGTCTTATGAGTTTGAATTTACATATGCAAATTCACTTGCATGCTAATACACATATTGCTCTCCCAAATACACAGAACCAAACACATCCTGAATCAGTCAACTTAATGGATTTGTGAACAGTCTGTTACTGCAGCTGGACCTTGTGGTTTAATTCCTTACTGGATCTCATTCTTTTGCACTTTGTATAGTTTAATCCAACTGCGGGACAACAACAACAACAGAGTGGACCCTTGGACACTTCAGAGAATGGCCATTCGCAGCCAGCTGCTCAATGGCAAGCCTACAACCAGCGTGCCGCAGCTTGATTCTTTGGTACAGACGACCGTCCTATGACCATAGTACACAGCATCGCCTCAAGTTTTGGCTTCTGAATTTGTACCTGAAATGTCTCCAGTCACTGGCGATACTCGGAGATGCCCGGATCTCGCTTTCACATATCCGTTCCAGCAGAAAGTGATTCTCTACTCCCGTGGCAGCTCATGGAAACTACAATATGAGTTGTGGTATGTCCTACAGGATGGATGAACTGCTGTTGCTATTGAGAGGCTGAACAAAATATTTATTGAGGACGACTCTATTCTTGATGGATCAAAATAGGCTAATGTGTATCTGATTTCCATTTTTGGTTCTGTCTCCTCTCCCCCTTCTTGAATAGGATAATAAGAGAAGAGAACTCTTGTGGGCGGTCACTCACACGTTTACCATCCATTAATCTTCAAGCACTGTCTTAGTGTCTTTAACCATGATATGATATTGTGAATTTGTGACAGTTACTTCTCACCAGCAGGCAGCAAGCAGCTTAGTAACTATCTGCAGAATTGTGCTATCAACACAGTCGCGATCTACTACGAACCAGCGCCTAGCTACAGCTTTATACTTTGTCGGTGACAATGTTCTGCAACTTCTGAATATGGTATACTCTGTCAATGGTAACTTGTTCTTCAAACTCGGAATAATGTACTACTCATCAAGACAAGGTTAATAGGTTATATATATCGAAGCAACAAATAATGTATTACAAATTACATTTATAATACTTAACCCACATAGTTTTTTGCAATATGGGCCAGATCTGAACCAAGAACCGTTATTGGGCATCGGCCCATTAGATGTAACCATGGGTTGGGTTTCGAGATGCGAATCAGTGGAGGAATCCAGATCCATGTGGAATTTTATTCCAACAAATAAAAAGAAGGAAATCATTATTAAATAAAAAGGAAATTAAAATATTTAGTGAAGGTTACAAAAACCCTAGTGCTTGCTGCCGTATATCTACTCTCGTGTTGTCGCCCATCAGTAGAAGTCGTCTTTCCGCGCTCTCTCTGCTTCTGCTTTGCCGAAGAACGCTCGTCCTTCATAGCAAGTCATTCTATCTCTTCCTGTATTGCTCTAAGTTGTTGCTGTTCGATCTTCGTTTCTTTGGCTGGCTGCTAATGGGACTGATTGCTCCGGCATAGTTGAGCTTTTTCCATATCTCTGATTGTCCTCTCCTCCTGGTTTTCAGATCTGTGATCGGCGAGGCTACGTTTTCTCGGCAGCCAAACAATGGCCTTGGTAAGTTGACTTCTAGTTTGTGATGGGTATTTGGTTTTGGATTGTTTAGAATCGTATTGTTTGAATTTGCACTACTGTATTTCATTGATATGCCGTTTCCTAGGGTCTGTCGCCTTCTTAAAGTTTCCTGCTTTCTGTTGGATTGGTGATAATATGGTATCAATATTTGTTTCGAGTTTGAAGTTTGATTGTCATTGTGTTGAGTTCTGAGTTCTGACTATTGGGTGCATGTGGGGTTTTAAGTAGTCCTACGGGTAGGACTGTGATTTATTTTTTTCACCAGTAAGGATAGTAGTGATCCTTCGATCATCTGTCCTTAGTGTCATCAATTTTACTTATGTGTATTTCCATCTCTGCTTTGCAGAAACTGTATGTAGGGTATCCGGGGAACAAAAATGCAAACAAGGCTCTTATTGCTGCAGAGTATTCTGGTGTGAAGATTTCTATTGCTGAGAATTTTGAGATGGGTGTAACTAATAAGACTCCTGAATTTCTCAAAATGAACCCTATTGGAAAAGTAAGCATGCTCTTACATTGTTTTGTATGTCAGAGTTCTGGTCATTATTTTGTAGCTTCTTACCAAGCTTTGTGATTGATGTTCTAGATTCCGGTCCTGGAGACACCTGAGGGTCCTGTTTTCGAGAGCAATGCTATTGCTCGATATGGTAAGACTAATCGTCTGATTCTATGCGTATATATTTATTTGTTTTTTGATCTCTAACTGTAAATTTCTTCTTGTAGTTGTCAAGTTGAACGCTGACAACCCTCTCTTTGGTTCTTCTGCAATTGAATATGTAAGTCTTGTTTTTGTTTTCCCCCATTTTTGGCATGAGTTGTTTCCTATGAAGTTCATTTTGTTTGCAACCTTGGCTAAGTATCTTAATTCAAATGTTTCTAAATTACAGGGCCAAATTGAGCAATGGATTGACTTCTCATCTTTGGAGATTGATGCCAACCTGATTAGTTACTTTAAAGCTAGAATGGGATGGACTCCTTATTTCCCTGCTGTAAGTTAGTTGCGCGTCTGCTTTTACTCTTGAAAATGATAACACTTTTTGCTTATTACTTATTAGAATCATAGGGTTAGTCTTTTGGTTATGTTGCAATCAACTTTTCCCGTAATTCAATATGGACGTCACTTATAACTAATTTCTTGATGCTGATGTTTTCCCCATCTATTTTAAATAACACTTTATAATCTCTCAATGAAGGTTGAGGAAGCTACAATTGCTTCATTGAAGAGAGGTTTTGAAGCATTGAATACTCATCTTGCCTCAAGGACCTACCTGGTTGGCGATTCAGTCACTTTAGCTGACATTGTCATGGCATGTAACCTGTACCTGGGTTTTGCCAGACTCTTGCCCAAGAGCTTTACCTCGGAATTCCCCCATGTTGAGAGATACTTTTGGACTGTCGTCAATCAACCAAATATTAAGAAGGTTATTGGGGATGTCAAGCAAACTGATTCTGTCCCACCTGTTGAGTCTGCCAAGAAACCTGGTCAAGAAAAGGAGAAGGCAAAGCCCAAGGAGGCACCAAAGAAAGAAGCGAAAAAGGTGGAGCCTGCTAAGCCTGCCGCTGATGAGGTAGAAGAGGCACCAAAGCCTAAAGCCAAAAATCCTCTTGATTTGTTGCCACCAAGTAAGATGGTTTTGGATGACTGGAAGAGGTTGTACTCCAACACCAAGTCCAACTTCCGTGAGGTGGCCATCAAAGGTATGATTCTTATTCCTATCTTTGAACACTACGAGCTTAACAAGTTGTTTACACTTTAAATTATCACGTGAAATCTCATTTACAACTTTGAACCTATTCTTAAAGTTCTGCCCACTATAGTTAATACTCTTTGATGGTTTTGTCTTTGCTGTAGGCTTCTGGGACATGTATGACCCTGAGGGCTATTCACTGTGGTTCTGTGACTACAAGTACAATGATGAGAATACCGTGTCATTCGTCACTCTGAACAAGGTCGGCGGGTTCCTCCAGAGGATGGATTTGGCTAGGAAGTATGCATTTGGGAAGATGCTGATCATCGGCGGGCAGCCACCATTCAAGGTGAAGGGGTTGTGGCTCTTCCGTGGGCAAGAGATCCCTCAGTTCATCATGGATGAGTGCTATGACATGGAGCTCTACGAGTGGACGAAAGTTGACATCACCGATGAAGCCCAAAAGGAGCGTGCCAGCCAGATGATTGAAGACTTCGAGCCATTCGAGGGAGAGCCTCTGTTGGATGCCAAGTGCTTCAAATAGAAAGTGAATGAATTAAAATGCATCATACTCTTGTTAATTTAAGTCATGTTGGGATTGACCCAAGTTCTTTTTGTAGTGAGTGAGTTTTTGTTTGTTTTGAAGCATTTCCTGCTGTGGTGATGCGAAAGGCTGTTTTGAAACCTTGAATCATATAGATCAGCAACTTTTGATGATTGGTAAGGTATTTGTCGCTCGACGCCATTTTGATATTCTGCCGAACCTTATAGGTTTAAGGGCTTTGTTACTACATAAATGCAAAACTACTTTGCAGGTGAGATTTCTTATTAGGTTTCTAAGAATTGACACGCTAATTACACGCAGTTAACTACCACATTTCTCAAAAATGTCACTCTAATTACATGGCCTGGTAATGAACATCGACATGGGATCCAATGTGGTTGAAGAGACGAACTCTCTTCCAACCTCATGCAGCAGATAAATCTTGTGAATGGAAGTTACAATAACACGTGAAACTTAGGGGTTGTTTGGAAGCTGTGATTCTTTAAATTCATGTATTGGGTCAATTAGTGTATTGTCATTTAATGTAGGGTAAATACAATTTAATATCCAAACCTTTCATTTTAAACAATATAATAGCCAAACCTTTTCGAAAACAATCTAATATCCAAATCGTCAACTTTCCGTTCGTTTGACCGTTAGTTGACACTTCAAAAAAGCTTTGTTTAGAGGAAATTGTCACAATACAACTTTGTTTCTTGTTTTGGCATTGCAGATGACTGAATATTTAGATATTCTATACCATCATGGTGGAGTCATGGACTTCTCGGGTTTGGAACTACGATATGTTTGTGTTTTTTCAGAGAAGATATCGATAGATATTGATGAAGTGTCGTACTTCGAACTTTTTTGAAGTGTCAACTAACGGTCAAACAGACAGAAAGTTGACGATTTGGATATTAGATTTTTTTCGAAAAGGTTTGGCTATTATATTGTTTAAAATAAAAGGTTTGGATATTAAATTGTATTTACCCTTTAATGTATTGAATCAATTGATGTATTAGACAAATACTTTGTTTGGAGGTTTAGATTGTGTTTTTGTTGTAAAAGCATAAAAGTTAATTTGAGTGATTGTGAACAATCTCTACAAAAAGTAGAGATTCACAATCCCTCGATTTTGAGTGATTGTGGTGGGGTCTCTAAAAAGTGAATGCATGTATTCTAGTTCAATATCACCTAAAAAAACGACTTAATCTTACAAATACATGAATTAGCTCAATACACCATTTGAAATCACAACTTCCAAACGACCCCTTATACATATGAACTGTGCTCTTGCATCATTGTGATGTAGTCATCAATGAGCGATCAAACCACACAGTGTCACACACTATGCTATGAATAAGGAATAGCCTCGGTTGCATGCGATAATGCCTTCTAAATATGCGCGGGCATTGTATTCATGATTTAGATTGAATTAGTCTTTCATAAGACATTGATTGCATTTGGGTTCTCTTGCAACCAATATGAGCACGAATTGTTAATCGACGCTAATGCGATGAACCTTCACCAAAACGCAGACCGAGTAAACGTAAACACCAATAGTGAAAATACTGGTACTCTTCCATCTCTTCTTCTTCTTCTTCAAATGACAACCTATCTGCGAAAGGCGTGATGATGTGTTTAGTTTAAAAAAGGGGGGAAGTTTCACATGAGTTTTATGTGCGGATGGTGAATGAGGTCTTGCTATTTATACCATCATATGTTCAATCTTCAATCAATAATTTACGCAAAAGGAGAAAAAATAATGATCATATAACGAATGACAAAAAACGAGAGTATACAATGGTTATAAAGTAACATACGTATAGGGAAAGAAATCAAACCGTTGATTTTCTTGCTAGTTTAGGTCATAACCTACCTTTTGGAACACATCATGTTGATGTGTGTAGTTATGATTTATGTAGATGGTTAGAGTAAGATGTAATGAGAATCTCTCAACCTCGATTTATTAATATATGATCTAAGATGCTTTTACCGTCTGTCTTCTTATAAAAAAAGTAACATACGTAAACAAACGACTATTTTCGGCAAGAAAAAGTCTTGAAATTTTATAAAATTTTATAAAAAAATTATCTTCAATAATGATGATAGACTATAAAAAAAATTAATGTGAAAAATATATAATCGAATCCTCATAAGTATAAGGCGAAAGAAATTTGAAAAAAGGAGGGAGCTAAATTTGAGATTAGTAGGATTTAACTAAGAAAGAAAAAGGAAGAGACAAATTTGAATATTTGAAAGGAAGAAAGGTTAAATATATGTATATTAGTTGGAGCATGGTCCATGAAATCGTACTGGAAAAGTCAGTGACATGTTTTTTTTTAAATATTTTATGATAAAATCGTGGTTTAACCGTCGTTCAACCGTTAGACCGTTAAATACCACTTACCGGTTTAGCCTCCGATACTGGTATTTCGTGGTTGAAACACTAGTACGATACGGTTTCATTCACTTTGTGTTGGAGTTAGGTGGGAAAACCTGATTAAAATCTAGACAGGCAGCACGCATCAGTCGAATATGCAAGTCAAACCGAAGGAAGCCACTGACAGGAGTTTCTGTGCTGGAGGCAGAGAAGAGAAAGAAGACGCACATCAGATTACATTCAGCCGTCAAAAATTCGCGACAAGCTGTGCTGTGCTGTGGTGGTTTCTTTCTTTTAGTATTTCAGGAAGCAGCGGCAGCCGGCGACGGCAGAGAGAGGGATGAGAGAATCTCAATAAGCTTTTCCTTGGCGTTTCCTCTTGTTTTTCACTACCGCCTCTCTCCAGTTTCTCTCTGGTTCGTCTCTCTTGGATCTCTCCCCAACCCATCTTTCTAACTTTTCCAAAGCTTGAATCTTTCGTGTCCTTGATCCTCCATCAGCATTGGGTTTAAGAATTCCGGCTGCAATTCGTTCCCCGATCCGATTCTCAGTTGCCATTTAGCTCGCTGATTTCGAACTGCACTTTGAACTAAATTGCCGTGAATTAGCTGTTTAGGGTCGCTCATTTTGATCTTCGGTTGTCTGTAAATTTCCAAGCTTAAGTTCTTTCGAAATGGGGATGATGGACTATTGCAAGTACAGATCAAGAACTAGGGATTAGGTTAGTTGGATAAGACTTCTGAAGATCTTTTTATTCTAGGTAAACTGTACGATAAGAAGTTCTTGCTGTGTGATCTTCGTTTCTTTGGGTGTATGCTAATGGGACTGATTTCTCAGTTGTTTTTTTTTAACCAAGACTGATTTCTCAGCCTTAATTGAGCTTTTCTCCATATCTCTGATTGTTGTTCTTTCTTCTTGGTTTACAGATCTGTGATCGACGAGGTTATGTTTTTTCTGCAGGAAAACAATGGCTTTAGTAAGTTGAGCTTTTGTTTTGTAATCTTGGGTGTATGTCGGGTTTTTAAGCAGTCTTGCTGGTAGGACTATGATTTGTAATTTTCACATGTATGGAGAGTTGTGAATCTTTGGAACAACTACCTTTAGTTCCATCAATTGTAATGATGTGTAATTCCCATTGCTGCTTTGCAGAAATTGTATGCAGGGTATCCAGGAAACAAAAATGCAAACAAGGCACTTATTGTTGCAGAATACTCTGGTGTGAAGATTTCTGTCGTCGAGAATTTTGAAATGGGTGTCACAAATAAGACTCCTGAATTTCTCAAGATGAACCCCATTGGAAAAGTAAGTAAGCCTGCTCTTGCGTTGTTTTGGACTGTAATCTGAGAATTCTGGTCATTCAATAGATTTTTACCAAGCTTTGCAATTCATGTTCCAGACACCAGTCTTGGAGACACCGGAGGGTTCTATCTTTGAGAGCAATGCCATTGCTCGATATGGTGAAGCTACATATGAATCTGCGTATATTTTTTTTCTCTTTCTTTTGGAAATTCTTCTAACAGTCAATTTGTTGATGTAGTTGCAAAGCTGAAGGTTGGCAACCCTCTCTTTGGTTCTTCTGCAATTGAACACGTAAGCCTTGCCTTTGGTTTTCCCCATTCTTAATATGGGCTCTTTCCTGCAAAACTCATCTTGTGTTTTACCTTTGTAAGTGGAACAAAACCGAGTCCTTGCTTCTAATGTCTCAAATGTACAGGGCCAGATTGAGCAATGGATTGACTTCTCATCTTTGGAGATTAATGCCAACCTAATGAGTTACTTTAAAGCTAGAATGGGACGGACTCCTTATTTCCCTGTTGTAAGTTAGTTGGACATCTACTTTTGTTTGTGAAAGTGATGTACTTTCTATTTATTAGCATCATAGCATCAGTCATATGACTATGATGCAATGACCTGTTGCCCAATTTCAATATGGTGGTTCTGTGTTTCTTGTTGTTGATGTTTTTCCCAACGGTTTTAAATAACACTTTTTTCATTTATGAATGAAGGTTGAGGAAGCTACAATGGCTGCATTGAAGAGAGGTTTCGAAGCATTGAACACTCATCTTGCCTCAAGCACCTATTTGGTTGGGCACTCTATCACTTTGGCTGACATTGTCATGACGTGTAATCTGTACATGGGATTCGTCAGAATCTTGCCTAAGAGCTTTACCTCGGAATTCTCTTATGTTGAGAGATACTTCTGGACCATTGTCAATCAACCCAATATTAAGAAGATTTTTGGTGATGTCAAGCAAACTGATTTTGTTCCTCCTATTGAGTCCGCCAAGAAGCCTGGTCAGCAAAAGGAGAAGGCAAAGCCCGAAGAGGCATCAAAGAAAGAAGCGAAAAAGGAGGAGCCAGTTACTGAGGTGGAAGAAGAAGCACCTAAGCCCAAAGCCAAGAATCCTCTTGATTTGTTGCCTCCAAGTAAGATGATTTTGGATGACTGGAAGAGGCTCTACTCCAATACCAAGTATAACTTCCGTGAGGTCGCCATTAAAGGTATGATTCTTATTCCTTTATTTGCTCACTACGAGCTTAACAAGTTGTTTACACATTAGATTATCACGTAAAGTAACTTCAGTTCCACTTCAGCATTCACCCCAAACCCGGGAAATTGTCTGTAACATAAACACTTACTTGGCGAATAAAATTTCATTTACAACTTTTAGCCTTTGCACTTGGAACCTATTCTTAAAGTTGGACCCTTTAGACCCATTATAGTTTATACTCTTTGATTATTTTGTCTTTGCTGTAGGCTTCTGGGACATGTATGACCCTGAGGGCTATTCACTGTGGTTCTGTGACTATAAGTACAATGACGAGAATACCGTGTCATTCGTTACTCTGAACAAGGTCGGCGGGTTTCTCCAGAGGATGGATTTGGCCAGGAAGTATGCATTTGGGAAGATGCTGATCATCGGCGGGCAGCCACCATTCAAGGTGAAGGGTCTGTGGCTCTTCCGTGGGCAAGAGATCCCTCAGTTCATCGTTGACGAGTGCTATGACATGGAGCTGTACGAGTGGGCGAAAGTAGACATCACCGATGAAGCCCAGAAGGAGCGTGCTAGCCAGATGATTGAAGACTTCGAGCCATTCGATGGAGAGCCTCTGTTGGATGCCAAGTGCTTCAAATAGAAGGCGTGGACGAGCTAACAAGGCTGGAATCAAGTGGGTAAAGAATTCATCTTTTTCGTCACAGGTTCTCTTGTTGGTCAGATGCTAATATGTTGTGGTTAAGAAATCCCTTGCTCATTTTAACGGAAAGCCTGTGTAATTCTTTCCCTTCCATTGAAGTTGGTGCAAATCTATATATCAAGCCATATTTCATCCACTCTCCCCCTGCAGAGCACCCAACACCGGTGTGTTAAAATGGTGGTCTTCAGCTTGAATTCCGACAAGCAGTTCATCCAGACTCACCATCCGTCTCCATACATTCATGTCTACGAATACAAGGGCGATCCGAACGTGTTCGAGATGATCCATGCCCAGGACTCGAGCTTTCGCCTTCCTCCAACTAGAATTGCAGTTCCCCTTCCCCCTCTCCGTGGAGCGGTGACAGAGTTCGACGAGCTCGAGGTATTCGGGGTGACCATCCGAGGCAACCAGCTGGTACAGCTGTTCAATGATCTGACGCTCACCCACGCAAATGGCAAGACGTTTCCTCTCCTGGTCAACCGTCAGGGCCTCTGTTTCCTGGAAGTCGGGGGCCAGCCGGTTAGGCGGCTGAGGATCAACGACCATTTCGGGTGGAGCAAGTATGGGGTCGCGCCCAGGATTTGTACGATATGGAGCATATGGGACATGAACAATGGTGCCGTTCTCGTCGCGCCTCCGGTCGAGGAGGATGGTTGCGAGTCCATGCTGAGGAAGATGTTGGAAGAGAGGGACAAGGAAGTGGCTGCTCTCAAGACCGCCATGAAAGCACTTTGCCACGAATAAGAGGTTTTCGGATTTGGATAAGTCTGAGAGTTGTGAACTTGTGATCTCGGTCAGTTACTACATGTTGCAATTTTTATTTTTCCCTGTTGTGTTTGTGTATGTCCATAAGTTATGTTCTGTAATTCTTGTTCAAGAAAAACAAATATAAAGTGTCCTTTCTGTATCATATTGTATATATAAATCGGCTTTATGACGATATAAACCGATTCGACAACCATACATAGTTACATCTATGTGTTATTTATATGTGCCATCTGATCTGAGCATTGGCCAACTGGATGACCCGGCCGGCTTTACAGTAGTTAAAAGTTAAAACGGTAGGAACTTTCTCATAAGAGGAACCCCGCTACCAAAGTGGCAGGCGGCAGTCGAATATTACAATTCAAACCGAAGGAAGCCATTGGTAGGAGTTTCTGTTTCTCTTCATCCATTATAATAAAGAAGGGAAGTGTGATCAATCCCTCTGAAATGGCTGCTTAAGTCGCACGGAAACCGTCCGACCCACCGACCGATCCAACAAAACCAACGACGACGCTCGCCTTCTTCTTGCCGGGGGGGAGAGAAGAGAAGACCCACATCGGATTACATTAAGGCGTCGAAAATTCGCGACAAGCTGTGCTGAGCTGTGGTGGGTTCTTTCTTCAAGTATTTCAAGAAGCAGCCGGCGACGGCAGAGAGAGGGATGAGAGGAATCTCGAGAAGCAGATCGGCTTTTCCTTGGCGTTTCCTCTTCTTTTTCACTGCCGCCTCTCTCCAGTTTCTCGCTGGTTCGTCTCTCCTGGATCTCTCTCCCATGTTTCTAACTTTCCTAAAGCTTCAATCTTTCTTGTCCTTGATCCTCCCTTTCCATTAGGTTTTAATAATTTCAGCTGTAATTGGTTCCTCGATCTCATTCTCAATTGCCATTGAGCTCGGTGATTCCTAACTGCCCTTTGAAATTAATTGCCATGAAATAGCTGTTTAGGGTCGCCCATTTTGATCTTCGGTTTCTGTGACTTGCCAAGCTTAAGTTCTTTCGGAATGTGGATGAACTGTTGCAGTGCAGATCAACATTAGGGATAGGATAATACGTCTGAGTTGGTCTAGTTGCAGCCTTCTTACATGGGCTTGAATTGGGCATTTGATGCTGTGTTTAGTTGATTGCCTTCTGGAGGCCAGTCTGTTATGGTGATTGCTGTTAGTGTTAAGTGTTAGCTTTCATCAGTTTTAATTGACCCCAGTGGATGGGTTTGATGATAATGGATTAGAGAGTTGTAGCTCTCAGTCTTTTCTCTACATTCTTGAAAGTTTTCTGACTGTGGTTCGCCGTGCAGGCTTATGTGACGACCCATCTAGCACAAAAGACAATGCAAAGAAAGCTGATTCTGGTGTCGATACTCGCCGTAAGATTCTTTTCATTTTCCTAGGGATGGTAGCAACTGGGTTGCTTTCATTTGGCCTTTTCAAGTTCTGGCAAAAGAAGAAAAGAGAAGAGCAGTATGCCCGTCTGCTAAAGTTGTTTGAAGAGGACGATGAGCTGGAGGTTGAACTTGGCCTCAGAGATTGACACTCATAGTGCTCTGGTAATGGAGTCAATTGTAGTTGAGGTACGTGCATCCCTTCCAAAATCCTAACTTAAATGAGGTATGCCTTGCTTCCTTGTTTTCCTCTTATTTCCCTATTTGGGAAAGTAGATTCAGGAGTGGAACTTTAGCTGTAGATGGTTACCTGCAACTATGTGGAAACATATATTGGGAAGCACCCATTGTCCTTGTGTGAAGCTTGAAAGTTGCCGAAATTCGTTCCTTATTAGTGAGAAAGTTGCAGCTGAATACGTTGGGGGGTTAGTACCTGAAAGGCTGAAACTGTTAGGGAAGTATTAACATTAGTGGTACTTGGAAGATGAGAATATGCAACCATGCACATATTTGGGATCCATCCATTTCCCTGTATGCCTTTCAGGCCTGGCCTTGGTTAAATCTTGAAACTTGCTGAAATATACTCCTGGTTATTGTGAAAGATGCAGCTTATATTGTTGGGGTGTTTGTAGCTGAAGTTTCTGAGGAAAGTAGATTTTGAAGTGTAGCATTAGTTGTAGGTCAGAAATTCGCGACAGCATTTGGGATCCATCCATTTCCCTCTACCTTGCCCGTCTGTCTGAAGCTTGAAAGACTACTTTGTATAGTCGGTTAGTGAACTGCAATTCCGGTCTGCATGAGTGGACAGGCATTGTTGCGGCATATTTTGAATATTGATTTAATTTTCAATAGAAAACTCCATTGCCATAACCAATTCCACACGTTCATTGTGCATAAAGGTGGTGATGGCTGTAGATTTTTTGTTTGCGTAAATGAACATAACTCCGAGATTGAATCTATTTTTCTGTAGCCTATATTACGTCTATCTGTCAGTACCATGACTGCATGCCCTTCAGTCTGGTGTTTAGCCAGATATACCTCTGCTATTCCAAGCATCTAAAAAACCTCACTTCACCCCCACTGCTTATTTTTGCAGGTTTCACGATCGGAGTTGGCATTAGGACAGGTGGTTCCTCTGCTTGGTCGCAACTCCCCTTCTTGAAGATGCTTTGCTTCCGAGCCCGAAGCTTTTACCATTATAGTGATTATGTTGAAATGGAAATCGTTATTCAAATTCTTTCAGAACCTTTTAGTGAGAGGAAGAAAAGAGGAAAGAAAGTATTGCACAGTATGTAATGAAAATTCTCGTATAGGATTTTGTAAGATTCAACAGCTTCGATATCCTTTTTTGTTTTCCTTGTTCTTCTGGTACTGCCTGCCTCTACACAACCTGAGTTCTGTTTTTTCCTGAATTCGGTAGCTTGCTGTCAAGAGTTCAAGCCAGGTGCAAAATGTGGGAATTGAACACTAAATGAAGACTGCAAATTGTTACAGCAAATGCTTGCACTTGTCTCTCTCATAGGTTCAAAAAACCTTCATCACGAATAAAGAACGAAACAGGAAAGAGACGCTCCTTGATCGTAACAGTCTGTTTAACGAAGTACACTACTGAGTACTGAATCACCTCTCAAACCATCCTAATCCACCCTCGAGATTGGCCTTGCACGCTTTCATGCAACATCCGCAATGCCTACCGCTAACAAACTACTGATTAAACTGTTTACTATCCTCATTGCAATATCCAACTGCAGAAAAGACAGTCGAAGCTTAGGTAAACATACTAACAGAACACTCAAACTTGTTAAACAGCAACCAAGCTTCAAATCCATCACAATCACATCACTAAGAAAATAGTACGTAGGCACTAAAACTTGTGCATATTCATAAGGTCATGATGCACACTGCATATGCTAAGAATTATTGAAACAACTTCGACAGATCGAAGTTTTACATGGCTGACTGTTAAGGACCACTAGATACCTTGATCAAAATACAAGTCAGCTTCAACCAATCAGATTATTACGTTTCAATGTTCAAAGAAATAATACATGGGAAGAAGAATAGTAATGGCGCTATAAGATAAAAAGGGTGGATGGTGGGTGAAAACGTATATTAAACAAAACTAGTAATGCAAAACTAAGAAGCCATATAGAACCTCAGCCCAAATATCCTTTTTGGCAAACCATCTCTCAGATCATCATCAGCATATGCCCAAAAACACATAGGAGGGGAGTAGTTTCAAACTTGTTTCCAAACCATTTCTCAAGACACACTCCAGCCAGCAGTTCCAAGGTTCTTCTTCAGCCCAAGTTTCTTGAACCTGGTCTATCATCATTCTCAAAGAAGTCGCATTCATCAACAGCTTATCATAGATTCATCAGTATTATCTTCCAGTCTTGGCACGTTTCATCCCTGCAGAGTTGAAAGGAGACATGCTTGGGCTCATACTAGGACTCATGCTAGGGCTTTCCTCCCTTAGTGTACCATTCAGCATTGCCAGCTCCCTCAGTTGCTGCTTTTTGTAGTGATCTAAAGATTCATCCTGTTAAAAAGGAATAAGTAGAGAAGATGTCAATGCACAATAGGAACAGCAACTGAAACAGTAACAGCAGAGGGGAATTTTTTGCCAAATGCAGGTGGTTTGTTGTTAGTTCATACCACGGGCCTCAGAAGGCTTTCCAGTATGGTCACAGCATGATCCAAACGAGCATTTATAATGTTCTCTGGAAATTCGGCCTCCACCAAGACATGAAGTGGCTCATTCAGATGCTCATACCCTGGTTTATCTTTCAATTTCTCTTCCTGAAAAAAAAAAAACAATAGTGAGACTTTATTCATCTGTACTATAAAAAGCACAAATGGCCATCATAGAAGTAGCCAGCGAAAGTTTTCAATAGTAACAAGCTACAGCTTCTAGGGCTCATTCATTTATGTCATATATCACTAGTATTCATTCACTCTTAAAATGTTTCGTGATAAATTCAACCAGTTTGAGACTCAGGTCATACACATCATCAAGTGTACAAATTGAAACAGCCTCCACAACCAATGAAACATAACACCGAAAGTGTGAAAGATGACCGCGAAGGGAGGCACACATCACCATTAAATTAACTTCAGGGAGAGCTATGTTTGGCATCACCTACAATTTGACATGTACTTCCTTCAGCAAATGGGATCAAAGTGGACGAAACATATAGAGCGTAACAATATTAACACATAATGGCTCCAGGCAGTTCCAAGGAGTCGATCTTCCACGAAAGATGTAAGCACGCAAAAAAGTTAAATTTAACCTTCAGAATTGTCAGGAGACAATCTTTGTTTCAGGTGTCAAATTATGCACAGAATTGTTACTGCTTCACAATGAGTCACAGCTTATCAAGGGGGTTCTAATTCTAACTCCATCCGAGTAGCAATGGTTTGAGATTCAGGCAACCCAATCAGAGTTTGCTATCATGTTTCAAAGCTAGAATATATTCTTTTGCTTAGCAGGCCTATCACCCTAGTGGATTCGAGACCATATGAACAGGTCTTCCATCTTGCAAATAGGGTCATGCATGGTCAAAGTTTATGAAGGCATGAAAAAACAAAATCTAGGCACAATATAATCTGAGTTTAAAAAAATGGAGATAGACAACAAGCGCTTGAATTAGAGAGCATAAGCTGGAATTTCCATATGGCGCTCAAGGGATGAAACAAGTCAAGGCTGGGCTTGGCAGTCAGCACTGCCTAAACCAACCAAAAAGGAAATGAACACTAAAGATAGTGACGAATAATACCTTGAGAGAATCTTTTACTGACCCCTTCCCTCTTATATACACCCTGCATTCTGTCAAGGCTTCAACTCTTTTCAAGGAGTTCCCCCGAGGTCCCAGTATTCGACCAACAAAATTGAACTGGAAAAAGCTCAGAATTAGAAAATCATAACAAGCATATCTAATTCAGCATTTGTGCTTGATAGGAATTAAGAAATCACACTTACATCGGGATATTTGTCAACTGGAACATCAAGTCTAATTACTCTCTTTACAACAGGAGTTGTAGGAATTCCTGGCACTGCAGGCCAACCAATTGAAGCAGCTTGTAATGTAGCCATTTTCTGCAGATGCCCATTTTCCTGCAGGAAAATATGTATTAGAAAACGTGTGAATTTCCATTCAGTAACTTGAAACAAACAAAACCATTAAACCTGAGGTCAAGCTAGAAAGTGGCTTCCACCTCTTCAGTGATATTGGCGTGCAAAATGAGGACGTTTGTTATTACATTATATTTGTTTCTTATTGACATATGCATACAAAAAACAAGGTATAAAAAATTTACCAAGAAGCTACACTCCCATTCACTTAGCATTTTTTTCAGGCTGTAAGATTAAAGCTTCTTGACATTCAAGTCAGACTTGAAGTTAATCAGACATTAGTCAGAGCACATTGAAGTGTTTTGACAGTTAGGTGTGAATAGTGAAAAGAGCTACCCATTGCATGGCTCCAGGTAGGAGTGTTTCATCTGTGTGTGTGTTGGATACTATCCAGAGAATTTTAATTTTTGGCAGTCATTAGTCAGTGCTAGCATCATATTGTGATTTCTAACAAAGCTATAAATCGTGTAACTAGCTCGAAGTTTTATGAACTTCATCCACTTCTTAGATTGTCTTCATTCCTAAATCCTCATTTTAGATTTGGAGTCAACAGTTATTTAACAAAAGAACAGATAAAAAATAATAATGACCCATGATGAGTTCCTAAATCAAGCAAGAAACTCCTCCAGATCTACTTTGCAGCAGCATTTAGTCTCCCTATGCTAGATCGCAGTTGACAAGTCACAATAATTGCTTGCCACCATCCAGTAACTAACCCATCAATAAAATACCAATATCGGCCTCCACTTCTCCCCTTAAAGAAAAGGCCATCAATCAAGTAACTTACTCGAGTGAGCAAGACAGAACAACAAGACAGACTCGAATAGCAAATGGAGAAATTTCAAAACTGTTAGGTAAGTAGACTACCAGGAGCATACACTGCACATACGAAACTGTAGAATTTCACTACCTCTGTTTGCATGGCAGACCAAGCTTCCAAATCCATTGTCCTTCCATTAGGATGTTGACCTAATGACCTAAATGGACTATCGTGCTCATATCTTTCATGCTCTCCAAAACCCTGACTGAAACTTGATACTCGCCTGATCTCTGCAGTTATGTTAGTGTACAAGAGAAGCAGATAAGCATTCAACAAGAACCCCTGTAAGCGGTTAACAGTAGCTTTGTTATGTTAATCTAGTTATATTAGAAATAGTCAGCAATAGTTAACGAGTCAAACCAATGCAACCACACATCTAGTAGTTAATTAGGAGTTAGACAAGACATCTGGAATATTTGGACGGGAGAAGTCAAACCAATGCAACCACACATCTAAATATTTAGCAACCACCCTAAGATTTCTTTGACATCATTCTCACTTCCACTCAAAGGGAAAGAGTACATCAAGATGCCCATTAACCTACTACAGAGCATGTGTTTCCTCGAAATTGAAACGGCAAAATAGATATATGGACATGATGCCATGAGATGATCAATTATCAACCACCTGTTTACATACGAGTCATTTACTCGAGTGCAATACATCATGCACTGACATATCTGTGAATCAACTGCCTATTTGAAGTAAGAGATTGATCATATGATTCAAGAACCTTGATTAAGGAGCCTGCTGCAATATGGAAGTACTTGTATAAATGGCCCCAGCTTTTCCCTCTCCGCCAGTAATTCAGCCAAGTATCTGCAGGAGAAGTGCTCGTGAAATTGACGCATCCCAAGCCAGTACAACATATATAAAAAAATTACAAGCAAAAGTTTAAATTTGAAAACGTATTAAGAGCCAGTTCAAGCCATGAGGGCCAGGAGCCAGTCAAAAGAACAAACAACAAACCTAGCTCCATGCCATATCAGACAAGTGCGAACTCGGATTGAATCTCAACAATCATGAGACTAATTCTATTAATTAACAGGATGGCGTACAGCCGAACAAGTATGGATTGCGAGACACATAAAGAGATAAGGAGCAGGATGCAGAAACAAACGAGTAAACCTTGAGAAATATCAGAATACTAAACCTTTCCCAGAAGGGAAAGCATCTGCTACAACATAAATCAATTTCCAAGGCGTCACTACACGGTTACTTCTTCATAATCTGGTATTCCTCTGCAAAGCCTATCCATATGTATCCGCTCACAGATATTCCTCCTCTACTAATTGAGCCATTCCAGACAATCAAAAGATAATTTCACCACACTAGAACATCATACTAAACATGTTTCCAAGTTAATTCACTGAACAGTGACATAGAACCACCATATAACTATTACAACAACTCCACCGACACAACTGACGAACACTTATCATGGTGGTGGTCATAGCAATAAGTCAAGCAATCAAAACCACGAATCCAACACCACCAACCAAATCAAGAACCCTACAACAACAATACGCAATCACAGTACTGAAAAAATGATCACATAAGCAACAAACAATCATAATTTACCACAAAACAAGGAAAATCAAAAGGGTGGGTGGGGGATCCAGAAAAGAAGAAGAGAAATTTACCTCTCACGATCTGAAGGAAACGAAGTGGCTCTATGAGGAGAAGCGTGATGAATCCCAGATGGCGGGTATTGAAAGAAACTCCCCGGCGGTATCCTCTCGCCCATCGCTGACAGCCGCACACGAAGAAGATAGTATTTTCCTTTATGCAGAAGGTAATAAAAACAGACTTAATCAGAACAAAAACAAAGTCAAACCCAGAAAGCACAACCAGCAAAAGATTACAGCTTTCATCTGTACATCCAAAACCCAGCAAAAGAACAACCGAAACACGACGAGAGAAAAGAAAATACTTACTGGGTTTGTGCGATAGAAGCAGAAAGATAGATAGGAAGAAGAAGAAGAAGAAGAAAGAAGAATTAAAAGGGGGAACAATAAAAGGATGGGGAGATTTTGAGCTGAGGGCAGAGATTCAATAGCCCAAGAGGACTGCTCCTCACAGCCACTCTGCCCCTTTTATTGGTGATTTTGGTGGGTAGCAGTAGTAGTGGTGGTGGAAGGCAATAGTATGGGAGAGAGTGTCAATTTGACACCAAAACAACACAAAGCAAAAGCCCTACTCATTCATGACTCCCTCTCTCTCTCTTCCTCTCTTTTCATTTTTTATTTTTAGCTTACTCTATATATTTCATTTTTTTCCTTTGCTTATTTTTCTCCTTGGATCCTTTTTTTGCCTTGCTGTATTTATACCCATTTTTGGATCTTTCCTGTTTTGTTTTTTATTTTGGTTGTACTAATTTATTTTTAGGGTTTACGTTTACACATGAGAAAATAAAATAGGAAATAATTAGGTGGGGAAAAAAGGTGTCAAAAAAGGTGAAAATAAATTGGGTTTTTTTTTTTGGAGGGGGGACTTTGGCTGGTCTATGTCAGATTCAAGCTGTCAATTTTCTTCATAATCATACAAAAATGTTGAATGGCTTCAACCAGCCAACAACAACCAGTACCCCATTGATGCCATTTTTTCCCTATCTTCTCTGTCACTATTTTATATAGACATTGCAATTTATTGATTGCTCAAATAATAGTTTATCTATAGAGGATTTGTTATTCTCCCAACGACTAGAATAATTCAATTTGTTGATTAGCATATATTGTTATAGTAGTTTCAGTTTTGGGTGATTCTGTTGAGTTATAACTAGATTTGGGGGAATAAAAATGGAAAATAGCATATAGGTAAACATTTTACAACTTTATTTTAGTTTACCAAGTGTGAAAAGTTATTTCCTGTTCGGATTTGTTAGGTACATTATGTAGATTGTTTTTATTGATAATCATAGTATACCGTTTTGGATAATACTCTTATTTGCCTTTTAAGTTTGTTAGTGTTGACACCATACATAAACTTGTGACGTTGGCCCTTACGAGGTCTAATGATGCACATCTTTTCATCTTTCTCGAGCAATGAAAACTACATGGAAGGTTTTGTCGGTAATAGACCAATTGGGGCTTCTTTAGACACTCAAATCCACGAAATAAATAGTGTGAGGAGGTGCTAATATTACTTTTGACTTGGTGGATTGAACTTGGATCTTATCGTTGATCACAGGAAATGTTCGTTATCCAATACATGCAGGGAAATGTGACAACCTCATAGTTGTTAGATCATGTGCTATGATTCATAGACTATCCCTCAACTATTGTGAATATGACATGGATAGAGATCTCCACACACTAACTGGTAAAGCATGGTTTGGATCCTTGATTCGAACATAATTTGCTAGAAAGTTGGCATACTCAGTATTTATTGCGAGAGAATAAACTTTAGTAGTGTGTACCCTACAAATAGTAGGGTATTTGATTTGCTTATATTATATTACGGCCTTGTGTGTGTTAACCCTACAGAGATAAATGTATTGTGTTACTACAAGATACAAAGAGAATACATCGCCAAGGAAGCGAGCTTTATAAAGTGAAAAGGGATCAGTTGAGTTAATGTTTAGATGGCTCGACATAATCATGCCCTTGTCAAAACTCGTTCACTGTTAGGCTATTGCGCATGTTATTTGGGTTATCTTAGAAGACCTTGATCGGAACCCAATCAACCATCCCCATTTTGGGTTGAGTTTCTCCAAACAAATTATGTTGTGTTAGTTCGACGACATTTAACCTAGTGAACTCAGTGCTTTTAGGCTCGGGTTGAGACCTAACTTGCTACATAATTAGGGTTTGGGTTGGTTGGCTTCACAATGATTGAATCTCTAAACAATCCTTATTAGGGTTTAGATCGACTCTTCCTCGCTCAATTTTTTTGTCACTACAATATGTTTGAATTTGATCCCTACTATCCCTCCCATCCCTATCATTGGAATATACCTTTTACAATTAATCACCCAAAACTTTATCCATGAGATAACCCTTTTTTTCACTAATCACCAAACTACTATAATAGTTCATTATTTGGATAGGCATGTGAATATGAATGTTCACAACTTGGTTCATGTTAAAAGTTACAAAAGTCAGTCCTTATAGATTGTTTAATGTCAATAAGGAAAAAAGTGTGTTTATGTACCTCAAATTTCAATATATATTAATGATAAGGCATGCAGTTAGTGCATTTGTACTCACCTTTGTTCAATTTTAACACTCAACAAGTTTGACAAGAGTGGTTCTATATAAATCCAATTGAATCTCATTGGGTTAAGTTGAAAAACTCATGCGTGGTAGGTCAAACAAAGTACTGAGACAAAACAAAGAAAACAGTAACTACATAATAAGAACCATAGCTGAAGAAGTTCGAGATCCACCTCGGACTCCAATTTTTCGATCATCATATATCTCAAAAGGGCACGAGCCAAGACTAACAATTCATCTTCCCTTTCCTTACCCAACACTATCCATATTCACCTTTCTTACCCAACACACGGCCGCTTTTTTTCGTTTCAATCAACCAGAACAGGTACTCACCCAAAAACAAGTTGGTTACACTTCCTAATATAATAGTTGATAGCTCAGAGAGTACTAGCACTAATGCAAGACTGGGGTCCTAATCCACTACGGGGCGAGTAGAGACCGAACAATAACAGTAATAATCTTGTATGAGTATTGACATTCAAAGAAAAACGAGTCGGAAACTCTACCATAACACACAGTCAGCAATAGCAGCCTAACCCCCGTCAAACTTACTTCTCAGAAATGGCGATTCTATCGAGTATAATTAGCCATGCTAACGCATCAAAACCGAGGATAGAGAACCTACCCCAAAAGGGGCTATGTTAAGGTAAACATCATTTCAATATGCTTTTTCTTTGATATGCAGATGAAGTTACTAACTCTTCAAACTCATTTTCTTGTAAAATAAACGTGTAGCCTAATTTAGCCAATGTATAATGCATTCCGATCAAACATGACACGTTGTAAGTATCCCAACCCAATTTTTTGTAGGTAAATTATCTAGACATAAGTTATTTATTGTGCAAGTCTTACAAGCCTATAATAAAGTATGGGGTGCAAAACTAAAATAATAAAACCTTTTACCAATAAAAACGTAATTATTTCAGACGGTGCCGTTCCGCATAATCTGTTGACATATGCATTATGGAGCTCTCAATAATAAACCGTATAAATACACGAATTCACACAACTCCCCTCCGTATTAATTTTCTTCTTTCGTTACATGCTCTCTCTCTTAAAAGCTTCTTGTAAATTGCATGGCGACTTTGGTTTCTTCCTTCCGAGATTAGGGCACCAATTCACTCTCGATCGGAGACACACTCCCCATCTGGAGGAGAAAAGATGTGATTTCCAGCGGGATTCACAGCTCTGATTTCGAAGGAGGAGGAGACGCTTAACTGTAACTTCGGTTCTCGGAGGGTTTGGGATTTCTAGGGTTTGTTGATTTTTTTTTTTTTGGTTCGGTCACCCATTTCTAGGACGTTTGCAAAATATTTCCCCCCCGGTTTTGGGTAGTGAGGCCATGAAAGGCCAGTCTGATAAGACGAAGGTGGTCGTGCGGCGCTTGCCGCCGACGATTTCTCAAGCAACGCTGATGGAGCAAATCGATTCCTCATTTGCTGGTCGCTACAGTTGGGTCGCGTTCCGCACCGGCAAGAGCAGGTCAGGGGGTTTCTTTTCCGTAGAATTTTAGGTGAATGGTGGCTGTTATTTGCCCTATTTTGATACGTACAATCTGATGTACTTATAATTTTACTGGGTCTATTCGTCTTCTAGTATCTTTCTACTGTCGGCTTTTGTTCAAGATGGAGGTGCTGTGCTAGGATGTTTATTGTTGCTCTTGTTGCAAATGATGTCTGTTTTCCGGAATTTGTGGAAAGGATATTAAGTGGACGAACTGAGTGAGGACCTCGATATAGGCCTTTGATTCCTAGAAATTGGTTATTTGGGGGCTCTAGATTCATGCTGTAGTTGGTCCAAAATATTGGGATAGCTGGACATTTCATATCAGTGAAGGCTTTGCTGCTTAGGATGATTGGATTGCGAAAGTCAGTTTTGTGAGTATTCAGTACCACTCCCTCAGTTTAGCATTTATATAGTTGACGATTAGTAGAAATGATGAGCTAATCTGTTGTTTAGGAACCCTAAAGTCCTGTTTGCCTTTATCTTTTGTTTCTCCACTCATGGTTTGCGCAACCAAACTTTGCTTCCATCTCGATGTCATTGTACAGTTCACTATTGTGTTTTGTACTATTAGTTGTTGCATTTTTGTGTGCAGCTTCTATTTGGTTGATTTTGCCAAATTCAATGCTGCAATCTGTTTTTACTGAAGCTTGAGATCTGATTAAGAATGTATCCTGATGAATTATTCTGAAAATGATTTGCAGTCAGAAGCATCAATCATATTCGAGAGCCTACATCGACTTCAAAACACCAGAAGATGTGATTGAGTTTGCTGAGTTCTTTAACGGGCATATGTTTGTTAATGAGAAGGGTAAATATGGAGCCTATTTCTTTAACAGAATGATTAGTAGGGGCACTTTGAGTCGGCGATAGGAGTAGAATATCTTTGTTTTCCAAATTTCTCAATTGATTACTGTGGCTGGTGAATCTCTAGGTGGATCATTTTGGAAAGACTGGGATTTGTGCTTCTCTTCACATTTTGATGGATGTCAACTTTGTAGGATTTGTAAAATGACTGTATTATACAATTCCTTTTCAGGAACTCAGTTTAAAGCTGTCGTTGAGTATGCTCCCTCCCAGCGTGTTCCAAAGCATTTATCTAAAAAGGATGGACGTGAAGGCACAATATCAAAGGGTATTTCAATTGAAAATGAATCTTGTCTTGTCCAGAATTCATCCTCTGTCCCACGTCGCCTTACTTTAGTCTAATACACTAGTGAAACTTTGTGATTCTTGGCCATCCAGATCCCGAGTACCTACAATTCCTTGAAGCTATTTCGAAGCCCGTTGAGAACCTTCCTAGTGCAGAAATTCAACTGGAAAGAAGAGACGCTGAAAGAGCTGGTTAGTTAACTAGACTATTGTCACATCTACAAATCTCCTCAATCTTTTTGATCTCGAATGCGACACCTGACTAGATGCTCTCTAGTTCTAGTAAAATAATGCCACTGGAACTTAAATCTTAATTACATTTCATTTGTTTGAAATATAGGTGCTGCAAAAGATGCTGTTATTGTTACACCACTGATGGAATTTATCAGGCAAAAACGAGCTGCGAAGAATGGTTCACGGGTAAATTCCTACTTGAGAGGCTGTCAAACTGAGACACATCAGCATTTGGAGTTTACTGTATTCTGTGATGTTCTAAATGCGATGTGCACTTAAATGTTCACTTAGTAGACTATAAGACAAAGTGAGAGCAGTTGGTGAATCGTATTACTCTGTAGTCTGTGTGATGCAACTATATTCAGTTCTTATTAATATCTGTGGCACATTTGGTCAGAATCTGATTCTGATTTTTGTAACAGAGAATTTTGGCCAATGGGAAACCCAGCAGAAGGTCTCTTGCAAGTGGAAGTCCTAGCTCATCATCATCATCATCAAAAAGGGGTTCCGACAAGAAGAGGACTTCAACAATGGTAATAATGGCTTAAACATATAGGTTTATGGAATTTTCTACCTATAATTTTTAAATGTACTCCTGTGGCGTTAGTTGCACTAGGCACTATCCTTATGTTTCTGCCATAATTAGGTGAGCCACCACAAAAATGGATGCCCTTGGTTCAAGCCGCTGGGGGCACAGGCACCTAGCACAGTTTGGCCAAAACCCTCTTCAGCCTGTTGTCCGTTCATTCTTAAAATGATCAATCAATTGTAGTCTCTGCAAACCTACGTTAACAATACTGTTGCTATTCTGATGAGTAATTAAGTAAGTCAGTTATGAGTTATGGTTACAGTAATGATAAGGTTTTTTAATAACTTTCTTAATGCTAAAATTTGTACGTCTTATAAGTGGTCATTGGTTACTCCTGTTTCTTTCGTGTTTTGTTCCTTCCGCAACCATATTGCTTGCTTATTGTCAAATTCTAGTACTTTCTGTGGTTCTTCTTTGGAAAAGAGTGTGCGGCCCTCCCACTTGAGTTTAATCGTGTTCTTTGTCTATCCAGGAATTCGTAATCCATGTTACTGCACTATGCTTAATGATGTATTACGATAGATGTTAAATAACTTTAGGCAAGTAGTTATTGTCATGACAGTTTTCTCTCTCTTTTAGGTCTATAAACTTATAGATCTTCTACATTGGTGCTAATCCAGCTGGCGGTTCTCTTCATTAGTTTGTAATATGATTGGAGATAAACGTTGTATTGATTTTGAAAAATTGTCCTTATGCGTCTCCCAATAAAAGATAATCAACAAGTTTACTTATAATATAGAAGGTAAGTCAGCAAATAAGACAGAATTAAGATGCATCTATTTGCTGCAGTTGCTGTCGTTGATAGGGCTCACTCGTTCCTGAGCTGCAATCTATTGCTTGCTTTGCAGCCAGCCTTAACTTTGCGACTCTAAAATGGCCTTTCCCACTAGTTTCTGTCATTCAGTTCGTGTGTGCTATTCCTGTTTCTTTAACTATTAGGTCTATCTTTTTTCTACTCGTAATCAATATTCTTGTAGCTGGGCTTTGAGGTTTGCTCCACTTCTATTGAAACTGGAAAGCTTTTGTCTTTAATTACCAATGTACCATATTTGGACTCTGTATGATATAATCTATTTTGACCTTGAATGGACAGTATGTTTTAAGGGATTCAACGAAAGGTGCAAGTGGAAAAGATAAATCTACCTACACACTGGTTTCCAAGCGAGATGATCATCAATTGTCTGGCAAAGTTGTTACATCTGCTTCTGGACCTGAAGGCTTGGAAGATAGAAGTGGTAGGATAAAACCAATAGGATTGATAGGTTTTGGTTGTATAGATTTCTGCCGCACATCCCAATATTTTGGTTTCTTGCTGGCAGCAATTGCTGGAATGACTGATGGAGGGAAGAAAAGGATCCTGCTTCTGAAAGGGAAAGAGAAAGAAATTTCGTCGGTAAGTACTGCAATGCTTTATCGCCTTTACTTGGCCATTGCAGTTTCAGGAAAGTCGCGTCATGCTATGAATACAGGAAGCATTTTCTGTTGTTGGTGTATGATAATGGAGCCCAGTGGTAACACACGTTGGAACTTGTTTATAGTTCATGTGTTGAAGTTAGTTTGCTTTGTGAATCTTGTTAGTTCTTAGTTGCCGATCCTTTAGATCTGTTGACTTTTCTTTCCTGCACATGAGAGGGTGAATCTGGGCCAACTTAGATATGTTGTGCCATTATTTTTTTTTTTTTTGTCTATGTCCGATGTGCTTAGGACATAGTTACGTGTTACTTGGGATGGCATGCTCAGTTAATAATATTCCCTCTATGTTCCTCTGTCATGTGCAATCTGCCACATGACTGAATAGTTTGTGGCCTGTGAAAATGCCAATGCTAAAAAGGTTGCATTTTGCAACTCTTTATAGCTGTGCAATATACAAAGCGCAGATGTTCTAATCTTCTCCTTTGTCAGGGTGCATCATTGCTTATGTACAATTTGCAAGAAACTTTAACCTTTGTGTCAATCAAATAAGCATTGGTGGATATTTTAAGAAACTTCATCTTTTAGAAACACGCTAGCTTATTTGTTTGCACTATGGCAGTTTCTCGATCAGCTAATTACCTCTTTCTGATAAGTAGATTATGTCGATTACTTTGCAGGTATCAGGTGGTCCAATATCACAGCAGAATGCAATATCATCTGAAAAACATGCTACTAGTTCTGGCAAACAGAATCACCGTCGTGAACCCAGTGGAAGGATCATAAGGAGTATACTGTTAAAAGAACCTCGTCAATCTTCTGGTGCACACTCTGAGCAGCAAATCCATTCTTCACATGTAGAAAGAGACAAGCGTCCTCCTCGTCCTCTTCAAGGCCAGTTAGTTTTGAAGGATGCTAATGGGACCCCAGATGACAGGGTTTCTGCGAACAACACACACACTTTTCCTAGTGAAAAGCAACATGATAAGCGGACAAGAAATAAGGATAGACCTGATCGTGTTGTTTGGACTCCACTTCGCCGGTCCGATGGATCATATGCGAGTGATGAGTCCTTAGGATCTCAATCTACTGTTTCAGGCATGGATTTTTTTCAAGGTAGAGAGTATTCAATGGCTCAATTTATATATTTTGAGCTAGTGCTGGTTTTTATAAGCTCTATTGATTGCTAATTGTCACTCTTTGAAGAAGAATTGGAGTTATGCACAGTTTAGGAAAAGCTCATAATTAGACTGTTGGGGAAAGCCCATCAGGATGGATTCTGTCTGTTTATCCTATATTTTCAATTCTGTCTCGTACTGATTGCTGGTTATGGTGTCTGCAGGAAGTGCTGGAGATGTGAAAGTTGACATGACTTCTAGGAGTGAAGTAAAAGGACTTGGAAGTGGTCGAAACAGTCATACTTCATTGGACAATGGTTGGGCCACTCAGGTCTAAGAGTTCACTTGTATGTATCATGAATGGTATCCACTTACCTCATTGGTTCTCCCACCTCGAATATGTTTCAGGATCGCATAAGCATTTTGGTCGTCGGGCACCCTCTCATACCCCAAGGGATTCTGATGGATCATCTGTTGAGGTGAAGCCCGCTAAGAAAGTTGCCGCTGCTGCTTCTATTCATGGTTCTCATGAGGTGCTTACACTTTTTTGCTTTTAAAGTCTCAGTATCATGACCTTTATCTTGTCCATCTTGCTGTTTTGACATTTCAAGATTCTTTTTTTTTTTTTTTGGTTTCATTCAAGTCACAGAAGCAAGTGTGGGTTCAGAAGTCAAGTTCTGGTTCTTAGTTCCTGGGGCATGGTAAGCCTATTCCTTAGTTAGATGCTGGAATTGCTGCTGCTGAATTCTTTGTTAGCTGTCATACTTGTGCATCTATACTTGCTGCCAGGTTACTGATCTCGTTGTCCTGCAGTGGAACAGAATGAACCATCTTCTGAAGTTTTTGAATGAAGCATGCAAATCATATGCATGGTTGGAAGGCCGTCTCTTTTTGCCATATCGAATGGAAATGGAATGATAAGGTGTGGAAGGGAAGTTGAGCAACGGAGGTCTGTTTCTACCGGAAAACCTAGAGTTTGAGAAAAATTGACGTCAATGATGCATGCAAATATTGATGTATTTACACACGTCGGTTGGTGAGCTTGAAGAAGACGCATCCCAATCGTTTAAAGTCAAGGCAGCTCGGACTAGAGGAGAACTAAACAACAGATAGCAAGGCGAATGAAAAGGGAAAGCGAACATGTACATCATCATAGATAAAGATTACTACTAGAGTTTGCCCATGGACGAGGCTCTTTTTTCGACTGGCTCTACTCGTTCGAGGAGCTGTAAGCTGTTATACGACGACTACTAGTATCCTCACTATTCTTGCCTGCTGACTTGAGAGTAAGTTGGGAAAGAAGTCTGGAGTTTTGTAGGTGGATTTCCCTTCCCTTGTTGGAAACTGTACATATAAGTAGCAGTTTCTCTGGAGAAGAGAAACAGGGTTGTCTTTCTACCGAGTGTGAAAGATTCAGTATTTGGTTGGTTGGTTGGTTGGTTGGTTCGAGTCGAGTTTGTACGACAGGGCCCTTGATATTTTGTAGGGCTATATAGCCTCTTCCTCATACACACAAACAGCCCTTCTGGGTCTTGTTTGAAGAGAAACTATATTGTGTCTCGTCTATCAGTGTTCGCAATGTGTGATGTCTCTTTTGGTGCTTGTGTTTGTTTGTGCTCTTTTTGTTGCAATGTTCACCCTAAAATTTCAGCAAGGAAGAAAAGAAGGTTTGATTCGAGTTACGCTCATTGCTCGAAGATAAATACTTTGTTTTATTCTTATTGTGAAAGAAAGAAGGGTGATTTCATTGGCTTCGTCGGAAGTTTGTAACACATGCTGCTTGTGCTAGGAGACTAGGCTTCCTTTCTTGCAAATTGCAATCCGTAAATCACCATTGTTAAAACTTGGCTGAAACCGGCCAGTTTGGACGAATCACGCTAAATTGGCCAAATTCTTTTTCAACCTAATCGACGGTACAAACCGGTTCGGAACGTTCGGAGTAGGGAAGTGGTGCGATGAGGTGATAACGTGGACAATTGCAGAGCTACACATGTTCTGGTGGCGAGGAAACGAAAGAAACCCAAAGCTCTTATGGCCAAATGGTTTCATCATCTCCCTCGCCATGTCTTGCTATCAAATTCCGTTTCTCCTTCGACCCTGTTCACGTCCTTGATTGCCGATGGCTGCTTCGGTATTCCAGGCGGCTTGCTTCCATCAATGCAGGTCCAATTCTCCCCTCTCTTCCATCTCCAACTCACCCATCAGAAGAACGTCAGTTTTGGCGCGAAGCTCTAACGGTCAGCAAAACCCTTCTTCCTCTTCCAACGGCTCTCTCTCTCTCAATGACAAGAAAGCATTCCCAGGTATTTTGAGAGGCGGATGGAGGAGTGAGTGATATGCAATCAAGCTTTCGGGCTATTGTGAGGAACTGGTTGTTGTTGATGGCAGACATTACTTCTCCAATTATGGCATTTTTTCGGCTTTGTGATAGTTGTGTGCAATGAGATTTTGAACAATTATTAAGAACTAAGAATTGGGTTTTGTATTCAGGGAAGGCGGAGGCGGATGTGGTGGTAATTGGGAGTGGGATCGGTGGGCTGTGTTGTGCTGGACTTCTTGCTAGATACGGGCAGGATGTTGTGGTGCTGGAAAGCCATGATCAGCCTGGTGGAGCTGCTCATTCCTTTGAGATAAAGGGCTACAAGTTCGATTCTGGTCCGTCCTTGTTCTCTGGGTTTCAGTCTAAAGGTCTTCAGGCTAACCCTCTTGCACAGGTACAAAGCTACATCACAAATATAGATTTTCCAAGCATTTCCTTGGTTCGGTTTTGATTAGTTTCGTAATTCGGTGTTTATGTTCTTCCGAAAGGTTCTTGACGCATTGGGTGAATCAGTTCCATGCTCAAGTTACGACTCCTGGATGGTGTATGTTCCTGAAGGCGAGTTCTTGTCACGTATTGGACCGACAGAATTCTATAAGGTGTTCTTAGTTGACTTGAGAACAATGCCACTGATTGATATAACTCTTTGCATGATCCTTCCCGTTTTCATTTCTGATATATGGTGTGTACTTATAGAGCTCCTTGTGAATTATGGATGCTTTTGAATTGTCCTTCAGGATCTTGAAAAGCATGCAGGCCCTAATGCAGTTCAAGAATGGAAGAAACTTCTTGTGAGTGACTTTTGTTAGTTTTGTTTGTGGGGAATTTAAGGATGAGTACATTTTCGACCTGAAAAAACAATATGCTTGCAGGACGCTATACTTCCATTATCAGCAGCTGCAATGGCCCTGCCACCCTTGTCTATTCGAGGTGATCTCGGTGTTCTGTCAACTGCTGCAGCTAGATATGCACCTTCTCTATTGAAATCTTTTGCTGAGATGGGTCCTCGGGGAGCCTTTGGTGCAACTAAGCTTCTCCGACCCTTCTCAGAGATTGTCGACTCCCTAGAACTGAAAGATCCTTTCGTCCGAAATTGGGTGGATCTTTTGTCTTTCCTTCTAGCCGGGGTCAAATCTACTGGTGTACTCTCAGCAGAGATGGTAACCATTCCAAGTTTCTTTCAGATTTACATATGGATTTATAGGATCGTTGCTTGCCCTCTTCCTCCGTAACTAAAAAAGTTCCTTCTTTCAGATTTACATGTTTGCAGAATGGTACAAACCAGGTTGTAGCCTTGACTACCCCATTCATGGTAGTGGGGCTATCGTGGAAGCCCTTGTACGTGGGCTTGAGAAGTTTGGTGGGCGTATCTCTTTAAGAAGCCATGTCAACAAGATAGTCGTGGAAAACAATAGGGCTATCGGGGTTGAGCTTAGAAGTGGCCAAGTAAGTACTAGGTAAGTTAGTAGTGGGTTTGGCCTCGACTTGCATACTTAGCTATCCACGTTGATGATAACTCGAATGCGCAAATGCAGTTTGTGCGAGCAAGGAAAGCCGTGATAAGCAATGCGTCTATGTGGGACACTGCCAGTTTGTTGCCTAAAGAAACACTTCCAAAGTCATATGTAGACAGGATCAACACCACACCTCAGTGTGAATCGTTCATGCATCTCCACTTAGGCTTTGATGCAACTGTGAGTAGACTCTTCACTTGGTTAATGAAATGAAACTTCCCCGACTGTTTGGTTGCTAAGTTCTTTGTTTCACTCAATTTTGATGGGCGCAGGGTTTGCGAGATGATCTGGGAATTCATCACATAGTCGTGAATGATTGGGAGAGGGGAGTGGATGCGGACCAGAACGTGGTTCTTATATCAGTTCCTAGCGTTCTCAGTCCGGACTTGGCTCCTCCAGGGAAGCATGTCTTGCATGCCTATACCCCTGGAACTGAGCCATTTGAGCTGTGGGAAGGGATGGACCCCAAAAGCAATGAATACAAGCAGCTCAAACAGGAGAGATCAGAGGTATGAAACATGATGGTTTATCCAATCCAAAGTGAATTGATGTTTGTTGTTGGGTGGAAAGAAATGTTGTATCAGATCATGGGGATGGCCTAGTTATTGACATGGTTTTTGGAGCGTCTCCACATATTAATAGTTGATTTAAGTACTACTAGGGAATGGTGGCCTTGTGCATAATTCTGATGGTTTGTCCCACTGAACTGACCCTATCCTGGTGATTTTTTCCCTCTGATAACAGGTGATGTGGAAAGCCGTGGAGCGTGCTCTGGGTCCAGGATTCGATCGAGAGAAACTCGAGGTGAAGCTGATCGGAACTCCATTGACACATAAGAGATTCCTCAGGAGGAACAGAGGGACCTATGGACCTGCAATCGAAGCTGGTAAGGGCACATTTCCTGGACACTCTACTCCCATATCTCAGCTTTACTGCTGTGGGGACTCCACGTTTCCTGGGATCGGAGTCCCTGCAGTTGCTGCTAGTGGTGCCATTGTTGCCAACTCCCTCGTCTCAGTGGCTCAACACAACCAGCTTCTCGACGCCATTGGAATCTAAAGCTACCTCCTGCAACAGCTTCTCGACGCGCCATTGAGTCATCGTGCAGTTTACTGTGAAATAGAGACATCATTGACGAGATTTTCTTGTTTGTTTCATCGAAAGTCAAAGCCCGAGGGGTGTTTTTTTTTTGGTCTCAGTGTTGTTGTCTGGAAGCAAGAACTTCGAGATTGCCAAGGTTGACTGCCATTGACATCTTGGAGTCTTCTGTTTTAGTAAGGGCAGCAAAGTAACAGCAATTAGAATTGTTCAAAGGTCCATTCATTGACAACGTAGTTGTTGGATTATCGTACCAGTCAAAGTCTACTGCCATGGAAATGATATTAACTACTATATTAAGTCTTTCCTTGCTCCTCCATAGTCAAATAGCAGGCCTGCAAAGAAAGGGAAAACAGGGTATTATTATGGTGGGTGCTCCCATGCTCATGAAACTCATCAATGCGCATGACGTGAAGTGAGAAAAAGAAGATAAGCTTTTGTAAATAGTTTCATGGTGCATATTCAATTGTCAGTATAGGACCCTTTTTCTTAGGATTGAAATTTGAAATAAAAAAGCTTAGGCATTTGGTTGGTTGTGGTATATTTACCTAAGAGAACATATATTAGAAGATAGTAGAAATGAGTGAACCTGTTATCCTGTCAATTCTAGAGTTGAGTCTTTTCAAAGATCACGATCCGCTTTAGCTAATAAAAGATCTTAACTTAAGAATTTAACAGTCCAACCAGACTCCATATTTTGGTCGTATTTTTATGTAGTCTTTTTAGGATTTTGTCCTATGAGGGATAAACATTACTACATTAGCATTAATAATGTGCCAATGAGGCAATGAGAACAAAAGAATATTCTGCCTAAACAGGAGGAATACACCAAACCTATAGGCCATAATGTACTAATTGTCTACTACTAATTAGGTAAGGGACATGAGAATCTCAAATAATAGCAAGTGTTGCAATCAATCAAAAGACCATATTACCTGGTTCATGTATTTGGTTCAAATGATTTGAGCATAGAGTTCTTGTTTAGAGGTTTTATGAAATATAACTTTCTTTTGGTGGACCCAAAATGACACATTCTTCTTTTCTAACGCTATGAGTGAATCGAATTATGTGGTTAATAGATGAATAAAAACGATTTCTCGTGAGAGTTTGTGAGATTTAAAAATTAAAGAGTTCAATTTATCATGTTCACTTTAAATTAATCATGCAACATCTTTGTGTGGTATTTTTTTTTGAGCGAGGATAATGAGAATTTTCAATTGAGTGCGATTATCGACTACTCTTAACTTGTTTGTTAAGAAGTGATAGTTTCACGAATCACATCCTTAAAAACCAATGACTCTGGCCACTACGGCACTCACCGAACTAGTACCTCACTTTAACGAATGAGCCTTACTAGATATTAGCAAAAAGTTAGTTCTGTTCGAGTTCCTATTCAATTCGATTATGATGCTCACATACAAATTTGTGAGAAGTTATCTGTGATCATTGGATGGACAATGAATTTATTACGTCCATCCAATCATCGCAGATCGTCCAAACCCGATCCAACGGCTGCAGACACCTGTATGGAGGATAGCAAAGTTGGTCCCCTGCGAAGTGCCAAGTGCCAACCTCTAAACAGGAAAGAGAATAATCTTTGACTCAGAAGAAGACATCTTCCCATCCACATCTGCTGCTGCTGCAACTTGGTGTCGCTTCGCAAGGGGGAAAACCTCTGCTCACCTGCTCCGACCTCGCCGCGTCGCCGACGGTCCCATCTTCCAATCAAGTCCAAGGGACGAAAGCCTCCACCTTGCTGCCTTCTTTCTCCGTCCCCTTTTCCGCCGACTTCATCGTTGCCGCCTCGACGCAACTGCTTCATCTAAGCCCGGATCCATTCTCCCCGCATCCTTGTGGCCCATATTCAGGTGAAGCCTCCTCCTGCCCCGCTACTGGCTGACCATTTTGTCTGAAATTGAGTTTGGGTTTTTCTGCGTTTGATCCGCTCTTTAGCTGCAAATGATTTGGGGGTGCTCTCTGGATTTTGCTTTTCAGAGGAAGAAGAGGGTATTGATTTCTGCTATGTGATTGATTTCCATATCCAGGCTCCGGAATCGGGGGTTCTTATTAGGAAATAATAGCTGCTGGGATGTGGATGGAAGAAAGAGCAAATGTACTAGAATGAAACTGGTGCGTCTAGACGATCAAAAAGTTTGATACTTGTGGTGATATTATGGCGTCTGCTAGCCTTGGCAACGGGGGAGTTGGGAGCTCAAGGTCTGTCAAAAATGGGTTCAAGAGTTCATCGAGTTCTGTTGATTGGCTGGGCAGAGAGATGCATGAGATGCGGTTGAGGGATAAGGTGGACCATGATGATGATAGGGTGAGTGGATGCATCTGTCTTGAAATCCCTCTTTACATTAACTATTTCATTCGTAAAAATGATTGAAGTGACTCTTTATCATCGATCCTGGCGAATGCACACTTGGTTCAGAAGTGATTGCTTGACTTCTACAAGCATGACCAGTTCGTGTTCTTTGGTGTAACTGGATTCCTTCTTGCAGGATAGTGAACCTGACATAATTGATGGTGTGGGTGCAGAAGCAGGACATGTCATAAGAACCACTGTGGGTGGTCGAAATGGTCAATCTAGGCAGGTTGAGAGCTTATTCTGTAATATTCTTAGTGATAATTTGACATATTTGATGATTCATATTCTACTAAAGATGATAACTCATCTGCCTGTTTGGGATGACAGTCGATAAATTATATAGCAGAGCATGTGGTTGGAACTGGTTCTTTCGGTACTGTCTTTCAAGTAAGTAGACACACTCATCAAAGTGACTTAACGGTCTCTTTCCTCTCAAGTTTTAACCCCAGTCATCAAACTAGATAGGTTGCATTAGTTAATAACAGTCTGTTAATTTCAATTTCAGGCAAAATGTAGGGAAACTGGGGAGATTGTTGCTATCAAGAAAGTTCTTCAGGACAAACGTTATAAGAACAGGGAGTTACAGATAATGCAAATGCTGGATCACCCAAATATTGTGGGCCTCAAGCACTCATTTTTCTCAACTACTGACAAGGAAGAGCTTTACCTTAATCTTGTACTGGAATATGTTCCTGAAACTCTGAATCGTATAGCAAGAAACTACAACAGGGTCAACCAGCGAATGCCATTAATCTATGTGAAGCTGTACACATACCAGGTGCAGAGAAATAATAGCACGGTTCATTTTGGAGGTGGCTTGGAATTCATAATACCGTGTCTGAAATTTATGGAGTTTCCAATGTTTGCATTTACTGTTTTCAGTTTACATAAACCTGTCATTTGAACTTGAGTGCAACTATCTAGTTATACAGTGTGATCTATCGATACCTTTGTCCTTGAACTTCTTTAACCATGTTTTGTTGGATCAGATCTGCAGGGCACTCGCTTATATGCACAATTGCATTGGTATCTGTCATCGTGACATCAAGCCTCAAAACCTATTGGTAAATAAACTCTTTTGCTTTCTGTTAAGCATTCTCCATTGCATGAATGTCATAAGAAATAATTGGGTTGTGATTTCTGAGGAGAAGAGAGCACATTATACCAAAGTAAGTTGTTAGCTTTAGAATATTTCTGGATTCGAGACTGAGAGTCGGTTCTACAGAATTTCATGGTAGAAGACTAGCTTTCAATTTTAGTTTGTATCTTGACATTGTGAATATTCTGGTCTGTGTGGGTTTATGAGGGATGTCTAGTCAGGATTTCTATTACCTTTGATGGTGGCACTTGACTCGAGTTGCTCATGCTGTCATGCATGGTTAATATCACTCGACTTAAAAGCTGGTTGCTCTTCTTTCAGGTGAATCCACACACTCATCAGTTGAAGCTTTGTGATTTTGGAAGTGCAAAAGTGCTAGTGAGTTGACTGATCTGATCTATGATAATACTTATGTTTCTTTCTGGTTACTGTGCTTCATTCTCACCATTTCATCAGGTGAAAGGAGAAGCCAATGTCTCCTACATCTGCTCACGATACTATCGTGCCCCAGAACTCATATTTGGTGCCACTGAGTACACAACTGCCATCGATATATGGTCCACTGGTTGTGTGATGGCTGAATTGCTCCTTGGACAGGTAAAGTTGAAGATCTGCTAACTCTGTTCTTTAGGATCCTAATTGACGTTATTAACCCCATACTTGGCTGTCCTATTCTGTCATGCAGCCATTGTTTCCTGGTGAAAGTGGAGTAGATCAACTAGTTGAGATCATTAAGGTGATATTATTTTTCCGCTTACTTCCAGTGTAACAGAGCTGCATCTTTGCTGTAATAGAGTCCTCTTTAAAGTGCGATATTGTCTTCTAGGTTCTAGGAACACCAACCCGGGAAGAGATAAAGTGCATGAATCCAAACTACACTGAATTTAAGTTCCCACAGATAAAACCTCATCCATGGCACAAGGTATGTCATATTCTGCTCATGAAACTGAATACTAGTTCCAAATTCTTTACTTTGTGGATTCTCATGTGAGGCTGACATGACATCATCATGATGTAACAGGTGTTCCAAAAACGGTTACCTCCAGAAGCAGTCGATCTTTTGTGCAGGTTCTTTCAATATTCTCCCAATCTCCGCTGCACAGCTGTAAGTTCTAATATTTCCTTCGATACCATATATATAAGTATGTATGTATCTGACGATAGACTTATGAGGCAGTCATCACTCAATCGTTCATTTTTGGTCCGTGTAAAATGCGGCCACTAACAGCTGGAAGCATACATTCATCCTTTCTTTGATGAACTAAGAGATCCAAGCACACGCCTCCCCAATGGCCGCCCTCTTCCTCCATTGTTCAACTTTAAACCCCAAGGTAACAACGATGTAGCGAAATACCGGTGTTTATGTAGATTCCCACATTTCCAGGGTAGTCCTTGTTTTTAACAGTCAGATGGTGTTTTTGGCAGAGTTATCGGGGATTCCTACTGATATGGTGAACAAGCTAATACCAGAGCATGCTCGTAAGCACAACTTATTTATGGCTCTCCACTCCTAATCCTAGGCAATTACACCATCATCTATCTGCCCCATCCTGTGTCATTGTCCATGCGGGTCAAATGGTTACGAGGCACTCGTTTTTCGCCCATTCCTTTTTCGGTTGTGCTTCCATGTTTGTTGCTTGTCCGAGTTTTTGGTTCCCAGAGTATTAGCTGTATTATTAGGGTTTTCTGTACCAAAATGCCCCATCACACTTTGTGTATGACATATATATATTGTTACTAGTGTGAATAATCTGAAAGAGGCATGGTGACTGATCGGAGTAATGTAATATAGTGAACTGAAATTAGATGTCTGGAATGGAGAAAGTGCTTAACTTATCTGTATTGGTTGATTGTGAGCTGAAGCCTGAGGGGGATGCTCTGCTCTGCTCGTTCATTTCATCGTGGTTGCGTGCTGACTTTCGTCTTAAGCTAGATGTTCGCGATTCTCGTGTGTTTTTCCATGGTTGAATTGACGAGGAGACATCAACAGTTCAGGAAGGTTACGGTGAATTGAAGTCCAGAGGAGTGACACGCGAGATGTTGTCGTCCATCTCCTAGTCGACCTCATATATCCTTCTGAACCCTAACTTCTGCTGTACTTAAAGTTGACAAAAAGAAAGCTGATAACTTGTAACTTCCACCTTGAAATTTAGTTAGCCTGCCGCCAATTGGTTCTCTAGACCAGATTTGTGAGCAACCAGCAAGGCTAGGAAAGCCGACTATCCCTTTTTGTGTATTGAGGATCCTCCATTGCTTCCCTTTGAAGTTTCAAGTAACGAACGTCCGTCAGTTTAACTAGAGAAAGGTTACTTCACGACCACGTAATCGAAAAGAACTGACAATGGAGTTGCTGTAGTAGAAGCCCTTTTGGCAAGCCACAGCTTGAAATTTGAAAGCACAGCAGAAACAGTGGAAATACAAATACTGAACCAGTACAAGTTTTTCTTTTTACCACAGTTCTGATGCGTACAATAATATAGGTTCTAGGCAGCATGGCTTTGCTTACATAGTAATGAACTTCTTAAAATATGTGCTCCGTCTGTACAGTGAAAACAAGATATGTATAATAGTAGGAAGTTGAGACAAAAAAACCCAAAAATGGAGAGTCAAAATGGAGTTGGGAGAACAGGAGAACACGAAAGAAGCCATTGGTTAGCTCATGTCACCTCTGTCGACTCCCATTCTGCTACTCGAACGAAGACTATCCATTCTGTCAAAGTTTCTATTATACGCAGGCGAATAACCATTATGCTCATCCTGGTATCCATACTTGTTCCCAGCAACTCCCATTCCCACGTTGTTGTTATGCCTGCTGTTTGAATAGTACTGATGATGAGCATTTATAGCAGAAGATGAAGAAGGGCCTCTAACCATCTCGTGTCGTGACAACCCTGGGGACAGCCTATGAGGATCATGCGACGGAGGCTTCAAATGCTGTTGTTGGTAGCTATGAGGATGGTGGAGTTGTTGTTGCTGTTGCTGGTGGTAGTAGTGCGGATAAGGTCTGTAAATCTGATGATGATTGCTTCCCAGGTTGCTGCTACTGCTGTTGCTCTGCTGCTGCTGTTGGTAGCTGTTCAAACTGCAGAGGCTAGGAGAACTGTGGACTCTGGACATTGAATGTTTACCGCTGAGTGGGTTGTTGCTGCTCATCGTGAAATTTCTGGGTTCAGGGGACACTGGTTCGCTGCGGTTGCTCTCTGGAGACCCGCAGTTGGGAGAGTTGCAAGCGGATATGCTGAATGTCGGGCGGCCAAGGGTCGAGAGCTGTCTTGAATTGTGGAATCCCGATCGATGATACGTGGAGCCGTTGACTGCCTCGATGTAGCGTTGCTCGGCTGCATGTGGATCGGAAGAGATGGGTGCTTGTGAGTCGAGGAGGCTTGGGTTGGATGGGAACAAGAAAGCTCGGAACTTTGTTATCCCTTCGCTCTCGTGGCGGTAGTATTCCTCTAGCATGTGCTTTAGATCTTCGTCGTTTCGTACAGAGACCAGTATGTCGAGATCTTCTGGCACAACCTGGTATTTGAGCACCACGTCACTTTCAAATTCTGCTTTCAGCTTCTTCATCAGGTCTGCAATGGTGTGAAACACCATTAGAGACAACCGTTAGTATGATCATTTCAAGCATAACATTCTCATTCCAGAGGGTTGCCCAAGCAAATGCTAGCTAGCAACTTTAGTAACCATTGAAGGCCAAATTTATCAAGAAAACTAAAATGATTTTCAGCCACAGCCACAGGATACAAAGTAGTCCATGCAGCAGGAAAGGCCCATTGCAAATCACTAAAAAGTCCAACCATTTTACATCTCAAATGACAATGCTGCAGGAGACGAAAGTAGGGTTTTGAAAATTGCAGTAATCAATCTGGTAATTTCGGCTAGAATTGAATCATGGCGTTAATTTCTCAACGGAGTGAAAAGCTTCAATTGCTTAATTCATGCCAGAGGTCAGGACCCATTACAGAATCCAAAAGGAAAGAATAAAATTTAAGTTGGTTCTTTGTTCCTGCATCCAAGACAGAAACGGAAAAAGAAAATAGTCCTTTGCGGCATTTTATCGAACAAGAAGAGGGCAAACCTGAGAAGCGTATATCACGCGGTACTGCAATGACACGAGTCTCGCCGCCGACGTACTTCAGGAGACCGTCAGGAGGCCTCAGCATAATCTTCCCACCATGGCTGCATAGAAACTTGACCCTGCTCGTCGGCGACGAAGCCGCCGAACCAGAAGCCAAATCTTCCCCCGTAGCGGCGGAAGAAGAAACCGAAACCGCTTTCTGATTACAATCCACGGCGCTGCTGCTGATCCGCCCACTGAGTTCCTGACTCATTGCTCGCAACTCAGTGGCCCAACCGCGATCGTCTTCCTCCTCCGGTCAATCTGTGAATCCAAATAATACCCAGAAATTAACCGCCAAAACCCATTTAAAAAATCCCCTTTTCCATGATCAAAATCTACAGTGCTCCAAAAAATCCAACCCACCTTTTTCTGGGCAAAAACAAAAATGTTTCTCAACTCTGCTCCCTAATAATAATAATAAACAAAAGGGGAATAAATCGTTGAAAAGGAGAAGGAAAAAGAAAGAGAAGAAAGAACAGGAAAATAAGAAGAAGAAAGACTGAATTTGGGGAAGAACAAAGTCAATATAAATTATTTATTTTTCTTCTTTGTTGTTATCAGAATTATTATTAACTTTTTGTTCCTTTTTCCTTCTCTTTTCACTAATCCCCGGGTTTCCGGGAACGTAATTAGCTATTAATTAAAATTAATGATGATATATCTCAAGGGGAAAAAAGGGAATTAGAGTATTTATTATGAATCGTTCCTGATTCTGCGCTTACTAAGTGACCGCACAGCCTCTTATTTATTTTGATTTATTTCTTCCCGTTTTCGCTAAAATAATATAATTGCTCGGCCGGAATTTCTCTGTTTTTAATCAGAAGGAGATCTTTAGCAAATCTGCCATCTCCCGAATCGCCGGTTCTTCTCCTCTGCCGCCGGCAACGGTTTCTTCAGACGCGAATAAATCGTTCTACGCCGTTGGATTTTCAGGATTGCGATTCTCGACGGTTGTTATTCGATTCAAAAGAAGATAGAAAACGGCATATTACTTGGCCCAAACTTGAAGGGAACCGTTGCTGGTTCGTGATCAGGCCCAGCCCACCTTATCACTAGCATTTCCCGGCCCATGGTTGAATAAACAATTTGGTTTATTTCCATTTCATGCGTTCCCTTAAAAAAAAAAGGATTCTGATTATAATAAAACTGAATCGATTCGAATCAACATGACTTTAATTCTAGTAAAATATGTTATGGGAAAGTTAAGTATAAAATATATACGGGTATTTTACTTTGTTTATAAGGTAATGTTACGTTTAATATTACGTTAATAGTCATAAATATATCAAATTAGTTGTTTAAAAATTAAAATATATAAAATAGTAATAAAGTTAACAGTTTAATTTATTAAATACGGATATTGAATGTGTTATACAGGTTTAGTACGAAAATGGAAAAAATGAAATGACTTGATAATAATACAAATATGGAAGTTTTAAATGGATAAAATACGTAAAGGTACATATACGTGTATTAAGCGGAGTATTTACTAACTATATTTTGATCTCCCTTCGTTTCTCATCCGCTGACATATTCTAATCAGAGACCCTAATGCGATGGACAATTTTTACTAATATGAAGTCAAAAGATATGAGAATTCGCTTTGCCACTTAATTAGTCCCACCAGAATTTGCTTTCCTCTAGTTCGTAGAACTTCTCTGTCAAAGAACTCATTTGCAGAGTCGTAGTAGATCGTAACGTAGTCGTGCGGAGCTCTCCAGAGAAACCTCCATAAGGATAAGAGGTATCGTGATTTAGAATTCCTCGTTTCACGTCGAACACTCTCATTCGAACGTTGTCTGGAGAGGCGTGAAATAGGCTGTGTGTGTTAGTTCTTTGCTCCCCACGGTTTGCTACAAACGAGCCATCTATTACTAGCCGTTCAAATCCGTGTTTGTATCTACTTCCTTTCTTAACTGATGGGAACAATTCAAAACGTTAGGCTCTGTTTTGCCATTTCTATACAGAGTTTTTGCTGCGTTTAGGTATTGTCACGGTTTGTTCAATTCCTCTCGGTTATCTAGAGTTAGGTTGATTTCTATACCTCTCCTAGGACATCATTTGCGACATGGAGCAGAACTCAAATGAAAGAAGAAATCCAAAAGCATGCAAGTATTTAGTTTATCCATCCCACAAACAGTAAGACAAACCAATATATTTACTAGTCCTTCTAACTCGTGTTTAATTTGTATCTCCTTCCTTTCCTAACTGATGAGTTAGGCTCCATTGTTGATGGGAACGTACAATTGAAACGCGTTAGGCTCTGTTTTACCATTTTCTATACAGAGTTGTGGCTGTGTTTAGGTATTGTCCATGTTTGTATATATGTATCTATGGACTTCAATCTATGCCTTTGCTTGCATCAAAATGAACGATACTAGTATTTCAAGGCAAAGAAACCCTAAGTCCAGCTTAATTAATGCATCCCCACTGAACTAATCTCTTCTCTTCTCTTCTGCAGTAAGGTAAGGTAAGATCAGGACTCCAAACTTGCTTGCCAATGCATCCACTAGCCTATAAAAACCCCCCAAGCCATTTGCTCCATAACATCACTCACTCACTCACTCACATTTGCTCTTTCATTCTCCTCACTCACCTTGCTTCCTCACTGATCAATCCTCTTCTCTTCTCTCGTCCTCTGCTTCACTTCATATCTCTCGACAAAACCCTCTCTTCTTTCCCCTGTTCCGATGGCCAAGATGCCTACTCCGACCGCTTGCTTGCTTCCGCTGCTTCCCTTCCTTCTCCTACTTGCCAACTTCCCTCCGGCGAGGCCACAGCTGCTCAGAGAGTGCGGCTTCTCTGCTCTATACAACTTCGGTGACTCGATGTCGGACACAGGCAATGCCCTAGTCCAGTTCGACTTCGCGGGCTCGGGGCAGCACCCCTACGGGATGTCTGTCGGAGACGAGAAGCCAACCGGGAGGTTCTCCGACGGGTACCTCCTGATCGACCACATCGGTGAGTGCGAAAACTCCATTTTTTTTTTCTTTCTTTCTATATATGTTTCGTTTTTCTTACTTATTAGAATAACATGTATAATTTTTTTTTTTAAAATGTTTTTCCAGCGGAGTCTGCCGGGTTACCCCATTGTAACCCGTACCTGAGGAAAGATCTCGACCACTCGAAAGGCGCCAACTTCGCCGTAGCTGGAGTCGGCCTCCTGTCCAAGGCTCAGCGGGACAAGTTCGGCATACACTTCAAATATTCTCAAAGTGGTCTCGACCAGCAACTCCAATGGTTCGTCAACTTTTCAAAGGAGGCCTTCCCCGATGAATCAGGTCATATTACGAGATATAATTAATATACTCTCTCAATCTAATCTATTCTATCTAGCCTTTTTTATTAGTTTAATTGATTTTTTCAGCCCGCAAGGCCAACTACGGGTCGGCCCTCTTTGTGCTCGGAGGTGGAGGGAACGACTATGGTGGTTATAAGAAAACACCCGAGGAGAGGATGACGATCATCCCCTACGTGATTGCGGCTCTCAAAGACCGAATCAAGGTAATTAATTGATTAATTAGTGATAGGTTCAATAGGCTATTTCATTTCATTTCATTTCACTTTTGCTTTGAGCCGTACAATTCTAATTACTTAATTAATTAATCCGATCCCTTTTGCTTCCACCATTTTCGAATTTGGCAGACCGTGATACGCCATGGGGCGAGGAGGATAGTGGCCATGGGGGTATACCAAGGAGGCTGCTTTTCGGGGTTCAACGAGACGTGGCTGAAACACGATCAAGGCCCCATCGTCTGCGACAAAGAGTGGAATTCCCACCTCGACCTCCACAACAAAGAGGTTCAGCTGATGGTTGGTGACTTGCAAAGGGAGTTCCCCCACATCCACATCGCTTACGGCGATGTTTGGGATGGGGTGCAGTGGATGTTCGACCACTACCACTCTCTAGGTACGTTACGTTTGCATGGTTTTACTTTTATTTTGCGTTTTAATAATTGTGGTTTACCTACTTTTATCGTGGTTTGACAAAATAATAACGTTTTTTATTTTTTAATGTTTGATGCAGGGCTGAAGCACAACAGCTACCGGCGGTGCTGTGGAATCAAGGATCACGAAGAGTGTGGACAACCCGATGTTCCATATTGCAAGGATCCATGGAATTACATCTGGTTTGACAATTTCCACTTCACCGGCCATGCCTACCAGCTTATTGCGAGGAAGGTCATACCCTGGATCCATCACGATTTGGACTGTGCCAACCCCAACTCCACAGGCTTGAAATCGGATGCGGCGGGTAGAATCCGGCAGCAGCAGCTCTGGTCATTGCCATTTGCTCTTAGTTTCTTTGTTCTAGTTTAAGTTGGACTTCTAAGTAGTTGTGTTGTTGGGTTGTAATGAACTAATGGATTGTAGTTGTCTTGTTGGTAGTGGCCTAAATGGATATGGTGGCTTCTTTATTTCCAATGTAAGGACCAATATGGTCCCATTTCAGAAAATGTCGGATGATGCTCAAACATCAACAATATTATTATAGTTAGGCAATGCTAGATTTGCATCCAAAAGCTTTCAAATAGCAACAACAACATGTAACTAGATTTTCTCAAAGCATTTGAGCTTAAGTTCATTATAGGTGTAGGCGCGGGTGACAAACATATTGTACTTGGCACGACCGAAGCGGTTGGATGCAGTAATATCGAAACTGACAAAATCCATCTCAGGATCTGCACTGTAATAAGCACCACCGTCAATGCTTACTAGCTTCAATTGGTGAACCCTCGAGAGCGCCTTATTGTGCTCCCCCAACCCAAACTCGACCATATATTGCACCTCCCGCAGTATCTTGACAGAGACCGGAACAGGTGGACCGATACCTTTTGCGACACACGGTGACGACACAACCATCTTCACGGATAGAAGGACGCTTACCATGACGATGAGCGCCGCCGTTAAACTTGACCGGTTTGTCATTTTTTAGATTCTGCCCTTTTTGTCTGAGTGCTATTCTTGCCTCGTAAAAATATCTCTGGTTTTTTTTTTGGTTGCTTTTCTTATTGAGAGAAAGTGTGTTAGAGCTTAGTATTTATAAGCATAATTACTTCTCTATCTTGACTAACGTCTTCTCTTTAGAAACTTACAAAAAATATATATGTGCCGTTCTTGTATGAATTTTTTTAGTAGTTTATTATATGAAATGTGTTCTCGTTGAGATAAAAAATATTTGATCAATCAACAACGTTTATCATAATTGATATGTTATCCTAATTGTTACTAAATGTGCCTAATAAAACGGACATACGTTCAAGTTAAAATAACTTAATGGAAAACGACTATATATATTCTGTAAAGAAAGTAATGGAGACCAACGACGCCGTCAATAGTTCTATACATGTATTTAACACAAGCTCACTTATATTCACATGAGATGTTCCTATATTAATTGATGATTTCTCATATTGAATTTTATTATTACTTACTGTTACCGTTTAATGTTTATATAAATAGTACGATCATCAACATTAGCAACTAATTGAATGTGATAGATGTTTAATTAATACAGCTAATTAAATGTTCCCTACGAAAACATACAAATTTATGAATTGAAACATTAGCCGGGAAAATACCTTTGTGAAGCACTAATAAAGTTCGAGGTAATCTTAAACATTCAACCAGATGCTCGTCAACGTTGCAGTTACATATGCTGCTTCATAGTTCATACCATTTCAGGGTAATGCCCAATATACAAAATGGTTATGCATTATACTATGGATGTTCCATAAGTTGCAGCCATGCATTTTGCCATCTTCAACATGGTTATGGCAGCCATTCTTTTGCTCTAAAATACCTTCCAAACAGAGCCAGCAATATCCCCAGATCAACCTGGTGGCACATCCATTAAAGTTTCAACATTTCAGAGCGCCTATAGCTCGTTCATGTCTTAGCATCTCAATCATGGTTCCTTTTCCAACACCCCTTCCACAATATAGAACCAAAATCGGAGAAAACCCACAAACAAAATTACGTCAGGAAAGAGTAATGATTATTCCAATACCACGGTGGCTCCCAATTCTTTGAGCTTCTCAACAATGGCGGAGGCCTTCCACAATATAGAACCAAAATCGGAGAAAACCCACAAACACTGTTTATGTTTGATGCAGGGCTGAAGCACAACAGCTACCGGCGATGCTGTGGAATCAAGGATCACGAAGAGTGTGGACAACCCGATGTTCCATATTGCAAGGATCCATGGAATTATATCTGGTTTGACAATTTCCACTTCACCGGCCATGCCTACCAGCTTATCGCGAGGAAGGTCATACCCTGGATCCATCACGATTTGGACTGTGCCAACCCCAACTCCACAGGCTTGAAATCGGATGCTGCGGGTAGAATCCGGCAGCAACTCTGGTTGCCATTTGCTGTTAGTTTCTTTGTTCTAGTTTGTATGATTTGACGCGAGGACTGATGTGACTTTCTATGTTTAGTTTACGTTGTTGGACTCTAAGTAGTTGTGTTGGTGGCTTCTTTATTTCCAATGTACGTAACTGCATGCTCTATCTACCACTATTGAAATGAAAACCGTCGAATCAAGAGTCTTGGTTTCCCGCAGACAATACAACTTGTTAAGCCCTTCATAATTTATTGTGAAAATCCTCCATAAGGATTGTCATATGACCATTAAGAATGAAAGTAAAATGGAATGGCAACCAACTAGGTCAATATCCGTCGTATGGGCATCGGTCGATTCACTCTAAAATTGGATTGAATCAAGATTTTGTTCATTTGGTTTGATTCAATCCCGTTCAAATTTAATTCCGATCCGCCATTCTTTCATACTTGGTTTAGAGTGGTTACTTTTATAATAAAACCATTTTCAATTTTGTTAGTTGGCCATACTTGTAAACAAACCTCATATTCATCTGGTTAACCGAGTCTTTTGTGCTCTTGTCATATAACATAGACATCAAAGTTCTCTCACGATGAGAACATCACCATGATTTTGAAATCCAACGGGTGTACGTACAATAGAAGTTATTGTGTATACAAATTTAGTATGATGCTCAGCTCAAACATAAATTTTCTCGAAGCAGTTAAGGCTAAGTTCATCATAGTTCATGAAGGCCTCCGTGACGAAGGCCCTGTACTTGGCTTGGCCGAAGCTGTTGGATGCGATAATATTGAGACTTTTAAAATCCATAGTAGGTGATACGCGGTATTAAGCACCATCCTCTACGCTGACCAGCTTCAACCGTTGAGCACCTGAGAGCACTTTATTGTGCTCATCCACCGCAAACCGAGCGAGCCGTTGATTTTTCTCCAATTGCACCTCCTGGTGAGACATCGGATAAGCTGGGCCATAGTAATATTTGTAACACGACGATGCTACCGGCTTCACGGATATAAGGACGCTTATCATGAGGACAAGCATCGCCGCTAAAGGTGACCGCTTCGTCATTTTTTAGACTTTGTCCTCTTGTCGAGAAATTGTATATTGTTGGCTTGTAAATGTTCTCTTCACCTTTTTTTGTTTGTTGCTCTTCTTGTGTGAGAGCTTGGTATTTATACTCAAATGTTCTATCTCGACTAATGTTTTCTCCTTGAAAGTTAAAAAATGTCGTTTTCTCTTATTCTCATTCGAAATTTATTAGTATTACTGTTACATTTCTCCGCACATTTGATTAATTGTATTAACGCAAGGGCACGCATTAACAAGATTAACATATCAGTTAGATGATTATGTTTTTTTTTCATTTATGGAACTTGCTCGTCTTTATTAATCAAAAGACATGGTTCATTTATGGCACCATCCACATATCAAAGCTTTCAATCAACCGTATATAATCTATGAGTGCGAAAACTCCTATATTTTTTTATTTATTTTTTCTATGTTTCGTTTTTCTTACTTATTAGAACATGTTTAATTTTTTCCTGGATGTTTTTTTTTAAGCGGAGTCGGCCGGGTTACCCCACTGTAACCCGTACTTGAGGAAGTATCTGGACCACAGCAAAGGCGCCAAATTTCGTAATTTCTTGGGCGACGAAAATGCCATCCGAAATTAAATTGGCCCAAATCGATGCTTAACGGACTTATCATCCGTGGAGAATAGGATCAATATACTTCATTTTCGGTGGAGAATAGCCTCGGCCTGATTCCGTGATCTGTAGCCTCCAGAATCGAAAGAAAATGGCATTTCGGATAAATCGCCTGAAATCTGTGATGGTACCCCTTTGGAATCTGCCAAAAATTGACCCGGAATAAATCCGCCCAAATCCGTGCTTAATGGACTCAATCATCGTTGGAGAATAGCCTCAGGCCGAATCCGTGATCTGTAACCTTCAATATCCAAAGAAAATGGCCTTTCGTCGCCCAAGAAATTACGAAAATGCCATCCGAAAATAAATTGGCCCAAATCGATGCTTAACGGACTTATCATCCGTGGAGAATAGGATCAATAGACTTCATTATCGGTGGAGAATAGCCTCAGCCTGATTCCGTGATCTGTAGCCTCCAGAATCGAAAGAAAATGGCATTTCGAATAAATCGCCCAAAATCTGTGATGGTACCCCTTTGGAATTTGCCAAAAATTGACCCGGAATAAATCCTCCCAAATCGGTGCTTAATGGACTCAATCATAGTTGGAGAATAGCCTCAGGCCGAATCCGTGGTCTGTAGCCTTCAATATCCAAAGAAAATGGCTTTTCGTCGCCCAAGAAATTACGAAAATACCATCCGAAAATAAATTGGCCCAAATCGATGCTTAATGGACTTATCATCCGTGGAGAATAGGATCAATAGACTTCATTATCGGTGGAGAATAGCCTCGGCCTGATTCCGTGATCTGTAGCCTCCAGAATCGAAAGAAAATGGCATTTCGGATAAATCGCCTGAAATCTGTGATGGTACCCCTTTGGAATCTGCCAAAAATTGACCCGGAATAAATCCGCCCAAATCGGTGCTTAATGGACTCAATCATCGTTGGAGAATAGCCTCAGGCCAAATCCGTGATCTGTAGCCTTCAATATCCAAAGAAAATGGCCTTTCGTCGCCCAAGAAATTACGAAAATGCCATCCGAAAATAAATTGGCCCAAATCGAGGCTACAGATCACGGATTCGGCCTGAGGCTATTCTCCAACGATGATTGAGTCCCTTAAGCACCGATTTGGGCGGATTTATTCTGGGTCAAATTTTGGCTGATTCCAAAGGGGGTAGCATCACAGATTTCGGGCGATTTATCCGAAATGCCATTTTCTTTCGATTCTGGAGGCTACAGATCACGGAATCAGGCCGAGGCTATTCTCCACCGATAATGAAGTCTATTGATCCTATTCTCCACGGATGATAAGTCCATTAAGCATCGATTTGGGCCAATTTATTTTCGGATGGTATTTTCGTAATTTCTTGGGCGACGAAAGACCATTTTTTTGGATATTGAAGGCTACAGATCTCGGATTCGGCCTTAGGCTATTCTCCAACGATGATTGAGTCCATTAAGCACCGATTTGGGCGGATTTATTCCGGGTCAATTTTTGGCAGATTCCAAAGGGGTACCATCACATATTTCAGGCGATTTATCCGAAATGCCATTTTCTTTCGATTCTGGAGGCTACAGATCACGGAATTAGGCCGAGGCTATTCTCCACCGATAATGAAGTCTATTGATCCTATTCTCCACGGATGATAAGTCCATTAAGCATCGATTTGGGCCAATTTATTTTCGGATGGCATTTTCGTAATTTCTTGGGCGACGAAAAGCCATTTTCTTTGGATATTGAAGGCTACAGATCACGGATTCGGCCTGAGGCTATTCTCCAGCAATGATTGAGTCCATTAAGCACCGATTTGGGAGGATTTATTCCGGGTCAATTTTTGGCAAATTCCAAAGGGGTACCATCACAGATTTCGGGCGATTTATTCGAAATGCCATTTTCTTTCGATTCTGGAGGCTACAGATCACGGAATCAGGCCGAGGCTATTCTCCACCGATAATGAAGTCTATTGATCTTATTCACCAAGGATGATAAGTCCGTTAAGCATCGATTTGGGCCAATTTATTTTCGGATGGCATTTTCGTAATTTCTTGGGCGACGAAAGGCCATTTTCTTTGGATATTGAAGGCTACAGATCACGGATTCGGCCTGAGGCTATTCTCCAACGATGATTGAGTCCATTAAGCACCGATTTGGGCGGATTTATTCTGGATCAAATTTTGGCTGATTCCAAAGGGGGTAGCATCACAGATTTTGAGCGATTTATCCGAAATGTCATTTTCTTTCGATTCTGGAGGCTACAGATCATGGAATAAGGCCGAGGCTATTCTCCACCGATAATGCAGTCTATTGATCCTATTCTCCACGGATGATATGTCCGTTAAGCATCGATTTGGGCCAATTTATTTTCGGATGGCATTTTCGTAATTTCTTGGGCGACGAAAGGCAATTTTCTTTGGATATTGAAGGCTACAGATCAAGGATTCGGCCTGAGGCTATTCTCCAACGATGATTGAGTCCATTAAGCACCGATTTGGGCGGATTTATTACGGGTCAATTTTTGGCTGATTCCAAAGGGGTACCATTACAGATTTCTGGCGATTTATCCGAAATGCCATTTTCTTTCGATTCTGGAGGCTACAAATCACTGAATCAGGCCGAGGCTATTCTCCACCGATAATGAAGTCTATTGATCCTATTCTCCACGGATGATAAGTCCGTTAAGCATCGATTTGGGCCAATTTATTTTCGGATGGCATTTTCGTAATTTCTTGGGCGACGAAAGGCCATTTTCTTTGGATATTGAAGGCTACAGATCACGGATTCGGCCTGAGGCTATTCTCCAACGATGATTGAGTCCATTAAGCACCGATTTGGGCGGATTTATTCCGTGTCAATTTTTGGCAGATTCAAAATGGGTACCATCACATATTTCGGGCGATTTATCCGAAATGCCATTTTCTTGCGATTTTGGAGGCAACAGATCACTGAATCAGGCCGAGGCTATTCTCCACCGATAATGAAGTCTATTGATCCTATTCTCCACAGATGATAAGTCCGTTAAGCATCGATTTGGGCCAATGTATTTTCGAATGGCATTTTCGTAATTTCTTGGCCGACGAACGGCCATTTTCTTTTGGATATTGAAGGCTACAGATCACGGATTCGGCCTGAGGCTATTCTCCAACGATGATTGAGTCCATTAAGCACCGATTTGGGAGGATTTATTCCGGGTCAATATTTGGCAGATTCCAAAGGGGTACCATCACAGATTTCGGGCGATTTATCCGAAATGCCATTTTCTTTCGATTCTGGAGGCTACAGATCACGGAATCAGGCCGAGGCTATTCTCCATCGATAATCAAGTCTATTGATTCTATTCTCCATGGATGATAAGTCTGTTAAGCATCGATTTGGGCCAATTTATTTTCGGATGGCATTTTCGTAATTTCTTGGTCGACAAAGGCCATTTTCTTTGGATATTGAAGGCTACAGATCACGAATTCGGCCTGAGGCTATTTTCCAACGATGATTGAGTCCATTAAGCACAGATTTGGGCGGATTTATTCCGGGTCAATTTTTGGCAGATTCCAAAGGGGTACCATCACAGATTTCAGGCGATTTATTCGAAATGCCATTTTCTTGCGATTCTGGAGGCTATAGATCACGAAACTAGGCCGAGGCTATTCTCCATCGATAATGAAGTCTATTGATCCTATTCTCCACGGATGACAAGTCCGTTAAGCATCGATTTGTGCCAATTTGTTTCGGATGACATTTTCGAAATTTCTTGAGCGACGAAAGGCCATTTTCTTTGGATATTGAATGCTACAGATCACCGATTCTACCTGAGGCTATTCTCCAACGATGATTGAGTCCATTAAGAACCGATTTGGGCGGATTTATTCCTGGTCAATTTTTGGCAGATTCCAAAGCCGTACCATCACCGATTTCGGGCGATTTATCCGAAATGTCATTTTCTTTCGATTCTGGAGGCTACAGATCACGGAATTAGGCCGAGGCTATTCTCTACCGATAATGAAGTCTATTGATCCTATTCTCCACGGATGATAAGTCCGTTAAGCATCGATTTGGGCCAATTTATTTTCGGATGGCATTCTCGTAATTTCTTGGGCGACGAAAGGCCATTTTCTTTGGATATTGAAGGTTACAGATCACGGATTTGGCCTGAGGCTATTCTCCAACGATGATTGAGTCCATTAAGCACCGGTTTGGGCGGATTTATTCCGGGTCAATTTTTGGCAAATTCCAAAAGATACCATCACAGATTTCGAGCGATTTATCCGAAATGCCATTTTCTTTCGATTCTGGAGGCTACAGATCACGAAATCAGGCCGAGGCTATTCTCCATCGATAATGAAGTCTATTGATCCTATTCTCCACGGATGATAAGTCCGTTAAGCATCGATTTGGGAAAATTTATTTTCGGATGACATTTTCGTAATTTCTTGGGCGAGGAAAGGCCATTTTCTTTGGATATTGAAGGCTACAGATCACGTATTCGGCCTGAGGCTATTCTCCATCGATGATTGAGTCCATTAAGCACCGATTTGGGAGGATTTATTCTGGGTAAATTTTTGGTAAATTCCAAAGGGGTACCATCACAGATTTCGAGCGATATATCCGAAATGCCATTTTCCTTCGATTCTGGAGGCTACAGATCACGGAATCAGGCCGTGGCTATTCTACACCGATAATGATGTCTATTGATCCTATTCTCCACGGATGATAAGTTCGTTAAGCATCGATTTGGGCCAATTTATTTTCGGATGGTATTTTCGTAATTTTTTGGGCGACGAAAGGCCATTTTCTTTTGGATATTGAAGGCTACAGATCACGGATTCGGCCAGAGGCTATTCTCACACGACGATTGAGTCTATTAAGCACCGATTTGGGCGGATTTATTCTGGGTCAATTTTTGGCAGATTCCAAATGGGTACCATCACAGATTTCTGGCGATTTATCCGAAATGCCATTTTCTTTCGATTTTGGAGGCTACACATCCCGGAATCAGGCTGAGGCTATTCTCCACCGATAATGAAGTCTATTGATCCTATTCTCCACGGATGATAAGTCCGTTAAGCATCGATTTGGGCCAATTTATTTTCGGATGGCATTTTTTAATTTCTTGGGCGACGAAAGGCCATTTTCTTTGGATATTGAAGGCTATAGTTCATGGATTCCGCCTGAGGCTATTCTCCAACGATGATTGAGTCCATTAAGCACCGATTTGGGCGGATTTATTCCGGGTCAATTTTTGGCAGATTCCAAAGAGGTACCATCACAGATTTCGAGCGATTTATCCGAAATGCCATTTTCTTTCGATTCTGGAGGCTACAGATCACGGAATCAGGCCGAGGCTATTCTACACTGATAATGATGTCTATTGATCCTATTCTCCACGGATGATAAGTTCGTTAAGCATCGATTTGGGCCAATTTATTTTCGGATGGTATTTTCGTAATTTTTTGGGCGACGAAAGGCCATTTTCTTTTGGATATTGAAGGCTACAGATCACGGATTCGGCCAGAGGCTATTCTCACACGACGATTGAGTCCATTAAGCACCGATTTGGGCGGATTTATTCTGGGTCAATTTTTGGCAGATTCCAAAGGGGTACCATCACAGATTTCTGGCGATTTATCCGAAATGCCATTTTCTTTCGATTTTGGAGGCTACAGATCACGGAATCAAGCTGAGGCTATTCTCCACCGATAATGAAGTCTATTGATCCTATTCTCCACGGATGATAAGTCCGTTAAGCATCGATTTGGGCCAATTTATTTTCGGATGGCATTTTCATAATTTCTTGAGCGACGAAAGGCCAATTTCTTTGGATATTGAGGGCTACAGATCACGGATTCGCCCTGAGGCTATTCTCCAATGATGATTGAGTCCACTAAGCACCGATTTGGGCGGATTTATTCCGGGTCAATTTTTGGCAGATTCCAAAGGGGTACCATCACAGATTTCGGGCGATTTATCCGAAATGCCATCAAAACAAACTTTCTTCTCCTCCTAGCTAAAGTCGTAAGGAGTATTTATATTGATCGGTCATGTCATATAGAACCGAGTTGGACATATAATTGTTTCGATTTGTATCATCCGAAAGATGCCTTATATATTATATCAATCCTCGAAAAGGACTAGCTAGCTTCAGTCTTACCATGTGGAATATTTATAGATCGATGTCCCCCACCTAGTTTGCATCTTAGATAGATAAGTGGACAAATGATGGGATGGGCAATGTAGCATATGCTAGCCTTGCCCTTCTTACTCTATACCACAATCACATGAATGGACCGGGATAAATGCTTTTAAGACCTCCTTGGCAACTCTTTCTTTGGATATAGATATTCAAAGTCTACGAAGGAAATATTGTATCACCATCAATGAGAGTGAGGTGGGCTTTCGATTTGACGACTTGATTTGGTATCGAATCAAGATAAGATCGAACTAAAAATAAAGAAAAATTAGGATCGAATCATTTGGTTTTATTCGATCCAGCTCAAATTTTATTTCGATTCGCTTTTCTTTCATATACTTCATCTGGAGTGATTTCTTTTAAAATAAAACCATTTTCAATTTTGTTACATAGTTTGTCGTACTTGTAAACAAACCTCATATATATTCATCCTGTTAACCAAGTCTTTTGTGCTCTTGTCATATAAGATCGACATCAAAGTTCTCTCGTGATGAGAACATCACCATGATTTTCAAATCCAACATCACCTCGCAAAATATATCTTACTTTTTTTGGTTGCTCTTCTTGTTGGGGGGAAAGTGTGTGAGAGCTTAGTATTTATAATCAGACAGATTTTTCTATCTTGACTAATGCCTTCTCCTTTTTGTGCAATCAAAGTTGAAATAATATGTTATCATAATTTATATGTTATCCTTATTACTTAATGTGCCTAATAACAACGTACATGCGTTCAAGATAAAGTAACTTAATGGAAAACGACTATATTCCATAAAGGAAGTAATGGAAACCAACGACGTCAATAGTTCTATTTAACAAAGGGGTACTTAATCATATGATCTTATCGTAGCATCGTCCTTCAACAATGTAGCTTGATACCGCCTTCTTGTACTATCGTTTTAAAATCACATAGTTAGATTGCGAATTACAAGTGTCAACACTAACGTTGAACTACCAGTTATCAACGTGCACGATGGAATTCGGTGATTGGATTGGATTGTCAACCACAAGTCGTTGAAGATGACTCTAACTACATCGTAGAATCAAATTATCGAGTTGCGCTAACCACAAGTATTGCCAAAGACGATAACAACTACTTTCGTAAAGTATCACGACAAAATTAATTAGATGGTCACAGACCATCAATCATTATCGAAAATTAGAGTGTTCGACAGCAAGTTTTGAGCAACAGATTGGAACTTTTACGCACATCAATTTCACGACAAATTCGATACATTTTGACAATTAAGAGGAAATATGGTCACTAAAAATAAAAACTCCAGTTGACCGTCCAACCATTGTCGTCCTCAAAGGTGCGCTGCTTGAATCATGATCCCATCATGAGTTTGATTCGAATTTTGGCATATCATTTTTCTATGTACATTCACGTGGGGAATATCATTGACCGACTGTCCGATTGTCTTTCCAATGTCAGTTAGACAAACTGGGAACTCTGTTTTTAGTGACCACCAAGTCAAAGAGGACCAAAACGAAAGTAGATCCACAATTTTATTCTCTGGTAAAGACTTAAATATACTCTATAGTACATCATCACCAAAACTTATGTAAAATTCAACTCCAAAAATCACCAGAACCAGCCCACAAGTAAGATCAAGTAATTGAAATAAAAAATAGAAAGAAAACGGAAAAGATGGAAACTTTTTTTTTTTTTTTTTGTAATGATTTTAGAGTCCCAAAATTTTCTTACAAGCTCTGATGATCCTGCTTCTGCTGATAAGCTTCTTCTTGTGATCAGATCTCGAAGACCCACGATAAGCTGCTGCATTTTCCGCCATTGAACCCACTTTCCCATATCCATCACCATCAACATCAATGTGATCATGGTGATGATCATCATCATCTGCCAAGAACTCAGATTGATCATGGATCCTGCAGTACCTGTCAGAGACAGAGGAAGATCTCCTCATAGTGGAGAAAGACAGAGCTCTCTTCTTCACCCGACTCGCTGCGGCCGAAACTGATGAGATCCTCCTCAGCTGTGGCTGCTGCAGATTCTGCAGCTCTGATTGCTGTCTTTCCTCTGCTAGTTCCTCCTCTTGCAATGGGGATTTGTTGGAGCTGGGGATGATGGATGGATTTGTGGTGGGTTGCTGTGGGGATGGTGGGGAGTTATTGGGATCCATTGGATTGAAATCTGGTGATTTGAGGTTGGAGTCTCCAATGGATTTGCTCATCTTGGAATACCCACTCATCATGTCTTGTTCTTGTGTGTGAGAGTGTTTGATCTCTTGTTTTCTCCTTTGTTTAAAGAGAGAGGCTTTGTTGGGGAAGAGAGGTATTTTGGGGGAGGTGGGAAGTTGTAGGAGGTGATTGTTTATGGATATGTACAGCAAGTTAGTGAATAGAACTTTTGTAAGTTTGTGGAAGTGGGCCATGGTGAAAATGATATAATAAGAACTGTATAGAGACCAGAGAGATGGGGTTTGTGGACTTGATTTGAATTGGCTTTGATTTGGACTTTGGAGTAGTTCGGAGTAGATGGATAAATTGTCTCGTTTTCTAAATTGATCCATCCAAACGAGGTTGTACATGTTTTGTCTATGAAACATTTGTGATCATGCCCCACAATGCATCTACCATCTTATAAACGAGACAATTAAAACGAGTCAATTCGAATTACCTGCCCCCACTCTAGGTAATTGAAATTGACTCAAAACGGATCAATTCAAAATACCTCAGGCAGATTGATCCATCCAAATTTGTTGCTGGCAAACGAGGCAATTTGGTACAATTGTCTCAAAACGAGACAATTGTGTCAAATTGATCCGTTACAATTCCTCATCCAAACGACCCTGTAGGAAATGGGTTCTTACCATGAGGAGGTTTGTGGCACACTTTCAATTAGGTACATCTAGTATGATTCTCTTTTGCCTCTAAGTATCATCTCCACCATGACCCCCATTTTCAAATTCACAATTATAGTTTACTATCACATTTCATTCTTGCAATGGCGAATCAACAAGATAGTTGTTCGACGAGAGGAGGGGCTTCGTTCTGTTCAGTCAACGGGGTTGTGCCTCACCATTCTTTCTATGCTAAACTAGTAGCAAATACTACTATCACGATGGATCCATCAACATGGTCTGTCAATAGCAATTGTCAGTGTCATCTGGATAATTGATCAAAATCCTTATTGTTACCATTGCTTTGTTAATAGACATTGCTTGGAGGAGGAGCTTCCTTAAAGAGTACAACTCGATTTGATGTTGAGCCCCCATTTAGTGTTGCAATCAATGCATAATACACTTGATTATGAACTTTTAAGGTCTATCCTACAATTATCATGCATTCTTTTCCAAACATAGATAAATATTGTTCAAACTACATTCTCATAAAAGGGACAATGAACTCATAGTTATGGTTTGGCACGAAGCCTCATCATTTAACTTAACCATTAAAATCACAACAGAAAACCAACTATCAGTGTATTGAATTGATACTCGAGATCTCTGTCAAGTCTCATATGTTATGAGAGTTCTTGCATTCGAAGCAATATGATGGATGTTTCTTCATGCACTTGGATTGTTTAACCTAACCCTGTCCTAAAAGGGGAAGCAAATGCATTGTCCTGCGAAAACGAGATACACCATGATCGTCGAAGAAAGATATGCGATATACGGTTCGAGCATATGATGCAATACAACATCACAAGACACCTCTCAACTGTAACAAGATGGCATGAGCAAACTTAGACCAACCGTTCTTGCAGAGAGTATCAGCTTAACTAATCCAAGACTATTGACTGCAATTTCTTTTTTTTTTTTTGTCATTCTGCAATGCCTGCAAGCCTACAAATCGATTGGATTATCAACTAGAGAGAAGCAGCATCGTTCAAGGCTATGAATTCCCATGGTAATGATCAATGCAGCAAACACAAACAAACCCAATTGACAATACACTCTCAGAAGAAGTTTCAGTTTCCTTATGACGATCACCAATTCATCCTCTTTCATACACTCTCCATGAAACCCAGAACCATTATACAAGAACAATCGTCATTGAAGCTTATGGCGAGCCAAAATGAAGAAAAAGAAAGGAATAGTTTGTCTCTACATATGAGGGCCGGGTTTGGGGGTTCTTTTAGTCAGAGCTGGGATCTCTGTTCCTCAGTCTATAAATGATTCGACCTCTACTAACATCGTACCGGCTCACCTCAACCCTAACCCGATCCCCAGGCAATATCCTCACGAAATTCTTCCGAATCTTCCCCGAAATATACCCGATTATCAAATCCTCGTTATCCAGACGGACTCGGAACATACCGTTTGGAAGCGATTCGGTCACGGAGCCTTCGTAGGTCCACTTCTGTTCTCCCGTGGGATTGGCCTTGGTCGCTCGGGCGGTTGCAGAAGAAGAAGACGACGACCTTGCCGGAGCTGAAGCGATCAGATTGAGACCGGACGGGGAGGAGGAGGCCGAGCTGCCGAAAAACACCGCTGGGAAACGGGGGGAACTGGAGGTGGGTTTCGCCGGGAACTGGGTGGAGAAGAAGAGCGCTGCCGGAGCGTGGATGCTAGCTGCCGCGCTGCAGGCCATTTTTTTTGCAGAAAAATGTGCTGCAACTTTATTGGGGTTCTGGATTTTGAGGAAGAAGAAGAAGAAGATAAGAGAGGGAGGAGATGAATGGTGAAAGAGAAGGAAGTGAAGTGATGATCAGTTGCGGCTGGGCCTCTGGGCTTTGTTTGTTGCTTGAAAATAGGTGGGCTTTATGTGGGTAAATGGGCCTATAAATGAATTACTTGGCCCAAAATTTTTTGTTCCCTCCCAGTCCAGCCAGGCAACGGCATCTTCTGTACACCATTCTGTTTCCCGGTGAACGTCTCTCCATAACCATTAAACTCACTCTTTAATTGCTTTACTCAGCAAGAAAACCCCACTCCTCCTCTTTTGGAGGTTGATGATTGTAGAAGAGGTTGAATGCAAAAGATCCCGAGGAAGCAGGATGATGATGGAAGAAGGGTCTGAGAGTTCACAAACCCACACTGCAATTCCTTCTGGTCGTGGTTTCATCAGTATCTTGTTTTCTTGGTCCTTGGATGACATCTTCAATGATCGTCTGATACAGGTTTTTTTTTCTTCTCTTTTACTTTTCTACTCTCCATGGCATTGCCATTCTTGATGGGTTTCTGGTGAAGAACTTGGATTGTTTGCTAGGGATAGGAATTGTGTATTATGTGCAGCAACCCTATTTCCCGCTTCACTTGAATAAACACTGGGTTCAGGGTTCTACCCTGTTGAAACTCGTTCCTAACTTATTAAGTCACTGCTAATGGGAAGAAGAACCCTTTTCAGAGAGTTACAAGAGTGTTTTTGAGAAGTTCCACAACTGAGTATTTCGTTTTTTCATAGGTACAACCGATTCCTCAAACTTTTGAATCCACTGCGCATTACCTCGGATCCTATGTCCAGCCTTTACTTGAAGAAACTCGATATCAGTTGCAATCAAGTTTAGGGGATGTCTCGAAAGCACCATTTGCCGAGGTGGTTTCTTTGAGGGACTGCAAGCATGATGGGTTGAGATTGTACGATGTCGAAGTTGATGGTTGGAAGAACCTTGGTTTGGCTCGTGATGATGACAATGAGACTTACAAAACGTTGCCTGGAGATATTGTGCTTGTAGTCCACAGTATGCCTGAATCTGTTTTCGATTTGCGAAAGGCGGACTATCGCTGGACTCTTGGATCAGTGACCTATGTAAGACACGATGACGATGAAGAAGATCGTGAACGCTTGAAGTTCAGGGTTGAGACTGCTAAAGACTTGGAAGAGGTTGGAATGAAGAAACAATGTTTTATGATTTTCTTGGTAAATATGCTCTCCCATAGCAGAATCTGGTGCTCATTGCACTCGTCTGAGAACTTGAACATGATCAAGAAAGTTCTCTCTGCTGAATCTGCGGTAAGGAAATTCCATCTCCTTCGTTTCGAATTATGAGATAAGAATTCGGGTGTTCATGTCATGAATCTCCACTAAGTTGATCAAGCTTAATTTTCATATTCACATCTGATTGAAGTTGGTTGATTCTTCAGGTAACTGAGAATTGCACCAAGTGTACTTATCTGAGTGATGGAAGCCTTGATCGGGAATTCCTTACAAATTTACCTTCTAGTTTAAATGAATCACAAAATGAAGCGATTCTGGCTTGTCTTTATAAGATTCAGTGCTATCATAGTTCTGCTGTACAGCTCATTTGGGGTCCTCCTGGGACCGGGAAAACGAACACTACTAGTAATCTGCTGGTTACACTTTTGAGTAAGAATTGGAGGACCTTAACTTGTGCTCCAACAAATGTTGCAATTAAAGAAGTAGCCTCCAGAGTTCTGAAGTTGGTCAAGGAATCTAGATCTTCTTCTTATTCATCAGCAGATATTCTGCTATTTGGCAACAAGGATAGGTTGAAACTAAGTTCAGAACTTGAAGAAATATATCTGGACTGTCGGGTTAAAAAACTTGCAGAATGCTTTGCTCATCTAACGGGTTGGCAGCATCATCTCAATTCAACCCTGGACTTCCTTGAAAATTGTGTTCTTCGTTTCCATGAGGAAAATAAAAAGATCCAAGAAAGGAAGAAAACTCTTGGATACAGAAACAGAAAAGTAGACATCTCCAGTGAGGCTAATATGAGGACAGAGAAGTGGAATTCGTTTTTAGAGTTTGCCAGGGTCCGGTTCGACTCAATTGCTGGAACACTGAGAAGATTTTTTATTTGCTTTTGCACTGATATTCCTGTGAATTACATTGGAAGAGATAGAAAGGAAAACCTCTCGCTTGTCGCAGAGCTGCTCAGATCTTTTCAGACTTTGTTGTCTCACGATGACATGAACTCGGAGGAGCTGGAAAAGCTTTTTTCAGAACCGGTGGATTTTTCCTGTGGTTTTTCCGATCTGGCTCTGTTGTTGAATTTGAAAAGGAGTAAATGCATAGGTTGTTTAAAGGCGGTGTATAAATCTGTAAGAGAGATTGATTTCCCAACATCTATGAATTGGGGAGCTGTAAAGACCTTCTGTTACCAAAGAGCTACTCTATATTTCTGCACTGCATCTACTTCATATAATATGCATTCAGTTGACATTAAACCATTGGATATGGTTATAATCGATGAAGCAGCACAACTAAAGGAATGTGAATCAGCAATACCTCTGCAGCTTTCTGGTGTTAGGCATGTTATTCTCGTCGGTGATGAGTGTCAATTACCTGCTATGGTTCGAAGCGAAGTAATTGTTTCTTCTCTTCTTTTAGCCTTTAGTTTAATGACCTTATAAATTCTATAAATTATTTTATCTTTCTGGATAACTGACCTCTGTAAATTCTTTATGGATTTTATAGGCTGCTGGTGAGGCTGGCTTAGGGAGAAGCTTATTTGAGAGGTTAAGCTCTTTAGAGCACCGTAAGCACCTCCTAAAAACGCAATACAGGATGCATCCATCAATTAGTTGTTTCCCAAATTCAGCTTTTTATCGTGGAAATATCATAGATGGAGCAAATGTGAAGAGCATAGCTTATGAAAAGCATTACCTCCCTGGGCCAATGTTTGGTCCTTACTCATTTATAAATATAAGCGATAGTACAGAAGAGTTAGATGGGAGCAGCCAGACTAATATGACTGAGGCAGCCATTGTGCTGAAATTAGTTCAGAATCTGCAAAATTGTGAGCTTGAAATTCTTGGTCTTTGGAACTTCCAGGAAATGTCTTGTTGTTTCGGCACTGTCTCTGTTAGTTTTTTGCTCTTACTTTTGCTTATTTTATGAATGCACAGCGTGGAGTGGCTCCAAAAAGAATCTCAGCATCGGTGTGATCTCTCCATATGCTGCACAAGTGACTGTTATCCAACAGAAACTTGGTAGAGATTGTGAAGGAATTGATGGATTCTCAGTGAAGGTGAAGTCGATAGATGGATTCCAAGGAGGGGAGGAAGATATAATAATTTTATCAACTGTGAGATCAAATGCAACTGGAGCAATCGGTTTCCTTAGAAATGTTCAAAGAGCCAATGTTGCTCTTACCAGGGCAAGGTAGTGCTTTAAAAGTTTTATTCCTTATGCTCCCATCTTTCTCCATGCCCTCAAATCTGTTGGCTTCTATTTAAACTTTCTATTTTCATTTTCTGCCGCAGACACTGTCTCTGGATATTGGGCAATGCAGCAACTCTGGTAAAGAAGACATCAATTTGGGAAAAGCTGGTCCATGATGCTAAGGATCGTAAGTGTTACTTTGAATCTGAGGCAATGGAGAAATATATTGAACTCTCAACTGCTAATGTCTTCGACTCTACTTTTCCCCTTGATTGGAGAGAGTCATTGGAAGAGGATGTCATCACTTTGAGAAGAACTCATTGTTGGAAGAGCTTTCTCAGAGATGCTACTTTTGGAAACAGCAACATAGTAGAGGGAAAGCTGTCTTGTCATCAAATAGGAAAGATAGCTATGACAATTCTTGGGTCTGGTAAGCGCTATTGTAGATTACCCGAGAAAATGAGTGATGCTTTAAGGTGGAACTTATCGTGGAAGGCTTTGATAGAAAGTTTAGGTCGGCCTCCAGGATATGAAGATGTACCTGGCAAGCTATCAGTGGAAAGAGCTTTGCATGGAGCTTTAAGAAGTGCCTATGATGCCATCAAGAGGGATAAAGAAGATGAGTTAGTTTCACCTGGATGTTTCTTATACCTTGTTGAGCTCCTGTTGATACTGTTGTCGTCATACAAGGGGCGGTTTATTACCTCCCAGTCTTGCTGTGTTGAATGGATCCTCTTCAGGGAAGGTGTTGGGAACCCAAGTATCAGTTTGAATCGTCGAGAACCAGAATCCATGCGGGCCATGATTGAATTCATTGCCAGAGTGACCAGGGAATTTCTCTACAGCAAGACGGATACCACGGACTGGATAAGAAAAACACAGTCCAGGGTTAAGGATGATTATGGGTTTGTGGTACTGAGGTTGTTTGCAATTGCTTGTTTGGTGTATCTGAACTTTGGATTGGGAGCGGAATTGCTTTTTGAATTGCTGAGTTGGAAACATATCACTGAACAGATTCCTAAAGAAATTCGGCATATCCTTATGAAGAGAAAGAAAGACAACTCCCTCAACTTGCTATCTGAAGCCTTGGGAATGGTTGGCAACCCTATTGTGATTGTCAGCTTGGAAGAAAAGTTTTCAGCACCACAATGTCCAGGTACCATTCTAGTTGATATGAGCATCAGGCAGAGCACTAAGGAGATATTACAAATCTTGTTCCCCAAGATGAACAGATTTGCTGCCGTTGAAAAGCTAGAAGTAAAATCAGGCACTAAGCGCTTGAACCGAGAAACTGGATGTGCTGAGATTAGTCAAAACACCAATCAAGGGAAGAAGTCCAAGGTTTCATCAGGCCTTCTCAGCTTGAGCAATCATAAACATAAAGGTGGCAGTGACAACAACAACAACAACGCTGGTTTGAAGCAAGATCAAGTCACAGGTGTAACTGGGGCTTTGGATTCTCTGAAACTTGAACAAGATAAGGAGAAGGCATGTCGAAACTTACCCTCCAACTAACGGCTGGTAATCGAAAGGTTTCTCAACAAGTTGCATTGTGGATGGTCAGATACACAGGCCATGGTTTTGGTATTTTGATGCTGGAGGTGGTGCATATGCTTTGATCGTAGGAAGAGAGCCGGGTGAAGATGAATTGCTTGTTGAGTAAGGATCAAGTTATGTAATTAGCTGCATATAGATAGATATATAGTAATGATTCAATACATAGTTGTTAGAAACGTTTTGTTGATTTAGAAGTGTAAAACAGCAAGTTTTTAAACTTTAAAGTGCAATTTTAAAAAATAGAAGCATTTTATTTAGCTAGAAACGTAAAAGCACAAGTTTGAAATTTTGAAGCACGATTTTAGCAATTTTGCTACGAAGTATGGGGAGACGATGTTTAACTAGAGATGCAGTTTTGGAATTTTTGCAGATAGGTCCAAAATTTCATCCGTAGTTAAAAACTATTTCAAGGAAAAAGGGCAATCCATTCCATACCCAATACATATCCAAATAGAATAAGAACAAAACATAAGTTCATCATGTTATTCAGCGGCTTCATTCATTCTGCTCGCCTGCAGTCTTCAAAGAAGCCTCTTCATCATCGCTCAGGTCAACCTTGTTTGTCTGAGTCATCAATGTCGGCAGAAATCATCATCATGTCCTGTTCGATGTTTGTCTTATGGTTGCTCGATATGGATCTCCTCCTTGTTGGGACGAAAAAGACGAATCTCACAAGAGCTTGATCTTCTTGGACTGTTTAGCAGTGGTACAAGAGGTTTGTAGCCATCTGTGTCATTACTATAAAAATGCAGAATCAGCTTCTCCAGGATAGCTCCAGCAGTGAGGAAATATGCAACCATTGCAATCTGGGCTTCAACTGCTACAAAATCGTAGATCGTGATTACACGGAGGCTTGATAAGAAACACTCAGGCCCTGTAGCTGGTTGCGACCTCCAATCGCACTCCACTGGTCCGCTGCAATTCCCCTGCTTCATGTTCATGTACATATTCATTATGAAAAATTATGGACACGGAAGAATACAGTTCATAAATGAACACGGAGCTCACCATGACAATGTAAACATATTGTAATTTGGTGGCTGAGTTGAGCAAGGAGCGCAGAACACAGCTGCTGCCCTCAATTTCGATTACCAAATGTGTCAAATTGGGCAAGTCAGGCAATTGAACATTTTTTTCAACTGATAGATGACTCTGAAAACAAAGATTCAACGGAATTAGCACTCGTGTCATCCACCAAACTGATCATTATACGCAGGGTGGAAATGAGTTGATTACCAGAGTCTTCCCTAATAAGCTGATTTCCTTGGCATTGGAGATTCGAGAGAGAAACCCAGCCAGGGAATGGCTCGCCCTTCCACGGTCATCGACAGCAACATATACTGTCTGGAGGCATGGCAATGGTCTCCTGCCCTTAAACGGGAAGTCTCCAAGCACATCAAAATATAGTTGCTCAAGATTTGGTGCTTCGATTACCACGGGACACATCCTTTGTTTCCTTTCCCAAACATCGTCATAATCCCAAATCTTCAAGTTCTTCAAGCATGGTAAGGAAACATCGAGTATGTCATTCTCAGTAGTGTAAGAAGGGATGCAGTTTACCAGATGAGCAGTCTCCAGAACAGGGCAACCAGCTATGAGCCTGACCAGTGTCTCGAACTCCATCATCCTCACATGCACGAGCAGTAAGATCTTCATACAGGGAAGAAGAACAGACCCTTTTGGTGCACTCAGTGTAACCCTTTCAAGCTTCGCAATTTTCAGATTCTTCAAAGTATAGAAGCTATGCGGAATGCGGCGCATACATTGGGGAAGCCCGAACTCCGTGGTCTCCTCTGAAAGCATAACATCAATCTCCTCAAGCAGAGGACCAAACACGAATTCCCTCGTAAACCGAAAATCAGGCGGGGGCAGAATTTCCCACGTTACTGAAAAATGGAAGCGGAAACGCCTCAGAGAATCGAGATTCTTGTGCTGGCTCAGCACCCTGTCGACGAAGCGGCTGAATTCCAAATCTCTCGCGCGAAACGCTGAAGCAGGATCCGGCGAGATTTTGAGGCCTGTCTCCAAGCTCAGAGGCTTGAAAACCAAGCCGCTGTCGAGATCGAGACTGGAAACCCTAGCCCAGAGATCTTTCCACCGTCGACTCAGTACGGCGGTTCCCACGGCGTACTTGGTTTCCAGGAAAGAGAGAACGTGGGAGATGATTTCTTCCGGCAAAGAGCTGAGCCTGTCGTCGCCGTCGACTCCCGTCTCTTCCCTTGCAATTTTACTAGCGTTCTTCGTCTCCATCTACGGACCGGCGAAGGAAACCGAGACCGCGGGAAATGAAAAAGATTGGGAAATTACAAATTAGAAGGAGACATGAACAGAGTTCAGTTGGAAAGCGAGAGGTGAAAGAAAGTAAAAACCCGGAGACGAATTGACAATTTGGGCCTGGATGGACCCAAATCATGGGCCTCATTCTTGAAGAATTAGCAGATTCGGGCTAATCGAATTGTGGGCCTACCCCGAATTGGATACACAAGTACTCGACACTTGCAAGTTGCAACCAAGCTTACTTCTTAAACTGTGATTATTCCTTTCCTCTGGTTATCTTCTTGGTTAGCACTTGACTGATTGACTGTAATGATACAGCTCTTTGGCATTAGATAAAGTAAGATTCGATAAAGATTGTTACTTATAGAATGACTAATAATATCTATTAGTGCATCTTCCGCATCCCGCTTTGAAAAATCCACCTGAAAACGTGTATCCACAAAAGCCTCGAGTCCTTGACTGTAGAGCATAGCAAAACTGCTGAAATAACCTAGACAAAGAGATTGAAACAGTCTTTCTTCAACCAAAGGATCCTACGATGCAGCCAAACCACTACTTCAAAAGGGACAGCTAACTCAAAATTACACTACCAGTTGGATCCATAGACTCGCAGCTCTATCATATTCACTAGGATAAGAAAATGCAGTTCTTCACATTATCCGAAGCGCCTAACTGAATCACTAGACCACCACCATGCTTCAGAGCCTCATCTTCCTTCGTCGACCTAGTCCTTGGTCTCGTCAACAATGTCATCAGTCATCATCCGTGTCGCCATCAAAATCATCAAAGTCGTCATCATCATCCATTTCGGCTTCAATGTCACTGTAGTCGTCAAAATTCATATCATCGTCAATGACGGCCTCTTTGTTGCTATCGATGCAGATCTCCTCGTTATTGGAAAGTAAAAGACGAGCTTCACAACAGCTGGATCCTCTAGGCAGTTCTAGCAGTGATGCAAGCTTTTTGCGGCCTTTTATGTCGTGATGATAATGTTGTACGTGCATATCTACCTTCTTGAGGACAGCTCCAGCCTCGAGCAAGTATGCTACCAATTTCATGTCATCTTCATTTGGTACAAGATCCTTGACCTCGATTTCCTCGAGACTGGATAACAAACACTCGGGCGTCCAAAGATCAAATAACTCACACCCCAATCTCATTGCTTGAGTGGCAGTCCCCTGTTAATGTACATATTCATCATGAAACACTATGGAAGGAAGATTGCAGTTAACAAAGCGAACATGGAACTCACCATGTCAATGACAAGAGATTGTAATTTGGGGGCTGAATCGAGCAAAGAGAGCAGAACCAAGCTGCTGGCCCCAGTTTGGGTTGTCAAATGCGTCAAGTTCGGAAAGTCAGGAAACTGAACATGATCGAAAGCTGACAGATGATGCTGTAACAAAGATTTAAGAAAATCAGCGGTTCTTATCAACTAATTGATCAATCGGGAAGAAAAGAGTGGACCATTGAGAAGAAAGGGGAGAAAGTGTTTGATTACCAGAGTGTCCCCAGATATGAACATCTTCTTTGCATAGGAGATTTGATCGAGGACCCCATCCAGTGAAAGATCCGAGCTTTGATACGGACCAATATCAAAATGTGCTGAATGAAGGCATGCCAAAGGACTACTGCCCACAAACTCCAAATCCACAAAATCTTGAAGATCAAGTTCCTCAAGTACTGGTGCTTCGATTACAATGTGACACTTATCATAATTGCCAAATCGGATTATCTTCAAGTTCTTCAAGGATGGTAAGGAAACAATGAGCACGTCTTGCTCATTCCTGTGCGATAAACAGCCACCCTCCAGAAGAGCCGTCTCTAGAACCGGGCAGCCAGAAATGAGACTGCTTACTGACTCGCAGTCCCTAAACTCAACTTCACAAAGCTGTAAAATCTTCACACTAGGAAGAAGAACCGACCCTTCTGCTGCACTCAGTATAACCCCATGAAGCTTCACAACTTTCAGATTCTTCAATGTATAAAAGCTCTGTGGAAGGCAGCGGATCCATTGGCGACCTGATTCCGGTAACGCCTCAATCAGAATATCAATTTCCTCAACTAGAGGTCCAAACACCCATTCCCTCTCAAGCTGAAAACCAGGACACACTCCACTTTTACTATACTCTACTGTAAAATGGAAGCGGAAACGCCTTACAGAATCGAGGCTCTTGTGCTGGCTCGGAACCTTGTAGACGAAGCGGGAGAATTCCAGGAGCTTCCTCTCTCGATCCTCCATAAGCATCCGCTGTTCATCCGGTGGCAAGTTGTGGACGGCGAAGTTCCCGGGCAGTGGCTGGTAAAGCAGGCAGTTGTCGAAATCGAGATTCGAAACCCTAATCCAGAGATCCTTCCAGCGTCGGCTGAGGACGGCGGTTCCGACGGCGTACTTGGTTGGCAGGAAAGAGAGAATGTGGGAGATGACATCGTCCGGCAGAGAGCTGAGCCTGTCGTCGGCGTCGATTTCCGGCTTTGGCCTCGCGATTTCAGTGGTGTTCTCCGCCTCCATTTACGCAGTGGGAAGACGCAACTAAGACGGAAATGGAAAGATTGCGTAGTTTTATACTTTTATAGGATGAAATGAAACGGAGTTGGGAACGGTTTGCAAGTGAACGGGAAATGCAGCGAAACGGAACGGTGGGGGAAATTGACAACGTGGGCCTGGTTGGGCTCAAATCGTGGGCCAGCCAATTCCTAAGGCCCAGAATGTATTTCTTGAATACAAGTTTGGGAAAAGTTGTGTTTCCAAGTGTCGAGAACAAGAATTTTGCATTACAAGTCTTCTGCTTTCATACAGCTTCTCACGTTTTCTGCACAGCAGCTGCTTCATACCAGCTGCTGCATTCAGTGTATATATGAAGAAGCCATGGCGTTTTCGGCGAGTGATGAAGCTCTCTGCACAACTGAAAGAATGTGAATCAACAATGCACCTGCAGCTGGATAAGAGTCATGCAAATTCTTCACAGGCTTCTCAAGTCCTCCAACAGGCCCTCTGAACCACACCAAATTTAGGTGAAGTTCGTGGATCAACCTTTCGCATTTGGGAATCCAGACAAATCAGGAGCTAAAATGAGACTGTGGTGATGAATTCCAGTAGCTAAGCACTTCCGAATCAATGACAAGGAAGAAGTAAGGACAGCGGCAAAGTTTCTTCTTTCACAGTAATGACAGTATCCTTCTGGAAGTAACCAGCAACAATAATCAGCTTTCAATGGTGGTTGCCCTCGGTGGAGCAGAGCTTTTAAAGGAAAAAACCACATAGAAGTGGCAAGTTCATTTCGGTTCACTTCGTATCAAAATCAGAAGTAGGATGCTAAGAAGCTGTAAGAACTTTGAGCTTCTCTTATCAGACCCCCAACTTGTGAGATAGCGTAAAGCAATTGAAGTTGGAAAATAGGTAGTACCGTTATTCATCTGGATAAAAGTCAATATCCTTTGGTGGACCCTTTCTTATCTTATCTTGTAGATCCAATTGCTTCGGTACTACAAGCTCAGTTCCACTGCCCGACCTGGAAAAGTACCTTTCTAACAACATCTGCAACCAGCAGAAGAGAGTAAACATCAAAATAACAGAGATAGAAAAACAGAACAAGATTCAGACTTCTCTAGTGTTTTATACTGTATGCTCTCAGCTAGATGGAAAATAGCATTTGTTTCATACCACAGCAGCATATGCATCGATTTGCTTTTGTCGAGTTTCCTTGTCGAGTCCCCTGAAAGATTCAGCCAATTTTCTAAGATCAAAAGCTAGCTAATATATCTAATAGATCAATATGAACTGTGGACATAACATTGCCATATATTGGACAAGTCAATAGCATTGGCTCTGTATTCAAGTTTAAATTTGATAGATGGCTTCTGTTAATTCAACAAACTGATGTACCTATAAGCCCCATGCAGACTGATTTTGTCTAAGTTATAAAGACTTCGCAATAGTGTAAAACCAGTTTAAATACCACAAGAGATGTTACTAATACACTTCCCTGTCACTGTAATCAAATGGTGTAAAGATCTAGTAACTTCAGTACACTGACAAAAACTAAGCAAAAGCGGGGAAAAAGAGGTTCTGCATAGGAATTACGTGTTAATCATACGGTTCATGGCATCTGTGGTTGTACCATGTTCATCTTGTAAGTATACTCTCCAGCCCCTGAAAGCCATAAAAGCAGAAAAATAAGTAACAAAAACTGAGTCCGGCTCCAGAATACCGTGAAAAAAATGGATCATTCTCACAAATTAACTGCATCAAGCATCTTAAAGAACAAAAAAGCAACCATCTATTTGTTTTTCCAAAATTGATAATAGTGTTATCATGATAAGAGTTCACCTTTCAGCAGCTCGAGCAGCAAGTCTTCCAGCAACACTACGAACTTTGTTGGACTGAGGGGTCTCCTTGCTATCTGAGGATCTAGGAAGACCAACTATAAACTCATCTACCTCCTAAAACCCAAAAGAAATTCTCAGGACAAGTGAAATGAAACTTAAATACATTACATCGATCATTTCTTTATGGACCAACAAGACAGTCGTTCTGTCACCTCACGTTCTGCAATCTCAAGAAGCCGTAGCTCAAGCTTTTGTCCTCGCATTTCCAGCACCTTAAACACAGCTGAAACAACGGTCAGAAACTAACAAACCTCATAACAGAAAAAAATGGGAACATGAATCCACAAGCAGAAGTTGCAGAGAAGGTGGTACCATGAGAGGACGAACGGTGAAGCCTTTGCTAAGGGCAATACCCGTTCGAGACAGTCCAAGATCCACCCCAAGACTGAACCCTCCCCTCCATTTTGGGTCATTCTTCCGGCGGAATGCATTTGGGGGAAGTTCCTCGACAGATAGCGTCGCCCTTAGCTTCCTCCCATCATTGCTATTACGAACAAATGACGCAGACCTAGAGATCCTGAGATCACCAGTCTTTCTAAGCAGGCAAGCTCCCATAGGAGGAAATTGCTGCTGGCAGCATACTAGATTACAACTGCGCAATGAACCCATTCTAATCTACCACATACGCCAAAAGACAGCGATGATGTGCAGCTCGTACAGTGAATAACTCCTGAGAAAATCGAAGGTAGAGAATTTTGAATAATGGGTTGCAGAAAGACCAATGCGGTTGCTTCAATCGAAGATGCCCTTAAACATATATTGCTAAGAGAAGGCAGAAACGCAGAAAGAACGCAACTTTCCACCGTTATTTCTGAATTTCGCAACAAATTAAAAAGGAGCAATAGCCAAGCCAATTCTAGAAACTAAACCATGCAACGAGGAATCAATCAATCAATCGGCATAGGAAGTCTTGAACAGAAAGGGGGAAAGAAGAAAAACCCACCTGAAGCAAGGCAAGAACAAGTAGAGTGGAAGTGTTAACACTCCCGCCCAGATGAGAGCACCAAAGCTTCAATGGCTGACTCCACAATCTGAGAATCAGGGTTGGATAAGAGACGTTGGTGATGGCAAACGCTGCCGTTCTCCCGCCATTAGAGTAGCCTCTTCAGTTCAATTCAGCATTCAGGGCAAATCGGCAATTCCCAATCTGGAGATTAATCATAAAAAAATGAAATAAACGAGAGAAAAAAAGAAAAAAAACGGGGGCGGTAAAAGATGGATAGGATCCAGTGCAGCGAGGGGACACACAAGAGAAAAAGTCGCCTCCAATCCAATCGTTCCACGTGTCTAATCTCTCTCTCTCCTCTGTATTCCATTCCTATTCTGTTTCGGTCTCCTCTTCCTTTCTTTTCTCTCATTCTTCTTCTCCCTCCTGCTTTCCATGTCTGGTCTGGTGACTCCCTGCTAATTTTAGCTAGCTCCAAATTCCCATCTTCTACATAAACTCCCTTGCGGCATCCTTCCCCTTTCTTTCTCCACCCCTCCAACACCACAACCACGGTCGTCACCTCCGCCGCCGTCGACTGCTTCCCTCTTCTTCGTTCCACCACCCCGGCGCGTCGCCTTTCCCTGCAGCGGTGCGTTCTCTCTTCATATCCCTTTCTGTTTGTTTTTTTCTCTCCTCAATCAGCTCCACATTCCAATTTTTCTAATTGGGTCTTACTGTCTGGCTTTCCGATCTCATTTTGTTTGGGGATTGGTATTCCGGAGCTCGAGATCAAGGTAGCCCAATTTGCTTGTTTCTGTCGCGCCTTTTGTGGGTATTGTCTGGTGGAGTTTCTTCCGTGTTCTTCGTTTTTGTTTTCCCCCCCACATTGACTTCGTTAATTTGGTTTTCTGTCTTCCTCTGTTTTTTTCCTGGGAAAAACACAAGAACGTTTGTGATAACGGTATTCTGATGGCCATGGATACAGTTGGGATTTGATTCAATTTTCTGTAGTTTGTTTCCTCTCGTCTCTCCCTATCACGGGGAAATTAATTTACCTTTCTTAATTGATTTGTGCTTACATTCAATACTGCTGTTCATTTAATGTGGAGACGCCCTTGGATTTGAGCTGGCAGCTGCTTTGAATTTCTGCCAGACTCTGTTTTCCCCTTTAATTTTCTTTTCTTTTCTTTTTGAAAACATGAACGTTTGGCAAATTCTGGTGGCAAATGGTGGATGAATCTGATTGTCGCTCTTGAAAGATGTTTCATTTTCTGCAGCCATATAGATTCGTCGATAAGGGTCGATTTTTGTGAATGTAGAGAACAACGAAAAGTTGCCTTCTTTGCCTTTCTATATCGTATGGATAATGTTTCGTCTCTTGGGTTCTTTGATCTTTGCCCCTGAGTATTATTCAAATGCAAACCTTTGATCTATTTGATGGGCATCCAAATGTGCTGCAGATTGTAATTCTTGTGGGCTGACGCATAGGCGTTCTATATTTGGGTTCCACTCCATCTTTCTAAAGCTGTTCTTTTGTTTTCCATTGTGCAGACACCATTGTGGCACGCCTTAGTATTATTCTCTTCTCATGGAGGATGTAAAAGTGGCTCAAGTTACACCTCCTGCGCCTGCAGAATCATCATCGCCATCCCAGAACAATGGACATTCTAGTGGAGAAGCATCATTGGGCCCTCTTGCTAATGGGAAAACAGAAAACAGTAGCGAGAAGCCTGGAGAATCGGGTGTAGAAGAAGTTTCCCAAACCCAGGTTGTTGCTCAAGATTCACTTCTTGAAGCTTTAAACTTGGGAGCCAATCAAGCACCGAAATCAACGTCAGTTTCATTAGTGGATGTATTGGGGACAACTTCTTCCTCCAATGGACCTGACAATGAAGCCACCCGAAATCCTTCAGATGTTTCTGAACCGATTGGGGATTCCTCTAAGGCTCCGAAAGAGGCAGATATGGCTGACTCCTCTAAAGCATCCCTTATTCATATGGATTCTACTTCACAGGCACTTCCTGCTGCAACTGTTCCTCATAATTCTGAAGTAATTGGGAATTCCTCACTGGCCTCAAAAGAGGCAGATATGACTAGTTCCACTCAACATACCCTTATTCAGATGGATGATTCTACTTCACAGGCACATCCTACTTCTGCTGTTCCTCAGAATTCTGAAGTTTCTGCTCCTGTTATTGGTGGTCCTCTTGTTCAAATAGATGAGATTTTTCCAGTCCAGAGTTCCTTGGATGCCAAGAAAGCTGGAAATTCTGATTCCACTGGGGAACCACTTCTGATGGATGACACTGTACAAACCCCTTCTGCTCACAAGGCACTGATAGATTCTCAGGAAAATGAGGAGGTGGAGCAGAATGCTTCTGCTGCTCAAGCAGCTGAAACTGCTTTAGTGGGCAGTCAAGTAGATGATAGTACTGTTCCAGATCCTTCTTCCTCTCCCAATCCAAAGGTGCAGCAACCCAATGACTTTACTCTACCTCAGGTAAAGACCAGTTTAAACTCGGGTTCTGGTCTACCTGATTCTCCACTAGTCAGGATGATAAATCCTGCCAGCAGGACACCTCAATCTAGCGAATCTGGTAAACTCTCCAAACAGGGGGACTTGAATAGGGGCCTCATTGACACAACAGCACCTTTTGAATCTGTTAAACAAGCTGTTTCAAAGTTTGGGGGAATCGTTGATTGGAAAGCACATAAAATGCAGACTGTAGAGGTAACAACCAAATGTAATTTTCTACTATATATTGCAGGTGAGCTTTTATTTCCTTGCGTACTCTCTGAACTTGTTCGTTTGTTTTCACAGCGACGCAAGCTAGTAGAGCAAGAACTAGACAAGTTGCAGGACGAAATGCCCCAGTACAGGAAGATGTCTGATGCTGCAGAAGAGGCCAAAACAAAAGTTATCAAAGAGCTCGACAGTGCAAAGAGACTTATCGAGGAGCTCAAGCTCAACCTCGAGAGGGCACAAACTGAAGAGCATCAAGCGAAACAGGATTCTGAACTTGCCAAGCTTCGAGTGGAAGAGTTGGAACAAGGGATTGCCGATGAGGCCAGCGTTGCAGCCAAGGCACAGCTTGAGGTTGCTAAATCGAGACATGCAGCAGCAGTTTCGGAGCTGAAGTCTGTCAACGAGGAGTTGGAAGCTCTACGTAAAGAATATGCTTCTCTGATTAGTGAGAAAGACGATGCCATGAAGAAAGCTGAAGAGGCTGTCTCTGCTTCCAAGGAAGCTGAGAGGACAGTTGAGGAACTGACGATTGGGTTAATAGCAACAAAGGAATCTCTGGAATCTTCACATGCTGCCCATATGGAGGCAGAAGAGCATAGAATAGGAGCAGTCATGGCGAAGGAGCAGGATGCTCTTTACTGGGAGAAGGAGCTGAAACAGGCTGAGGAAGAGCTCCAGAGACTTAACCAGCAGATTCTTTCAGCTAAAGATCTCAAATCAAAGCTCGACGCTGCTTCTGCTTTGCTGGTCGATCTGAAGGCTGAATTGGCAGCGTACATGGAGTCAAAGTTAAAGGAGGAAAATACTGAAGAAGGAGGTTCACCACATGAGGGGCCAGAGAAGAGAAATCACACAGATATTCAAGCAGCAGTGGCTTCAGCAAAGAAGGAACTCGAAGAAGTGAAGCTCAACATCGAGAAGGCAAATGCTGAAGTGAATTGCTTAAAGGTGGCTGCTGCCTCGTTGCAATTGGAGCTCGATAAGGAAAAATCATCTATCGCCACGATCGGGCAAAGGGAAGGAATGGCATCAGTTGCAGTTGCTTCTCTTGAAGCCGACCTGGACAAGACTAGGTCAGAGATTGCGGTGGTTCAATCCCAGGAGAGAGAAGCACGAGAGAAAATGGTGGAAATGCCTAAGCAACTGCAGCAAGCTGCACACGCAGCTGATGAGGCAAAACTACTCGCTCAACTGGCGCGTGAGGATCTTCGGAAGGCCAAAGAAGATGCTGAACAAGCCAAAGCTGGGGCAGGCACAATGGAGAGCAGATTGCTCGCAGCTCAAAGGGAGATTGAAGCTGCAAAGGCTTCTGAAAAACTAGCATTGGATGCTATCAGAGCGTTGCAAGAGAGCGAATCAGCAGCACAAACTGGGAATGATGCTGATTCCACGAATGGGGTAACGCTTTCTCTAGAGGAGTACTATGAGCTCAGCAAACAAGCTCATGAAGCAGAAGAGCAAGCTAATGCAAGGGTGGCAACAGCTATTGCACAGATCGAGTTAGCCAAGGATTCCGATTCAACGACTGCAAAGAAGCTGGAAGATGTGAACCAAGAGCTGGCTGCTAGAAAGGAAGCTCTGGGCGCTGCGATGGACAAAGCCGAGAAGGCTAAACAAGGGAAGTTGGGTGCTGAACAGGAACTCAGGAAGTGGAGGTCTGAACACGAGCAAAGACGCAAGGCTGGTGAATCTACTGCTACCCCTGGGGTCCCCAACAGTAATAAAAGCCAAAGAGGAAGCTTCGATGGGGGCAAAGAAGCAAAGATTGCTGAAGAGGGCTCGGCAACCCAAATCCCAATGAGCCCCAAGGTGAACTCGCAGGGAAGTAGTAACACCGGTTCTGAACCCTCACCAGACGTTAAGGCAACCAAGAAGAAGAAGAGATCAATGTTCCCGCGTTTCCTCATGTTCCTGACGAGGAGAAAGTCGAGTTCCTCAAAGACGGGTTGATTTTTTTCTCCATGGGAACCAGAATTTGCTTGCCTGCCCCGTTGCTGCTGTCTGTTGTCATATTAAATGCATATATTCATTCGTCTCTGGTTTTTTTTTACATCGAAGAGATTACAGAGGTAAAAAGTTTTCTTACTCTTTTTGAATGTAAATGTGAAATGTTTACCCTTGTGTATGATAAGATACTTGGCAATTGACATACATACTTGAAGCAGAAGGAAAGAAAAGTGGGGGAGTGTATTTGTTGCGTTTGGCTGCTGGCTTTGGATAAAAATAATAATGCAACTGCAGTAGTCCTTTCATTTCATGAGGAACCATAATGATATTGTCAATATGAAACAGTGCAAATCTTTTTATTTTTCTGTTGCTACTTGTTTTGTTGGTCTTCTTTCGATTCTTATATCAACTTCTGCGGTCATAAATGCTGAATTTATCTGTGTTGAAAGGCTGAGTTTCAAATTTGGATATGTTTATACGACCTAGCATCTCGATTTCCAAATAAGCCTAAACATAGCATAATGAAACCGGTCAATTCAGCATAGCTTACCTGCAGATTGTTGATACAGCGAACATCAAACCGAGACCATGGAACCCAACAAATCAGTGTAACTGCATAATGCCATAATCAAGTAACTGAAGTGCAGTCTACGAAAAGATGAATCCACTGTCCCTGGTGTGGATAGATAAACCAAAAGACGGGATCCTCGATGGCCCTGCATCCACAGTGTGCTCCTGAGAGAGGAATAGGATACCATCATCCATCATACGAAGAAATGTAATTCGGAAAGCACACGATCCTGAACCATTTCCCAGAACGTGATATGAACATGCAGCGATAGTGATGCAACATGGTACAGTGGTATGATGGTACACGCAGCGATAGTGATCCAGACTCATATGAACAAACATCAATCAAAGCAAATTGTCACAACTTCACAGTAAGCAACATGACCTTGCAACGGTCTATCTATGTCGCGCCAGAATATAAGCAACATACAAGATATTTACAGAAAATGATGATTGCATTCACCTTATCAGAGTAAACACCAAACTTGACTCAACAATTCCAACTCCATAACAGAAATGATGAAATGGTATATTCATTTGGTAGCTGCCAGCGATGCCTTCTTATTTCATTCCGAGTGTGATGTCCAGTAAATCAATCCACTGATCAGTACAAACACACACTGCAAGACACCTGCAACTCCAGTCCACACCGAAGGCCCGTCCTTGACAATCGAGTCTTGTATCAACAAACCAACCGATGCCGCGAGGGAAACAAATGACACCACATAAGCAAAGAAGAGCCACAGCTTCAATCTCCATTCGCCTTCGTCATATGGAGAGTAGTCTATGTCCTCTTTCCTAACACAGTTGAACATCAGAGCTGCGATGGATGCGAATATCCCAGGAAGGTAGTGCACAAATGAGACCTGAATAGAACTGCAAACCACAGCATCAACCCAGAACCACCACCCAGCTCCAAAAACAGCACCTGACACCCCTGGCCCAAAGATCGCCCATATCTCCAATAAATCCATTTCGGTTGTTTGAGGACTCCAACAGAACTAGCTGGTGAAAGAAACCATATCAGAAATGCTGAAACAGAGCTTGTATAGTAACCATGAGCATCAGCAGACAAGAATTACAGTTTTTTGGGTGAGGATTAACATCAGACGAATCTAGGCGTCTAAGATTATTAAAACTAAGTTTGTTTCAAATCATTCTCCACTAGCGGTAACGTAGAATTTTGTGGTGTTTCCAAAACGATCGAAGGAAGAGGTGCACATACAGAAACTCACTCAGTTGTGATAAAATCACAAAGAAGTGGTATGCAGCTCCAGATAATGTCCACAATCTAGTTACTCTTCCATAACAACATTCACTCCAAACCACCTTGAAGCAAGAAAACCAACCCAGTTGGCTAAACAATAAGCTGGCAACGCGCTAGCTTGAATACTGAGTATGAACATGTATCTTACAAAATGGAGACTATCACAATCCAATCGTTAGTATCGAAACATAGGATTTCAATTTGACCATTGTCGATTCTGGTGCAGAACGCACAAGCATAGCAATTATATCAACAATCTAGTTATTTATGCTATAAGGCACCCAATTGCAACCAAGACTCGGCGATTTAAGATCAACTAATCTATTGAGCCAGTAAATCATGAATACTGGAAACAAACGTCAAAACAGAACATGGAATCAGCGCAAGGAAATGGACAAGGCAATCAAACTACCAGCGAGGAGAAGGGAATTCGAATTCCAAAAATCTTCCCAAAGCATACCCAGCAATTGAAGCGATTTCAGTATGGTGCATGAGAGGAGATGGAAAGGGGGAAGAGCAGACCTTAAGGCGATGGTGATCGCGCTGACAGGGCTGTCCCCAGTTGCGCTCCGCGTCAGCTGGCGGCACAAGAACTCGGGGTGAGAAATCCTTATCTCTTCCCTTGGTCGACGGCGGAGACAACGAAGCTGGTACAGCTACACCACCACCGCCACTAGGGATTTGGAGCCGCGGGAGATGGGAGGAGGAAGAAACCAGAGGAATCCCAGTTCGTTCCTTTTCGATTCTTTCTTTGCCAGCGGGGCAGGTTGGGTGATCTTCTCTTTTTGTCCAAAGCTCGGACAGTTGTTTGGGTTTTCAGCCCATATAAGTGGGCCCCTATCACTTTAGAGGCCCATGGACCAAACTTTAGCCGACATCCCTGGTATTTACATTCGCCCTTAATTATGATTTGTGAAACCAAACCACAAAAAACAGATTATAGGTTGAATGGTACTGTTTTAAACCCTGTCATTTAGACAGATAACTTTTTTCAAAGGTACATAACTATCATCTCTTCCCTTGAGTTCTTTTGTCACTTTTATTTCTTTCGAAAGTTTCAGTCTTTTTACTTGGTTAATTTTTTGGAACTATAACAAGTAGAGGAAAGATTCATAATTTCATACTGATTTAACAGATGGTGATCTCAGCCGCTCAATGATTAGAGTTCTGATGGAAGTCACCGACGAGCCAATATAGCCTTGCCACCGGCAGAACAATCTTACATCAGAAACCACGTTTGATTCAAGCTTTCCCAAGTTCATCAACTATGCTCTTGGGATCACCACACATAAGAAACAAGGACCTACAGTATTCTCAGTTCTAAGGGTTCATATTTCCTACTTCTCTACCATTTCCCTTGTCGATCGAGCTCTCCAGTCTCAACCAAAAATGTCTGCCCGTTTTTAACCCTGTATATGATATCCCCATGGCACACCAATACATTTAATCCGCCAACAACTCGCGAAATGAACAATCATGGAGTGCACATTTCATGGAGCAAATAGTGGGAAGAAAGAATCATAAACATACTGCCTTTCTTCCCAGATGCTTGTCTCTCTCACTTGCTGTCGGTGAAATCTGCATCGATCACGTCTCCTTCCGGCCCCTTGTCTGACGATGAAGAATCAGAGGCAGTAGCACCGGGCTCACCGCCAGGAGCAGCAGCTGCGCCAGGTTGGTTGTAAAGAGACTGTCCAAGTTGCATCACTTCGGTGTTCAGGGCAGCCATTGCGTCCTTGATTGTCTGGGTCGTTTCGCTGGCAATTGCGTCCTTGAGCTCTTGCAGTTTGGCCTCCACCTTTTCTTTCACCGGAGCCGGGACTTTGTCTCCGAGCTCCTTGAGCTGCTTCTCCGTCTGGTACACAACAGAGTCGGCCTGGTTCTTGGTGTCGATGGCGTCTCTCTTCTCCTTGTCTTCCTTTGCAAATCTCTCTGCGTCCTTGACCATCTTCTCAACCTGCACCCATGGAATTAGTCATGAAGTCAACTGCTCAACCCACTTGCACAGAACAATCAACTATTAGATTCACGAAAGAGAGGCACTAGTAAGATGAGCCTCACCTCGTCGCTTGGCAATGTGCTGGCACCCGTGATGGTAATATCTTGCTTCTTGCCCGTGCCCTTGTCAGCAGCAGAGACAGAGAGGATTCCGTTGGCATCTATATCGAATTTCACTTCGATCTGGGGGACACCACGAGGTGCTGGAGGAATGCCGTCCAATCTGAAACTTCCTAGCGACTTGTTATCCCTAACAAACTCCCTCTCTCCTTGGAGGACATTGATCTCCACACTTGTTTGACCATCAGCAGCAGTGGAGAAAACCTCTGATTTGGAGGTGGGCAAAGTGGTGTTTCTAGGGATAATCTTGGTCATCACACCTCCCAGAGTTTCAAGACCAAGAGATAATGGCGTTACATCCAGCAAAACGATATCGCTTACGTCTCCAGCCAAAACACCAGCCTATAACAGCAGAGGGTAGATTCAATAAGGTCAACATGAAAAACATGAGTGGTTACAGTTACTAGTATGATAAGGACAGGGTGCCAACCTGAACCGCAGCACCTAAAGCAACAACTTCATCAGGATTTACAGTGACATTTGGTTCCTTTCCTGTCAACTTTTTCACAAGCTCCTGAACTGCAGGGATACGGGTTGAACCACCAACAAGAATTACTTCATCAAGGTCTTTGAAACTGAGCTTCGCATCCCTCAATGAATTTTCAACTGGGGTTTTCACCCTAAAGACAGTAGGACCAAGATAAGAGTTACCTCCAGATTCAATTGCAACGTATCAAACACATACAAATGCATATATCCTGGACATTGGAAATGTATCACAGAAAGGGCCAGTATCCTCATAGTTTTACCTGTCAAGCAAATCAGAACAGAGTTCTTCAAACTTCACCCTGGTAAGAGTTGTCTCAATATGCTTGGGTCCATCAGCCGTAGCAGTAATGAAAGGCAAACTGGAATAAACAGAGTGATCGAGTTAGCTCAGAACAAACACTCTGCAAATAATAAGGTGGAACAGTAAGCAAACAAGCTAACATACCTGATGTTTGCCTGGGTCAAAGTAGAAAGCTCCATTTTTGCTTTCTCAGCTGTTTCAGTTAGCCTTTGAAGTGCTTGTTTGTCCTTCAGCAGATCAATACCTTCATTCTTTTTGAAGTCAGAGGCAAGCCAATCAACAATTCTCTGCATTAAGGAACAGATAAACGCTTTTAGTTGATTGTCATCCCATACTAAAAAGCCCCCAGAGAGTGGATCCGCAGCCATGAATAACAAAGATCAGAACCTTGTCAAAGTCATCACCGCCCAAGTGCGTATCTCCTGACGTTGACAGCACCTCGAAGACACCATCACCAACTTCAAGCACTGTACAAAACCACAGAAAATCCTAGGCATATCAGTATTGGGTTTGTTCATTTTTCAATTAACCAAAGAGAAAGGTTATGCAGTATCTGATGGTAGGCAAATACAGGCAACTACTTTTCAACATAGAACCACACAGTCACGTTACCTGAAACATCAAATGTACCACCACCAAGGTCGAAAACAAGAATGGTCTCGTTGTTCTTCTTCTCAAAACCATATGCCAATGACGCAGCAGTAGGTTCATTGATGATTCTCAGAACTTCCAACCCGGCGATACGTCCAGCATCCTTCGTAGCTGTCCTTTGTGAATCATTGAAGTAAGCCGGTACTGTCACCACAGCTTTGGTCACTTTATCATTCAGAAACTTGGAAGCATCATCCACAAGTTTCCTCAACACCTAAATCATGGAATCCATAGTCACCGCAAGGAGCTATCTTAGTACATGTTCATTGCAAACAATCACAAAATCGATCCTAAACTGAGTTATCCACTTAATCCAAGTTCCGATTTGCAGTAGCCTGAAACCTAATTGTTCACAAGCAATCTAGAAATGAAAGCACAAGGAGGAGGGGAAACAAGTACCTGAGCTGAAATCTCCTCAGCAGCAAACTGCTTACCAAGAACAGGACAATCCAGCTTCACATTCCCATTCTCATCCCTCACCACTTTATACGAAATCTGCTTCGACTCCTCATCAACCTCGGACATCTTCCTGCCAATGAACCTCTTAACGGAGAAGAAAGTGTTCTCCGGGTTCACGACGGCCTGACGTTTGGCGATCTGCCCAACCAACCTGTCGCCGTTTTTGGTATACGCCACCACAGACGGCGTCGTCCTCTGCCCTTCGGCGTTGGTGACGATCGTCGGCTTGCCTCCTTCCATCGCCGCCACGGCCGAATTCGTCGTCCCCAAATCGATCCCCACCACCTTCTCGCTCACGACCCTCACCGGTCCGTCGGAGTGTCTCCTCGCCGGACCACGCTTGTACCTCAGGAAAGCCGCCGTCTTGGAAACATCCCCCAAATTCTGACCCAAAAATACAGTCTTTGGGGCGAAGGAGAAACTGGGTCTCCTCGCCGGGGTCGGGGAGGACCCAACAAACCCCATCCCGCCGAGAATTTGTGCTGTTGAAGAAGCCATTTTTGTATCAACCTTGAACCAATCAACCGGAGCTTTCAGCCTCACCTAATCGTTTTGTGAAATTCGGATGGAGAAGAAGATAAGCGAAGTGTCTCGCGAGGTAGGAGGGAAGGGTTTTGTGAGGGCTAATATAACAGGGAAGATGGGAAGAAAGCTGGGTTCTAGAATGATCCAGCGGGGGCAAGGTTTTGGTATTTTGGAGGGTTTCGGCCAGTATCTGCTGGACGTTTGATGGAGAGGATTTTCAAGTGTTTGCCACGGAAAGGTCGAGGTGCTTCTCTTTTGTTTTGACACATTTTGGTCCTTGGGGACAAACCCTAAACCCTCACTACCAAATTTCTCATCCAAATCATAAGCCATTGAAATTCGTGAAGAATCATAACTTCCATAGTCAAGTACCAAATTTATTGTACTGTCCTCTAAATATTGAGTGGTCTATGCTTCGATCATCACGTAACCTTGTTTGAAACTTGAAACTATAACATGATTTCAATGCACTTGGCACTATAACATGGTTGAAACTTGAAACTTATTAGAATCTCAACCAAGATGTTGTAATCATCACCCTAAAAGAATGTATTGATTTATTTGTAAGACACCTTGTAGATATCAAAAACTTTCTCAATGAATCAACTCTCATTTGAGGATTTTAAACCCTTAGCACGAGATTTTGATTTGATTGAGGTATTGTGTCAATGCCATTTGCTATAACTTTTTAACAAGTTACACTCTCCGTTGAAAGAACGTCAACCCTTAACAAGGTTGAGCCATAAACCTCATGCTCATGATGCTACTTGTTTTTTTATACCTTTCACTCTAATGGTGAACATTTATATATAATTTATTCCCATGACCTGTTTTAACTTTTAAGGAAGGACTAACGAATCCTCCTTTTAGTTTTGTCGAATTACAACCGAAAACAACTTGACAAATTATAATTGTTCATAGAAATTAAACATTTACAATTCATTTATACTTCGATTATATCTTGCTCATCGATTCAATGTACAACTATGATTCAACGTAGTTCTCACAATTGTGAAAATTATCCAAGATGACTCAAGTCTTTTTTAATTAAAATAATTAAGATTATTTTTAATAACAGGAAAGTTTTTTTTTTGTTGAGATTTAATGAAATCAACATGATTCTACTTATAGTAAATAATTTTCAAAAGGTAACAAAATTAATAAGCTTTTTTCGTCAACAAATTAATAAACTTTAGATAAAGATGACACCAACATACATATGCTATTCAATTATCTTCCCATCTAAACAATTACCAGAAGGTAATAAATTAATAATCATTATAACTTGTTTAATGTCAATCCCTCATAATCCCATTATTATAAAAAGGCTGACTGCAGTCGCGGCCGCACAAAAACAAATTTTGCTGTTTCCTCCTTTCGCCGTATTGAGTTGTGTGCTGTGTGTCAAAGGCTAGTCGAGGGAGGTGGGAGGGAAGAAAGTCTCTCAAAGCACATGTCAGTCTCTCTCTCGCCCTCTTTCTCTTTCACCTCCACTTGCTTTCCTCTGGTCAAAGCTAAAATATTAACCATGGGAATTCTCTCTTTCTTCTAATCCAATCTCTCTTTTCTCCACATTTTCCCATTCTGTGCTCTGTAGTTTACTCTCATTTCATCCCATCACTTCGTTTAGGGTTTTCTTTCCCAGCTCTTCTCTACCCTGTCACCTCTGCTCCACCTTTGTTTTTCTTTTGGCGGACTCCGATTCTGGAGCTCCTGCCAACTGGCTACCAGCCCATACTCAAGATTCTCACTTGGGTTTTGCCTTATAGCTTCAATTTGCATATTGAAGTTAGGGAAGAGCTGGAAAAGGTGTGGCCTTTGCTTGATGGTGAGAGGAAGGGAGTGAAAGTTGGAGGAGGGCTGTGCAGCTGGTTGGATTTCCGCGCCACTGGAGAAAGTATGTATATGTTTTGTTGCTCCATTTGTGAGCTGAATTTGATCCAGCATTTGATTGTAGATGGGGATACTAGATCTCAGCTCCTCTCCATTTAATGTGGGGTAGTTTAATGGCTCATCATGAGTTCTCTTTGTCTCGGCTAGTAGAGAGCTGAAATAATTAATGAATTGGATGGGCTCCCAGTTATTTTCTTCGTTTTTAAAATTTGTGAGTAGTTCAAGCTGCTGAGATTCTAGCTAGGTGACCGTGTTTTGGCAGTGCCGCAGCGGTAAATGTTTAGTTGATCTGTTGTTTGATTTGTTTTAAGCTTGTGCATTTGCTTTGGCGTGTAAGGTTGGAGTTGGTGCTGCTGATTTATGTGGAAAGGTGTAAACTTTTGCTGTGTATGCAATGATTTCTGCACTTGATGAATCCTTGAAGGCTCTGATTAGTGCTTTAAAGTTGCTGTGGTGCAATCTTGGAAGTGTTCATTATTGCAGCTTTGCATGTTCGTTCAATAACATTTTATCAATGTGTTCCACCAGTTATAGTCAAGTAATTGTTGTTTTTTACTGTTTGCAGGGCTTCGATGCTGTTTTGTTGAAAGAAAGGTATGCCCTGAGAAATGGCACTCAGATTTCCTGCTCCTAAGGCGGCTGAGTATGCAATTGGCTCCATAGGCCTTGGATATGACATTGCAATTGATCTGAGATTGAAGTACCGGAAAGGAGATGTTAATGATTCACGTTTAATTGAGATTGATGAAAATGGTGGTCGAGAGATTGTACTGCCCGGCGGGATTGTCATCCCGAATGTTCCCAAATCAATAAAATGCGATAAAGGAGAAAGAACACGGTTTAGGTCCGATGTTCTCTCATTCCAGCAGGTAGTCTGCTTTCATGTTTGCTACAATGTGACAATCTAAGTCTTCTTGTAGCATTAGGTCGTGAACCTATTACTATTTTGATGGGTGTGTCAAGTAGCAACAGTTGGTTTATATGGAAGCTATTTCTGAAAAGCTCGCTGGAGATTTACTTATTGCTGTGTACTTGAGACTCATGTTTCCCTCCTTACTGTAATCCTACAGATGTCAGAGCAGGTCAACCAGGAGATGTCTCTAACAGGAAAAATCCCCTCTGGGCTCTTCAATACCATGTTTGAGTTCTCAGGCTGCTGGCAGAAAGATGCTGCTAACACTAAAACCCTTGCTTTTGATGGGGTGTTCATCACACTGTACACTGTGGCACTAGAGAAGTCTCAGATTGTTCTTCGTGATCATGTTAAGAAGGCAGTCCCGTCATCATGGGAACCAGCTGCCCTGGCCAAGTAAGCGTTTAAGATCTGGGTTGTGCTTGTTCTTGAGTGTACCGAAGACTTCGTGCTCAGGTTTTCTTAGATGTTATTTAAGTGAAGTTGTTCTGATTTGGTACTAAGTTCTCTAAGTTTGAAGCTTTGACTGGTGCTGATTTCTCGCGATTATCATGAATCTCTACTTTTTAGGAATTGCACTGGTGCAACACAATATCATTAATAAACTTCCTTGTTTCTATATATTTGTATAAATTTGCATGCGGTGCAAACGGTAACTATCTGCATGAGACACGAGGGTACTAATAATGCCTGTGTAATTGTGTATCCATATAATTTGGGCCCTAATGTTTCATGTTTAATTAATTTGTCATTGATGTTGTTCCAAAAATGATATGCACTTCACATTAGGTCCAGGTAATGAAATGTGATAACAATGAACTTCATGCAAACTTAGGTTTTTCCATTTTCCTCTGAAATTGTATATTAAGATGCAACCTGTAGAATCTAAGCCAACTGTTCGAGTTCATATCAAATCCATTAAAAATGAGTGTTTATGATATGACATCAGTTTCAGTATCTATGTCCATTTGAGCATGAAGCTGATACTGGGAAAGTGACCGGCCATTTCAGGTTTATTGAGACGTTTGGAACACATATAATTGTTGGTGTCAAGATGGGTGGAAAGGATGTAATATACATAAAACAGCAGCACTCATCAACTCTTCAAACAGCTGATCTGCAGAAAAGATTGAAAGAAATGGCGGATAAAAGATTCTCAGATGTAATCAGCCAGTCTTCTGAACCAGTATATCAAAATAACAAGGTCAGTAAGCAACTTGTTTATTCCTTTTATAGTTTTATTTGAAGAAAATTTAGCTTCACAACTCTGTCACATCTTATTATAGAGCTCACTAGATATTCCCGGGCAACAAACTGTTTATGTTTTGAGGCTTCTGCACATTTGTTATGTAAAGTTGGTTATTACTCCCGTTTCATTTTAAAATGTTGAATGTAGAAACCCAGCAGCACATTTGAATATAACTTGATAACTATTTACTATCTATGCATCTAAAGTTATCATTTTTCTTTCAGTTCGAGATAAGAGAGCAGCGATTGAGGTTTGCTGATACCAGTCCTTCGAGTTCTTATTCTAACAAGGAGGTGCTTTTCTAATGACTAATCCCTTTCATTTTCTTCATCTGTTTCATTATAACTGTTCAGGCAGATACTGAAGTTCTCAGTCATTAAGCTTTTAAACAATCACTTTAGTCTCCTTTCCAAAACCTGATGACTTAGCCATCCTGTTCTTGTTTACTTACTGTGTCCTTCAGGACATCACAAGAATATACAAGAGGAGGGGCGGAAATGACAGTGGATACCTTTCACACAGTGAGTGGTTAAACACCGTTCAATTAGAGCCTGATGCGATCTCTATGTCTTTCATCCCTATTACGTCCCTGTTGAATGGAGTCCCAGGGAGTGGGTTCTTGAGCCATGCCATAAATCTCTATCTAAGATGTGAGAATATTGATTTTAGTACTCCTGTTCTTATACGTGATCATCATTTCAGACCACCTTAATGATTGGAATTCTGTACTCTTTCAATCTTGTGTACTAGATAAGCCCCCAATTGAAGAGTTACACCAGTTTTTGGAATTTCAGCTGCCAAGGCAGTGGGCCCCAGTATTTAGCGAACTCCCACTCGGCCCACAACGTCGGCAACAAAACAATGTATCACTACAGTTCAGCTTTATGGGCCCCAAGCTGTTTGTGAACACAATTCCAGTAAGTATTTTGCTTCTCTGATCTGTTCAAATAGCTGTTCCTCGCTCATGTCATTGTTTCGATGCTTGCCTGAAAAGAGAACATGGAAACCCGGAACTGTAAATTTAGCTGAATAATGTACTTCTGGATTGTGTATTTGTGGGCAACCCCTGAATTGTGAGTGTGTTTGTTTCAGCTGTTGCTAAAAGATTAACAAGTCAAGAAAAAATGTCTGGTTGGGATTTTACAAAGATTTGGCTGATGTGGCTTTAGCTTTTAATTGTTGAGATTTAGGTTGAATACTGGGTTTGGGTAGTTAGATTGGAAAACCGTTTGTTTTAACCTTTTATGTAAGCGTTTCTTCTTAAGCTCCTTAGTTTTCAAAAAAAGGCACCCTATACTATATTCTATATCTGATACAAACTCCATGCAGGTTGACGTGGGCCAGAGGCCGGTGACTGGCCTTAGACTGTACCTAGAGGGGAAAAGATGCAACCGCTTAGCCATACATTTACAGCATCTCTCGTCTCTCCCCAAGGTCTTCCAACTCAAAGATGACCCAAATGGTAATTTCAGCCAAGAGTCGTATCGTGAATATCACGAGAAGGTTCAGTGGAAGCACTTCTCACATGTCTGCACGGCTCCAATCGAGTCTGACGAGGATCTCTCCATAGTAACGGGTGCCCGGTTACAAGTGGAGAACTATGGGTTCAAGAGCGTTCTCTTCCTGCGGCTTAGATTCTCAACTGTGTCAGGTGCTGCACGTTTAAAGCATCCCGAGTGGGATGGATCCCCAGGTTTGGCAGCTAAATCTGGGTTGATATCTACATTGATCAGCCATCACTTCACTTCAGTTCAGAAGCCAGCTCCGAGACCAGCTGACGTCAACATAAATTCAGCCGTGTACCCTGGAGGTCCACCGGTCCCGGTTCAAGCCCCCAAGCTGCTGAAGTTTGTGGACACAACAGAGATGGCCAGAGGCCCACAGGACAATCCTGGCTACTGGGTTGTTTCTGGGGCAAGGCTAATGGTCGAGAAGGGAAGGATCTCTCTGCGCGTGAAGTATTCCTTATTAACCATTGTGTCTGATGATGATGAGGATGATGAATTGGAAGCAGAAGACACACTTCGATGATCTTTTCACTGCGTTCAAGCAAGCAAGCAAAGAGGATACCAAGGACAGACTCCAGCGAAAAACATAAATAAGGAAAAGCTTGAATGCTGCAAAGCTTGAAGCTTGATTGCGATGATCGTGCACTTTTGGGTTCCAAGGCATGTACAAAAAGAAGATGGTTCCAAGTGAATTCCTGGAGCTAAGCTGCTGTGATGATTTTCCCTGCTAAAGTTGTATTGTAATGCTTGTGTGGCAGATTCTCCTCATTGTGCCTTGAGTCAGGATTACTCAGGGAACAAGTGTATTCTTGGCGTTCCTCTTTCTGTGATACGCCCATGTCTTTCACATCTTAAAAATTGCTATTATTATTTTTATGATAATCACCAATAGAGAGGATCAGTTGGAGCTTTGTGTAATGTCCAACTGATTAATTTGCTCAAGTTAATTGGTTGAAGTACAGTGTATATAGTGGTGAGCTTAATAGTTACTAGGAAAGGGCTATATGGTCACAAATCCAATTAGAAATCCTACTCCAGTGAGGATTCATAGAATGGCTGCCATAACCATGTTGAAGAGTGGCCAAATGGCTGCAACTTATGGAACATCCATAGTATAATTGCCTCCTCTGCATACCCATTTTGTATTGGGCATTACCCTGAAATGGTATGAAGCAGCATATGTAACTGCATCTGGGACGAGCATATGTCCGTTTTATTAGGCACATTTATTAGTAACAAGGATAACATATCAATTATGATAAACGTTGTTGATTGATCAAATATTTTTTTATCTCAACGAGAACACATTTCATATAATAAACTACTAAAAAAATTCATACAAGAACGGCACATATATATTTTTTGTAAGTTTCTAAAGAGAAGACGTTAGTCAAGATAGAGAAGTAATTATGCTTATAAATACTAAGCTCTAACACTTTCTCTCAATAAGAAAAGCAACAACAAAAAAAAAAAGCCAGAGATATTTTTACGAGGCAAGAATAGAACTCAGACAAAAAGGGCAGAATCTAAAAAATGACAAACCGGTCAAGTTTAACGGCGGCGCTCATCGTCATGGTAAGCGTCCTTCTATCCGTGAAGCTGGTTGTGTCGTCACCGTGTATCGCAAAAGGTATCGGTCCACCTGTTCCGGTCTCTGTCAAGATATTGCGGGAGGTGCAATATATGGTCGAGTTTGGGTTGGGGGAGCACAATAAGGCGCTCTCGAGGGTTCACCAATTGAAGCTAGTAAGCATCGACGGTGGTGCTTATTACAGTGCAGATCCTGAGATGGATTTTGTCAGTTTCGATATTACTGCATCCAACCGCTTCGGTCGTGCCAAGTACAATATGTTTGTCACCCGCGCCTACACCTATAATGAACTTAAGCTCAAATGCTTTGAGAAAATTTAGTTACATGTTGTTGTTGTTATTTGAAAGCTTTTGGATGCAAATCTAGCATTGCCTAGCTATAATAATGATAATAATAATAGTATTGTTGATGTTTGAGCATCATCCGACATTTTCTGAAATGGGACCACATTGGTCCTTACATTGGAAATAAAGAAGCCACCATATCCATTTAGGCGGAAAAAATCCCAGAATATACCAATTATTAAAAAAAATTACCAAAATACAGTACTTATAAAACTAATTCCCAAAATACAGCAGTTTCAACATCACTGTCTTTGTCTAAGACAGTGATGTTGATCACCGTTTTGGTCTAAAACGATGATACATCACCGCTTTAGACTAAAGCAGTGATGTTATCACCGCTTTAAACCAAAGCAGTGATGCCATCATCGCTGTCAAGGACGACAGTGATGGCATCACCGTTGATGTGGCAGGCAGTGAAGCCTTCACCGTTGGATCCAACAGCGGTGAAGGGGCGCGGATCGCTGACGTGGACGCGCGCGGGCACTTCACCGCTGAAGACCAAAGCGGTGATAGCCCCGCTTTCCACGTCAGCGATCCGCCCCCCACCCCGCGCCTTCACCGCTGCCGTCGGATGCAGTTATGCGCGGATTGTGGTTTTTCTCCACAATCCGACGCATCAGGAGAGGCCACGTCAGCGATCCCTGCACATCACCGCGTCCAACAAAGGCGGTGATGGCGCTGTGTTTGTTTGGGGCGGTGATAACTGGCCAGGTTTTTTCCCAGCCCCAAACCCTATAAATTACCCATCCCCCCTCTCATTCCAAACCACACCACCACTTCATACTTCTTTCTCCCTCCATTTTTCACTCTAGTTTCGTTCTAAGTATGCTCTGTGGTTGCGGCTAAGTCCGATCTTCCGCATCAGAAAGAATTACTAGAGTTTTTGTTTTGTTGTTTTGTCGATACTCTCGCTAGCTTTTCGGCAAAAAATGGACGAAGAGGCTTTGAGAGTACGTAAATTTATTTAATTCTTTTGTGCATTTTTTTTTACATGGGTGCTAAAATTTAAATTGATTTGATTTCATATTTTTTTATAGATGGGTGCTGAGATATACGACCCTAGATTGTATATCGATCCTGGCCCAAGGGATCGAAGGTATTTAACCGGGCAAGATCAACATCGCTCTCGTTCAATTTGGAACAATAATCCGGTAGATACACTACAATTATTTCAATAGTTTTAAAGTTTTTATTTTGCTTTCTAAGTTTTTATTTTGCTTTCTATTGACTGACAATATTGTGTTTTTTGTTTTGTAGGAATCACTTATTCCCATCAGTCATCGAGGTACATGTCGATTGCCCCGTTGGCATCCTCGACTGCATCCCTATCTAGAGAGGGCGGGATTGCACAATTTGAGGCACTTTATGAGGCTAGATATTGACAACGATCTGCTGACGGCAATGACAGAGCGATGGCGCCCTGAGCTGCATACCTTCCACTTTCCCGAGGGTGAAATGACGATCACCCTCAAAGATGTTGCCATCCTCACCGGGCTCCCGATCACCGGAGATGCCATCATCGACAGCTCGAGAAAACCAGAAGATGGTTGGGGGCCATTGATTCAGGAACGTCTGGGGTTCAACATGCCGACCACCACGCCCGTCGAAGGGGTTGGGCATCCACCACTGAATGCGGGGCAAGTATCGATCCCGTGGCTTGTTGACCACATCCAATTGGAGGTTAATATAGGCCTGGATACTCCTGAAGATCAGGTGGAGCGGTATGCACGTGTATACCTAATTGCCTTGGTTGGTGGGTTTCTGTTCCCCGACAAGTCAAATAAGTGGATACAAGGCATGTGGTTCCCTATGCTCCTCGGTGACTGGGACGAGATCGGGAGAAAAAGTTGGGGGTCGGCCGTCTTGGCTGGAATCTACCGAGAGTTGTGTACTTGCTCGAGGTTGGGAGCGAAACAAGCTGGTGGTGCGATGTTCATACTTCAACTCTGGGCATGGGAGCATCTTCCGTTTCTCGCACCTCAAGACCCTCGGGAATTCTGGTTGCCAGATGATGAGCTACGATTTGTAGCAAATCTTCTTGCCAAATTTGTGTTGGAAATTGGCTAGGAAGTGACGAATACACCAACGCCATGTCCATCCCCATTCGTCCGGGAAACCACGGACGGCGTGTTTAATCCCGGCATGTCGATCCGATATAATTGTAATACCCATTCTTTGTGTGACGTGGGCGTGTAGCTGGTCAAAGAACCATGCCCAACTTAGGTTGTTCTCCCCTTCAACTAATGCAAATGCTAAGGGAAAAATACTTAAATTTCCATCAACCCCAGTGGCAATAAGAAGAGTTCCTTTATACTTCCCAGTAAGGAAAGTTCCATCAACCTGTTAAAATGAATACTGAGTTAGTAAAAATTGAAATTAGTAAAGTAATGAAGTAGTACAATATTTTGAGTCCGTAATATACCTGAATCACTGGCATGCAGAAGGGAAACCCGTCAATGCATGGCTTGAATGTCCAGAACAGACGATGATAGCTTTTATCTTGATATCTGGTTGTGCCTCGATAAGGTGCTTAATGGTTCTTGCCACTTTTTTTGCTTTCAGTTGCCGGTGATCCTGTGAAAGTATGGTTGAGGAGCAACTGTGGTTGTTCTCTGCTGTCCGCATGACCCAGACCCCCTTTCTCTTCATATATGCAGCACGAAGTTGCCACATACAACCCTCTCCAGCATTCTTACAAATGACATGCAGTTGTCCCTTGTCAGAATATTTTACCTTCCATTCGAAATTACGCCGCATGGCTTCTTCGCTAAAAGCGTCTTGCACATCGGCTTTTGAAGTGAACGCCATACCCACTTCCAAATTAGCAGTCGGATTATACACAGGCATGGGCCGATAGTCAGGGGCATCGTTCTGACCATATAAAAATTGATCAGGAACCTCTGTGTAGTAAGGCGTTGGTGCCTGGCGGAACGCCACCTCACTGTCATCGATATCGTCGTTATCGTCCGCATCTTCCTCCTCACTGACTGATCTCAAATCTTCCTCACTTTCATCGTCACTGGAGGCGAATGGATAGCTCGGCGAAGGAGGGTCATCTTTAGCAGCATAACCAGCATCGCCTTCTTGGTCATGCGAAGTACGCCCAGTTCGAAGGGTGTTTTCAATGTCACCCCACTCTGGACCCCAAGCAGGCCATTGATCACCGTCGGGCTGAACGATATCGACGGCAGTCTCACCACCATGTGGCAGGTATTCTTCCCACCCAACAGCTCCTTCAGAACTACCTCCTCCGTAGTTGCTTGAAGTACCTCCCCAACCATACCCTCCGGCAGAAGAACCTGCTCCGTAGTTACTTGAACTACCACCCCAGCCATACCCTCCTGCAAAACCATCATCATAAGAATACTGGTGAGAATGAGTTTCACTGACCGGCTCGGTCTCGACATACACCTCTGCAAGCCGCACCCCGTTCTCAGATATGAACTGTGTCATCATGTTCGCGTCGTCATCGTCATTTATGTCAACTCTTTCGTACATGACTCCGTCAGCACTCATGTTGGGATACCGGTAAGTAATTTGACGAACTCTCATTTGCCCGCCCGTACAAGTCCTTTCTGCACACCTGTCATGGAGTTCTTGCCACGAGAATCTCGACTCAATTGTAAGCGAACTGGATTCGCCATCTTCATAGTCGATCCCAATGTTCGAGTTTGTCACCCGACCATTCCAATAAATAATAAGCCGAAACTTCTTAAATTTACCCATGTCTGCAATTTATAATAATTAAGTATAGTATATAATTAGTACATTATGGATACAAAAACAATATCATCCAAAGCGATAATAAAATGCAACTAATTTATCTATTATGAGAAAACTAAACAAATTCATCTAAATTCATAACTAGCTAACTAACATCTATCATATCATAATTAAACTAAATAATATCATAACATATTTTCCAATAACCGCAATTCACTAAATACAAACAGTATAATTACTAACACATCAACATGTAAAAAATACATACTTATAACATACTCAATCCCGATCTATCATGATAACTAAACAAATTAATCTAAATTCAGTACTAACTAACTAACATATATCATTAATCTAAATATATAATTCTAACATACCTAATTCTAGCACATAATCAAAATGTAAACAATACATAATTCTAACATACCGAATCCCGACGAGTTTCTTGAGCAGTAAACTACGGAGGAACCAGCTGCGAAAACGATAATTTTGGTACTAATTTTCTGTTTGGCAGCAGGAGTGTTTGGCAGCAGGAGGGAAGAGGGGGCGTGGCTTTTTATAGGAAAAATTGGAGGCAATCACCGCTTTGGACAAAGGCGGTGAACCATCATCGCCTTAGTCAACAACGGTGATGGCTAGGTAGCTGTTACCTACCTGTCCACCTACCAGGGCTGTGTAAAACGTGGGGGCAATCACTGCTGTGGACAACAGCGGTGATGGCTTCACTGTTGATGTCCAAAGCGGGGAACGTATCACCGCTTTTGACCACAGCGATGATGCATTCCCCGCTTTTGTCCAAGGCGGTGATGCGTACCCCGCTGCTTCACTGCTTTGGACAAAAGCGGTGATCAACATCACTGTCTTAGACAAAGACAGTGATGTTGAAACTGCTGTATTTTGGGAATTAGTTTTATAAGTACTGTATTTAGGGAATTTTTTTTAATAACTAGCGTATTCTGGGATTTTTTCCCATTTAGGCCACTACCAACAAGACAAATACAATCCATTAGTTCATTACAACCCAACAACACAACTACTTAGAAGTCCAACTTAAACTAGAACAAAGAAACTAAGAGCAAATGGCAATGACCCGCCGCATCCGATTTCAAGCCTGTGGAGTTGGGGTTGGCACAGTCCAAATCGTGATGGATCCAGGGTATGACCTTCCTCGCAATAAGCTGGTAGGCATGGCCGGTGAAGTGGAAATTGTCAAACCAGATATAATTCCATGGATCCTTGCAATATGGAACATCGGGTTGTCCACACTGTTCGTGATCCTTGATTCCACAGCATCGCCTGTAGCTGTTGTGCTTCAGCACTGCATCAAACATAAGCAGTGTTTTTATTTTATCAAACCATGCACGATCAAAGAACACCACAATTATTAAAACAAAAACAAAAAAAGCCGTACCAAGAGAATGGTAGTGGTCGAACATCCACTGCACTCCATCCCAAACATCGCCGTAAACGATATGGATGTCCGGGAACATCCACAGCCCAACCCCCGCTACCGCGATTACGAGTAACGGAACGATTAAGCTTGCCGAGGGTAGGAGTAGGTTTGTTTGTTATTGATCGTGTTATAAACGCGCTGCTACGGATCGGGAAATTGCAGGAATCGACAAAGCAAGAATACGAAAGCGAGAATCGAAAAACACGACACACGATTTACGTGGTTCACTAACACGATGTGTGTTAGCTACGTCCACGGGCGAGAGAGAGCCAGTTTCACTATATCGAGGAGATTACAGATTACAAAGGAGTATGAGAAGTATTTATAGTACTTCTCCATGTGGGTTTATACCTAATCCAATCTGGCAAAGGAAACGGTTACAGACCAGGCCCAGAACCCGAACCCAAATAACAGCGAGACCCCCGATTACCAGTCGTAGCGGCTGATAGTCCGATTCAAGTCATATCAACAAATCTCCACCTTGACTTGAATCCTCTTCCTCTGAGATCTCTGATGTACTCTGCTCCTTCTATCTCTCTCCCGCCATCAATGCCCCGCAGGGCGGAGTCACCCACTCAAGACATTCAGCAAGTCCAAGCAATGTTGGAACTTGCCATGTGGAACCGGCTTCGTGAACATATCAGCAGGATTATCCGCGGTGCCAACCTTCTTCACCTTAATCCTCTTCTCTGTCCTCAAGAAATGATACCTCACATCTATGTGCTTAGTCCTCTCATGGTGGACTTGATCCTTGGCCAAACATATTGCACTCAAACTGTCGCAATACACCACTGCCTGATCATGATGTAGACCAAGATCACCAACCAGTCCCTTCAACCATATTCCCTCCGTAGCAGCTTCTGTCAATGTCATATACTCTGCCTCAGTAGTAGACAATGTCACCGCCGACTGCAAAGTTGCCTTCCAGCTCACTACAGAACTCCCAAGAGTGAATACATAACCGGTCATCGATCTCCTCGTGTCAACATCTCCAGCATAGTCTGAGTCAGAATACCCAGACACCAAGCACTCTGTATCACTTCCGAAGCTAATCCCCACATCAGGTGTACCCTTAAGGTACCGGAAGATCCTCTTCACAGCCTGCCAATGCTCCTTCCCAGGTTGTATCATAAACCTGCTCACAACACTAACAGCATGTGCAAGATCAGGTCTAGTGCATACCATAGCGTACATCAAGCTACCTACTGCACTAGCATATGGGACTCTCGACATGTACTCCTTCTCAGCCTCCGACTGCGGTGCATAAGCTGAGGATAGATGAACATTTGAAGCACTAGGAGTATTTAAGGGCTTTGCTGAAGACATGCAAAACCTCGACAATATCTTCTGGATGTAGCTCTTCTGTGACAAGAAAAGCTTCTTCTTCGACCTATCCCTATAAATCTCCATACCCAAGATCTTCTGAGCAGCTCCCAAATCCTTCATCTCAAACTCAGCACTGAGAAGCCCCTTTAACTTCTGGATATCAGACTTCGACCTCGCAGCTATGAGCATATCATCCACATACAGAACAAGATAGATCATAGAACCATCCTCCACCTTGTTGTGATACACACAACAATCATATGGACTTCTGCTATAGCCCAGCTCAAGCATGTAGCTGTCAAATCTCTTGTACCACTGCCTCGGAGATTGCTTAAGTCCATACAAGGACTTCTTCAGCTTACAAACATAATCTTCTTTTCCAGGAACCTCGAATCCTTCTGGCCGAGTCATGTAAATTTCTTCCTCCAACTCTCCATGTAGGAAAGCTGTCTTCACGTCTAGCTGCTCGAGCTCCAAGTCATAATGTGCCACTATTGCTAGTAACACTCTGATCGAAGTATGTCTGACCACTGGTGAGAAAATCTCATTGTAGTCAACTCCTTCCCTCTGCGAGAAGCCTCGTGCAACCACCCGAGCTTTAAATTTCATGCCCTCTTTAGAAGTGATTCCTTCCTTCTTCTTGTAGATCCACTTGTTTGTAACAATCTTACTTCCCTGTGGTCGTTTGACTAGCTCCCAAGTCTGATTCCTGTCATGGGATTCCATCTCATCTCCCATTGCGGCAAGCCACTGATCAGCTTCACCACCTGGAACTGCTTCTCTGTAGGACTGTGGCTCTCCTGCATCCACTTCTTCAGCAACCTGAAATGAATACGCCACCATGTCCTCGAAGCCATACCTCTGTGGAGGTACTCTCCTGCAGTCGCTCTCTTCTGTCTACCGGAAGCAATAGACTGTTGAGCTCGTGCACTGGACTCTGAAGTTTCTGGCTCTGCAGAGACATCCTCATCATGTTAATCTTCTCCACCTTGGTGCTCAAACTCACTCTCTTTGAGAGTTTGCAGCTCCACCTGCTTATCAACATTCCTGCTACCTTCAACAACAGTAACCTTCAACATAGGGTTAAACATAGACTTCTCATCAAATATCACATTTCTACTGAGTATAACTCGATGCTCAGAAGGTGACCAGACTCGAAATCCCTTAACTCCATCTCCGTAACCCACAAAAACACCCTTCTTTGCCCTTGGGTTCAGTTTACCCTCATCCACATGATAATAAACAGGACACCCAAAAACTTTCAGTGAAGAGTAATCAGCAGGCTTACCATACCACACCTCATAAGGAGTCTTCAACTCAATACTTGTGTGAGGTCCACGGTTGATCAGGAAGCACGCCATGTTCACTGCTTCTGCCCAGAATCTTCTCTCTAGTCCAGCATTAGAGAGCATGCACCGTGCCCTCTCCAACAATGTCTGGTTCATCCTTTCTGCAACGCCATTCTGCTGGGGTGTATCTCTCACAGTCCGATGACGGGCAATCCCTTCATCCTTGCAGAATTCGTTGAACTCAGAATTACAGAACTCCAGACCATTGTCCGTTCGCAGCTTCTTGATCTTCTTCCCGGTCTGATTCTCCACCAATGTCTTCCACTGCTTGAACTTCGTGAAAGCCTCACTTTTCTGCTTCATCATGAAAATCCAAGTAAATCTCGAATAATCATCAATAATAGACAGAAAATTCCTGCTGCCTCCAATGGATTCAACTCGTGAAGGACCCCAAGAGTCGGAGTGGAGGTAATCTAGTATCCCCTTCGTCCGGTGGATACCCTTCTTGGGAAACTTGCTGCGATGTAGCTTCCCAAACACACAATGCTCGCAGAATTCCAAATTCTACATCTTGTGCCCGCAAAGAAGATCCCTCTTCGACAGAACTTGCATCCCCCGTTCACTCATATGCCCCAGTCTCATGTGCTAGAGAGTGGTCATATCTTCCTGATGAACCTGAGACGATGCAACTGCAGCAGAACCAGACAACACAGACCCTTGTAATGCATACAAGGTCCCACGCTTCACGCCCTTCAGCACCTTCCTTGAACCTTTGCAGACATACACAACTCCACCTTTTCCTTTGAAACTGAAACCCTTGCTGTCGAGTAGACTCAAGGAGATCAGGTTCTTTGTCATTCTTGGAACATGCCTGACATCATTCACGGTACAGAACGAACCATCATGTGTCCGAACCTTTATGGACCCGATTCCAACAACCTTGCAGACAGCTCCATTTGCCATGACCACGTTACCACCATCTATCTGCTCGTAGGTTGTGGAGCAATCCCTGTTCGGAGACATATGGTATGAGGCTGCAGTATCCAGAAACCACACATCACCACGATGTGCCTTCTCATCTACAGCCAAGGCGAGATCGTCTTCAGAACTGTTGTCCACTTCTGCCACGGCAACTGAACCTTGTTTCTTCTGTTGCCCTCTTCTCTTGGGACAGTTGTACTTCCAATGCCCCACTTCCTTACAGTTGTGACAAGCATCACCTGGCTGTGGACCGGGACCCTTGGAATTCTTGTTTGAATTCCCTTTACCAGATTTCTTCTTTCCCTTTCCATCTGTAACAGCCAAACCCGATGCCTCACCACCTGTACCAGATCCGGACGCCTTATGCCTGATCTCTCTCGTATGAAGAGCAGACCTGACATCCTCCAACGACACGCTTTCTTTACCAGCAATAAAAGAATCAATGAAATTCTCATATGAACTCGGCAAAGAAACCAGGAGGATTAGGGCAGCATCCTCGTCATCAACTTGAACATCTATATTACGCAGATCCAGCAAAATAGAGTTAAGCTGTTCGAGATGTTCCCTCAAAGGCGTACCTTCTTGCATCCTCAAGCTGAACAACCGTTGCTTGAGATGCAGCTTGTTGGTTAGAGACTTAGTCATGTACAGACTCTCTAGTTTCAACCACAAGCCCGCAGCAGTCTTCTCAGCAACGACTTCAATGATGACGTCATCAGACAACGATAGCATGATGGTCGAGTGGGCCTTCTCCTCCAGGGTATTCCACTCATCGACCGCTGTCTTCTTCTGTTTCGCAGACAGCGGCCCCCACAAGCCTTGCTGTTTCAATAAAGCCTGCATCTTGATCTGCCATATAGCGAAGCTGTTCTTCCCCGTGAACTTTTCGATCTTCATGTTCACCGACGTCATTCTTCTGAATCGAAAACCCTAGACTGATTTCCAGCCGCGGCTCTGATACCACTTGTTATAAACGCGCTGCTACGGATCGGGAAATTGCAGGAATCGACAAAGCAAGAATACGAAAGCGAGAATCGAAAAACACGACACACGATTTACGTGGTTCACTAACACGATGTGTGTTAGCTACGTCCACGGGCGAGAGAGAGCCAGTTTCACTATATCGAGGAGATTACAGATTACAGAGGAGTATGAGAAGTATTTATAGTACTTCTCCATGTGGGTCTAAACCTAATCCAATCTGGCAAAGGAAACGGTTACAGACCAGGCCCAGAACCCGAACCCAAATAACAGCGAGACCCCCGATTACCAGTCGTAGCGGCTGATAGTCCGATTCAAGTCATATCAACAGATCGAGTCAAAGGGGGCATCTGCAAGTAGTTGTTTTGGTTGTTTCAAATAAAGATCATCCCCACCTTAAGTGGAGGAAGGTTAGGTAGACGTGGGAAGTAGTTCCTGCCGGTTAGGATTTCTTTGTTCAAGCATAGGTTATTTAAGTTCTTCATGAATGAATAAACGGCAAGCATTATTGAGTCAATAGACATACTGGTTGTTCTAGCCAAGAAAGTAGAGCACTAGCTTCTTCCTGCCAAGAAAAGGAAGAGCACGATCGATATAATTTCAGCCCATATCATTTGGTATCAGAGCCCGGCATGGGCACCCACGCTCAACGTATCGAAGCTCTCGAAACCGCCACTCAAGAAAACCAAACCGGCATCCAGGCGATCATCAATCAACTGGTGGCCGTCCAAACCGTTGTCAATCAGCTCGCGCAAGATCAAGCAGCCAGGTCCGATGCACGATCCGTCGACGATGGCGAACGATCTGTGAATGGCCGTGGCCGACCACAACCACCTGAGGATGAGGACGAGCGAGACCGCCAGCCCTTCTTTGGAGCTAAGCTTGCTCGTTTGGAGTTTCATTAAACTAATTTTAAATTAATAACAGATTAACCAAAATATGAAAGTTAAATGTAACTTGATTTGTTTATTCAAATGCAAATATTCGTCATGTATCTCAAAGTGTCTTTAAAATTGGAGGGCTTAAGAAAATGATTGTTTAAAACTGAAATTAATTATTTAATTGATGTAAACTGAAATTAATAACTAAACTGAAGGACTTAAGTTAGGGGTCGTTTGTTTGTTGGATTTGAAAAATGAGGGTTTTGGCCAATAAAAATCTTGGGATTTATGTTAATTTATTTGATTATGGATTTGAAGAGTCTAGTGTTTGCATGATAGATTTGATTTTGGATTTGTGATGGATTTGTTAAATAAATAACTAACCATCACGGACTTGCAAATCCCAAATCAATATGTGGGATTTACAAGTCCGTGGGGTCCACGGATTTGGTTCCAAAATAAAGACCAAATTCGTGGACCCCACGGATTTAGCACCCTTCAACAAACAAGGGACTTATGTTAAATCCATCAAACTTGGGATTTGGGTACAAAATCCATGACCCAAATCTAACAAGCAAACGACCCCTTAATTGATGTAATTGTAGAAAAGGGGAAAAGGCTTACCATAAAAAGCAAAGGGAAAGAAGAAACATTCTTCCTTCCTGGCGGCTTTGACATGATCATTAAGCTATAATTAGCAAGGACAATTTAAATTGGTTTTTTTTTTGTTACTTGTGTTTTTTGGTACTCATGCATGCGTGATGTATAATTTCCAGCATATCTTTTCATTCCCTCTCAATTTCCAGCATATAACAACCATCTTCATTAATAGTATGTTAATAAGTGCCCTTGGGCGTTAAAACAACTAATTAAATGTGACTTGTGAAAAAATACAAATTCCTTAGGAGATTAAAACGTAATGAATTCATTTTTAACTTTCAAGGTGAAAACGTTATATAGTCGGTGATAGGAAATCCCCCCCCTACAAAGGACTATAAATACTCAGCTCCCACAAACTTTTTTTTCCCCCTCAAAACAAGCCAAAAAAAAACGACAAGAGAATTTTACTTAACAAAGCGAAAAGCACAAAGTCTAAAAATGACAAAGCGGTCGCCCTTAGCAGTGGTTGTCGTCCTGATCATGGTAAGTGCCCTTGTGTCTGTGAAGCCGGTAGCGTCATCGTGTTATGAATCATGGTACGGCTCATCTCGTCCGCTCTCTCATAAGGAGCTGCAATGGGAGTCGCAGAAGAGCCTGGCCGTGTTTGCGGTGGAGGAGCACAATAAGGAGCTCTCGGGTGCTCAACGGTTGAAGCTGATAAGCATCGACGAGGGTGTTTATTACCCTTTATCGCCCAGTACGGATTTTACCAGTATGAATATTACTGCATCCAACAGCTCTGGCCAAGCCAAGTACTGGATCTTTGTCACCCACAGCATTGCTTATGATCACCTTGACCTGAAATGCTTCGAGAAAATTTAGTTAAAGATGGATGTTATTTGAAAGCTTTGCGTATAGTAATAATAATGTTTTGATGTTTGAACATCATACAAATATTTATTTTCTGAAATGGGGCCATATTGGTCTTGCATTGTGGTTTGGTGGTGGCAACGGGTATTTATGTCAAATTCATTAGGGTGCTGGTGGGAATCGATATGAGAGATCTCTTCTATCCGCTGGGTTTTTGGTGGAAGATGATGGGGAAAAAGAAGTGTGGGTAAGCTTCAAGTACGAGAAGAAGCTACCTTCTGGCTTCTGCTATTGCTGTGGGAGCATTCTGACGATCGACTTTTAAAGAGGAAGGAGGGCTAGGCTTAAAGAGCTTCAACCATTTCAATATTTCCCTCCTCACAAAACAATGACACGAAAAACAAATAATAAAAAGCTAAGGGAAGTATAGAAGTTGGTTTACAAAAAAAAGTGAGGACATAGTTGAAAATTTTAGGTTCAAGGTCTGAATCACAAAACTCGACAAACATTGCCAAGATAGACAATACCATCCAGGCTTCGCCGGTCTCCAACAAACCAACCCAATCGACTTCTGCCTGTCTCCTCCCATGGCCTCACTCCCTTTACTAAAAGCTCGCTCGGTCTGTTGCTTCAAGAGCTTAGTTCTGACCGCAAGCTCCGTAAAATGTGTTAACTGCTTCTCGAACACATGTACATTCCTATTTTTTCCATAACTGCCAGCACAAGATACCAAACAGTGAAGGGTCTACACACACACCTCTTCCTGTCACGTAGTGATGCATCCACCACAAAAGGTCTCTGTGATAAACGCGCTGCTACAGATCGGAAAATAGCTGGAATCGATAAAGTAAGAATACGAAAGCGAAAATCGAAAAACACAGACACACGATTTACGTGGTTCACTAATACGATGTGTGTTAGCTACTCCACGCGCGAGAGATAGCCAGTTTCACTATCGAGGAGATTACAGATTATAGAGGAGATGAGAAGTATTTATACTTCTCCATGAGACCCCCCACTAATCCAGTCGTAGCGGCTGATAGCCCGATTCAAGTCACATCAACAAATCTCCACCTTGACTTGAATCTTCTTCCTCTGAAAACTCTGATGTACTCTACTCCTTCTCTCTCTCTCCCGCCATCAATGCCCCATAGGGCGGAGTCACCCACTCAAGACATTCATCATGTTCTAGCGCAACATCTTGTTGAACCCTGGAAAGCACCCTCCTTGGTATATTCCTATGGGCATTATCCTCCGCGCCCCATGGTGTATCACGTCTGCCGAATTTGAAATGTGTGGAAGCAAAGGGATTAATTAGTATAGTATAGCTCAAAGTAAAAGTCAAACGAACTGTCCAATTGAACCAATAATTAATTATCTTGATTCCATCTTTGAGAGCTGCAATCACGTAGGGGATGATCATCATCTTCTCCTCGAGTGTTTTCTTAAAACCGCCGTAGGTATTCCCTCCACCACTGAGTATGACGAGGGTTGACTCAAAATAGGCATTGCTGGCTAAAAAATCAAGAGACATAAAATAATTAAAAAAGGGAAGAATTGATTGAGAGAGTATCTTATATGTCGTATTGTTAGGAGTAATTAAATGTGACATGATTCATTATGGAATGCCTCCTTTGAGAAGTTGATGAACCATTTGAGCTGCTCATCCAAACCACTTTGAGAATACTTAAAGCGTATGTAAAGCTTGTCCCGCTGAGCCTTCGACAGGAGCCCGACTCCAGCTACGCCGAAGTTGGCGCCTTTGGTGTGGTCTAGATCCTTCCTCGGGTAGGGGTTACAGTGGGGCAACCACGCCAACTCCGCTGGAAAACGTGAAAAAAATTATACATGTTTTACGTAAGAAAAAGAAAACATAAAAAATGAAGTTTTGGCAATTGCTGATACGGTCAATGAGGAGGTAGTCGTCAGAGAACTTGTCGGTCGGCTTCCCGTCGCCGACAGACATCCCATATGGGTGCTTCCCCGAGCTGACAAAGTTGAACTGCATGAGGGCATTGCCCGTGTCTGACATGGAGTCGCCGAAATTGTAGATGACAGAGAACCCACACCCTTTGAGCAGCTGTGGCGAGGCTGAGGGAGATTTACCAGTAGAAAGAGAAAGGGAAGCAGCAACAAACAAGAGGTAGAGACACAAGCAAGGTGATCTTCATTATTCCACTTTAGGTGTATGAAGAACAAATCCAACTAATTAATCAAAAGCAACGCCACAATTCCAACTAATTAAGTAATACGTTATAATATGTGGTTGAGAGGAATGAAAATTATGGCAAGAGAGGAGGGAGGGAAAGGAGTTTGGTAGATGTTTTTGGTTTTATAAACGGATGAGGATGCGGTAGGTTGGTTCAAATTAATCGAGGTAGCGGTAGACAATCTTTTGCACAGATATGGAGAGTAGATGTCTAGCTCTTACCATTATTAGAGTATGAGTAATACGAGTAATATTTTGTTATGTAATTAGACAAAGTTTTTTTTTCTTAGTTGTAGAAGTTAGATATTTTCCATATTAGTGTAAATATGTATAACATTGTATATAAACACTCAAACTAATATGGAAAATACCCAAACTCTACGACCCTGTTAAGAAATATGATTTTGCCTAGTTATATAACAATACTCATAGTATAAAATAGTACTACTCATATTACTCACACTACTCACACGATAATAATGAAAAATACCTTATAAGATTCCAATAAAAAAATATAACACTAAAATTATATAACAATTCTCTAATATGTAAATACTATGAGGAACAAAGCAAATTAGAAGTCTTTGCTACATGGTCGATCAGGTGAGAAAGTATTTAGTCCACATTTAAGATCACACCTATTTGACCTTCTGCGTCGGCGCTTCTCAAGGTTACTTGATCTTCCTCGACTACTTTTCCGATTCCGAAGCTCCTTACTTCGTCCCTTTCCTTCCCAACCCTCTCAACGGAACTCAACATCCGCTCCCTAAAATCGACGCCAACCAATTCAAATCCCCCTGTTTTAACCGTCAAATCACCACTGGGATAATTCGCGACAGACTTTTCCACAAGGTCATCATTACATCTGATCCAAGCGACTACGAGAGCCAGGGTCGATTCACGGTGGTTCTGCTCGCCGACGACAAGGGAAGCCGGAGGATTTTGACTTGTGCACCGTTCAACGATTACTCGTGGACGGAATTGGACGGGGCGGATTCGGTGTCGTACCACGATGTGTGTAATTCATCAGACGGATTCCTGTTCGCATTGGGTGAAAACTACTCCGTTGATGCGTGGAACATCAGGTGGGATCAGGACTCCGACTCGTCGGAGAAAGTGACGAGCTTGGAGTAGTCTGTTCCGGTGTCGTTTCTGGTCGGGGAAACAGATTGCTGCGTGTCGAGGTTCTATCTTGTGAAGCCCGAAAGTGATGCCATGTCGATGTTGGTGGCACGGATTGTAGGTGAGTATGTCGTCGGGGAATGGAATGTGTTGATTGACCCGGAGATGGAGCCTCCAGAGGAGGGATAGAACCACCATGCCGTTTTTCCATACCGGACGGTGGGGTTCGAGGTCTACACGATGGACACCGATAAGAGGAATTGGGTGAGGACGGCGAATTTGGGCGGTGGCGACGAGCAGAGGAGGGCTCTGTTTTTTGGGTGGGAATCACTCTGCCTCTCTCCCCGCCGACGGTGAGATTGCGGCGGACTACATTAACTACACGGACGATTACTGGGAGCGGATGGATGAGGATTACATGTACGGAGGACACGATAATGGGGTTTTTCATTTGAGCGACAACGTGATTAGAAGGCTTGACGGCAGGGGCGGAGATAGAATTTTAAGTTGGGGGGGGGGGGGGGCGAAAATTTAATAACGTAAAAAAATGTACGTAAGCAAACAAAGCACTTAAAAGACAAATAATAGTAAAAAGATAAAAAAATTTAGTATTGCTGGGTATCGAACTCGCAAAGCACTTAAAAGACAAATAACAGTTGACCAAACGGCGATCAACTTAACATTGACTTTTGCTTACGTGGCAATGTCAAGTCATTGACACCTCAATTTTTTAATTTAAATTAAATAAAACTTTAAAAATAAAAAAATTGAAAAATCCACCGACTTCTTCTCTCCTGCGATGAGATTCTCCAGCCATGGAAAAATCCGCCCTCCCCAATCTCCGGCCATGAAAAAATCCATCCTCCCCAATCTCCGGCCATGGAAAAATCCATCGACTTCTTCTCTCCTGCGATGAGATTCTCCAGCCGAGACTTGTGATTCCCCCTCTGAATATCCACCTTACCCCCACTGTTGTCTCCCGATTATGCGCCAACTGATATTGCAGGTATGGAGAGAGTGGAACTGATAGGCAAAGTAGAGAGCATGAGCTCATAGCCTGGGTCGGTAGGACGGAACTCGCCGCCGCGAAGGAGGTTTCAGCGACGATTTTTGGAGAAGCTGACGGCTCGGAGGCCCGAGAGTTTCTAGAGGGTCGATTTTGCTGGAGGTTGCAATTGCGAGTCGGATTGGAGTGGTGGCGGAGTGGGTTGGCGGGTCCGATTCGAGTGGCGGCGGAGTGGGATGAGTATGGTGGTGGCGGATTGGGTTGCCGGGTGTGCTCGAGAATCTAGATCTACGATGCTCAATCTCTCGATCCCTTCAAAGAATCTTCCAATGAAGTGATTTCCAGCTGAAAAGTAGAGGCTACAGTGATGCAAACTGCCATGGAGCAGAGAGTTTCGACGACAATTGACAGGCGGTGAGGTTTCTCTAAAAGAATCGTCGGGGGTCAAGGTCGCTCTGAAGAGTTGTCGGGCGTAGAGGGATAGAGAGGAAAGACAAAATTCGATTCTTATCTTCTCAATTTTTTCTCAATTTTTTTATTTTAATTATTTTCTTCAATAAAATGGAATTAAAAATTCCATGTCATTTTCCACATCAACGCTGACTAGACAATCTGTTAAATTTTAACAGTCAACGCTGGTCAACACTAACAGAGTAATAGTTCAGGACACAGATGGAATGTTTGATACAATAGGACACAAGTGACATTTTTCGGATAGTTCGGGTGTTGTAGTGGTATTAGCCCAACAAGTAATGATAAAGCTTAAAAACAGGTAATCACTAAATAAGATGGTAAGTTTTAAGTGAACTGTGATTTCTAGATGTTAATCACATAATTAGGAACTTCAATTCCATTTGCATCAATGTGTAATATTAACAAGAACAAGCTCCAAAATCAAGCAAGTCATACGTGATGGATTTGGATAGCTCCCTTTTCTTGGCGGGAGTGGACCAAATTTCTCCTTTCTTGACGAGAATGACCAGAGGTTTCTATTTCTGAAATATTGTTTGCTTTCTATTCCGTTCACTCTTACCTACCTTAAATAGATAGAATTAGAAAGACCCTATCTATGTGGAACCAACTCAACGTTTTGTTCTACTTCAACTGCACTTCCTCCACCAACTCTAACAACTTGCACCATTAACTCTAACAATCTGCTGACCTCTTCATCCTTGCTAACAAGACTCCAACAAACCCAAGCTCATACAACAAGAAGCTTCTCTCGGCATGGGTTGGGCTTATGCACGTAATCACGGTAGCAACTCTTGGGTTGGGCTGCTTGTGCCTAGTGATGGTTGGGCCTATGAATAGTCGTATCAGCAAGTCAATTAAACAAGGCTGCAAGCCTGCAACTAGTGCAGAATCATACAGGATTCAGACTATTGTGCTAGAACTAACTAACGACACTCCAGTCCTTTTCACTAATCTCATCTCGATCAGGCCTTGAGACGGCCGAAAGCCGTACGCTAATCTCATCTCATCGGTTGGAACCTGCTTCTCAAAAAGGCCGTACGCTAAGTCGACCTTCTGAGCAGTACTCCCACCATTGACCTGAATCTCCATCAAGTGAGCTTTCTTCAGCTTCAGTCCCTTCATCTTCCTAATCTACAGAGCCGAACGAAGTTTCAGTGTCAAGGTAGAATAAGAGATATCATATTCAAAGCCAAATATATATATAGTGATGGTGAAGACGACAGAGACCAATACGTAGCAAGAAATACACCACATACTAAGACCGATGTGAGACAATATGGAATCTCTCAAGGGGTCGTTTGGATTAGGGAATGTGTAAATGAGGGATTTGGATTAAAATCTCTCAATTAAAAACCCAGGTATTTTAAACGTGGGATTTGATCCAAATAACATGTTTGGGAATAGATGAAGGATTTTAGTTAAAAATTAAAGTTACAATTATACCCATCCCTAATCCCTAAGGAAGAATAAGAAAGGAAGAACAAAAGGAGGGGCAGAGTTTGGAAAAGAATGAGAAAAAATGAGTGATTGTGAAATAGCTGATCCCCATCAGCTATTTTAAAAACTCTCATATGAGAGATTTAGAATTTCCTCATGCCCACAATCTCTCACCTTTCCAAACGCAGAATTGTTTTAAAATCCTGCACAACGAGAGATTGTTTTAAAATCACTCATAAATCCCCCGTCACATTCACTAATCCAAACGACCCCCAAGAAATTTGAAAGAATAAACGGTATATTTTTATTGATCAACTAAAATTATAAGTCCAATTTGTATTATTACCCACATGTATTTACAAACACATATTCAGACCTATATGAGATAGGATGAAACATTTTGACAAGTTTGAAAGAATAAAGGACATGCTTTTTTTATTTATTGTTCAACTAAAATCGCACGATGTTACATTTTCGTCCAATTTCTATTTTTATCCAAATTATTTTCGCTAAAAAATTAACAATAATTGACTCAGAGTCAAGAGTGAAATCAAAATCTTTGACATCCAAAAAGAACACCCTATTTTCCTTTATTAGAAAAGACCTCGAAACAAACAATTGAATCCACGAGTGATTTTGAAGGACCATAATTGCTATCTTGACTCTTCATAATTTAAAACCTAATCCAACTTCCAAGATAAACAATAAACATCAAAGCAGAAGAAAATAAGATATTGCAGCCAAAAAATCTAAAACAAAAAAGGACGAATCCGTAAATTACCCGCTCCATTTTTTCAAACCCCTAAACCCCCCGCCATCCGACGGTCCAACTTCTTCCACAAGCAAAATCAGATCTAATCCCAACCCTTCGATCTCCCATTCATTAACCCCTCCCCTTCAAATTGCCGTCCCACTCTCTTTTCTCTTCCCCACAAACACAACCCCAACTCCCTCTTCCCTCTCTCTCTCTCTGCGTCTCCGCTCTTCTCACTGAACCGCACAGTGGAACCGCCGCTCCTGTCTCCTGATTCCCGCCGTCCACAGCTGAAAGTCATTGCCGGGGGAAACAATAGCCGGAAACTCAGAAGGTGATTTTCCGACTACCGTAGCAGTAGATCGACTCTGTTCTCCCCTTTCACTTGACGGCTTCGATTCGCTTTCCTTCTAAGGTCAGTATCGATTCGTTTCTCTTCCGATTCGTTAGTTCTGGCTCTTTATTTGGCATTTGAGTCTCCGCTGAACGGTTCTTGCTTTGGGTTTCTCTGCGAGACATTGAATTCCTGATTTAGCACTAAATATCTTATTTGGATTTCCCGTGCTATATTTGAACTGGTTTTTTTTTTTGTATTTTTTGTGTCCAGAGGTTTTTTCTGTGATGGGAAAGTTTTCGACTTTTTTGGTCTTTTGTTTGTTTCCGAAAAATTGCGGAGAGCAAGAAGAGGGGAAAAAAGATCGCTTTCAAATCGTGGTTGAAACGGAATCTTTGGTTTATTGTCAGTTGAAAAGAAGAATCAGAATCTAGAACCCAAGTTGAATCTGCTAACCTGCGTGTGATGCACTCTCTGCCACCTAATCTATTTTTGGTGAATCATTGAGTGAGTCGAATTGGGGGGGAGTTTTGCTTGTCCGGAATGGAGAGGTTTCGAATTTTTAAATTTATATGGTGTTGAATTTTTCACTGTGGTGGCTTATGGGCCAAGTTATTTAGTTCTTATTGGCGTAGGAAACTGGTGGGGATAGGACACGGATAGTCCATTTACGTGTATAAAGTGGAATAGAGGCCAGATATATATATATTCAATTGCTTCCTCTTTGTCTATTGCCCTTTTGTCCATTATATCTTCTTATTCTTCTTCTACACCATTCTTTCAATCTGCAGGCGCTGTTTCAGCTTTGTTAGTGTAGTCGACGATGGCAACAGGGACCAAGCTCGAGAAAAGTATCCTTATTTTGGTTCATCTTTGTGCTTTAAGTTCATTCTGAAGGCCTTTCTACTTTGGGGGTCTTATGGCCGTGTGTACGTTTGTTAAGCGACAAAAAGATAAAAGCTTTGCAAGTTTTTGGTAATTATTGTGTGTGTGATGTCTCCTATTCCTTTCGATTCTCCCGCTTTTTTGTTGTTACTATCGTCCTAGTTATTGGTGATAGTGGAGCTATGTATCTAAAGCTCTATTATGTATGGCCTAGGGTTCTTATTCCCCTTTCCCCCCATCCTCGTCCCCTTGGTGATGTAGTAGTATGCCAATTGGTTCAGCTAATCATAGCAATACCATGGAGTTCTGGCTAGTTTGAGCGTGGTTTTCGTTGGGTTATGATGTTAGTACCATGGAATTCTTTCCTGTTGTTAGCCTTAACTGTTTGATGCAGCTGAACCCAATCCTACAGGACCGATGATTGAAACTGTCAGTAAATTGGCGGAACACGACATGGTATGTGTTTCTTCCAGTTAAATTTGGTGTTTGACTATTGTTACTGAGTTACAAGATCATCGAGTTGATATGTACCTGCATGCTCTTTGGTGTTTCTAATCACCCTTTGTTTTATTTGAAGATCCAAGCTGATTCTTTTCTACAAATGATTTGAGCGAATTTGGCTGAGCTTTAAGCTTCTTCTCTTTTTTAGACGAGTAGTATTTGTACATGAGAATTACCACTATGTGTTGCCTCATCAAACTCTCTTTCCTTGATATATGTTATTTGCAGGCTTCAAGGAAAGGTGCAGTGAGATCTGATACAACTCCCAGCATTCCCTCAAGAGATGCTAAACCTGGCATCAAAGCTGATGTTGATGTAGCTTCTAACATCAAAGGGAATAATGATATGGAGTCATATGGGCAGCATGCTCTGTATAATGTGCCCACTAGCACTTATGGCTATTATTACCCAGGTTAGTTGACGGATGAATTTAATCACCTTTCAAGTTAGAAATTTGATTGCTTCTGCTACCTGAAATAGAGCACTGCATCACCAGTTCCACGGTTGACACAGAGGAATTAGTGATATAGTCAGCAGCACCCCGTTCATTAGAGGGGTCGTTTGGATGAGTTGTTGTGTAACGAGTTAATATAAAAGTGGAATTCCTCACAAAATGAGAATGTGGTATTTGTGAGTTATTTCACAATAACTACCCCTATGAGGTATTGACAATAACTCATTAATAAGTTATTTCAAATTAACTCAAGTATCAATAACTCATCACCAACTTTTGTAGACAAACTTCCACTTACTAGTTTGAAAATGTAGTTTGAGTTTGCAGTTTTATGGATTGACCCATTATTTAACATTCTTCCATCATCGTTGTCTTCTGGCAGGCTATGGTGGGTCATTCCCTCAGTTGGATGAGCATGGTTATTTTCAAGCAGATGGTTCTCATTTGGTAAGTCTTGGCTGGCAGCATTATGTAGTTGACAAAACTTGCTCTTTCTTCTTCCAGACAAATGATAATTTTCCTACTCATTTCTCTATTCAGGCTCTGCAATCTGACAATGGCTCTATGGTTTATTACATGCCTGGATACAATCCTTATTCTTCTGGGGCTGTAGTTGGTGTAGATGGTCAAACTGTTGGTGGTCAACAATTTTATCCTTCCTCCGAGTACCTTCAGCAGCCTGTATCTTATGGATCAGAGGCTGTGCCTTTATATAATTGGGATTCCACTTATCTCAGTGACACCCCTAATGGACATGCTGGATTCCCATCTGACAACTACAATAGTCGAGGTGCTGCTACTACTGCTCTTCCCAAGTCCAGTGGGTTGAACTCTACGAAAACCAATGGTACTATCAGTGGAAAATACCCTAAGCCTAATAGTACACAACCTGCAAGACCTCTTAACAAGGTGAGCCAACCGAATTGATATCTTCTGAATGTTAGAACCAATTGTCTTCTGGAAAAAAATTAAAAGACCCAATTTTTGTCATTTTAAACTTACCGTTTGTATGATTTATTAATTTTCCAGGTCCAGCCCTTGGGTTCTGATTACTCGGCAGGTTTCTTGAAGGGATATAATAACACTGTAGGAAGGTTACCTCCTTTCAGTAGTCAGCAGAAACATTTGGCATTTCCCCAGTATGGCTCACTTAACTACAGGCAGAATGCTAGGTCATGGAATGTAAATGACGATAAAAGCAGATCAAGATACAACAGAACACAAAGACATGGAAGTTTCGAGTCTAATGAATTGTCTTGTGGCCCTAGGGGGGCTGCCAGCAGGGGTGTTGGACCTACGGATCCCACGACGGTCAAGAGTGAAACCTTAAACTCCGCAGCATCGTTGCTCAGAAGCGACCAGTATAATGCAGCCGATTTCGAAACTGTATATGAGAGTGCCAAGTTTTACATTATCAAATCCTATAGTGAAGATGACATTCATAAGAGTATCAAGTATAACGTCTGGTCGAGTACACCAAATGGCAATAAAAAGCTGGATGCAGCTTTCCGTGATTCGGAGGAGAAATCGAGTGAGAGTGGCAAGAAGTGTCCAGTTTTCCTCTTCTTCTCGGTGAGTTTGAATTCTGCACCTGTTCTTTTTCTTTTCCTGCTACTGCTTGTAGTTATGTATTTAGTACTTTCTATCCAGTATCTTGTTGGTCGCTTACAACTTTTATCCCGATAAAACAGGTAAATGGTAGTGGCCAGTTTGTTGGGTTAGCAGAGATGACTGGGATGGTGGACTTCAAGAAGGACATGGACTTTTGGCAAGTTGATAAGTGGAGTGGTTTCTTCCCTTTGAAGTGGTATATCATTAAGGACATTCCCAACAGTCAGCTGAGGCATATTGTCCTTGAAAACAATGATAACCGGCCCGTTACCTTTAGCAGAGACACTCAGGAGGTGTGTTCCTTGCTGTGCCTTGCTTTCTTGCTGCCAGTCTTATTATTTTTGATTGATACCAATTTTCGTCACTGTTGCAGATTGGACTGAAGCAAGGCCTGGAAATGCTGACCATCTTCAAGACGTACGTGCCAAAAGCGTCCTTGTTAGATGACTTCAATTTCTATGAAGATAGAGAGAAGGCTCTCCACGCTAAGAAGAACAAGCCTGCAACTCTGCGAATGGAGGTGTATGAGAAAGATGAGGAGGACGATTTCATTGTAAGTTCCTTTTTTCTCCCTTAGGTCCCCTAATGGTTTCTTGATCTTGAGAGGATTCTTCCTTTTCAAGTTAGAGTGATTGAAACTCCTCCTGTTTTGCTAACTTTCCGAGAATGCATCATCTGCTCTTGTTCGGTCGCAGAATCACACGAGAGCAGCACAACAGAAGAAATTTAAAGATCCTTACTCACTCATCAAGCAAACCAACAATCTGTCTCTCAATGGCTACCACTCCAAGAAAAGTTCTACTACCAACACAACAGATGGTCCAGTTCCTGCTGCAGATGCACCATAAAACCTTCTGCACCCTCTCTCCTATAAGCTCTTCACCCTGTTTCTTTCTCTTTATTGATTTTTTTAGATTTATTTCCCATCTTCCTTTCTTAGCCCCCTTGTTTTGTCTATTTCTTAGTGTAGAATGATGATATGGTCTCTATTTTATCAATTTTTATGTTCTTCAATCCCAATTCTCTTTCCATCACTAGCATGCATTATGTTCTGACTTCTTAGTTTTGTGGCTATTCAAGGTTCCCTATTTTGGTTTCATGATTGAGGGAAAAAAAACCTAAAGATCAGAGATCATATTATTGTGCATGGGATGTGGTACTCTGTTTGTCAATTAAATGGTGGTGCTCTGTTATTTTGGGATAGGTGTATGGTTTGGAATGGTACAGCGAGGAGCTCGTTCTTCCACCATTGAAATACTTATGCTTTTGGGTTGGTTGGTTTTGAGTTTTAGGTTGATTCAAGTGTTTATGTGTTTGAAAGTTGACGCGGCAAACTTAACGATATTTTATATGAAGTAGTATTAGAAGTTTGAATTTGTGTTATCTATTTTTAGGGTCATACCATTTGTTCATATAACCTCATTACTCCAAATATTACCTTTATGATTCTCATTGTCTATGGTTGTTGTTGAATTTACATAAATCATACAACGACAATTATGTTTCTTAACCTATGAATTAGTGAAAGTCTAACGGGCAAAATTCTGGAACTAGCAAAGAATTGCCTTTCAATGATGTCAAAGGGATAAATTCTCATTGTCTATGGTTGTTGTTGAATTTACATCAATCATACAACGACAATTAAGTTTCTTAACCTATGAACCAGTGGAAGTCTAGCAAAGAATTGCCTTTCAATGATGTCAAAGCTCTCCATGTTCAGAGCAAGAAAGGGAAATGTATGCTTGCATGTAGACGATTTTAAGAAAACTCAGAATTGAGAACATGTCTAGTAGTTGTTTTCGCATCTCCGTCGGACTAATCATGTTCATCAACCGACTTTCCTAATTCATTCTCACTCTTTAGTGTACCTTTTAGTCATAATTAAAATTTCGGGGCTCATTTGGTATTCTAACAAAAGTATGTGGATGTAAATCGAAATTAATTTGAGGTAGAAAACAAGAGGGAAATTAATAAAAGCGGAAACCTCTCTAAACCCCTACATCCAACGGTCAGTATTCCCTCTCCGCCAACCCGCGATCTAATCATAGCCGTCAGATACCTCCTTAATAAAACCTCCCTCACTAGTCTTCTCTTTCTCTCCTTTTTCCCTCTTTTCCTGCTCCTCCCTACACTCAGTTCCGCCGCCACTCGACTTCCTTCTCGTCCTCCGGGGAGCCGCTTCTTGAGCCGGCCGCCGGTCGTTTCCTACCTCTGTTGTAGAAGCGGTCTTCCGCGGCTATCAGATCGGCATCTCGTCGTTTCGTGCCCAATCTCGATCTGTCTCGGAAATCCTCTTGCCAGGTTCAGTTCAACTTCAATCCTCTTTAAGTGGGCGCTCAGCTCAGTAATAGCTTTGAAATTTGAGCGGAGCTGGCGAATCAGTTGCTTGAAAGGCTTTCTCGATTGATTTGGTCGATGGATGCTTTCGGCTGTAGATTCGTGGAAACGTTTTGTTGGATTTGTGCAGATTCTGAGTGTTGCCTGCTGTGCTGTAGTTGGCGTTTAGGAATTTTGTGGGTTTTATTAATGCAAGCGTTCTGATAGCAATCTCTGGTCCTGGAATTTCGCTTTGCTGAATAAAAATTTGCTGGGAAGTGGGAAATATCACTTTCTGAGGGCAGTGGATGCAGAATCTGATGCTTCTCTCTTTTCATTTTGTTGATGTCTGTTTTACTGTTCTACTAATTATTGAAAAGGGAATCGGAATGTTGATAATTGGAGAGTACTAGTGGATGAGGGACCATGGAAACTTTAGAAGAGGGTGCAGTTTTTGCTTGTGTTCTTTTGCTTTCATCTTTTGATCTCAACCAACACCTTTTATATTGTCTTTCCTTCTTATTCCTCTTCTTCTCCTGCTATCTTTTTCATCTTGCAGGTGCTTCTTGGACTTTAAGATCGACAATGGCAACTGGAATGGGAATGAAACTCGAGAAATGTATCCTGTCTTTGTGATTGACTTGATTTTGCTTGTTGCAGCTTTAAATGATTTTTAGAATCATGGTTTTTACTCTGGTTGGTGAAGGGAGGTGACTGTAGGAACTGTTTTACGATCTGCAATCCTCCATGGGGACGAGGGTCCACTTAAATGGGTATATTTTCAAGTTAGATATTTGAAAAATGGGGGTTCTCATCATTTTCTTTCCTGTATTACCGATCCTTTGTTTCATAGAATCTTCTGCATTGTTGTTTTTATTCATTTTCCGCTGAAGAGGTGATATATATTATTATTTTTCATAGAATCTTCTGCACTATTGTTTTAAAAGAAACTAATGATATCAGGTTCATGTTGAACCTCTCGTACCAGCTTTCACTTGGTTTAGTCATATCATTTAACTGTTTGGGTTAATTATGCAGATGGTGAATCACAGTATTCAATACCCTAGAGTTTATTGTTCTCCGTCTATTGCTTTACTTCCAAATGAATCATTGTTGCTTTGTTGAAATGGGTTGTTGTCCCTAACCATATGGTATAGCTGAGCCTATTCAAGTGGGATTGAAGTCGGAACCTCCAAGTAAATTGGTTGAGCATGATGTGGTATGTTGAACTTTAGATTATGTAGCACTCATTTCTTCCTTATGTCTGCTTATTCTTTCTGTAATACATATGGATTGATCAAGGAAGAGAAAATATATCCTGAAGTATTACTGGCAACTATAAATTTGGAATTGCTGCTGTTAAATTATTTTGTCTTCAAAGTTGCAATTGTTTTTCTTGTAATGAATAGAGCTCATAACATTAGGCACCGCTATTTGGTAGGAAGCTTCATATTATTTTTCCATTCTGATCCTTTTCTAAATGCTTTTATTTTCAGGGTTCTGGAAAAGATGGAAAACCATTTGATTCCCCTGTCTCCATTCCCAATGGAGCTACTATTACTTCCGGGATAAAGGGTGAGAATGGCCATGATTCCAACGGGAAGCTTGATGTCTACAATCCACCAACAAATGGTTATGGTTATTACTACCCAGGTTAGCCAATTGGTCTGAGTTCATTTGGTGATTTGTCTTAAGGTTACTTCTGTACCATTTTGTTAGAATATTTGGCTGAATAGTACGCTGTACTTACTGATAGAGTTCTTGTCATCTGGCAGGATATGGAGGACCATATGGGCAATTGGATGATCAAGGATTTTTCCAGACTGATGGTTCCATTGCAGTAAGTCCGGAATTTCCTATGTCATAATCATTATTCATCTCCTCTTGTCACCGTTAAATACGTTTAATCTAATTAGGTATTGCTTTCATTGTTTGCCTGTAACTTCTGGGCATGCAGTCAGACAATGGTTCTCTGGTGTATTTCTATCCTGGCTATGATCCCTATGCTACTGGGGCAGTTTTGGGAGTCGATGGGCAAACTGTTGGTCAGCAACCCTATTATTCATCTACTGGATATTTACACAACCCAATGTCATATGGATCTGAAGTGATGTCTTGTTATCCTTGGGATTCAACATACATGGGAAATATGCCAAATGGTAATGCTCCTTATGGTAATGGTCTGAGTAAGTCCAACGGCTTGAACTCCACTCAACCTAATGGAAACCTTGGTAGCAAGTTTTCTAAGGCTACAAATGCGCAACCAGCCAGACCACTAAACAAGGTATGTGTATTTCTTCTACACTGTTTAGGTCACTCTTCTAAGTCGTCTGATAATAACTTCTGTAAAGATCTTCAATGCATGGTCCATTACATACTAGATGCATGAACGCTGTTGTATGGATTTTTGGCCATAAATTTAACAGCATTGTCCTCACAATGATGTTTTTATCATCAACTTGTGCTGTAAATTTGGGCATTGCCTGTGAGGAATGCTAAGTTCTCTAGATTGTTTTTGAGTTTCTACTTGATTCTCCGACCTCCGTTTGACTCAGGTTGCATTTATATGTTGCTGATGTGAAACACATGTTGCAGGTTCCTCCTTTGGGTTCTGATTTTTCTGCTGGCTATTTTAAAGGGTATCCACCTGTGGGGAAGTATTCTCCATTTAATGGGCAAAAGCAAGCTCCTTTCTCTCCAAATGGTTTCGTTAACTACAGACAAAATGGAAGGATGTGGAATGGTAACTATAGAAACAAGCCTAGAGACAGAACCTCGAGAAATGGTGATTTTGAGAATGCTACTGAACTAGCTTGTGGTCCTAGGGCGTCCAACAGAAGTACCCCATTGGATCCTTATACAAAGAAAGAAGACCTGGAAGGAACAGCATGTGCCGACCAGTACAACCTTCCGGATTTTGAAATCGAGCATGCAAATGCTAAGTTCTATGTCATCAAGTCATACAATGAAGATGACATCCACAAAAGCATCAAGTACAATGTGTGGGCTAGTACTCCCAATGGAAACAGAAAGCTCGACGAGGCATTCCGCAGTGCACAAGAAAAATCCAGTGAGGCTGGTGGTACAAGTTGCCCAATATTTCTCTTCTTCTCGGTAGGTTCACTAGTCTTGATTTAGTTTTGCTTGCCAAGTTTTTAGCATAAGTCTTGAATTTATATAGCTAACTTCTCGGTGCCACTTCCTTATGCTTTCATATAATACAACAGGTAAATGGGAGTGGTCAGTTTGTTGGGTTAGCTGAAATGGTTGGACAAGTGGATTTCAACAAGGACATGGACTTTTGGCAGCTCAGCAAGTGGAACGGCTTCTTTCCAGTCAAGTGGCATGTAGTTAAAGACATCCCTAACAATCAGTTGAGGCACATCATACTCGAGAACAATGAAAACCGACCTGTAACTTTCAGCAGGGACACCCAGGAGGCAAGTGTTATTCTATATAAAATCTCACCCATTCCCAATATTGTAAATGGATATAGAAGTTATATTGGTGAATTTCTGTTGTACTAATAATCCGGCCTCATTTCAACAGATTCTGATGAAGCAAGGTTTAGAAATGTTGAGTATTTTCAAGAGCTACTCGCCAAAGTCATCATTGTTAGAGGACTTCACCTTCTATGAGACCAGGGAGAAGTCTGTCAATGCGAAAAAGAACAGTAAGGCCACTACTGGGGAAGCAGAAAAACTCGAAAATGGTGATATCGCGGTAAGTTCATTATCCTCAATGTTTGTCAGTCTGTTTAATGTTGTTATATTCGATTGTTTACTGCTGTATAGGGTTTTGTTATAACCAATATTACTGCCTTGATTTACGCAGAAGGATGCCAAAACTGGAGAAGAGAGAGCCGGAGATGATACTAAGACTGGGAAGGGCGCTAACAGCCCCTCAAGTCTTGCTGATCTAACTAAGAACCTCTCCCTAAATGGCTGCAGTCTAAAGGAGAATTCTGTGATGAAGCCAATCGAGAACGGGCTCCCAGCTGCTGTTGTCGTTGCTGCCGCTGCACCATAGGAGACTCGACGTATGGGGAATTAGAAAAAAGCTGTACCAGTAGTAGTTTTCCATAGTTTTTACTTTTTACCAATGTTATATCTCAATCCAGGAGGGTTTCTTGTCTGTCCCCTCTAAAGTGTTCTTTTGTCATTCGATTCCCTCTGTAGTTCATTTGTTTCAGTTTTGCTTGTTTCTTGTTGTAAGCCAGTTTTCATAGGCTTTTTTGGGTGCTTAGGTGAGTTATGTCTTGGCTTCATTTTGGGCAAAGTGCTTTCGTTTTCTCACTCTTTTAGGGAGCCAGATTGTTTTGTGGTGTCTATTTTGGTCATTTACAATTTCCACCTTTTTTCCCCAGTCTCTGTTTTCAGCCTTTTGTTCTTGAGTTTGAGTTTGGCCGTGACCGTGAGTGGACTCAACAATTTGGCTGTTGACATGCTAATTTTAGAGTTGTGACCTTTAATAAAACACTAACAACTATAGGTAAAATACGAATACAATGCTCATTGTCCTTTAAAGCTTTTTGGGTTTGTAATTAACATATGACCCTGGTGCTATTATGGTTAGGACGTCTTTACGTGATAAACATGTTGTACATGATTATTGGGTGCATAGTCGGGCATCGTACTAAGTATATACCGGTATTTTCATCCCAAAGGTTTCTGAATGAGTAATAAGAGTTATGACATTGATTAAATGGTAATCCACTTCGAATTGGCTACCGTGCTAGCATGTATTGTTAAGGGAACATAACATTCATCATAAACGAACTAATTTGGATTGAAAGGGTTGGGAACATAACATTCATCATAAACGAACTAATTTGGATTGAAAGGGTTGGGTTCTCATATTATCTTGTGCGCATTGCATTCATAGTTGCACTGTGATTTTAATGTGTATATATAATATAATATCAATCTATAAAAATTTAATCAACTTCTTTTATAGATGTTTAAGTTAAAAGTTATGTAACCATCGTAGTGGTATCTCTATGAATACTATATTAAAATGTTCACCTTGCTTTTCTATTTTGATTTGAATTGAAGAATTGACGTTGAAGCAAGGATTGAAAGTTTTGTTAATGCTTAGCTAAACACAAACAAAATTCCAGTGAAACTTTTGTTAATGTTTATATTTCAGGGACCGAAAACTCAATACTTCCAAAGTTGGATGACCATATTTGTAATTGGCTAGGGGCTTAAGACACAACACAGAACACACCAGTTTAAAGTTTAAACCCTTCTGAGAGACTGAGGCTGACGCCGGGAATCAGAACTCTACTCCTCTCGGATCGCGTTGATTGGACGGCGGCGCCGGCCAGAAACTGATTCCAGGCAAACCACCCGCCGCGATATGCCGGATAATTCAAAGCACTGCCTGCCACACTCTGAAACTGCTGAAAAGGAACGGCCTTCAAAGGTCCCGAAAACTCTGCTACCGGACGGAGAAGAAGAAGAAGGCGAATTTGAATCGGGCGGCATTCCGGAGTCGATGAGTCCAAACCCTCGGCTTCAGCGTTATTTGGTAGCTATCGAGTACATAGGCACTCGCTTCTCTGGTTCCCAGAAGCAGCCCGTCGACAGGACTGTTGTGGGCGTGCTTGAGGTAAAACCCAAAACACAGAAAGAGACGATCTTCAACATGCCCTTCTTATGTCTTGTTTGTCTGTGGTTTTTGCTGAGCGAACTTGATAGAAAGAGCAAATTTTGACCTGTCTCTCTCTGGTGTTTTTTTGCGAGGAAAGGAGGCATTTCACAAATTCATTGGGCAACCAGTGTCAGTCTCCCTATCCAGCCGCACGGTAATCTGGTTTATCCTTATTGGCTCGTTATAGTTGACAATCCGTAGCTTCTGTGACAGATTGAGAATGCGAAATTTGTTAGTTATCCCAAAAGCTGAAATGGCAATCCAAGAATTATGGGTGTTCCAAGCAAGAAGTGTCATATTCGTGTTCGTGGGTTCACGTCATGTTGAGTGTTTTCAAATTGCTCTTTAGGCGAGTTGATCGTGATTTGTATTGTGATTTCCTTACTTGTAGGATGCAGGAGTACATGCCTTAGCTAATGTGTGCCATGTGGATGTGGAACGAATTAGCAAAAGGAAACCCGGTGAAGTTGTATGCTTTCTGCTCATTACCTAGACATCCCTGCAACCTCAATTTTCTGGGAGTTCTCTTAGTACGTGTGTTGATTAGACACTATGATTTCTTATTGAACTGCAGTTGCCACCTCATGAACCAGAAGTGGTTAGAAAAGCAGTGAACCACTTCTTACAGGTCTGTCTTCTTAATCATTCCATTTGAATATGTGAAAGGAAGCTGGTGTTTTCATTTGGTATCACATTGGTATAAATTGTATGCTGACTACCCTTTTCCTTCTATCCTATGTACAGAGAGAAGGAGATATCATGGTCACTGATGTTAGATGTGTTCCAGCAGATTTTCATTCAAGATTTAAGGCACAAGAACGCACGTAGGTATTGCAAAAACAAGGTCTTGCTTCAGATATTTTATGCTTCCAAATTCTTGGATTAGTTGACAAATGTACATTTTGTTGCAAGGAATATTGCAGAGCTTCCATGTTGTGACTTAAATTTGCAAACTTGTTGCTTCGATCATAAGTCTTGAGCTGAATTACATTGTGCATGAAAATTCTTTAGGTACTTCTACCGTTTGCTATCTGGACCAGATCTTTTATCTGCCTTTGAGAAAGACCGTGCCTGGCATATACCTGAGCAACTTAATCTTCTCGCAATGAAAGTGAGTTTCATAATTTCAGGTTGATTGGCTTTATTGGGAACGGAATTGATTTAAAAATGGGTTTTTGTTTTTGTTCTTCATTTTGCAGGAAGCATGCAATGTTCTTGTTGGCCATCACGATTTCAGCTCCTTTAGGGCGTCTGGTTGCCAGGTTTAGCTCTTCCCATTAAGGGATATCTTTCTGCTTATTTTTCATCTTGTTTTCCGCTTGAAAATATTTCCCCCCTAGCTCTCTCCAAACTGTGGTAAGAACAATTAATTATCTTGGTTTACGAAAGTTATATGTTTCTAGCTCTCTCCAAAAGGTGATAAGAATATTTAATTATCTTGGTTTGTGAAGCCTGGAACCTTATTTTCTATTGGTGATCCAACCCTGATCATCTGGAGGTTTTGTATCATGTATATTGTAGGCAAAATCACCAATCAGAACACTAGATGAACTTAGTATTACTGAGGTGGTTCCAACTCCCTACTTCCCTTCTATCATGGAAAGGGAACACAACAGTGCACACGGGGAAGATGCTTCAAACAATGATAAGGTTGGGGTTCCCAGTTTCGAAGCTGGTTCAGTATTTGGGATTAGGAAGAGACATCGTTGCTATGTAATAGCAGCACGTGGTCGTTCTTTTCTTTATCACCAGGTTGGCATTTTTAGCTACTGTAACTTTGTTTTTTCACGGTCTGAGATTCGTTTTTAGATTATAAATTGTAGTAGTTTCCCCTGATATTGATGTGCATGGATGTTTGTTATTATAGTCACTGATCTTGGTCTCTAAAAACATTCTCTTGTAACTCAAAATGTGACCAAGTTAAGTTAAATGCTTTCAGGTCAGACTTCTAGTTGGAGTTCTCAAATGTGTGGGCACGGGAGAAATTACAGTATCCGATGGTATGATGTTCTTCCGTCTCTTACCATGCGTCTAAAGATGTTTACTTGTGTAGCTCTTTGTGTCAATCCTTGTTTATGACCGGCTCATTTTGTTGAAATCACGAATCGTGACTCGTTTTGGTGAAATCGCGAACTGATGTTGGCAGTGAGAAGAATACTGGATGCAAAAACTGTGACTGCTGCAAGGGCCATGGCTCCTGCATGTGGTCTCTACCTTGGACAAGTCAAGTACGATCTGCCTCGTTGACACCTGAAGTTCTGAACCAATGAAGTTTATTTCTCTTAAAAAGTTAAGCTTAAGATCCTGAACGATCCCCTATTGGGTTTACAACCCAGGCAAAAATGTATCCTCGCGATTATTGAGAACTGGGTTCCCCTTATGTCTGCCTTTTAGTCTTCTCCTAAGTTGGTTGATGAGATACCAGCAACCTTTTTGTTTGCTTAAAATGTACAGTGTTCGCAGTTAATTCTTTGTGGTCATTTGTTTATGCTTATGTTTAATCCAAAAAAATGTTCTGTAGGATCTACATTATCGTTTAGAAGTAGATTCCAAAACAAATTCGAGACACAAATGCACATCAACAAAATAGAAAATCCTACAAATCAGTTTCCACTTGGATTCTAATTCTCACAGTAAATTTTAGGTTAAGCACTGAGAAATGAGCATATACCAATTCGGTTACATTAACATTGTTCATTCTTGTTTAAGTAAATCAAACCATCGTCACTAACTCCACATTACAAAGATCTCTACTATTTACAGACAGCAAGTTTATTCAGCACCAATTTACCTACCAATATTGTTTCATACGAATTGTTCATCTACTGAAGCTATGCAAGGAAAAAATGTTCTCAAACAAACTATCCCCGGTTCTCAGAACTCCCTCCCCTGCTAATGACATGGATGAACAATGCCAAACCAAGGCAGGCAACAAGTGGATTGCCTCGGAAGCTGCATGTACGCGGACAATGCCAATGCAGAATCAATCTACCTCATTAGTGTCTCGATAGCCCTGTGAAGAGAACTCACTCGAGCAGGAGTAGGATCCTGCTGAGCAAACAGCGAATGAGGTCCGTTCCACATTGACCTTCGCTTTTCTGGGAAGAGCTTTGTGCACAGGTCCAAGAGTATGGGATCTTCTTGACGAAACTTATCAAACATTCCTGCCTTCTGGCTATCGACCAACTGCTGCAACCAACACAAGAGACGATAAAAGTCACTAACTTTTGCTTCACAACATACTAGGCAAAATGATAATTGCATGCTGGAACTTGAGCAGAAACCTGATGTGTACCTTATGAGTGTTTTGTTTAACTGCCATGCTTCCTTCATGTTGCACTGCTACTTCGTGGTCATTCTCAGCAACATCAACTGCACCATCTGGATTTTCTGGAACTTGAGGATCGAGTTGTCCGCTCATGTCCTCATCTCCTGACTTCTCAGCCAACTGTGAGTTCTGCAATGCTTCGTTGCTGCCTTCTGGTCGATCATGTATCTCTTCTTCCTCCTCTTCTCCTTCATCCACGTCCATTTCATCGTTTGACTTCCCGTCAGGAGAATTGGTTTGCTTTTCACTCTCTTCCAATTTAGTCTCTTCTGCTTTTCCTTCCACCTCAGCGTCTGTGCCTAGGTCTTGTGAGTTATCATCCATGTTTGATGAAGAATCTTCTCCACCATGGCTTTCCACGGGTGATGAAGCTCCCTTTAAAGAAAAAATAAGAAGAACAGTAAGCTCAATATTATTCAGTTTGACTAGCTCCCTTTGAAGAATAAATAAGCAGAACAGTAAGCTCAATATTATTCAGTTTGAATTACACGTTTAATCATTTCATAATTTTGAGACCTCCACCCTAATATTTGTTCCTAGTTGACAAATTCTCCACTTAACTTCCTATCTGTTGAATCAATTTCATATCCTACTCCTATAAGTATATAATTTGATAAATTCCTGTCCTGCTGTATGAGATGAAAAAACAATCACACGAACCCTCACTTCGATTTATCTTCATCATAATTTTCTTAGCGCTGGTGAGCAATTGGAGGGTATGGAGATGCGAGCTAGGTGTCTCAATGTAGTCAGTTTGGGGTTATATTGACTATACGACAGCACAAATAAGAACATTATACTACTAGTAATCATTAGTTCTATATATCCAAAGTGCACCTCTTGCTTGGTCTCTGGAGTAACTCCTTCATCAGCAGACTGGCCATTGGCCAGCCGAGCATTCTCCTCACGCTCCTTCCTACGCCGTTGTAGAACACATACAGCACATAAGCAATCTGATTTGTGGCGCCTTCTGAAATTACAACCAAAATCCAGAAATAGGACGTCAAGACCTACTTGCAGGGATGTGAGGCGACAATAACTAAAAGACAGATATCGGTACGGAAGGAAAACCACATCCATAAAACGTGCAACCTAGAATAATTCATTTAGCGTGCTATAGATATTTAGATGACCAACAAAATATGCGAAGTGGACTGAGAGGAAAATATTGTAAAGAGAATCCAACAACCAAAAGAAATAGTCGAACAGCAAGTCTCAGCCAAACCAATCATATGTTCCAACCTCATATCGATTTTGCTACTACAACAGTTACATATTGTAATTGAAGGCAGAAGGGCGACTTATCTGAACAGGGCTACAAGTGTGTATCTAGAAGCTGAGGAAAAGGGGTCGTAAACTAGAAAACTGAGTTACCAGGGAAAACACACATACCCATGACGCTTTTTAGACTTCTGTTTCGGTTGGCTGGATTTCGCGCTTCCTTGGTTTGCAGCATTTGTTTCCTGGGCACCATCAGCACCTGACACAAGGGAGAAACATTGAGATTCAGATAAAACAGATAGACACTTCCGAATGTACTACCCTTGGGTTCGAAATAGACATGCCATTCATGTTCTAATTGGGGACCACCACGAGGAAGAACATTAACTGAATCTGTTGCCAAAGAATATACACTTACCACTGGTTCCTCCTGATTGTCCTGTATACAAGCCTGCTGCTGACCAATATTTCATAAAGTTCTTCTTCACTCGCCTCATAAGGTCCAAGATATAGTCACCTTTATTGTTGTACTTGTAACAGTTTCCCCAAATGTACTGCACATCCTTGTAGACATCCTCTGAGTTCATATACTTGCCACCCTTTTCAATATTGCTGCATATAGTTCCGAAGTCCATAGGTGTATCTATGATGTCAAAGTAGTCCTGATTACAGACAACATCAGATGCCAGAAAAATGGGATAGCATGAGAACACCATGATGGGTAGTAGGGAGCAAAACAGAAAAGTAAAGAGCAACAAGGGAACTTTGTACGGAGTCAAAATATTCATCCCGTACAGATCACTACTGCTCATGGCCAATACTGAAGTTGAGACTCAAGTGAGCATCATAAACATTTACTACAAGAACAAGCTGCTAATCAGGGCAGACTAACCGAGGCATAGCTAACGTTATGCATAGAAAAAAGGATAAGGATACAGTAAGCTAGACGAAAAAGCTATTGGTACTTCGCTAAATCGAGTTTTTAGATCAACAGCAGCCCATACCAAATAGAGCAAGATCTAGGATTATTAAAGCAATCCCGTTTCAGAAAGAACATGCAATTCCCGTTTGACAGAAACAAAGACTATGCACAAAGTATCTTCTATCCTAGACCAAAATGCAAGTCCCAATGCCTGGAATAGAAAGGCCGTGAAAGAGAAGGATAGATGGAAATCTTCCTAAGCGTACATTTTACTTACAGGTATTCCCAGTGCTTCGGGATTCACAGGGGCATTGAAAGGAAGGGCTGCATCCATTTTCATTATCTTCCTGATAACCTAAACCCGAGAACGAAGACATCAGTACACTAATCAGTAAGACCTCAATACAGCTTAAACTCTATATAGATATGCAAAAAAAAAAAAAAAAAAAACTTCTGAACTCACTATCAAGGCAGACCCTAACTCTTCCTTATCATATTGAGACACCTGAGCAGGAGGCTTATGTGCCTTCAACACACTGTCCTTTGATGCCATAATATCACCATCCACAACCTTCGAAGTTTTTATCTTTATACTCCCTGGTTTCTTTGCCACATTCCCAGAACCGCTCATTTTCGAGTCAGGCACTGAGCTGCCACTGTCTTCCCTCTTATCACTGGCTGCACCTTGTTTCTGTGATCCCAATGGAGGACTGCTTCTATCAGTATCAGTAGGTGACTCCAAAGCCTTGGAACTCTTTAGCTTGACCTTAACATGCCTAACTGACAACTTCCCAGAACTTTCTTTATCAACTGAACTACTGGGCTTGGCACTTGCCGCCTTCAGAGGCTGGTCCGTCCCTGTGGAAGAAGGCGTATCAACCTCCATCCCAGATTCACACTCTGCATCCTTGTCTTCGTTGGTGCTATTCTTACTCTGATTCTCCTCGCCCGCACCCGAACTATCTTCTCTGCTCTCGCTCGCTACACTAACAACCGCAGCTTCATCTTTTGATGCAGATGCAGATTTGGATTTACCCTTCTTGCTTCTCTTCCTCTTCATTGCACTGACAAGAACAACATGAAAATAAATAGAATCTTTAAGCTCTGCGCCACACTAGAACAAAGAGACCCAAAACCAAAATGAAAACGGAATAACACATGGAATCCGGACAAACCCAGAACATGAAACCGCTCATTCTGTGATTAACCAATCCCAGAAGTACAATGTCATCAAAAGACGGAAATCCAGAAGATGGAACCAAGCGGAGAACTCTCTCCCACTGGTTTAATTCTAACATCCCCGTTCAAAAGATTGCTCTCCGCGCGCTACTTTCACTAGCAAAAAGTTCACTACGAATAAATGATGTGAAATTGGGCTACCTGTTCTGAATTCTTGGCTCGGCAGAGTTTACGAGCGACGAAGCCTACGGGCCGGCGCCGGAAGATGCGAGAGGATTTTGAAAACGCAGCGTTTGCTCTTCTCAAGCACCGGACTTTCGGTGTCAACGATCAACGATCTATGGTTCCTTCTTCCTTTTTAAAAATTTTGAGGGGGAAGTTTGAAATTTCGAAGTGTTTGTATTGAATTGCACTTCGATTTTGGATATTCTTTGCCGAACCAAAACCCTAATCAATAATTAAAGAAGAGGGGGAGAAAGGGGGAAAAGAAAACAGAAAGAGAGATGGGCGGAGTCAGATGTAAAATGGGCCCACGGTGAAGAAGTCTGAAGCAACCGGCCCATATTATTTCTAATAGCATAGCCAAGCCCAAATGCATCAAGGTTGACTTGACTTCTCAAGCCTAAGTTCAGGTCCTTAAGCCTTCTTTCTTAAGGAGGATCTTAAAGCGTTGTGATTGGCTGATTTGAGTTTAGATAGTTAGTGCGGAGTTATTAGTTATTGAGGAGTTATTAGTTGTCAAGGGTATGCTGGGAATTATGAATAATATAAATAATAAACAATACTATTTTTGAAACCCACGTCCCAACATGCCGGTTTTTCTCCCTATCGGCGTAACATGATACTCTCCTCAACATGTACAGCAGTCACCAGTCGTCTCCGCCGTCGGGGATTTTTGTCTATGTTTTCCGGCTGTCCATTCGTCAGCAGTATCCGGCCATCTCCGCCGTCGGCGCCGTAGCTTCCTGTTCGCCGAAAACCTAAAACCAGTTTCCCTTTAGGACGCGCTCTGTCCCAACTTCCCAGTGTTTCCCGGCGTTGCGGCATCCCACATCAGCAGCTTACCGACTTCCCCAGCCTGTTGTCCTGTTCCCTGTCGCACAAGCAGCAGCCTGATAGTGCAGCTTTCGGCCCCGGTGTTCTTCTTCATCGCACGAGCAACGACAACCTATTCCTTTTTTCCATAGCGCTTCCCGGAAGTGATTTTCGTTGGTCATCAATATATAAGTTTGGGGTCATTATCAACATATCAATAGGTTTCAGGTTATTATTAATAAGGTTCGGGTTTCATTTAATGGGTCATTATCAAGTTAATTTATTAACATTTTTGGGACAATTGTCAACAAGGTAACTTAACGTTATTAACGTTTATGCAAGGTAGCATTAAACGTTCATTTGATATATTATTAACAAAATAAAAAAACAGTGTCACCTGTTCGTAAATATTGTTTTGGTTGTTTATACAATTATTATCAACGAGATCTTGTCATTTTTAACGTAAATTATAAAAAGTTGACAATGAACAGTTGTAAAATTATTAACGGTTTTCAAAAAATTGTTAACAATGTGGTGAAACGTAATCAACGTTTATATGCAAGGTATCATTAAACATTTGTTCGTTGTATTATTAACAAAATAAAAGAACATTATCATATTTTTGTATATAATTTGTTGGTTGTTTACGACATTACAGTTTTAACAATAATAAACCACATTATCAACCATATTATTATATATTATTAACCGACCATGCAACTATTATTAATTATATTATTGCAATTATTAACACACTCAAGTTAAATTTTTTAATAATATTGAACAACGTTATGAAAACATCTTATTAACCTGAAATGTCAATATTTTCGATACTGTTATTAACAAATAAAAGGTACAGTTTTAACAATAATACACCACGTTATCAACCCATATTATTGGACATTATTAACCGACTGGGCGACTATTATCAATTGTATTATTGCAATTATTAATCGGTAACGTCATCGCTATGATAACACTCACCAGTAAAAATCAATTTTGCCATCCCTTATTAACATTTCCAAACAACATTATTAAAATCATTATTAACCAAAATTATCCATCAATGTTTTAACACACTCAAGTTACATTTTTTAATAATATTAACATCGTTATTAAAATATCTTATTACCCTACTAAACGGCCACGAGACAATTATTAATAATATTATTGAAAATATTAACTAGTACAACGACATCACCAGGACATATTAACTTTTTTCCATCTCTTATCAACATTTCTATTTACGCTATTAACATAAAAACAATATCAATGAGAAGCAATGCCAACGAGAACAATCAACCTTTCAACAATATATACAACCTAAATAACATAAAAAAAGCTTTCACACCAAACTCAAATGGAACTGCACGTTCCATGTTTGCGCGAATGGTCAACCAAAAGACGTCGTTCTTGGCGCAACCAGAATAAAGGATTCGTCGGGAAACTGGATGGCAGTGGACCACAAAAGTAGTTGGGGTGCCGGAGGAATTGACAGCAGTTGTGGCGGAGAGGATGGACTACAAACGGGGGAGTCACGGCCGGACTACGAAAGAGGGAGTCGTGGCCGGACGATGGAGCGGTTCCGTTGAAGATCGGCCAGGAGGATGACGGTGGTGGGAAGTTTTAGGGTTGGGAGGAGAATTGTTTTTTTTTCTCGAAAATAATTTTCGCCATTTTCATTTTAATTAATAATATCATTAAATATTTTGTATATTTCTCTCTTACCCTTTAACATATTAGGTAGGTAGTTACCTAATGATTACTAATCATTTTCTCTCTCCTTCTCCTATTGGTTGAAAGGGGTTTAAGATCTTCCATAAAAAAGAGGTCTTAAGGACCTGATCTAACCCGGACTTCTCAAGGATTTATGTTCGAAGGAACCATCGAGTGGATGGTTTTGATAACCATGTTAGTTAGCTTAGGATACATATTCTATAAAATCCATACAAAAGTAAACATGTTATATGACCATAAAAACTATCAATAATCTTAATGTTGGTATCATATTCTTTTTGGAAGACGAAGAATAGACAATTTTACATAATCGAGTATTACCACTGCAACCTATAAATATTGATAAAAAAAAAGTTGACTTGCTTGTTAGGAACGAACAATGAAAATATCTCATGATTAGAAGTTGTCGCCCCTAGATGTGTTATATATTCAACACAAGCAATTCTTTCAACACCAACACAAACTACACAGGTCACGACTATATCAACGTTGAAAACAGATCACTACTTATCAACGCTTGCATGTAATATGGGTTCATATGCTCCACCACTCGGACAAAGTCGAGGAATGTTGGGGAAGGTTTACATCAGACATTAAGTTATTGGACTTAGCTACAACTTGCTAAGTACACCAACTAGGTTCATCACTAATGCAATATAGTTGCTTCGAAACACAAAGTTAAAAGATCAAAACCAAAACTCTTTTGAATAAGTTAGGCCTCACCTTCTTTTGACTTTTTGTAGCAAGTAGCAAAACAAGCAACTTCCCTGCGTAATTACCAAATCCACCTTCGTTGCAAGTTGATCACCAATCATCATATAACAATAGTAGTCCTCCAAAGTCACCCCAACCGCCCACCACCTAACTTCGCCAAACTTAAAACTCAAAAGTCTATCAAACAAAAGACTTGGTTTAATCAACAAGTAAGTAGTCCAGATTAATCGCGGAGAGAAGAGGAATTGTACACTACGCAGTAGGTAGAGAACACATGATGAAGAAGTCATATGTAGAAAAAATCGAGTATATTATTTATATGTGCCAGCAAACCCTTCCACCATCTCACAATTAATTACAAAAACCAATTTAATTAACCAGGCAAATCGGATTAAACAACTAATCCTTCATTATAAACGCAGCCAGCCAGCCAGCCAATAAACGAAGCCACATGTGAAGGTCACCCATTCTCATTTGGTATCCTCCGCCACCGCGGCGGCGGCAGGGGTAACAGGGTAGCCAATCCCATGCCGCCGCGTGGGGAAAACGACGAACAACAAGCTACACATCACCCCGATCCCAACCGGAACAGTACCCAGAACCGCCTTCACCTCATTCCCCGGAACCGGGTAGAAACAGCTGACCACGTTCCTGTCCCGCATCGCCACCGATACGAAAACCAAACCGGACAGAACCGCGTGGACCCAGTCCACGAACCGGATCCTGTACCGACCCAGCGCCTCCTCGGTCAGACCGCAGCCCGCCGGGTCGGGGCAGTCGAAGAGGAACATCCCCTTCCACGTGGCGAAACCGTAGTACACCTTCTTCTTCTTCTTCTCCTCCCCTGCAGCCTCCTCGACGGCGACGGAGTCGGTGAAGGAGGCGAGGAGGCAGGAGGCGGCGAGGAGGGCGAGGAGGAGGAGGGTCAGGGGACGCGTGGCGGCGTCGCAGGAGCCGCCGTTGGTGAAGATCGGAGTCAGGAGCTGGAATGCTAGGAGGGTTCCTGTGGGGAGGAGGTTGGCCAGGTTGGCGGTTGTGGTTAGGGTCTGGGAGATGGCTCTTTGGGAAAGGCTTTGCTGCGGTGCCGGCGGCGGCGGTGGGACGACGGCGGTGGCGGGTTGCTGCCGTTGCTTGGCGGAGGAAGTGGGTCTTGGTCTTAACGTTGATGACATTTTTTTTCTTCCTGATGCGTTTGGTGATGGGGAATGGGAAATTCAGGGGATGGTGATGTTATGTATATATACGTGAAGAAAGCTTTGGGGGAAATTATTGCGTGTGGGGAATATAGATATAATAGTTTTGATGGAACAGCAAAGCATGTGGGAATTACACAGAAATAATGGCCACTTGTGTTGATATAATTGTGACGAGTAGCAAAATATTTGAGAATAATTTTAGAGGAAAGTTATTATTTGGATTTTGCATTAGTATAAGTATGAATAAAAGTCGAACAAGATAAATATGATGCCGCGCGGCTGAATTATATGAACGGTAGGGTGGCATTTCGGTTATTCCGGTTATAACCGATAATCGATCGGCCAGTTATCGGTCAACCGAAATAACCACTCCCCCCTATCGAAAATCGTCCGAAATAGGCTTTGGTTTTTCGGTTATCAGTTAACCGACAAACTTTTAAGACCAAAAACCATTTCGTCTAGCCTCCGATAACCGACCGAAGTTCGGTTACCGGTTAGTGAATAACCGACTGGTTATCAGTTTAACCGGCCAGTTAACCAGTACCGGTAACCGAACTGCCACCCCTAATCAACGGATTAAAAGGCTAGTTATTGATGTGACAGTTCCTCCTTGCTTTGTTGTTGTAAGGGGGTAGTACTACTATGGTAAGGTGCATGTATGTTACTTGTCTTGTAAGGTGTAACATGTATGGGATGGGAAGTCTTTTGTTGATACGTTCAAGTTATGTCTCCATGGGATTGGGCCAACTATTTCAATATTATGATGAGACCACACAATCATTGTTGTATCTATTCGTTTGAAATTATACAATATATCTTGTGTTAATATTGGAAATCGTGGAGATTTGAACACTTGGCAAAATCAGTATAATGAAGGATGGTATTCGGTTGCTTTCTTCGAATCTCAGATTGGTCTTTGATGACTTTCATTCCACACGAGATGAGACGACACAATCATAAATCATCATACTCACGAACTTGAAGTTTACAAATGTGCACTATACCTTTTTGTTAATATTGGAGGGTCTTGGAGAGATTCGAATGCATAACCACTTGATCAAACCAACGTAACGATAACCCGTCTTTCTCATGCTTGTGTCGAATCTTGATTGATCCGAGATATTTGTAATTTATATCACTTTTTTTTGCAGTTTATCTCGATGGTAACGATCTTATGAAATTTGTAATGCATTGTCGTGTTTTTATCAGTAGATTCAATGAAATAAGATATCGATATTGGAAATGACAACTAAAAACACGAAGAATATACGAGATGAACTTGAGAGTTTGAGAATACCTTTTTGTCTTACATGGTATAAATACTTTTACTACGGTTAGAGATTTACATCGTGAAAAGTAAAGTTATATTAAATTTCCCGCGTAAATCAAACAGATCACGTGAATTTCAATGATAAACGTGCTCCGAAATTGAATTCAAAATTATGAGTTTATTTAGAAATATTTGAATGTGATCATTTTATTTTACATGACATAAATTTTTTCTTTGATTTAGTTTCAAACAAATTGTAGATCTATCAACCCGTAGAATTTGACTCAAGAGTTGGAATAAATAATTTCTTGATGAAACATAGAAAAATTGCAAAAAAATAAAAAGGCCAGATGGAAAATTCATTCCTCATCAGGAATGGAAGAAACTGCTCGAGATAAAAAAAAAAAAATCCACAGAAATCGGCTTGGAAACACCGCCGTTTCGATACGACCTATGGCGTTTTGCGACGGAGGCCTTGTCGTTTAGGCCGACGTGGATCTGATGCAGCAAGAACCCCGTGGGGCCGTGGGGGAAAGAAAAGTAAGGCCCGAGACGAGCGTATGAGATTCGTTAAAATACACAGATAGAAACAAAACGAAAAAAAGAAAAGAAAAGAAAAAGAGAAAAGGGATAGGAAAGGGGGAAAATAGAATACCGGACGAGAGAGATCGGAGAGAACGACTGTCACCGCCGCGTCGCGGCAGAATTGAGAAGAGATTGCGCAGACAGGGACTGCGGGACGCTTGTTCAGACGCCTTCATCGCCCGCCGTTGCTTTTTCCGGTCGCCTTCGTTTTCGTCCGCCGGCGCTCAATCGTCGTTTAGGGGGAAATCGAGAGGAGGAGAGTCGGGGAGAGGCATTTCCGCCACTGGTTCTTCGTCGTTGCCGCCACCGAATTCATCGTCTCCACACCGTTTCTTTCGCTAATCGACGAACAGCTGCGACTCCAAGAGAGTGAGAGAGAGAGAGTCCTAAAGAAACTGTAACGCTGTTGAAGCTCCCGAAAGCAGCTGAATCTTTCCATCACGTCTGTTTCCTATCAGCTCTAGGTATAATTCTGTACTTCTTCCTTTCCCCTGAAGATTGCTGCTTAGAACAGGGCCTATCTTGAATCTTATGGTTTTTACTTTTTGCTGGATTGGATAAAAAGATTTTGATTCCGTTTTGAGTGAGGTAACTGTGATAAGTTGGAGTGAGGGACCGAAGCAACGAATGTCTCTAACAGTTACGCTAGGATTTGTGTTCAGCTGAGAAGCAGGTGCGGGTTATTATTGGCTTGATTGGTGCAACTGTGAATGAGCTGCTGGTTGTTTATCATTGCTAAACCTGATTGTGGTTGTTTGATGTGCCGTTGTGCTTACACTGGAGCTAATCTCGGGGGAATATCTTCTCCTTGTTATGCTTTGTTGATGGAACTTGGACGTGGAAGCTAGTAGAATCCACTAGTTCGAATGTTATATTGTTACTGCTGGTTATTACATTAGTTTCCTCTTCTTTCAATTGTTATTTCCTATGTTTGGACAGGAACATGGATGGATCTACTCATCGAGGCAGTAGTAATGTGGATATGTTCTTATCCAATTACAAGCTTGGTAAAACTCTTGGAATCGGTTCCTTTGGTAAGGTGAAAATTGCTGAGCATGCATTGACTGGGCACAAAGTTGCCATCAAGATACTTAATCGCCGCAAGATTAAAAATATGGAGATGGAAGAGAAAGGTATGGTTTTGCATGGAACTTTCTGGAAATGAATAACCTGTGGCGAAATTGTTGTATCTAATGGATATGTAGAAATTTTGTTTCGTCAAGTGGTTACTTTTTGTTTATCAACTTACTTCCTCTGCACTTGGGTTCTGTATTTTGCATCATGACTTACACCTTTCCATGATGTTTGTGAAAGAATCTTAAGGAGGACTTGGTCAGTTAAGCTTTCAATATGTTTATCACACTGTTTCGTTTAGCATTCTGTAGCTGTTTGTCTGCTGTTCCGTTTGGCGTGAGAATTTTCCCCATATTATGCCTTCTCCTGTTCTATATTTTTTGTGTATGGATTGGGCCTTACATGTTTATGTTTCATTTCTTTCCAGTGAGAAGAGAAATCAAAATCTTGAGATTATTTATGCATCCCCATATCATTCGTCTATATGAGGTTATTGAAACACCGACTGATATATATGTTGTTATGGAGTATGTTAAATCTGGGGAACTGTTTGATTATATTGTGGAGAAAGGAAGGTTACAGGAAGATGAGGCGCGCAACTTTTTCCAGCAGGTAGAATTCCCTGTAGTATGTAATTGATTCCTTCATAGCACGTTCACTTTTCATCATAAGCTTACTGATTTTGTATTGAATGCAGATAATTTCTGGTGTGGAATACTGCCACAGGAATATGGTTGTTCACAGAGACCTTAAGCCTGAGAATTTGCTGCTGGATTCTAAATGCAATGTCAAGATTGCTGATTTTGGGCTGAGCAATATAATGAGAGATGGCCACTTTCTGAAGACAAGCTGTGGAAGCCCAAACTATGCAGCCCCAGAGGTAAACTTGCAATAACTTTAGACTCTAGCTTATAGTTTCATGTGCTCTTTGTAATTTAGACCTACTCCTGAATGCTTTGCCTTCCTGCAAGTAGAAATTAATTGCACTTTTCTCATGTGGGGATTCGATTTTGAAGATCTTTCCTCTTTTGCTTTTATAGGTCATCTCTGGGAAATTGTATGCTGGCCCTGAAGTGGACGTGTGGAGTTGTGGTGTTATATTGTATGCTCTTCTTTGTGGTACTCTTCCATTTGATGATGAAAACATTCCCAATCTTTTTAAGAAAATAAAGGTATGAGAAATTGAATTATGCTCACTGCTTAACATGATAACTTTCTAGGCGGTACTTCTCTCAAAAAGTCCTTCTGATTGTTGGCATAGAAGCAAGCCTTATTTCTGATAATGATAAATGTGTCAATGTTATTCTTTTGAATATGTAGGATTTCTGGACTTCTTACAGTTTCTCCATTTGTATGGAAGTGATTTGCTTTGTTTGTTGGACGAAAGAATATAAACAAGCCCCAGGCATAGATTCGTACCCTTCTGTTATACTCTGTTACTAAACCTTTTTTCCTGAACTAGCGGTGATCTTCTGACGTAAGCAAATTATTCTGTTTTTTAAATGGAAGAAAACACTGTATGTCATAGTTTCAACGTTTTTGGCAACGCAAGGTCATTTTTGGTTCTTAGTATCTGTCCAATTTTTAAATATAATAGGAAACTTCAACGCTGACGTCGGACCTGAATTGCCATAACTTCCCAGCTTATAGTGTGGTTGACTCTAGTGCTATCTTGGGTCACAATGTCGACTTTAATGTGGGATTACAGGGTTACCCAGTTCACTTATGGGTGCTGTAACCATGATAAGTCTATCTTTTGCTTTCATACACATTATGGTTCCTTCTCTTTATGCATTATGTTTGTGATGATCAATTTAATAGAGCAGGCAGGTTTATGAGTCTCGTTTGTGCACAAATGGATTCAGTTGAGTTTTTGTTTTTAGGGAGGGATCTACACTCTTCCTAGTCATTTATCACCTGGCGCAAGAGATCTTATCCCTAGGATGCTAGTGGTTGATCCGATGAAGCGAATGACTATTCCTGAAATTCGTCAGCACCCGTGGTTCCAAGCTCGTCTCCCACGTTATTTGGCTGTCCCTCCACCAGATACCATGCAACAAGCTAAAAAGGTTATTGTCTAAAAGAGCATGAAATTGTTTGCGTAGGTTTCTTGTTCTTTTTATGAATTTTTCCCACAAAGGAAATTGATCTATCCAGAAAATAAGCACCACATTTTCAAATTTTGACATGTTAGCATCTATTACTATTAGTATGTGAGTGTCCATGTGCTAGTACAATGAGGCACTTACATATTAAGCACACAGACTAACATTGGATCCCTTGCAAAATGGGTCTGCTTATATATAGACCGTAATGTTTTTTCAGAATTAAGTGTTCTTCTCTGTTCAGATAAGTTTCATATTCAAACAATGTAAAAAGTGATAGTTTGCGGGTTGGTACAACTGTCTAATTCTGTTGACAGCTTACATATCTGTTGTGCTGGCTATATGAGTTTTTTTGTTGCATCATAGTTCAGTTGCCAAACCTTTGTTATTAACTATCCAGGCCATTTGAATGCCATTTTTCTCACTGCAGATTGATGAGGAGATCCTACAGGAAGTAATTAAAATGGGATTTGACAGAAACCAACTAGTTGAATCTCTTCGCAGCAGAATACAAAATGAGGTATCAGTTCTTTTTCCTGTTAATATCTTCATGATTTAGTTTCCATGGACGTGATTGCTTAACAATGCATTTTCAGGGTACTGTGGCGTACTATTTGCTATTGGATAACAGGTTCCGAGTTTCTAATGGATATCTTGGAGCAGAGTTTCAAGAGACCATGGTATGGTTCCTTTTACCAAGTTCATCAGAAAGATTTTGTTCTGTTTCTTTGGGGGGCAGGGGGGTCAGTTAGTGAGGTTGTAGTTTTTAATTACTTGTTTTGATTATGCGGTGACTTGTTGGTCGATCCCTTTTGGGTTTTCGGAAGCATTATTATGAATTTCCATCTCTATGGATTTACTTTAATAAGAACTTTAGATGCATGTTTGATGCTTTATCAGAATAGCTATGGTTTTGTATCTGCAATCTTATTATCTAGGTAAATCTTCTGCTTTTCATACGTAAGTTTTGTTAAGTGATGATTTATTTTCTTTCAGGAAATGGGTTACAACCGTATGCATCCTAATGAACCTGTTTCTCCATCTGTTGGGCATCGCCCTGCTGGGTATATGGACTATCAAGGGATGGGCTTGAGGTCGCAATATCCTGTTGACAGGAAATGGGCACTTGGACTTCAGGTAAACCAGCAGTCCTGACTCCTGTCGACATATTTCCTATGCACTCGGGTGCTTGATAACTATTGTGTCCCCTCTTCTCGTTTTTTTTTTTTTTTTCACATCCCATTTGTACGCGCTGACATATGGCTTCCCGAAGTCCCATGTTTGATCTTAATACACTAAATTAACTATGTAGTTTGGGGTTTTGACAGTCTCGAGCCCATCCACGTGAAATAATGACGGAAGTTCTCAAAGCTTTGCAAGAACTGAACGTCGGCTGGAAGAAGATTGGTCACTACAACATGAAGTGCCGGTGGATCCCTGGTAGCCCCGGACACCATGAAGGCATGCTAAATGATTCTGGGCCCAACAATCACTTCTTTGGGGATGAATCTTCCATCATCGAGAACGACGGAGCTACCAAAGCACCAAACGTTGTGAAATTCGAAGTCCAGGTAACCATTATCCATCAAGTCTCCCTTCACTTCTCAAAACCCTCAACTTCATTATTTCAAACCCTGTTAAACAAACAATGTGGTTGATCATGGTGCTCTTTGCAGCTATACAAAACACGGGAGGAAAAATACCTGCTGGATCTGCAGAGAGTACAGGGACCGCAGTTCCTGTTCTTGGACCTCTGTGCTGCTTTCCTCGCGCAGCTCCGCGTGCTTTAGCTTGCTTCGAGAAACAAAAATGAAAGAAGGCGGGTTTCTTTTCTTCCGACGACCTGCCAACCAAAGGGGATGGATGTCTGTGTTTTGCATCGGCCGTGATCAAGACTTGTCCGCCGAGTGAAATGTGTATTGTACATAGCTCCTCACTTGGGTTTCCAGTCGTACCTATGTTTCTTCTGCTTTTTAAGCTTCTTTTCCATCATCCTCTTTGGTATTTTTTTCCTCCATATGGGTAACTTTCTGAGTAGTGAAGCCAACAGATAACGTCAACTCTCGTAGTTGGCCAAGAAGAACTAGGCACTCTGTCCTGATTCCTTTTTATAACAGACAGACTGTAGCATTTGATCTCTCCATGCTAACTCATTTGGGGAATCTTGTTTCAATTATCATAATTACTGTGTCTTGATGGACGAAAAGGTGAGACGTTATCGTTGTATGTCGTATGCTTCGTGCTAAAATACTAGTCTACCCGTTCATCCCGAAATCCAAAACAGGGTTTGTCCTTGACATTCAATTGCAGTTGTGTTCTTAAGAAACTTTGGTGAATGACAAGAAAATAGTACAAAATGACATATTAATGAGCGCATATATTGAAGAAATGATGGACCAGAAATGATGGACCAAATTTCGATCGGATCAAATCGAACTAAATGCAATAATTTTGGTCTTCATCAATGTAAGATAACTTCTCTAGCATGGGAATGTTCGGATACGGCACAAGCTAATGCCATCCCCGGGTTAACCTTAAGTCCATATGTCAGCTCTTGCTACAGTTGCTCGTATTCCGAGCTTCCGCTGCTGCCAAATCTTCTTTTCCCCTCGTCGAAGAATCGACTCTGCTATCGTCGTCGCTTTGCCGCAGTTGCTCAAGTGGTCGTTCGGAGCTGAATTTCGTCGTAGCTCACAAGTCATGAGTTCTTCTTCTTCTTCTTTCTCTTCTAATGCTCGCTCCGGCAGAGGAGGGTATACTTTCTCCTAACTTTCCCCTGACTTTCCGCTTTCTTTCTCCTTTGGTTTGATGGTTTTTTTGCAACAATTGCAGCGGAAGAGGTACGGGGATGAGAAGTGACAGGGAGAGATCGGGAGGACGCGGTCGTGGCGGTGGGAGAGGAGGTGGTTCCGAGAGTGACAAAATTGATGCTCTTGGAAGACTAATGTAAGAAGTTCATCATTTTCCCTCACTGCTCCTGGACTTGCTATGCATATGTGCAGTGTTTCTTTAAGAAAAGCTTGGTCTCGTTCCTCCTTTGGCAGGCTGTGTTTAATCTGGGTTGGTTTTCTACTGAAATTCTAGGAATGAATGGTTATGCAGTGGTGATTTCTGTTGATGTTGTGGCTAATGCTAGGAAACTTGATATTCTGTTGCATCTCTGATTTGTGAAGTTAATTTGATTTTCACTTGCATTCTGGTTTGTAAAAGTGATGGAGATGTTGGAGGTAATATGTTCATGAACATTGGTCTATTTCCAGGACACGCATTCTGCGTCATATGGCTTCTGAGTTGAGCTTGAATATGCGGAGTGATGGGTTCGTGAAAGTGGAGGATTTGCTTCAGCTGAACATGAAAACTTTTGCCAACGTTCCATTGAGATCACACACAGTTGATGATATCAGGGAGGTTCGTTCCTGAACTACTTTTTCAGGAGTTCTTAGAAATTAGAATTCCAGGTCATGAAGTAAAGGAAGCGCTTTTTTCTCTTTGGTTATTCAGTAATCAAATGATGTGAAACTGCAGGCAGTCAGAAGGGATAACAAGCAACGATTCGGCCTCGTGGAGGAAAATGGAGAGCTCTTGATTCGTGCAAACCAAGGCCACACAGTGAAGGTGATCTCTTAATTTGAAACCATCAAAATGTCTTATTATGTGTCAAAAGAGGGTTATCCGAATTGTAACATAATTGTGATGTACTGGAAATGCTTGATTCTTCTCTGTCATTTCTGGAAGTGCTTAAACTGTATTCAGTTAACACATGGCAAGGATGGTTTGCCTTGGGTTGCTGTAGCAACTCTTTAGAGAAAACAGGGCTGTTGGGATTCTGGCAAAGTAGTGAAAATTAGTGTTTTGATGGTAGGATGGAAGAAGTATGGCCGAATCAGTTGATGATAAGATCCGGAAACTTTGAAATTCTTAATGAAAACTGATGTTTGTGTATTTATTTCTTCTATTTACATCAATTTACAGTATTGCAGTGTTTTTTTTTTCTTTTTCCACTGTGTCAGTACTCATGGATTGCGAAGTATCCATTTGCATCTCTACTTGACCTCAAATAGGATTTGTTATGATGGTGCAGGTAGTTGAATCAGAAAGTTTGTTACGACCCATCCTTTCAGCCGATGAAGTAGCAGGTAAAGTTAATGATTTGGCAATGTGATGCTTGTTAATTCCAGCTCCTTTCAAATACGTTACCCATAGTCCTTTTCATATACGGTTTGGAGTGACTGGTTCTTGTCTATAATGGCAGTCTGTGTGCATGGAACGTATAGAAAGAACCTAGATTCTATACTGCAGTCTGGTTTAAAGCGCATGGAGAGATTGCATGTTCACTTCTCTTGTGGCTTGCCAACAGATGGTGAAGTAATTAGTGGTATGGCTGATACTACTTTCTGTTCATTGCTACTTAACAGAACTCCGATTTAATTGCTGGAGCTAATAGCATTAGCTTCATCCTTGGTTTTCCAGGGATGAGAAGGAACGTAAATGTGCTCATCTTCCTGAATGTAAAAAAGGCTCTGGAAGGTAAGGACTTGGGTGAGGGGATTTTTATCTTCCTTGTTCTTACAAAGTTACAATGGTGGTTAAAGCTGATATCTGCAGTTGTTATTGTGGTTCAGAGGGAATGAAGCTGTATATATCAGAGAATAAGGTGATCTTGACTGAAGGTTTCGATGGTGTTGTCCCGGTGAAGTACTTCGAGAAAATTGAATCATGGCCAGCTCGACAATCTATCCCCATTCCAAACCTGAGCCAAATCTAACTGATCTGAGAAGGGTATGATGCCCCCTTTGCAACAAATGAACCACCCCTGCCCTGAACTTTCTGTAACCCAGGAAGAACTAGACACTTTGTCCTGCTGGTTCCTTTTATAGCATACTGACTGTAGCATTTGATCTCTCCATTGCTAACTCATAGGGCAACTTTGTTTTATACTCATTAATGTGTCTTGATGAATGAATTAACCAGACGTTATCGTCATATCTCATATGTTTCGTTAACGAAACTACTAGTCTACGGTTCATCCCGAAATCCAAACCAGGATGTGCTCTTCAACATATGGCATGACAGTCCGATTGCAGGTTTGTTCTTTTGGAATTGTGGTGAATGATAGAGAAAATAATATTAGACGACACATTATTGACTACTGAGTGCATATTAATTGTACTTGTTACATGTGTGGTTTTTTTGTTCAACATATTCCGGATCGAAACAAAAGATACGAAAATAGTCCGAGTACTTCAGTATTTCTTACATCCACCGTAACTCAATCAATGCTAGAATTTCTTATCTGATTAGAGATCAGTAGCCTCGCAATTTACTAATTTAGGATACACGGCACAAACGATTCCACAACAGAATGGAGACCCACATAGACAATCGAAACAGGCTCTGGACCACAAAGAAACAAAAGAAGGCTCTCCTCGACAAAAATTTCGGCCCACTTTCTGGGCCCACCATCATTGGACTCGTCCAGGTCCAACTCTCCACTACCATTAATTTTTTTTTTTTGTTTTTTCAATTTCTGTCGACTCCTGCTTGCTGCTGCAGTGCTGCTTCCTTTTCTGCTCCTGCCACCTAACCAGACGCCTCTCTGTGATTCTGAAGGCCAAGTCTCTGCGTAGCATGATCCTCCCCTTTCAAAAATACATTCAAGCAATCACAGCTCCTTGATTACCTACTGGCAACCCCAACAATGTCGATGTCTCTCCCTCTCACTAGATTCACCCTACTTCACCACGGAAGTTCCTACTCCAGCTCCAGCATTTCACTTCCCAAACCCACGAGCTTCCGCATTCCTCCATCTCCAAGGTCTCTTGTAACCGGGAAGTTTGATTACAGGGTGAGAGCAGTTCATGGGGAATCCGGAGAGCATCTGATTGCTGCTGCTGATCCATCGAAGAAACCCAGATGGGAAAATGTGCTGGCCACTGCTGCAAGCTTGTACCCTCTGTATGTCACCACTGGAGGGGTTGTGGCGTGTGTGAAACCATCCGCTTTCACTTGGTTCGTCGGCATGGCCCCCAATTCTTACAGCTTGTCTCTTGCGCTCATCATGTTATCCATGGGCATTACTCTGGAAGTTAAGGACCTGTTGCGCTTGTTTATGCAGAGACCTCTCTCCGTAAGTTTTCTTGTTCGCCATTTTGTTCTTGAAATGCACAGTGGCAATTCTGAGCTGCTATGATTTGCTGAGAATCAGTTAGTTCACTACATGGGATTTTTACCTGCTTTGAGTTTCCTGCTTGAGTGGAGTTTGTGAACCTGTGTTTTCCTTCAGATCCTATTTGGATGCGCTGCTCAGTATACAATCATGCCAGCTTTTGCATTATTTGTCAGCAAATGCTTGGGACTTTCCCCTTCTCTATCAGTAGGATTGATATTGCTTGGATGTTGCCCTGGGGGAACTGCTTCCAATGTGGTGATTTCTTCCTTCCCTACCTTATATCCTTCTGTCAATTTAAGAGCTTCTTGATAAATTCTCTCAGTCTCATGGAATTTACATTCACTTGATTCTGCTCTCAGTTCATCATTCGACCATTGTAAAGGTTATTGTATATCATTTTTATTATGCTTATGGGTAGCCATAATACCCATATATCAAGCTATCTATTTGAGATGTGCATTGGGTAGAAACTTCTGGCGATAACAGTACATGCATTAGGATGCTGCAGTATGTGATGTATATCAATTCTATCCTTTTTCTTCTTCTGAATTAGTGTTACAGGTGACCTTAATCGCACAAGGGGATGTTGCACTATCTGTTGTAATGACCGTATGCACTACTCTTGGTGCAGTGCTACTCACTCCACTCTTGACCAAGGTTCTGGTAGGAGCTGTTGTCCCTGTGGACGCTGTTAAACTATCTATCAGCACTTTGCAGGTAGCTTCCATTATCGACCTTAATTCGGGTACGATTGTGTACAAAAAAGCATGAATCTTTTTACTGATTAGACATTATGCTTCTTTGCGCAGGTGGTTGTTGCTCCAATTGTGCTAGGTTCATACCTACAGAGTGCATTTCCTGCAGTGGTGAAAATTCTGACTCCTTGTGCACCGCTATTTGCAGTCTTAACATCATCACTACTTGCATGCAGGTTTTACCCTTTTGAACTCTGACCTAGTTTCTCTTATGTTTTGTTTTATCTCAGAGTTATTTTGTGCATTCTGATTGTCTTTGATATTACCTCTTTTTTTGTGGGGGTATCCTGTCTTTTCTTTTTGTCTAGTGTGTTCTCTGAAAATCTTGCTCGCCTTAAATCCTCAATGATTGGAGTTTCATTGCCATCCGATGCATCCTTCATTGTCCGCTGCCAATCAGCACTTTCTGGAGATCTGGCTACCATTGTGCTCTCAGTGTTCTTATTGCATTTAGCTGGGTTTTTTGTGGGGTAAGTGGTGTTCCATGCTGTTACTTGTAAAGTAGTAATGAAATCAAATTCTTCATCTTTTTCATGACATTTCTAGACATTGTACGTGTTAAGTACTCAACATACCTGTTCATATCTTTCTGAAATTAGCCTGACACAATGACAATACCTGTAATTCTTGTGGTGTTGGGGGATACTTTGCATATCCACTGTTTTCTGTGGGGATAATAACGAAGACGAAAGCTTCCCAACTAAAGCTTGTCAAGTGAAAACAGACGTGAATGTTCTGTTTATTTTCTGCAGGTATTTATCTGCGGCCATTGGAGGGTTTAAAGAACAACAAAGGCGGGCAATAGCTATCGAGGTAAGCTAAGACACTCACATCCAGGGCATGTTTGGATGGATCGAAAAACAACTCCTGTAATAATTTCTACATCAGGAAATATGATATTACATATCAACAATTATGACCATGATGATTGAGAGAATCGAGGAAGTTTGATTCCAGGATGAATGTTAAGCCAATGCACTCTATGTGCTGTATAACTTGTCATTCCAATTCTGAAACTTAGCCGTTGATTTGCCTGCAGGTCGGAATGCAAAATTCGTCCCTGGGAGTGGTCCTAGCCACAGCTCACTTCACTTCATCAATGGTGGCATTACCACCGGCAGTGTCCGCCGTGGTCATGAACATCATGGGTAGTAGCCTTGGCTTCATCTGGAGACACATGGACCCTTCTTCTGGTGCTGGGAATCAACTCACAGAAGGGCAGGTACCAAAATGATGAAGGTGACAGAAATTTCAGGAACCAAATATGAAGATAAATGTCAGATCAATCATAAGGGTGACGATTCTTATTTTGGTTTCAGAAGTGTGTATCTGAATTCGGATGCAACTCAATGTGGGGCATGTTGTTGTCCTTCCCAGTTTAAGAAACGCTTTGGACCTACACCTACTGATTTGTATTCTTCGCTGTGGTTTCATTTCATTGATGGAGTCTTGTTGATAATCATATAATCAATATCGTAAATATGCATTAGGGTGCATGCTAAGTCAGCGCCAAGGAAGTGCTTCGTCGATGATGTCTTTGTTGTCATCTCCTTGGGTGAATGAACCAACACTGCTGGTCTAACATTGGCATGAGGCATCAGCTTTAGCAGCTTGACCAGACAAAACGACGACGAAAAAGGCGGTTGCACCGCAGCACTGCGGACCTTGTGCTCCACGTTACCGAAGTGGAGGCTCCATTGAAGTGGAGAGAGAGCTAGAGGAGCAAATATTCTGAGCCTAGCCACTAAATGGAAACCTGCAGTGCATGCCCACAACGCTACTAGATAAGTGAAAGCCAGCTAACCTAACCGCACTTCGCTTTGCTTAGTTAATTAATCTCTTGTTTTTAATGTGATAATTGTATATGTTTTAGTACAGTACTTAGCTTCTTCCATTCCTTCTTATTGACACTTTGATTATTACCTGATAACCTTGATGCTGACAGTTAATCATGGAGATTACCATATATTACCTGATAACCTTGATGCTGACAGTTAATCATGGAGATTACCATATACTTATACCACACTAACTATAATAAAGCTTCTTTCTTTATGTAACTAGCTAGCAAGTGGTCACTAAAGCAGCGTAGGGTGACACTTTCTTTCGGCCATTAACCAAGAGTTATGAAGGTGACACAAACCCATTGATCATCTGCATATTCCCCCTCTCAAACAGTCTGGTTCTGTACTCATGGAGCAGACCACTGCAGCAGAGCAAGTCATTCTCACCGTGGATGTCGACCACCATGGCTATCAGCACCATGATCCAGCTGCCTCGCCGAGACTTCCCAACAACGTCAAAACCTTCCACCGTCTCAACTTCTCCAAACCCAGATCCCGCTTCTCCGAACCAATCTCCACTGCTGCTAACAGCAACTACACTCCTCACCCTTGCTCCTCCGACAACGAAGAATCCGACGAAGATCTCGATCTCCACGACGACAGCATACGAAGATGCTCAAGGAAGTTGAAGTTCATGGAATTCAAGGCTACCAAGAGAGCATGGATGGAGTTCATCTTCTTCCTCACCCTCCTGACTGTCCTGATACACTTCCTGACCCTGAACTCACTGAAGCACAAGACCCAATTCGGGATCGAGATCTGGAAATGGTGCCTGATGGTGCTGGTCCTCTTCTCCGGGCGCTTAGTCTCCGGCTGGGTCGTCGGGTTCCTCGTCCTCCTCATCGAGCGCAACTTCATGCTCAAGGAGAAGGTCGTCTACTTCGTCTACGGTCTCCGGAGAAGCTTTCAGAACTGCGCCTGGCTGGCACTCGCCCTCCTCGCCTGGACCGTCATCATGTTCGAGGATGCCAAGGACGAGAAAAACGCTGCCATTTTGAAGAAGCTGTTTCACGGGCTGGTGGCCATCCTCATCGGCGCCACGCTCTGGCTGATCAAGATCCTTCTAGTCAAGGTACTGTGTATATAGATTGTGATTAGTCCATAGTTAATACATGAATAGGGTTATTAGGGTGAGAGTTAGCTTTCTTGCTAGACAAGCAATCTCACTTCACTTTGAAGTTAGGTCTTGGCTTCATCGTTCCACGTGACGACGTACTTCGATCGCATGAAGGAGAGCGTGTTCCTCCACTACATCCTCGACGCCCTCTCCGGTCCCCCCTTGGAGGCTGCCAGAGCAAGGGAAGAACTGCGGCCAGCAGCAGCGGCAGCAGAGCAGGTTACTGAGGTGGTGTGGAGGTGGAGGAGTTTGAGCAGCGGCGGTGGACCGAGGAGGATTGACATGGAGAGACTGAAGAAGCTGAGCATGGAGAGGAGAGCCACTGCGTTGAGCGTGAAGAGGCTGGTCAACTACATTAAGTCGTCGGGCCTTTCTACCATTTCCACGGCGGTTGATGGTTTCGGTAAGTCGTCGGAGATTCACAGCGAGGTGGATGCTAGATGCTGTGGTCGACGCATCTTCCACAACGTTGCCAAGCAAGCTGCAAAGTAAGTGTGATCACTCCTTTCTTCACGGCATTTTCTCCCATTTTTTCGTCACAAAACTAGTTCATTCCAATAACTCGAATTGTTAACTAATCATGGAAATCTCAAGCGAATGTGTATATAGGTGTATAGAAGAGGAAGATCTATTGAGGTTCTTAACATCGGAAGAGGTACACACCATATTCCCACTCTTTGAAGGAGCTCTTGAAACCGGCAAGATCACCAAATCGTCGTTCAAGAACTGGCTTGTACAAGCGTACGTCGAAAGGAAGGCACTTGCCCATTCCTTGAACGACACGAAAACCGCAGTCCACCAGCTGCACAAGCTGGCAAGTGCAATAGCAATGGTGATCATAGCAGTGATGTCGCTTCTGGTGATGGGTCTGGCCACGACCAAGGTTCTACTCGTCGTCACGTCTCAGCTCTTGCTTGTGGGGTTCATGTTCCAGAACACCTGCAAGACCATGTTTGAGTCCATCATCTTCGTCTTCGTCATGCACCCTTTCGACGTCGGGGATCGCTGCTTCATTGATGGTGTACAGATGGTTGTGGAGGAGATGAACATTCTGACGACTGTGTTCCTGAGGTATGATATGGAGAAGATATACTATCCCAACTCGGTTCTCATTTCCAAGCCCATCAGCAACTTCAGGAGAAGCCCAGATATGGGCGATGCTGTTGATTTCTCTATTGATGTCTCCACTTCGATTGATGATTTCAATGCCCTGAAGAAAGCCATACAAACGTCAGTCAACTCTCTTCTCCTTTAGCATACAGAGTGAAGCTTGGTTCCCGGTTGATATTTACTAACCACTAAAATGAAATTGACCAAAACTGCAGATACATCGAGAGCAAGCCAAAGCACTGGAACCCAAAGCACTCGGTTGTGGTGAAGGAGATTGAGAATGTGGATAAGATGAATCTAACTCTAGCAGTTCAACACACCATGAACCATCAAAACTATGGTGAAAAGAACAGCAGGAGATCAGAACTCGTCTTTGAGCTCAAAATGATTTTCGACAACCTCGGTATAAAATACCATCTCCTTCCTCAACAGGTACATCTCACACAATTGACGAATACAAGCAACAATGGAAGGTTGTCGATCTAGTGATCTCTGCAACATAGAAGCAATTTTCTCCGCAGTGACCAAAGCGTGTATGTACACGAACATGTTGTTATGCCATGGTGTTTGTGTTTAGTTCCTGCCGAATTATTCACTTCTCGGGCATATTACTACCAGATAAAACTCTTATCTATGCACTGTACAAATCATCTGCAGTAAAGTATTAATAAAACAAAAACAAATTCTGGATCTACTTCTCAGAGCAGCACAGATTTACAAAGGTGGATGGGCTTATGCCCGGCTCAAGAGATAGATTCCAAACCTCTTATCACAAATCCCACTTCACTGTTCTTCTGGAGCATGTAGGACAACCAAGAACACCAACAAGATGAAACCTGTCTTAAAGCAACATGTGCAAGAACTGCACTGCAAAGAACCAGAAAACATTCAGAGCTCAATACTGGAAATGTAAACTTAATCTACAGGAATATGGAGTATCATGCCTGCTGATGATGCTCAGAATACCAAGTGGAGTAACCAGTATAGCAGGTTCAAACACATAATCTGCGATTTGTAGCCATCTCCTCTACAATCACTGTTGAAAAGAGCAGTCCGATATTATTTCAGGGCACATAAAATCCAAAGCAGAAGACAGCTCAAGTTTCAGACTGAACTGTACAATCACTGTGCTGTTCAGTTGCTTCATATACAAGCAGGAATTGTACAAGCAGCAAATCAGATGGAAAAACTTATCCATTAACAATCTTCCAGAGCCTTCCTCGGTTTCAAAGTTCCATCCACTGGGAATTTCAGAAGGACTTCTCGAAACTCCCATTAGCTTGAGCAAATCACATGACAAGATGACATGCATGCATTCATGGGATCAAAACACAGAAAGGATCACATGACAAGGCTTATCTCGGTCCTTATGGTAAACCATGGATCTACTAGGGCACAGACTTAGTAAGAGATCCCCAACCAGTAGCTCAAGTGGAATCACGAACTCTCAATCCACTACATAATCATGAAAACCCGTCTTAAACCTAATTATGAAAACAAATAAGGTGGATCACATGACAAGGCTTATCTCGGTCCTTATGGTAAACCATGGATCTGCTAGGGCACAGACTTAGTAAGAGATCCCCAACCAGTAGCTCAAGTGGAATCACGAACTCTAAATCCACTACATAATCATGAAAACCGGTCTTAAACCTAATTATGAAAACAAATAAGGTATGACACATGCATTGGAATCCAAAACAGATCCCAATGAATTCACAGTCCATGTGCTAGTACAAAAAGATGTGAAACAGAAACATGTTCAATCGAAACCTAGTAGTTAAGTACTGAGGCACAGTTCATATCAAATCCTTCAAGTTCCCACCAGTAACAACTCAGAAGGAAATGCGCAACAGGAAGAGTTTGAAAAGAGGCAAGTGAAATATACCACCAAATAAGCCGGTATTCATGCAACAATGTCTCACCCATGAATACTGGTAGATAAAGCACTTCAGTGGTTCTTGTTTGCTGCTCTCTCTTAATGGATAAGTATGGCAAGGTTGGATCAACCACATTTCCAGCTTCTCAAGCACGGAGACATCGAACCAGCATCTCATTCATAATCGGAAACCTCGAGTTCAGAATCCTAAGAATCATTTGGTTTCTTTACTGCTCCATCCCCGTTACCACCTTTCAAATTTCCTTTCCCCCCTGATATCTTAGCAGGTAAAGACATCTTCTTCGTCATCAACAAAGTTTCACTCTGCATCAACTTCCGTCGCCTTTGACTTTCCTTATCAATATTCATAAGGTGAATGTACCTAAACCTCATACCCATCAAAGGGTGCTTCACCACCAGGAAACCCTTTGAATAAGCCTCCCTGAGCACAACCGTTTGCGTCCTAATCTTATGTGAGAGATAGAATATACCGGGATGATGAACCAAAGCATGCTTAAATCTCCTTCCAAATCCCAAATACTCCCCCAAAAGAAGCAAATTTTCACTCTCGGTTCTCTTGGACACTAACAACCACAGCAGCTCGTGTAACACTGCCACGGTCCACTTCTCAGCTTGATCTCCATTAGGGTTCAAATGAAAAGCATTTTCATACGGAGAAACGTACGGCAAGATTCTGCCATTCAAAGACCCAATCTTTCACCTTACTCACCAAATCAAACCCCGTAGGATAGCTCAACAAGAACCCAATTCGAGCTCCTTTCTTGACATTCCTCAAATCCCCTAAAGCCATTCTTCTTTCCATCTCAGACACGGCCAATTCATTCTTCCACGATACCAGCTCCAAACACAACATTTCATCACCACACTCCCCATTTCTACCTTCGCCAACAACTTGGAAGTAATCAGGGTAATCAGACAAAAGCTGCGAAACGTAATTATGAGGTAATCAGTACTCCCTCGTTTTCCCCCACGGCTGATGTTTGCTGGTGGTTTACTAAGAACGGAAATGATATTTAACGACTGTGAAGGTAAGTACGCAAGCCGTCTTAGCTCAGCCGGTAGAGCGCGTGGCTTTTAACCACGTGGTCGTGGGTTCGATTCCCACAGACGGCGTATCTATTTTCTTGTTGGGCTAATTTGGGTTTTGAGTTTTGCCGCGGTAGGTAAATACCGGGCCGGGCTTATAGAAAGCAAGGTCCCTACATCTTGGGCCTGATTGGACTTCAGCCCATACCAATTTTACATGGCAGAGACGGGCAGAGAATCTTTACAGAGTATTCCATTCCATGCATCTCTACTCTCTAGTCTCTACCTACCAACTTAACTTGCGAGACTGATAAATGACCTGGAAAACGACATCGTTTTCAATCTTTAATCAGAACCGCCACCGCCAAATTGCGCCAACCGCTGCTTTTTCTCCTCTGAACTCTCCGCCCTTTGTTGAAAAAAAAATAAAAATAAACGTCATTTCAATCCTCAATTTCTTCACGCACTCATTTTCCGAACTTCCAGACTGAACTCTCCGCCCCCTCTCCTCCGAGAAATCCCGTCGCGTCTCCGCCATGGATGGTTGTACAGCAGCTTCCGATTCTCCATACGAGCTCCTCTTCCAAGCTCTTTCGCTAATCCCTACCGCTCACTACGCGGCTCTCCTCCTAGCTCTCTGGCTCGTCTTCCTCTACGATTTCCTGGAGATTCATCTCCTCCGCGATTTGGCCACCGGATTCCGGGGAGATCCCGTCAAGCTGACGTACAATGCTTCGTCGGATCTCTACCGGGCCGTTGCTTCCAAATGCCAGGTCCTCCGCGGCAGGTTGACGATGCAGCTCCCCGATTGCTTGTGATTTTGTGATTACGCTTCAATCTGAATTGATCCTAATTTCGTTTTTGTTTTGTTGATCTTCTGCAGGTATTTACCTACTCTATGGTTGTGTAGTCCTCACATTCAAACAGCATTCCTGACTTTCTTTGGGAATCCTCCTCGTTTCACTTACAAGAGGTTGTTACCGCCTTTCTCTACTCATTCATGAATCATGATGTCTACTTTGTTGTTTATTTTACTGCGTATCTTCTGATGCTTGGCATTTCGAGTGTTGATGGTGTTCAGGGTGATGTTCTATACAAGTGATGGCGGAACAATTGCTCTGGACTGGGTACTGCACTCTGATGGTCAGTTTTCATTTGTTTCTCTGCTGTCTGAATGCGTCTTTTTCTCATGAAAACTCTGCTTGTTGGCCTTGCATGGTTGTTGTCCTGGCTTAATGAGTGAAATGCTTGTTGCAACAGTCAATGAGGATGATGGTGGTGGTTCCTACACGAGCCATGCAGTCCCGCAGAAGGATGACAAAGCTCCCATTGTGATTGTTATTCCTGGTTTAACAAGCGATTCTGTTGCTCCTGTAAGTTGTCTTTGATACCGTAATTCGGTATGGTTAATGGGATTTTGAGTTCCTCACTGTTCATTTTGTACTTTGTAACGTTGCTGTGTACCTCCTAACGTTTAAGTTGGTGTCTTGAACTGTGTGTCGTTTTGTTAACTATGATATCCTGAACATTAAGGAGGAGATGAGTGCATAGATTAGAATTCCTATTGTCTAAGGTCTGGCTTTGTGAATGTTCTGACAATAACAAAATGTATTTGGGTCTTCTTAAATCCTAATGTTAATGGGTGTGATGAGATCCTATAGGATGGAGGGGAACTTTCTGAAGAATCTTCACTTCAGATCAGATCTAGTACCGTCAGGGCACATGCGGAGGCTCTTTCCCTTCTTGAAATAGATAATTCTCCCACCAAACCTACTCATATTGTCGCTGTGTAGTCAATTTTTTTTTTCATAACTTGTTGAGAGTTACTTCCTATCTTGGTAGGAAATATTTATGATCAATCCTCTGTCTTGTTTCGGTACTTTACAAAGCTGTTGTTAATCTTCCTTCCTGAATCTCTCCATTCTTGTTTGTGATGTTTTTGTTGAATCCACAATTGAAATGTTTTCCGTATCAGTATATAAAGCACCTTGTTTTCAAGCTGGCAAAACAAGGTTGGAATGTTGTTGTAAGCAATCACCGTGGACTAGGAGGTGTTGAAATAACTGTGAGTACTAGAGCTTCTATTGTCATCTCTACTTGTAGGAATTCTTGTCCTAAACTGTTGGCTAACTTGAAATCTTAATCACAAACCAATATGGTCAGTCTGATCGCTTCTACAATGCGGGCTGGACAGAGGACTCTAGGAGAATTATCGACCACATCCATCAAGAGTATCCAGATACTCCCCTTTATGTTGTTGGAACCAGTATCGGTGCCAATATCCTGGTAAGTGGATGATGTCCCTAGTCATTTTCTATGCTTCGTTTGTATTTTCAAACCTTACTTTAGCACCACCTTTTTCATAGAACAGCAGCTCGTTTCATAACAATAAGTGTGATGGACCTTCAAAGCTCTGAAGTAGATGGTCTCTTGCAGGTAAAGTATCTAGGAGAGGAGACTGTTAATGTTCCTATAGTAGGTGCTGTAGCCGTTTGCAATCCTTGGGATCTTGCGGTTAGTTCTTTATGCCTCCATTTTGCTCTGAAATGTAAACTGTGTAGGATTCAGTAGCTTAAGCATTACCTTCCCTACATGGCTACATGGCAGCATTTTTGTTAATCTGATCCCTGGTTTTAGATAGGTGACAGGTTTATCACCCGGAGATTTGTGCAGAAGCTATATGATAAGGCATTAGCATTTGGCCTTGTAGGTTATGCCAAACTGTATGTCAGCACTGCTACCTTGTTTCTGGCTCTTTTATAAAGGATTTTTCCAGTCAACCAGAAATTAGTGAATGCAGCTTAACAAGTTAATTATTACTCTTTAACTGCAGGCATCAGACTATCTTGTCTCGTCTTATAGACTGGGATGGACTTAAAAAGGTACTTTTATTTGTTTGTCCTTAGTTCAATTCCTTTAGTTTTGCACTTATAAGATCATTTAAGATGCCTGGAATTGAAGTTTGGAAATAAGTTATAGGACCTCTGTCAAGAGAGAAATGAATGGTTAGCTGATGATCAATGCCAAGAATACAGTTTCATATTGTCATTTCCATTCTTCAGGCTGGCAACATTTGCATAGTTTCAAGTCTGTAAAACACCAGTTTCTGGTCACCGAGGTGGTGAAGAAATAAAGTGTTTCTAATATAAGTACATGATTTCTGTTTGATATGCACTTTGGCAGTCGCGTTCTGTTCGAGATTTTGATTACTACGCCACTTGCATTCTTGCTAAATTTGAGGTAAAGCTTGTCTCGAGTGATTTCGCATCCTTTATTCAGCATCCGATACCTATTCTGGCACTCACTAGAAGTATTTCACCTGAAATTGTAACAGACCGTAGACACGTACTACAGGCGTTCTAGCTCTGTTAACTTTGTGGGAAATGTAGCAGTACCTCTTCTGTGTATCAATGCCTTGGATGACCCAGTTTGTACAAGGGAATCTATTCCATGGGATGAATGCAGGCATGCTTTCTCTGCTTGTTCTCATGTTGTGATGTTGGGCAGTTGATTGTCCCAACGTAATTTTAGTATCCAACAGTAAGGGTGTCAAGTCAATCAATGGTCTATCAGAGTCTGAGATCTGAGTCTTTATAGGATGAACCCAAATATTGTCCTGGCTGCCACACAGCATGGAGGACACCTGGCATATTTTGAAGGAATATCCGCCAGTACCATGTGGTAATTCCATCTTCCCTTCCTTTATCTACCCATCCATGGATGCTAAATAAGTTATAAGTATGGTTTGCCGTGGAGTGCATTTTCTCTTGCAGAGTCAGGGCTACAGTTGCACTGCCATTATTGCATTTTCTGATTTGCTCTTGCGTTCTTGAATTTTCCAGGTGGGTGCGAGCTGTTAGCGAATTCCTCGAAGTGCTGCACTCTAGTCCGTTAAAGAACAGACCAAGAAAGGTATAATGCACCACCATTACCAAAATCCCAGATTCACAATACTAACATGTTGTTCCATCATACGGTTACACATTTTTTCTTGCATTGAAGGTGGGACCATGTAGCACAACCACTCCATTGGAGTCGAAAATCGACCAGGGGCCTTATGTCAACTTAATGGAAGATGGAACTGTAACTGCAGTCGGCGATATCCAGAGAGACAAGATTGCAGCAGCACAACCAGACCATACCGCCGAGGAGAATAGAGAGACAATCACCGAAGACGAAGAAGAAACAAGCAAAGATGCAGCGACCAGTAAAGAGGATCCTGCTGAAAGTAAACCGGAAGCTGCTGCATCTGATCAAAAGAAACTCAATGATCTGATTGCTCCAATGAAGCGACACATAACTCAGCTCACGCGGCACAGCAGGACATCCATATGGCTTCTTGCTTACATCGCCATCGTAACAACTTGGCCGGTGCTGGGTTCTGGCCTGTTTTTCTACCTCAAGAAAAAGTTGAGGAGCTTCCTGCTACCAGCTTTGCCTAGCAGATAGATGAATATAGTTCTTGGCTGTTGTAGGGTCTGTAAGGTTGAGGGGTTGCACCCCCTCCATGTAAACTGCCCAAACATTAGAATTCAAGGGCGGCAAAGAAAAGTAGGAGAAATAAGGCATAATGTTGTCATCTCATGTATTTTATACTTGTAAACTACAAAATAGCTTATGCCATTTATGTATGCATTGAAAATGCTTTGTTTATAATTTGGAGTCAAATGTCTGCAAATTCAGTAAGGGTGAATCATATATATTTTTCATTTAGCCAATAAATGAAAATAAATGTCTCCATTGTAAGAACAAGTGAAAGTGATACTTGATGGTTGTAATAAGAGGTGCCCAATTTTTCCTTGTTAATTACAAGTTCACATAAAACTTGTCAATCTAGGTCAAAAAATAGGTGATCCTTGATGGTGTCAGAAACTAGCAAGTTCATATATGAGTGACGATTTACATGAAAAGAAATGTAAATATGCAAATGCATCGACTCTTTCAAATCAGCTTATGTAATTAAATGATTCGACATGATTCTTATGTGATAGATAGTAACAATTATTATTTTTGTGGAACGGGTAAAGATCAAGTCCGCTATTAAAAAAATACAATTTCATGCTTCGGTAACCGAAGTGACTAGAGTATCCTTTGTGCCTATGAGGCACAAGATTGTGTAGGTTGTAGGAATTGAGTTATGGTGGCCAACCAATTAGATAAATGTTTGAAAAGAAAGGGATGATGAGATTGACCATCAATACGAATACAAAGAAAAACAGTTCGAGATGCATGCACATTCTATCTAATATGATAATTTTCACTAATAAGTGGCGAGACTCTGCAACAGCAACGTAAGTTCTCTTATTGCACGACATGTTCAATAGTCTTGTTGTATCCGTTGTGAGCCTATATGCTCTTAACTTTAATTGACATATAGTTGTCTTTATTAGTGTTAGAGACTCTTCTTGGGTAAACATAACATAGATGAGCTAGTTCCATGCTAGCATTATCAATTGCCGGCATAACCTTAGGGTTAGGGGTTAGTACTTTAGTTTTTTTGTTGAATGACCCCATTTATATTTTGTATTGAATGTTGTATCATCGATATTTATAGATGAATAATTATTATATGAATGCACGATGAATGAATTTAGATTATGCTTGATGATGAGTTAGATTATGAATATTTAACCGATCATAATTTGAGTCATATATATTATAATTTATATACAACCCATGGAAGTAGGGGTGGCTATACGGTCCGGTGCGGTTAAATTGGACCAAATTGATCCGGTCCCAGTCCGGTCTTTTCGGAAATAATAGAACCAAAGATTGGATTGTATACAGTTCGGTCTTGATCCGGTCCGGTCCCAATTTTATCTTGATTTTAGGTGTTGGGGATCTCTTATCCGGTCTTTATTCGGTTTTTTACCTCAAATCTAAGCCCGAATATGAGATTGCACTGTTTGCTATCCGGTCCCAGTCCGATCCCGGTCCGGGTTATACGGTCCGGTTTCGGGTAAAACCAAACAGTCCGGGACCAAATAGCCCGCCCTACATGGAAGATGGATTAAGAAGTATGACTGTACGAGAAGGACAGCCCGTCAGTAAAAGATGGGTCCCGAGTCCCGACTCCCGACTTATAGACAAAAGGCCCAATGTTTCAGTTAGAAGACTGGATCAACTAATACAAGGCCCAAAAGGGCTAAAATTATAAAACCCTAAACGCCCAAGCCAATACAATTCAACGGCTAAGATCAACTTATACAACCCCTAGATGACATCTCAACCGTCAAATCTTTTTCATAAAGCCAGTGCAAGAACCTTGATACAAAACCCTCTTCTAGGGAAGCCGTCCCAGCTGATAGCCGCAGTGCTTCTGGAGCTGGTCCTCTCGTTTCCTGGTAAACTCGCCGTCCATCGCTGCTTCAGTTCATCTCATTTCAGTTAGATCTCTTCCAGTTCTTCCATTGCTCCATAGCGTGGCGGCCTGCACGGCATGCGCTTAGCTGGGCGGCAGTAATGGCGCAACTGAGTTTGTCAAAATGCCATTGATTGAGTGAATATAATTCTTATTTATAGATAGATCGCTTTGGGTACCCTGGAATGGGTATTTGGGGAAGAATTGATATCGTTTCTTGACATGTAGATTAGGAGAATTGATTAGCCTACTGCTCTCTCGTTCCATGTTTTGTATTCTTGAGATAGATTTAACTGTTCATTTATGGATTGTCGTTGGGTTGAATGTTGCGCTAAGATCTGGTATGGTTTTGCTGTTGCAGAGGAGTTAGAAGGATGTCTCACCGTAAGTTTGAGCACCCCCGGCATGGTTCTTTGGGATTTCTTCCCAGGAAGAGGGCTGCTCGCCACAGGGGAAGAGGTTTGTGATTTCCTTTCCATTTGCTGGTCTTACGGTTTATGTATTAGATGAATATGAAGCAAAGGTTCATGATATGCTTCGTTCATTGTGCCTCGTACAGTAGCATCAATTTTTTTTATTCACTGGTGGCAGTATTACCATTAAATGTCCAGTATGGAATATCAGAAAGAATATGGTTCTAGTGTTCTACTTCATACCATGATTCGTGTGTTTTGATTTTGCAACAGACCATTTTCATATGTTATGTTCTTTGATTGATGATTACAGTGAAGGCTTTCCCCAAGGACGATCCATCAAAAGAACCCAGACTGACTGCTTTCTTGGGTTACAAGGCTGGAATGACCCATATTGTTAGAGAGGTCGAGAAGCCTGGGTCGAGTGAGTATTCTTCCGGCTTTCCGGTTTCCAGTATTATTATCATATTGATGTGTTTTTTAAATTATCTTTGGGAACCTGTTTGTTGATTGTTTTTGAATCATTTGTGGCATGCAGAGCTTCACAAGAAGGAAACCTGTGAGGCTGTCACAATTATTGAGACCCCTCCTTTGGTTGTTGTTGGAGTTGTTGGCTACATCAAGACGCCAAGCGGCCTCCGGTCTCTGAACACCGTCTGGGCCCAGCATTTGAGTGAGGATGTCAAGAGAAGGTTCTACAAGAACTGGGCCAAGTCAAAGAAGAAGGCTTTCACCAAGTACTCCAAGAAGTTCGAGTCTGATGAAGGCAAGAAGGATGTTACTTCCCAGCTGGAGAAGATGAAGAAGTATGCCACTATCATCCGTGTTCTGGCTCACACTCAGGTACAAACTTTTCTTGGTCTTTTGCTTCAGTTATATTATGCAAAGTTCCTATCTGACTTTACTGGTTATACTCGTGCTGTATATTTGGCTCTGTAGATTAGGAAGATGAAGGGGCTGAAGCAGAAGAAGGCTCATTTGATGGAGATCCAGGTCAATGGTGGGGACATTGCTAAGAAGGTTGACTTCGCCTACAGCTTCTTTGAGAAGCAGATTCCAATTGATTCGGTCTTCCAGAAGGATGAGATGATTGACATCATTGGTGTGACCAAGGGTAAGGGTTATGAAGGTGTGGTCACTCGTTGGGGTGTCACCCGTCTCCCCCGAAAGACCCATCGTGGTCTAAGGAAGGTTGCCTGTATTGGGGCGTGGCATCCTGCTAGGGTCTCATACACCGTGGCTAGGGCTGGTCAGAATGGTTACCATCACCGTACTGAAATGAACAAGAAGATCTACAAGCTTGGAAAGTCGGGCCAGGATTCGCACTCTGCCATGACTGATTATGACAGGTTAGCACTATTATACAATACTAATCAGCATTGTTAGATCTGAAATCCGTCTTCCAATTGCTAATGATGACTGTGTCTTCCTGCTGCTGATGAATAACAGGACTGAGAAGGACATCACACCCATTGGAGGGTTTCCCCACTATGGTATTGTTAAGGAGGATTACATTATGATCAAGGGTTGCTGTGTTGGTCCCAAGAAGCGTGTGGTGACATTGAGGCAGTCTCTGTTGAAGCAGACCTCCAGAACTGCTACAGAGCAGGTGAATCTGAAGTTCATCGACACTTCGTCCAAGTTTGGGCATGGAAGATTCCAGACCACCCAGGAGAAGCTCAAGCACTATGGTCGCCTCAAGGCTTAGATTGCTCAAGATGCGAGTCGCGTCTGCTCCTGATTCGTACTATTTCCTAGTTATATGTTTTGGGATGTTGGTATTGTTCCTTTTTTTAGCCTGTGTTTTAATTTGTGATGTTAGCTATAAATCTCGAGATGCTATTCTGTCTTTGAATTTTGACCCTAAGTTCGGACATCTTATTTAGCTCTGCAAGTTTTGCTCCTTTAATGTGTCACATCGTTGCTTGAGTTGTAAGTTGCCTCTTTACTCCTTATGTATCACACTCACGCATGAATCTATTACAATTCACAATAGTTTTGAGTTATAATTAGGACCATCGATTTATGACTAGAATTAAATGTATATATAATATAATATACTAAATACTCCCAAACTCTACTTAGAGCAAGAGAATTAATCTAGAATTAAATGCATATAAAAATGTCTAACTGAATCTAGATAGTTACCTATAAAATTAACTAGTTCATTCGTACCGGGAAGGGAATAGAGTCGCGAACTGGCTCTCAAAGCACAGTCTCGTCTATCCCTTTGGTATGCATGAATTAAATGACCCACTTGAGGCGGCAAGAGCAATTCTTAGAGAAGATATTATAGGAGTCAGTATACCTCGTATGGTGATTAGACAGGAGAGTTGAGAGTTTCCCCCTTCTCCCCGTTGATGTTCTGAGTCTTTGTTTGTTTTCTTGCGGTTGTTCCACAACCTCCATTCAATAAAAAAAAACCCTATAAAATTAACTGGTTTCGTAAAATATAATTCTAAATCCAAGTATTTTCATATGAAATAACATCAGATCTTAAAATTAAATTAACTGATAATCTCCTTAGTCCTTATTTGATATTTGATAGATAGTGTTGGGGCCTGACTTAGGATAGAACGAACCTTGCCCGATCCAGCCCAGCCGCCAGTTAGCTGTAAGGCCGAACTCTAGATTTAAACCCTAATTCTAATGGTATCCATCCAAGGGACGACGGAAGACGATCATGAAGCTAAATCTTAATCATGGCCGTTGAATCTCGTCCTCCACCACTTTTAAAGCAACCATAGCTCTGCTTCGTTCTCCCTTACTGTTTGGTGGCTGCGCCTCGTCTCTAGTTTTCGGGGAACATCTGCCGGCTTCTCTCCATCGACTCGGTTTTCTTTCCTCTTCTATTCAGGTAATATCGTCCGGCTCTGGGTAGTAGTGAAATCTCGAAACGTGGAAAGGCCTTGTATCTGATAGATAATCTGCTGCCCTTGGTTATATTCTTGAGAAATTTAGTTATCTTCTCGTGTTTTTATACAGCTTGAATGGTGATGAACTGGGTATTCCTTAATTTTGATTGTCCTGCCGTTTTGATTTTGATACACTGATGAATTTATAGTGCATCCTTGTTATTGTGAATATCGTGATTGTTCATCCGCTCAGTGCCTGGCTGTGATTTGAAACGAATTTCCTTCTGTTAAACTTCGATCAAGGCTGGAGTCTCGGAAATGGCTCTCTTTATCGAATACTCTTGATGGGTATTCGGGAAGAAATACATAACGAGCCTGGGAGAATTGGCACAATCGATTGTGCCATAGGCCTTTGGTTTGAGGGAAACGTTTCTCTTCACTTTAATCTGGGACTGAGTGGCTATCAATCATCACATATTTACAGTGCTGGATTGCATATTTTTTATGATTTTGTGAATATGTGAACAAGAACAGTTCTCTCTCGTTGTCTTTTTCAAAATCAATGATATTTTAGTTACAGAATTACATTTACAAGCTTTTCTTTTCGAGATTGGGTTGTTTGCTATTTCAGATTGAAGGCGAAGTAGATTGAAACCGAGTATTCTATCCCACTTGAACTGATGCTGATCAGTGTCGTTTGTCCTTAATGCTTCATAGTTACTGATGTCTGGTGTTTAATATGTGCTGGTTGGTTGATTCGTTTTTGAATTGTCAGCTTATGTTGATTTGTTTTGTAGAATGTCTCATCGCAAGTTTGAACATCCAAGGCATGGTTCTTTGGGATTCCTTCCCAGGAAGAGAGCTGCAAGGCAGAGGGGAAGAGGTTGTTAATTCCTTAACATTGCTAATATTTTGCACTTAATTGATATTATGTGACGGTATCATTAGACTACTATGATTTTCTTTTCCTTGCATTGATATTGTGGTTGATTAATTCTCCTCAATTCTATTGTTGTTCATGACTCATGGGTAGCATGTTATTTCGGTTGTCATATATGCTTCAATGTTCTTTTCTAGTGCCAGCATTTGTTTCTCATGCTTTGATAATCCATTTGATATTTATTTAATGTTTGATGCAAACAGTGAAGGCTTTCCCCAAGGATGATCCGTCGAAGGAACCAAGACTGACTGCTTTCTTGGGTTACAAGGCTGGAATGACCCATATCGTCAGAGAGGTTGAGAAGCCAGGGTCGAGTGAGTTTTCCCTCTTGCTCTCTGCACCTCAGTACTTGCATATTGATGTGTTATTGGAGTTTTTATAAGAATCCGTTTGTTGATTGTGTTCGTATCTTTTGTGCCATTCAGAGCTTCACAAAAAGGAGACTTGTGAAGCCGTCACAATCATTGAGACCCCACCCTTGGTTGTTGTTGGAGTTGTTGGCTACATCAAGACGCCCAGTGGCCTTCGGTCTCTGAACACTGTCTGGGCCCAGCATTTGAGTGAGGATGTCAAGAGAAGGTTCTACAAGAACTGGGCCAAGTCAAAGAAGAAGGCTTTCACAAAGTACTCTAAGAAGTTTGAGTCTGATGAAGGCAAGAAGGATGTTACTTCCCAGCTGGAGAAGATGAAGAAGTATGCCACTACCATCCGTGTTCTGGCTCACACTCAGGTAAAAACATTTCTAGGTGTTTTGCTTCTATCATTTTCCTGAAAGTTCCCATCCTACTTTATTAGTAATGACGTGTTGTATATTTGGCTCTGTAGATTAGGAAGATGAAGGGTCTGAAGCAGAAGAAGGCTCATTTGATGGAGATCCAGGTCAATGGTGGAGACATTGCTAAGAAGGTTGACTTTGCCTACAGCTTCTTTGAGAAGCAGATTCCAATTGATTCAGTTTTCCAGAAGGATGAGATGATTGACATCATTGGTGTGACCAAGGGTAAGGGTTATGAAGGTGTGGTCACTCGTTGGGGTGTCACCCGTCTTCCTCGAAAGACTCATCGTGGTCTTCGCAAGGTTGCTTGTATTGGAGCATGGCATCCTGCTAGGGTCTCATACACTGTGGCTAGGGCTGGACAGAATGGTTACCATCACCGTACTGAGATGAACAAGAAGATCTACAAGCTTGGAAAGTCTGGCCAGGATTCTCACTCTGCCATGACTGATTATGACAGGTTAGTTTTAGTACACAGCTCTAAACACCGTTTTTTGTAGATATGAAATCCGACTTCTACTTACTAATGGTTAATGTGTCTTGCTGCTGATGATGAATAACAGGACTGAGAAGGACATCACACCTATCGGAGGGTTCCCTCACTATGGTATTGTGAAGGAGGACTACATTATGATCAAGGGTTGCTGTGTTGGTCCCAAGAAGCGTGTGGTGACATTGAGGCAGTCTCTGTTGAAGCAGACCTCCAGAACTGCTACGGAGCAGGTGAATCTCAAGTTCATTGACACTTCATCCAAGTTTGGACACGGACGATTCCAGACTACACAGGAGAAGCTCAAGCACTATGGTCGCCTCAAGGCTTAGTTTGTTCAAGGAGAGAGTCGTGATTGCTCTTGGCCTACTATTTTGCTAGTTGGAACATTTTCTTGTTTTGCTACTATTTTGCTGTTCTGTTTTCGAATGTTTGAGATACTTTGGAGATGGTACTTCTGCCTTTGAATGTTGTTTCTTTGTTTGCACTCTTTTTCCGATCTTTGTTAAGCTTCTTAAGTTTTTACCCTTAATTAGTTTCTTTAAGTTGTCTGAATTAGCACCTATAACTTCATATATAGGGCACCTTTCTACCTCGTTGTCCTTATGGCTTGTGTTGTTTGCAATGGATATCGGATTATAGTAGTAGGCAGTATTTTAGATTGCGAATGACAATAATTCATGATGATTTAGTTAGATATTTGCTTTCGAATGATATTCGTTGTCAATAAAAGTTAAATATCAATAAGTCGAGTTGCTGGGAGAGGTTCGATCATAATATTTACTAGAACTCTCTCTCATGAGAAGTCACTTTATACGAAAAATGAAATTTCACATATATGAATACCATGTGCTTAAGAAAATGAGGCCGCTAAGATTCAGAACACAATACTTACAAATAAAATGTTCTAAATAAGGCGTCTCCTAATTTTCAGTATTGGTTAACTATTATACCTATTTGAATCATTTTCTTTCAAAGCGAGGGTGGATCTCGGGACCCACTCGATAAACTCTCCCTCCGCCACTGACAACTTAACCAAACGACAAATCAAGAGGCTTAACTTACATTCAAATTCTTTGCGCTAGATTGCATTTTCTACAACACCTCATGTTCGATGTTTTAACTCAAATTCTAACTAGTGGTGTAGCTAGAAATTTCTCTAAGGTAGGTTCAAGTGTAACAAAATGAACCACCGCACTGAACTCCACCAAAAAGGTTTTAAGCTAAACAATTTTGCCACGAATTGAACTCTCAATTCCATCACCACTCAAGGGTCAAATCTACATATCACTTTATCATAATGTCCACCTTGTAGCACTCAACTATGTCGTCGTGTTATATCGTTCACTGTTGTTGGTCGCGATTTCCGTATGTAATCTCATGGCCGTGAGTTCTGCCCGTGAGACCAATATAGCGGATGTTCGGAAGACAGTGTACCTCGCGGCCTCATCTCACGACCGTGAGATCGGGGCATGTGATTGGGACGTGTTTAATTAATTGGTATAGTTTGGGTAGCGCTTGGTAATTGACCAAGTTGTTTGTTTCGGCTATTAACCCTAGTGGTTTAGCCATGTAGTATATATATGTTTGCAGTAGTCGATTCCCTGTAAGTATGCAAGTATTGGCCGAAAACCTAATGAGAGAATTCGCAACCTTCTTGTGTGAGCTTTCCGTGAATTAGTCTTGTTTAAGGTAAAAACGAGGACACCATGTAAATCGGTGTTCTCGTTTACCTTTCCACTTTACATTTTTATCATTTTCACTTTGGTGCAACCAACGCCGACGGAATGTGTTTATTTGTTTGGTTTGGTAGCATTGTAAGACAAGGTAGTTTGGGCCAACAAACTTCTGGGCCCTTGATAATCCAGTCGCTTGGGCCCATCCAAAATGAAAGATGGCGCAATCAGTACTAATACTATGCGCCGTCCGTTTAATTTATTATTGTCGACGGATATAAAGGATAATAAGCATGGAGCACACGGATCGACGCCCAAAAGCCGTCGATCAATATAATCCAACGGTCCAAACTCCTTCTCGGTCTTGCCAAGCTCCCTTAAAATGAAAAGAAACACATGTCACTAGAGTGACGCGGATCGCCATTTCCACCCGTCGATCCACTCCCTCAATCAACGCTCCAGATCAACCCATCTCCACCTCAACAGCGAGTATATAAATCCTCAACATTGTTCCATTCTCAAAGCAACCGATTCATTCAATCCACAACTAAATCCAATCTCCTCACTCTTCGTCCTCTCGAGCAAGCAACAGCAACAATGTCCGGCCGCGGCAAGGGAGGAAAGGGATTGGGAAAGGGCGGAGCGAAGAGGCACAGGAAGGTCCTCCGTGACAACATCCAGGGCATCACCAAGCCGGCCATCAGACGTCTGGCTCGCCGTGGCGGCGTCAAGCGTATCAGCGGCCTCATCTACGAGGAAACCCGCGGCGTCCTCAAGATCTTCTTGGAGAACGTGATTCGTGACGCCGTCACCTACACCGAGCACGCTCGCCGGAAGACCGTCACCGCCATGGATGTTGTCTACGCGCTCAAGAGGCAGGGAAGGACATTGTACGGCTTCGGCGGTTGATTTCTTAGGGTTCTTTGACGGTTTCCTCAGGATTCTCTTCTTTTAGCTGTAGTTCTCGCCTATTTGTTCATATTCTGGGAATGAACTTTTGGAAATTAGGGTTTCAATTGCTCAATTTCGGCTGGTCTATGTTTGTAATAGCTCATCTTGTTATAATGAAACGATGGATTCGATGAATTGTGACATTTCTTGTTTGTTGATCCTTTGTATTGAACCTCTCTGACTTTTGGATTTTCATTGCTATCGATTCTGGAAGGCGGAGTCGTTTTCAAAGTGAACGAGTTCTTCTACCTACAAATACTTCAACTGTCTCAAATTAATTTTTTACGTCATTTCTCCGTTTCAATGCCAATGTTTCTCTTGTTACGAGTGAACTTCTATTAACTTTCCACTATTTACATTTTCGTCATATCCTTGTTCTGAATAACGGCTGTTCGTTAACTAAAAACTGCTTTGGATTATTTCAGATTGGCTCCCCAACTACTAAGGTTTATTCCGGTTAGTCCACATTTCCCCCTTTTATTAGTTATTTCATTACAGTAGTTTCCTCTTGCTTGATTACCTATTGCCTCTTTCCAGCCGCATGTTATTGGCCCTTCGTCCATTTACTTATTAGTACCCAAATTTGTAGATATTACGATAACAGAACCTCTTACATATTGTTTTCCACCCATTCGGATGTTGGCCAACCTCATATTATATTGTTTTCCTCAACTGCGGGGAGAAGTGTTCTACAAGTGCTATGCAAGACAAGATGGATAATATCAAAAGGCTTCAACGTTTCTAACGTAAAGGATTCAGGCCAGCAAAACCTAAGGTAGAGACGTGGCCACAATACTACATGACCATTAGATTTTCAACAAGTTCGAAAGCGAATTTGAATTTGGATGTGAATGCGAATGCCAATGCGTAGCATGATCTTGGTCGGATGATTGATTCATCTGCGCGACATCTTGATCTTTGGCATTGCTTTCTTCATCTGGCGAGCACGATCTTTTGCTTGTTTCCTTCGTAATGCCTCCGCGCTCAGGCTTGCTTCAGCTTCCTCTTTCTTCTCGGCCTTCTTTCTCAGCAGCTCTTCTTGTCTTGCATTTTGAAGTTCTCTGAATGCTTCTTGTGCAATTTTGTTTCTAGCTGCCTCTGTCTTAGACCGAGCCTGCAGTAGAGCAGAGAATCAGAAACATGATAAAAGACAAACTGACATGTCCAATTGAAGATCGGTCAGTCGCTTGGGCGCAGACCAGAAAGATTCTAGATAGTAGATAGATAGCTCACCTGTGAACTCAACTTGTATCGGCCTATCAGATCAATGTAGTAGGGTACCAAAGCTACCAATCTGGTCATATCAGCCATGTTGCTAGCGTCGGGCAGGGCAAACTTGAACAAAAGCATCTTCCTGTGTGCACCAGGTTGTTGATCAGAGAAATGCATTGAGATGAAGCCCTTCCCGAACTTCTCAAAAGCTTTTTCCCCAAACACCTGGAAATTACAAACACCATAGTTCAATCACACAATCAATCAGTAAAGCCATCAGGACTTTTCCCATACTCAGAATGTCGTCAACAGCGCTACAAGTAGTTTGGAAAAGTAGTAGAATCGTAGTTGCACCAAGTAAAAAGGACTTCAAGACAAGTGTTTGCTGGGCAATGGGATAGTTAACCGGAAAAAAGTACCCACAAGCATTTCAAATGACTTACAAATAACATAACTCGAGTGTCTTACTCGCTAGATTTCCGAATTAGCATTTATCAAGATACAGCTTTTCTCAATTAGAATATGTTATGATTCTGATGTGCTACATCTTCCTCCCTCTCAAGATGACATCAGTTCAGGGCTTTAATCTTATTTATCCTGTGTTTGATCCATTCCCTATTTCATTTCAAGAAGACAAATGCTGAGAGGATACAGATATAGTTCTAATGGAATCAGTTCCCCGAAATTAGCAATAGGTCCAAGTTACACCTTTGCTCCTTAGAAATATAAGTAGTTCAGGGAAATAATTACTCACTTATGATATTTAAGAGCGAATTTCAACTAGCCAAAAGGACAAAGCCAGACTATAGGAGGGTGCTTGGGTTATATAGGCATGTGATCCAATAACACTGCTTTGCCACTCCATGAGAGAGAGGCAGGAGCCAGTGCCTGGTGCTCCTACCACTTCAATTTCGATAATGCTTCATCAAGAATGTGGACGATGCATGAAACAGCAGTTTAACAAAGATGGCCATCATCAATATTTTTCTAGGCAATTGAGAAGCAATATAACAGTTGATGAAACTGAAACAAATCCGTGAGAAAAAGAGATGTGAACCTGGAAACCTCCACATAAATTCTATTAGAAAAGGAGACTGACATATATGAGTGGCACTTCAAGAATCACATGGAAAACAAAATAGGGAGCAGAAAACATCTCCATAATTTGCCATATCAAGGAGCTGTGGTTTCAAAATTTTCAAACTGAGTGAGAGCACGAAACAACTTCCTCATGTTATACCATACTAAGGCTTTTATTATATTTAACAAGGCATATTGATGTAAACAGGAAAGGAAGACCCTGAACGAAGCAGCCAGCAAACATTCAGCCTTGAGTCTGAACCACCCACTCTCAAGAACAACATCACAGGAAAGGAGTTCAGTGCAAATGGACCAAAAAGCTTGAAACTTTACACCCACACTTCCCAGCTGAAAATGAAGCAAGAATAAAGCACACTAGAAGTCTAGATTCTAGAACCCATTGGCTATAGAAGTTCCCCTAGATTGCTAGGCAAAAACTAATTGTATGCACCTCCAGGGGAATTTTTTTTTTTTCTCATTCAAATCCAAACATCACTGGACCAATTCTATTCTAGCCTAATAACACAGAATTCTCACATTCCCTTCTCTAGCTAATCAACTACAGGATAGGAGAGTTCAGTAGAAACCAACCTGTTCAAGCACAGCGTCAGTGATCAAGTCCCCAGCAACCTCCTTAGACTCCGAAACAACTCCAAATTCCTTGGGCACCCACCTCTTCCCATTGGCTGGTTGAGGAACAAGCACAGCAAACCTCTGCAAGTCCCGAACCTCCTTGAGCATAGTTTTGGCAGCTTTCTTCTTCGCCAGTGCAAAAATCACATGGTCCATGGCATTATCATTCATCTGCACCTGAAAAGTGATCTCATCCTTACAAGGCACCACCATGTTGTACATCTTGGCAATCAAATCGTGCCTGCTCTTCAACTCCATCGTGGCCAACAACCCCTGGCAAAACCTCCGCCCGCTGGCGTAGAACTTGAACACATTCTGGCCTTCTTTCAACAACAACGGCGAATCATCCCCTTCCCCAACACCCAACAAGCTGAAATTCTTCTCGAAAATTGAATCCTTGGTCGCGAACTTCGCCGCCCAGGCCAGGGCAATGTTCTCGTTCTCCCGCTTCCCAGTGAAGTAGTTGATAACGAACATAATCAAGAACGATACGCACACTATCTCCACGGTAAACGACTGCTTCCTCTTGGGAACACTCTCGCCCTGCTGCTTCGAATTCGGATCTGCGATTTCCTTTTCGTCGGACTGTGAAGTCATCGGAGAACCCGCAGCCGGTGGTTGCTGAGTCGGAAGACCTTCGAACTCGTCTTCATCCCACTCGTTGAAGCTAGAACTCGTAGTAGTAGCAGCAGGAGTCGACGAATCGGATTTCGGTTCGGAAGCATCCGAATCAGTAGTAGCAGCAGGAGTTGAATCGGCCTGATTGAAATCAGAATCTGGAGTGGAGGAAGCAGAGTCGGTCACCGTCAATGGAAGATCGACGAGCTTGAAAGAAGAAGGGTCGAGCGGCTCCTCCGCGACATCGTCTTCATCGGCGTCGAATCCTTCAAATTGGGAATCGGAGAAAGCGGATTGCAGGAGGATGGAGAAGAGGAAGAGAAACGAGAGGAGAGTGAGAAGGGAGGAAGGTCGGATCATGGCGGACCGGAAGGAAAAGAGATCGGCGATGGAAGCGATTAGTTAGAGAGAGGAAGACATCGTCGTTGTTGTTAAATTGGGGAAGGAGATGAGATTGAGACAACTCTGAGCTGTCGAGTAGCAGAAAACAGTGAGACCAAGGGTGTTATCGGAATTTCACAAGATTGAATCATTGTGCAGTGTGCACTAAAAGGTAAATTACACTTTTCATCACTGCCATTTTATCCAAATTTCTGAAACGAAGCCATTAAAATCGCTGTACCAATTAACGACTTCTGGTTACTAGGTGCTCTCGCTCCTGCGGATTGAAGAACTCGTTAACCGTGAAAACGATTCGATAACTCCAAAGCTAATCCATAAATGGGTTCGAAAAATCGTGAATGGAGAGGAACACGGATCTGAAATGTCATCAGATTTCAATTGAAAAATTGAGATTACAGGCATGACCCGACATTGATACATCGAAAACCCTAATTGCTAAATCCTAACAGTTCATCCCGAGAATATGAACAAATAGATCACCAAACTAAAAGATAGGAAAGCTAAAATCGGAGACAGAAAGCTGGTCCAGCTGAAGGAATACAAGAACCCTAAGAACTTAACCACCGAAGCCGTACAAGGTCCTGCCCTGCCTCTTGAGCGCATAGACGACGTCCATGGCGGTTACGGTCTTCCGGCGAGCGTGCTCCGTGTAGGTGACGGCGTCGCGAATCACGTTCTCCAAAAAGATCTTAAGGACGCCGCGGGTCTCCTCGTAGATGAGGCCGCTGATACGCTTGACGCCGCCACGGCGAGCCAGACGGCGGATGGCCGGCTTGGTGATGCCCTGGATGTTGTCGCGGAGGACCTTCCTGTGCCTCTTGGCACCTCCCTTTCCCAGTCCCTTGCCTCCCTTGCCGCGGCCGGACATTTTTTGAGAAGACGAAGTGGGGGAGATTGATTGACTGGGTTGAATTGAACAAATCGATTGCTTTGAGAATTGGATGTGGGTTGAGAAAATTTTTAGAGGATTTATATAATTGTTGGGGAGGTGGAGATGGGCTGATCTGGAGCGTTGATTGAGGGAGTGGATCAACGGGTGGGAATGGCGATCCGCGTCGCTCCAGTGACATGTGCTTCCTTTTGTTTGAAGGGAGCTTGGTGATACTTTGGGCCGTTGGATAATCCAAATCGACGGTTCAGGGATGTCAATCCGTGTGATATGTGATTATCCAGTTTCATCCGTCGATCATATTTAATGGACGGTGGATTATTCAAGGAGATTGTTTTGTGATAGTACTAACTAATTACCTGGCCCTTAAGCCAAGTATATATTATTTTTCTTTGCCCAGGTCCGTTAAGCCAAGTATAGTTTTGCCTATTGTTGTTTTGGGCTTTTGGCCCAAACAACTCGATCTGTAATTCTTATGTATCAAATGATAGCGCAATGGCATAGTTGAGTGTTACAACTTACAAGGTCGTGATGTGATGTGAATTGTGACCAAGGGGCCATGTAGATTTGGATGGTGATGGATACGAGAATTAAGTTAAGAAAACAATCAAACATTATTTATTTAAGTCTTATTATTTTATGGATTTAACGATAAATCGTATCATTGTAATGCATCGAGTTGTACCAGCTTACCAAGTTAGTAGAATTATGAGTCTCGTATCGTACTTCATGCATATGATTATTCTTGTTCACGAGGTTTGGTTACTTGAATGTTGCTTTTGAGTCTCGTATCGTACTTCATGCATATGATTATTCTTGTTCACGAGGTTTGGTTACTTGAATGTTGCTTTTGAGTGATGCTGATACAAAGTTTGATTGGTATAATCATAAGAAATAAATGTATCTAGTGACATTGTCGAGTCACTAGATGTCAATGTCTTGTTCCAATGTCCAGATTCAAGGGTTCAGCAGCTAGTTTTTACGAAAGACTTGTTTACTCACTCGCTGGATGTTGCAGGGGTCGTTTGGAAGTTGCGATTGTCAAGTAGATGTATTGTTGAAAATGCATGTATAATATCATATATGTATTGTCGAATGTGATGCATTGTAGAATACAATGTTTGGTATGTGTGATTGTGTATGTCGTATCAGCTAATAGCTGAGACAAAACAATATCAACTCAACTATCTCAACAATCACAACTAAAAGTTGAGATATAATAATCACTCAAAATGAGTGATAGTTTTTGTTACATCACAAAAACAATCCATGTATTATTTCTGCTTAAAGAACGAACCCGCAATGTGCTTAAAGAAAATGAATCTGCACTCTGCCATTAACGAAAGCAATATTTGATGGTTCTTCGCGTCTACGGATTCAATACAATTGGCTAATTTCAAATCGGAAAATTAACAAAGTTCACAAATGCACACAATTCATAGATCTTTCCTCCATTAAACAGAGCTTGGAATTACAACACAAACATCGACCGGAAGTTTGAAACCCTAGATCTGAAACTTAGATCCACACACTATGAACAAGTAGTTCACAACAAGGACTAGAAAAGAGACTGAAAGAGAAAAAGGCTGCTCCGCTGAATTCGTTCCACGAACCGGAAAAGCTCAACCGCCGAACCCGTACAAGGTCCTGCCCTGCCTCTTGAGCGCGTAGACAACGTCCATGGCGGTGACCGTCTTCCGGCGAGCGTGCTCGGTGTAGGTGACGGAGTCACGAATCACGTTCTCCAAAAAGATCTTGAGAACGCCGCGAGTCTCCTCGTAGATGAGACCGCTGATGCGCTTGACGCCGCCACGGCGAGCAAGGCGGCGGATGGCCGGCTTGGTGATGCCCTGGATGTTGTCTCTGAGGACCTTCCTGTGCCTCTTGGCGCCTCCCTTTCCCAAGCCCTTGCCTCCCTTACCACGGCCCGACATTTTTGGCTGATTTGAGAAAAGAGAAGGAGAAGCGGGAAGATTTAGGTCGAAATGTGATTTGAATTTTGGAAGAGATGAGTTTGGGAGGGAAAAGAAACAGATGGTTTGAGTATTTATATAGCTGCTGCGGAGTGGGAGAAGAAGGATTGGGACCGTTGATTTGGAGGTAGGGATCGACGGGCGAGAATGGCTATCCGCGTCACTCCGATATTACGTTACGTGGGTGGAAGTTTGGTAATTTGCGAGGGAAGGATTTTGGATCGTTGGATTAGATTAATGGACGGCTTGAGATGACGATCCGTGTCATTGGGAAGCTGTCCATTTATGTCCGTTGATAAGATTTATATCGACGGCGGATGATAAATATATGAAAGACAAACATTGCTCTCGCCTTGCGCACTTCTTGGATCGATTTTCATTTATTTAGTTCAATTTTGTATTTTATTTTTATGAGGTATTGAGATGCAATCAAGGTTGTCAACCCGCGGGTTGACCCGGACCCGGTCGAGCTAGTGAGTCAAGGGTTAATGGGTCAATCGTTTTAGCCCGGTTTGGCCCGGAAATATAGAAAAAGTCATTATATTGTACTTATCCTCATAAATTATATCAAATCTTATCTAGCATATGACTTATAACATATAATATTACACCAAAATAACATATCGTACTTAGATCCAACATATAGTGAAAATTCACACACACTTATATAACATAAATATTCAAATGTTCAACTTAGAATTCCAAAGATTGGGTTAGGCGAAAAGAAAAATCGGAAAATAGGCGCATTTCGCAAACCAAAGAAAAAAATGACACAATTTGACCTCCAACCCGGTACCTTGTAGCGGTCGGCCCGGCGGGTGCGTATGGCCCGTTTTTCTCACCGGGTCAGGGTCAAAGTGGGTCTACCCGCAGGTCAACCCGCGGGTTGACAACCTTGGATGCAATCGACCACTACGACATTCATCAAAGATCAAACAGGTAGCTATGTACTAAGCAAATTGCTTCTATAAATGGTTTTAAATTTTGACAAAGGGAGAATCTGTGTATTGCATTTTGAATAATCGGTTACATAGAGAGGGGGAAAACAAACATACCGGATAAAAAAAAAACAAGATCAAAACACATCAAGCAATCGGTTGATTCGCGTATGAAGAAAACAACAAAGGAATGCAAATCACGTATTTTCATCAGCCCTCTAACAATGTTGAGAGTTTGAACCAAACACAATACACCCTAAATCTCTCTTGCTTCCAACCAAACAGAGAAATAATAAGATTTAAAGGGGACCCTTTTGGAATCTACCAAAAATTGACACGAAATAAATTCGTCCAAATCGTTGCTTAATAGACTTAATCATCGTTGAAGAATAGCCTCTGACCGAATCCGTGATATGTAGCCTTCAAAATCCAAAGAAAATGGCATTTGGAAAAATCGCCCAAATTTTTTGATGTTACCCCTTTGGAATATGCCAAAAATTGACCCAAAATAAATCAACCCAAATCGGTGCTTAATGGACTTAATCATCGTTGAAGAATAGTCTCAGGCCGAATCTGTATCCTGTAGCCTTCAAAATCCAAAGAAAATGGCCTTTCGTCGCCCCATAAATTACGAAAATGTCATTCGAAGATAAATTGATCTAAATCGGTGTTTAATGAACTTATCATCCGTGGAGAATATGATCAATATACTTCATTATCGGTCGAGAATAGCCTCGGCCTGATTCCGTGATCTGTAGCCTCCATAATCGAAAGAAAATGGCATTTCGGAAAGATCGCCCAAAATCTGTGATGGTACCCCTTTGGAATCTGCCAAAAATTGACCCGAAAAAAATCAACCCAAATCGGTGCTTAATGGACTTAATCATCATTGAAGAATAGCCTCAGGCCGAATCTGTGTCCTGTAGCCTTCAAAATCCAAAGGAAATGACCTTCGTCGCCCCATAAATTATGAAAATGCCTAGGGGTGTCAGATCGGTTTTGGTTTTTTGGGTTAACCCGAAACCGAACCGATATATGTTCTTTCGGGTTTCGGTTTCTCGGTTTCAACCCGCATATGCTGTCAGCGGTTTCGGTTTCAGTGAAACCCGAAAACCGACACCAACCCGAGAACCCGAATTCAATAAATGTCGTTTTTGGTGAGAGATGAGACGATGTTGCAATCCCAGGCCGGGTGAAATCCCTAGCTTTTCGCCTCAAGTCGCCATTACCTTCGGCAAACGCTCAAACCTAGGATCGCCCGGTGTAACTCCCTCGCCATCACCATCCTCGCCGCATCGTTCTCGCCGCCATCATCATTCTCGCTGCCAGCGGCCTCATGGGAAACTCAACAGTGGCCGTCGAAACCCATCAACGACGAAGTGGGTGATCTCTGTCCGAGTCGGGTAGTCCCCTCTCCGACCTCTGCTATGGAATCCCATAAAGGCCTTCTTCTTCCCCTTTCCCCTTCCCGCTCTGTCTGTTGGGTTCTTTTCTGGTTGTTGAATTGGAATGGTGATGGGCCTGATGGTTTCCTGGCGTTTGGGTCCCCTTTCAATCAAATTACAACAGAGCAACTAGAGGATAATTTGAGGAACAAAGAAAGGAATCGACGCTAAGAGGATCGGCAAGATTAATATATGGCGGATTACTTGTAATTGGTATGAATTAAAGTTGGAGTCTGGGTTGATTTACATTTTAGCCATCTTCTGCATACCATAATGGATACGAAGACACAGTATTCTCGACGAAAGTTCTTATGCAATTTGGGTTAAGCTAACAACAAAAACCCCCAAGTTGCAATTTCGGGTTCAGGTACCCGAAACCCGCAAGCTGCAATTTCAGGTTCGGTTTCTGGCTGTACACTAACGGTTTCGGGTTTTCTCTGGTTTCGGTTTCGGTTACCCAACCGGAACCGAACCAGCACCCCTAAAAATGTCATTCAAAGATAAATTGACCTAAATCGGTGCTTAACTGACTTATCATCCGTGGAGAATATGATCAATATAATTCATTATCGGTCGAGAATAGCCTGGGCCTGATTCTGTGATCTGTAGCCTCCATAATTGAAAGAAAATGACATTTTCGGAAAAATCGCCCGAAATCTGTGATGGTACACCTTTGGAATCAACCAAAAATTGACCCGGAATAAATCCGCCCAAATCGGTGCTTAATGAGCTTAATCATCGTTGAAGAATACCCTCAAGCCGAATCCGTGTCTTGTAGCCTTCAAATCCAAAGAAAATAGCCTTTCGTCGCCCCATAAATTATGAAAATGCCATTAGAAAATAAATTGGCCCAAATCGATGCTTAACAGACTTATCATCCGTGGAGAATAGGATCAATAGACTTCATTATTGGTGGAGAATAGCCTCGGCCTGATTCCGTGATCTGTAGTCTCCAGAATCGAAAGAAAATGGCATTTCGGATAAATCGCCCGAAATCTATGATGGTACCTCTTTGGAGTCTGCCAAAAATTGACCCGGAATAAATCCGCCCAAATCGGTGCTTAATGGACTCAATCATCGTTGGAGAATAGCCTCAGGCTGAATCCGTGATCTGTAGCCTTCAATATCCAAAGAAAATGGCCTTTCGTCGCCCAAGAAATTACGAAAATGCCATCCGAAAATAAATTGGCCCAAATCGATGCTTAACGGACTTATCATCCGTGGAGAATAGGATCAATAGACTTCATTATTGGTGGAGAATAGCCTCGGCCTGATTCCGTGATCTGTAGCCTCCAGAATCGAAAGAAAATGGCATTTCGGATAAATCGCCAGAAATCTGTGATGGTACCCCTTTGGAATCTGCCAAAAATTGACCCGGAATAAATCCGCCCAAATCGAGGCTTGATGGACTCAATCTTCGTTGGAGAATAGCCTCATGCCGAATCCGTGATCGGTAGCCTTCAATATCCAAAGAAAATGGCCTTTCGTCACTCAAGAAATTACGAAAATGCCATCCGAAAATAAATTGGCCCAAATCGATGCTTAATGGACTTATCATCTGTGGAGAATAGGATCAATAGACTTCATTATCGGTGGAGAATAGCCTCGGCCTGATTCCGTGATCTGTAGCCTCCAGAATCGAAAGAAAAGGGCATTTCGGATAAATCGCCCGAAATCTGTGATGGTACCCCTTTGGAATCTGGCAAAAATTGACCCGGAATAAATCCGCCCAAATCGGTGCTTAATGGACTCAATCATCGTTGGAGAATAGCCTCAGGCCGAATCCGTGATCTGTAGCCTTCAATATCCAAAGAAAATGACCTTTCGTCGCCCAAGAAATTACGAAAATGCCATCCGAAAATAAATTGGCCCAAATCGATGCTTAACGAACTTATCATCCGTGGAGAATAGGATCAATAGACTTCATTATCGGTGGAGAATAGCCTCAACCTGATTCCGTGATCTGAAGCATCTAGAATCGAAAGAAAATGGAATTTCGGATAAATCGCCCGAAATCTGTGATGGTACCTCTTTGTAATCTGCCAAAAATTGACCTGAATAAATCCGCCCAAATCAGTGCTTAATGGACTCAATCATCGTTGTAGAATAGCCTCAGGCCGAATCCATGATCTGTAGTCTTCAATATCCAAAGAAAATGGCCTTTCGTCGCCCAAGAAATTACGAAAATGCCATCAGAAAATAAATTGGCCCAAATCGATGCTTAACGGACTTATCATCCGTGGAGAATAGGATCAATAGACTTCGTTATCGGTGGAGAATAGCCTCGGCCTGATTCCGTGATCTGTATTCTCCAGAATCGAAAGAAAATGGCATTTCGGATAAATCGCCCGAAATCTGTGATGGTACCCCTTTGGAATCTGCCAAAAATTGACCCGGAATAAATCCGCCCAAATCGGTGCTTAATGGACTCAATCATCGTTGGAGAATAGCCTCAGGCCGAATCCGTGATCTGTAGCCACCAATATCCAAAGAAAATTGCTTTTCGTCGCCCAAGAAATTATGAAAATGCCATCCGAAAATAAATTGGCCCAAATCGATGCTTAACGGACTTATCATCCGTGGAGAATAGGATCAATAGACTTCATTATCGGTGGAGAATAGCCTCGGCCTGATTCCGTGATCTGTATTCTCCAGAATCGAAAGAAAATGGCATTTCGGATAAATCGCACGAAATCTGTGATGGTACCCCTTTGGAATCTGCCAAAAATTGACCCGGAATAAATCCGCCCAAATCGGTGCTTAATGGACTCAATCTTCGTTGGAGAATAGCCTCAGGCCGAATCCGTGATCTGTAGCCTTCAATATCGAAAAAAATGGCATTTCGTCGCACAAGAAATTATGAAAATGCCATCCGAAAATAAATTGGCCCAAATCGATGCTTAACGGACTTATCATCCGTGGAGAATAGGATCAATAGACTTCATTATCGGTGGAGAATAGCCTCGGCCTGATTCCGTGATCTGTAGCCTCCAGAATCGAAAGAAAATGGCATTTCAGATAAATCGCCCCAATTCTGTGATGGTACCCCTTTGGAATCTGCCAAAAATTGTCCCGGAATAAATCCGCCCAAATCGGTGCTTAATGGACTCAATCATCGTTGGAGAATAGCCTCAGGCCGAATCCGTGATCTGTAGCCTTCAATATCCAAAGAAAATGGCCTTTCGTCGCCCAAGAAATTACGAAAATGCCATCCGAAAATAAATTGGCCCAAATCGATGCTTAACGGACTTATCATCCATGGAGAATATGATCAATAGACTTCATTATCGGTGAAGAATAGCCTCGGCCTGATTCCGTGATCTGTAGCCTCCAAAATCGAAAGAAAATGGCATTTCGGATAATCGCCCGAAATCTGTGATGGTACCCCTTTGGAATCTGCCAAAAATTGACCCGGATTAAATCCGCCCAAATCGGTGCTTAATGGACTCAATCATCGTTGGAGAATAGCCTCAGGCCGAAGCCGTGATCTGTAGCCTTCAATATCCAAAGAAAATGGCCTTTCGTCGCCCAAGAAATTACGAAAATGCCATCCGAAAATAAATTGGCCCAAATCGATGCTTAACGGACTTATCATCCGTGGAGAATAGGATCAATAGACTTCATTATCGGTGGAGAATAGCCTCGGCCTTATTCTGTGATCTGTAGCCTCCAGAATCGAAAGAAAATGGCATTTCGGATAAACCGCCCGAAATCTTTGATGGTACCCCTTTGGAATCTGCCAAAGATTGACCCAGAATAAATCCGCCCAAATCGGTGCTTAATGGACTCAATCATTGTTGGAGAAAAGCCTCAGGGTGTATCCGTCATCTGTAGCCTTCAATATCCAAAGAAAAATGGCCTTTCGTCGCCGAAGAAATTACGAAAATGCCATCCGAAAATAAATTGGCCCAAATCGATGCTTAACGGACTTATCATCAGTGGAGAATAGGATCAATAGACTTCATTATCGGTGGAGAATAGCCTCGACATGATTCCGTGATCTGTAGCCTCCAGAATCAAAAGAAAATGGCATTTCGGATAAATCGCCTGAAATATGTGATGGTACCCTTTTGGAATCTCCCAAAAATTGACCCGGAATAAATCCGCCCAAATCAAAGCTTAATGGACTCAATCATCGTTGGAGAATAGCCTCAGGCCGAATCCGTGATCTGTAGCCTTCAATATCCAAAGAAAATGGCCTTTCGTCGCCCAAGAAATTACGAAAATGCCATCCGAAAATAAATTGGCCCACTTCGATGCTTAACGGACTTATCATCCGTGGAAAATAGGATCAATAGACTTCATTATCGGTGGAGAATAGCATCGGCCTGATTCCGTGATCTGTAGCCTCCTGAATCGAAAGAAAATGGCATTTCAGATAAATCGCCCGAAATCTGTGATGGTAACCCTTTGGAATCTTCCAAAAATTGACCCGGACTAAATCCGCCCAAATCGGTGCTTAATGGACTCAATCATCGCTGGAGAATAGCCTCAGGCAGAATCCGTGATCTGTAGCCTTCAATATCCAAAGAAAATGGCCTTTCGTCGCCCAAGAAATTACGAAAATGCCATCCGAATATAAATTGGCCCAAATCGATGCTTAACGGACTTATCATCCGTGGAGAATAGGATCAATAGACTTCATTATCGGTGGAGAATAGCCTCGGCCTGATTCCGTGATCTGTAGCCTCCAGAATCTAAAGAAAATGGCATTTCGGATAAATCGTCCGAAATATATGATGGTACCCCTTTGGAATCTGCCAAAAATTGACCCGGAATAAATCCGCCCAAATCGGTGCTTAATGGACTCAATCATCGTTGGAGAATAGGCTCAGGCCGAATCCGTGATCTGTAGCCTTCAATATCCAAAGAAAATGGCCTTTCGTCGCCCAAGAAATTACGAAAATGCCATCCGAAAATAAATTGGCCCAAATCAATGCTTAACGGACTTATCATCTGTGGAGAATAGGATCAATAGACTTCATTATCGGTGTAGAATAGCCTCGGCCTGATTCCGTAATCTGTAGCCTCCAGAATCGAAAGAAAATGGCATTTCGGATAAATCGCCCGAAATCTGTGATGGTACCCCTTTGGAATCTCACAAAAATTGACCCGGAATAAATCCGCCTAAATCGGTGCTTAATGGACTCAATAATCGTTGGTGAATAGCCTCAGGCCGAATCCGTGATCTGTAGCCTTCAATATCCAATGAAAATGGCCTTTCGTCGCCCAAGAAATTACGAAAATGCCATCCGAAAATAAATTGGCCCAAATCGATGCTTAACGGACTTATCATCCGTGGAGAATAGGATAAATAGACTTCATTATCGGTGGAGAATAGCCTCGGGCTGATTCTGTGATCTGTAGCCTCCAGAATCGAAAGAAAATGGCATTTCGGATAAATCAACCGAAATCTGTGATGGTACCCCTTTGGAATCTGCCAAAGATTGACCCAGAATAAATCCGCCCAAATCGGTGCTTAATGGACTCAATCATCGCTGGAGAATAGCCTCAGGGCGTATCCGTGATCTGTAGCCTTCAATATCCAAAGAAAAATGGCCTTTCGTCGCCCGAGAAATTACAAAAATGCCATCCGAAAATAAATTGGCCCAAATCGATGCTTAACGGACTTATAATCCGTGGAGAATAGGATCAATAGACTTCATTATCGGTGGAGAACAGCCTCGACATGATTTCGTGATCTGTAGCCTCCAGAATCGAAAGAAAATGGCATTTCGGATAAATCGCCCGAAATCTGTGATGGTACCCTTTTGGAATCTCACAAAAATTGACCCGGAATAAATTCGCCCAAATCGGTGCTTAATGGACTCAATCATCGTTGGAGAATAGCCTCAGGCCGAATCCGTGATCTGTAGCCTTCAATATCCAAAGAAAATGGCCTTTCGTCGCCCAAGAAATTAAGAAAATGCCATCCGAAAATAAATTGGCCCAAATCGATGCTTAATGGACTTATCATCCATGGAGAATAGGATCAATAGACTTCATTATCGGTGGAGAATAGCCTCGGCCTAATTCCGTGATCTGTAGCCTCCAGAATAGAAAGAAAATGGCATTTCGGATAAATCGCCCGAAATCTGTGATGGTACCCCTTTGCAATCTGCCAAAAATTGACCCAGAATAAATCCGCCCAAATCGGTGCTTAATGGAATCAATCATCTTTGGAGAATAGCGTCAGGACGAATCCGTGATCTGTAGCCTTCAATATCCAAAGAAAATGGCCTTTCGTCGCCTAAGAAATTACGAAAATGCCATTCGAAAATAAATTGGCCCAAATCGATGCTTAACGGACTTATCATCCGTGGAAAATAGGATCAATAGATTTCATTATCGGTGGAGAATAGCCTCGGCCTGATTCCGTGATCTGTAGCCCCGGAATCGAAAGAAAATGGCATTTCGGATAAATCGCCCGAAATCTATGATGGTACCCCTTTGGAATCTTCCAAATATTGACCCGGAATAAATCCGCCCAAATCGGTGCTTAATGGACTCAATCATCGCTGGAGAATAGCCTCACGCCAAATCCGTGATCTGTAGCCTTCAATATCCAAAGAAAATGGCCTTTCGTCGCCCAAGGAATTACGAAAATGCCATCCGAAAATAAATTGGCCCAAATCGATGCTTAACGGACTTATCATCCGTGGAGAATAGGATCAATAGACTTCATTATCGGTGGAGAATAGCCTCGACATGATTCCGTGATCTGTAGCCTCCAGAATCAAAAGAAAATGGCATTTAGGATAAATCGCCCGAAATCTGTGATGGTACCCTTTTGGAATCTCACAAAAATTGACCCGGAATAAATTCGCCCAAATCGGTGCTTAATGGACTCAATCATCGTTGGAGAATAGCCTCAGGCCGAATCCGTGATCTGTAGCCTTCAATATCCAAAGAAAATGGCCTTTCGTCGCCGAAGAAATTACGAAAATGCCATCCGAATTGTCCCAAATCGATGCTTAACGGACTTATCATCCGTGGAGAATCGGATCAATAGACTTCATTATCGATGGAGAATAGCCTCGGCCTGATTCCGTGATCTGTAGCCTCCAGAATCGAAAGAAAATGGCATTTCGGATAAATCGCCCGAAATTTGTGATGGTACCCCTTTGGAATCTGCCAAAAATTGACCCGGAATAAATCCGCCGAAATCGGTGCTTAATGGACTCAATCATCGCTGGAGAATAGCCTCAGGCCGAATCCGTGATCTGTAGCCTTCAATATCCAAAGAAAATGGCATTTCGTCGCCCAAGAAATTACGAAAATGCCATCAGTAAATAAATTGGCCCAAATCGATGCTTAACGGACTTATCATCCGTGGAGAGGATCAATAGTCCTCATTATCGGTAGAAAATAGCCTCGGCCTGATTCCGTGATCTGTAGCCTCCAGAATCGAAAGAAAATGGCATTTCGGATAATCGCCCGAAATCTGTGATGGTACCCCTTTGGAATCTGCAAAAAATAGACCCGGAATAAATCCGCCCAAATCGGTGCTTAATGGACTCAATCATCGCTGGAGAATAGCCTCAGGCCAAATCCGTGATCTGTAGCCTTTAATATCCAAAGAAAATGGCCTTTCGACGCCCAAGAAATTACGAAAATGCCATCCGAAAATAAATTGGCCCAAATCGATGCTTAACGGACTTATCATCCGTGGAGAATAGGATCAATAGACTTCATTATCGGTGGAGAATTGCCTCGGCCTGATTCCGTGATCTGTAGCCTCCAGAATCGAAAGAAAATGGCATTTCGGGTAAATCGCCCGAAATCTGTGATGGAACCCCTTTGGAATCTCCCAAAAATTGACCCTGAATAAATCCGCCCAAATCGATGCTTAATGGACTCAATCATCGCTGGAGAATAGCCTCAGACCGAATACGTGATCTGTAGCCTTCAATATCCAAAGAAAATGGCCTTTCGTCGCCAAGAAATTACGTAATGGCATCCGAAAATAAATTGGCCCAAATCGATTTTTTAACGGACTTATCATCCATAAAGAATAGGATCAATAGACTTCATTATCGGTGGAGAATATCCTCTGCCTGATTCTGTGATCTGTAGCCTCCAGAATCGAAAGAAAATGGCATTTCGGATAAATCGCCCGAAATCTGTGATGGTACCCCTTTGGAATTTGCCAAAAATTGACCCGGAATAAATCCGACCAAATCGGTGGTTAATTGACTCAATCATCGATGGAGAATAGCCTCAGGCCGAATCCGTAATCTGTAGCCTTCAATATCCAAAGAAAATGGCCTTTCGTCGCCCAAGAAATTACGAAAATGCCATCCGTAAATAAATTGGCCCAAATCGATGCTTAACGGACTTATCATCCGTGGAGAATAAGATCAATAGTCCTCATTATCGGTGGAGAATAGCCTCGGCCTGATTCCGTGATCTGTAGCCTTCAGAATAGAAAGAAAATGGCATTTCGGATAAATCGCCCGAAATCTGTGATGGTACCCCTTTGGAATCTGCCAAAAATTGACCCAGAATAAATCCGCCCAAATCGGTGCTTAATGGAATCAATCATCGTTGGAGAATAGCCTCAGGACGAATCCGTGATCTGTAGCCTTCAATATCCAAAGAAAATGGCCTTTCGTCGCCTAAGAAATTACGAAAATGCCATTCGAAAATAAATTGGCCCAAATCGATGCTTAACGGACTTATCATCCGTGGAAAATAGGATCAATAGATTTCATTATCGGTGGAGAATAGCCTCGGCCTGATTCCGTGATCTGTAGCCCCCGGAATCGAAAGAAAATGGCATTTCGGATAAATCGCCCGAAATCTATGATGGTACCCCTTTGGAATCTTCCAAATATTGACCCGGAATAAATCCGCCCAAATCGGTGCTTAATGGACTCAATCATCGCTGGAGAATAGCCTCACGCCAAATCCGTGATCTGTAGCCTTCAATATCCAAAGAAAATGGCCTTTCGTCGCCCAAGGAATTACGAAAATGCCATCCGAAAATAAATTGGCCCAAATCGATGCTTAACGGACTTATCATCCGTGGAGAATAGGATCAATAGACTTCATTATCGGTGGAGAATAGCCTCGACATGATTCCGTGATCTGTAGCCTCTAGAATCGAAAGAAAATGGCATTTAGGATAAATCGCCCGAAATCTGTGATGGTACCCTTTTGGAATCTCACAAAAATTGACCCGGAATAAATTCGCCCAAATCGGTGCTTAATGGACTCAATCATCGTTGGAGAATAGCCTCAGACCGAATCCGTGATCTGTAGCCTTCAATATCCAAAGAAAATGGCCTTTCGTCGCCAAGAAATTACGTAATGGCATCCGAAAATAAATTGGCCCAAATCGATTTTTTAACGGACTTATCATCCATAAAGAATAGGATCAATAGACTTCATTATCGGTGGAGAATATCCTCTGCCTGATTCTGTGATCTGTAGCCTCCAGAATCGAAAGAAAATGGCATTTCGGATAAATCGCCCGAAATTTGTGATGGTACCCCTTTGGAATCTGCCAAAAATTGACCCGGAATAAATCCGCCGAAATCGGTGCTTAATTGACTCAATCATCGATGGAGAATAGCCTCAGGCCGAATCCGTAATCTGTAGCCTTCAATATCCAAAGAAAATGGCCTTTCGTCGCCCAAGAAATTACGAAAATGCCATCCGTAAATAAATTGGCCCAAATCGATGCTTAACGGACTTATCATCCGTGGAGAGGATCAATAGTCCTCATTATCGGTAGAAAATAGCCTCGGCCTGATTCCGTGATCTGTAGCCTCCAGAATCGAAAGAAAATGGCATTTCGGATAATCGCCCGAAATCTGTGATGGTACCCCTTTGGAATCTGCAAAAAATAGACCCGGAATAAATCCGCCCAAATCGGTGCTTAATGGACTCAATCATCGCTGGAGAATAGCCTCAGGCCAAATCCGTGATCTGTAGCCTTTAATATCCAAAGAAAATGGCCTTTCGACGCCCAAGAAATTACGAAAATGCCATCCGAAAATAAATTGGCCCAAATCGATGCTTAACGGACTTATCATCCGTGGAGAATAGGATCAATAGACTTCATTATCGGTGGAGAATAGCCTCGGCCTGATTCCGTGATCTGTAGCCTCCAGAATCAAAAGAAAATGGCATTTCGGGTAAATCGCCCGAAATCTGTGATGGAACCCCTTTGGAATCTTCCAAAAGTTGACCCTGAATAAATCCGCCCAAATCGATGCTTAATGGACTCAATCATCGCTGGAGAATAGCCTCAGACCGAATCCGTGATCTGTAGCCTTCAATATCCAAAGAAAATGGCCTTTCGTCGCCAAGAAATTACGTAATGGCATCCGAAAATAAATTGGCCCAAATCGATTTTTTAACGGACTTATCATCCATAAAGAATAGGATCAATAGACTTCATTATCGGTGGAGAATATCCTCTGCCTGATTCTGTGATCTGTAGCCTCCAGAATCGAAAGAAAATGGCATTTCGGATAAATCGCCCGAAATCTGTGATGGTACCCCTTTGGAATTTGCCAAAAATTGACCCGGAATAAATCCGACCAAATCGGTGCTTAATTGACTCAATCATCGATGGAGAATAGCCTCAGGCCGAATCCGTAATCTGTAGCCTTCAATATCCAAAGAAAATGGCCTTTCGTCGCCCAAGAAATTACGAAAATGCCATCCGTAAATAAATTGGCCCAAATCGATGCTTAACGGACTTATCATCCGTGGAGAATAAGATCAATAGTCCTCATTATCGGTGGAGAATAGCCTCGGCCTGATTCCATGATCTGTAGCCTCCAGAATAGAAAGAAAATGGCATTTCGGATAAATCGCCCGAAATCTGTGATGGTACCCCTTTGGAATCTGCCAAAAATTGACCCAGAATAAATCCGCCCAAATCGGTGCTTAATGGAATCAATCATCGTTGGAGAATAGCCTCAGGACGAATCCGTGATCTGTAGCCTTCAATATCCAAAGAAAATGGCCTTTCGTCGCCTAAGAAATTACGAAAATGCCATTCGAAAATAAATTGGCCCAAATCGATGCTTAACGGACTTATCATCCGTGGAAAATAGGATCAATAGATTTCATTATCGGTGGAGAATAGCCTCGGCCTGATTCCGTGATCTGTAGCCCCCGGAATCGAAAGAAAATGGCATTTCGGATAAATCGCCCGAAATCTGTGATGGTACCCCTTTGGAATCTTCCAAAAATTGACCCGGAATAAATCCGCCCAAATCCGTGCTTAATGGACTCAATCATCGCTGGAGAATAGCCTCACGCCAAATCCGTGATCTGTAGCCTTCAATATCCAAAGAAAATGGCCTTTCGTCGCCCAAGAAATTACGAAAATGCCATCCGAAAATAAATTGGTCCAAATCGATGCTTAACGGACTTATAATCCGTGGAGAATAGGATCAATAGACTTCATTATCGGTGGAGAATAGCCTCGACATGATTCCGTGATCTGTAGCCTCCAGAATCGAAAGAAAATGGCATTTCGGATAAATCGCCCGAAATCTGTGATGGTACCCTTTTGGAATCTCACAAAAATTGACCCGGAATAAATTCGCCCAAATCGGTGCTTAATGGACTCAATCATCGTTGGAGAATAGCCTCAGGCCGAATCCATGATCTGTAGCCTTCAATATCCAAAGAAAATGGCCTTTCGTCGCCCAAGAAATTACGAAAATGCCATCCAAATTGGCCCAAATCGATGCTTAACGGACTTATCATCCTGGAGAATCGGATCAATAGACTTCATTATCGATGTAGAATAGCCTCGGCCTGATTCCGTGATCTGTAGCCTCCAGAATCGAAAGAAAATGGCATTTCGGATAAATCGCCCGAAATTTGTGATGGTACCCCTTTGGAATCTGCCAAAAATTGACCCGGAATAAATCCGCCGAAATCGGTGCTTAATGGACTCAATCATCGCTGGAGAATAGCCTCAGGCCGAATCCGTGATCTGTAGCCTTCAATATCCAAAGAAAATGGCATTTCGTCGCCCAAGAAATTACGAAAATGCCATCCGTAAATAAATTGGCCCAAATCGATGCTTAACGGACTTATCATCCGTGGAGAGGATCAATAGTCCTCATTATCGGTAGAAAATAGCCTCGGCCTAATTCCGTGATCTGTAGCCTCCAAAATCGAAAGAAAATGGCATTTCGGATAATCGCCCGAAATCTGTGATGGTACCCCTTTGGAATCTGCAAAAAATTGACCCGGAATAAATCCGCCCAAATCGGTGCTTAATGGACTCAATCTTCGCTGGAGAATAGCCACAGGCCAAATCCGTGATCTGTAGCCTTTAATATCCAAAGAAAATGGCCTTTCGTCGCCCAAGAAATTATGAAAATGCCATCCGAAAATAAATTGGCCCAAATCGATACTTAACGGACTTATCATCCGTGGAGAATAGGATCAATAGACTTCATTATCGGTGGAGAATAGCCTCGGCCTGATTCCGTGATCTGTAGCCTCCAGAATCGAAAGAAAATGGCATTTCGGATAAATCGCCCGAAATTTGTGATGGAACCCCTTTGGAATCTCCCAAAAATTGACCCGGAATAAATCCGCCCAAATCGGTGCTTAATGGACTCAATCATCGCTGGAGAATATCCTCAGACCGAATCCGTGATCTGTAGCCTTCAATATCCAAAGAAAATGGCCTTTCGTCGCCAAGAAATTACGTAATGGCATCCGAAAATAAATTGGCCCAAATCGATTTTTTAACGGACTTATCATCCATAAAGAATAGGATAAATAGACTTCATTATCGGTGGAGAATATCCTCTGCCTGATTCTGTGATCTGTAGCCTCCAGAATCGAAAGAAAATGGCATTTCGGATAAATCGCCCGAAATCTGTGATGGTACCCCTTTGGAATTTGCCAAAAATTGACCCGGAATAAATCCGACCAAATCGGTGCTTAATTGACTCAATCATCGATGGAGAATAGCCTCAGGCCGAATCCGTAATCTGTAGCCTTCAATATCCAAAGAAAATGGCCTTTCGTCGCCCAAGAAATTACGAAAATGCCATCCGTAAATAAATTGGCCCAAATCGATGCTTAACGGACTTATCATCCGTGGAGAATAAGATCAATAGTCCTCATTATCGGTGGAGAATAGCCTCGGCCTGATTCCATGATCTGTAGCCTCCAGAATAGAAAGAAAATGGCATTTCGGATAAATCGCCCGAAATCTGTGATGGTACCCCTTTGGAATCTGCCAAAAATTGACCCAGAATAAATCCGCCCAAATCGGTGCTTAATGGAATCAATCATCGTTGGAGAATAGCCTCAGGACGAATCCGTGATCTGTAGCCTTCAATATCCAAAGAAAATGGCCTTTCGTCGCCTAAGAAATTACGAAAATGCCATTCGAAAATAAATTGGCCCAAATCGATGCTTAACGGACTTATCATCCGTGGAAAATAGGATCAATAGATTTCATTATCGGTGGAGAATAGCCTCGGCCTGATTCCGTGATCTGTAGCCCCCGGAATCGAAAGAAAATGGCATTTCGGATAAATCGCCCGAAATCTGTGATGGTACCCCTTTGGAATCTTCCAAAAATTGACCCGGAATAAATCCGCCCAAATCCGTGCTTAATGGACTCAATCATCGCTGGAGAATAGCCTCACGCCAAATCCGTGATCTGTAGCCTTCAATATCCAAAGAAAATGGCCTTTCGTCGCCCAAGAAATTACGAAAATGCCATCCGAAAATAAATTGGTCCAAATCGATGCTTAACGGACTTATAATCCGTGGAGAATAGGATCAATAGACTTCATTATCGGTGGAGAATAGCCTCGACATGATTCCGTGATCTGTAGCCTCCAGAATCGAAAGAAAATGGCATTTCGGATAAATCGCCCGAAATCTGTGATGGTACCCTTTTGGAATCTCACAAAAATTGACCCGGAATAAATTCGCCCAAATCGGTGCTTAATGGACTCAATCATCGTTGGAGAATAGCCTCAGGCCGAATCCATGATCTGTAGCCTTCAATATCCAAAGAAAATGGCCTTTCGTCGCCCAAGAAATTACGAAAATGCCATCCAAATTGGCCCAAATCGATGCTTAACGGACTTATCATCCGTGGAGAATCGGATCAATAGACTTCATTATCGATGTAGAATAGCCTCGGCCTGATTCCGTGATCTGTAGCCTCCAGAATCGAAAGAAAATGGCATTTCGGATAAATCGCCCGAAATTTGTGATGGTACCCCTTTGGAATCTGCCAAAAATTGACCCGGAATAAATCCGCCGAAATCGGTGCTTAATGGACTCAATCATCGCTGGAGAATAGCCTCAGGCCGAATCCGTGATCTGTAGCCTTCAATATCCAAAGAAAATGGCATTTCGTCGCCCAAGAAATTACGAAAATGCCATCCGTAAATAAATTGGCCCAAATCGATGCTTAACGGACTTATCATCCGTGGAGAGGATCAATAGTCCTCATTATCGGTAGAAAATAGCCTCGGCCTAATTCCGTGATCTGTAGCCTCCAAAATCGAAAGAAAATGGCATTTCGGATAATCGCCCGAAATCTGTGATGGTACCCCTTTGGAATCTGCAAAAAATTGACCCGGAATAAATCCGCCCAAATCGGTGCTTAATGGACTCAATCTTCGCTGGAGAATAGCCACAGGCCAAATCCGTGATCTGTAGCCTTTAATATCCAAAGAAAATGGCCTTTCGTCGCCCAAGAAATTACGAAAATGCCATCCGAAAATAAATTGGCCCAAATCGATGCTTAACGGACTTATCATCCGTGGAGAATAGGATCAATAGACTTCATTATCGGTGGAGAATATCCTCTGCCTGATTCTGTGATCTGTAGCCTCCAGAATCGAAAGAAAATGGCATTTCGGATAAATCGCCCGAAATCTGTGATGGTACCCCTTTGGAATCTGCCAAAAATTGACCCGGAATAAATCCGACCAAATCGGTGCGTAATTGACTCAATCATCGATGGAGAATAGCCTCAGGCCGAATCCGTAATCTGTAGCCTTCAATATCCAAAGAAAATGGCCTTTCGTCGCCCAAGAAATTACGAAAATGCCATCTGTAAATAAATTGGCCCAAATCGATGCTTAACGGACTTATCATCCGTGGAGAATAAGATCAATAGTCCTCATTATCGGTGGAGAATAGCCTCGGCCTGATTCCGTGATCTGTAGCCTCCAGAATAGAAAGAAAATGGCATTTCGGATAAATCGCCCGAAATCTGTGATGGTACCCCTTTGGAATCTGCCAAAAATTGACCCGGAATAAATCCGCCCAAATCGGTGCTTAATGGACTCAATCATCGTTGGAGAATAGCCTCAGGCCGAATCCTTGATCTGTAGCCTTCAATATCCAAAGAAAATGGCCTTTCGTCGCCCAAGAAATTACGAAAATGCCATCCGAATTGGCCTAAATCGATGCTTAACGGACTTATCATCCGTGGAGAATAGGATCAATAGACTTCATTATTGGTGCAGAATAACCTCGGCCTGATTCCGTGATCTGTAGCCTCCAGAATCGAAAGAAAATGACATTTCGGATAAATCGCCGGAAATCTGTGATGGTACCCCTTTGGAATCTGCCAAAAATTGACCCGGAATAAATCCGCACAAATCGGTGCTTAATGGACTCAATCATTGTTGGTGAATAGCCTCAGACCGAATCCGTGATCTGTAGCCTTCAATATCCAATGAAAATGGCCTTTCCTCGCCCAAGAAATTACGAAAATGCCATCCGAAAATAAATTGGTCAAAATCGATGCTTAACGGACTTATCATCCGTGGAGAATAGGATCAATAGACTTCATTATCGGTGGAGATTAGCCTCGGCCTGATTCCGTGATCTGTAGCCTCCAGAATCGAAAGAAAATGGCATTTCGGATAAATCGACCGAAATCTATGATGGTACCCCTTTGGAATCTGCCAAAAATTGACTTGGAATAAATTCGCCCAAATCGGTGCTTAATGGACTCAATCATCGCTGGAGAATAGCCTCAGGCCGAATCCGTGATCTGTAACCTTCAATATCCAAAGAAAATGGCCTTTCGTCGCCCAAGAAATTACAAAAATGCCATCCGTAAATAAATTGGCCAAAATCGATGCGTAACGGACTTATCATCCGTGGAGAATAGGATCAATAATCCTCATTATCGGTGGAGAATAGCCTCGGCCCGATTCCGTGATCTGTAGCCTCCAGAATCGAAAGAAAATGGCATTTTGGATAAATCGCGCGAAATCTGTGATGGTACCCCTTTGGAATCTGCCAAAAATTGACCCGGAATAAATCCGCCCAAATCGGTGCTTAATGGACTCAATCATCATTGGAGAATAGCCTCAGGCCGAATCCGTGATCTGTAGCCTTCAATATCCAACGAAAATGGCCTTTCGTCGCCCAAGAAATTACGAAAATGCCATCCGAAAATAAATTGGCACAAATCGATGCTTAACGGACTTATCATCCGTGGAGAATAGGATCAATTGACTACATTATCGATGGAGAATAACCTCAGCCTGATTCCGTGATCTGTAGCCTCCAGAATCGAAAGAAAATGACATTTCGGATATATCGCCCGAAATCTGTGATGGTACCCCTTTGGAATCTGCCAAAAATTGACCCGGAATAAATCCGCCCAAATCGGTGCTTAATGGACTCAATCATTGTTGGTGAATAGCCTCAGACTGAATCCGTGATATGTAGCCTTCAATATCCAATGAAAATGGCCTTTCGTCGCCCAAGAATTTACGAAAATGACATCCGAAAATAAATTGGCCCAAATCGATGCTTAACGGACTTATCATCCGTGGAGAATAGGATCAATAGACTTCATTATCGATGGAGAATAGCCTCGGCCTGATTCCGTGATCTGTAGCCTCCAGAATCGAAAGAAAATGGCATTTCGTATAAATCGCCCGAAATCTGTGATGGTACCCCTTTGGAATCTGCAAAAAATTGACCCGGAATAAATCCGCCCAAATCGGTGCTTAATGGACTCAATCATCGATGGAGAATAGCCTCAGGCCGAATCCGTGATCTGTAGCCTTTAATATCCAAAGAAAATGGCCTTTCGTCGCCCAAGAAATTATGAAAATGCCATCCGAAAATAAATTGGCCCAAATCGATACTTAACGGACTTATCATCCGTGGAGAATAGGATCAATAGACTTCATTATCGGTGGAGAATAGCCTCGGCCTGATTCCGTGATCTGTAGCCTCCAGAATCGAAAGAAAATGGCATTTCGGATAAATCACCCAAAATCTGTGATGGAACCCCTTTGGAATCTCCCAAAAATTGACCCGGAATAAATCCGCCCAAATCGGTGCTTAATGGACTCAATCATCGCTGGAGAATAGCCTCAGACCGAATCCGTGATCTGTAGCCTTCAATATCCAAAGAAAATGGCCTTTTGACTCGACTCTACTGTCACTCCAGGAATTGGCCAAGTGAAACCACTTCCTAAAGCGTAGTATAGCGGGTTTGGGTTTAATTATCAACCCGGGTCCTAGATATGATGACTACTCAGTGAATTCGTGTTATCTAGCAATGAAACTGGAATGCAAGTCTAAACTACCAAACAGACAAAGCAAGTAAACTGTTGTATTCAGGTTAAAGAGGTCACCCGGATATGGTTCCCCCTAGACTGCAGTTAAGCCGGATTGTAATTACCAAGTTCAGTTTCTATGACAGTTATACTGCGGAAGGGTCTTAAACAGCCTGAAGTCTCGTCTAAAGGTCTTCAGACCCTCTCAATCTGACTCTCTAGCGGGCGACTAACCTCCACCGGAGTCGACAGATTGAGGCCCTAAGAACAAAACCTCCACTACCGGAGTAAATCCGGTACAGAATAGTGAGTTGGCTCCTCGACTAAAGTCACCAACTCCCTACCTTCAATCAAGGATACTCTATTAACCTAGGCAGATATTCTCATTCTAGGTTAAAGCAGAAACAACAGGAATTTGATCAGGATTCAAGTCATTCAATCATTAAAACCTCAATCGAATATAATCAATCACAGAATCAGTACTTGGGTTCATACAATCAAAGCCTAACATACAAATCTAGGGTTCTCCATACCCAGATGAATGGGAGAACTACTCCATAGAGAAGGAAGCAAAAGCAGAAACAGACACGGAATTCATACTGCGAAGGACGGATTCCGGCTCCTGGACGTTGATCGGCACTTCTCCAAGCTCAAACTGGCCTCCAATGGTGTTGAAGATCAATCTAGGGCACTTGGGAACTCTTGCTCGTCACTTTCTCTCTCTAGAAGTCGTTCTTTCTCTCAAAAACTCGAATCCCCCTTCTGTTTGGCTGAAAATCTGCTTAAAAAGGCATCAGCCAAAGCACGGTCGAGGGCACGGCCGTGTAATGCCTCAGCCCGCCCGTGCTTTGGCTAGTGTTAATTACACTAGCAGCAGTGGGGAGAAACACGGCCGTGCTTCGCTTTGGACACGGCCGTGTAATGCTTGAACACGCCCGTGCTTTGTTTTGGCCCTGCCCGTGTAATCAGCTCAGCTCTCGGCATAAAAAGCACGGCCACCAGAACACGGCCGTGTAATGATTTAGGTGTGCCTGTGTTTTGGCTCCAGCTCACCGAAATGACTTCCGAATGCCCCGAAACTCGCGCTTAGCCTTCCCTTTGACACCTGGGACCTGAAACATGACAAAATAGCACAACCCGGCGTAAAATAGGCCACAACACACGAATATGCCCCTCAAACGGATAAGAACTAGGGGCGCAAATATGTGCAATTACATCGTTATCAAACTCCCCCACACTTAACCGTTTGCTTGTCCCCAAGCAAACCTAACTCAAACCAATGCAACTCTCCAGACCTCTATAGCAACAAACAATCCAGATCGTAGGTAGAGGACTTTCTAGATCATTTAGCAACTTACGAGGTCAACCGACGCACAAGTCATCTCAAAACTTCTTATCGAGTCGGCATCATGGCAAACAGTGAACAGAGGACAAATGAATTGTGGATGAAGAGATTCTCAAAAACAAAAGATCATGGGCTCACATTTTTCAAGGTGCTCGATTTTCTTTGAAGATGGTTGGAGCCCCTTTTTTTTCCTGTTTTGCTTGTTTTCTGTTATTTTTCTTTTCTTTTTTTTTTCTTTTCAAGGGTCCCAACCTGCTCTTACCGGCCATGCCAGGAGCGGATGTCTCGAGCCTCGTGCGGGGTAAAGACATGTAAGGGGGCTGGAGGTAGTAGGTGGAAATTGGGAACAGATTCCCGTCTCCCCTTACACACTTTCGCCCTATTCGCACGGGAGACGTTATTTTGAAGCACATTTTCGAGCACCTGTTAAACTCAAAACATGATACAAGAGTCCATGACAGGTAGAGAATCCACAACACCACACAATTCACGGGTCCTAAGATCACTAATTCACTCAATCAACCAACTCAATATGAAGAAGAAATGAGACTTCTTAAATGCATCAACATCCTCCATAGTGCTACACTACCTCCCTAGGTTGCATATTACTATAAAGACTGTCAATTCAAAGCATACTGAGCAGGCAATTGCAAGGAAACACGTACTTGGAGCCCTCAAATTTAAAAATTTGGACAGTGGACTAGGCTCCAAGCACACAAACAGATCTAATGCAGTCAAAAGATAAACACCCCCCCACACTTAAGATCGACATTGCCCTCAATGGAGAAGAGGGAAGGAAAAGGGAAAGATGTTACCGGTATGCACGGGCTGCAGGGGGATAAATCGCCCGAAATCTGTGATGGTACCCCTTTGGAATCTGCAAAAAATTGACCCGGAATAAATCCGCCCAAATTGGTGCTTAATGGACTCAGTCATCGCTGGAGAATAGCCTCAGGCCGAATCCGTGATCTGTAGCCTTTAATATCCAAAGAAAATGGCCTTTCGTCGCCCAAGAAATTATGAAAATGCCATCCGAAAATAAATTGGCCCAAATCGATACTTAACGGACTTATCATCCGTGGAGAATAGGATCAATAGACTTCATTATCGGTGGAGAATAGCCTCGGCCTGATTCCGTGATCTGTAGCCTCCAGAATCGAAAGAAAATGGCATTTCGGATAAATCGCCCGAAATTTGTGATGGAACCCCTTTGGAATCTCCCAAAAATTGACCCGGAATAAATCCGCCCAAATCGGTGCTTAATGGACTCAATCATCGCTGGAGAATATCCTCAGACCGAATCCGTGATCTGTAGCCTTCAATATCCAAAGAAAATGGCCTTTCGTCGCCAAGAAATTACGTAAATGGCATCGGAAAATAAATTTGCCCAAATCGATTTTTTAACGGACTTATCATCCTTGGAGAATAGGATCAATAGACATCATTATCGGTGGAGAATAACCTCTGCCTGATTCCGTGATCTGTAGCCTCCAGAATCGAAAGAAAATTGCATTTCGGATAAATCGCCCGAAATCTGTGATGGTACCCCTTTGGAATCTGCCAAAAATTGGCCCCGAATAAATCCGACCAAATCAGTGCTTAATGGACTCAATCATCGCTGGAGAATAGCCTCAGGCCGAATCCGTGATCTGTAGCCTTCAATATCCAAAGAAAATGGCCTTTCGTCGCCCAAGAAATTACGAAAATGCCATCCGAATTGGCCCTAATCGATGCTTAACGGACTTATCATCCGTGGAGAATAGGACCAATAGACTTCATTATCGGTGGAGAATAACCTCGGACTAATCTCGTGATCTGTAGCCTCCAGAATCGAAAGAAAATGGCATTTCGGATAAATCGCCCGAAATCTGTGATGGTACCACTTTGGAATCTGCCAAAAATTGACCTGGAATAAATCCGCCCAAATCGGTTCTTAATGGACTCAATCATCGCTGCAGAATAGCCTCAGGCCGAATCCGTGATCTGTAGCCTTCAATATCCAAAGAAAATGGCATTTCGTCGCCGAAGAAATTACGAAAATGCCATCCGAAAATAAATTGGCCCAAATCATTGCTTAACGGACTTATCGTCCGTGAAGAATAGGATCAATAGACTTCATTATCGGTGGAGATTAGCCTCGGCCTGATTCCGTGATCTGCAGCCTCCAGAATTGAAAGAAAATGGCATTTCGGATAAATCGCCCGAAATCTGTGATGGTACCCCTTTGGAATGTGCCAAAAATTGACCTTGAATAAATCCGCCCAAATCGGTGCTTAATGGACTCAATCATCGTTGGAGAATAGCCTAGGCCGAATCCGTGATCTGTAGCCTTCAATATCCAAAGAAAATGGCCTTTCGTCGCCCAAGAAATTACGGAAATGCCATCTGAAAATAAATTTGCCCAAATCGATGCTTAAAGAACTTATCATCCGTGGAGAATAGGATCAATAGAGTTCATTATCGGTGGAGAATAGCCTCGGCCTGATTCCGTGATCTGTAGCCTCCAGAATCGAAAGAAAATGGCATTTCGGATAAATCGCCGAAATCAGTGATGGTACCCCTTTGGAATCTGCCAAAAATTGACCCGGAATAAATCCGCCTAAATCGGTGCTTAATGGACTCAATAATCGTTGGTGAATAGCCTCAGGCCGAATCCGTGATCTGTAGCCTTCAATATCCAATGAAAATGGCCTTTCGTCGCCCAAGAAATTACGGAAATGCCATCCTAAAATAAATTGGCCCAAATCTATGCTTAACGGACTTATCATCCGTGGAGAATAGGATCAATAGATTTCATTATCGGTGGAGAATAGCCTCAGCCTGATTCCGTGATCTGTAGCCTCCAGAATCTAAAGAAACTCGCATTTCGGATAAATCGCCCGAAATCTGTGATGGTACCCCTTTGGAATCTGCCAAAAATTGACCCGGAATAAATCCGCCCAAATCGGTGCATAATGGACTCAATCATCGCTGGAGAATAGCCTCAGGCCGAATCCGTGATCTGTAGCCTTCAATATCCAAAGAAAATGGCCTTTCGTCGCCCAAGAAATTACGAAAATGCCATCCGAAAATAAATTGGCCAAAATCGATGCTTAACGGACTTATCATCCGTGGAGAATAGGATCAATAGAGTTCATTATCGGTGGAGAATAGCCTCGGCCTGATTCCGTGATCTGTAGCCTCCAGAATCAAAATAAAATCGCATTTCGGATAAATCGCCCGAAATCTGTGATGGTACCCCCTTTGGAATCTGCCAAAAATTGACCCGGAATAAATTCGCCCAAATCGGTGCTTAATGGATTCAATCATCGCTGGAGAATAGCCTCACGCCGAAACTGTGATCTGTAGCCTTCAATATCCAAAGAAAATGGCCTTTCGTCGCCCAAGAAATTACGAAAATGCCATCCGAAAATAAATTGGCCCAAATCGATGCTTAACGGACTTATCATCCGTGGAGAATAGGATCAATAGACTTCATTATCGGTGGAGAATATCCTCGGCCCGATTCAGTGGTCTGTAGCCTCCAGAATCAAAATAAAATCGCATTTCGGATAAATCGCCCGTAATCTGTGATGGTACCCCTTTGGAATCTCCCAAAAATTGACCCGGAATAAATCCGCACAAATCGGTGCTTAATGGACTCAATCATCGCTGGAGAATAGCCTCAGGCCGAATCCGTGATCTGTAGCCTTCAATAATCAAAGAAAATGTCGTCGCCCAAGAAATTACGAAAATGCCATCCGAAAATAAATTGGCCCAAATCGATGCTTAACGGACTTATCATCCGTGGAGAATAGGATCAATAGACTTCGTTATCGGTGGAGAATAGCGTCGGCCTGATTCCGTGATCTGTAGCCTCCAGAATCTAAAGAAAATGGCATTTCGGATAAATCGCCCGAAATCTGTGATGGTACCCCTTTGGAATCTGCCAAAAATTGACCCGGAATAAATCCGCCCAAATCGGTGCATAATGGACTCAATCATCGCTGGAGAATAGCCTCAGGCCGAATCCGTGATCTGTAGCCTTCAATATCCAAAGAAAATGGCCTTTCGTCGCCCAAGAAATTACGAAAATGCCATCCGAAAATAAATTGGCCAAAATCGATGCTTAACGGACTTATCATCCGTGGAGAATAGGATCAATAGACTTCGTTATCGGTGGAGAATAGCCTCGGCCTGATTCCGTGATCTGCAGCCTCCAAAATTGAAAGAAAATGGCATTTCGGATAAATCGCCTGAAATCTGTGATGGTACCCCTTTGGAATCTGCCAAAAATTGACCCGGAATAAATCCGCCCAAATCGGTGCTTAATGGACTCAATCATCGTTGGAGAATAGCCTAGGCCGAATCCGTGATCTGTAGCCTTCAATATCCAAAGCAAATGGCCTTTCGTCGCCCAAGAAATTACGAAAATGCCATCCGAAAATAAATTGGCCCAAATCATTGCTTAATGGACTTATCATCCGTGGAGAATAGGATATATAGACTTCATTATCGGTGGAGAATAGCCTCGGCCTGATTCCGTGATCTGTAGCCTCCAGAATCGAAAGAAAATGGCATTTCGGATAAATCGCCGGAAATCTGTGATGGTACCCCTTTGGAATCTGCCAAAAATTGACCCGGAATAAATCCGCCCAAATCGGTGCTTAATGGACTCAATCATCGTTGGAGAATAGCCTCAGGCCGAATCCGTGATCTGTAGCCTTCAATATACAAAGAAAATGGCCTTTCGTCGCCCAAGAAATTACGAAAATGCCATCCTAAAATAAATTGGTCCAAATCTATGCTTAACGGACTTATCATCCGTGGAGAATAGGATCAATAGACATCATTATCGGTGGAGAATAGCCTCGGCCTGATTCCGTGATCTGTAGCCTCCACAATCTAAAGAAAATGGCATTTCGGATAAATCGCCCGAAATCTGTGATGGTACCCCTTTGGAATCTGCCAAAAATTGACCCGGAATAAATCCGCCCAAATCGGTGCTTAATGGACTCAATCATCGTTGGAGAAAAGCCTTAGGCCGAATCCGTGATCTGTAGCCTTCAATATCCAAAGAAAATGGCCTTTCGTCGCCCAAGAAATTACGAAAATGCCATCCGAAAATAAATAGGCCCAAATCGATGCTTAACGGACTTATCATCCGTGGAGAATAGGATCAATAGACTTCGTTATCGGTGGAGAATAGCCTCGGCCTGATTCCGAGATCTGTAGCCTCCAGAATCGAAAGAAAATGGCATTTTGGATAAATCGCCCGAAATCTGTGATTGTACCCCTTTGGAATCTGCCAAAAATTGACCCGGAATAAATCCACCCAAATCGGTGCTTAATGGACTCAATCATCGCTGGAGAATAGCCTCAGGCCAAATCCGTGATCTGTAGCCTTCAATATCCAAAGAAAACGGCCTTTCGTCGCCCAAGAAATTACGAAAATGCCATCCGAAAATAAATTGGCCCAAATCGATGCTTAACGGACTTATCATCCGTGGAGAATAGGATCAATAGACTTCATTATCGGTGGAGAATAGCCTCGGCCTGATTCCGTGATCTGTAGCCTCAAGAATCGAAACCAAATGGCATTTCGGATAAATCGCCCGAAATATGTGATCGTACCCCTTTGGAATCTGCCAAAAATTGACCCGGAATAAATCCGCCCAAATCGGTGCTTAATGGACTCAATCATCGTTGGAGAATAGCCTAGGCCTAATCCGTGATCTGTAGCCTTCAATATCCAAAGCAAATGGCCTTTCGTCGCCCAAGAAATTACGAAAATGCCATCCAAAAATAAATTGGCTCAAATCATTGCTTAACGGACTTATCATCCTTGGAGAATAGGATCAATAAACTTCATTATCGGTGGAGAATAGCCTCGGCCTGATTCCGTGATCTGCAGCCTCCAAAATTGAAAGAAAATGGCATTTCGGATAAATCGCCTGAAATCTGTGATGGTACCCCTTTGGAATCTGCCAAAAATTGACCCGGAATAAATCCGCCCAAATCAGTGCTTAATGGACTCAATCATTGTTGGAGAATAGCCTAGGCCGAATCCGTGATCTGTAGCCTTCAATATCCAAAGAAAATGGCCTTTCGTCGCCCAAGAAATTACGGAAATGCCATCCTAAAATAAATTGGCCAAAATCGATGCTTAACGGACTTATCATCCGTGGAGAATAGGATCAATAGACTTCGTTATCGGTGGAGAATAGCCTCGGCCTGATTCGGTGATCTGCAGCCTCCAAAATTGAGAGAAAATGGCATTCCGGATAAATCGCCTGAAATCTGTGATGGTACCCCTTTGGAATCTGCCAAAACTTGACCCGGAATAAATCCGCCCAAATCGGTGCTTAATGGACTCCATCATCGTTGGAGAATAGCCTAGGCCGAATCCGTGATCTGTAGCCTTCAATATCTAAAGAAAATGGCCTTTCGTCGCCCAAGAAATTACGGAAATGCCATCCTAAAATAAATTGGCCCAAATCGATGCTTAACGGACTTATCATCCGTGGAGAATAGGATCAATAGACTTCGTTATCGGTGGAGAATAGCCTCGGCCTGATTCCGTGATCTGTAGCCTCCAGAATCTAAAGAAAATGGCATTTCGCATAAATCGCCCGAAATTTGTGATGGTACCCATTTGGAATCTGCCAAAAATTGACCCAGAATAAATCCGCCCAAATCGGTGCTTAATGGACTCAATCATCGCTGGAGAATAGCCTCAGGCCGAATCCGTGATCTGTAGCCTTCAATATCCAAAGAAAACGGCCTTTCGTCGCCCAAGAAATTACGAAAATGCCATCCGAAAATAAATTGGCCCAAATCGATGCTTAACGGAATTATCATCCGTGGAGAATAGGAGCAATAGACTTCATTATCGGTGGAGAATAGCCTCGGCCTGATTCCGTGATCTGTAGCCTCCAGAATCGAAACCAAATGGCATTTCGGATAAATCGCCCGAAATATGTGATCGTACCCCTTTGGAATCTGCCAAAAATTGACCCGGAATAAATCCGCCCAAATCGGTGCTTAATGGACTCAATCATCGTTAGAGAATAGCCTAGGCCGAATCCGAGATCTGTAGCCTTCAATATCCAAAGCAAATGGCCTTTCGTCGCCCAAGAAATTACGAAAATGCCATCCGAAAATAAATTGGCTCAAATCATTCCTTAACGGACTTATCATCCGTGGAGAATAGGATCAATAGACTTCATTATCGGTGGAGAATAGCCTCGGCCTGATTCCGTGATCTGCAGCCTCCAAAATTGAAAGAAAATGGCATTTCGGATAAATCGCCTGAAATCTATGATGGTACCCCTTTGGAATCTGCCAAAAATTGACCCGGAATAAATCCGCCCAAATCGGTGCTTAATGGACTCAATCATCGTTGGAGAATAGCCTAGGCCGAATCCATGATCTGTAGTCTTCAATATCCAAAGAAAATGGCCTTTCGTCGCCCAAGAAATTACGGAAATGCCATCCTAAAATAAATTGGCCCAAATCTATGCTTAACGGACTTATCATCCGTGGAGAATAGGATCAATAGACTTCATTATCGGTGGAGAATAGCCTCGGCCTGATTCCGTGATCTGTAGCCTCCAGAATCTAAAGAAAATGGCATTTCGGATAAATCACCCGAAATCTGTGATGGTACCCCTTTGGAATCTGCCAAAAATTGACCCGGAATAAATCCGCCCAAATCGGTGCATAATGGACTCAATCATCGCTGGAGAATAGCCTCAGGCCGAATCCGTGATCTGTAGCCTTCAATATCCAAAGAAAATGGCCTTTCGTCGCCCAAGAAATTACGAAAAATGCCATCCGAAAATAAATTGGCCAAAATCGATGCTTAACGGAATTATCATCCGTGGAGAATAGGATCAATAGACTTCGTTATCGGTAGAGAATAGCCTCGGCCTGATTCCGTGATCTGTAGCCACCAGAATCGAAAGAAAATGGCATTTCGGATAAATCGCCCGAAATCTGTGATGGTACCCCTTTGGAACCTGCCAAAAATTGACCCGGAATAAATCCACCCAAATCGGTGCTTAATGGACTCAATCATCGTTGGAGAATAGCCTAGGCCGAATCCGTGATCTGTAGCCTTCAATAACCAAAGAAAATGGCCTTTCGTCGACCAAGAAATTACGGAAATGCCATCCGAAAATAAATTTGCCCAAATCGATGCTTAAAGAACTTATCATCCGAGGAGAATAGGATCAATAGAGTTCATTATCGGTGGAGAATAGCCTCGGCCTGATTCCGTGATCTGTAGCCTCCAGAATCGAAAGAAAATGGCATTTCGGATAAATCGCCCGAAATCTGTGATGGTACCCCTTTGGAATCTGCCAAAAATTGACCCGGAATAAATACTCACAAATCGGTGCTTAATGGACTCAATCAATGCTGGAGAATAGCTTCAGCGCGAATCCGTGATCTGTAGCCTTCAATATCCAAAGAAAATGGCCTTTCGTCGCCAAAGAAATTACGAAAATGCCATCCGAAAATAAATAGTCCCAAATCGATGCTTAACGTACTTATCATCCGTGGAGAATAGGATCAATAGACTTCATTATCGGTGGAGAATAGCCGCGGCCTGATTCCGTGATCTGTAGCCTCCAGAATCGAAAGAAAATAGCATTTTGGATAAATCGCAAGAAATCTGTGATGGTACCCCTTTGGAATCTGCCAAAAATTGACCCGGAATAAATCCGCCCAAATCGGTGCTTAATGGACTCAATCATCGCTGGAGAATAGCCTCAGGCCGAATCCGTGACCTTTAGCCTTCAATATACAAAGAAAATGGTCTTTCGTCGCCCAAGAAATTACGAAAATGTCATCCGAAAATAAATTGGCCCAAATCGATGCTTAACTGACTTATCATCCGTGGAGAATAGGATCAATAGACTTCATTATCGGTGGAGAATAGCCTCGACCTGATTCCGTGATCTGTAGCCTCCAAAATCGAAAGAAAATGGCATTTCGGATAAATCGCCCGAAATCTGTAATGGTACCCCTTTGGAATCTGCCAAAAATTGTCCCGGAATAAATCCGCCCAAATCGGTGCTTAATGGATTCAATCATCGCTAGAGAATAGCCTCACGCCGAAACTGTGATCTGTAGCCTTCAATATCCAAAGAAAATGGCCTTTCGTCGCCCAAGAAATTACGAAAATGCCATCCGAAAATAAATTGGCCCAAATCGATGCTTAACGGACTTATCATCCGTGGAGAATAGGATCAATAGACTTCATTATCGGTGGAGAATAGCCTCGGCCTGATTCCGTGATCTGTAGCCTCCAGAATCGAAAGAAAATGGCATTTCGGATAAATCGCCCGAAATCTGTGATAGTACCCCTTTGGAATCTGCCAAAAATTGACCCGGAATAAATCCGCCCAAATCGGTGCTTAATGGACTCAATCATCGCTGGAGAATAGCCTCAGGCCGAATCCGTGATCTGTAACCTTCAATATCCAAAGAAAATGGTCTTTCGTCGCCCAAGAAATTACGAAAATGTCTTCCGATAATAAATTGGCCCAAATCGATGCTTAACGGACTTATCATCCGTTGAGAATAGGATCAATAGACTTCATTATCGGTGGAGAATATCGTCGGCCTGATTCCGTGATCTGTAGCCTCCAGAATCGAAAGAAAATGGCATTTCGGATAAATCGCCCGAAATCTGTGATCGTACCCCATTGGAATCTGCCAAAAATTGACCCGTAATAAATCCACCCAAATCGGTGCTTAATGGACTCAATCATCGTTGGAGAATAGCTTCAGGGCGAATCCGTGATCTGTAGCCTTCAATATCCAAAGAAAATGGCCTTTCGTCGCCAAAGAAATTACGAAAATGCCATCCGAAAATAAATAGTCCCAAATCGATGCTTAACGGACTTATCATCCGTGGAGAATAGGATCAATAGACTTCATTATCGGTGGAGAATAGCCTCGGCCTGATTCCGTGATCTGTAGCCTCCAGAATCGAAAGAAAATAGCATTTTGGATAAATCGCCGGAAATCTGTGATGGTACCCCTTTGGAATCTGCCAAAAATTGACCCGGAATAAATCCACCCAAATCGGTGCTTAATGGACGCAATCATCGCTGGAGAATAGCCTCAGGCCGAATCCGTGATCTGTAGCCTTCAATATCCAAAGAAAATGGCCTTTCGTCGCCCAAGAAATTACGAAAATGCCATCCGAAAATAAATTGGCCCAAATCGATGCTTAACGGACTTATCATCCGTGGAGAATAGGATCAATAGACTTCATTTTCGGTGGAGAATAGCCTCGTCCTGATTTTGTGATCTGTAGCCTCAAGAATCGAAAGAAAATGGCATTTCGGATAAATCGCCTGAAATCTGTGATGTACCCCTTTGGAATCTGCCAAAGATTGACCCAGAATAAATCCGCCCAAATCGGTGCGTAATGGACTCAATCATCGTTGGAGAATAGCCTCAGGGCGAATCCGTGATCTGTAGCCTTCAATATCCAAAGAAAATGGCCTTTCGTCGCCGAAGAAATTACGAAAATGCCATCCGAAAATAAATAGCCCCAAATCGATGCTTAACGGACTTATCATCCGTGGAGAATAGGATCAATAGACTTCATTATCGGTGGAGAATAGCCTCGGTCTGATTCCGTGATCTGTAGCCTCCAGAATAGATAGAAAATGGCATTTCGGATAAATCGCCCGATATCTGTGATGGTACCCCTTTGGAATATGCCAAAAATTGACCCGGAATAAATCCGCCCAAATCGGTGCTTAATGGACTCAATCATCGCTGGAGAATAGTCTCAGGCCGAATCCGTGATCTGTAGCCTTCAATATCCAAAGAAAATGGCCTTTCGTCGCCCAAGAAATTACGAAAATGCCATCCGAAAATAAATTGACCCAAATCGATGCTTAACGGACTTATCATCCGTGGAGAATAGGATCAATAGACTTCATTATCGGTGGAGAATAGCCTCGGCCTGATTCCGTGATCTGTAGCCTCCAAAATCGAAAGAAAATGGCATTTCGGATAAATCGCCCAAAATCTGTAATGGTACCCCTTTGGAATCTGCCAAAAATTGACCCGGAATAAATCCGCCCAAATCGGTGTTTAATGGACTCAATCATCGCTGGAGAATAGCCTCAGGGCGAATCCGTGATCTGTAGCCTTCAATATCCAAAGAAAATGGCCTTTCGTCGCCCAAGAAATTATGAAAATGCCATCCGAAAATAAATTGACCCAAATCGATGCTTAACGGACTTATCATCCGTGGAGAATAGGATGAATAGACTTCATTATCGGTGGAGAATAGCCTCGGCCTGATTCCGTGATCTGTAGCCTCCAGAATCGAAAGAAAATGGCATTTCGGATAAATCGCCCGAAACCTGTGATGGTACCCCTTTGGAATCTTTCAAAAATTGACCCGGAATAAATCCGCCCAAATCGGTGCTTAATGGACTCAATCATCGCTGGAGAATAGCCTCAGGGCGAATCCGTGACCTTTAGCCTTCAATATACAAAGAAAATGGTCTTTCGTCGCCCAAGAAATTACGAAAATGTCATCCGAAAATAAATTGGCCCAAATCGATGCTTAACGGACTTATGATCCGTGGAGAATAGGATCAATAGACTTCATTATCGGTGGAGAATAGCCTCGGCCTGATTCCGTGATCTGTAGCCTCCAGAATCGAAAGAAAATAGCATTTTGGATAAATCGCCCGAAATCTGTGATGGTACCCCTTTGGAATCTGCCAAAAATTGACCCGGAATAAATCCGCCCAAATCGGTGCTTAATGGACTCAATCATCGCTGGAGAATAGCCTCAGGCCGAATCCGTGACCTTTAGCCTTCAATATCCAAAGAAAATGGTCTTTCGTCGCCCAAGAAATTACGAAAATGTGATCCGAAAATAAATTGGCCCAAATCGATGCTTAATGGACTTATCATCCGTGGAGAATAGGATCAATAGACTTCATTATCGGTGGAGAATAGCCTCGGCCTGATTTTGTGATCGGTAGCCTCAAGAATCGAAAGAAAATGGAATTTCTGATAAATCGCCTGAAATCTGTGATGTACACCTTTGGAATCTGCCAAAGATTGACCCAGAATAAATCCGCCCAAATCGGTGCTTAATCGACTCAATCATTGTTGGAGAATAGCCTCAGGGCGAATCCGTGATCTGTAGCCTTCAATATCCAAAGAAAATGGCCTTTCGTCGCTGAAGAAATTACGAAAATTTCATCCGAAAATAAATAGTCCCAAATCGATGCTTAACGGACTTATCATCCGAGAAGAATAGGATCAATAGACTTCATTATCGGTGGAGAATAACCTCGGCCTGATTCCGTGATCTGTAGCCTCCAGAATCGAAAGAAAATTGCATTTCGGATAAATCGCCCGAAATCTGTGATGGTACCCCTTTGGAATCTGCCAAAAATTGACCCGGAATAAATCCGCCCAAATCGGTGCTTAATGGACTCAATCTTCGTTGGAGAATAGCCTCAGGCCGAATCCGTGATCTGTAGCCTTCAATATCCCAAGAAAATGGCCTTTCGTCTCCCAAGAAATTACGAAAATGTCATCCGAAAATAAATTGCCCCAAATCGATGCTTAACGGACTTATCATCCGTGGAGAATAGGATCAATAGACTTCATTATCGGTGGAGAATAGCCTCGGCCTGATTCCTTGATCTGTAGCCTCCAGAATCGAAAGAAAATGACTTTTCGAAAAAATCTCACGAAATCTGTGATGGTACCCTTTGGAATCTGCTAAAAATTGTCTCGAAAAAAATCCACCCAAATCGGTGTTTAATGGACTTAATCATCGTTGAAGAATAGCCTCAGGCCGAATCAGTGACCCGAAGCCTTCAAATCCAAAGAAAATCACCTTTCGTCGCCCCATAAATTATGAAAATGTCATCCTAAAATAAATTGGCTCAAATCGTTGTTTAACGGACTTATCATCCGTGGAGAATAGGATCAATAGACTTCATTATCGGTGGAGAATAACCTCGATCTGATTCCATGATCTGTAGCCTCCGTACCATCACACTTTTCGGGCAATTTTTTTGAAAGATGATTTTTCTTGAATTTTGAAGGCTATATATCACGAATTCATCCCGAGACTATTTCCATCATTGATTAAGTCTATTAATCGTCAATTTGGGCGAATTATTTTCGAAGGACATTTTAGTATTTATTGGGTGATTTTTTCGAAAGATATTTTTTCTCGGACATTGAAGGCTACAAATCAACAAGTCAACCTAAGGTCATTCTCCAAGCACCGATTTGGACGAACTTTTTCCAGATCCATTTTTGACATATCCCAAAGTATATATTCACATACATTCTCCCTTCACATTGTTTCAGGGCATGAATACAGGAATTTTGTTTTTACAATCCAATGGAGCTATTATCTGAACAAGTAATGTCGGTGATTACAAATCTCTAGAGTGAGTAATTCCACAAAACTAAGATATTGAAGTATTATCAACATCACTGCAATAGGATTAACCGCCAGATTGTGACATTATTCGAGCACCCAAAAGTCTACCATACTAGATACTACCATCCAAGCTACGATCATTAGGATCCTACTCCGATTGTAAAATGACAATTGATTTCATCAGTGAAAATTGTAGTACAGAATTTACCAACTACATCAATAAATTAAACTAAGCAGAGATCATTTGGAAGGTTTCTCCTCTTCCACCAACAAATGCACCATAGATTTCACCACTTCATTCTCCACAATACCTGATTTCTGTCAAATTCAAAACACAGCTTAGATATGGATCAAGTGATGTTATCATTCACACGAACTGATTTACGTGAACTCGGGAGGGGACAGATATCATATACGCGATGCCTACCTCTGGCTTCTGAATTAGCTCTGTCAGCAAAGAATGAAGAGTCCGACGCAGTTCCCTGAACAGCACCGCTGTTTGTGCTGGGGCTGTGAGTTTCAGCCATCCATCTACTGTCACCAGTCGACTCTGTCGAGATGGCAGTTACGCTTTACACGACTGCCTTGAGGATAGAAGAGAGAAGAACTGAGGCTATATAGGATAGGATATCCTTACCTGGTGCTGAATGTTGATGGAGCCACCAAACAGCAACAGAGAGAACGGAGATATGACGGTTGTGTCTCGGAGGAACACTTTGTTTGTCTCGACCTGAAAAGACAGCACAGAAAAAGAAACTAGAATGCATGAAACGGCATGATATGGTTGTTCTAATGGAGCAGGAAGGGTCTACAGCTTGTTCAGAAACAACTCTTAACAGAAATGGAGATGACATCCATTTCCGATTCTCATCTTTGACAAATTCCAATTTGCAATCTTTTGTTTGGAACAATTCCCATGATTATGGAACTGAAGCATATTTTGAGTTCCTAAACGTAATGCTAAATCCATACAGTAGAAGAAGTTTGCATTACCTTTTCAAGGAACACAACAAATGGGTACTGAAAAGTCTCCAAGTTGGCATTGACGGAAGAAGGGTGTATACGGACTTCTCTTCGTCCATCATACCATATTGGAAGACCTTTACTCGTTGAACCGTGGGACTGTTTCAGATTGTTAAGAGCTGAAGAGACAACACCTTGATCTGTTGCAGCCACATTGGGGTACAATCCTGCACACAGAATCGCCTGCAAGCAAAAATCATTGGAATCTGATTGAATAAAGGAAACAAACCAAAATACACGAAATAGTAGCCAAATAAAAAGATTACTGAACAACCTTCACGATCGAAGAGTGATGAGAGTACATGTTGAACAGTTGAGAAGTCTGGGACAGCCAACGGTCAATATCCTCTTTCTTTTTCACTGCATTCTGGGCCTAGAAATTTCCCAGTTAATACTTATCTACAACGTTTTACAGTGGGTATTCAGCTTAAGATCCCTGTACGTACTACAACCGAATACAGCAGTACCTGACGACTGCTCGGCAGATTAATCAGCCCAATGTCAGCTAGCAACGTTCCAAATTGAACCCTCATGTCTCTGTGTGGGTATTTAACAAGAAAGAAGGACAAGAATGACAAAAGGCAAAATGGAAGCCAAATTATAACAACAGAAAACACGTAAAATTAACTTTGAGTTTGATTCTCAAACAAGTTTTGGACGAGAAGTACCAAGGAATATGTCTCACAAAATTGATGGAAGAGGAATTACCTAATCATGTACATAACCGAGCTGCTTAGAAAGTATGTATTGCAGAATCGTTCTGCTGCTCTGACACCTTTCTGCAAAAGTGAGCGTTCAAGCAGTAGTTAATTAGTGACTTTCTCCGTGACTACATACATGTCACAATGTTCAAAAAAGTATTGTACTCCAGAAATGCAATATTACTGAGGGAGAAAACATTAGGAATGATCAAAGATGATCAACAGTTTGAATCAGTTTCCACCTATCTATGTAGAAGCAAATAGCTTAAAGAGAACGTAGCCCTACACAATGAACCCGACCAGTGATTAAAGGAGTTAATTACAATGAGATCATAAAGTCTATGACGTGGAACTTAAACATATTTCAGACACATTATATCATCTACCATATGAACTATTCAAGATGTGCAAGCAGCTGTAAGAAAACTGATTGGATATTATCACGTCTAATGGTGAAACATATGCTTCTTAGACACACCAACAACTAAAACCCAGTTTTATTGAAAAGAAGCATTCTTTAAGGCAAAAACAGTACGAAATCACTAGAGCTAGAAAGATCTGCCAGACTATACACCTCAACCAGATACATGATAAATAGCAGAACTTAAAATTGAACTTGAATCACCTCATGCAAAATCTTAGCCCATTTTCTGTATGCTACTATCATCAGAAGGTGGTCAGATTGCCCATCATTCCCATTTGAATCAGCCGAGCCATCTACTTTATCGGCCAACAAAGCGAGTTTAGCTCTCTCAGCACTTTGCTTCTGAAAGTTGTGAACAACAAAAATTTCAATCTAACAGAATGAGAAGACATTAAAGCATTTCTTATTTACTGCAGAACAAACAAGAGAAACAGAAAAGAAACTGCCACAATGCAGGACCTCATCTTTGGGGTATACAAATGGGGATTTGTAGCTCAGAAATGCAGAAATCGAGAGAATCGGCGATAAACAACCAAATATTGCACCGTATAGCATCATCTGTAGTTTCAGAAAGAAAGAAAAAAACAAGTGTTATTTTTATATCAATCATTACTGATGGTGCTTAAAAGAATAACACAACATAGACTTGTCTCCTGATCCCGAGAACTACAATAAATGAAGACATCTGAACTTGGAAACCACTCTATTCTTCTAAGCAGCCCAGTATGTTTTTTTTTTTTTTTTTTTTTTTGGAAGCTATGTTAGTGTGTATAGTTTATCAGTAAGCACAGTTCTTCCTAAAAGTGTTTAACGCCACCCAACTATGCTGTAAACCAATTACATCAACACACAAGTTTATCCACCTTTTCAATAGGAATACTTGCACCCTGACCCGAATTTACTATTTAGAACACCTTAAAGCATCACTAATTATATAGACCCACCCATTTAACCATGACCTCTTGAATATTTGTACCACGATTGACACTAGTTTTGCTTTATGCAAAGGGGACTTATTGCTTTGGCTTTCTGGCCATTATTTGGGATGCTATGTCCACGTCAATCAGTTGCAACTTCCATGGAAAGTCCATTTTATAAAAAGGACAGAGAAACCATCAATTGAGCACCTTTCCAACCAACACGTCAACAGGGAGTTTTGCTAAATGGTGCCCCAGTGGCGTCAACTCTTCATCTCCTTCTACGGCTCCAACCTGAAAATAGTTCATTCCAGGTTGTTAGTACAAGGGAAAATATGAACAAAAATATCTCACTCTAAATATATTGCTACAAATGGCCCCATATTTTTTGCAACAAGGATAGAGTTCGCGGAAAGAGGAAATACCTCATATAACAATGAGATTGCAGAGGTAATAGCCTCTTCGGTCGGGGGTTCTAAAGCCTGAAAATTGAAATTAGTCAGACGAGTAATCATGAATTTAAATGATGAAAAATGCAAAAAATATATAGTATTAGTACCTCTTACCTTTGACAGGAAAGGCTTTATGTGGCCCAGCGAAAGCAACTTAATTTGTAGGCACAACTCCACCAAAGGCATTCGTAACATTTCAGGAACCTTGGCAATGCGAGGAGAGCAGCCCAAAGTGAGAGAAACACTTGAGCACATATTACAGAAATAGGAAATTACAGCACCATGGAATAACGTCAACCATATTTAGGGAGAACCTTACTTGGTAAGGTCGCATTAGTTTCTCAAAGCGATGACGGGTATATAAGCAAAGGCAAACACCAGGTTTTACACGACCAGCCCGCCCCCGTCGTTGCCTTGCATTTGCTTGAGAAATCCAATCTTCAACCATACTCGACAGTTTCTGAAGCAAAAAGGGAGCTGGTTAGTGCTGAACTAAAATAGGTCAGGATTCAACTGCATTACTGTGAAAAAAAGTCCAACTAGGCAGAACCAAACCTTTTTAGGATTATAACGGTTTTCTTTGTGCTTTCCGCTGTCAATTACATAAACCACATCATCTATTGTTATGCTGGTCTCTGCAATATTTGTTGCTATGATGATCTGGTTCACAGAAAACACAAAGGTAAATAAGTGAATAAAATAAATAAAAAACACCATTGTGCATGTAGGCATTAGGAGTAAGAAAAAGCGGTGTATATTGAGGATTTCGTATGGGTTAGAAGATGTGTAGTTATTACCACGTTTCATACATCGACATCACTTCTGAATCCTTTCAACAAAGGCAGTGCATTGTGACAATTCATGCATTAAAAATTTGAAACTTCCGGAATACATGTATTCCCACAACACAGACATTCTGCATCACGTGGTAATCTAACGACCCCTTAAATCATTTTAAGGGAGTAGCATTTATGGACACAATGACATTGTCATGTTACCTTCCGTATGTTGTCGGGAGGACGCAAAAAGACCTTTTTTTGCTCTGTTGATGCTATGGATGAGTGGAGTGGAAGTATCCAATCTGAGGAGGATCCACTAAAGCGAGATAAAGAAACCAATCTATCGTGTAGCATGTAAATTTCTGATGCTCCCTGTAACATATAGAGACCAGTAAAATAAATACACAAGGCAAAAGAGCAAAATAAATATGCTTTGCAGTTTGGATGCACTTACAGGCAAAAAAACGAGTATTGCACCCTCATCAAATGTTTCATCCACATGGCATACCAAGTCTTCAAGAAGATCATAATCAATGGCAGCTTCATTCAATCTTTTCTGATCAGAAGATTTGTGAATGATCCCTTGTATATCCTTGAAATTATATATATAATCTGAAGATCCTGTTTACACATACCAAATTTTGTTGTGTCTGCTCGCTGTAGGATTGATATAACTCTGATGCAAAGTGAGGATTGATGCAGTCTTCTGAGAGCACAGAATCATCACCCCACCCAGATAAGACAAGATTCTTCTTTCCTCTGTGGTTATCAACTGGACCACTCTGCAGAAAGCATGCTCTTTGCTCAACCAATAAACTCAGAGGAGAAATTATAACATCTATCTAAAAAATATATAATAGAGTTTCCCAATAAATGCATCTCCATTTCAAATTTTCTGCTCATTTATGCATCCACATCAGCACCCCTTAACCGATCATAAAACTCACTCACGGAAATAACTGGCCGCCAATATCTCTAGCGGCCCAATTTTTGGTGGACTTTAATTGTAGGAAGAAAAGCCCGACTCTTTGTTCCTTTTTTACTTCTCAAATTTATCTCTTAAAATTGCCACCTAAAAACCCTCCCATCATACATTTTGCGGTTACTTGGCAGTTTCTTTTTTTTCCGATCAAATATTTTGGGAGTTTCTTGGAGGTGAGAGAGAAATTGTGAAATGCAAATAAGTAATTGTTCTTTATATAATTAGTTAGCAGTATCTATATCTATCACTAAATATTAATTGATTGAAAGATAAATATGATAAATTTTAGAGGCATTTATAAACATGTGCATATTATAGGCTTAGCCTCTACTCAAAATTCATCAATTAAAACTTGAATGTATGAGTTTAAACTACATATTGTTTAAATCAAAGAATAAAAATCCTTAATTGAATGTCTATTGTTTAAGAGACAAATATGTTCTTTCAAAATGAGTTGGAGAAACATATATAACTTGAAATTTAAAATATTAGTTTAATCATAATTATGAAATACTTGATAATCTATGAGATTCACCCGGCCAACTGGCCGGGAAGAAAGCTAGTAGAAAGTAATGAGAAAAGGATGCCAGAAGAAAGAAAGCTCCCAAATATGAATATTAAAGAGACTCCAGAAAGAACCAATGTACTCTAGCTTCAGTCTAGCCAGGTTTGTTCCTTCCACTCAATATCTACTATTTCAGGTTTTGGCAGAAGGGAAAAAGTGTGCCACAAAGAAAAATACAAGGCCGGATAGAGCGAAGGGCATGACAGCATAAATGCAAGTATAACTGATTTGTACCTTTCCAGATGAGTGTTGTCTTAAAGCAGCTGGAGAATCGGAAGCCAAGCGGTAGTCCACACTTTCATATACATCCTCAAGGAAGTAGGTTGTCACAGGATGTGTGCGGCCTTGTGCGGTTAGTACAGGGCAGTGCCCAAAGTAACTAGAGAACAAATTTGAATCAACTGTCGCAGACCTGAAGCACAAATGTAATTAGGAAGAAATCCCCATGAATCACATGCAAAATACCAGAACCAAATAAGGCTGACAAAAGTAACTTACATCAGAATAACTTTCAGTTTGGGTAGACCATAAGAAGTTTGCTTCTCCAATAGGTTCTTCAAAACAATGAGGAGAAAATCACCCTGTTGAGATAAGACAAGTACCAGAAACCTAAATCAGCACAGTTCTCAGTCCTTCACTGGTGCTTGGAATCAGAATGCAGAATACAATTGTGTATAAGATCATTGCACAAACTTTTCGGGAAAAATATGATGGAGAACAAGACTTAAGACGGTATGAAAGAGTGAATGAGAGCTAAATCAAAGAAGGCTATCCATATTCTTAGATACAGGATTTTACAACACAACCATAGATGATTAATTTACGCACCAGAATGGAACGCTCGTGCACTTCATCAACTATGACATGACTTATGCCGGTCAAATTTTGGTCTGCCTACACCAAGTGCAAAAATCAGAAAGAGTAATGTGAAGTTGAGAACATATATACAGGACAACAATGTTGCATGAATGTCAAACAAGCTGATAATAATAAGTAGACAGTTTTAAGGGAATATTTTAAGAGTATCAGATAAAGTTGGTTGAAGTATGCTCGGTAGCATTAATAACATATGTTGGAACTTGAGGAAAATCTCTGCCGTCAATGTGAAGGGTAACATCTAGAAATATTTTGATGACAGGACATCTTCTTTACTTACATATGAAATAGCGTTATAAAAAGGGAAGTACACTAAAGGGAAGAATCTTTATAGATTCTCAATTAAGTGCTTAGTGATGGAATCATAGAGCTCGGTTTTCTCCAACTGACTTTGACAATTGCTACATATGCACCAGGAAAAAAGAGCTTATGAACCATGCGAGAAGAATAAAGGCAGACCTAAACTGAGATACAAGGAAGAGGACAGAAAATTAAACTATATATAATATATTGAAAAACTGAGAGGAAGCTCAGCATCTACTTTGATGAGTTCAGCCAGTTTAGATAATTTAGATTAACAGTATGATACAATGCGAACATAAATGTTAATATGCTAATGATAAATACTGCACTAGTCATTTGGAAAACCATGACAAGGAGAACATAAATATTGCAAGCACTTGAAGACAATACCAGAAGCTTCCTGAGAAGGATGCCTGTCGTACAGAATAGAAGTTTTGTTCCTTCGTTCCTGAACAGTTAGGGACATGAATGAATTAATGCACACCATATTTCATGAACAAACTGATATAGCTGCCAGATTGAGAATAATATTAACAATGTGAAACAAGGATTAAGGAAGACCTGTCACACATGAGATGGAAACTACTGAAGTAATCAAAACTCTCATCAATGTGCAAACAATGCATAATGAATAAAGCAGATCAATACCTGGCACTGTCTAACCGAACTTGATAACCAACCAATGAGCCACTCATGCCGGGGGAAGATTCACACCGTTCATAAGCAACTCTTTCAGCTACAGAAATAGCCTGCCATGTCAATATTGGTCAGTATAGAGATAAAAACTTTGTCAACACAGTCTAAGCACATTGAACAGGAATAGGTCTCCCTGGGGGATAGGTGATGTTGACGACAAATTGTGCACCAAAGTGGATTAGATGTTTTCATCCACATCATCACTAGGGCAACCTCTATGGGAACCAGCAATAGTCTTTGTTGATTAGCTAAGAGAAGTTGGACTTCCATATTTAACAATTAAGTACTTGGAAAACAATATCAGGACCAGTCTGTGGCAACTTATGCTATTAATTTAGAACGGTGAATTTCTTGGTCTCACAGCTGACAAGTCACAAACTGGTGACTGCATTGGTTGGTTGAAGATAAAGTCAGCTGCGACCTATAAGTGATGGACTGATAACTTCAAAATGAAGTTCAGGAATTGGCTTGCGCAGTGAAAAACATGTCCAGATGATTCAATAAACTTAAGCAGACCTTTTCATCAACTGGGAAAAGACAATTCTCTCCGTTGGTTTTGCGGATGTCCGCATTACCGCAAGTACTTTTTCACAAGCCAAACCAAATTCATAGGATCCCTCCTGATAGTTAAATCAGGTCCTAAATTGGAGAATCATGCTAAAAATTACAGCCATATGTGAGCTAATAAAAGATAACATACAAACCAAAAATGACATGTAATAGACTAACCTTTCAAACTAATAAACAAATGCAATTGAAAATAAAAAAAAAGGTCCTATTTCATATTGCGTAATAGGTTTACTATAAGGTCCGGATGAACCTAAGTAATACACAGGAGCTTGATTATAATGTAAAATCTTGATCCAACTATTATGGCAAACAGACATCATATTGTATGCAATCTCAGACATAATAGTTTCACTGATGCTACATCAATGAAGCTTGTAGGACATGCTGACAGCAACAATAATGTAAATGAAGCAAGGAATAGATGGACAAAATACCGCTATTCTTCGTGGCTGTGTGCATATAATGCTGCAGTGTCCACCACATCCTGATTCAACCATGTCGTCCAATACAAATTGCGGGACCTGTACAAAAGGCCGTTAAGTAAACATAAGGAAAAATATAAGTACCACCTAAACACACAAAAACAAGTCTATTAAGAGGGGCAAGGGGGCATATGGAGGATCAGGGCAGTATGATGTCTCCACGAGAGAAAAATAGCTATGAAAATCAACCTGGGTAGTCTTCCCAGAACCAGTTTCCCCACAAACAACGACAACATCATTCTCCTTCAGAACTTGCAGGATTTCACTCCTTAGAGCAGTAATAGGCAGAGTACCTCTGGCCTTTTCCATCTCCTTCAAAAACAAGCCAGCATACACAATCATATCAGTACCACAAACTAACAGTCAATGATTAAGAAAGTGATTCAATTTGCTTGAACGGAGAACAGCACACAAAGTTTATCGAAGGCACTCTTTCACATAGCTATAAGTAATAGCCTTATTTCAGAATACAAAGTAAATTAACTCATACAACCACTACATGGTCAAGAGGCCAACAATGACTGAACTTAGAGAAATAATGGTACATACCTTGTACTTCTGCATTTTCTTTTTCTTATCTTGCTCTCGTTTCAAATGGTAACTTTCCCCATCTTTGGTGTGACTCACTCCTGCAGAAGCCCAAAGGTAGGTAATTTGACTATAGAAATTACCCACACCCAGTATTTGAATAAATGTACCTCAGTACATCCAGTACTTAAGTACATGAACTTAAGGTAATCTATACAGTACTTCCTAAGGAAGGACAGGGTATTTTGTGAGTGTGTGTGTTGGGGGGGCTGTATTCTATAAATCCAAAGGAAAAAGAGATCAGAACCCGGTCATCAGATGCATTAGTGTATGAACAAGCAAAGTGCTTACTTCTTATTTCCAGATCAGTACGGGAATCACTTAAACTGTTAGTTCCTTCTACCGCTGAGTTCTTCAATGTTTCAGTGAAGATATTGGTTGCTACAACTGCATTTGAACTAGAGCCATTGGAACTCAATAATTGATCAACAAAACCAGCCCTTCTGTCCTCTACCCTGGCTTCGACTTCACTTGAAGATCCCTCTGCAATTACTCATATTTTACAAATGCTAATATAGCAACATCTTTTAAAAGAATATGAAAAGAAGACGTGCTAAAGAGGCTGAGGTCGACTATTCCGTCAGGTAGCCATGAAATTAACAGAATCACCTTTCCACTTCACTACAAGAGAACCATAAGGCTCAGTAATTGCTAGATGAACTGGATGATCAGGAAAGAGTTCATGAAGAGCAAATGCAGCCACTCTGTTCTGAGCTTCCTGAAACAGAGGTGAATGTATGGATCAGAATCATACCAGGAAATCATTTATGAAGACGCCAAGCCCTCCTCCTCTGGGTTATCTCAAATCAGTCCCACCACGGGGAGAAATGTCAGAATCGAAATTTCATCTAGCTAAATTTTTTGGATATATGATCACAAAGCAGGACAATATTGATACATTCATGGCGCAAAAGAAATGTGGCACGCCCATGGGTGGTAAACCAAGTAATAGAGAAATGAAGCAACATGTGAAACAAGACACCATGCATCTGCTTCTTAGATCTTGATAAAAAGAAAAATAAAAAGATTGTGGATTGCATCCTAAAAACTTATCAAAAAGAACCAAGCTTAATCCAGATAAGTTCTATTTCAGCAGTGAAAAATAAGGCATGATCGCCTTATGTGCGAGTATAAATACTCCCAAGGGAGTTGAGAATTGCGGTCGATTAGTAGGTAGAGAAGGGGGTCCCTGCCCCACTATCCAAGTTAGCTCCTCCATACCACCGACAGTGGATTTATGATCTTTCCAATTACTGGTACAGTTCAAATGAAGACAACCTAATACCCCACAGGGAACTAACTAAGCATTTTTCGAATGAAGAAGTCAGAAAATACCTCAACAGATTCAAACGTTTCACCCTGGTTGGGAAGCTGAACAGTAACCAAGCCACCAGCTTTTCTGTTTTTGCCCCTTCCACTAGCTTTGCGTAATACACTAACAGAATAGAAGAAGCCTTGCTTTTCCTCATACACTTTCTCAAATTTAGGTGCTTCCCAACCTGATTTTTGACAGAGTTGGTGAAGAACCGCTTTAGGAATCTTTTGAGGGTCGCCCTGTAAGCACGTACACCAGGATAAGAGACCAGCAAAGGATAGACTGTGATCCACTGCATATTTTATTATCCAAATGTTCTCAGACCAGAACTCCAGAATGTTATAATTTTGTACAATCATTTAAAAGTTAATACAAACAGATGAATGGTTAACTGATACAGTAGATCGCATCACCATGCAACCTTTAGTAAGAAAATAAATCCAACTCACTCAAGTATCAGTACCTTTTTCCAAATGCCTTCTAACTTTTCCAGATTCTTGCCGCTCCATAACTCTTTTATTCTCTCCTTCTTCTGAAATTCCAATACTTCAGCAGCTATCAATTCATTAGGTGCAGAATCTTCGAGAAAGAAGCCACCAAGCTCCACTTCTTCTGAATCAGTACCCAGGACATCCTTTTCAGGATCAAGTTCACTATACGAAACAGGTTTGGACAGGTCCTCAGCAGAGCTTGAACATTCAATATCAGTTCCACATATTGGTGATTCCTCTGCTTGCCGTGTTGGGAGAGAAGCATCCTCAGAATCAACAGATGGTGCTGCTTCAAGGTATTGCACAGTAGGAGAAAATGAGCTCTCGGGCATGCCCTGAGAGTTAGACTGATGAGCAAATTCTTGTGACAGGAAGTCAGCTGAAAGTCCTGCTCAATAGAATAAATAGAACTGTGGGAAAACTGAGCAGCATCATTTTGTTACTAGAATGAAATTTGGATCCAAAGAGGAACTGACAGTAACCTATAGCAGATAATTCTTGCTTGAGTTTGCGGATGACATGGCCTGCTTGTTCCTGGCTTTTCTTGTCCCCCTTATCCTTGGCTTTTGCAGCTTCAAGCCTTGCTGCGTAGTAATCCTTGGTAATAACATCATAGGACCTTGGTTCGGGATCCTATTAATATGCACACAGAACCGTATGATTGATTGAGAAACATTGTGATGGTGAATCTCAACAAGAACACAAAAGCCTGAAGCAATAAGCTTTCTCCATTCGTATATAAGTTTCTAGGCTTCTGATACTTAATGGTTCAATTGACAATCTCTAGACAGTGCTCAGGGTAATATTGTCCTTCCTGCTTACATCAGTAATCCCACACTACTACAAATGCTTCAATTGTCAATTCTCCCCTGAAGGGGGTATCCTATCAAACAAGCCCTAGTTTGCTCATGAATTCATGCATATCATAAAGAGACACACAGACAGATGAGCCGAGGACATCTGTTTTTTACTTTTTTCACGATAGAAAAAAAACATCTTGACGTCTTGTTGGATGACAAGGAATACAAGAAAATCAATGGATGGGGTGTGGGGGGAGAGGTATATAAACATAAAACATACCTTAAGGCTAAAACTTGGATCAAGATCATCTTCCCAAGTTTTGTCTTCATCCTGAACAATCGTTAGAAAACCACCATTAGTTCTCAGAGCTTATATTCTTAAACACTAAGTAGTTTTAGATATGAAACCAATGGGCAAGAGTTGCATAAATGATGATCATCCTCATACTGTTCGTTGCACAAAACAACACCAATGACAGTTTCTACCAGCACCAAGGTTCCTATATACCTCTTCCTGCTGCTCCATGTATTGTCTGATCCAATCAGCCTGTGATGGTTGGCGTGAATCAAGGGTTTCCTCATTCTTCCGTTCCTTGATTCTAAAAGCGACCTTTTGCAGATCCTCCTGACTTTTTCTAGGGGGATCCTCTGAATGAATATAGCCTTCACGCGCAGTTGATATAACGGTTACAGAACCTTCACAATGCAGAATGAAAGATCAATATACTCCATCTCATTCTTAAAGCAAACATTCCATGATATGCTAACATAACCAAAAGGGAACTCATGAGTTAATATTAGTGTTACCTCCTTCATGAAGCGAATTTACACTAGAAAACTTCAGTGGGAGCTCGTTTCCAGGTAGATTCAAGCACAACCAATCAAGAGCTGCCTCAAATGTAGCACTGTCCTACTCCAAACAAAAGTAGATAATCCATAGATTAAGGCATGAACACAGCCAAATAGCAATCCATTGCAAACAACCTCAAGACGAAACATCAGGTAGATGGCATCCTACTGAAAGTTTTGTCAGCAGCAGCTAAACTCACCGACAAAGACTTCAGCATTTCCCTAAGCTAGAGTCTTATCCGTGTTCTTCCAAGGAAACCAACAACAGTACATCAACGCCGAAATTTTTCTCTAATCACTTACACATTCAACCTTGACTTCTCTTAAAATCAGAAAATCCTTCTGAGACAACAGTGTTATCACAAACTCGAAGGAAAGCGAGACAGCAACTCGATCGTGATACAATTTGATTTCTGCAATTTCTCATTTCTATCCTCTTGTTAGTTTGCTTAAGTTACTTCATCTCCAATCCAAACAGTGAGCAGACATCAAAATCGTTTTTAACACTCGGAATTTCTAACTGCGTATCAATGCTGGTTACTCCCAATTCACCTTGAGAGACGACAGAGCGAGTTCGATTTGATCGTCCAAGAACCCCTCGCAGGAGAGCTTCTCGTAGATGGTGGTTAATTTCTTGGCCTTTTGAGCCTTGGAGAGATTGTCTTGAACCGGTGGCGCCGCCGAAGCAGGCTGTGTGGACTGGCCGGAGTTAAGCAATAGCCGACGCAGACGGTTCTCGTTCTCGGCCGAAATCTGAAGCTTTGGACCGGAAGATGACGAAGGCTGGGACTGGGATTTTGTCTTGGTGCTCCGCTTCTGCGGCGGCGGCTTCTTCTTCGGAGCCATTCTTCGGGTTTCTCGGCGAGTAGAAAGAGCAGAGGAAGCAGCCAGGCAATGAAATAAGAGAGAACGGACACGGTCAGAGTTCAAACACCAAGACCACAAAGAACGACGTCGTTGCTGACACACTGGGACACTGGGCAAATCAAAACGCCGTCGTATGTAGTGTATGAATTGAGATACCATACTTTTTTTTTTCTTTTCCAAAGACCCTATGCTTTCTTTTGGTGTCCAATTTAATTTGACCATTCGACTAGTGCAGTGACAGCAAAATAAAATCGATCCTTTTCATGTTCACTACTTCTGCCGGCATTGGCGTAGCCAGAAAAATGTCTTACTGGGGTCCAAATATTACAAAGAAGTAGGATGTCGTGGTGGTTAAACTATCCCTTGGGGGAGCTGGGGGCCAAAGCTCGAATTCCTCGGTCCCCTTTCTTGGTATTCTATTTTTTATAACGTGAGCTTTTTTTCCACGTGGGATCCACTGACCCCACATTAAATAATGTGGCTCCGCCAATGTCTGGGGGATTGAGTCATTATGACTACATTAGATTATGTTGATCATTTCTCAATACAAGTAGAATATCGACTTGTTACTTACAACGACTTGACAAAGCAAGCTAAAAGCCCATGACCACAGTTAACTATCTCCACCACCTTGATTACTTATCTAGAAAATGTCTGTATTGCAACTTATACAACTTTTTGTTGGTACTACAAATCGGTTCGCTACATCATCTTGTTTGTAGGATGTCAGACGTAACTTATGTGATCAATAAATTACAAAACTTATTCATGCACATCCACTAGGAGAGACTCAAACACGTACATTGGTATCTTTTTATGGTAACATGCACTACCACATCAACCTACCTCCATTAACTCACCAACGAAGCACGTGTCTCCTAGACATCTCGCAAGCCAACGAACAATGGCTCGTTCCAGTATAGACCGCTAAGTACCGCGAACTATCGCCCCATTTAGCTGGTATCATTCATGCAAGCTGAGTTCAAAACCTCTTCCTCATAGCCCCACAAGGCCACAACATCCACTTTCTCCCCTCAAAACATCATCTATGACGATAACTATGTGCGAGTGACACATCAACTCCATATTCTTTTAATAGTCATTTGCATGCCTGTACTATGTTAATCCACCACATGATGATCCCATAATGTAACGTTTTACTCATTTGGTCGCTTCGTGGTCCTTTTCCTTTCTCCACCAGCCGATGGATCGAATTGGTAGTATATACTTCGCTTTCACATTTCACTCACACCCCTCTGTCTCTCTTACCGTATACCCATTTCATCTTTTGGCTTCCAAGCTAAGAAAAAAAGGTTAAACGCCACAACTACCCGACAGACCGCACCCTCCATCATCATTACTACCATATCAACAGCAGCTTTTTCCCCCATTTCTCTCCATCCGCCATTTCCATTCCCAACGAGAGAAAGGAGCAATGGACGTCGTCGTCGACGACCTTGCAAATAAGAGCTGCAGCTACCGCTCCTCCGTCGACACTTCCCGCCCTTTCTCCTCCGTCAAGGAAGCCGTCGCCATCTTCGGCGAGCGCTTCCTCCTCCAGAACATTTACCACTCTACACCCACGACGCCGACGAAGCACCACCAGCAGCCGCCTCCCACTGCTGATTCCGCCTCATGGAAGTCGGCGTCTGCGTCTCCTTCTCCTTCTGCTTCCCCCTCGGTGGTCCCTGACGACGTTGTTACTCCGAACGACAGTCCGAAGTTGAAATTAGGTGTGTCGTTTTTTCAAGATATAAATCATTTTGATTGGATTTCATTTACGATGTCATATATTAAATTTAGAACAATCGAATAATAGTAAGTGAGTTTTAGTACTATAGTGACCAAAATACATTTACGCCACCTTAATTAAAATTGACGAGTTCAATACATTCCGTAAAAAAAAATGAAAGATTTGAGTGCTAAAACGATTCGATCATATCATAGAATCAAACAAAAGAGTTGCGAGTTTTATGTCATATTTTATTTTCACTTTTTAAAAAAAAAATTGTTCTATTTATATGAATATTTTCCTTCATTTTGTCACATTTTGTCAACCTTTTATCAAAACTTACCTGTGTATTGCGACAGAGCCGTCCTCAAATCCCTCCGGCTCGGCCATTGATGAGAGCGTTTTGGTGGAGAGCGTGAGGAGGCTGGAGGCCGAGCTGGAGGAGACGAAGGCGGCGCTGAAGCAGCTGAAGGAGCAAGGGTCCGAGACCGAGATCGCACTGGCTTCCCTCAACGCCGAGCTCCACATGAACATGGCCAGGATGGCTCGGGCCGAGGCTGCGGCCGCGAAGAAGGCCGCGGATGGGAAGGACGAGGCCGCCGCCGCGAGAGATGATAAGTTGATGATGAGGATGGTCGGGTCCCCGACTCTGGCACAGATTCTGAACCTAGGGTCGGAGATGAGCAGCAATGGGTATTATTCGAACAAGAAGATGAAGGCAAATGGGAAGAAGAAGAAGCCCATCGTGCCTCTGGTTGGGGATTTTCTCTACTGGAAGAGGAAGAAGGATTCTCGCTCTGCTGTCAGTGACAACCCGCTCTATGGTTCTCCTAATGTTTTCTGATGGATGATTGTTTAGAAGTTCTTATGATTGTTTATTTCTCTATTTTATTCATTTTGGTTTGGGTTGTTCAATGTTGAGAGGCTGATTTGAACCATGGTAATTGTAAGGGAGGCTAAGGTGTTCGACTAGAATATTTCTTTTTTGTTATGAATTTTACATGTATTTTAAATGAGATCATATTCAAGTTTTCTGCAAATGTATACAAGACCATCAAAGATTTGAAGCACACATCAGTAGTTGCCGATGATAGTTTGAAGGTGGTACGATATATATATATATTATCGTATCAGAACAAATTAAGGAGCTCGCCTATGCAACGTCTTTCATTCTATTTTCTCTCTTGAAGTTTTAGATGGGGTTGCATGGTTATCTAAGATATTAGATGGATAGATGGGGGTATAGCGAACAATTCACATGCTAAGGGAATTTTAGTGAAAAGTTGGAAAGAATGGGTAGCTGAACGAAATTTATAATTGGAGCGTACGGGATGGTAAACGACATGAATTTGGGTACTAATATGTAAATTATATTTTGCACCAACTCTCTACAGAAAACTGAATTCTGATCTTAAGCACAAACAAGGATGACCATGGTCTTAAGTTCTAAGGAACAGAGAGCACATGCCAGCAATTGATACTATTACAGTATCAAGCTATCCACCACACTATTGAGGAAACAAACAGATCCAACAAACTAAACCATAAACAAGCTCAAAGAAAACTCAAGCAGGATCCTGGTCATACCATTTCTGAGGGCATAGTAAATCTATCCAAACAACAAATAACATAGCGATTAAACGAGTAACACCTCAACTACATTCCGCAGATCCAACAGCATAAACTTTCAGTCGGAAATCGTAACTGAAACAAGGTCCCAATCCTCCAACAAAACTACTAACTACAAATTAAACCAAAAACTCCGAATGCAAGAAGAAGACTACGCCATACTGGGAACAATGTGCTGGTCTCTAATCAAAGAGGCCGAAACCCAGGTCCTCGTCACTCTCTTCCTGAGGCTCTTCCTGCAAAATCGATTTAAACACCGATTAGATCCCACGCCAAAAACAAGATCCAAGATAAACAGAACTACCTGGCAGACATACAAAAGCAAAGCAATAGGATGAAAACACAGGCAGGTGTCGAGAGTAATGTATACCTTCTTCTCCTCCTTGGCGGCAGGGGCGGCAGCAGCAGCTGGAGCAGCGGCAGCAGGGGCGGCAACGGCAGCAGCACCGGCGCCGGCAGCGCCAACGTTCATGATCAGATCATCAACGTTGCGCTTCTCAGCCAGCTTGGCAAACAAGCTTGGCCAGTAAGACTCGACGTTCACGTTGGCAGCCTTAACCAATGCGCTGATTTTCTCAGCCTATCAACAAACATTCACACACCAAAAACCCTAAGCCAATCGTTCACCAAAAGTAATCGAAAAGAGTTTAATAAACAATCGATTAGGGTTTCAAGGAGAAAGCATACAGTAATGGGGATGCCATCGTCGTGGAGAATCATGACGGCGTAGCTGCAAGCAACCTCTCCGAACGACATTGTTTCTAACCTAAGATTGGAGAACGAGGAACACAAAATCAACAAAAGAACGCAACAGAAGGTAACATGAACAGCGGCGGCCAGAGACTAAACAGAACGGAAAACCATAGATATGAAAGGAGCGAAGAAATTGGAACTTGGAACGACGAGATTCTTACTTTTGATGCGAGCAGAGAACGAGAGTAGGGCTCGAGAGGATGAACGGCGCCGCAACTCTGAGAATCAACTCACTAGGGTTCCTGAGAGGTGAGAGCAAGGCTATTTATGGAGTGGGTTTCCGAAACTGAGCTGGAACTGGATAGCCAGGGAGTTGGGCTACTGATAGGTATTCCGGGCCAAAGTAAGAAGTGGGCCAGGCCAGGCCCAGCTATGGATGTTTTGTGGCAGAGTCGTCTGCCCGTCCCGTGGTCAGACCAGGTGGTCGACCAAACCGATCAGGAAAGGGAAAAACTTATCGGTCTTAGTTGGGTGGTTGCAAAATTTGACCCGCAGAGCCGTCTCTTCTTTTACCAATTTTTTTTGTCGGATGCCTTTCGTTTGATGCTTCTGTGTCCAATATCAGCATCCGGTCTGTAATTCTCTTCCACCCATAAATTTTCCTTGGAAACAAACAGAACCCAGGAATTCCAGCGGGCCAAAGGCGAACGCCTCCTCCGATTTCTGACGAAACCACGCTCGCCGAGTTAGCTCGCGGAAGATAAAAACTTTCAGGAAGCAACTGGTCGTTCTCTCGGCGATCACCTTGGGGATTTGTTTCAATTCCCAATCGAGGTAGGAAGAGATGCAGGCTGTGGTGGTGAACCCAGTTTGCTGCTCCGCGCAGAAAACCCTAGACCCTCCTTCTTCCTTCCTTCATCGCCGTACCGGGAAGGTGCTCGTCTTACTTGCTAATCTTCTTTTCTCAGAATTGTTGGGTACCCGTTTTATTGGAGATGTTATTTGCTAATTGTGAACTTACAAACTCATTCGAATTTCACAGAGTGGCAGTTTCTTTGGCAGCAGAGTCTCTGTAAACAGGAATTGCAACCGGACGCAAGGCATTCCATGCCGGTCTGTGAAGATTCGTTCTCCTGGATTGTCACGGAAACTAGGTTAGTGCCAGGTTGATTTGTTTGGAGCTGGAGTCTCAACGAGTTCAGCTTTATGTAAAGTTTGCGTCTTTGTTTTTGTATTCAACTTTTGCAGTTGTAAAGGCGGTGGCAACTCCGAATTCGGCCATCGAATTGCCATTAACTGCAGAGAATGTTGAGAGTGTGTTGGATGAGATTCGACCATACCTCATTTCCGATGGTGGTAATGTAGCTTTACACGAGATAGATGGGAATGTTGTGAAGTTGAAGTTACAAGGAGCATGTGGATCGTGTCCTAGCTCTGTTACCACCATGAAGTTGGGCATTGAGCGTAGGTTAATGGAGAAAATTCCTGAAATCGTTGCTGTGGAACCTATACCAGATGAAGAAACTGGGCTTGAGATGAATGAAGAAAATATAGAGAAGGTAATGGCATTACTATTGCTTCATTCTAAGATACTGGTTTGCTGTTTATATGCTGGTATATCATTGAGCACGTCATTTGGTGCAGTTTGATTCAATTTTTGTTGCTCCAATGTGCAAAAATATGGTTGATGCTCCAGACTGCATACACACAAGTTAATAACTGACCAAGTCATTACTGTGTAGTTAAGAACATATAAATGAAATGAAGGTCAATAGCCCAGTGATGAAGGATCTGGTTCAGTGTCCATTGCGGTATTGTTTGGAAGTTCCGATACTTCCTAGGTAGTCAATTGAACCTAATACGGTATATGACAGTTCTAGTTACGTTCATGAATGAATCACTGTTCCTTGTAAGTTGAATGACGAGTCAATAGTGTGTTTCTAATCCCCTAGTTGATTCTATTCAGGAGCTAGGTCTGAGTGTCCTGAGACACAATATAATGTAGAGAAAGAGCTGATGGCCTGTAGTGAAATTTTAGTTGGCTGCTTTGCCTTAATTTAATTGCAGCACTTTGGGTCTAAGTAGATAGAGGCATAGTGCCACGAGCATCTCCCATGTTTTGAAATTTCTTATCCGTTGGACTACAGAATTACCATTGTACTTCTCTACCCTCCTAGAAAAACGCCACTGCACAGGTGATTGTCTTTTTTCTCTGATGACACTCTCACATTCATGTCTTTAAAGGGTGTTACTTGGATCTTGATAACCTTGTTTCTGGTCTTTACCATAAAACATGCAATCTTCTGAAACTTATGTCCTAAAGGCTCAAAGCTTACCCGATTTGTTTGGCAAAGTAGTGGTCAGGCTGGTTCGACATCACTTAGGCAAACATTTAGAGGGTTTCCCCACCAATCACATTTTTCCTTGTTGATCCAGTTAGTGGTCAGGCTGTTATGGCATCACCTAGGCAAACATTCGGAGGGCATCCCCTAAAAGCCTTTTTCTTGACTTAATGGTCCTTACAGTAGATTGCAATTTGTTATTTGCTTCAGGTACTAGAAGAGATCAGGCCATATCTTGTGGGTGCCGCTGGAGGGTCCCTTGAACTAGTGACAATCGAAGAGCCAATAGTGAAAGTTCGAATCACGGGGCCAGCAGCTGGGGTGATGACCGTTCGAGTTGCTGTTACACAGAAGCTGCGCGAGAAAATACCATCGATCGCTGCTGTTCAACTTCTGTGATTGGTCCCCTTGCAAGATCTACCCTTTATGCCTTGCATATTGGCCGCATGGCTGGCACTCAGAATCTCAGATGATGCAGCTTAGTGATGTACAGTCCAGGGGACCTGGTTTTGATCGTTTTCTTGCAGCTATCCCGTGATGCAGACAAAAGGGGGGGGAATGTGAAGAGAATTGTTTTAACACTTATAGGTGTATCTCCACTAATGCTTTTGCCTTTGTACTTGCGTAGTTTGTGAATGTAAATCCTGTAGTACATTACTGCATAATGGTCTATCATTGCTTTTGGAAAGAAAATAAAGGTATTTCTACTGGCTGTTGTTGATCCAAAAGGATAAGCCTTCTGGCTGTTCTCCATTTCCTCCTCTCGCAAGAGGACTGACCAGGACTTGCAGCAATCTCTGTCAATGCATTGCAGTATGGTCTCATCTTTTGTCACAGGTCTTCTCTTCTTTAGCTTCTTTCCTTCTTTTACCCCCCTACAGAAAGTATTCTTTTCTTTTGCTTGAAGAATTCTTTACATTACATTCGCACTGCCAGTCTCTCCGATGCGGTTTCCAACAAATATGTTCATGTATTAGTATTATGTAGGTTATTCATTCTTGGTTCATACATTAAATTTCTATTCAAACTCACTACTTGTTGTGTTCATCATGCTTAGTCGATGAGTTTTTTTATGTGAAAATTTTATATTTTGCTTCTTCATTTGTGAATAGACCTCACAAATGATGTTTTACTAGTTGGGTGTCAATGTATCATTGAACAACATTTGATTAATGAAAATATGAAGAAGACTACATGGTAACTTCCATCAAAGATGAAATTTGACCCCTACAGCTTTTAAGGTACATTTTTTATAAAATGAGAGATGACAACTAAAGCTTAGTGTGGGCCTGCTGTATCTTTTGCAGAAGCAGCTTCTAGCTTGAGCTTTTAGAGAAGTACTTTTCAAAAAAAGGAGTTGAGTGTTTGGTTGAAAAACTATTGAAAGTGCTTTTTAATATGAGAGGTTATGTAAAATGACTATAAAGGACTTATAATATATACTATGAATAATAATTATAAACAATAAAATGTAGTCAAAATGGATCTTGTTAGACTTCTTTTATATTAAATAATATGATTTTATAATTTATTTTATTTTTAAAATGATGTAAATGAAATAAAATTATATGTTCTGAAATAAAAATTAAAATATGGTAAAGATAATCTTGTATTTTCAAAACAGCTTTTCGCAGAAATTTGGAGCTTCTACTTTTATGTTATACAAAAGCGCTTTCAGCTTTTCAAAAGTCGAACTTTTAGAGGTGTTTGGCCCTGCTCAGCTTTTGAAGGCGAAAATTACTTCTAAAAGCCGCGCCAAACATAGGCTAAGTGTTGATAGCCAATTGTAACAAATTTACTAGTAAGGTTATATTATAGAAGAAATTGGATTTTGTTTTGCTCGAGGCATGATAGGTTTGTTATATGTTGCTATTATGAGAGTCATAACCATTGTGTTGCATTGAAAAGCACTCGCTGTTTGTTATGTAGTTAAACTTATTTCGTCTTAAGATAGATGTGCACATGGGTCACCACACAAATGGTATTTATGGACTATGTCCTCAATGGACTTCTCAAATTTCAGTGTCGATAGATGTCATGGTCATGACTTTGGTTGGAATGGTAGTATCGATCATTCTTTTCTTGTTTGGGCATTTGAAGCTTCGTCGTGGAGGACATGGACAACTCCTTATTATGGATAACTTTGAGAACGTCCTTCTAAGAGTTGGTGAGACGGATGAGTTTAAGTCGATGACTTATTCTCTACTTCTCAATGTTGCGCGAAAAGGTCATTAAACGAGGAAGGCGTGAAGAACATTGTTTGTAGTATACTGTACGATGGCCTTGACGATCATTGGCAATGAATGTGATTCCGACAATCATGATACTACATTAAGAAGTCGTGCTCCTTCTGGGTTTTGCCATGTTGTTTGTTCATCAACTTGTTCACACCCACGATTTTTAACATCAAACTTTGCTCATAAAAGCTTATAGTGTCATCGGAGAACTATATTTCAAATGATGTCGAGGATGCACGTGGTGATACCTGATATCCCAAACCATTACGAGTTAGGATATCCAACGAGCAAGTATTATATTTGAAATAAAATGTGTTGTGGAGGATTGGGAAACCACTCTCTTTTTTGATGGAGGTGGCCAAAGGTCAGTGAGTCAATATTGGGTTCAAAAGGATAACCTACACAAAGATGCGCCTCGAGATAGAAGATCATGACGAGAGCATGCAGAGAGGGAATCCTAGTGTCAGGTGGCATACCAAAGTGTGGCCATCGGAGCACTCGACAGTTGATGACCTTTTGCGACGACATATTAGGGTATTGGCAGAGTTCCGAACCCGAGTCTCTAGCTGTTTGCTTGTTTCCATCGTAGCATGTAAATCTTCTACAATGAGAATTGGCACGTACCGATTAGAGACCTAGTCATTAATACTTTTCATATGTATAAAACTATAAAATGGATGCAAATAGAATCATACCCTTCATTCATAATCAAGCGTGGTTCCGAGAGACCTTGTAAACCATACACAATCCAATAACATAGCAAAAAATCATCAACTAAAATGAAAATGAAACTAATATAATAGCGTGACCAAATTGAAACAAAAAATAAGTTCACTACTATGATGGAAATAAACCTAAAATTTCAGTGACGCAGGAAGGAATTGATCTGATTCTGCTGGCCTGTCGTCTATCTATCTCCTCTCGATCCAATCCAAAGAACCAAAATCTCTTTCTTCTTCTCGCAACCATCCGCCAACACACCAGCAGCTGAGCTGTTCTCACCCACTCGCTCCCTCTATCTATCCGCGCCGACACGCGCACGATCCTCCCCTCCCTCCCTCTCTTCTCCATTCCTTCTCCTCCTAGATCCACTCGCCTCAGTCTTCCCCCCTTACTGAGTTCACTCTACCACACGACTCGAGACAAGTACCAATCAGCTCATCTTTCCACACCCACTTCATCTTCCTTTCCCGGCGATCGGACGAACACTGGGCTGTGGCCGAATTGTGCGAAGGGTTTTGTTTCTGTCCGCTACTCAGTGTCATAACTGAGTCGGGCACCCGGGTTCACGGAAATGTTGGTTTTATGACGGAGTTGTATCCGTTTGGGGAATTAGGGTTTGGATTCTGCGACATTACTAGTACGGGTGGTGGTGGTGGTGTTGGAATACTGCCATGGCGACGACCGTGGCGAGCTGGAGGGACTCCTACAAGGGGATGTCTTCGGATAATATCAAGGGTTTGGTTTTGGCGCTGTCTTCCAGCGTCTTTATTGGTGCTAGCTTCATTGTCAAGAAGAAGGGCTTGAAGAAAGCCGGTGCCTCGGGCGTCCGGGCAGGTGGGTTACTAATTGTGGGATGCAGTGATGACTGAGTTTTGGTTTGGGTTTCAATTCTCCATTTGGTATTGTGTGCTGCCACTTGTTTGAAGTTTGAAGCAAGGCACCTAGTTTTTATTAATAAATCGCATTGGAGGATTAGATTAGTTTCTGGAAGGACTTTGTTCCTCATTGTAGTGAATGGAGAGACTAAAGGTATCCCATTTGGAGCTACTGCTTGTGGATCCCTTAATGGTTGTGCCCCATCAGATCCATGAGTTACCACGAATTACAGATGAGCTCTGTGCATTCACTGTGTTGATCCCAGTGAATGCAGAAATTTAAAGCTTCTCATGGAGATTTGACTTGGTGAAGTTGATGGACTTCAGGAGATGTCCATTTCACGCTTAGTCAAGATCTTATTCTCTGATGTTGTGCATTGACTTCACTTGCATTCTCCCTGCCACCCATATCTCAATCTGTACACGTTGGGATTTACGTCCCTCATATCAAGTTTGATTTTTCAGTGATGTCAACAGATGCAGGTTTTGGTATTGAAGGGTTCTAGAAATGTTATCCGATAAGCTTGTGTTCAGATTTGATTGTATTCTGCCATTTAAATCCAACTCAGCTGTTCATATTGTGACAGCTCTTGGATTTGGACACATGAATTTCCTGTAATACTCTGCCAACAACGACCGTGAATTACAAGCTTTCCTGACACATTCTGCTACTTTTTGTTGTGCAGGAAGTGGGGGCTATTCTTACCTGTACGAACCGCTATGGTGGATAGGCATGATAACAAGTAAGTTAACCGAAGGATAGTTTACAAGTCTGCTTTACTGATGTTATCCTTGGACTGTATCAGCATGAGTATTCCCTTAACATACATTTAGGATCTCTCTTCTGCTGAGCAAGCACAATTAGAGCCCTCTATTTATGGATCTTGCTGTTCAGAACTTATGTACAAGCCTTAAGACTTGGTTGGCCGTTTGATTAACCTATAGGGCAGTGCTTGTATCAATTCAGTGATTGCACTGAACCTCGGTCTATATAATATGCCTTGGATTTATAGTTCCTGCAAGAAAAACTGATGTCTGGTTGCTTTTCAACAGTGATTGTTGGGGAAATAGCTAATTTTGCAGCTTATGCGTTTGCACCTGCTATACTGGTTACTCCACTCGGTGCTCTGAGCATCATCATCAGGCATGCAACGCCATCTTCCTGTACTTTAAGTTTTTCATTTTAAGCATTGAATTCTGACGAGATCCTGGTTCTGCAGTGCGGTTCTTGCACACATTATTTTAAGAGAGAGGCTTCATATTTTCGGCGTTCTTGGTTGTGCTCTTTGTGTTGTGGGTTCCATAACGATCGTCCTGCATGCTCCCCAAGAACGTGAAATTGAATCTGTAATAGAGGTCTGGGATCTTGCTACGGAGCCTGGTAAGTACTAAAACTCGGTTTGTAATCTGCGATCTATGGTGAATTTGGATTATGTGAATCAAATTTCATCATGTAATAATGTGTTTGAGAAGTGAATGATTGTTTCTTGTCTCTTCCCCCCCCCCCCCCCCCCCCCCCCCCCCCCCCCCCAGCTTTTCTATTCTATGCAGCCTTGGTCATAGCTGCCGTTTTTGTACTTATATTCAACTTTGTCCCTGACTACGGGCAGACACATATTATGGTGTACATAGGAATATGCTCTCTTGTGGGTTCCCTGTCGGTATGTAATTCTTGAAATTTTGGTGTTGCCCAATTCTGTCTTATTTCCCCCCCTGTACCATTTTCTTGGGTAAAATGCTGATAGTTCTGACTGAACAGGTCATGAGTGTTAAAGCAATTGGGATTGCATTAAAGCTGACACTATCAGGAATGAATCAACTAATCTATCCCCAAACGTGGGCCTTCACAATGGTGGTGATTACTTGTGTGCTTACACAAATGAATTATTTGAACAAGGTGATTTTTTCTTCTTGTCTTTTTAGTACTTCCCCGGGGCGGGTTATTGTACATCAATCCTTGTGCTGTTTAATGTGGTTAATTTGCTTTTCTGTCTGTTTCATTTGCTGCAGGCACTTGATACCTTCAATACTGCAGTTGTGTCACCCATCTACTATGTAATGTTCACATCGCTAACCATTTTGGCTAGTGTGATAATGTTCAAGGTATTTATTCTGTTCTCTGACTATTACATTCAAGCATGGTTTATACTTGGGGTATTCTTGACACTCTTGTTACTTCGGTCAATTAACTGTTATGACCTGCATAGCCATCATGGGAACTGCTTGGTGAAGTTGGTCTATTGATACTCTGGACGACGTTTTCATATAACTTAATCTCATGTTATGCAATACTCTTTCTAGTCATTTGAATGCTGCTGTTCCCAGGTAGTGGGAATTCTCTTTTTCTTCATTGCCAAGCTTGTGTCTTTTTGACATTGCAGTTAGATTTAAGGTCGACTCTCTGTTAGCGCTTGCTATCAGAGGATCTAAACAAGTATAAACAACTTAAATAGGATTAGAAGCTAGGAGACTTGTGAGAAAAGCGAAAGGATAATTCATGAAGGATCAGATTTAGCAAAATCTGGGAGTAGAACTCCACAAGTCAATAGTTTTTAGTATTTGGTGTTCAGTAAGTACCAAGTAGGATTCATTAATAGTGTTCAGGTTTGGATCATGTGCTTGTTCATGAAATCCATATTTTTAGATTTGGGTGTTCTTCCTTCCATCAGGATTGGGATAGGCAAAGTCCAACGCAGATAGTTACAGAGATGTGTGGGTTTGTGACCATCTTATCGGGGACATTTCTTCTCCACAAAACCAAGGATATGGCTGATGGTATGTTTATTATAAGGACATTTCCTTTCTACTCCCCTGTTTGTTATTGAAGGGAATGATCCTTTCTATATGTTCCCTGCTCAATGCTTGTTTGTGTCCATCTTTCTGATGTTTGATAACAGGTTCTGCAGCGCTCCCAATCAGAATACCGAAGCATTCAGATGATGATGGGTTTGAGAACGAAGGAATCCCTCTCAAGCGCCAGGATGCAATGCGATCAGCTTCCCATTAGAGGACATATGTTGGTTACTCCTTCATTTTGCACAACAATCGCTGCTACTGCTGATGCAGACGCTGCTTATCTGGGCCGTGACACACTGTCTCAGCGAGATCAATCCTGTATTTCACAGATGTGACATGGTTGGTGAATAGAAAGCAAGACTCTTCTTGTTGGTTGGGTCTCAACGTTTGGCTTTCTAAGAGTGCATACACTATACACCTTCCAGGGTCCAGGCACCCGCCCCCACGTAGGAGAAAGAAAGAGAAGTGGAATTGGTCGATTGTAATTTTTGAGCGATGCTTGCTTGTTATATAATGTAATTTTTCCACACCAGTTTTAGAGTGAGTATTTGATCCACACCTTTTTTCTTCTTCTAATCAGCTATGACATTCCTCAATATTTCATATTCTCTCAATGCAAAACACTGCATGAACGCTCAATCACAACTTTGCCTCTGCCGTTGTGCAAACATGTATGGTCGTCGTATTATGTTTTGGGTTCACAACAGAAGAATGCTACAGCTAATCCTCGCGCCTAATTTTGAGCTTTGACAGAATATTCTCTAGTAACTGGCAGTGCCTTGCTCCTGAGCAAAATTGGCCGACCATCTGGAAACTGTATGGTTCATCCAAATACTCCAGCTTTCTCGACACCAGGTTGATCTAGTGTGCTATCATTTCTTTGTTATTTGCTTCAGAAGGGCTGACACAGAAGCACAATGCGTCGACTTGCTCTCACACTTCTCGCAGCATGATTGCAGGTTTTCAATCACTTTTTGACACCTGCATTGAAAGCATTCCAAATCATGCTAACTTACTGATCAGTAATTCTGCAACTTCTCCAAAACAACTAATAAAATTGATCACTGCAGCAGTTAAAATTTTTCAAAGAACATTCTGCAACTTCTCCAAATTACTCTCTGCATTCCTTCTGTCCAACAAAAGAACAACACTTGCAAGTAACCAGTGTGACAAGCTCAATCGTTAATCACAAAGGAGATAGTTAACATCACATGGCATCTAAGATCCCAACCACATTCATCTATCACAATGTTCTCTCTAATGGTACAATGATTGAGCTTGTCACACAATTCTCCCTAACAACCGATTCTCAATAACAGGTATACGATTTCCCCATTTTAAGAGCCAAGAGGAACTAGATCGACAGCCACCTTTCATAGAGGAGAAACAGAACACTAAAAAACGAAATCAGAACTCCAAACAACGAGCAAAGATGATAGCTTTCTCGTTGCCCTCGAGAGCGAGGACTCAACTGGAGTATAGTAAGATCAATACCGGCATAAATCACTCCAGTATCCCTAAACACAACAAATCTGCAATACCAAGGGCACCTTAAACAACTACTAAATTTGTCATTGGAAATAAGCAAAACCAGAATCCAGAATTGACCCCCGGCACAAAACCCTAATCACCGACGATCCATCTTCAAAAATGGAAGATTCATATAAACTGGCAAGGAAGGGCAAGTGAATTCACGGTTGTTTTACCCATTACCTTTGAGGGAGGAAGTTGTTCTTGGAGAGACAAGCTTGAATATCGCAGGCTTCTTTCTTGCACGGCTCTTTGATGGGTTGTGCCATCTTCTTCCCCGCTTTATCTCTCTCTCTCTCTCTCTGGGACGGTTTTCCTCTGTTCACTATATTCTGCGTTGAGCGAGTTCAATCTACAGATTGCAGAACAATCGCTGGTTCCTTCCTTCTCCTCCTCCGTTGTATTATATTCCCAGGAAGGAATCAAACTTCTGTGGATTCCGAAACTCGCCCCCCGAAGTTGAGATTTACAGCCAGCCCATCGTCTCCTTCAAATGCAAATTCAAGCTTTTCTTTCGGTGATTGAAAATTGGACTTTCAGCTGTGTATGCTAAGAGGACATTGCCATTGGTCACCGTTTGATAAAAGAAACGTTAACTTGATTGATCAAACCTGAACTTTTTGGACTTGGTGTAATAAAGTATGAAAATTTAGGCACTAAATAGATATCTAACCAAAAGTTCGCGGGGTTTTGTCTTTTTTTTCCTTTTTTTCTTCGAAGGAGTTTTCTGTTTGATTGTTTGAACAGAAACGCGAAAGTTCCATTTATAATTTTCTGTTCGTGCTCTCTCCGCCTTCGTGCAATGGAGAGGATTCTAAGTTTCGCGGCAAAGCTAAAGCAAGCATCGTTTCTATGGCTTGAAGGATTTATAGAAGCTTGCTGCCTTCATCGCGCGTTCCTCCTCTGTCGCAGGTTTCAGTTTCTGTTACTCTTCACAATTGGTTGCTAAGATAAATTCCCAGACCGATTTGAAGTCCTTTGTTCCTTTCTGGTAGTAATCTTTTGGTTTTGGCGCCTTGGCAGGTCGAAGAAGCTACTGATTCGAACTGGGCAGTGTTTTCTGTTGAATGGGTTCATATTTTTGGGAAGGTACCTTTTCGTTTCTCTGTACTTCGAACCTCGAGTGGCAAATCAGAATGTGCTTCATTTAGGAAGAGACTCTAGGTAGTAGAGGTAGGGAAACGAAGATTATGGTTACCTTGAAGATCTTGGTGAAGTAATTGTCCAATGTTCTCTATTGTGCAGTCTATTTCTGCTGAATTCAGTACTCATCCCAACATTACAATGGATATTGCCTGATAAGTGCTCGGGGATGAGCTCCCATGAGCCCTGCTTGCATGATAGCGTTCTGAAATATTACTCGTTCTTACGCGGTGCCCTCTTGCATCTCCTTTATGTAAGTATGATGTTCATTGCGTATTATATCACTTCCATCTCATGATTGGTAAACCCATCAATCAGTTTTGTTTCTTAGTTAGAAAAATTTCAGTGCTGTTGGTCAAAGATTTTTCTGAGGAAGGTCGCTGCTTTCTACTGTTTATCCCTTTTGGTCCTTCCCTTACATTTCTAGCATTTGCCTATCAAACGAATGATTGTTGGCCGTTGTCTTGTGTCCAGTTACTGGGTTAGTAACTTAAGGTTAGAGTAAGCAGTGAGGAAGGTTCTCCATCAGTTTTCAAAGATATGCCAATCTAACTGCAAAGTGCATTGACCATTCATTTGTTGTTCAAAGGTTTCGCGTCGATGAACTGTTGGTTATATATGGTCATCAAGCATTCACAATTTCCTCTCCGTCTTAGGATTTCAACAGTTGAACCCACTATGTTGTGTTTACTTGCAGATCTTTTGGTTCTACCCATTGTACCGGTTCAGTTGTATCCTGGGCATTCTCTGGTATCATTCTTTCCTCTTTAGTATCAGTTTTCCAATTGGAGCTTTGACTACTCTTCCTTTTCAATTGGTTTTACTCTGTGGTGGTAACTATGAGGTGAAAAATGGATCCACAAGATATTGTTTTTTCAAATGCTTTGCTAGGGTAGTATCCCACTTAAGAAATTATAAGATGCACTATCTTTCAGTTTTCAGTGCCAATGCGCTTCTGTTATGTGAGCGAATATGGTTTATTTGCTTGGTAATATTGTTAATCTCAGCTTCAACCTCACATATGGTTTGTGCTTTTAGGTGCTTCTAGACCTTTATAGTAATTTTTATTAATGCCTGACCTCCTCTTTCCTTTGTCTTAATCGAAGGTATGACGACATTGCTAAACATGCTTTCGCTGCAATGGAAAACAATGGGCGCAACCTATTGAAACCCTCAGGGTCGGATGAGGTAGCGGCAGAGCATAAAAAAGCTCCAATGGAGAAGCCTCCAGGCCTCGAGGGGTAATTACTTGGAATTTGCACCTATTGCTTATTGATTCTTTTTCGTGCCTCCAGAAACCTTTAAGCTGAGTGGTTTTTGACCTTTTGTTCTGCACTTCTTCTGGCAGAGTTTTTGTGGGAATAGGGGAGCAGGTGTACTCAGTACTGCTTGTAATATTCTTCTCTGCGCAGGTTGGTGAATTCTCATTGAAACTGTGAATGCGTTATTGCAGTTTGCTGTCTGATTTATATCATAAATTGCCCAGGGTCTGTTATTTTGGTTTGTCTGAGCTATAATCTTTTGAGCAGAGTGGACTTCTTATCAGTCATACTTGTATCTGTTTTTACAGAAAATTTGTTCATAATCCTATCTACAAACACACTTATGAGTCTATCGAAACTGCTTTTTATTAACTGTATCACAATGATCAAGCTGGCAAGTGGACTTGGTACGATGCGTTTTTCAAGTGGGTTAACTCAAGTTTCACTGCTTGACTTGCAGCAGCAGAATCACTATCTATTTTTAACATCTGCGCTCTGTTATGTGTAGGTTCATGCTGTAGGAATCGTGCCATTTGTTGGGAAGGCATTGAGTTTCGTACTGCAGTCCTGGATGTATGCCTACTATTGTTTCGAGTAGGTGGATGTGTATGCATCTTCCAGTGTGACATGTTTGATGTTGTGAATTCCTTTCTATGGATCATTCTTCTGATTTTGGTTCTCTGCTCTTGTTTAGGTACAAATGGAATTTGTCTGAAGTGCCGCTGGACAGGAAACTGGACTTCTTCGAAACTAACTGGCCCTTTTTTGTTGGTTTCGGTAACTATGCTCTCGTCTCTCTTGCACCTTTGAATTTCCATGGCACATATAAGTTAGTTATCTGTCCTCATCCCTTAAGTTAGTTATAATCGACCTTTTGGACAGAACATTGTACTCCCACTCCCACACCGTTCTAACTCGTGTTGTTACCTAAAAGGATGGAATGTCTTTGTTTGCATTTTTCCAGGCAGCCCCTGTGTTCTGGCTAGTTTCTTCTTCTCTACTTATGTGAGCTACGGCGTGATGGCCACTCTTTTCCCCCTGGTATATATCAGACATCCAATTCACGTACATAGCAACCTGTTTCTTCACATTTCCTTGAGATGGCAGTAAACATTATATTATGACTCTTTTTAGTTTGTTTTGACTGCAACGAGCTCGAGTTCCCAACAGCTCATTTTCTCTGAGAGGGAAAAATGGAAGGGGATAGGACTTGGAAGGCTACCCATATTTTGTATCGCCGATAAATTATCGTAAGTTGCTGCTCAAAGCCTTTTGGCACCCTAGAAATCAAACATTTTGAAGTCATTAGAACTGTGAACCCAGTGATGATCTCTTGGTTTCGACATACTGATATCCTCACTTGTTTCTGTCCTCTTTTTTCTTTAGGCGTCGGAGCTTTTCCTCCGTCCCTTGGATTCTCGACATGATGAACCGGGCTCTAAGTCTGGCTACGACAATTTCAGCTTTTCTGATTAACACTCTGACAAGCAAAGCGCGCAACGCTTAGAAATGGGCTAAGCCGTATGTATCTACATTGCCTCCATACACTTGTTGATGACCTGGAGGAAGGAACCGATCCCCGAAACCATCACAAGACGGACGAGACGACGGCTGGAGTATCTGGTTGATCAATGTACAGAAAAGAATCTGGATCCGAGAATGATGTAGAGCTTCATTATTAGTTTGTACTTAGTTGCTTAGTTCATACAGTATCTCGATTGTGCAAAATGCTCCAAAGTTTGATAATCATATATGTATTTGCGCGCGCATTTCAAACACTCCTTAATGATGTGCTCTGTATTGGGCCCGTTGATCCAAATAGTCCATTTCTACAATTCCTACTCATGGTGTGGGCTGGCCCACGATATGAGTCCAGCAAGGCCCACGATTGTTAATTTCCCTCCATTTCGCCGCCTTCTCCATCAACTCGTATATTTTCCACTTCCAGTCTCAGCTTCCTCTCCAGCCCGAAATGGCGACGGAGGAGAACAGTAGTAAAATCGCGAGGAGGACAGAGCCGGGAATCGGCGATGATGAAGACAGGCTCAGCTCGTTACCGGACCAAGTCCTCTCCCACATCCTCTCTTTTATGGAAACCAAGTACGCCGTCGGCACCGCAGTTCTCAGCCGACGGTGGGAAGATCTCTGGACTAGGGTTTCCATTCTCGACCTCGACAGCCGCTTGATTTACGAGTCCCTGAACAAAGAGGAGGAGGAGCTAGAACCTGCTTCAGAAGCAGTTTTAGAGAGGAGGGAATCGGAGTTCTGCCGCTTCGTTGACAAGGTACTGGGCCAGCACAAGAATCTCAATTCTCTTACTCGTTTCCGCTTCCATTTCTCAAATGGGCACCGAAAGGTGCTTTCCGAAACTAGGTTTAAGAGGGAATTCGTGTTTGGTCCTCCAATGGAGGAGATTGATGTCATGATCCGCGGTAAAAGTAAATTCGGAATTCCCCTATGTATGCGCTGCATTCCAGAGAGCTTCTACACTTTGAGGAATCTGAAAGTTGCCAAGCTTTCGGGGGTTATGCTGGGTGCAATAAACCAGTCTGCTCTTCTTCCAAGTGTGAAGATTTTACGGCTTTATCGTGTCGAAATGAAGGACGGTGAATCATTAGACAGGCTCCTTTGTGGTTGCCATGTCTTAGAGACTCTTCATCTGAAGAATTGCCGCCTCTCTGACAAGAATGAGGGAGATCGAATCGAGGTTTCCTTACCATTGTTGAAGAACTTGAAAATTAGCCATTATGCCATATGGGATGGTCCAATGTGTCCCATTGTTATTGAAGCGCCAAATCTCGAAGATCTTTATGTCGAGGATTTCGCAGAGTTGCAGTTGAATGGCACAAATCCGTTGCCATGCCTTCATTCAGCACATGTAGATGTACAGGTCGAGAGTTATAGTGCCGTGATTCGGCTCCTCTCTCAAATCTCCAATGCAAAGAAACTGAATTTATCCGGGGTGACTCTGGTAATAAGGTCCACTGTTTTCTTTACATGGATAATAATTCTGTTCATAAGAGCGTTAATTTTGTTGACCTTTGTTTCAACAGAGTCTTTTGTCAGCTGTCGATTATGTTCAACTGCCTGTCTTCCCCAATTTGACACACTTGACAATCGAAATCGGGGAATTCCAGGGCAGTATCTGGCACTCTTTGCTCAAGTCAGCCTCCAAACTACAATCGCTCGTCTTTGATAAGGTGATCTCCGTGTTCATTTGTTTGGTATCTTCCTTCGAAAACTGTTCTAATGAATCTCTACGTGAAGCAGGAGAAAACCAGTGGAGTAGAGAGAATGAGGTGGGAGGATTTCGAAACTGCTAGCACGCCAGAGTGTTTGTTATCAAGTCTGGAAGAAATCAAGATCAAGGATCTTGCAATTTATCCAGGAGTGAAGAAAATCATAGCATATTTGCTCGGGGCTGGAGCTGTTCTGAAGAAGGTCAATATGCACCCAAATGGTACCTATCTTAAACTGAAGGGTCACAAAGATTTCGTGCCGCTACTGGAACTTCCAAAAAGATCGAGTGCTTGCGAAGTCGAGCTTATATTTTTTGACGACGAAGATTTCAGCAGGGATAGCGATGCTGAGAGCAACACCAGCGACGACAACGACGGAGAGGATGTTTTTCTTTGAAGCATGTTGGTGGGCAACAAAGGAGGCTCTGAAATCACATGATGAAACTTGCTCTATACTCTCTTGTTGTCTTGGGTTGTTTCAGAAGCTCTAAGTTTAACTAGACATGGAATGTTAGATAAACATGGAAGGATTTATCACCATGTTTGTCACTCTAAGAGAAAAACATTTCAGTCGAATACAATTCTGTCGATGGCCACCAAGAAACTCACAATAGTAATATACAACTAATTAATACAACAATCAATCACACTTACACTAACTACCCCTCTTTATACAAATACCAATCCCTTCTGTTTTGTCCCTTTGGACCAAACAAACCAAAATTTACAAATTTCTCCCATCTCAAACATCCATCCCTCACTCAATACCAATCTAGAGCATTTCCCCGCCAAAATAAGAAAAACAATACAAACATTTTCAAAAAAATGCAAAAAAATAAAAAACACAGAAAAGAAACTCTCTTCTTCGTCTTCTTCCCACCATCATCAATGAAATCAAATCACTCCACAATCAAACCGAATCAATGCTTCATTAACAAACCGACAATGAATCGAACTCAAGCTCTCGAATCCCCTATGCTAAATTGCTAATGGAAGGTCCCCGAAAACAAGCCATTCATGAACTTCAAATTCTTTTGCATCACTCAGAATTGTCGTTGTTGGGATCTTCTTCACCGTCACTATTCGTTTCCTCTTCCTGCTGCTGCTGTTGTTGGTGATGATGGTGTTGTTGCCGCTGCTGATGCTGCTCGGAATTCATATTCAATCCGCCTCTGGAGTAAGCATTCAGCGCAGCCACCATCCCCAAATTCGATTCGGACATCCCCAGCCCGAGATGCTGCGACGGTGCCTGCTGATGCTGATTAGTTGATGTTGTCGCCGGCGGCGGCGGCGGCATCACCATTGATCCCAACTGTAAATGACTCGGTCTCCCCCCTTGGAAATCCAGATTCGGAGAGGAAAGATTGAATCTTGGCATGAAATGCAGAGGTGCTTGAACTGACGGATTCCCTCCCGCAGTCGCTGCTTGTGAGAATGGCCACATCTGGGCTTCCGTTGATGTCGGCGCGACCATTGAGTGACCGCCGCCGCCTGCCGTCACCGGCAGCATCCAGAACGTGTTCCCAGCACCGGCATTGGGGCCTGCCGCCACCGCCCACATCGCCGTGCCAATGTTGGATGGACGCAGTAAGGAAGTAGAGGAAGCTGATGGCGATGAGGACGCTGACACTGCTTCTTGTTGTTTAGGGATTCTATTCGGAGATCCCCTGCCGCCGTCGCTCTCTCCGCCCTGTTGATTTTCATCCTTGAACAAATCCTCCCTGAATCTTTTCCGGTAATTCTCCCCTGAATCCGTCGCTCCACCGCTGCCTCTATCTCCGCCGCTGGCGCTCGGCAGAGCCTCCGCGATTTGATCCGCCGACAACATATGCTGCTGCTGGTGGTGGAATGCCAGATGCGCGGCGGAAAACCGTTCATCGTAATGCTGCTGCTGCGCCGCCGCCAGAGCAAGCGCCCCGTGAAACGAATGCAGCGGCGCCGATTTCGACGGCGGAGCGGAGAGAGTGGATCCGCTGCTCCGCAGCGAGACATTCAGGGTGGAGAAATTGGCCGGGATGGTGCCCGTCCCCGTCGCCGCAATTATCGCCGGCTCCGCCTGCTGGAGCAGCCACTCGATCGTCTCCCCGTCCGATTTGTGACCCAATTCCCTCGTCAATTGGAAAACCCTCGCCGCGCAGGCGGCCGGCATCCGGATCCTCCGCCCCCGCCCGTCCACCTTCGTGTGCCTGTCTTTCGTCGACCGCTTCGGCGCCGCCGCCGCCGCTACGGTCACTGCCCCCGTCCCCGCCGGCACGACTGCCAGCCTATTGTTCTCGTTTCCTTCGTTTTTCTCCGGCAGAGGCCCAGATCTGATGGCGAGGGAGGCGTCGGGGGAAGAGGAAGAAGAAGAAGAAGAAGAAGAATTAGTACTAATTGAAGTAGCAGGAGTGGAGGTGGAAGCGTGGTGAAGGACATGGTGGTGATAGGAGGGAGGAAGCGGAGCTGAAGAACGAGAGATGGAGCCGATGAAAGGTGGTTGAGGCGGTCCAGCTCCACCGCCGCCGCCATGGAAGCGGAAGTGTTGTTGGTACTGGAGGAGATGGTGAGGATGGAGTTCTTGGGAGGAACTGTTGCTGTTGTTTGGTTGCTGCTGCTCCTTATTGGGATTGGTTTGTGAATTTGTGAGCTCCATTCTTTTTTGTTTGTTTGGGAGGGAAGGGTGGCCGGCCAGCCTCCTTGTGGGGCGAGCTTTTGAGAGATTAAACAAAGCACACTCCCTCCTTCTCTCTCTCTCTCTCTCGCTTTCTCTGTAACAAAACTACAAAGAAACGGAAGACAGAGACAGAGAAAGGGAGACAGAGGGACGAAAAAAGGTTTCAACTTTCTGGTTGGTCTGGTTGTCTGTGAATGAGAATTCAAAAACCCATTGCTGTTCTGGTGATTCTTCTTGGTGGGGAGCCAATCTCGTCGCCATTCATTGGTTTGTTAGACGAGGAAAGGAGGAAGGAGAAGGAAAAAAGTTGAAAAGCTAGGACAGGGGATGACATGAAAGACAAAAAAACACAAAAGAGTACGAAGGGAGTAAGAACTAAAGAGGACCAGAGGAGTCAGTGACTGTGTAAATGGGTTTGTTTTCAATTCAATTTGGTCCTTATTACTTGATGGAGAGAGAGAGAGAGAGAGAGAGAGAGGGAGGAGAGATCAGAGGTATTGGGGACTTCCGAAGGTAGGAGGTGGGCAAGGAAGAAGAAGATGAAGAATTGAAGAACGAAAGTATTTGGCACAAGTCCACTCGTGGGGTCCTGTAAGTTTGAAAAAAAAAAACATATAATAATATCTGTTATTATTAAAATAAAATGTTAATAACTGTGCTCTTCACTCAATCATCATCACCTGAAAGTGGTTTCCCACTTTGAAAAAATCGATTTTAGTTGGGGGGATTTGGGTCTATGGAGTGGTTTGAAAGTTGTTTATATTAAATTGTTTATTCTAATAAATCACAATAATATATATATGTAAAATAGAAATATATTGACATTACATTGTTTGATTGTTGATATTCAAGGCTACACAAAGATCTCACCTCGAGTTTTTTTTTCACGAACTGCGTACGAAGAACAACTGATTTGGTTCCTACATGGTCACGCCTGATTTGATCAGAATTCAGGATCAAGCACATAAGAAACTTTAGCCTACTGAATTAGGATGTAAATGGAAATCAAAATGCAGCTTCATCATGTTATTCACAGCCTCCTTCCTTCCCCACCTAACATGCTTCAAAGAAACTCATCATCACGGTCGTCGACGTCGTTAGAGCCATCATCATTGCTGTTGTCTGTGTTGCTCTCAGCATCGCTATCGCTAAGTAAATCTTTGTCATCGGGAAAGATAAGCTCGACTTTGCAAGCACTCGATCTTTTTGAAAGTTCCAGTAGTGGCATAAGATCTTCGCGACCCATTCGTTTGAGATAGTTGCCATTTACGTGCATACTGACCTTCTTCAGAACAGCTCCGGCCCTGAGCAAATATGCTATCATGTTCTTCACATCTGGATATATTGTAAGTTCCTTGATCTCGATTTCTTCCAGACTTGATAACAAACACTCTGGCGTGCGAGCAGTCTCTAGATCCTCCCAAGTCATTCTCTCTTCTCCACTGGGATTCGCCTGCTTTGTGTAGAGATTCATTACAAAAGTTATCGAAGGAAGATACCAAACAAATGAACACGGGGCTCACCGTATCAAGGACAAGCAGCTGTAGTTTGGAAGCTGAGCTGAGCAAGGAGTGCAGAACCCTGATACTGTCCTCGAATTGACTGGTTCTAATTATCAAATGTGTCAAATTGGGAAAGACAGGCAGTTGAACATCATCGACAGCTGACAGAGGACTCTGTTCGAAACAAAGGTTAACAAGATCAACCCTCTTATGAACAAAATTAGATCAATGTAAAGAAAACTGTGGAACTTATTACCAGAGTCTTCCCCGACAAATGCATTTTCTTTGCATTGGAGATTTGAGTGAGGAGCCGAATTAAGTAACTATAACTCTCGACCCGCACATCAACATGTGCATGTGCTGAATGAAGGCATGACAACGGACTTGTACCCTTAAACTGCAACTCTGCAAAGGCCTCAACATAAAGATCCTCGAGATTTGGCGCTTCAATAACAATAGGAAACATCCAATCACCCCAAATGGCATCATAATCGATAATCTTCAAGTTCTTCAACCATGGTAAGGAAACCTCAATTCTGACTCCATCATTCTTGTCAGAGAAGTAGCAACAGTTCAGAAGAAGAGTCTCTAGGACAGGGAAACCACATAGGAGCCTGCCTAATGACTCAACGTCCCTCATTTTCACACTAGAAAGCTGTAAAATCTTCACACATGGAAGAAAAGCAGGCTTGTTTATTGAACCCATCATAACCCCTGAAAGAGTGACAAATTTCAGATTCCTCAAAGTGTAGAAGCTCTCTGGAATGCAGCGCATCCATTTGTGACCGCTGATCATGACATCAATCTCCTCCATTGGAGGACCAAACACGAATTCCCACTCAAACCCAGCTTCAGAATGCACCTTTCTTACGAAATGGAAGCGGAAACGAGTAAGAGAATTGAGATTCTGGTGCTGGGCCAGTACCTTGTTGGCGAAGCGGCGGAACTCCCATTCTCTCCTCTCCAAAGCATTTGAAGCGGGTTCTAGCTTACGGGGTTCGGCGAGAGGCTTGTAAACCAAGCTGCTGTCGAGATCGAGACTGGAAACCCTAGTCCAAAGATCTCTCCACCGTTGGCTGAGAACTGCAGTGCCGACGGCGTACTTAGTTTCCAGGAAAGAAAGGACGCGACAGATGATTTCGTCCGGCAAGATGCTGATCCTGTCGTCGCCGCCGATTACCGTCCCTGACCCCGCGATTTTAGTCTCCATTTTCTCGGTCTGGGAGAGAAATTGAGACGGGAAGTGGAAAGATCCCGAAGTGAGCAGGCGGTGGTGAAGAAGGCGAAAAGGCGGGGAACAGAAAATCTATGCGGGCCGGGCCTTGCTAGGTAACATAAGAAATGGACCTGAATGGTCCATGAAGATAGGCCACCAGAAGCCCAGAGAGGCGACGCATCAAATAAGAGCCTAGCCCACTCCTCCGGGTGAGAAGCATGGGGAAAATTAGTCTTGGGAGTTGGCGGAATTCGTAATAAGAGGTGGGTAATGATCCGATTCACATCGAACCGAATCGATATTTGGATCGAGTTGAATCGAATATGTTTTTGATTTGATTTTGGTTTATGAATCATTTATTAAGTATGAAGGAAAATGGACCGAAATTAAATTTGGATCGAAACAAACCGAGCCAAATTAACCAAACACGCTTTTGGTCCAGTTTTGGACCTTATTTTTCTTTGATTTTATTTTTGTCCAGCCTATCTTAATTCGATCCGGTTGTGGACCGATTCGAACAATGCCTACTCCCAATTGTAATAACTTGGTGGTATTTCATTATTACAATCAATTCAGTCAAAAGCGCGATTCTACCTAGAAGCGGTTGGGTGGCCTAGAAGCGTAAAATCGTAAGCTTTTAAGTTTTAAAATGTAGATTTTGTCTACATTTGTAAAGAAAAATCACGGTTTTATATAGAAGCGTTTTGATGACCCAAAATAATAAAAGCGTAAGTTTTTAAGCTTGAGGACAAACTTGGGACCCTAGGCTCGTGGAGGGTCCGGCCGGTACTGTACCCATCTTTTATGATAGCGGTGCCCTACCAGAAAGGCAATCTTGGGACCAACTCTTCAATAACCCGACTGCAAGTAAGGACTGGACAGCTCAACCGAACAAGTACGCACCACACATTCTTCCATGGCCCAAAAAAAGGAAAGGCAGGGAAACTTCAAGCGTCGTCGCTCTCAATCTGTTGGTAAATCTTATACTATCCACAATTAAAGTATCTTTCATCAACCACTTGAATTATTGGGACCAACAGGTTTATGACATGATATCATAGAAATCTGTTGACCGAGAGTTATTAGTTAATCCCGCGACAACCCTCATCTGTTATGTTAGTAAAGGTGACCGGTTGGTTTATGACGCGTGGTATCAAAATCTGGTTTGGCTTAAATGGTCTTGTGTTTGAACACGCGGTATTGTGGGCATGTACAAATTTCAAGCCTACGAGTCGGCTTGAATTTGAGGAGGTGCGTAAGAGAGGGGGTATGAGCTAGATTCATAATAACATTCTCCCCAACAGCAAGAGTTATTGGAACTGGCTGATTTATGATGTTGTAAGAGAGTGTGATATAAGATTCATAATATATTAAATTTTGTTTGGCCAAAATCATCGTGTGTTTGAATCTCCACGCGCGTATTATGAGTTAATTTATAGCAACACAACCCTTGTGGTGTTGTGGTGTTGGCCCCATCTCTTATCTAGAAAACCTACGTCCGCTCCCACTTTCCGGGGGCAATCATAAAAGATAGCGATCCCCCGGTCGAGATCTCGTCCACAGTTCACTCGTTCATTGTTTTTTTTTTTTTTTCTTACTTCTTTGGGCTAGCCGACAATAACGCGTCTGCAAAAATTATTTCCCTTTTGAACATGGCCGGCCGGAGTGCAATGCCGGCGGCAGTGATTTCCATGGTCTTGCCACTGATGTTATTGCTATCATCCTGTTCTTCATCCGGCGCCGGACCCATCACGTCGATTTTCAGCTTCGGTGACTCCATTGCCGACACCGGGAACCACTGCTACCTCCTGTTCAAGGCCGGAAAGCGTGCCAACAACTGTTTTCTCCCCTACGGGGAGACGTTCTTCCGGCGGCCCACTGGCCGCAGCTGCGACGGCCGCCTCATAATTGACTTCATCGGTAATTGTCATCCGTGGTGCTAATTTAAACCATGATTTCTTGGTGAAAGTTCTCTGATAAATGTTAATTAAACTACTTAGTTTCAATAATCCGAAATTTGGTTGGAAAATGACGTTGGATAAGACTTTATCTCGTAATATATATGTGACAAAGACTAGACTAGAGTGTAATTTGTACTTGTTGTTTACACTTTACACGCAGCTGAGTATTTAGGGCTGCCTCTGCTGCCGCCTTATTTTGGCGGAAGCCCCGACAACTTCCACGGCGGGGTGAATTTCGCGGTGGGGACGGCGACGGCGCTTCACACTGACTTCTTGACGTCAAAACTGGATGTTAAGATAACCACCACCAACGTTTCCCTGGGAGTGCAGTTGGATTTGTTCAAGCAACTGTTGCCTTCCCTCTGTGGAGATGGTATCCAAACAGGCAAGTCCACTCGATTTGAAAAAGAAGAAAAAAAGAGAGTTTAAAGTACTAGTACCTAGCGGATTTGTTATATGATTAAATTGCGATTAAGGTCACCATCACCCAAGCCCTGTGCATTATTACTAACAAAATTTAAGTCTTGTCGATGACCTTATCGTTAGGAATGGTCGTTCGGTTACCGGTTATCGGTTAAATTGATAACCGATCGATTATCCACTAACCGGTAACCGAACTTCGGTCGGTTATCGGAGGCTGGACGAAATGGTTTTTGGTCTTAAAAGTGGTTCGGTTAATCGATAACCGAGGTAACCGAGACATCAAAGTCTATTTAAGGCGGTTTTCGATAGGGGAAGTGATTATTTCGGTTAACCGATAACCGGATAATCGGTTACCGGTTATAACCGAAATAACCGAACTGCCACCCCTACTTATCGTTATGGATGCTAGGTAAGTCTATTTTTTTGTGGTGTATGATCAAGATCCCAAATCTATCAATCTTCAACTAGCTCATTGGTATAGTCCATTCCCCACTTTTCTTTACTTAATTGTATGAGAGAGGTGCTTGTGATTTGATTGCTCGAAAGGACGTGCTACATATTGCATTTTTTGGTATGCCTCATAAATTCATAATGGTCATTTTATGCATGTTAAAATGATCCACTCTTACTTGGCACTTATGGAATGATAACCATGAAAATGCATGAAATTTATTCAGGTTTTATTTTGATTTTAATTGTTTAGAAACGTTGGGTTAGGATTCAAGATTTATGGTTCGTAATTTAAGATATATGGTTACTCATAATGCATGTGGTTCTATGTTATATATAAAGGTAGTAATTAACATTAAAATTTGATGTTTTAATACTAGTTTTAGAATTCAGTGAATAATATGTATTTATTTTTGTGACTGCACAGTAGAAGTCATCGGTCTAAAGATATATTTATTTATTTAATCAAGGTATTAATTACGTGTTTGTAGGCTGCCGACACTTGTTCAGCAAATCACTTTTTATATTGGGAGAGATTGGAGGGAATGACTATAATTTACCCTTGACCGATGGACACGGCTTCAACGACGACATTCAACAACTTGTGCCCCTTGTTGTCGGTTACATTGGATTCGTCCTCAGGGTACGGTGGATGTTAATGGCACTTCTCTAACTAACTAACTCCGACGCAGTCGTTTAGTTTCTATGTTATATTTGTTTTACTCAACTTGGAGGACAATTTTTTTGTTAATTAATTGAAATTTTCTATATGCAGGAGATCATCGAGCTAGGGGCAGTCAACATTCTAGTTCCCGGAAACTTCCCGATTGGGTGTCTACCCTTCTACTTAACAAAGTTCCGCAATTCAAGTTCAATGAACTACGATCCTTCCACCGGATGTCTCACTCGGCTCAACAAGCTTTCGAAGTATCACAACGAGCTCCTACAAGCTGAATTGAGTAGCACGAGACAACTTTATCCCGACGTTAATATCATCTACGTCGATTATTACAACGCCGTGTTTCGCATATATCAAGCACCCGAGCAATTTGGTACAGAACCGAACCAATTGATATCTAACAACATAAATGTCGTGGTTGAGGAAAGAAACTGATGTGTTATTTTATTTCCTATGGATTTTGGGTTGTAGGGTTTACAGGGGAAACTTGGAAAGCATGTTGTGAAGGAGAAGGGTCGGTCCAATGTGGGAGCCCATCGGTGAAGCCTTGTGATGATTCTTCCAAATACGTGAACTGGGATGGGCTTCATTTCACTGAAGCAACTTATGGATCGGTGGCCCGGTCCATATTGGAAGAAGGCTTATTCATGCACCCTTCTTTCAATCTCTCTTCATCTTCACGTATTGCTAGGGATTCAGGGGACTACTTTCCCAATTCCTTTTGATGCCACGTAGAAACAACCAAGCATGTAAACTCACTATTGTTAGTGTTGTGGTATATGATCCACGATTGAACATCTCTCAACAACTCGAGTTATTGGGAGCAACTGGTTCATGACACGGTATCAGACCCTTTTGTGACCGAGAGGTCTTGTGTTTGATTCCCGGTGACCCCCATTTGTTAAGCACATGGTATTCTTGTCTTCGGACCCGTGCAAACTTCAAGCCCTTGTGAGTGGCTTTCGTTTGAGGGGGCGTGTTAGTGTTGTGGTATATGATCCACGGTTGAACCTCTCCCAACAACTCGAGCTATTGGGAGCAACTAATTCATGACAACTATCACTATCCTGCCACATTATGCAATTATTATTATTATTATTTGGTTAATACCCCATGCTACAAGCCTACAACCGCCGGATCACCCTAATGTCGTGATGTCAATTGTTGGATGTACGCGCGTTAATATATCGTATTCGTCGAAACACTGTTTGTAAATACGTTCGTATCGCATCAATTATGTTAAACCGAACCTTCCAAATTCCAATCTAACAAATGCCTTCCTAATTTATTTGCGAAGCTAGTTTAAGATCAAATTTACCGGGGGAAAAAATATAGTTATCCCACACTTTGTTTAGAAGTTGTGATGGCATTAGTGGAAAGATAATGTAAGAAAGTCTATCTCCATGCTCAAAATTTATTTACAAAGATACCACTTATTCATCTAATATGATTGCGAAACATTATTCAATTGGACGATTATTGACGCAGTAAGAACGTCTTTACAAATAGCGCTTCGAGCACTATAACCGAATTTTTGTATAGTTATGAGTGATATGAAAATGAAAACCCATGTAAATAGTAAAGTTGATTGCAGCTGAGTTCTTGTAACCTCATTGTTCTCGTTCCAGAAAATTCAAAATTGTCGCGGCCTCGCGGGTCGGGATAATTACTATTTTGTTTTGTTAATCGTTTATTATCGATTTAATTTTTTACAGCTGATAAAGAAAAGAGACTCTCTGTTTTGGCTCTGTCCGTTTTGAGATGTGACCATTTGGGGCAGGAATCCATTAATCCAACCACCCTTTGGGATTTTGAGGGATGCGAAAAATGGCTCAAACCTTTCCTTCTCCGCCGCCGGCATTCCTTCCAATACTTCTCTCCGCCGTCGTGTTACTATTCCCGACCACCATCTCCGCCGCCGCCGGATCTGATTGCTTCACATCCATCATAAGCTTCGGCGACTCCATCGCCGACACCGGCAATCTCTGCGACCTCTCCCCGCCGCAACACCTCCCCCACATGTGCTTTCCTCCCTACGGCAACACCTTCTTCCACCGCCCCACCGGCCGGAGCTGCGACGGCCGTTTAATCATCGATTTCATCGGTAAGCAAATCGGTCAAACCCGATTTGACCCAGCTCGATCTCAGTCTATTTCATCAAATTGGTACCCATACCAGTGAACTCCCAATAAACAAAAGGCTGTGATAGTTCCGTACTAATTAGTTGCTCTGTTTTTGCAGCTGAGCATCTGGGTCTTCCTCTGGTGCCGGCTTCTTTCGATGGCCGCCGGGGGGATATCGCGACCGGCGTCAATTTCGCGGTGGCCGGGGCTACGGCGCTGGGTGTTGAGTTCCTCAAAAACTGGGGGGTGCCTGTGATCACGACCAATGTTTCTTTGAGAGTTCAGTTGGATTTGTTCCGGGAGCTAATGCCGTCGCTTTGCAACTCCGGCGAAAGTCCAGGCAAGTCTGCTTTATTTATATCTCGCAATATTTAATTAAGGTGGTACGGTTGTTAAAAAAAAAATACACATGTATTTGATAGTCACTTATTCTTAACATATACTATTTTTAGACAGACACCAGTACTGCTAATACTTATTGTTACAACTTACAAGTGATCATTTTGTAAATTTTTAAAGTTCAGTGACGACTTTGTGTCATTTGGCATAGTTCAATGACCATTTAGATAATTCCCCATCTCTCACCTACTTTTTTTTTCTTTTTTTCAAAAGATATCATGCCATATCTCACCTACCACTAGAAAGATAAATGTTTTTTTTATATTTGATTGGACATCTCGATGAAAATATTTTTTTCATTTCCCACCCAATTTGTTATCGCATTTTTGTCTTTTAATTATCACTAATCACTTCTGAGTGGAGTCATTTCGAATACAATTTTAAAATTATAATCAGCTCCGTAATCATAAGTTGAGAAATACTATTTACGCCATTTCGATTAATCATAATTCATAATACATTTCTTACAAACTGGCATTGTTAACATCTAGAGACTAGAAAATTTACGGGTGTTCAAACGGATTGGTTACTATGGTAACCATATTAACCGGTAGCATTCGGTTAATTTGGATAATTGGTTTAGTTTGGTTAAACAATTTAGCTTTTTTGGTTTAGGTGGTTTGGTTTGGTTTCAACACTACTAACCAGTGAAACCAATTAACCAATTAATGATACACGTAATATATAAAATTATTTATACTTCCATGCAACCAACCAAACCAAACTTTCGTGATTCCCTATTTTATTTCCATGTGCACAACAAACCAAAGCATTATGGGTCAAAAATTAAATTGGTCTGCCTATTTACTAAACCAAAACATTTTGGATAGCTACTAGACTTTAGGATTACGTATAGTAGCATGACAACCACCTCAAACTATGTATAGTTTAATTGTTTTGTAGGAGAGCTTTAACTTCCTAATGAGTGGTATTGGTACGTATTTGATATTTATGTTAAGAGTTTGTTGTGAGCTAACTTTATTAGGTGCATAGATGATGAATGATGTATTAACTCGAATAATGATGATGATCATGAATGGTTAGTCTTATTATTATTGCTTATATATAATGATAGTCTATGATAGTAATAACATATGGTTATGTTTTATTCATTAACAAGGTAATTGTTTTCATGTAATGTTATGTTATTTGGTTAATCAGATTATCCGATTAACCAAACCAATTAAATTTTGATTTGGTTAATTTGGTTTTCGTGTTAATTTGGACGGTTTGGTTAAAACATTTTATTCCATGGTTAATGAAATTTAGGCTTAATTGGTTTGATTATTGCCACGATAATCATTTGAACACCCCTACTAGAAATGCACTAATCCACACAACTTAATCTCTATAATTGGACCTATTCATCTTGTACACTACTCCATCTTTGCATATCTCAACGAGATATAGCTCTAGGCAATCTCAAGTTGTATACATTTGAACATGCAGGATGCAATGGCGCCTTCGACAACTATCTTTTTCTGATGGGCGAAATCGGTGGCAACGACTACAATTATCCATTGATGCTTCCAATGAGCTTCGAAAAAATCCAACAACTTGTGCCCGTTGTGGTCAATTCTATCGGTTTGGCTATCGAGGTGAGTATACTATATATCTTCAGCATGCCCAGTTGAAGCAAACCCTTATGCCAAATTTCGTGTCTTGAAACCTTAGTTGGATGGACTAATAATAATAATGGAACATTAATTCTCTTCTTATTATTTTCATTCAGGATGTAATTGAGCTGGGAGCTGTACACATCATGGTCCCTGGAAATTTCCCAGTTGGATGCATACCCGTTATGCTAGCCAATTATCCGAGTTCGAATCCTCGAGACTACGATCCTTCCACGGGATGCCTTACGTGGCTCAACCAGTTTGCCGAGCTACATAACGATCTTCTCCAAACCGAGCTGGGTCGTCTGAGAAAGCTTTACCCCCGCGTCCACATTATCTATGCCGATTATTACAACGCCATGATGCGCATTTATCGTTCGCCGCAACAATTTGGTACGTACCATGTCGTTGCTAACACATGTTCGTATCTCGTCTTTCAACTTTACAACAATACAATCTTCGGTGTTGTTTCGATTTCTAGGGTTCACGGGTGGAGTTCTGAGAGCATGTTGTGGAGGTGGAGGGCCTTACAACGTCAACACGACGGTGAACTGCGGGAATCCGGTGGTGAAGCCTTGTGACGACCCTTCAACGTATGTTAACTGGGATGGGATTCATTTCACTGAAGCCACCTATAGATTGGTTGCAAAGTACATTTTGGAAGAAGGTTCAATTGTTGATCCTCGATTGGGCGCCTCTTCTTGTGCTACAATGGATTCCAAGGCCCAAGCATTATGAGTTTCCTAGTTTGTTTTCTGTGATTATGATGTTCACTATTTGGATGTCAAAGTAGGAGACAAAGAACAAGGAATGGTATCTCATACATTGAAGTAGTTGTCCGTTACCAGTCGCACGGTTTTACTTTTGGAGTGCATCATGACGACTTTCTCAGAGATCATTCGGTTTTGCACTGTCTTATTATGTAGAGGTGAAAAAAACACATATAATATAATAATATAACTTGAGGGGGCAAACATATGACTTTCCTCGTAAGACGTATCCAAATAGACATCCACTAGTTTCGCGTGTGAATAGTGCGTTGTTTTCACCTTCACCTTCAACATCCACTTAGTGTATCCCTGTAGCGGACTTCATCTGGTCACATAACTTGCTACAAGCAATTCCTCTAAAAAAAATTTCATTGTCAATACAATTTCTCCATAAAAAGGCTTAGCCAAGGTTACAGTAGACCTTCAATTTTGAAGCATGGTTGCATCAAAAATTATTTTGAGGCAACTCGTTGCTAGAACAACCCAAATTGTGCAAGATGCAATACTTGCATATGAAATTGACCCTCCATGACACCATGATCACTACCATACAGATAAATTAGAGTTCGCTACCATTCTACATGTCGAAACATAAACCGCGAATATACACACATAAAATATTTGCATCATAAAATCTAGTAGGATTACACCCAAACTTAAACTATCTTTGATACCATATCAAGTCTTGATTCAAGACTTCACTTCTACTTGTTTGGAATCCATATAGACTTCGGAGTTCATGAAATCAACTCCAACAAGGCGAGAAGTCAATGGCACTTATCTGCTGCAGCCAATCAGAAACTACCACGTCACTTTAATTGACAAGGCTTTTTAAACACCCTGAATTTCAAGTGTAAAAAGACAATTTACTCCGTTTCGAGGGACGACCGACTTCCTTCGAAAGTCGTACAAACAAACCCCTCTGCTTCCCCGGCGGCCGCTCACTGACTGCACGGACTAAAACCTTGCTTCTGCTCCTTCCGTCGATCAATGTTGGATCACCTTTCCCGTCGGCGATAGCACTAGAAGGCTAGCTTAGGACCTGTTTCGGAATTGAGCAATGGCCGCGACGGCCGGATTTAGATCCGGTTTCTGCGTTATAGTCATCGTGGCTTGTTTGTGCTTTTCCGGCCTGAGTCCGGTACGGGGACAGAATCGCCGGCCGAAGAACGTGCAGGTTGCTGTTCGAGCGAAGTGGGAAGGCACTCCAGTCTTACTGGAAGCCGGGTACGATTTCTGATTTCTCGTCATAGGCATTGCAATTTTACGCAATTGATGTTCCGTTTCTCCATTTCTATCCGTCTTCGTCTCGTTAAATTCCATTTGTCTTCAATGCGTCCATGGCCGTGGTAGAGCTCTGGAATTTCTTAATTATGTGGCGGCATTGGCAGCTTTCAGTTGAAAATGTTACGCTTGAATTGATGCTATCTCTTTTCTCATGAAATTTGCCAACATGTTGTTATTGCAGAGAGTTACTGTCCAAGGAATGGAAGGACCTGTACTGGGAATTCATTGATGTCTGGGACAAGATTGAGAAAGACGAACCAGATACTTACTCAGCTAAAGACTGTCTCAAAAGGATTGTAAAGCTAGGCGGTGGTCTTCTGAGCGATCCATTGGCCTCACTGTTTGAGTTCTCTCTTACCCTGAGATCAGCATCGCCGAGATTACAACTCTATCGACAATTAGCAGAGGAGTCTCTTGCTTCTTTCCCTCCATCTGACGACGGGACGTCAGCTGATGGTGGGGCAGTTGTAGAGACAAGTGCACTTAAGAAGTCTGATCCTTTGCTTGTTGGAAGGAACCCTAGCAGCCCTAGTGGGAAGTGTTGTTGGGTCGATACTGGTGGAAGAGTGTTCTTTGACGTTTCGGAGTTGCAATTGTGGATCCGCAGCAACCCTGCTTTGTATGTTTTATGTTGTCATGTGTTGAAGGCTTTCGTTGTCCTTACTTCAAATCGCACTGAACTAATTTCTCATAGTTAATATATATACCTTTTTTTTTCTTTGTTGACAGTGCAGGAGACTCTTTTCAGCAACCAGAGCTATTTGACTTCGATCATATTCATTTCAACTCACGTGCTGGAAGTCCTGTTGCTATATTATATGGAGCCATCGGGACAGACTGTTTTAAGGAGTTCCATGCTGTCCTGGTTATAGCTGCCAAAGAGGTTTAGCTCATACTGATTCTGGTTCTCACCTTGATTTGTCTTTGTCTGGATAATTTTACTTGTTCTAGTTTTCGCGTGTCATTTCATCTTCGTATATTACATTTTTTTCTCTTGTTTCGGAAACACAGCAAAAGGTTGACGAGATTGTATGGAGTTCGATACTACTCTATAGCTGCCAAGGCCCTTATTACTATATATTCTGAAAAGGATTACCAACCTGATAGCCAGTATATGTCATACTAGCCGTCTTTTTTAAAATGATAGTTCCATATTGTAGTTACAATCCTAAGAAGCATAGGAATGATGGTTTTTCAGCATGCCATGAATGGTTTCTTACCTACATTGTGTCGGGTTTCCCCTCTTGGCTAGCTGGAATGCAACTGCTGTTTACAACATTATGAATTGTCGGCTCAGTTTATCGTTGCAAAGCCATCGATGTTTTGAACTTTGAACATCCTGGAATCTATAATGCTGTGAAAGGTGTTTTAGTTATTTTTACTGGATGTGGTGGTCAAGAATGCTCGTGAAGATAAGAAAGCCCTTCTGGCCGTATAAATGTAGGCTCTCAGTGTTATGTATAGATGTCGGGAGTCTTACATCTGATATTGTTGTTGGCGAATTTTTATATTTGTTTCTGATCAGCTGGTTTGAAATTTACAGGGGCAGGTAAAGTATGTCGTTAGACCTGTTCTACCCTCTGGCTGTGAGTCAAAAGTTCATCATTGTGTTGCTGTTGGAGCTAGAGATTCCTTAAACTTAGGAGGCTATGGAGTAGAACTTGCCCTGAAGAACATGGAATATAAGGCTATGGATGATAGCACAATTAAAAAGGGTTCGAAAACTTTGGCTTGATTTACTTTACTTCATGAATTTTGTAGCTCTGCGAAGCCTGTTCTAAGTGTTTTTCGTAATTGGAAATTAAATTTGGTTGAGAGTATAATATTCAATTGCAGTTCTTTTTTATTCTTCTTTGTTAACGCTTGATTTGCACTTTTGCAGGCGTTACTTTGGAAGATCCTAGGACCGAAGATCTTAGCCAGGAAGTCAGAGGGTTCATTTTCTCAAAGCTATTAGTACGTCATCTTTGAATGCTTTTCCTATGCGTTTCTCTATATTACAATTCAGGAGAATCGGTACATATGCGAGATGCTACTGAAGATCTGAGAGGGGACCTGTATGTAATGAACCTCTCCTTCAATGCTTTACACGTTTTTGCTACATTCGCTGCGTATTGATCATTATGCACTCTGCAACAGTCATTGCAGTTTTTGATTTAGAAGGTTGCTACTAGTATGAAGGAGTTTGTCTTATTAGGGTTTCTATTTGGATCACATAATGGGATCACATAATATGAATATAAGCTTCTCTTGTTGTGGTTTCTATTTGAAGGAGTTTGTTTTATTGGGTTTCCTATTTGGAGGTTGAAAGGAGAGTCAATCAAATGACTTCTTGACAAGATTTCGCCTCCAATGATGGTGAATATGCATAATTTTTTTGATAAGGATGATATAGGTTTACTTTTAGTGGTTTAATACCTACTTAAGGGATTCGAACATGAGACCTCCAGGTTCAAAGCTAGTGGTATTAATCGTGTGTATAGTTTTTGCTACATACTGTTGGGTTCTATTGTTGTGTGATTGATTAATCGTGTCATGACTTGGTTTTGGTGTTGTCATATTTCTTCAATTGCTGCTTTTAGTTAATTTTATGATGTCAAACCTATTCACCTTGCTCTCTTGAAGATCTCAATATCTGTTTTCTTTTCATTCCATAGGAGAGAAAACCTGAGCTTACATCCGAGATAATGGCTTTCAGGGACTACCTATTGTCTTCAACAATATCTGACACACTCGATGTGTGGGAACTGAAGGGTGCGTATAAGTTTTCTTGTATTCTTCAATATAGAAAAACTGTACCCTCTCTCACTTTAGCTTTCCATTTGGAACAGATTTAGGACATCAGACAGCACAAAGGATAGTGCAAGCTTCTAATCCCCTACAGGCTATGCTGGAAATCAACCAAAACTTTCCTAGTGTTGTTTCTTCTCTGTCACGAATGAAGGTAATTGTTGTGTCGACATATATTTGATGAATGTGAAATGACTAGCAAAATATCAAGTTTGCTCCAGCAAGATAAGCAGTGTTAGCCATTTTAATGCTTCTTAGATTGCGATACTTTGTGTTGCAGCTGAATGATTCAGTGAAAGAAGAAATAACCACGAACCAGCGAATGATCCCTCCTGGGAAGTCGTTAATGGCTCTCAATGGTGCTATACTTAATGCTGAGGATATTGACCTTTACATGTAAGGCTTCTGTACTCTCTTTTATTTCCCCTCAAAATTCGCTTTTGAGCTTTGTATGCACTATTCCAAGGCAGCATTGTTTTGATCTCTTATCAGTATATTTTGTTTAAAATCTCTATAACTTGAAATTGTGTGAAGCATTTGGTGAGCATTAGTGACTATTAATAGCTGGTTAGTTCAATAAATCAAAGATGATATCCATGAACATTATGTCTCTCTATTCATGTTCTCTCCTCATCTTGAGCAATTTATCTATGCCAACCTTTCCCATGAAGTAAATTTCATTTGTTCTTGCCACAGTTGGAAATAATTGAAGTTTTTATATATTATGTTTAGTCTGACCACTGCTTTTTATATGCTTCTGTTCTTTCACTTTATGATTATAATTTTATTGAGTATTCTCCCTTGCATTTAATTGAACTTTGAACGATTTCCCATTGATCTCTATATAGGTTGGTTGACTTGGTTCAGCAGGAGTTGCTATTGGCTGATCAGTTATCCAAGTTGAAGGTAAATTGAGCAAAAATACGGCATTAATTATCTTGATTGTTGTATGGTAACCACATAGTCATTAATGTGGTGTCCAAAATGAAGAAAGATGGATAATGATAGATCTGCAATTCATTCGTGACGGTAATTAGAATTGTTAGAAAAGTATGCTTTTACGTTACGCTATCTATCCATTCTATTTCCTTCCTTTATACACACAGGAATACTGAGTTTGGAGTTCGAACCATCCAATAAAACCATGCAAGTAGAAGAAGTAAATTGAGTCAACGTAACTGAAGTGACTTATTGATAGGCAAAAAAAAAAAAAAAAAGGTTTTAACAATAACAAGTAAGATATTGGGAGGATAATAGAAAATTGATTTATCTGACAAGGTCTTATAGTTTTGGGATATTGCTGTCAATTATGCAAGATAGTCTCAATTGCCTGTTGCTAAAGGATGTTTCTTTCTCGATCGCCATGTTTCTTATGCAATTGGCATCTCGAATATTCTGAACACAGCAAAGCATTGTTTCAAAAAATATGCCAGGTTCCTCAAAGGACTGTACGGAGGCTTCTGTCAACAATGTCTCCACAAGAGTCTAATACCTTC